TCAACATCAACACTACTTCAACATCAACACTACTTCAACATCAACACTACTTCAACATCAACACTACTTCAACATCAACACTACTTCAACATCAATACAATCCTGGAAAGCGGGTGGTAGGGTGGACTCCGGGACTTCTTTTCGACGCCTCTCAGATTGTCAGCACAACAATCACGCAACAACCAACAAATTCAGCTCCGAAAGATTGCCATTCATGTCTTCTGTTCGACTGTTGACTCGTCATGTCAATCTCACACGTGTTCAAACCAATGAAATCTGGAAAAAGGGTGGCAGGGTGGTCTCCAGCATTTCTTTTCATTCAATGCACACAATCCGTTCTCTCTGGGCAGGCAGCTTCTCGATTTTCGAATCCTCAGATACCAAACAAGTGGCAAGCACAACAACCGAAGTGCAGCATTCAAACGACAACTTGTCGAAAGTACAACATGTCAACAACTGCACATATCGACTTCTTGGAAAGCGGGTGGCAGGGTGGTTCTCAGAAGTCCTTTTTCTTCTCCTACATCAAACGACAATCTCGACGTTTCTATTTCCTCCATGAAACGACAGCCTCAAAAGTCTGCGTAGCGACGCAAGCATTCCACGACATCACAGTGGCACACCACACAACATTCATGAGGCTATCCTCGGTTCAGCATATTCAATGATTCGAAATCTCAACGACACAATTTTCTGGATTCTGGAAAGAGGGTGGCAGGGTGGCTTTCAGAATCTTTTTGCACGATTACAACAACAATCTACCTCATTTCAGCGGCTTGGGAGTCTCAAGTATCTAATGCTTCATGCACCAGAACATCTCCGAGCATCTTCGACTGAGAAACTCAACTCAATCTCGCACAGCGTTCCAAGCATTTTGACGAGCGGCACATTTCACCACAGCTTATCGCTTCATCTCCACATACCTTGTACGACTATCGACGACATTTTCAGCTCCTCCATAAGAAATCCGACATATTTTGGACAGCTATTGACGACATTTTGAAATCCTGAATGATGAATCCAAGATACCTTGTACAACTATTCACGATCTGATCAGCTTATACGACTATTTTCCTGGAAAGAGGGTGGCAGGGAGGCTTCCAGGAGTTCCTTGGACTATGTACACAGTTATGGTAAGGCAACCACCATATGTGCTCTCAAGCTCGTCCAACAGCATCTGACTGCCAGCAGATACCCCGTTTCACTCACATTTGGCGTTGTATGGTCTTTCAAAGGCGCAGCACCGCAGTTCTCACAGATGATGTTGGTCATCTCTGTTTCATTTTGGTACATTCAGCTCACGAGCTGCTATCACGACGCCCTCGAAAAGAATCATGACATCTCTGCAACATTTCCCTTCTCAGCCTTGATCTTCAATAATATAGCGACATGTTCACAACTTCTACGACGACAGCAAGCGCATCACCAGTTGGCGGCCTTTAACAACATTCTACGACTTGTATTACCTGGAAAGAGGGCGGTTGGGCGGTTTCCCAGGTCTTAGAACTCCCCATGTCTAACGACAAGTACTTTTTCCGTTCCTCCCCCTTTGCTCTCTCTTCTGCTAACAGTCTTTAGTGTACATTATCTCCCAATCTGGGCAGAAATTACAACATTCGCCATTTAACCTGGAAAGAGGGCGGTCGGGTGGTATCCAGGTCGTCCTTTTCTCCAATACAAACGATCTCGTGAGTACATCCCCGCGACGTGCATCTCCCGGTCACTGCTGACTGATTTCTAGCACATATCACGACAACTTTCCACTGTGAATTTTCATCGACAGCAATGTGCATACGGCCTGGAAAGAGGGTGGTTGGGTGATATTCAGCCATTTGTTTTTTTTTTTTATTTCATTGATCACGGCACAGAAAGGCAAGCTCCTCATCCTCCCTCTTATCTCGAGCCGGGAACAAGCGCCTATACTCGATGCAACACAAGTCCCTTTTGCTGACATCTGGCGGATTGTACAGCAACGACATCATAGGGCCGGACAGCCACACCTCCCGACGGCGCCGCAAGCCGTTCTCAGCAAGCTTGAAGTCCACGGCTCTTGCAATCGCTTTCAGCTTCTGCAAACGACGCGCTCAGCAATGTGGTGTCGACTCTTTTCCAAAGTCTTCTTCCAACTGGCAACTGGGTGGTTAGAGAGAGAGAGCGCCGCGCGGCTTTGCAGGAGCGGCTTCTCCTACAAATCTGACTCTTTGCATGAAGGAACCCTCTTCTTTCTACATCTTTCTTATACGGACAAGATGTCCAACGTTGCCATGCTTACCTCAGTTAGATATCTCTTCAGCTCCGCTGCGACCCTATCTGCAGTGCACAACAAATACCAACACCGCGCATGGTTCCAGCTAGCTATAGGAGGGAGATACAACACCGCGATGAATGTCGTGGTCTGATGACCGGGTTCTAAGCATGACCGATTTCCCTTTTCCTCTTGATCTCTGCGAAAACCTTGCCCTGCTTTCCCCTGCTCATCGTTCCATCTTAATGGCCCCATCTCCATTTGTTGACCCTGACCATTCCCATGACTGTCCCCTCCCTACATCTTCCAGCCACCACAACCCTTGCTCCCTCTCCACTCCCCGAGCCCCCCCCCCCCCCTCTCTCTCTCTCTCTCTCTCTCTCTCTCTCTCTCTCTCTCTGTCTCTGTCTCTCTCTGGCCGACGAAGGGAGGTTTCTACACAAACAGAGACCAAGCGCACGGCTCGTCCTACATCAACATCTACATCATTGAATCACATCCAAGGATGAACAAGAGAACGTTCACTTCTGCGCTTTTTTCCACTTTTCAGATTCTGCCATTTCTACCCAGTTTCTTTGAGGGCGTATATCTGCACTTTGTCTTAACTGTCTTTCTCGAAAACTTTGTTCTGGCCATATAACCAGGACCTCTTGGCTTCAGCTCTCAGCCCTCAGCCCTCAGCTCCGTCTCTCTCTATCACTGTAGCAGAAATCTGGCAGTCCGACTGCGCTAGCATACATCAGGATCCTTCTATCGTGTTCGCTCTCGAGAGGTTGCACGTCCGTTTAGCGATGTATGAAAGCCGCCATGTGTACGAAAATATTCCCCCAACTCCATCTCCACCTACAGGACCTTGGTGACGCCGAATTTGAATTTTCCTCACCGATTTCCGAAATCCATCGCGCACCCGAAAGCATTGAAAACAAAGACTTAAAAAAAAAGGTCGCTTCGCTGTGCTGAAGGCTGCAAGTCGTCATCATCTGGAATACCATTTGCTGGATGAGGATAATGTTGTGGAAGGAACGTTAGACTTTTCGTCGTGGTCATCGTAAAGCATAGAGAACGAATTGGCAAATATGGCTGTTGTTGTTACCAGGGAAAGTGGCATAGCAGGTGTTGTTGACAAGGGATCGCTCCCTGGATTCAAGTTTCTTTTCCTCCTTCAAGACCTTGCGGTCACGTCCTTCGCATCTGTAGGTCTCTGTCTCGATAACGCCAGCCATAATAATGGTAGACAAATGGTTCTGTATAACCCGAAAGAAAATGTGTACAGTCGTGGCGAGGAGGGCTTTGTGTACAAGTGAAAAGGATCGCAGGGATTTGTACATATCAGTTGCGAAAGATATCGGAAAGGACTTTGAGGAGATTCCGCTTGTGTGGTGAGATGGGTGGGCTCCCTGTTTCGGCGCCCCTGTTGGAATCGCTGAAAGCGCGAGGGGGAGCGACAGACATTGGTCCGACTATCTCGCCGTCACCAAGCTTGGGAAATTTTCCACTCTTGTCATCGATGACAGGCACAACCACTCTAGTGAGAGGCTTTTCGAGCACCGAGCTCGACGTGGTAGAGTCTTGCGTCTCCGAATCACCGCTTAGACGAGCCAGAACCGGGGCCAGGGCGGTCCTCATAAGGTTGTGTTGCCGCTTCCAAGTGTCGTCAATCGAAGCCCACTTTTCCTCCGTCAGCTTATAGACTTTGGAAGTGGACCCGTAGTGCTCGGCGGTCCTCGTTATGTGCTTAGCATAGTGTGTTCTGGCCTGATCCCAGTTCTTGCGAAACTCGGCATAAGAGTCCAAGTCCAGGGTCTCAGGAGTGTACGGCTCTGGGTGTATGGTATAGTTGGCATGACCCAGGCGAACGGCCCAAGGATCGGAGGGGTCTTCAAGAAGCTGCAATGGGGGGATATCGCCAAAAGGGCAATTGTTCGCCGTGTTCGCGCGGGATCTTGTGTGGATGGAGACCATTGACGGTTTCGTCGACAATGGAGGGGATGGCAGGCCTGACAATGGTGCATCAAGGGACGGCCGTGAGCTCAGAACGGCGGATGTAGGCGCAATAGCCGGTGATTGAAGAGGAGAGTGGACAGGCTCTTCTCTCTTGCAGAATTCGGAGAACATGGGTGGCAATAGAGGTGTGGTGGCTTGGATTGACTCCGCCAAGTCCTGTTCTGGCATCTTCTGTTCAATCTCTATTGGTCTCACATCCGCGTCAACGACTGCTTCGTTCGTCAGGTGCACAGTCGAGGAGGATGGCAGGATGCTTTCATGCTTGGAGACAGCACTGAGAGCCGGGCTGCAGATCTGCGAAGAGCTTAGGGATCCCGAACGAGAAGCGGAAGCGCTGACATGCGTGACGATTGAGAGCTGAGGTCCAGCTGCCGATCTGTTCTTCCACCGTCGGGATAGTGACCCAAATTTGCTGCTGAAGCGGTGACCCTGTGTTGACGACGGCTGTTCTGCTGATCTGCGACGCACCATATGATAAGGCTGGTGGGTGATTGACGAGTCATTGGGTGCTGCCAAGATCCAGTCGGGCTGTACTGGGGAGGTGGGAGGCGAAGGGTGGCCGTAATCACTTGAGAAAGCCTTGTCATAGTCACTCCAGTCACATGTGCCGTCGTTGACCAACGTGTAACCGTCAAACTCGTCTCTTTCCTGAGGCTCCTCGGTGACATCTTCCAACCGCTTAACCCCTCCAAACATGTCGAGGGACTCTCGGGGGACAGGCGAGGATGCGGCCGAGGAATTGGAACCTCGAGAAGAATGGCCCTTGGAGAACATGGATACTGTGGGTGAGGATGTGTCGACTGAAGAGCCGGAAGAGCGAGTGGCGGGAGGCAGCGTGTCGAAGGGATATAGAGTGCTATGTTCCATAGTGAAGTACAGGTCGAAGGATTGGTATTATTCTTAGAGTAGGATCGAATTAGTCGAGCGAGTGTTTTGGCAACAAGAGGGAAATCGAATCGAAGAGGACTGAAACTGGGCTGGGTCAGGTCACAGTCGGACAGCTGCGAGCATGATGGATGGGCTGGTGAAGGTGGTCTCAAGTGAATTGGGTCGCGGACGAGACTGTCTTGGTGGTGAGGTAAACACCGACTGGCAAAGCTGTGGAAAAGCAGGGCAGTCGCAGCTGTTGCTTTCGTAGTGGCGTGGCGGCGGTGCTGAATGCTGGGGTCAATCAGCGGCGACTGCTTTCAGGCCAGACACAGATTGACTGGTCGAGGCTGAGGGGAGGACGCTCTGCCTGTCTGCAAATGTTCCATCAGTCGAGTGCCATGTGTACACACAGAAGGGGAGGAGTGAATAGGGCAGAGGGATGTTGACAAGTTCGAACTGGAGGGAAGAGGCCTGAGTGGACAGAGGAAAAAGTTGTGTGCCGTGGCCCTGGGCTCGTTGGCTGTGGCAGCTGTTGGGCCGACTCCATGCAGGGTTGCTTGCAGCCAATCCTTCGCTGCTCGCTTGGGCGGGGACAAGGGTCTGACCCTGTTACTTTGGCCTGTCTCTGAGACTTTCAGAACCCAACAGCCACCACCAACCAACGGCGCAAGCCCGCCTGGGATAAGAAGCCCCGCGTCAACCCGTCGAGCCCGTCCACCGGCCCCGGCCAGGATGGGAAAAGCCTTGGGAGCCACTGGCAGCCACCAAGAGGGCAACAATTGCATGGGCTCGAATCACGGCCTCGCCAGCACCAGAACGGGCGCGCCACCGACGACAGCAGGTGAGCAGACCGAATCTGGTGCGCCAAACAGCTCGCTGCCCTCCTCCTCCGCTACCTTTCTAGTGTTCGGATCTTGGACTCACCCTCACACTCAATTCACGACTGATTCCTCTGCTATCCAATCGCCCCTCTGTCCATCCAACAAACGACGGAGAGGGGAACTTCGCTGGCTGGGGAGGGATAACTGAGGTGCGGTGGAGGGCGGTCGTTTGGATTGCAAGAGAAGACGAGTAAGTTGAGAAAGGAGCTGGTCTGGCGGGCACTGCTGGCTTCTGCTGCGACATGCCTGAGGTTTTGTGTGAGCTGCAGCTGGTGGTGAGTGCTCGCCTGCGAAGCCAAAAGGGCATTGACGATGAGGTGTGTGGCTTGCCCGCCCTGCCTGCGGTTGGCTCTCTTGGTTGCTTGTCACTGTCCTCTCTCTGCACGAAAGATACGAAGGAAAGGCTAAGAGAGGTGATAGCTCAGCGGGTTTGCAGACACAAACAACGACCGGGTTGTCGCATGCGCCGGACAAGACTACAGCAAGCAAATCTAGTGGGCGGAATGCCAGTTCGACCGATGTTGAAAGTCCGGAGCCGCTGGCACAGCAGCCAGAGCAAGCACTTGTCCCGCAGGTGTCTAGCCCATGCACGTCCATGCTGTGAGATGGCGCTTGTGCCCTCACCCGTGCCGCCTTGATGCTTCCGCCCGTGCTGGAGGCTCACTAGGTGGTTTGTTCTGCAAGGAACTGCCAAGGGCGATGCAGGAACGGTATCAGATATACCCACGCGCACAAATGTGCTGGGTCTTTACCGACCTTCCTCATTGATGCAAAATTGTGTGATTCCCCAACTCGCAGATTTTGCACTGCCGCCCGGTGGGCCGTGGTCGCTCCTTGTCGACACAACACCTCCTCTCTACCATCTGTAGGACTTGCCCGTTGGCTCCTCTTCTTCTTGCTCTTCTTTTCTTTTTCCTGACCTGTATCCCACGTGTGAGGATGTCGAAAATGCGGGTGGCTGGCCGTGGCCCCCTTCTCTGCTTCTTGACGGCACTAACCAGCATCCCACCTTCGCGAGGAAGCAGGAAGGATTCAGAAGCGACCGGCAGCTCCTCACACGCCAAAACCTGCGGGCACTACCATGCTTGAGCGGCCAATCGGTTGCTTACAAGGATGACCTTTCGAAGTGGCCCTCCATAGTCAATGCCACCTCGTGTTCTCCTTCCTCTCCATCTTTAGTTCATGCTTCCCAATCGCTCCACTGTAATCGCCGCCATCGTCATTTGTCCGAATAGCATCATTGCTCCTGGAATGGAGAATGTATCCGTATAGGCACAAGTCAGAACCCGGATGGATTTTCAGCATGCAGGAAATGGAGGGTTGGCTCAATCCCACCATCTCCCAGTGACTCTATCTATACTTTTCATACTCGCGAGAGCTCTCTAAGAACCCGTCCTCCAACTCTCGTGGAATACTGCCTACTGAGAGAGTCGTCGGGTCCCTTATCTGCAGGGTATACGGCTGGAGCCCCGGAGGTATATCTCATATCCCCTGCCTGACCGTTTCAGCCACAACGCTCTTGAAAACCCCCGAGACGAGGCGCCAGTCTCCAACATGCAGGGATGTCGCAGTCGTTGGGGAATGCCGCAATCAATAGTCGTCCGAGGGGAAAAGTCTATTCGATCTCCACAGTGCATTTCGACGAGCACCTCTGAGTCTCTGACCGGGGAGCGCCCGCTAAAGCATCCAGCGACTGTGGGAAGCCCGGGAGAGGTGTGCCAGAAGCTTCCATACACCCATATCACAGCTGTCCTGTTTCTGAACGGCGAATGTCCATTCGGATTTCTTTTGGTCCTGAGGTTGGACCGCCTATCCTCGGGAGCTTCTTCTCCCGCTGCACTCGCTTTTATCAAAGGAGGTATCGTCGGCAGAGGGAAGTGGAAAAGGCCACCGAGGACTGTGGCTAACAAACAATCCCGATATCGCATCAGTGCTTGGCTGGATTCTTGGTGCCACACCATGTCGCGAAAGAACATAACGTCTTGACCTCGAAGGCATTGATAGTGGTCTTCCGCCAATGAAAATTGGAGCTCAGACTTCCCCCTTTCCGCCTACTGTTGACAGAATGTTTGACTGTTGTAAAGTAATGCCCCTAGAACGCCCACGTATCAGCACTCTTGAGCGGTCTTGAACTCCCAGTTCCCAATGTAACATTTCCGATGGGTCTTGGTGGACCTCTGCTTTTGAACATCTGCGGTTGATGCTCTTCTGTTGTGTCCCAACCTTAACAAGTGGTACTTGGGATTTCGGAATAAGCAACCCAATGAGATATCAGCTTCTATGTTCGAAGCATACTGGATCGCAACCATCTGCAAAGTGATCGAATGCCACAAGTACAACGCCAGCAGTTCTGTCTTTAAGTGACTGTGCAGCATATGTCATGATTCGAATAAATGCGTGACGTGATACGTAGCATATTCTTGGTCCTTGTGGCTGTCGCTGCGGGGATGAGAGCAAGCCAGGTAGTGTAAGCCAGGCCGTAAATCTGTGATCATCATTACCTGCAACGTCCCAAGGCTTTACTCATATTCAGCGATAACATAGTGGGACTTCTAGACCAGCTCTTACACAAGTCGATGCCTGTGTGCTGTCTCAGATACCTGTCGCTAGAGCTGTGGAAGATGTGGCCGAGCAGCAAAAAGCATATCTCTGCTCTGCTTCAATCACGTTGAAAACTTCGACACCCAATATCTTGACCAAAGTTTTTTCTGTTCCTCGGTCCCCTTGAACTATAAGTCCCGCCGTGTCAGTGAGAAGCGAAAGCATGACTGGAGGAGTCGGATGGAGGTGGCACAACAACATGGTTAGGACCTACCTCAAACTCGACCTTGTAGATATCTTCAAAGCCCTCCTCGAGAGTAGGCTCCTGGAATCTTTGGATAAAAGATCGAAATGCGATACCAGGGAGCTGGGTCCGATTCTCAGGATTCATCTATTGTTGATTATGGGGAAGCCGTCAGCCTTTTGTACTTGAATGTAGATAAGTTGCAGATGGACAGCTGGAAGTCTTGCAACGAGTATCGCGTCCGATGCAGGAGAGGATACACACCGTATTTGGATTCATTGCCCTCACAGCGTCGTTATGCTCTGCAAGTCGAGTCGAGGCTGTGAAGCGGACACAGCGGATAGGGACATTAAATTCCTGGGCTACTCTTACCCAGTACGCCCGGGTTTCGATGTCTGCGTTTGTGTTGTCTGTCATTCCAGCACAAGCGTCAGTAAGTACGAGGATGGCGTCATGTGGTAGAACTCAAGATAGGGGGTTGGCAAGATGGAGGGACGAGACGGGGAAGAGCGGAAAGAGAGATTCAGGCCAGATGATGATTTGGCGCATGATGCAGAGAGTGGATATTGTCCCAAGGTGGTCGAGTCATTGTAGTTACAACGGAATCTGGGGAAGGTCTTTGATTGGGGGTAGGACAAGGGTAACAAGAGATGCTGGGTAGAGTTGTACAGGAGTGACATCTCATGGCCAGACAGACAGCTGCATGCACGGCATTTCTGCATGACATGTCATTTTTGTCCCTGTCCAGCAAATGACATGTGTGTCACTGTCGAGGGAAGGAGGAGGTTGAGCAGGCCAACACTTCGAGCAACAAGAAGAATAGACGTACCAACTGCCACGGATAACCCTGCCTCCAAGAGTTCCTTTGCTTTCTTGATGCATTTATCGCGCTGCACGGAAATAGTAATGTCTCAGCTTAAAACCCTTTCTCCTTGAAGGCCACATATGTAGGGGCTGACATGGCAGGATGTCGTGTCACTGTATTCAGGAAATGCCGGCACGGAAAGCACCACCAGTCAGGGAAAATGGTTTGAACTCACTGTTTTGAGGATATCTTGGTTAACTCTCTCGTAGCCAAGTGGCTGGAGGACGTCCCAATAGAATGTGCTTTTTCCAGCGCCTGGTGAGCCGCAGAAAATGACCAACTCGTGGGGGCTGTTCTTCGTGAACGGTGCGGATACGGTGTCCTCCACGGCGCCGGTCACAGTAGAATCAGAAGGCTGTGCAGGTTCAAGATGCTTTGTCGGGTCGAAGACGTGCTCATACGGTTCAGTGGCCTCGTCGAGGAAGAACTCTTCTGGTGTGTGAAACTTGATACCAATGTTCGCCGCAAGATCCCTGATGGCAGTGAGCATACCATTCACCAACGACATGACATTAGCGAGTACCTGTCCGACGTTGCATGATCCTTTCTTCTCTTGTCGGTCTTATCTCGCCCCGCAGCATCACCCACATAGAACGAGTGTTCCATGTCCACGGCTCCTTCGGCTTGAAGATCGTAGTCTTCCAACATCTCCTCCCACATCCCCACTCGAGGCTTGCGATATCGGTCTTGGCCTGTGGCGGCGTAGATACTGATTGGCAAGTCGACTTGTTTCAGGATGGAGCTGGCCTGGTTTTTGAAGTTTGCAAGGCTGGCCATGTCCTTTTTGAGGGTTTTGGGATTATCCTTCAGGCTGATTGCCGACTGGTTGCTGAGAATGACAAGGAGGTAGCCATCATCGTGAAGAGATTTCAATCGGCCAGGGATTGAGGGATCCCACCATTTCCAACTCACTGCAGATCTCGCCCATTTGTTGACGGTGTTTGGGGCCACGAGAGTGTCGTCCAGATCGAAAGCCGCAATTTTGACAGGAAGGGTGCGTGGTTGGGGCGGTTTATGGGGCACATTGTATCGGCCAATGATGAGGCTATGGTCAACGGTCCGCCATACGAGTTTCTCTGGTTCCTTTTGAGACGCTGGCTTGAAGAAGCTAGCCACAGCCTTACCTGGGCCCAGTCAGCACTGTATCATATTGCAAGGTTCCTCATCATACTGGTGGTGGCCGATTCAATTTTGCGCTTGACCAGCGGTGGAGAGACAGAACCAGCCGGGGCTGGGGCTGATCGTTTCATGGTGTAGCACCGTCCCAGGATGTCTATGTCAAGGAAAGGAAGGTGAGAGCGGGAAACAGGACGAGTACAGCGACTCAATGGAGCCAGCCATGAACGGGAAGCCAGGTTCAGCAGGAAAGGAAGTCTTGAAAGGGCTAGTTGAGAATATCGCTCTCTTGGGCGTTTGGGATAGTTAAAAATCGAGGACCCAGAAAATCGACGCGACTTACGCGTTTGAAAAGACGCCATTTATCTATCTACTCACGTCACGTGTAATGACCTGAGTCAGCAGAGGCAAGGCTGCCTCCATCGGCGACACGTTGCTCTCTAATACCTCAACGGATTAGGTTCTACGTGAAGTGATAGGCAGCCGCGTATCCAGTGCCAATCTATCGCCCGGTGACAGATCGACTGCCTGCCTCAACGCTTCTCTGATAGCCACCAATTGCCGAGTCGCTCGTTCCTTCAGTTCGGGGTTATTTCCATCAACCACATCAATGGATGCCTGGAGGACAAAGCCACCAGAGCCGTCCAGCTCGGGGAGGTCACCGACGTTGGCTAAGAATGATTGGTCGGAGATCGCTTCGTCTGCAGCTATTTGGGGGAGTCGCAGCACCTTGTGTAGGAAAAGAGTGGTGTCGTGGTCATAGAACCTCGATCCCACGACCAAGTAGCGAGAAACATACCTGTGACTTGGTTAGCCTTGGAGCCAGCCTTGTGAGGGGACGGAGAGGTCATACTCGTAGCCAAAATTATCGAGAAACTTGACAAAGCTGCCGTCGTCCATGGGCGTCCTGGATATCAGTCGTGAGCTTACTGCCTGCTTGCCCGCGTCTGGAGTATCCTTGAATTCAAAGGACCACTTCACGCTTGACTTTTCTGTCGTGTGGCTGCCATTGCCGTTTGCCATGGTCACGTCGCCATTTTCTGCAACTCGAGCCTGTTTCTCTGGCAACACCTCTCCAACCAGTTGGACATAGTAGAGGCCAGCATTGAGCATGTTCTTAACACGCTGCATATCCTGCTGTTGCTGGCTCGCGAGATGAGATGCACCAATGGACTGGACGAGATCGACCCCAGGAGGCTGGCGCGCCTTGAAGACCAGGTGGATCTCTTTGGCATCCTGGGGCTGCATACGTGCAAATCCGGCCAATTGCTGGAGCATTCGATGGTGGTCATCCTTTCGCACTTGACCGTAGAGGGCAAACTCGTGCATGATGGCGGCCGTGTTTCAGGACTCTGATATCCGAGGTATACTGGTGTTGATTACTCGGTGGGGGATGGTTTGATTCGATCAGCCGGTATGTCGTGCTTGGGGAGACGTGGCTCGTTGTGGCAACTGGGGTCGGTCAGGAGACACATCATCTGAGAACGGGTGGTTGATGTATCGTTGCTGGGGAATGAGCGGACATTGTTCTCAAGGGCTGTTAAGGTGAACGTTGACTGCGCAGGGCATCGGACTTGGCGGCGAGTCAAGGCGAGCACATTACCGATACTCGAGAGAGATCAAGGAATCACGTCCAGAGGCACGAGGCCGTCAACCACCGGAACGCTTCAGACACTCTCGTACTGAGGTGGCCGGACCAGAAGTGTGATGATTGATGGGATAAAAGTGGAAAAAGTTTGTTCCTGAATCGGCAAAATGATGCCCTGCGTTGGGCGCTGCCGCAGCCACGCCTTTCTCCGTCCTCCGACCATGAACATTTTCGAGCTTCGCAAGCTCCCGAGCTCGCCCTGCCGGTCGAACTAAACACTTCAACCCACCAAGCAATCTTCCTTCGACAAGCGCAACGGCCTCGACCTGTTCCTCCTCCAGCATATAAACCGTCCTTGTACCCCCCGGTGTCCCCCCACAGACAAAAGGAACAGCCCGCACCTCCTCCACGCGTCATTCCTTCTTCGCTAATTGCTTCTGTCCGAGCTCGGCCGCGCGAACGGCCGCATGCAAGAAAATTCCAGCGCGGGTCTGAGGAAGCAGATAAAGTGCGCAATCTAGAACTCACGGGTGGGAACAAGACGACTCTGCCGCACAGCCGGGGACAGATAGAGATTTGTCTACACCTCCCTTAAAACACTTCCTCAACGAGCACACTCTCGACATCGCAGCTCTAACAACCCACAATGCGCCCCTCCCTCGTCCTCCGCGCTGCGCACCAACGCACCCCCCTCATAAAATTCATTGGAAAACGCACACCACCCAGTGCGTACCTCTCCCACAGATAGCCCCTCGTGCTACTAACACATATCTCCCTCCCAGAATCGGTAGACCACACTCCTCACGCCCACCCCGCCTCTCCTACACACAGCCTCCCAGAAAGCTTCGCCGCCTACCGCTCCAAGGCCCAGCAACACGGGCCCCTACGAGGTGGCGGCGGCAACGGCGGCGTGCCTTCGTCCTCGTACTCTGTCGCGGCTTCCTCAGGCTCAGCAATGTCATACGGCGCCATCGGAGGCACGCCAGGACGGGCGTTGGGACCGGTCAAAGCCAAGCAAGGAGAGTTCTTCGACAGAGATGAGCTACCCGCCCGGTTCCATCGGAAGGCCTGGTCGGAAGAGGAGATTGAGGCTGTGAGTAGCGGAGGAGCCAGCATGTTTGCTTGAACGTGGGAAGCGGAAGAGGTTCGAACACAACAGCGAATTTGGGATTTCTTCAGCGATGGCTTTTACAGATTAAAAAAGGGCTTCTGTGTATAGAGACCGCGGGGATTTGACTTCGTTGACACATCTATTTATCATTCGCCTCTGATTTCGCGAGGTTGTGAAGCTTATGGTGGCAGAGGTATGAAAGGGTGGCTTGGAGTCAGCTTCTGAGGCAAAGCAACTGGAGGCACGACGCAGAGCACCAGGGCCCGCCTTTGTCGACTACAACATATGGGCGAACAGGCAGGGCAATCTCGAAGCGCACAGGCCCATCCTCCTACAGCACGGAATGACCATCGGTTCATATTGCACAGACAGATGGCGCTTTCGGACAGCTAGCAGCCACCACCACCACCGCTGCTCAGCGCGGTAGAGCTTGTATATACATATCCTCAACACTTCCTCAACCTTTCTCAATTCAATATATTTGAAACTCTGCTTGCGTCATGTTCCTCGCCTCCTTCCCACGAGCCAAAGCCTCGTCCAGACAGCCAATCGATGAGGAGAGTGGGAGGGAGGAACGGGACACGAGCCTCAACCGGCGATGAAGAATGGTCTGAGTACATGTTAATGATTGCTTGCAGATACGTTTTGCTATTCCGCCCTTCACCCTTCCACTGAAAGCAAAGGATATGCTTCCCCATCTGTTCGTTCGTCTACTCGTCCATTTCGTATATCATATACAAGTACCTATGTATCCATACCTGAGCTCAGGTCAATCATACCCATCCATCATCCATGCAACCCACCCCACCCAGCCAGCATCATTCATGTCCTCTCGTGCCGCCATCCAATGAATGCATATGTGTAAATACACCCCGCGTGCGTATGTATGTCGTTGGTTAGACAAATCACTGGATAACCAAGCGTGTAGTGTACACTGCGCGATATTGTGCCAGCCAGTACGTCTGGAATGTTCCTGCATCCCTGGTGCTGTGCTCCGTCCGTTGTACATTTGTCCCGTGTGCCTTGAGAGCATTAAGCCTGATTCCTAATTCTGAATCTCGGTCTTTGAGAATAGAAGTAAAGAAGTGAAAAATGCAAGTGGGAGATAAAAGACGCGCAAAGACCAAAAAAGGGGGGAAATAAACCGTCCTCTCAGCTCTCGATGCACCGCCTCAATCGTCCCCAGAAAGCTTTCATTCCCGTCCTCATCCTAGGCCGTTTCCCTTCCTTTTCCTGGGAGATATCGGCTCTGGCAGGCAAAGGCACAGATGGATTGGCATTCAGCGCCCAGACCGTCTGTTCCGTTGCACCCTCCCGTTTAGCCCAAGACAGTCGGCTCATGCTTCTTTTTGCATTTGCCATGCGAGGGAGTGCGGTGAGAGAAGATTGTGAAAGGCGATACTGTCCATTCCGGGAGCTGGTGCGATCAGCGCGGTAGCGTGAGATGTCTGGTGGAGGGAGAGCTGCGTCTGGATCTTCTATTTCGTCTCCAGCGGCGTGTACGTTGTTTGTATAGTCATCCTGAACATCGAGAGGAATGTGGTGGTCATTTGAGAAAAGAGAGATGGCATCAACCACATCGCTGCCGTCTCCCATCTGACTGGCCACATTTTGGAACTGCGGGCTGAGATCATGCCATGGTTGCAATGCATTGTGTTCGAGCCTCGACTCAGCTTCTACGGTTGCTGCCAATGACTCCAGGAGACTAGCCCTCGAAGCAGCTTCCTTTGAAACAGGGATATTCGGCAACATCCAATCGTCACTGTCTTGTTGATTGCTCTCCATTGCCCTGACAAGGGTAGCATCTTTGCCCTGTCGTTGAGTACTTGCCATCCTGGGAAATCGCGAGAATGATGCAAGCTTCCGTAATGTTTCCGGCCCAATTTTCTGTTTCTGCGGCGTACCTGAGCTCAATCTCGAGACGGGTCTGGACGTAGTCTGTTCATGCACGTGCGGAGTCTGGTCATGATACCGCACGACTGAGGGTACACCGAACTCGGGCATGGTTGCAGGCCTTGACGCCTGTTGCAAGGACCCCGATGATGACCTGACCATTCTTTTACCTGATATTTCGGGGGACCTTGCCGACAGCGAAGGTGATGGGATTGGAGTGGGAATCTTCATCCTCATCTCTTCTTCTGACTTGAATTTGGGCTTCAATTTGGGCTTCCCGGACGATGCTAAACTGTCCACGTCTTGGTATGTCTGGGGTTGGGGTTCTGGCTTAACGGAACAAGAACTGAGGTGTGAGAATCTAGGCTGCTGGCGACCGTCGCTCTCCACGGATGTTGGCGCCGATTTCGCCGACTTAGGGGACCACAATGGTTCGTCTCCTCTCACACTGGACTTCTCGCTTTCGTTGCCGTCACAGGCTTTGGAAAAGTCGGCCTCGACAGGCGCAAGCCTTGGGAGGCTGGACTGGGCCACACTGGCTCCCAGGCTTGAGTTGGTGACCACTGCACGAGCTTCGGATTTTGGCAATTGCAAAGTAATGTATGGAATGTATTGAGTCTCGTCGTGATAGTTGTCTTTCATTTGGATGTTCGGTCCCACGTCGAGCAGCAACCACGATAGATTGCGTGACTCTAGAACTGGACTGCGGGACACCGAATGTCGAATTAATTCCTCGGTCTGTCTTCTGTGGAGTGCAGCGCGTTTCTGTAAAGGCGGTATCTCAGGATGGCCACTGCCCATACTAACAGGCCGTCTTTGGGCCTTTGGTTCTGCCAGACCATCATTCCCCGTCGCTGCAATCTCCCATTTGTCCTGTGCCTCCCGCCTTGGTCCAATGGTAACTCCGCCGTGAAGATCGAGAAGGTCTTTCGCTTGATTGGATATTGCCGAATCCTGTACTCCGATATCTGAGAATAACGTATGTGTAGATGGTGACTTTTCCAATGACCTGTGAGGGGTGTGTCCGCGGGATTTGGAACTGGTTTCATCATCAGACAGATCAATGAAGCTGGTGTTGGCTCGGCTGAGCGACGGCCGGCGAGGTTTTTGAAGCTTCGAGGTTTGTCCCTCAGTTTCAGGCATGGGTGCGTGGCGTATAGCATTGTGTTGGACAGCCTTTCTGGAAATTAATTGTCTCCTGGGGTGACGGGTGTCCGCCATCGCCGTGACTTGCGGCAATGCGGCGGCGTTCCCTGCAGCAAAGAGTGGCTCGGCATCACTGTGCTGTAGAGCTGGTGGTTGTCGATACAATGGTAAAATATCTCTGCCTGGAAGTTGAGCTCCATCTCTGAAATCTCTGCTGGAGTCATGCTTTTGTGGTGCCACAGGCGAGAGCAGCTTTTCGTTACGTTTCAAAATACCATTGTTGGTATGATCTGCCGGGTTTGTCTGTGCTCTGGACTGATCTCGTTGATGAGTGAGCTCCCAACTATTGACATAGGGATCAAAGGGTGAGGTTAGGCGAGAACAAGTTGGCGGTTTTCCATTAGATAGACCAGAGGTGCGAGGCAAAGTGTCGTCCTGGGCAATACCACTCGCAGTCTTCTCACTCTCCGAGTCCAAAATTACCTGCCGTTCGCTGGTAGGTGGGCGATTGCGGCTGGTCTCTGCTTTCAACCTGACGTGATTGAATACTTCCTCCTTTGGATACCCTGGGGAAGTTGATTTGGCACCAGTAAATCCACCAAATTGTCCTTTCGACGACCTTCGTGCTGGGGACATGGGCTGCAGTGTCGAGGAGCGGGCATGATATGAGGACGTGGAGGAAACCCCTGCCTCAGGCTTCCCTGTGAAAACAGATTCATGAGGTAGTGGTGGTCTACCCGGGAGAATTCGTGGAGCCTTCAGCCCCTTCCTGTTATCCAGCTTCTCATCGTTCGGCAGGCTGATGATCCCCCGACTGGAGTAGCTGGCCAGCACGACGCTGTGCGAGTATTTACTCGGCATTGGTGTTGTCTAAAGACATAGTACACGACGAGTGCTCTGAATTGATGAAAAAGAAAGGGGTCCCTGCCTAGAGATAGAAGGAAGAATAGGGTTACCTTGACGGAAAGCTGCCATCAGCCGGAGCTACAAACTTCGGCTGAATCCGTGTTTAGGTTGACAATTCCCTTTCCCGGCTTTTATGTCAAACTTTTGTGGTCGTGGCGAGCAAACACTCGTAAACCGGGGAGCGGGGTTGGACACAGAGAAGAGATTGCACTTCAAAAATACGATTCATGTACGCTCTCACGTCCATTGACTGAGCAGATCAAACCGACTTGCCATTGACGCCTCCAAGATACCTCAGTGGAATGAGATGATGAGGAGGCGAGGAGCGGAACGGGTAGCATGAAGTAAGTGGAGGCCTGGGAACGGATGCAAGATATCGAGTCAACCGACGATTCAAGCTCCGATCCTCGAGGCATGTGGCAAAGGGGACTTCCAAGACCCCCCCTCCAGTCACATCCAGTGTCCATTAATGCTTGATACGATGCTGATCAAGACCCAACTTGAAATAAGGGTCTTTGATTCTCATCGTGGCAACATTAGCTGAGCGGAAGGGGTCTTTGCGATTGACAGGGGGTCGGTTGGATAGATGGATCTCTTGTGGCGGAGAAGGGGGCCTTTTGGCACGGAATGCGATTCTCTGTACCTTGTCCTAGTAGGCGAAGGGTTACTCATGGTGATTGGTTGAGGGGGGGAGAGAGGATGCACAGAAGGCTGGATGAGTTGCCCGATCCAACTCTATCCCCCAGCTTGCTGGCCCCTTTGAGCAGACCCGGCGTCTTGAAGGAGTTGCTGATTGGATTGGAGAGTAAGCCCAGGTGCTAGCCAGTCCATGCGATGCCGTGTTTCATGTCTTGAGTTCGCAACCCACTGAGCCACAAAGTACCCGAGGCGTTCTTGCTGTGCCGCTGAGGGGAATAATCGTCATCGTTCGTCATCATCCCTGCTCTTAGGCTTAGGGGCCGTTCTTGATACGAGCCCAAGTATTGTCACCAATGCGCATGTGTTGATGGATGGATGAGGTGGTGGGAGAAGGCACAAAGTCAGTAGGACGCAAAGAACCGCAGCTGGGTCGGCGGTGGGGTGGGAGCCTTTGCTCGCCTGATTAGCATGCTTTTCATGTGCTGGTGCCTGGGTGAATGATGACGAGTACATGATGATCGGGTTGACTTACGATGGAAGCAGCTCGGTGGAAGCAGATGATGGCTGTCATCCAACAAGGCCCAAGTGAGTGGTTGGTGGTCGATCTGGAGGAGCTGCGATGGAAGGAAGAACGATAGCACCCGACCACTGCCGGCATATTCAACACATCCACCGCCCTCACCGCGTGCCCAAGGACAATATCCCGGCGCATCAGCCTGGAAATCTCCGTATGGGCAAGTCTCTCCTTGATGTGGCTGTCAATCATTCGAGAGAGGATGGGAGGTCTGGCACTGCCGTGTTCCCCCGGCAGATCATGCCCGTCCAGATTGCTTGTCGTCCGCCGAATGGCCTGGCGCAGCCCTCAACGTCCCAAAGTCAAGACACGTTAAGCTCCTTTGGAAAGAGTAGGGCAGTCAATGGACTTGTCCAGTGTGGAGTAGAAGGCGAGAAGGATCATGAGCAAGTGGCAGGTCAGGTCAGGTCAGGGAGCTCACGACACATGCTTCATTTCGCGGGCGGTACTCGACTCGAGGTACTCACACTCACTACCACTGATTATCCCATAGCATCAGCATCCACTAAGCTGTATCACCAATATCATCCCCACTACTTGTTGTGTACATTGAGAAATACCCAATTCTGTCCAGCTCCGCTCCCGAACTGGCAGACTCCACTCGTCTCATATCCCTGACCCAGGTATTTCCTCTCATATCGTGCTCTACTCGCCCCCAACGTAGGTGAATCTTGTAAGAAGAGTCGAATCCGGCCTCTTGACCGGAGCAGACAAAGAACATCCCAGAGAGAAGGAGAAAGTGCTGAACCCTTGCGCGTATTTTCCAGTCAAAAATCGATCGTCCAACGCCATCATGCCAAATCATATCTCGTAGTCGCATTGCGAACTCCATTACCATCCCATGATCCAAAATGCTGCCGGCTTTTGTCCCCGGTTGGCACACGCCCATTCCCTATTCCGTTCGTAATCCCGTTGCAGAAAACCCACATTATCGCCTAATCAGGCATACCCCCTTCAACGAGGAGACCGTCTTGTTTCGAGAAGCCACAAAGGACGCCTTTATTGCATGTCAGTCGTGCTCGTTGCTGCCATTCTTCCTCTTGCCGCCGCTGAAGAGCTTCATAGCCTTCTTCCAGCCGCCACTTTCACTTCGATGCGATTTAACACTTGCCAACCCGCTTCCGCTCCCATGACTTATAGTCCCGCCCAGCTCGCTCGTTGGCGGCGTTGTCGGTGGGGTTATCACTGATTCAGCTTCTGGAAGATCGCCCACAGGGGGACTATCCGGACCTCCGCTGCTATCAGTCAATGCGCTTTCTGAGACCGCAGACGAATGTGATACGTGCGTCGACAAACGCGCCCCACTCTGCCGACCCAATGCCGACGATAACGACGAGGACTGTGTAGGCCGATGTTGCTGCGGAGGAGATCGAGTAGCTTCAAACGACACAGCTGAGGTATGCGGAGGAGATCGCCGCCGGCGCGAAGGCATCCGGCGATGCAGGCCTCGCTCGTCATATGTCAGCCGTGAAGGCTCTAGTTCAGCCATGTCCGCGAATTCCGACATAGGCGTATATGTCTGGGCATGAGACATCTGTTTGAGACTGTTGCAAAATGGGATGAAAATCGAATCCGACATCAAGTCGTACATGCGCTTGACTGCAGCGTCCAGATAGTCAGGCCGAGGGGGTCTGATATCGTAGGATCTTTCGATCAAATCATCCCGTTCCTCTGCCGGCAAATTGATTTCCCGCGGAGCACCTGGCTTGACATAGATTTCGAGAATCCGTGTCCAGTCCTGTATCAATTCCCATCCTTCCTGCGTCTCTACTGTGAGGGGCATGCCTCCCATGCTGGCTGACGCCTCATCGTACTTGTTCGAGTATCTCTTGGCCTCTGTGGTGAATTCAAGCGTTTCTAGACAGTGTTGCTGAGATAGAAATGCTGTATACGCGGCTAGGGTGTAAGGTGACGGTGCCTTATTGTTGAGCACATCGTCCAAAGTCGGTCTTCCTCCGGGTGATAGGACACCTTCTTTTCGAGCTGCCATACTGATGGGCCGTGCCCGAGGTAACTCTTCCTCGGACATGGTGAAGTCTTCAGGAATATTGACCAACGGATAAACCAGAGGTTCAAGACGAGGTGAAGGTTCAGGTGTATATGGCCACGCGATTGAGGTTGATTTCTTCTTAACCATTGCGCTGGACTTCGCCCTGAGTTGACCGCTGCTTGACTGAAGATACCTAGACAGAGGTGTTATGTCGCACGCCTTGTGCCCAATCCTGCCAGAAGTGTGTACTCTGTTCCAAGCAATGCTTGCGGAGACTGGGACTGGAATTTTTGGACTGTAGCCTTCTTGGCCAGGGTCACAGTACTTTTTCAGTCAAAGTTCTCAGTGCGCCAGTATCTTTTTCCACGGCAATGGGCGACAAGGGTGTGGTCCTTGAGTTGTACAGGGACCCTGCCAGATAGAAGGCTGTTCCGCTGTGTATATCCGAGACTCTTCCCGCCAGCAAGCTTCGCTTCGTGTCACAGAAGAACGCAGTGTAACCACGACAGGGGATCTGTAGGAATGTCTCGGCTTGTGAAGCGCCAAATGTCGGGCTGGAACGTGGCCTTGAATGCGACGAGAAGGGCGGTATTTGGCTGGTTGAACGGGCCTGTGTGGGTGTAAACGTGGCGGAAGGGTATGCGTCGTGTGCTCGGTTGGTGCTTCGTTCGAGAAGACGTCAACGGGGTGATCAAAGCGTCCAATTGAAGTGAAGGCCGGCGAGATGCAACAGGTGAGAGACGGAGACGGTGAGGGTGTAATTAGTTGTCCGGGTAAGACAGTATTTTGACAATCAGAAGATCCTAAAGAGCGACGGGAGAAGGACAAACAGCGCAGCCGCAATGCCAATTCAGCACAAACATTTGATTTCCCAGATGCGTCGGAATGTTCCAAAGGGAGGTTGAAGAAGAAAATGGCGCCTATAGGAGTGTTTGGAAGCGTTGTCTGAATCTTTTGCCTCTGAGCTTAGTGAGATCAGGGCCCGGGCACAGTCATAGTGACGGGGCGGTGGAATGAGGACAATGGTAAGAGGTGACAGTGAGGTGGATGATAGATGTGGATGCCCAGGATGCTGGGTGACCAGAAGGAATCCGGAAAGTGGAGAGGGCTTTTGAAAAGATGCTCTGCGCAAGGTTTAGCTAAGAGTCATACTCTTCTGTCGCGGAGTGTCGAGGTTTTCCTTTCAGCGCAGCAGCAGCGCAGGCGCAGGCGGAGGCGAGACGATGGGTGGATTTAGATGAGGAACAGAGTCAATAACCCGGAAAGTTCTGGGTCTGCTGGGTTCAATCGACGTCGTATGGAGGGTGTTAGTCTTTTGCTAGCGGTCCTTTCGTGTCAGGCTTGACAGGCTGCTGTATTTTCTCCTCTTGGGCTGGCAATTCTGAATTGAGGGACCCAGGATATCCAGTCAGGGGCGGGAGGAGGGGGGTTGGTGGTTGATGGGGATGGGAGCGAGCGTGCATTAGAAAGATGAGGATCAGGATACGCGCATGGGCCGCAGGCAACCAGGGCGTAATACTTGTGTCTAGGGCGCAGGCGTAGGCGCAGGCACTGACACGACAAACCAGAAGACGCAGTTCAGTGACCATCAGTAGGTAAAGGACGAGTACAGAAAGAACAAGAGGTTCGGACCAGCTGCTGCAACGCTGTTCGTTAGCCCCAAGGAGCCTTGCCTTAAGCACCACTAGTTGCCTGGGCTAAATCAGGCCTGCAGCTCAATGGGCCCCTGTCCAAGCTTGCGGATTGGCTGCTCGGGGCGCATCATGATGGGATGATGATCAAATGAATGCCCACGGGGAGGGGTCCCCTACCACGCCTAAGGCACACAAACCAAGATGCGAAGGATCCCGGGCACCAACTCTAAGAGATTGCGGCTGCCATATGCCTACGACGACCCCCTAAATGCTGCTGACGACGGGGGGCAACGCATAGGGCTGCGAGGGCATTGGGTTTTGGGCAACAAGGTGATCAGGCAATGCCTACAGCGAGCCTACCGCGAACCTATGCGCTCATGTCCTTTGCTCTTACGTACCTGTTTCCTCGCCTCTAGCCAGCCCCCGATCGCCCCCGCCTGATTGGCTTCTAGGCGGCCTTCGCAGGCTTCTAGCAATTCGCTCAGGCTTCTACGCACATTCCACACGCTTTCTCTCCGGCTTCCACCATCTTTCCACTGTCTTTCCTCGGTCTTCTACGCGTTTTCCAGAACTCCGCCCTCCGACCTCAAGCAGTCACCTGCCCCTTTCCATTGCCCACCACTTGTTTGGGCCACACGGCTACTTGACGAACTGCATCATTTCGCCGCGCCTTTGCAAAACCCCCATTCAGAGACAGAAGGAGAAAGGAAAAAAAAACCCCCCCAAGTCCCCGTGGTCCTCTCCCCTCTGCCCCGCTACCATCACACATTCCAATCCTGGCAGCCTGGGCGACGGCGACGATTATTGGAGTCACCCGCAATTATTACGACCCTTGATTGGGAAAAGTTTCTCGCCATGGCCTTCCCTGGATAACGAGTCGTCGGTTCGTCTCTCTCCTCTGGCCGCTGCTGGGTGGCTGCGCTGTCCCCAAAGGATTAGGGACTTGGGTTACCCGGCATTCCCTAACACCCATGGCTCCCGCCGCCCGGATTTTGTCAAAGCCAAACAAACCTCGCTTGATCCTCCTCATAAGGGCTGCCACTCTGCGCCTTTTCTCGCTTGGGCTTACCCAAGGCCTTCCTTCCCGCGCCTCACCGCCCCCTACCTAGCCGTGTCATCTATCTAAATCAGCCACAATGCTGCCCACAATCGAAAATATCCACGAGCACCGGACGTGCGAGAAATATATTATTGCCCTCGACCACCCACATTCTTCCGTTGTTTCGCCATCGCTGGGACACCAGTCGAACGACTTGCGCCGGGTGGCCAGTGGAAAAGATGGGTCAGCTGCAACGTGGTTACTTTTGGCAGGTGGCGACGGCTATCATTTGTGGAAGTTGTACCCCCGAATAGCGGTCACCGAATTTCCCCTGACACAAGTAGTTTGCTGGCGATCGGAACGAGCAGCAGAAGATGCAGCCACGGACGAAAGGCTCTCTACCTATCTACCTATCTTCCCACTTGTCGGTGCGTATACTAAATTCTGCCCTGATTGCACCGCAGATCTCTTCTCCTAGACCTGGTCCGGTCAAGTTTCGATTGAAAGCCAAGCGCGTCTGGCGATCAGTATTGAAGTCATTGCTCCACTTCTGGAAAGGAACGGCCGGTGATGTACGGAATAAGTCAAATGGCTGGAGTGACCTGTTGTTTGAGATTTTCCCTCGACTCCACAAGACATTCAAGACAACGACGTCCCAGCAACCACTCATCTCCTTTCGTGCGCAAAACATTTGCTCTCCCCAGCATTCCGGAAAATTAGATCGTGGCGACGGCGGACCTCGCTTGCGGGCTTCTTTCATTCTTCTGGAAAATTGCCTAGACAAGGAATCTACCCATTTCGCCGCTTCTTCCGGATTTGGTGCGACATCCGGCCGTACGCAGACACGTGGGCATCTTGATGCTACAGCAATCCATCACCGGCGCTGCTTCGGACCACCGGCGCCAGGGCTATCGTCCAAGGACAGGCGGTTGCTCGCACCAGGATGATCTTCCGCCAGCAACATCCTCGTAGTTTATGGCACCTCCGTAGGAACCGTCGTCAAACTGTGGCTTTGGGCATGGCTTCCCACGTCACCCTGCTCCGCTGTGAACGTTGCAATTCAGGCTGGGTTTGATCCACCCCTCATTGACCACATGGCTTTACCTAGGTCACGGTGACAGGTGAGGACAGACAGTCTCTGTCGGTGGAAACGTGGCAGAAAAATTTCCCCCAAGGACTGACTTCCTCATCTGTCTTTTTTGTTCTCAAATGGAGCGCCGTTCACTTGGATGCGGTGACAAGGTCCTCTAACGAGATTTGTGAGATTGACATCCCAGCCAAGGCGCTGAATGAGATCGCGCATATTTTGCCACTCTTGTCGATGTTCCCGGAGAGTGTCAATGATTAATTGAACAACTGGGTCAAGCGCATCGTGCGAGTGCAAGGACTGATCATGGACGTTGAGGTTCTTCCCAGGAATGGAAGATAGTATGTTCAGCTCAGGACTCGGTGTGTCTCTGAAAACCTCTTGAGGGCCTTGGCCAGGACCATGTTGCTGCGATGGTTTCCCAGTTTTCGTGGCTGCTTTCAACCCCATCGATATTCGAAGCAGGTGGCAGACTGCCTTTGCCTGTGTTTCGCTCTTGGCCGATTCTTTCAGCAGCACGAATCCTTGGTTTGACTGCCCATCCCACCAGAGCAGATAATCTTCCTCTTGGAATACCCCTAGCAGCTGAGCAAAATAAAGATATTTTCGCGAGGAATCATTCACATGGCCAGGTAAGTGTTGCAGAAACTTGGTCACGCTGACACCAACTTGGAAGGCGTTCTGATCATTGGAGCCACCGAACATCTTCCCCAAGCCCAGGATCGGTTCCTCTTCGCCTACCTCATTTGGACCTTTGGCCCTGCCCTGGAGAAGCGCGCTGAACAGAATAACGGCTCTGTGCTTGTTGAGCGAAGTCAGGCGCACACTCTGCACTGCTTTCCAATTCGCCCACAGATGCATTGCTAGCAGAGGTATCAAGCAGCACCAAGTCTCGAAGGTGCCCTGCACCTTGCTGACAAGCAAGCCGCCGGCCCACATCCCGACCAAGCTGACGACAGTCTCCTGGCTGCCATCTTTGGCATTGAGTTCTCCGATATTGCCTTCTCTTGCAAAGTGGGAGCTTAAAATGGCCTTGCTGCTCCCGCCAGAGACGCCGCAGACGGCTCTGCACGCATTGCTGACACAAAGAGTGCAGATTCGCCCTAGCAGTGGCAGACCAGGGCTCAGGCAGTCAAGAATGAACGCTATATCATTGACAATATCGGCAAAGAAGCGATAGAACTTGACTTCTGCTTCGATCTTCTGCGAGAATTGGTAGGCGAACAAAATCGTGGCAACCCGCCCGATGGTTTCTTGTGCAATGTACAGTAACATGGTGGTCACGAGCGAGGCATCCTCGGAGCCCACACCCATTCCCACGAAGACGGCCCGTGAGGCTAGCAATCCTGCAATGGTAGAGGCAAACGCCTGCACGGAATCGTAGATCTGGTAGGGAGTGTAGTCCGGTCGGACAGAAGAAGGATAGCCCGCTGGCAGGAAGGGGCTCATGCATTTCGTGAGCAAGGATGTCTTGGGCGACAACGCCCTCTGTGGATGATGGACTTGAAGCTTCTGGGTTCTGGGATCATATCTGAATGTAACCGTTGCGTGGCCCTCCGAATCCAAGTCTTGAACCTCAAGATCTGGCACTGATTGCGTGGCCATCTCTTCCCGGGTGAGACAGGCCGTCCTCGGGCAAAACAGAGATCAAGTCGACTTCCGCGTCAACGAAATCCACGGAGGGCTCAGACGCAATATGGGAGAACAGAAAATAGGGTAGCTCGGCTCCAAAAACTTCCAATGTGAGATGAAGGATGGTGGCTTGTAGTTGAGGTGAAAGGAGCGCCTTGATGCCGTGATCCCCCGTATAGATCTTACGGCGAAGCACAGAGACTGCACCCCGACATCGAACTGTCTTCTGACATCTTCTGCCTCTGTGCTTCGTAACCGGCCACCGTCAATGCGTCGGATTCACAAACACCTCATCGCAAGTGCAGCGAGCTCCTGATATTACGTCCAAACTCGGTCGGTGCATTGATGACCCTGTAGAGGCACCGTTGGGACGATCTCACTCGTGTCCTCGACTGGCTGCAACAATGCTTTGGAGGACAACATTCCAAGAAGTTGTATTTCTGCTTAACACTGAGCTAACTCGTCTCAGGACAAGCCATAACGATGGCCATATTGGAGCTGGAATGGCCTGCACAGACTGCAGTGGCGCCTTCTCGAGGCTGCCCGTCGTTCTTTCCTCCATAATCCCGGTCCGCAGTTGAGCATTTCTGATCTGGTCTTCCCATCATGTCCGAGTCATCAGCACTTGATCCATATTATCCTGTTTCTTTACCATTTGGCGTCCCAGATGCTTTCCTCTTGATTCATGGCACAAAACTTACCAGCCCTACATACCTTCATCTTTTCATTCCATCGGTGTGACCTGCTTTTTACTTGCTATTGAACAACATGTGTACTCTGAAGCACCTCCTTTCGCCTTTTCTCTGCTGCTTTGGCGCCCGCCCTTCCGAAGACCACACGGCCTCAGACCTTCAGACCCTTCCTTCTGCCCTTTCAGTGCAACTCCCGCCTTCACAGATCCCGCACGCTGTCAGTCAACCGGGTTCACATACGGCAGATAAGGAAGCCCTTCGCGACCTTTTCCGCTCCTCATCTTCGGTCCGCGGCTACCGAACTGCCTCTCTACCGTCAGGATCGAATCTCCGAAGAGAGCCGTCCTTGGACACTGGTTTTCAATTTGGGTCGCAAGGTCAACATCGGAAACAGCCTAGCCGGTTAGAGCAGTTGGGAAATCACATTAAGCAAAAGCTCTCTGAGTCGAGGCTGAGCAAAAGCAGCTCGAAACCCCAAATCGCATCCGAGGACACTGCTAATGATTCAACAAGATGTGGCAATGCACACTTGGGAATGAGTGCCCCTGAGGGGATGCTGAGCCAACGATCTACTGGTCTCCTCGAGCTTCTCATGTCGCGGACTGCTAGTCAAGGCGGCTATGACAGCGATGCAAAAAGCATCCAGACGGCCGCATTGAAGGCGAGCGATGGCACAATTAAATACAGTCCGCGAAGAGTACTGAGTCTATCTTCACCGGCTGACATTCAACCCATTGCCACCGACGGCCCCCCGCCGTCTCCTACAAACAGTCTCGCCCCAGAGGTCCCTCATGTCCAAGCCGATAGCGCAAAACATCCTTCCACTCCTTCCACTCCTTTCACTGCATCGGATGCCTCCTTTACAAAAGTGGTCCAGGCTGCAGATGACGAAGCACCTTTTCAGGCCCCGAAGCATCTCAGCGGCCGAGTATTGGATGGCACCATCGAGCTCGCAGAGGCATCGGAGTCCAGCACAATGCCTCCTTTTGTCGCCTCCGAGGTTTGGGAGCATGATCCATTTACTAGTTCTCCCTCGAAAGACCATGCTGTGTCTGGACACAATGGTGAAGAATTTGCTGAAGTGCTCAGGACGCTAGGGAATACTGTATCCGTTGCCAAAAGAGAGAGTCAGATCTCCAATGCGACAGGTCCACGAGCCAGCTTGGTGTCGGATTTGGATCCAAAATTGCTCGATTTCATTTCGAAATATGGCGAGCGCCCATCGACTGATATTGCAGGAAGAACGTCCGATGATAATGCTGCTGCGTGCGTGATCAAATCGAATTCAATGACCATCGCCGACAGAGATCCTTTTAGCGCTTCAATGCCTGGGAGAGAAGGCATCTCCAGGAAGGATCTTTCTTCGGTCGCCGGTTCTGACCAGAGCTCGGTGCATCTGTACAATATGCGAATCTCTCAACAGCTCGCCAGTCCTTCCTTCATTGCTGCTTCCTCCAGACCGAACACTAGCCACACAACCATCCGAGCGCCAAGAGAGAACTCTCTAGATTTTCGCCCTTCAACCAGCCAGACATCTATAGCGGGCAAAAGCAGGGGTCTTATCACAGTTGAGCACAACAGAAGGCCCTCGGATCCTGAAACTAAACGACTCTTCGAAGGTGACTTGGCTAGACGACGGGCATGCTCCAGCCGGAAACCTGGCACTTCACCAGCCCGGTCCACTGCATTCGGAAGGCCCAAGCCCTTCACAGGCACCGGAGATGCCTCATCATTCTGCTTGAGTGACGGTGAGGTTGACGACATTGGACCGTCTAAGCGAAGTACACACAAGAGAAATCCAAATAGCATTGCAATTGGTGGAAGATCAGAGTCCATTAGCTTACCTATAGGATCTTCAAGCGCCAGCATCGGCAACCTGTCAGTTGCAGAGGAGAGTGCCTGGTTCAGCAGGAAATCTTCACAGCAGAATCAAGTGGCTGAACAGGCGGGCCGGGTTCGAGGGTCCGCTACGAGGAATAGAAGTGTCAGTATGCCAGATCAGAGTAATGTGGATTCCCGCCCGCAACTCGCTCTTCCTTCGCGGCAATTTAAGCATTCAACCGAAGCCAACGAAGCAATGAGCGAAATCAGCACCGATCAATTACAAGACGCTAGGAGAGAACATTTGACGGAAATCAGTGTCCAAGCCGTTCGGGACGCACACAATGAAAGGATGAGCGCAATCGAACCTCCAGTCGACAGCTATATCACCACAGCCCGGCCAGATTCATGTAGCCAGCGGTCATTTGTCACATCTCATACGAGACAGTCACCACCGTTTTCGAAAACCTCTGTTACTGGACGGCGTTCAAGGTCGGAAGATGGAGGTACGGCGAGATCGGTCTACGATGGCCCCAACAAGTTTCAAGAGTCTGCCACCGATATGTGGCAGAGGTCGTTCAAACGAGCTATGGAAGAGCCTGAAGAAGATACACTAGGTGGTTTTCTCACATCGCCAAGATTTGACCGTGACGGCAGACGAAGAAGTACCAGGTCGAGCATCAGTGCAGGACAGCTATCTCATCATGGCCACCGCAACTCGGACGTGGAAAACGACCTGGATTTTCTGCAAGAGACCCAAATCCAGAACGAATCGTCTAGGCTCGAAGAGAATCGTCGTCTTCAGGTCTGCATAAAAAAGCCTGATCCACTGCCATCTGTGAACCCCAGACGAAGCATTGCGAACATTGATGCGGCCAAGGAGACACCCAACACTTTGCCAGGCAAGAAGGCATCCAGAAAAAAGAGTATATTGGATATTGGAAGACGGTTCACAGTCATCGGAGCTTCCGGCGAGAATGGGCGGGCTTCGGGGGCAAGCACTCCACTGAAGGATCTCTTCGGTCTCTGGGGACGCTTTCCTAGCCATACGAGGGAAGAAAGATGCGGTTCGGCAGGACCAAAAGACGGTATTGCCGTACGAGACTTCGCTCTCGACTATCCAGATGAAAATACGCCTTCATCTCCGTTCCCCCGGACGCCGTGGACCCGCCCCACGACGGCACGAGGGTCACAAACTCCTGGATCTTGGAAGATGCTGCAATTTGGAAAACATGACGGTGGGGCTAAAGCCAAAAACAAAGTTATACGAAGCACGCAGTCCCTAGGTATGCGGCACAAAAAGAGCCGGAAAGGACTCGCCGGAAGATGGAAAAGGCTCTATCGCAGCAGCAGCACTGAATTCAGAGCGTACGCGCACACTCACGGACATCGGAGCAGCATAAGCGTTGGCGCTGGTGTGGAATATCCAGAGCTTGAAGTGATCGCTGGGGCTGAATGTCGGATTGGTGGCTGTGAGGCGTTTGACTGGCGACCACATGTGGATGGACCTGTGGAAACTGAACCCCTCCAGGAGTACCAAGTGGTACATCGTTCGCGAGCTTGCTCCCCAGAACCATTGGATACTCAACCTTGGACTCGCATGTATCAAGATTGTGTTGGGAGCCTCTCAGCCTTGAAGAGCGATCCCAACCTGAAATTGGACGGTCTAGGGGGAGGGCCTGATCGATTATATGACCGGCATCTCACCAGTGAGAGTGTGCAAAGCGGAGAGTTGAGGGACAGCACCGTCGATTTCGAACAACAGCTTGGGAAGGAGCACGAGACAGTCAAAACCGGCCTTATGCGCAAGATTGAGGGTATGGACCAGAGTGAGGAGCGATTGGGTGTCCACGCAAGATCCTCAGTCGAGACTTAACAAGCACGAGCAGACTATGCTTTGCAGCAGAGGTAGCTAGTATGAGTTAATGGACTATAGGTTAGTCGTGGGGAAGTACGGCATTCTAGGTGGCGGCGATAGAAAAGCAGAGATACAAAGGCATCAGCAAGATCGAAAGCACTTGATTTCATTTTCCATTTCGACTATGGAATGACACTCTTTGTGTCGTATCGTGTCAACGATAACTGTGGATGACGCACCTGAGTGTGTCTGCTGTGAAAAGCTCCGGATATCCACCCGACGGCAAACCATGCATGAGATATCCTGAATCGTAGGTGACGACGATTCTGACCGACCCTCCGGAAATCCACTTGCTGAGCCGAATCATCGCCACATAAGAGAGCAATGGACGAGAATGACATGAGACCTGTGGTAAGAAGCCCCCTAGGCGTATCTTTCCATCCCCATCCCGTCGCATCACATGAGCTATGACATAGGCGTAAGAACTGTAGCAGAATCCAAGACTCTCCTCACTAAGCATCAGGTCAGGTTAGATCAGGTCAGGTCAGTTGACGTTCTACCTCACAAGACGAACCAGGCTGCGACGGCGAGGAGCAACAACGCAGTCAAGGTGTGCACGGTCAGACGGGTCACCGAAGAAGAAGTTGAGGACGATGACGACGTCGTGATGGTGGTGACTGGGCTGAATGTGTGGGTGCTGGTCTCGCTGGCGGTGGTGTGCGTTCTCAAGAAGCTCGTCACGGTCGGGTGCAAGGTTGTGCTGCTGTTGGCGGTGATGGTCGTGGCGTTGGCTACCGTGCTGCTGGTGATGTTGGGGAACGGCATGGTGGTGTGCAGGGGCACAGAGGCCGAGGCAGGGATCACTGTGCCAGTAGTGGTATTGGTCAAGGACAAGGTCACGTTCCCAACAAGAGTGGCAGAGCTGATAGTGACACCAACAACGGACCCAGTTGGAAGACTCGCGCCAGGAATATGCGGCGTCAGCACCGTGGTTGCGGTAGTGATCGTTGAGGAGTTAGCAGGATGCGCACCAGGAACCTGGGTCGTCGTGGTAGCTGTCACGGTCGAGGTGCTCAGCAATGTGGTGGTCAACCAGACAGTAGAGTTCGCTGTCAAGCTGCTGGTCTCATTCAAGCGTCCGGTGCAGTTGCACGGTGCAGTTGAGATGGAAATAGAGACCGAGACTGAGACACCAGGAGTGGCGGTCATGCTGGGTGGGGGTGGAGCAGTAACTGGCTCAGGCGGTAGGAGTTCAGACACGGCTCTGACGAAGGTCTTTGGCTTGACAAGGTCGAGGACCATCAAGAAGCGGGTGACTAGACCAAAGATACTGGGAACGCGCACCGAGGATGCTGCGCCGGTCATGGCTGGAGTGTAGAGCGAGACTGATGACGATGCTTGAGATCCAGATGCCGATGTGGGCACAACAGGAAGCGACACTGACACGTTGCTTGCGACGGTGGAGGTGCTAGTGTTATGGCTCTCGCTGGACATGACAACGGACAACAAGGGCACACCAACAGGGATTGTAGAAGGCAAGAATGTTGTTGCTGATTCCTTGCTTGGAATGGTGTCGCTTGTGTTAAAGCGGTCAATCGCAGTCACAGTGTTATCAACAACAGAAGTGGTGGTGGTATTGACATAAACCGGGACAGTCACTGTGAAAGTCATGCCGGCACTGTTTGCAGTCTCAGTTGCCTCAACGGTAGTGTAGACTGTGATGGTGGTAGCGTCTGCACTTGCGGTCTTGGTTGCAATCTCCGATGTGGCCTCACTGAGGATGGAAGAAGCAGCGCTGAGAACTGTCTCGAGAGGTGTGGCAGTGGTTGTGGTAGCGACAGTCTTGGTTGCAATCAATGAAGAAGCATTGCCGAGGAAGGAAGATGCTAGGCTCAAAACTGAGTTGACGGGCTGAACAGTTGAGGTGGTAGTCATTGTAGCAGTCTTGGTTGCAATCAATGAAGCATTGCCGAAGAAGGAAGTTGCTAGGCTCAAGACCGGGTTGACTGGCTCGACGGTCGTGGTGGTAGTTGTTGTGGCGACCATCAGTGTGGCAGTTTCCAGTGTGGAGTTGATAGCACTAACTGTCGCAGAAGTCTTTGGCAATGTGAGCGTCGTTAGGGTTGTGGTAGTGCTTGTGCTTGTGCTGCCACCAGTATGGTTCCCAGTGATGCTGTCGAAGGCAGACGTTGCGACACTCATGGCAGACGACAGTGGTGGGGCCGAAAAAGGGAAGCTAGTCTCGAAAGTCCCGTTGACGAAGAATGGCTTCGAAGTGTTCACAACAGTCGTGGGCAGAGCAACCGACGTGATGGTGCCAAGGTGTGCGGTGCTGGTCACGGTGAAGAGGGAAGTCAAGTTGTGAGTCGAAGACCCGGCGACTGAAATGAAGCTCCCATCACCGCAGGTGGCATTCGGGAGACCCGAAGCACAAGGCGGACTAGCAGTGACGAGTGGGAATGTCAAAGTGAGAGAGCCGGGGACAGATGCTGTCTTGGTTAGTATATGACAGAGAGTGAGGCAGCGCAGTTTGGGAACTTTGGTCACTCACCACGCGTGATGTTTCCACTCGCACCGCTGGAGACGGCAGGACCGGTAGCAGAGACAGTACTGTTGACTATTGCTTTTGTGAGTTTCCTAATCTTGACGCGTCTCACGGTGTCCTTTAGTATCTTACCATAAGAAGTGATCTTAGTGGTACTTGTCAAGGTAGTGGCAGAACCGGAGTGAACAGAATCAACAGCTGCGCAAGAATTAGCTTAGGGCCTTTTGGGGGGGGGGGGGGGGGTTTCTCATAGTCAGAAGTAGCATACCTGAAGTGGACTGGGAGCTGGTCTCATTTCTGACAGTGATTGTGTCTGTGACCGTGGCTGTAGTAGCAGTGATTCCAGGGTAGGTGGTGCCAGAGACGTGAGTGAAGTTGAAGCCATCGAAGGACTCAGTCATGGTAACAGTCATCGGGCCAGAGACCAAGGAGATGGTCTCGGTGATGGTTTTGAAGACTGAAACAGTTGTGGTCATGTTTCCACAGGACTGAGCATCAACAATGGTGACAAAGACCGCGAGCGCGTAAGTGACGACGAAGACTATCGCGTCCCAAGTGGTAGTGGTCGCCATGATGGGCAACGGAGGTGATCTTGAACGAATGTAAGGGCGTAGAGAACGAATGTAGGATGATGAACGGATGGAAAGGTGATGATTCGGGAGAGATGTTTTTGGGATGAAACCAAAACACCGCAGGCTGGTAGAATGTGGGTTTTGTAAAGGGCGGCAGCGACTTCACGGCCTCACCTTGGCACGAAATGGAATAGCATTCGGATGACCTGCTTTTCCTGGCTGGGTGACTTGAATTCACGTTTTGAGAGGAGGATAGAGACTCTTGCCATCTTCCTTCCTTGAACACACAAGGAAATGAATAGACCTTTGCCTGTATACGAGCCAAATCGTGCATTGAGAACCCCCTGTGCTGTAAGTTTGTGACCCCATGATTTCACAGCCTTGTCTTTAGGTATGATGATTGACGTTCGCGAACTGACATTCTCCAATATCCGGAGATGAAACCTGTGAAAACGAGTGAAGGGCTTGCTCAACTCCAGAAGATCTGATGCTCCTCCATAGCAGCAAAGGCTGGTGAACCAAGTCTCGGACATTGGGACTTGGACGAGCATATGTCAAGCTGTGATATACCGGCTGGGTTTGGCCAGCAAACAAGAGCAAAAGTCAGAATACTCACCGTTGTCCCCAGGAGTATTCCCTCCATCTGTGGACATGACACCGTTGGGACACAGCCCCTGACCAGATATGTCGGTAGGCCACAACATCGAGACACCTTCATGCAATAGGCAAGGGATCTTCTTTTGACTCTCCATTTGTCTCCATCTTGGTTGGCCTTTCACTATTACATATACAGCGTTCAATGCAACCGGCTGTGTGTGCAGCGATGTTTTCGGGGTTTGCATGACATGCACACCACCAAGCTCCACGCAGAATTCCGCGTCTTCATCTTGTCTTTTTCTTTTCAGCATACGAGGGATCACGCTGGAGAAGCAGCTGTTTCTTTGGCTTGCTTGAGGGTAATGATGTCTCTCGTGTAGGGTGATGATTGCTTAGCCTTTCAATGTGTTGTGTAGGCTGTTGCTGCCTTCAGAAGTCTGGGTCAACGTGGACTATATAGCAGGGCTATGCACTGATCAACAAGCTGATGAGATGACCACAAAGTCCCTTGAGAAAGGTTAGGTCTAGGGTTGTTGCATGGGCTGAACCGAGTGAATCAGGAAGAATGGATAAAGAGGAGATCAAGGGTCGTGCCTGGGCATCAACAACCGGTGCCAAGGAACCAAGACATTCCACCAGGGCCACCTTTCCCTCCTCGGCGGCAGCAAGGCATCATCGCGCTCATCCTACATCCTGGAACATTCGATGGCAACCTGAAGGAAACATCGGAGCGACTGTTCTCTGCCACTATTGCACAAAGACACTACTGGTGCTGTGATGTTTCGATACATGGTAGGAAATACAAAAGATGATTGATTGATCCAACAGCAGCCATCCAAAAGAACCACAATACTTCGACAGTGACAGAACGACGGTAGAGTCAAATGCACAATGTCCTCTCACGATCACTATCATGATCATGATCATGACCACGGTCATGGCCATGGTGGTGGTCACGAACACGATCATTCTCACGACCTCGAGCCGGCCCTGCAATCGAACCTCTACAAACAAATCAACTTCGAAGGCGTCATTACCCTCAATGAGGCGGAACCGCGCTCGGGAGCGGCGATTGTGCAAAAGAGCTGGGATGAGCGACTCAATGATCAGCCCATCCTCGAAAGTGATGCAGACGAACAGCTGCTGATGCATGTGCCGTTTGCTGGATCATGCAAGCTCTACTCCATCATTATCCGCACATCAGACACCGACTCGGCGCCGCAGACCCTCAAACTCTTCCGTAATAGAGACGACATGGACTTTAACCTCGCATCCGACCTGAAACCGACGCAGAAGCTGACCCTTCCCAAAAGCAATGACGTGGCCGAGATTCCCTTGAACCGGGCTCTTTGGAACGGCACAACCTCAATCAACCTCTTCTTCGAGGACAACCATTCGGGTGGGGAGGAGGACGTCACTCGCATCAGCTACTTGGGGTTCAAGGGGGACTTCATGGCACTCAACCGGGAACCGGTTCATGTACTGTACGAAGCGGCGGCAAATCCCCAAGATCATAAGTTGATTCAGGGGTTGATCAACACCAACCAGTCCATGCCGGGTCAGTGAGAGCATCGGCGAGGCTTCAAAAGCACTCCAGGGATCCCAAAAGCATTTCGTAATAGACGCTAAAATGCATCATAAGTGTACTACCATTAACCGCAATCATCAAAGTGTGTTTCTGAATCATCAAGCCTCCAAGGCGACTCGTCTCTGCCGCGCCCTTTCCTTTTGCTTTTGTATGCGCTCCTGTTCCAGCTCCAGCTCCGTCTTGGGCACTTCCGGGAGAGTGCCCTCGCCCAGGATCGTCTTGTTGGGCGCGTCGGGGAGCCCGACGACCTCTCTCTCCAGGGCCTCGAGTTCATCCTCGACCTCGTCCTCGTCCTCGTTGGACATTTGGCCCGCCAACGCCTCGCTGATCTCCTGCTGATAGCGCCGGGCCTCCTCGGTCTCGCCCATCATCTTCTCCACGCCCTCCAGCCCGCCCATCTCCTTGTGGATCATGTTCAGCACCTGCGTGCCCTGCTGCAGCCCGAAGAGCACGTCTTTCTGCACCAGCGCGAACTCGACGCTGCTGGTCAGCTTCTCCAGCTGCTCCAGCTGCGCGTCCGTCTTGGAGAGCAGCGACTCTTGGTATTTCTTCCGCCGCAGGGCCAGGAGCGCCCTGGCCTTGTCGCCCTTGGCCAGGCACTCCTTTGCGATCTCGGTCTCGCGGGTCGTGATGACGGTGATTCGCTTTTGGTACTGCCGCAGTTTGTCCCGCTGGTTTTTCATATCCAGGATAGCCCTGGAGAAGAGAGGACGTGGGTTAGCCGTTGTTGGCCAGGGAAAGATTGGACCGTTGGTCTGCTGCGGTCACTTTACCTGTCCTGCGCCGAGATTTTGTGCGCGCTTTGAGAGTTTCCCATGGTTGCCGCATGGCCGCCTGTGCCGCGGACTTTGGTCTGTCTGGCAGGCTCGAATTGCTTTTGAAAAGTAGATAGTGTACTCCGTGTATCTGTTGAGGTCGATCTGAGAACGGGCATGCTGCTCGCCTGCACTTTCGGGAGCGGAACTACGTAATTCCCAACGGAATTGCTTGTTTGGGTTAGCCTGTATGTGGACAGCGTGAGCATTCCCTCCCAAATGCTTCACGCACCTAGGGGGCAAGGCTGGATTAGTCCACGGCTCGAAAAAGATGGAGGATGTTGATGTGGAGCATAAATATCTGTTCTGGTGATTGATTCCCACTTTCGTAGTATACTATCGCAAGGAGAGATCTACAATCCTCCCTCACAATCTTCCCCGAGGGTCCCTGGAATATCTCTCGCCACACGCTGCACTGTCTCTCTCGTCCACATACATAATGGTCCACGTGCTATCGAGATATATGCATGCTCCTGTCATCCTTCTGTCAATATACGTCTTCCCTCGGCTGACAGACGTAATGTGGATCGTCAGTAGTGTGAGCTATCAAAAGGAATGAATGTTCGAATGATCCCAATCGAAGTCTCATGTCCTTATCCTCACGAACCCCAAAGATCGAACACCACCTCCGTTGTCGATTCCAACCGTTGAATCAAAGTCAATATGCTGCCAGCGCAACTACAACCACCACGGGCCAGCAACAGGACGGCCCCCGCCGGCGTGATTCGTGACGACCCGGAAAAGAATCCAAACTCGCTCCACGACTTCCACGCCGCCAAACGAGGGCCTAGGAATGTCCCAGCAGTCGTCACGTCCACGCCGGCGTCGAGTAGAGACAACATTAGCAACGCCACACAGAAAGGGAGTGCGCCCAAGGACCCAGGCCATGCTTACGCGCACACGGAACATATCAGCTTCGAATACTTGGACCAGCGCGCCTCCAATGCTCCCTTCGGATACGAGCACTTCGTCTCGCTCCCGCCAACGTACGACGACGACCCGAACAAGGCGTGGCCGCTGATCCTCTTCCTGCACGGCGCGGGGGAGTCGCAGCGCAGGCGGCACGAGTCCTTCGCTTCCCTGCGCCACGGCGTGCCGAAGGTTATCCTCTGCTACGACAAGCTGAGGTCCAATCCGGCGAATGACACGCCCGCCATCGACATCCCCCCGGCCCCGCGGCTGCGGCGAAGCAAGCAGACGAAGCAGGGCGATCACTCCGCGGAACCCGTGCCGAGGGAGGCCTGTGAGCTGTTGGCCGAGAACTTCGTCACCGTCACGCCGTCCCTGGACATGGACAACGGGTATGGCTGGAACGCGGCCATCCTGTCGGCCCTGCTGGACGAGATTGTCGATCGCTATCGCGTGGACCACGACGGGATCCATGTCACGGGCTTCAGCATGGGCGGCTACGGCACCTGGGATCTGGCCATGCACTCGCCCCATCGGTTCGCGACGCTGGCCCCGGTCTGTGGCGGTGGGGATCATTTGCGGGTCAGTCATATCAAGCATGTGCCGCACTGGTGAGCATTGCTCTAAAAAAAACAGTTGTCTGGGATTGCTAATGGTGATGCAGGGTTTTCCATGGCGATCGAGACGACATTATCCCTGTACGGGCGTCGATTCAGATGGTCGACGCTCTGGAGAAGGGACATGCAAAGGAAGTCAAATTCAAACGGTACACGGATCTCATGCACGACAGCTGGACTCCGACATACAACAACCCGGATCTGTATCGGTGGATGCTCATTCATAGGAGGGAGGTCAAGGGTGACGAGGAAGGCGTCCCAGCCGAGAATAAAGTCGTGCTAGGCCAAGAACAAGCTGAAAGTATTTGATGGACTTATTTTGTATTACCCAAGCCATTTGCTTCTTCTTCACCGAGCTGACCATCCCCACCGGCACAGAGTCGACCTCGTCATCATTCTCCCTTTTGACACCATGTTGACGCCGTAAGCCAGCTGAACGACTTCCGAAACGACCCTACTTTTGTGTGCTAAATCTCGCCTTTTTCAATAATAATGTCTCCCTGGCCTGTAGATGTTGTTGACAACGACTCGATTGCTGGCGAGAGAACGGGCGAAAGCGGTGGCGCTGCTTCGGTTGAAGTTGTTGACGCCTCTTCGGTATCTGTAGTCGTCGTCGTCGGACCTGGAGATTTGTCCGGTCAGTCAGCTCTGTTATAAGTCCCCTCTATTTTCTTTGAAGATGGGGTACCCCCTTACCAATAGTCGGAGTCGTCGTCATAGTCCCAAGGGGCAGGTCGTGGGCATCGACGTCGGCAGCGGCGTTGGTATGGAGGAACGTGGATTGTCGCGCCGATGCCATGCCCAAGGTAGATGGCTTCACCATCACGTCTGCGCCCACGCCCACGCCCGCGTTCACGTGTGAAGAGGAGCGGTTCATGCCAGCCGTCAGGGCGGTAGCGCCAGATCTCCATGAGTTATTGGTATGTGGTTGTCGACAGGCCTCTGGAGCACTGTTGTGTTCTGCCGGATCGAGAGAATATGCACAGGGTACTCGCGTGCCTTGCAATTGCGGTGGTGGTACTATTGTTGTAAGTACCCTGGGGATGCAGGAGCTTTGTATCTAAATTTGATGGCGAAAAGACACAGGGAGTATCAAACGTCGATAACAATCAAGAAGCGTCGTTGGCAAACTACGCCTGTTGGGAGGGCGGAGGTTGGGATAGATATTAGTTGCACAAGAAGTAACGTCCATTGTCAAAGCATTCCTAGCCCAGCGATCAGGAGTGTTTGGTGAGGGTTTTGCATGCCTATTTTGGTGCCTGTTTGTCCTTCCCCCGTGCAACGTGAGGGATCAGCTCATGTTACGCAGAGAAACGAGCCTTGGCTGAAGTGCGAGCAGCTCCCTCCGTACTTGATGGCAGTCTAAGGTTGATGAAGTGTGGAAAGGGGCAAACCTCTGTTTGTGGGCTGCATGGCTGGAGGAGACACCGGTCATCCATCAATCCATCAAGGCAGAACCATTGTCCCATTTTGTTCATTGTACTGTCCAATTTGATGTATAAACCGGTTTCCTGTTTGAAAGGATGTGGTCCATGCTCATAGGTTGCCAGTCAATTGACAAAGACAAGAGGAATGTGGTTTGAAAAAGCTACGGAGTGTGCATATAGCCATCCGATGTCGTGTAGTTTGAATGCATAAGAAGAGGTCGGCAGACGGCAGCGCCAGGCAGAGTGCTGCGTAGTATTGACGTCATTCTCAGTGACCGTCTTGGCCATGCTTGGCACTCATTGTTGCACGTGCCCAGCCTCGGACGCACAATCTGCCTGCACGTTTCGCTTCAATACACCACCACAATCGCACAAAAAGGGCTTCTGAGCCCTCGAACATCAAAAATATACAAAAGAGAGGCCACCTAGCTACAAAAAAAGCAAAAAACCAATCGACACCAACAGGATTTGAACCTGTGCCTCCGAAGAGATGTGATAACCCAGAATAAATTCTAGTCACACGCCTTAACCGCTCGGCCATAGTGTCTATGACAATTAATTGATAGTAATTTCCATTATTACATTATATAAATATTACTGGCGGAGTAGGCTGTTAGAGCTCCATAGGGGGCTCTAGCAGCCTGCTCCGTCGGGCTCCAGAGTGCCGCTGGTGAGGCTAGTAGGGATGCTGCATCAGGCTCATAGGCGGAGGATTTGCTCCGGGGCACCGCCTTCTTCACCGCTACTCCCCCCAATGCTGGCCAAGAAGTTCTTTTCTCATTGATTGAGCAGAGATCGCCATCAAGCCACCTTCAGAAACAAGCAGCCCAGTCTGACAAAGGGAAGACGCCATCTTAGAACGCAGTGATTATCATTCAATAGTGACGAGGTGGCTGCCAGATCAGACATAGCTAATGTTGTCAACAAGGACAGGGGTATCACTGCGTCTAAAGGTAGAGCAAACACCCTTATGGATGACCATTGCCTTTGGGCGAACAGTTATAGCGCGTGAGATACTTGAACCCTTTCTTCGTCAGCATATGCCACTTATTTTGGACATCAGTCTGCCATAGAGCAAGCAGAGGAATTGCTGACTCTATGCAATTATTTGATTGCCTATACACTAGATAGCCCCCAGTGTGGCTAGACCTCGTTCTAGGTTATCACATCTCTTCGGAGGCACAGGTTCAAATCTAGTAGATGAAATGCTAACGACCGTAAAGATAGCCTCCAGTGGCTCGGGACAGGCCTAGAAGGGATACGGGCTCACAGCTGTAGGTCTGTCTTTAACAGCCTCCGCCTCAGTTGAACGGTTATGTGGAGTTTTAGCTAAAGATCTTGTCAAAGTATTTCATGAAGGCGTTCCTATCATGTCCCAAGTTAGCACTGATTCACGACTCTTCTCCTCAGATTAAAAGAAACAAAACGATCAAAGGCGATGAGAGACCAAACAGGATCAGACAGGGCACACTCCCGCATGCCTGTCTGCACAACGCAGCGCAACGCAATCACGCATGTACAAGAAACTCACCTAGGCGGCCGAGGCACATAGTTCCGCTCATACTCGGCAATCTCATCCATGTCCCTGGTGTGGAGGTCGACCTCGAGGGGCCCCAACCACTTTGTCTTCTTGAACCACTTCCAGAAGACAAACAGGAGGGGGAACACGCCGATCATGGTGTAGCTGAACAGGAAGCTAGGCACGTCCCAGAACCCCGGCAGAAAGACCGTGTAGCCGCCCACAAAGGTCATGATGAAGCAGCCCGTTAGCGCGTAGTAGGCCGAGAAGGGCTGCCACCACGACTTGTACGGCAGGGTGTTGCGGTCGATGCCCTGGGCCTCGAGGGCGCGCTTGAACTTGAGGAACGTGAAGGCCATGACGGAGAAGTTGATGAGTTGGGACGCCGTCACCTGCGTTGTTACGTGTATACCGCGTTAGCATGGTTGGGGGGAGAGATGGGGTAGGGGAGTGTTTTGACTCAAATATTTTGTTGTTTTTGCGGTGGGGAGGCACGCTGATGAAGAGATGACGGAGAAAGCATCAGGGAATGAGCGAGGCGGATCGAAACGTACCAGATTGACAAACCAGCTCAACACCACGGCGGCGTCGTTGCTGACTTGCAGAAAGCTCAGCAGACTGATCAACAGCACCAACGCCACGCAGTAGACCGGCACCCCGTTCTTGGTGCAGCGCGTGAAGATTCGGGGCGCTTTGCCCTCGAGCGCCAGCCCAAACAGGCTCCGACTGGCGCAGTAGACATAGCTGTTTCCGGCCGAGAACGCGCTGCCGAGAACCATGGCGTTGACGATGTGTGGGAGCACCTTGATGCGCAGGCGGTTCATGGACACCACGTACGGCGACGCCGCGGCGCCGGGCTTCCCCGTCGAAAAGGCCTCGGTCAGTTCAGGATCGTTGTACGGCACGAGGATGCCGACGCAGAGAGAGCCCAGCATGAAGAAGGCCGTGAGGCGGTAGAAGACGGCCTTGAACGCCTTGGGCAGGACTTTGCGTGGATTCTCAGCCTCGCCGGCTGCCATGGAGACGTAGTCGGGTCCCGCGATGGTGAAGGAGGCCTGAATCAGACACTGCAGAAACCCAAGAAACCTCCCCAGTGAGCCGTCATAGTAGAGTTCCGTGAAGGAGCCTGGGTTGTTCCAATATCGAAAGCCGAATCGGTCACCAAGTGGGTTGCCGCCCAGCATGGCGATAAACGTGTATATGATCAACCCCACAATCAGGAGGACTTTCCCCAGCGCGAGCCAGAACTCGGTCTCACCGTACCATTGCACAGCAAACAGATTGACCAGGGCATAGCAGACAATCACAATCGCGATAATCCCACCGGCAGGAACGATGTCGCTCCAGAAGTGGATAATGACGTTGCATGCCACGATTTCAAAGGGGACCAGCATCGCTTCGAACACGAAGAAGTTGTAGCCTGCGGCAACGCCAAAGGCTTCGTCGACATAGCGGCCTGCAAATCGGATGAAGGGCGAAGAGATGGGGAGATAGGTGACCATCTCGGCCATGCAGTTTGTGACACAGAGAATGAATGTGCACCTAGAAATGCGAAGGTTGTATTAGTTCACTTAGGTCCATGATGCTGGGTATCTTCATCCTGCAACTTTCTTCTGTTCTCGGAAAGGGAATATCTTTGGAATGGTAACAACAAGGTGTGGTGGTCACCCCGTAAGATACCATAGTCTTGTTTTGAGCATCGGAACACCTCTTTTGCTCTCTGTATCAAAGCACAATTCCGATATCTGGAATTTCGCACCACATGAACATGAACAACATATCCCAGACTTACCAGATGGTAAAAGCCAGAAACAAGCTCCCAGGTCCACCATTGAGCAAACCCCGTCCGATCTGCACGTACAGGGCCGTGCCAATCGTCCCACCAATGCCTATGAGCTGAATATGTCTCGGCTTCAATTTTCGATGGGTGCTGTCATATCCCACCTCGATACTGCCGGGATAGCTAGGTGTTTCGGCCAGACCATAGTTAGCCTTGATGGACGCCACGACGGATTGCTTGCGTGAGCCGCGTCTCACAGCGTGCTCTTCGTCGTCGTCGCTCTGAGAATGGGTACGCACGCCCCGGGCGATGGGGGTTTCGTCCAGCATATGAGGGGGTAACCCATCCTTTTTCTCACTGAAGCTATAGCCGCGTGGAGAAGACATTGTGAGAGGTCAGGGGTCAGGAGCAGTCAAAGCCTGAACAGCGGAAAAGAAGAGGACAGACAATCTGGGGCCTTGGGATGAGCTCAGGGCGGGAAGTGGCACGATATATCACGACGTAACAGCCGACCTTATCACCAAAAAGCATAATGCACCATCTTGAAGCTCTGGCCTGATCCCAGTTGGCCTCTTCAGGTAGCATGCTCGCGGCACAATCCATGTCCTTGCATTGGACGCTCCGTACCCAAGATCTTGGTGCTGTGGGCTTCGAGGCTCGGCGAGGCCTTAGCCCGTGGATCATTTTACTGTAAGCTGAAAGAAAGTCACTGTTGAGGGAGCTGCAGAGTGATGCCGTGAGGTAGTAACGGCGATGGCAACGACAAGGAACGATAGACGATCGAGTTGAGTGGAGGAAAGTTGGAAGAAAGCGTCTGGGCTGACGACTCTTGGGATTTCTTGGGGAGCTTCGGGCCTCTTGGCAGGGCATTAGGGGCGGAGCTGTGCTTGGGGCGGCTTGGGGGGTGCCTCACCAGCCTGATGTTAGTTAAGGCAGCCGAGGGCCAGTAGGTGCCCGGGGGCGGGGGTTGCTCAGATAAACTCCCCTTCTCTGCCTCGGCGCCTGGCAGTTAAGCTAGGGGCGCCCTTTCAAGCTCCCAGAGGCCCCCTCCCGCCCGCGCAGTAGTCCCCTTGGTCCCCTTGTGAAGCCCAAGAGCCTGGGTAAGAGACCTAGAGCACCCGTCCTTGGCGCTCTAGCCCGGTTCTTCTTCGTTCTGCGCCGTCCGCATGTGGGCACCACGCACGGCATAATTAGTGGCGCGTTGACTCTGACTTGGCTTATCTTGCTTCTGGATCATCGCAGGACTTTTGCTGAGGGGTGCCACCGTCATGAAAATCACCTGAAGTGGTATTCTGACCCTGAAACTCGGTATCTCGATTGTTGGACTCGGAAATGTCCCCGCGATAATGCATCCCTAACCTCAAATCAGCGTCTACTCTTGTACCTTTGCCGTCGAACCACTTGCTGCAGATACTTACAAGCTTCCAGGAGCTTTCACGGGAGCACATCGCAGCCATGTTGAGCTCTTGGACCTTACCATTATTCCTCCTTCCAGCGTCATCGATAGCGCGGGACGTTGTTTTCCCTCCAGTCTCACCGCTACAGGCAAACCTTGGTGGCCATGCCAGCCGATATCGATCTCCCGTCGCCTCAGGGAAGGATCCCTTGGCCGAATTCGAGAAATACTCGGGTCTAACCACCTTTGCAAACCTTCCTTGGGTACATTGCTTATCGCCGGATGACGATGTAGACAAGTATGATATTGCCTTTTTGGGGGCACCTTTTGACACCGGCACTACCGCTCGACCCGGGGCACGATTTGGCCCCAGTGGAATCAGATGGTGAGTTCAGACAAGAGGAGGTTTCCACCTGACATCTCCAGAATGGGCTTTCTGATCCAACCATGTTCTGACTAGATCTGCGCAGGGGTTCTCGACGAATGCAAGCTGCGGCGGCATGGGACCCGTATACCCATGAGAACACGTTCCTGGGCTGGGCGCGCATAGTCGATTGCGGCGACGCACCCCTCACTTTCCTCGACAATACCGTGGCCTTGCAGCAACTGGAAAAGGCGCACAAAGTGGTTTCCAGCCGGACAGCCAATACCACAGAAGTGGCCGACGTTCCTAGGATCATCACGTTGGGAGGTGACCACACCACCACCTTAGCGGCGTTGCGCTCGACCATTGACCACTGGGGGCCTGTCAGTGTCATACACTTTGACAGCCATATAGATACCTGGGGTATGCTCGCATCTCTTCACTAGCTCACACAGTCATGCAAACCGAAAAGGGAGATCCAGAGCATTCACCCTTCACTCACCTTTGGACACCGCAGAGACGAGTGAATCCACTGCTAATAGTTGATTCCGCGCAGATCCCAAAGTTCTTGGTGGAGGAATCTCCGACTATGCTGGGCTCAATCACGGCACCTTCCTCCATATCGCCCACGAGGAAGGCCTCATTCTGAATTCTTCCGCACACGCGGGAATACGAGCCCCGGTCATCAACAAAAGCTATGACTGGAAAAACGACAAGCGGTGCGGTTTCGAGATCATCACCGCCCGGGATATCGACAAGATCGGTGTTTCGGGGATTATCGACAAGCTCAAGGCTCGAGTGGGCGACACGAATGTCTACATCTCCGTCGACATTGACGTCTTGGATCCAGCATATGCTCCCGCCACGGGGACGGCTGAGGTGGGTGGCTGGACGACGAGAGAGCTCCTCAGCATCCTGGATGGCCTTGAAGGTCTGAATGTCATCGGGGCCGACGTCGTGGAGGTTGCTCCGATATATGATAATCCTGGAGAAACGACCGTCCTTGCAGCTGGGGAGGTTGCCCATCGACTCATGAGCCTGATGGTCGAAACTCCCGTAAAGCCATTGAGGAGGCCTTAGAGAGAGGAAGAATCCTGGAAGTGTAAGCACATAAGAAATGTCCTGAATATAGCCTACCCTGTTAGACACATTCTGTCCGTGGCACGCAAGTATGCGCTGTCGACAGATGGAAATGACCAAAGCGGGTCTGATATACTTGTCCGATGCCCCTCCTGCGCCACCATGGTAAAGGGCACGAATGGCTGCGATGGGCAGTGGTGGCGGCCTGGGCGGTTTGCGATGGACAACCACTAAACGCCTCAGTATAGATCAGAGCGTCGTCAGCCTGTGCTGGGCAACTGTAGGTAGACAATGTATCCCACCGCGAAACTCGCAACTCCGTCCCGGATTCTACTTGCGAGACTGGCTGGCAACAGCGGGGGACGGGGCAATGAAATCCCATGGAGGGGCAGCCTGCGAGGGGCATTTCTTCGCCTACGCGTGTGTGTGTGTGTGCGTCTGGCCTCTAGGAATTTCCCGCAGCCCGCATCCAGCATCCAGTGAGCCAGCGAGCAACTTCAGACCGAACAGGGACCGAAACACTGTCAGCCGATTGCCATCGTGTTGCCATTGACCGATAGCCCTCCCTACCTACTCGGTACTGCCCAGACCCTGCGTTCCAAACCCCAAGTCCCAATCAAGTCAAACATCGACTCTGAGGAGTTCCGCTTTCCTAAGCTGTGGAAAGAGTATGTAATCACCCTTGCACACACTCTCGGAGGTCACAGGGGCAGTGCAACTTCTGTGGTGGTGTCACCGATTTACCTTAAGAGCTTTAGACTCGATTCTGGAACTGACTCTTGCCTATCGATTCTCCCGCGCTTCACAGTGACCGACACGAATCGAGGTTTGTTTGCCAAAAAACCATCACCATGACTGATCCAACCTCACCGAGCCCTTATTCAGAGAACAAGAAATTCGAGCCCAAGGTTCCGGTGGAATTGGAGCCGCCCAAGAACGACGAGATCTCGCTGGAGGAGTTGAGTCAATGCGATGGTACGCACTCGATCACAGGCTGCAGACCAGACACCTTCCATGGCGGGGAGGGGCACAGTATACTGAGACTGCGACTTTGCAACAGGCACAAATCCGGATAAGCCTACGTGGGTTGCGATAAAGGGGACCATCTTCGATGTCTCCAAGAACAAGGCCTATGGCGAGAAGGGTCAATATCACGGTACGGCTGCTGCATTCGTGCCTCTCTCGAGTTCCCGCATGCGCCGTTCCAGACTAACCAAAGCTCTTTCTGCAGTCTTTGCCGGAAAGGACCCTTCTCGTGCCCTCGCCCTCTCCAGCCTGAAGCCCGAAGATTGCGTGCCAGAATGGTATGACCTGGATGACAAGTACAAGACAGTTCTCGATGAATGGTACACCTTCTTCAGCAAGCGATATAACATTGTGGGCAAGGTCAGTATATCCAAGCTACAAAGATTGTGAGGAGGAAGACGGAATTGCCAAAAACGCCCGCACGGACCGGGCGGGAAAGTAGACATGGCAAGGCACTCAAGAGCGGGCAGGAGCAGGCCATACAAATCTCAGGACAGTTGCTGACTGCCTTTGCCTCTACCCTCTAGGTCGCGGGTGCTCAGAATACGGGCTGAGAGAGACGGGAGCAGGAAGACATCAATTTATTGTGACGTTAAGGAAGATACCCCGGACAGAAGTAGGAGATCCAGTCCTTCGCCTTCAGCGGCACCTCGATGTCGCTCATTTCTCAACCCTCAGCTGCAGACTGCGTGCGACTCATCCGTTCAATCAATCCATCAGCCTTTCCGCACTTTCCTGGCCTGGCGCTTCTTTGCGATGATGCGATTCCTTTTCGCAATGCGATTCTTCTCCTCGGGCTCGACCGGCTCCGGGACCTTCGAGGCCTTTGAAGATGATCCATCATCGTTCTTGTCACTGCGCTTCCGCTTCTTGTTGACACTTCCGCTGCCCTCGGACTTTGCTAGCTTGTTGTCCTTGGCCCTTTTCCCGCCACCTTCTCGGGCCTTTTGCTCTCTGTCATTCCTCCGCTGGATGACCTGGGCATTCTCGATCGCAAACTCCACAATCAGGCGTTTCCCTCTATCCAAACCAGCATTTTGCGGTTTGACCATGTGCCCATTGAGCCAACGCAGGCCGGCCAGAGCATTCCGATGACCAACATATTCAATGAAGCCATAGCCTCGGCTTCGACCAGCGCCTTCCTTGACCTTACTTCCTTCTTTGTCTTCAAATACAACTTTCGCCTGTTTGACAATGCCTTTGCCGGATAGCTTGCGTCGGCGCTCAGCTTCTTGCATCTCGCTACCACCTCGCCGTAGCTCTTCCTTGCTCAGAGGCTGTCGAAGGCCCTCTTTGACGTCCTTGGCAAACCCAACCACGGCCTCGCGAGCCAATGCCTTCAATTCCTTGCTGTCGATACCTCGGGGAAGATTTCTAACGCTTAGTCGGGTCAAACTCAAGCATAGATTCGGGTTGCTTTTGATCAATCGCTGCCGTTGGCGAGCACTGCTCTCTCTGATGTCGATCTCTGCCTTGCCCAGCTGCTCGTAGAGCTTCGATCCTCGAGGGATAGATCCTTCCGCAAGTAGATATAGACGGCGTTTATCTCGATCTCGGACGTCTCTTTTCTCACTGGCCTCGTTTGCTCGGCGTTCTGCATCCTCTCTGCTGAGAGCCCGGGAAACCTGGAGAATGCGGCCCTCGAGTGTATAGCGACCCGACGGATCTGCCGCTTCGTTTTCAAGGATGGAGTGCTTCAACCCTTCCTTTTCTCTCTTTTTGTCATTGTTTGCATGTTCAGATGGCACATCATGCTTTGGAGCATTCTTGACGCAGGTTTTGGCATCATCAATGTTGAAAAAGCAGACAAAGCCTGTTCCTTTGGAGCGCTCGGTCTCTGGGTCATAGACGACCCGTGCATATCGGATCGGTCCAAAAGTGGAAAAGTGTTCACGAAGAAGGTCGTCGTCCGTTGTGTAGGGTAAATTTCTCACGAAAACAGAGGTATCATTTTTATTGTCGCGTGCTTCGGGGCCGGGGGTAGTACTCTCTGTTTCTGATTGTAAATCATCTTCGTCGCTTTTCGCATCGATTTCGTCAACGGAGTCTTCCTCGGAATCGCCAACCGAATCACTAAGATGGTCAACGTGCTCGTTATCGTCGTCAGACTCTGAGTCCTCCTCCACATCGACGTCCGAACCGGCGTCACCGTCGTTATAATTGTCCGCCCTCGGCTCGTCCTGGAGTGGCTGTGCAGTTTCTGGATGAGTATGTTGCAACTCTTCCCAAGTCTTCCTGTCGACGGCCCAGTCAACGGCTAACGTGCGCCCATCAACCTCTTTCCCATTGACCGCGGCAAGTGCCCTCTCAGCGTTCTTTTTGCCCCGGAGCACAACAATCCCGAAACCGTACTGCTCCTTAGGGCCCTTCTTAGGTACCACCGCATGCTTGACCTTGCCATAGCTTCGAAATAACAATGAGAGGTCCTCGGCCGTCTTGATACTCCATGGAAGGTTTCTCACGATCAACTTTGGGGGTTGGGTCTCTGCTTGATTCTTTTCTCGCTGTGCTCGAAGTTGTACAGCCGTGGTATTGACGCTGCTCTTCGCCCCAAGGTCCGCATCACGGTGTCTGGCTTCGGCCAACTCAACCTTGATCTTCCTGCCGTCTAGCACCGAGTCGTTGAATTGTGCGAGAGCAGCCTGCGCGTCCTCTGCATCGGCGAAGGTGACGAAGCCGAATCCTCGCGAGATCTTTGTCTGAGGGTCTAGGACTACCGTGGCATGCTTGAGAGGAAAAGACTGCGAGAAGTACTCTGTGAGTCGCTCTGTGGTCACGGAAGCAGGCAGAGAGCGGACAAAGAGTGAGCGTCTCTGCTCCTTGGATTTGGGACTGGTTTCTTGAGTTGGGTGGTCAGCATCTCGGGTAACAGCTTCATAGCTCCCATTAGAGAGCTTGCGCCTCTTGTTACCCTTGTCCATGATTGTGTTGCGGTCTATACTCGCTGCCCTTTTCGAGTTGATGGGAAATTGAACTTTTTCGCAGTCCAAAAAATTTCTCCAACTCGAAGCGGAGTTGCACTTTGCACTTTGCGAGTTAATAGCTGCCGTATGCCTGAGTACGTCGAAGTATAGAGCCGAAACGAAGTCAAATCACTCGAGTATTCGGTGCAATTCTCTTCAACTGGTATCGTTGCACCCTTTTCTTGCAGTGACTCTGAGGCAGGACTGACATTAAGAGAGTGCTGTGCGGATATTCAACGGCAGCGGCTCCAAAAGACGTTTCTGGGGGCCCTGATGTATACCAGGGTGATACCGGCATCTGTCGCATTCTTCCTCTGCTCCCACTTCAAAATCTAGGACCAGGCAGAAGGCAACACCATGGCCGAAGAATTTGACAACGTTGACTTCCTATCGCAAGAGGCGGCTGTTGGACGACCGTCTGCGCCGCAGCGAACAGCAAGTCCTGCTACAACAAACACACCCGCAAGAGTGGTCCAGCCAAAGCCACAAGCGCTGCCTGGAAGACAGGGTCCTTCGGCAATATTGGTATCAACTCGACAAAAGGGCAATCCAATCTTGAAACATGTTACACAGCTTCCCTGGGAATACTCTGACATACCGTGCGACTACGTCCTCGGCGCAACAACATGCGCATTATTCCTGTCTCTCAAGTACCATCGCTTGCACCCAGAATACATCTATAGCCGGATCCGCCAGCTGGGCAAGCTCTACAACCTCCGAATCCTGTTGACCATGGTTGACATTACGAATCACGAGGAGGCTCTGAAAGAACTATCCAAAACCTCGATGATCAACAACTTGACGTTGATCCTGTGCTGGTCGTCTCAAGAGGCCGGTCGCTATCTAGAACTCTTCAAATCGTATGAACACGCTTCGTCTGCATCGATTCGAGCCCACCAAGCAGAGACCTATCAGGAGAGTCTCACCGAATTTGTTACGACACCACGAAATATCAACAAGACCGACGCTGCTAGCCTGATTATGAACTTCGGCTCCCTTCGAGCAGCGGTAAATGCGGAGCCAGAAGAATTGGCTCTGGTACCAGGATTGGGCGAAAAGAAAGTCAAGACTTGGTACAGTACTGTCCGGGAACCATTCCGCGTGAGAAGAGCTGCCAAATCTAATGCAGCCATGCTGAGACAAGAAACCTCCTTGTTCTCTGAGGAAGCTAGCACTCCGGAGTCAAGACCAGGGAGCGGACACACGCCGATCCCCATTGGTGTTGTACCCAGCCTTAGCAGGCAAGGGTCAGCTGCTGTTGCGATACAGAATCCAGCCGAGGCGGGCCCAAGCCATAAGCGCCCTCGACTGGAAGAAGTTACCATGGACGATTTGGATGAGGAGGAAGAGGCAGCACTTCTTGCTCTTGCCGATGTAGAAGGCGCAAAAGCAAAAGAACAAAGTTCACGACCGCCCCAGCCACAGCGTGGCAAAGAACCAGAGTTGAGTGCAGGTGTTGCGGCAGCTCTGGCAAAACTACGACAAAATGGATGAAAGAGGACGTACCACTTTTACAATCTCCTTCATTTTCACGGCTTGATGCCTATCGTGGAGCGCAGTACAAGCACCGCCACAATGTTCGACATCCGCAAACCAACGAAGAGACGATCTGATCTGAGGAAGCCATTCAGTAATTAATTCGTCTGTCCATGGACAATACTCTACCACGGAGGAATCCCATCCGATCCAAAAAGGCATTAGTTGCTAAATCTGGCAGGCATTATTAATGTCCTGCCTTCTCCACAGCCTCTGCGTGGCCGCCAATCGTCACCAAGGCAGATACCAAGGCTGCTGAAGGGACATGGGAGGGTCAAGAACAACGCACCCTCGGCACTAACCTGGAGACCTGGAGGCAGTGCACACTTGCGATCGTCCCCCTTCCCGTTGACTACAGAAGGTATCTCAGCCCGTGTCCGTCTATTACTGCCTCAATACTATCAGTCTTATCTTGCACCTTCAGGATTCAAAGCATCCCCTCATTTACCACGACAACTATCACCGGAAGGCAAAAGGCTCGCATTCGATATGGGAGGGTGGGATGCAGTTGCCGCGTCAGTGAGCGGTGTCAACCCTAGCGCCTATGGCTCCCAAGGGGGCCCCATGTACCGTCCCGTCGTAAAGCCGACTGAGTACACCGACGACACATTAATTACGGTTCCCGTACTGGATTTGGAAGCTTTACAAGGAGGTCATGGATCGAACGACGAGGGAGCATTAGGAGAACTCTCCAAGAAAGAAGGCAAACTCCAAAATCGTTCGACATTCTTCCGCCACAAGCCGTCAAGTTCCCAATCTGCTTCGAACAGAAAAGTCAACGTCAGCATTCGCCAGGGCACGAGGAGACAATATCTGAAGCATTACGCAAAGGACGGCCAGGGGCGATACATCGGCACGGAAGACCCTGCAGAAGACTGTGTTTTGGACGGAGAAGACTCCAGTCGGTGGAGAGGCCAACCGACAGGATCAGGGATAGCTACAGCAGGAGGGACATCGACAGCGGATGAGACAAACCCGAAGGCCCCAGTGGAAACTCCCAATGTGGTGAAAGATGCAGCTGATAGGAGAGGAAACAGGCCTAGCAAGCGGTCGACAAGGAAACGAAACCAAGTGAAAACAACACTAAAACTGTTGACGTGAACGAGGCTCCTACCACTCGAGATCCTATAGGTACTTCTACAAGGACTGCCATTCACGGTGGGAATAAGAGCAGGTTCAGTCTCTTCAGGGGCCTGCGAGGAGGCGACAGAGGTGGTGGAGTTATACACTGACCAAAGAGCTGCTGCAGGACTTTCGACATGACGTGCTCGACGGTTCTGCTTGTGCGACGATGTCCTTTGTTTGAGATTTTCTACCACTCGTGGCTGTCGGAAGTGTTGGGCCCTCCCGTTCACAAAGCAACCGACCCAGGAAACGATGAGACACACCGCCAGAAGGATCCTTCACAGACGTCGACTCCGAAGTCCTCTTGCTCCTCATCCCGAGGCTATATATTTCCTTTTCTTCTGTCATCAGATGATTCTGTTCTTCCTCCATATCCCTCTCTTGTTAGTTTCGATACCCAGACAGTGATATGTCCCTTCTTGGCTTCATCTTACATTGATGCATCAGTCCCCCCAACCATTGACACGACTTCACACACGTCTTTCTTGTTGTTCTGATGATGCTTTTGGAAGCCAAGTGCCCAACAGGAATCAATCGTTTCCAACAGTTCTCAACCACGGCCATGTCAGCACCAACCAAAATATCTCAAGGCATTCATTCCTCCAAGAGAAACCCTGACGCTGTTCGACTGCCGTTCGTGGATGGAACGCCATCTCTCTCAAGGCTATCGTTACAAACCAGCTGGTTTCAATCAATCCGACGCTGTCCGCAAGGCTGAACAAATACCATGATCCACAACGTTCCTTCTTTGGCTCGCCGTTTTCCTTCGAACTGTTCCGCACATGTCAACTGCTACCTGCAGATTCGAATCTCGGTCGCGATTTCTTCCCTCCGTGGCCTCATGTGACACGTGCACTTTTTTTGGGCCGAATTCGACACTGTCTCCGGGAGCCGCCTCCTGGAGTCCAGGGAGTCTCGAAAATTGTTCCTCCCTGTGCTGCGGACCCAGGCAATGCGATCGACAAGACAACCGGAACTCTAGAGGCAAAGAGTGCCAACTCAAGCAGTCATGGCACCGATCCAATCAGAATCAATCCGTGCACTCTCGATGCTGATTTGAGGTGCAGCACACTCCCGACTCCAATCTCCAATGCAGCCTCCAGGACGGTGTTCAGACTGTTCCTCCTTTATTTTGTCTCGTTTCTCCTCTTTTATATATATATATATATATTTCTCCACCCGACCCTGGCCCAAACTCAAGGCTTTCGCCAACGACCACTGGTGATGGCGGAAAAGGACAGGCCGCGAACCCGGCCTACTGGCGTGCGCCCCGCCATCCTAGACGATGCAATGTTCCTCGATGGGGCTGGGCTGGAAGACGACGCATCGAGCCGCCAGCGTCATCGTTGTGCTGATCGAGATCCTGCGATGGGCATGGACGAAGCCATCTTAGAAGATGCTAGTCGCACTGGACCAAGCCGGTACGCCACGGCGCAGATCACGCCCGCCGGCATCATCGTTGAGCTGACCGAGATCCTGCGATGGGCATGGCCGCCGCCCTCGGAGGCGGGCAGCATGGCACTTTGGCGATGCGAGAGTCACTGCCGGGACGGAGGACCGTCCCACCCCTGCGCCAGCGTCTCCTCCTGCAGCGAAATTACTACAACGGGGCCCAGAATCTCCCCCTGAGCCGGGGCCTCTGCGTGCCGACAGCCTGATTTGAATCGACACAAGAACCTTCGCCGGGAGCACCAAGGTCAGGGCCACCAAGCTCCGGACATCGCATTTGCGGCATCTGCGGCTATACTTGCTCGGGGGCCGGGCAAACGGCGCCCCTACCACGGAGGAAGAAAGAAGACGACTTCCCTCTTCACAGCCTACGACGATACAGCACTGTCAGGCCCTTGAGTGCCTTTGGTGATGCCCTAACCCAATTAGGAAGGTTAGCCAGGTTAGATTTTCACGTCGGCACGTCAAACTGGCGCGAGCGCGTCCCTACTACATAGATAGACAATCAATCAATCAAGTTGGTCCTACACTTGGCACTCAGCCATCCATTACATACATACATGGCTTTTACGGACACTCGTTCATACATAGTTACTCGGTACAGAATACCATCCCCCCCCCCCACGTTACCACTGAGTCCTCGGTCCCCCATACAGATCTCCCGTCAGGACACTCACCACCAACATCGCCGGACACTGCCAGTCTTGCCAAGGGCGCCAGGGTCTCGGCGTGGATGATGTGTCTTCCGTCCCAGGCTGTCTGCGAGGAGGGGCCAACGGGCGATTTGTGTCCGGATCGTCTGCTCTTTTCGGGAGCTGCTGCTCCTCCTGTTGTCTCCCTTTTCAGATAGATAGACAAGGTAGAACAAGGTGAGAACAAGGTAGAGACACCCATAAACAAATCAAAAAGAGGATATTGTATTGCAATTTGTTTCCGGCTCCCCAGTGTTTTCCCAGTTTCCTTCTTCTCCGCTGCTAGCAGATGTGCCAGTGCCACACGTACGTACATGCATAAACACACGCGAAAATCGACAAATAGGCCTCCATCCTCCTCCCGTCCCCGATCAATGTCTCCGGATCGTGACCTTTTGTATGCATCCGCCGCTTTTACACCTGGAAGACCCGTGGCCGGTTGGGTTTCCAGGACACACCTTTTTGCCTTCCCCCTCCCATGCATTTCCATTCCCAAATTCCTTTTGCATGCGCCCACGCACTTCCTCCTTTCGTTGTCGGGGTATGCTGTTCCTTCTTCCTTGCCTTTTGATGGTGGCTGTCTCCGGCGGAGGGATGGACAACGCAGACAGCTATGCTTTCGGAAACCCTTCTTGGCCACTCTCAGAACTAATCTCCAGGGAGCAATGCCTGGGAGAGACTGTTCAGACGAGAAGAGAGAGAGAGAGATGTCCCAGACTGAAAAGGGGTGGAGGGTTTCGTCAATCGAGACTCGCTTTGCCCAACGCTGCTGCTGCTGCTGCTGCTGCTGCTGCTTTCGTAGCCCGGTTGATCGCGAAAAGAGCCACGCTTGGGGAGGTGTGCCGCAAGATGGTGGATCACAGAGCGAGCACCGAGCCCTTGGTCACCAGCTGAAACTCTGACCACTTGGCATGATGGATATAGCCCCTTGTTCTTCGCTGAATAAGGGGCATCAACCCTAAGCGCACCACGGGCTTCTTGGGTTCTCCGGCGTCGGCGTCGGTGTCGGCGGAGGAGCCACGGGCTCGTCGTGCGCGATTCAGTTTGCGCTCGTACGGTCGCAGGAATCTGGGCCAGAGGACCACATACTCTGCATTCAAGTTCTTAAACATCTGGATCTGGAATTTCAAACCGTTTTTGAATATGGTGACGAGAGAGTCCCGGAGTGCTTTCCGATCCGGAGACTCTCTGAGGGGCGGTGCTGGGCCGTCGGGTTGAGATGAGTTCTGGGTCGGATCGTCTTCTGGTAAACGACAGACATCTGTGTGCTCCGAGGGCCTCCTTTCGGGGGGGTCATTAGGGATCAGCATGTCGATGTATGCAAGGAGCGTGGATGCCATGTGATGTGCTTTATTCTCGATGGTGGGAACCTTGTGGACACTCATGTGTTCTTCCCACAATCGCTGGCGTACTTCGGCTTCGATCTCTGGCGTAAATGCTGCAGAGAGACTGTTAGCTTCACGGCTCGTTTCTTCAATTTGACAGGGAAGACTGACCCTCCTTGAGCACAGTGTCCACGGTCCCATCATCAAGTCCGCGGAAGTACGAGGTCGGGTTGGAGGGCCAAGACAGACACCAATTTGTCAGAGCGCAGCCAACAAACGATCGGAGAAAGTCTATCAGGCTGGTTCTACTTTGCTGAAAAGCGAGGAACGTCTCAGAGCGGCTGTTAGCGCCACGGAAGCTATCGAGTCCGAGCATGAGGTCGAAAAGAAGGCGGCATTCGTCAGGATATCGAAGTCTTGTGTCAAGGATCATCGGTTGGTCCTCCGGTATACTCAGTGCGTCCGCATATACGGCGATCGTACTGAAAATGCCGTGCTCAAGGATTCCCATTTCCGACTCCATGAGATCGGTAGGTACTGGGGGGTGGAGGGCGTTGTAACGACTCCGGTCAAGATAGCTCAGGTCAAACAAGGGACCCTTCTCGTCTCCATTGTCCACCTGATTCCGCCTCTGTACTGGAACCTTAGTCCGGACCTCGATGAAACCAGCAGACAGCCTCCTGGTTCTTTTGTCCCGGTGCCTTGGCTCCAGTGTTCTGCTGGAGGGTTCTTCCTGTTGGGTGGGTGTCATGTTATCTGTTGACATGATATGAGTCACATCATTTCCGACTGTGGGTGGTCCGATATTCCTATGGCATCAAAGGCAAAGAATAATTAGCATAAGCGCATCGAGCCACTGCAAAGTAGAGCTGGAAGCAAGGGGAGTAGTCCTCAACATAGCACCGGAACACCAACCTCGGATTCTGGTCAGAATGAGAACGATCGACTTGAGACTCTGGCTCCTTTCTCACGTCATTCGAAGGGCTCTTTCGTCTCCTCCCCTCCTGTCGTTCGCGCTCGCTGTCTGATCGATTTTCGGAGCCGTTATCTGTTCGGCGACGTTTATCCGCCCGGATAGGTTCTTCGTCGTCACTGGCTCTGGATCTGTCAGTCGCGGCGGTTGTGCTCGGAACGCCCTTCCCCTTGAATGATGCAATCTCGTCTTTGGTGTACGCTCGGGCGATAGGTCTGTGGCCAAGCTTATCCCAGTCCAGCGCAAGAGTGCCATCTCTATAGAAGGTCTCCAATGCAGATGATTGGAAACTGTTGAGCCGATCTTTCCAAAGATAGTTGATCCTTTGTTCAACCTGGGATAGCACCAGCCCCTTCGAGAAGGATGCGTTGTCTCCAAATTGTGTACGAAGACTCTTCGTCAGCTCGGCGATTGCTTGTTTGTAGTTCTGGATCAACGCGCTTTGAGGCCCCTTGTGATCGTCAATCCATTCGAGGAGGGCTCGCTGAGCGAGAGGCGGCCAATTGATGGATCTCACCATGCTGGATATTTTGGGAAAGGACAGTTCTGCAGATGTTCGCCAGATAGATGGAGCGCGCAAATGATTCAGGATAGGGAAAGGGGTATATATCATTAAATAACAAAGACGCAACAAGCAAGGAGAACCTGTGGAGCCTGCGGCAGCATACCTTTCTTTTCCGTTTGCGGTTGCGCTCAGCCGGTCCCTGTACGGAATGCAAGGGGGTCAATAGCGGGACGTCCATTTCCGATGGGAGTGATAGCCATTTCATTGTCTGTTTGCGGAACCCTGCCACATTCCAAGCTCTTTTTTCTTTGTTATGTTGGGCCGGTACCCTTTTTGATCTCCGGAAGCAAACACTAGATCAGCCTTGGTCGGCGGTTGGAGGCACCCATCCGCAACATTGTGGCGGAGGGCATGCGAGTGAAGTCACGCTCAGGGTTTGTGGTGGTTCAATCCGTGGTTGCTCGGAAGACCAGAAGCTGTTCTAGTATCGTAAAAAATAGATAATCTGATGTAGTGACGCCAGCTGAGCAGTAACCGCCAGGCGCGTCGTTGTGAGCAATGTATCGCAAAGTAAAGCCACTGCCTTGCCAACTTCACCACTGCTGTCGAAGTTTCCTTCTGCCTCCGGCTGGAAGGCAGCCGACGTTGTTTGCTAATACTTGTCAACAGCTCAAGCCACCTGATAGCAATCCTTGTGGTCATCTCCTCAAAGGAAGCAAATCCTTGTTGGCAAACACACCGCAAAGAACCGGAGATATAAGAGATAAAACCTGCTTCGCATCAGGATGACCGTCCTCTGTCTTCAGCATTACAGAGCGCCTCCTTGACAGGGGCAAGGTAGTACCTACCAGCCTTTCAACTTCTTCGTCTTGCTTTCCATCCGCACTCAAACACAATGCCTGCCACAGTGCCCCCACAAGGCTCGGGCCCAGCCACCACGCCAAATATTTTCGAAGAGCACCGACCAACCATCGACGGTTATCCGTGGAACCTTGGATCTGGAGTCACATTCCTAATTGGAATGGACTTCGGTACAGTACACACAACCTCTGTGGTGGACATCGCCCAGAATTCCACACAGCTAGTCAAGGGTAATGTCACACACGCACGAGTACTTGCGGGCACAAGAAACGAAACACATTTTTGCATTCCCTCCAAGGTAGCGATCTCACCAGGGTACCCGAAAGCACTTGGCGAAAAAGCACAATGTACTATGCTGTTTGGCCACTCGGTCGATGGCGCACTCGAGAACCGCGGAATTAGCGACGAAAACGTGTTCGATCTGTTGAAGTTGACCCTGTTTCCGGAATATGCTGCTGATGGAACCGGGCCTGTCGGTCAGCTGATGAAGCAAACCCGGGAAAAACACAACGCTTTGATACACACAATCCAGACCAAGCACGATGGGATGGTCCTTTACAAGGATACCTTGAAGGATCGGGAACATGAGTGGGGATCGCAGAAAATCAGTGACATGGAAGATGTCGTCGTTGCTTACCTGCAATTCATTTGGCGCAACACAATGCTAGAGGTTGCTTACGCGATGGGGGTCAAGGCCAAGTCTGGGGACTGGACATTCAGGAAGCTTCGCGAGGCCTTTGCAAAAGAGTCGCACGTCGCGGTGTCTGTGCCTACGGTGTGGTCACGGACAACTCAGGACCGTTTCTTGAAGCTCTTGGATCGCGCTGGTTTCCCAAGCTCCACGGCATTGGTTTCTGAGGCAGTCTCGGCGGCTATATGCCATTTCAACATGACTTCGGAGTTGGAGGACCACAACGGCGAACCGGTGAATATGATTGTCGCGGATATTGGTGTAAGACTCCCAGATCTGTTTTCAAATGAGGTTATTGAGTGCTAACGAGAAAACAGGGGGCCACGGTAGATGTGGCTGGAGTCGGGAAATACTTTGAGGCTGGATCGGCTCGATTCAGAGAAATCGTTCCGCAGCGAGGTTCTTTCAACGGCTCGTTGACCCTCAACACGCTCATGGATGAGCATATCCTCGACAACTTGGGCCAGAATTGGTTGCAGTCTGTCTTCCAAGATCCAGGCTGGACAGCAAAGATATGGTCTCAGCATGTCACAGATGGCTTCGAACACGCCAAGCGAGAATTTGACACTCGTGCTGAATACTCGATAAAGATGCTGAAGGTGCCGAAAAGAGCCTTGTCAAAGGCTATTGAGAAAGATGCCCGCCATCCGGATTTCAAGCTCACACCTCAGGGACTGCACGTCGACAAAAGTCAGGTAAGAACAGTGTATGACAAGTGGCTGGACGGAATCTTCAAGATCATCGACCGATCCCTGGACCAGTTTAGGAAGCTTCATCCGGACGCGCGCCCTCCTCTTCTCGCGCTGTGCGGATGGGGCTCTCTACCACCGTATATCCTGCAGAAGTACAAAGAAAAGTTCTCCGAGAACAATCCAATTCTCATCGAACAGCAGGAAACCTCTCTCATTGCACAGGGAAATTTTGCGACATTGACCCGCGCAGACTTGTTCTTCAAAGTACCGGCTCGCGAAAGTTACGGCATCAGATATGAGATGCTTTGGAAGGACGTCGATGCAGCCTGTCAAGAAAATCAGGAATTAGAGGCGGCCCGGACGGAAGATGGGATTTGGCTCCCTGACCGCGCTCTATGGGTCGTGAGGAAGGGTGAGAGTCTCGTGTGCCCAAAAGGATTGTTCTTCGTGGAGGGGAGGACGCGAGTAAAGGCGGAGGCCTACGGAGCGTCATTTCCTTTTCGCTGGAATCTTGACATTCTCGCCAGCGGCCACGATGAAATTCTTGGTACCGAGAGATATGGGGCTGTTTCAACTGCGATCGCCAACGGTAGGATTCGGGTTGTCAAAGCGCTCTCGATTGAAATCCGACAGCAAGATTGCAAGATCAAGCCCACGCCAGGCTCCCAGAACTTCACAGAACCTTGCTCCCTCGAGTTCGCATTTCGGATAAGGGTGGACTGCAGCACCATTTGCCCAACGATGTTCATTTCCATCCCCAAAGAGAGGGGAGTGTTCAAAAAGCGCCTGGACGAATATTGGAGGGAAGACCCCAAGGAGTGCCATACGATCTCGGTTCCTTTGGGGCTTTTGCATGCCCACGCGACTTTGCAAGGCAATTCAGGGGTTCGACTTGATCCTATCGAGAGTGTGGAGGAAGAAGATGAGGAGGAGGAGGAGGAGGCAGATGTCGATATGGATTGATTGAGTGCCTTGTGGGCAAGAGGCAACTGAGTGCCTGGCCGATGGTGGAGAGGAGGAACAGACTGACTGGACTGGTGCATTCTTGAAGGAGCGAAGAGCGAAGCGCCAAGAGCCATGGATGGGCCAAGAATGCCAAGTTGGTTGTGTCCGCAGCCGGCGGTCCGCGGCGTTGACCTCGGACGCCTGTTGAGGCTAGCGCCAGTTGACAGAAAAGGACATGGGACGGCACGGATTGTTTTGCGGCTCTATTTGTATTCCCCTTTACACCACTGTATGTTCAATGCATTCTTCTCGATTCCAAGAGCACAAATGTCTCAGCATGGGGACACGGTTTATTATGTCCTGATTGGAACCAAATAGAAAATCCCAACAGACAACTCCGGACTTCCCCAAGCAAGAAAAAGGCATACGCCATCTCAGCTGGCCGGTACCTCCAAAGTGCGAGCTGCAATAACAATGCTCCCATGGTGGCCGAACGGTATGATCTTGTTCACCAAACGGGACTACCCCATTTCATGGGACCAACTCGGGTGAAGACGAGACGACGCACTTCCACTCTGGCGGACCGCAATTCCAAGAAATGCCCTTCGTGTCCTCGTTCCTCCCTTTCCCGTACACCCAGCAGACAATCTGGAGAAATATCCACCCGAACTCCCGATGAGGTGCAGAATTGATTACAGGTGCTGTACGTCGCTCAAACCAAGGACCACTAGAGCACAACAAGATGGATAGACGCAAGCAAGTAAAGTCTCTCACAAATCCTCAATACGGCACTCGTGCGCACTTGCTGCCGAGAACCCAGCGCTTCACCCCCTTCGAGATCTTGATCGATCATATCTGGAATCGTTTGTACCCTTCCACCAGTCCATCCGCTCTCTTGGTGATTGCCGCCCACGCTGGGACATAATGCATTGCCTCGTCAAATGCGGGTATTACACCATTCTTGTTCGCGTCGCTCCATAGACATACCACTCGACCGGACACCGTACTGTTAGCACCTGAGATCTGCTGATAGTTAGCATCCTCGAAGTCATTTGGCCCTTCGAGACTGGCAGCTGGGATGTCCCAATTGACATCCACGGTCCAAGCCCTTCCCCACGTGCGGCTCCATAGCCTGATCTCCTGACTCCCATCTTCGGGCACAGGGGGGAACCGTGTGTCCCTCGGCGCTTGCCCGACTACATGGAAGCCAGTGATCGGCGCGGTCTCGAAGACGAGTTTGCACGCACGGGTGTTTTTCCCAAAGAGCACGAAGCGGGCTTTGTATTCGCTATCACTATTATTCAGGCGAGTGACGTTGAAAGTGAGCCAGCTGCTGTACTGTTCCGTGGGGGAGAAAGAGTTGACAGGAGGGTTGACAACATTGGGCGAGTATCCCGCCCATGAACAGGTTTGCATGTTACCGGAGACCGAGGGGCTTGCAGGTGTGCAGATGATATCCTGTCCGGCGGAGCTGGGTATGTAGTCGACTGCATGGCGAGTGTAGGGTGATACCCCGGTCAAAAAGACGGTGTTGTTCCCTCCTTCAAGGTCCACTTGCTGTTGAAAGAAAAGCTTCAACCTGTTGTTCGTGGAGAAGGGGAAGGCGGTGAGATTGTAAACCATGGTGCCAATAAAGACAAGTAGAAGAAACACCGGTATCTGCCAAGTGACTCGGTGCAGAATGGGCACAAGCGGAGAGAAGAGAAGTATTGTGCAGGCAGCCACCATAATGTATAACAGAAACATCGAACTTCCGTCCTGTCCCGTCTGGTGCAGACCTTCAGTCAGTAAAAGGCCGATCTGGCCGACGATGATAAGATTGATGGGCACAAGGACGAGCATCTGCAACAGCCACAGCCACGACCATTGTGATTTACTCCAATCCGGCTCTTCGATGGAGTCAGACTTGTCAACATCGGCTTTGATGTCAGGACTCGCTTCTTCTCTCCCTTGACGGTATCCCCTCCTTAGGAGACTCGACCTTTCCGTAGGCTCATCGTCATCATCGGGATCCGGACGGTCCCCAGCGTCTTCGTACCCCGCGCCCGAGCCGGGATGCTGGTGCGACGGGTCGTCTTCGCTAACTAGACGCTGGCAATATACCGATTTCCTGGGCAAGGAAAACAACTCTAGGTAGGACAACCACGTAGCCAGCCACACGAGCGCTGCGTACACCAGGACAAAGTACAGACCGACGACGTGGAGCTGTTGTTCAAACACTGTTGCAACGACAAGGAGCACCCACCATGCTCCCCACATCCATGAGAACCCGTAGACGCGGGTGAGTGAAGAAGGCCGTGTATAGTCCGCAGCTCTGCAGAAGAACCACGCAACAATGACGAAGGAGGCAATCATCATGGTCCATACTGCCCACTCACTGCTGTGGGCGATGTATTGATTTTCTTTGAAGATCAGGTATGCCAGAGCAATTGGGACCGCACAAGCCACGAGCAAGATCAGCGGGAAACGGAAAAAGCCACGCCATCCGTAGAGTTTGATCCTTTCGTCTCCATTCGGGTGGTGGAGCGGCCGCGACCCTGAGAAAAGATAGAACTTGTCGACTCGATACAGCAGGGCAACGGTGAGCAGGAGTATCACAGGTCCCACGACAAGCAAAGTGACCGATAGAGCGAAGAAAGTGTGCGCTTTTAAGATGGCAAACGTTCGGCCAAAGATATCGAACCAGAGTGACGGACTTCCTGGATTGTTCTCAGGATCCAGGTTCGTCTTCAGCGAGGTCGATGTCAAGGCTCTCGTTGTAGCCACCGCCGCTGAGAGCATGTGCCAAAGAGAGCCTTTCCCTGTGTGCCGTGAGTCGTCTTGATCGGTATGGTATCTCGCCCGCGGTCCAATGAAGGCAACGTCCAGTCCACGATAACCCAACTTGCCATTGAATACGACATAGTCCGTCTGACTCCGCACTAGTCCTCGATTAAAGCCATCCGCCGATGTGGACGAGCCAAAAGGGTACTTGGAGTGAGCATAGGCTTTTGTGACGGCTTCGTCGGTGCTTCGAAACAGAGCAGCCCGCCCCCCTGCGCCAGCTCCCTCCAGATTCAGGAATGAGCTCACAACCATGGACATGGGGTGTTGGCTGAAAACACTTGCTCCATTCAAAAAGTCTTCTTCACCGTTGTTCAAGAGGAGCACCACTCCGTTCTTTGGCTTGTTCATGGGTGTCGTAAAGTATTTGAGTAGTTGCAATACGCAGACGACCCCGACGCCGTCATCTGTAGAGCCGAAACCCGTTGATACACTGTCATAGTGTGCATTCACCAAGACTGCGTTGCGAGCCGATGGTTTTCCGTCTGGGTCAAGCCACCATTGTGTTTTATCATCTTCCGTTCCCGGTATATAGACGATGAGGTTGGTGCCCTCAAAGTAGACAGACACGCCAGGCCCAGAAAGTACTCCTCCCGAAGAAAAGGTAAGATTGGAGGTATTGTCCTCGAAGACATGTGGAGAAGCGTCGTTTTCTTTCGCTATCGACTTGATCCGTTCGAGGAGCCACTCGTGGATTTGGTCGTTGCGACGGCTGTTGTAAGGACGGTAAGCCGCGGTGAGAAGCTGCAAGTCCAGCCAAGCTTCTGTCAGGTTGACGCCGCGAATGGGAGTAGGCGAGGATGGAGGAGAAGGGACCGTCGTATGGACGATGAGGAGAGCAACAATAATAACGAGGTAAACAGCGGACGTGATGATGGTGACGGGCCAACGAGTGAAGGCGAAAGGGTTGGAGAGCCTCGCCATGGCCGACGGACGCAAATCAGTCTCAAGGCATTAGGGAAGAGGTAGAGGATACAAGCAAATTCATGAAGAGTGAAAGGGAGTGAGGTAAGTAAATGAACAGGTTAATGGAGCATCGAGAAACCTCGAGATGACTGAAAGAAGCGCATTGGAGGCTGGCTTCCTGCTCCCCCGCGCGCCATTACGCATAACAAGCTCTGCACATGCAAATCATTCTTGCATTGGCAGCTTGAACACCCAATGGGAGACTGTCGAACTGCCAAGCCACCTTGCCCTATCCAGCGTGCTGCGCGTATGCTCCGCCCTATGAGATACGGCAGAGCATTGCTCAGCCTCGTCCCGCTCTTTCTCGTCGGTGTATCAATGGACGCCTCCGTTGGTATCAACCCAGCGTCCCAAAAGCAGGCACCGCTGCTTGATCTGGAATTTGTATAATGTCACACTCATTCAAAGAGCTTTATGATGATATACACTCTCTTCGTGGGCTCTATTAACATTCATGTCCTAATACATCCTCCTAGCATTCCCATACTGGCTTTGCTGAGGTCGGCTTTGACATTTCGACAGAAGTACGGTCTATTGGTCTCGTCCAACAGCATCGCCAGAGGACAGGACGAGGTTTACACTACTTGTCATAACCACGCTCTATGTCGAGTTCTTCGCCCATGGGTAGGATCCAGGTGGTGTCGCAAGAGATGCGCACAAGAAGAATGATTCAAGTGCTGGACTATACCTTTCGCAATGACACAGCTTTCACCAATTGCCCTCTGCTACATCCACGCCTCCAGCCCTTGCACAACTTCCTCGAATCCTACGTCACCTTATATACCCTGCAGCAAACACAAACCGAGGCCCTCGAGCAGCCATAATCGTTCGCAGCAACACGTCTCTGATAGCATTGTGCGTCTTATTTGCCGGTTGTAAGTGCTCGGAAGGCACACCACCCTCTAACCCCATAGCCAATAATGATGCCATACTACTGTTCAAAGTCCTTCAAACCAACATGTAGTCGGCACAGGCTTGGGATCGCCGATTTCTAAGCGGGGGAGGAGTACTACGCTGGAATTGGAAGTGATATATCCTGTGACATTTGCACTCTGAATCCTCAGAGACAAACCATGGTTCTTTCAGGGGTTCTCAGTATCTCAATGTGAATTGCGCAAGGTGATATACGTATGTATTAATAACAGATACCCAATCAAAATATTGACCACAAGGGATCAAGTCCTCCATCTCGATCATGCTCGGGCTCCGACCCACCAATCTCCAGCCGACACCAAACCTGGGGTCTTAGCACACAATTTTCACGCTTCTCCGTGTACGTCTTTCTCTGGGCACGCCTCTGCAAGGTGCTGTATAGGATCAACCACCGGGTGCAACTCTGCAGGACTTCTCCGACTACGGCGAAGGGTCAATCACGATCACGTAACTACAGGTGGACCTGTTGGAGCCAACGAGGCTGCGATGTCAATTTCTATGAAGCATCCCCCCATACCTGCAGGGAGAGTTGCCTTTCCCAGTACGAGGTGGGTAGCCCATGAGAAGATCAATGATATTTGTTGGGTCTGTGAAAGATTCTGTGCTGTGGCCCAGTTTGTTGTTTAGAGAGATGTCAACCTGTTGCGAGTGAGTGGCTTGGCTTCTTGGGTCAGTGGTTTTATTGGCATGCATTGGGTGGTCGAACGGGAAGAGCGTGCATGCTTGACTGAGAGACGAGTGGTGTGTTCTTGCAGGCCGTGTCGTGGTTGAGGATCATTGATTGTGCTCCCTGAGAGGCGTTGGTTCGAATAGAGACCCTGTCTCTATGTTCTTCAACCTTTTCGCAGGCCGAAAGGAATCATGATCAAAGATAGAAACCGATACATTCTACAGATGAGGCATGGAATATGACGGAAGAATGTATGTTCTGTCACAGGCCGGAGCGAGCGTATGTTGGATGACAACGACGCTTTGTGTGATGCGTCACCCAGCCGTTGCAGAATCCCTCGCGCGGTACCCGGTACCCGTGGTCGAAGATAGAAACATGCCTCTGATCTGCAACTAGGGCAGGTCAAATATAGAAGCAGCTTCTTTTGTTTTCAGAGAGAGGGTATAGGAAAGGAATGCGCGGCAGTCACAGGCATTGTGTCTTTCGTCTTCAGTACTGTTGACTGGTACTTAACTGACGGAGGTCCGGAGATGGGATCCATTGATGCATCATCTTTCTTGTGTCCAGTGAACGAGTGATGCTGGTATCTGTTAAGCGAGGAGCGACCGTCTCACGGGAGCCTTGCCGCGCATCATGATACCTCGGTTGAGCGTCCCGGATGGAGCGAGGATATGCGCAAGCCAGGTCTCTCAAAGCTCTGATGCGAGCTCGGCAACGACGTTGTGTTCTATCGGAGGCGTTTCCGAGTATGCAACCCACGTTCCTGAGAATAGGTGGCACAGATCAATTCGACGGCTTGGATGAATCATGCCTCGAACACTCCACTCCCAATCCACGGAGTCCGATTCAGTGATAGTGACAGCTCAATCTGCCTATCATTTCACGCGGCTTAACAAGCAGACGACGTTAGGGGAAACCCCAGCCTGCAGGCACGCTTGTGCTCCCAAAATAGCTCAGGCTGGATGCTGAAGAGAATCTTGCACAAACCTCTAGCGCCACCTGGAGTACATCCGTGCCCTGCATCCCGGCATTCAGCCGAAGGAAAGGAGCGGCACACGCCCTGCGCAGCCTTGCTCGCACCGTCGAGCAGAACAGAGACGTGGACGTGGAGATGGTTCCCGCAACGTGGAATTGTCTGGGGAAAGTCGATGGAATTGGGAACATCTCCCGCGCTCTGCGGTTCAATTTGCGGTCAGCGTTGTCACCATCGATCCACAACCATGTATGCTGGATCCGGCATTTGAGCACTGGAGCAAAGCCGTGACTGCCACGTATGCCGCAAGCCAAGTGCTTCTCGAGGGATTTGTCCCGTTTTTGGGAACCCAACGTGGGTACAGTTGGACTCTTGAAGAATGTCCTCAGATCACCGTCGTTGCTATTACCACGAAAGCAGGACGACATATCAACTGAAGCAGGATATTGACAGTCCATGCGCAAGGAGAGGAGACAAGGCGTTTTTGGCAGGAGCTTGAGAGTGGGTTTGGCAATGGACCAATCTGACAAGGTGCTATATATACCTACAAGGTATGGCGACAGATGGATTGCCAGATTTGCATGACGCTGGGGAGTGAGTCTGCCGCTCGATGCACTCTGGAACCACCGAATAGTAATGGCGGGCAGGAGTGAAGTGGCCACTCGCAGAATGGCCGTGGCCAAGTTGCAGAGAGCAATACCGCTCATCAAGAAGTGATGAGGGAGGAAGGGAGGAAGGGAGGGGGGAAGACAAGGGAAGCGGAAGAATGAGAGAAGCCGGAGAATTTCTGGATGTCGGGCGGAAACCCCCCGAAGCTCCGACATGCCGACGGCGCGCGGTTTTTCCTTGCGCCTGCGCCTGCGTCTGCCTCTACCTCGATGGGCCATGGCCTCGTCTCTACCAATCCACCTCTCCACCTCTCCATCTCTGGCATCCAACCCATCCAATCCATCCATCAAGCATTCCATCAAGCAACATGCCTTGGCTTCAGTGAAACTCTTGGCCCTTGGGCTCCTCCCTTTTGGGCTGCCCCCCTTATCAGATCAAAACCCGGATCGTCTCTTGCCACTCGACTTCGTCCGTGCCGCGCGACCAGGCATCAGTCCACTCGCCCAGCTTCAGACAGGCGGGAAACCACACGTTCATGCATCCTAGCCGATGGCTTCCATCTGCCTCACCCAACCACGCGGCTCCATCAAGCCTTATTCCGCTTTGGGTAGCTGAGGAGCCACCCTTTGGGCTGATCTGAAGCTCTTCACCTTAACAGTCTTGCTTCAGAATCCTCGCCAAATGGAAAGCCAGGGCGATACGCGTCATGCCCTGACCACTCTGCTTCGTCCTGGCCCTGTCCTGTCTCCTCCAGCGAGCCTTTGTCGGAGTCCTGGAGGGTGGGAAACACCGATAGAGAGAAAGGGAAAAAGTATAAAGGTACCTGTGAGAAGTTGTCACTCGTTCACATCTGCTTCAAGCATTCGAGCCGACTGTGAATTTTCAAGTGAATCAATCTCGTGTCCCGCTCAGCCTCCCGCTTCCTCGTTTCACTGCCTCCAGACTTACTCGGAAATCCATCTCCCATCTCGTCAGAGAAAGGATCACAGCAACACAACATGGCCTTGCACATGCCAACCCTCTGGGCGCCCAATCTCTTCTATGTGGCCTCGTCCATCCTGATTGGCTCCACCATCGTCACGTACCTCCTGAAATTCATCAGATTCGACCTCAAGCCCTTTCTCTCCACAAAGCCCGGCAAAGCCCTCGAGGCCAGCCTTCAGACAGCCTTTGAGCGTTTCCTCAACATCCTATCCGTCTCAGATCCTCTCAGCCCCCCATCAAGCCCAACGACCATGTCTTCGCGAGGCTACTTGGAAAGCCTTCCCCACCGCCGAGGCTCTCGCCCCGAGGTTGAAGGCATCAGCAGCCCCATCCAGAAGACGCAACTACCTCCATGGGAGCAAAAGGACGTAGACGACCGCCTCCGCAACCTCATCATCGACATCCCAGAACGCTACCCCCAGTCCACCTATCTAGGCCGCTCGACCTTTGAGCCCGAGTCTCCGACCTCGCTGTATGCCCGCCACCGCGTCTTCAATGAGACAAAGTATTACGGAGAGATCCTCAGCGCCAACACTGAAGACGGGTTCATCCACTCCACGCTCCACCCCAGTGATGTCAAGACTGTCATCGAGAAGGGCTGGGGTCAAAGACATCCTCTGTCTGGCCGCGTTGGGTCTCGGTTCATGCGCCTCTTCAATGCGAACCAGCCGAGCCCCGTCGAGGGCTCTCAGGTTCTGCTCTACGCACCCCGCAACCAGGAAGACTTGGAGGCGATCAAGGATATTATCAACGCAGCTGTTTGGTGGGTCGGAGGCATCGACAACAAAGTTGACGACGAGAACTTCTGAGCCATGTATGAATGCCCCACGGATCCTTGCGTGTGGATTGCTATGACATGACTTTACGACGGGGTGGGTGGAATCTTTCAGTCGAGGCGCGGGGTTCATGATACGGAACAAGCTTACTCTATGGCGATGGAAGGCGCAAGGCCAGGGAACGAGACCGAAATGGAAAGGAATTGTACTACAGCCAGAATGTGATACTGGAGGACACTTGAGCTCACGCGCATGGAGCCGTCCAGGGTCTATCGGCAACAAAACCAGCAAAGCCAAATAGATAGCTAGAAAAAATGACATTGCCTCTCACGGCGAACAACATTGAAAGAGAGTTGCTGGGCTCTAGCTGCAGTATCTACATGTCTCTGTGCCGAAGGTATGCCCCACGAGGCACGTGAGCCTTAGACCGTCGATCAAGTAGGCAAGTAGATACCTAGGTGCGTAGGTACGTCTGTTGTATTCTAAACATAGACATTCATACATGCAGCCGTGGCTCTTCCCGCGTCCGCCCGCCAAGAAACGCTCTGCATGAGGATTGCCGATGAGGACGCCGATGAGGACGAGGACGATGGATTCATCCTTCCAACGACATGTGGCCATTTTACCTTGCCCTGTGGCCTGCGATTTCGCGCTTTCGCCTCGTCTTCTTCCTCCCCCCCCCCCTCGTCCGTTCGTCTTTTCCCCGTGCCGGTGAACGTGTGGGCGTTTCTTCGTCTGTCTACCTATGTAATCTTCCCGCCTGCTCTGTGCGCCCCCCGGATCCTTCTGCGTGTGTGTGGCGGTCGGTGCGTGGGGATGGTTGCGTGGGGACATACCTAGGTACACACACAGGACATAGTGGCAGGACGAGCGGGCGCGACTTGTTGCCAGGTTCGCCTCCGGCTCCGCCACTGCCTCCGGGGCATGTCCGGCTGGGCATACGTGCATGTGTATGTGCGTGGCTGGACGAGGTACTCCAGGAGTGGAGCGTTGGCATGCCTACCTACCATAGGTACATAGGTCTGTACCCTGCATGAGAACGGGAGGAGGGGGTTTCACAGTTCACGGGTCGTTTGTCGTCGTCATTGTCGAAGACGATCTCTGCGGTTCCCGCTGCCCTCATTGATTCCTCCCTACATGCCTTCCCCAGGGCGCGGAGAGGATGGGATCGACCTACTTCCATGTTCGGATATACCCTGCGACGGATGGTTGGGGGCGCAGGAAAAGATGGCCAGGGACCTTGTACTTGCGGCTGGTGTTGGTCATCTTCGTGCGTTCGTGCCTGAGAACATCGACCATACATCGTATCACATGCTACCATATCACATCATGCGCAGTAAACGTACCACATCAAGCTACATTATACGTTGTCTGCCCTCTCATTCCAACAGCCAACCATACCATTCAACTCCGCAAAGACACTCGTCCCATTCCGTCCTATGCCGACCAACGCCGTGCCATGTATACCATGCGTATACCATGTGTGAGCCAGAGACTGGACCTCACTGGCTCAGTAGTAGGTGGCATATTTGGAGGTGCCGTTGAGGACCTGCACGAAATTCCGCGCGATGATCCGGTCGGTTTGTTCGCTGCGTGAGGAAATGCGTGGATTAGTCATTCGTTTCTCAAAGTCTCGCGCTCGTAGGCTGGGTCCCGTACATTCGCATTCACATTGGCCCTTGGTTTTGTCTCCCCTAGAAGGAGAGGAGTGAAGGGAGAAAGTGAGGGACGAGAGACGGACAAGTGGATCAAGAACGCAAAGACTCACCTGGGATGCAATTCGTCAAACCACAGATACCCGTCGGGATTCGTGCCGTTCTGTCTCTTCACACACGTCTTCTGGTCCACAGTGCAGTGATTCTCGTATCCCCAGACGCATTCGCCGCCCTTGACCACGCCCGTGCCGTTCAGGTAATTGGCAGGGGCGTTGTAGATGTCGGTGATGAGCGCGTGGGTGTCGAAGAGAGCGAAGTGAGCCCCCGGGTAACGGTTCGCCACCAGGAGCTCGTAGGGGGTCTGGTACTTGAAGACGTTGTTGACTGTCGTGGTGAACTGCTGCATGGCATACGCGATCTCCGTGTGGTTGGCCGTCTTGTTCGCCCAGTACTGGTTGGCGCCAACGCCGTGCAGGGAGTCGTTGGCGTACAAGGGCGCCAGGTTCAACGGAGCGGTGTTCATGAGCACGAAGTGCCGCGCGCCGCTGGCGTAGAGCTTATCGAAGACGTTGTAGACGCACGACGTGTAGTCGGAGAGAACTTTGCCGGGGATTTGCGAGTCGGTGAGGAACGCGTACACGCCGAGGTCGTTGGTGCCAATCCACAGTGCGTAGACAGCGTCTTGGGCAGTCAATTTTGGGGTGAAAAGTTGGACGGCAGGCGTGGAGTTGACTCGTGTCGCTGGGATGTCGGCGACGAAGGCCGGCACCTCGTATTCCAGAACAGAAGGAAAGGGCGCGTCAATTGCCGGGAACCATCTGGAAGAGGCATATTGTTAGGATGTGATCCCATAAGAGAGAAAGATATGCATATAATAGTACGAACCTTGGTGTGATGTTGTTGGAACAGACAGCACCTGAGACAGCATAGTCATACAGTGTCATCTGAGGAGTCCATTTGCCTTGCACTGTCGCTCCGGTATATTGTACCACGTATCTGGGCCAGGTCCGTCCGCCACCAGGCGCACTGAAAGTTTCAGGCAACAAAGTGCCGGCAGGTGGAGCAGAACCATTGTGATTGATGAACCACCCTAAGCGAGATTCATCTGTATAGCTGTCACCGAACGTGATGAGGGAATTGAAACTTTTCAGCGACCATGGTTTGCTGCTGCTCTGACGTGGGAGCGCTGAGCTGGTGGTGGATGATGCGAACAGAGAGGCACCGAGGGCAAAAAGCCCTGCAGAGGAGAAGAGCTTCATGTTGAAAGCAGACACCAGCTCGTATCAGCAGTATTTTCCCGCTTGGCACATTGTGCAAGGTTGAAAGAGCTGCCGACACAGAGACCTTTTTATACTCTTTTTCATCCGGAGTCTGGAGAACTCCATTTTGCCTTTTTCCGTCTACCCTCTTGCAGAACCGAACTTTAGCTCATGAGGGACTGGACCTGATCCAATATCACGGGAGAATTCACAGTACTGCTACCATTCCAACCCGGAGGATTGTCGGTAGTACAGGTGATTCGGGAACACAGAATCCTGCGACCCGGCCCAATAACAGTGGACAGTAAACAGGAGCCCCATTGTGTGCGCGGCACTTGAACAGTGTTGGGGGGTTGCAGCAAATGAAAGGTTCGATTCCACGCGTCATTGACATCGAGACCTCGACAGATTTGGAAGCTGATATTGACGGCGTGACGGAGGGTGGTTTGGGATATGCCGGAATTCAGCCTGAAAGGATGTGTGGATCGTCGCCCTGTCCCCCGCAATCTTTGTGGGCAAGGTGGAGGTGCGGAGGATGCCAAAACCGGGTTGCGCCTGTGACCCTTCTCTTGTCTTCTCTGCCAGGGAAATGTTGGCTGCAAAATGTCCTTCAAGCTGTTGAATCTGGTGTCCAAGACGTTTCTGCAGAAGTGAAGAAGGCGCAGGCTCGGAAGAAAAGGAGGGCGCCAGCCTTGCGAAGTCTTGGCATCTCCTGACCACCAAGACGCTGGACCTGAGAGACGGGCAAAGAGACGAAAAGAAATCCATCGAAATCCATCGATCCATGCACCTATTAGAGGGGTCGGGAGGCGATATTGATCATCTATTATCCATAATCTGCTCTCAATACCCGGTCTTGCCACCGCAGGCATTCAATCCTGCCATTGACCAAGGCAGCTTTTCGCAGTTACAGCAACGTGACCAACTTTGTATGAAGGAAATGAACACCTGCAATCTCTCGGGCCCGTAGCTTCACTTCTCTTCAGCCAACCTCCGAGCTTGGGCGGGGGTGATACGCTCTCCTGTCCTGTCATAGTGTTTCGAAGCCAGAGTCTGCCATTTCTTCTTGTCGTAATTGTCCGCCCATGCTTTGAGACTATGGGGAGATGAGCTGAGTTTCCTCGCTTTACCGTCCGACTTTGGGGATTTGCTGGCGTCGTCCTGTGTTCAAGTTAGTTCACTCGAGTGTCAGGCTATATTGTTCGCCTGTGCATACCTTGTTGTCAGACTTGGTGCTGTCTTCCGTCTGCTCTTCTGCTTTCTTTCCTTCTTCTTCCTTTTTGGCTTTGGCAGCTTCCCTTTCCGCTTTTCTCCTTAAGCCTTCTTCACGATCTCTCTTAGCTTTCTCCTCCCTCGCAGAATCCTTATCTTTCTTGTCCTTCTTATTCTCGCCAGAATTGTTCTTGTCCCCCACGTCGAGTCGGTGGCTGATTTGTTTCCAGCGTGCTTTGAGCTCGCCCACATTCTTGAAGTTGGTGGTCTCTGCGAGGATCTCTTTCCACTGTGCTTGCTGATTCTCGCCTTTCATGCGTAGCAGGGTCCGATCGTCTTCGGTAAGATCAGAGTCACTGTTCTTGTCTTTTCCCTCTGGGTCCTCGTTGCCATCTTTGATGTCATCCTTGGTTTTGGCATCTTTCTTGTCTTCGCACTTGCCATCTCCCTTGGACTTGTCCTTGACATGAGGTTTTCCACAACAAGAGCACTAAAACAGTCATTAGCAACTCATGCTCAAACATTTCATCCCAGCTCTGCAACATGCGACTTTGACGGCTGGATTCCTTACCGGCTTTGGCTTTCTCGGCTTCGGGTCCGGGACACCCTTCATGGCGTCCCAGATCGACATTCTGATTGGGACTTGTCTGCCGTCAGGCTTCGTGTACCACATTGTAAAAGACATTGTGACGGCTGTGGAGGCACCTTCGGCTTGGAGGTCTAGTGTTGAAACCCTTGGATTCGCGAAGAAGGGGAGGATAGGATTTTAACACAGAGGATTGATTTGGGAAATGAAAGGCAGGCGAAGGGAAGATTCTGGTCTTAGTGTTGCCACATTGTCGCATGCGTCCGGCAGGCACTTGGTAGTGAAGAGGGCGTCATGTTGATCACACTAGGCCGTTGAAACGACCATTGGAAGACATACTGTGATAGGTTAGAACACACAGTCGTTAGTGGCAGTCTATCGCCAAGCTGTATTCAATACTATCATGCCATTGTTTGAACAAGGGTTGCCGTAGCAGATGCCCCCTCCGTAGCACTGTGGCCATCTCGTCGTTGAGGAACGTGAATGTGACTACCGACGTCAGTTAATGCCAGTTGTCCTTCTGAAGTCGGATCAGGCAGCCTTTTGTGAGCTTCTGAATCAAGTGAAAGTGTTTGCCGTAGGTGAACATGACATCTTAGATAGGCGAAGGGCTGGATGAGAGGTTGCATTTGTGGAGGCCCAAAGGATGTGACGCGGACAGAGCTGCCAAGAGATGTAATGACCGTCAAGTCAGGTCCTCGGGCCGAAGGACTGGGGCAGGCGCTGACAGCCCCTTTCTCAATTTCAGCCTCGCCAGTCGCCATAGTCACATAGCAAGTTCCCAGAACTCTGTAGTATCCAACAACCAAATCATTCGTCATTCGTGATCCTATACTATCTAGAAGAATCACGTATGATGATGAAGCAAAGCCCAAACCCCTCCAACTTCATCATCATATTTGTGCACTGCACCAAACCTTCAACAAGTCACTTTCATCCTTGTGTTCAGTAATGGAGCCTTCTCGTATAATTTCCCTTCAGATCTGTGCCCTCCCATAAATGCTGGTTCTTCACTTCTTCGGTGGAGATCTCCTGCGGCGATCCCCCCTTTCGGTGGAGCTAGCCCCTCGAATCCTCGACATGAGCGACAGAATGTGGCTTCGTTTGGTGAGCACCAGACACTTTCAATTCACGGGACTCGTGCGCGTCGCCATGTAAGAAGGTGCCGCCATACTTGTGGGACTGCCACGCGTACGGGACTTGAAGGTAAAGCTCATCCACCTGCTCGAGCGACAGACCCTTGGTTTCGTAGATGCAGAAGTAGACGAAAGCAAGGCATATCAGGCAGAACCCGCCCCAGACGAAAAAGACCTTGGCTTGGAGATTCGCATTTCCAGGGCCCGAGTTCACCATGTATGGCGTCGCATAAGCGATGGCCCAGTTGAGAAGCCAGTTAGACGCTGTGGTGAGCGCAAGGCAATTTGCCCGTGCCTTGAGAGGGAAGATCTCTCCAGTCACCACCCAGGCAACCGGTCCCCACGACGAGCAGAAGAAGAAGACGTAGATGCAAACGAAGGCAATCAAGACTTGGTTTGAAGCAGGGTCTGTGGGCCGGGCGGTGCCAACTGATGCGATGATGAGTTGGCATATCGCCATTCCAGCAGCACCGAATAGAAGCAGTGGACGCCGGCCCCATTTTTCGACCAGGTAGAGCCCGGGAAGCGTCGTGCAGACACTGACAACATTGATGATTACCGAGATTGTGAAGGCATTGGAGATACCTGAGCGTTGGAAGAACGACGTGCCGTAGTAGAAAATGAAGTTGACGCCAGTAAGCTGCTGAAGGGCTTGCAGGCCACAGCCGGTCAAAAGCCGTTTGAGCAAAGGCGGACGGAAGCAAGAAATAATGTTGGCCTTGCCAATCGACAACTCAAACTCGTGGTTGGCTCGAATCTCGGAGATCTCGTCGATGATGGCCGGATGATCGACGGGGAGTCGGCGTAGTCGGCCGAGTGATTTAGCTGCAAGATCCTCTTGCGATTTCTTGACGTAGAAACGAGGAGTTTCGGGAAGTACCAGTAAGCCGACGGCGAGAAACAATGCAAAGGCGAATTGCACGGCAATTGGGATCCGGTAACACCCTGTGTCGTTTCTTCCCTTGGTGGCATTGAGGACTATAGCGGCCACGAACAGTCCGATGGCGATACATAGCTGGTACGCGCCCACGATCGTCCCACGGAGCCATTTGGGAGCCGTTTCTGATTGATACAGGGGGATAGTAGCCGACAGCATGCCGACGCCCAGACCTGCAAAGAATCTTCCTGCAACAAACAGGGGGATTGCGGTGGAAATAGTCTGCAAGATGACTCCGAAGGTGAATATGATGTTGTCAACCATCAGAGCCCGGCGTCGACCCAAGGTGTCGGCGACTGGGGCGGCGAGTAGAGCTCCAAAGAACGTGCCGGCAGACAAGATGGACACGATTTCTGACGTCTGGCTGGCGGTAACGTTGAGTTCACCTGTGTCGTCAACATAGCCTGTGGAAAATGTGTTTTTCCAGTATTTCATGGCGAGGATGCCGCTGATGGTGCCGGTGTCATATCTGCGCCATCTTGTGAGAAAACGGTCCTGGAAAGGAGACAGGGCGCAACACGATACCCAAACAACACGCCTCCGGACGCAACAAATATGCCGATCAGGATTGCTGAGCCCGAAGACCCAGCAGAGTCTACCGGCCTCTTCAACGACAGCTTCATAACAAAGTGATTGGCAAATTAAGTAAATGCCCTCGTTCAAAGTCTGCTCGGCCAAGTACTGAATTTCTGGTGCGCAAGCCCAATGTGAAATACCGGGTCAAGGGTTAAGAGGTTAGACTCATGCGAAAAACAATTCTTGAGGGTTTCGATGCATATTGAAAGGATGAACCCATATTATATATACCTTCACCCCCATGGTGGAACCGCCGGTCCCACGCATGGGATACCAGGCGCTGAAGTATCCCCAGTCTCCACCAGCCCTCGGGTGGATACTATGATTATATTCCGGCTCTATGAGACTCGTTGCCATGATTATAGTCCTGCCGCATCCCCCAAATGGGAGAATGAAGGGCATTAAGCGCCAATCGAAGTCACGGAAGGCAGATTGTAGGAAGGGAATCCTTGAGCTCGGGCCGGCTGCGGATATGTTGCAAGCGACAAGGGAAGAAGGGATAGAAGCAGTGGACCTCTGAAGATCGTCTGGCTATTCAACCCAAAAGAGTAAACTTGCCGAGTGTTTTTCTTCGTTGATATGGTTGGAGCCAAATAGAGCTATGGAATGCTTGCCGAAATACCCTCCCTGCATTCAGATAAATGACGATTTCAATATTGGCGAATGTCGAAAGGTTCATGGTGGAACGAGCTCCTGTCCGGCCAGTGCTATAGTGCCCTCCCGCTTGATTCGCTGTCCGGTTTTCCTATGAAGGAAATGGTGGTCCGCATTCATTGTATTGCTGTAGCCACGAAAGGTTGCACTTCCAGTATGGGCTAATAGAGATTGGGAAGGGGTCTTTTCTCCAGTAACGCTGATATAGGGAGTACCAGGAGGATCAGGAGCGGAACAACGCCACCCGCCTAGTTATGAGTTTTGGGGCAATCACCCGATGCTTCAAGCAGAACACCGCCGTCCGGACCATGAAAAAGCAATGCTCCCAACCCGCGAGTTTTGCATGTTCGGTGGCTTTTTTCGAGCATTTGATCGAGTTGTGCCTACTCTTGATGTGCTTTTTCCGACGGCCCTGGGTTTCCTAGGTCTTTGACGTGCTGAGGGGGACCTGATTCTCAATATCGCTCTGCAGTTCTAGGTGACTGGACAATCAAGTGCGAGTTGCCTATCCTCAACATTCAAGCCCTGCCAGGCGAGGACAAGGAAGATTCGATAATATGAAGTTTCAGCGTCGACTCAAGGGAACCAGCTGTCGACGGGCCCTATACCATCACGCACTAAGGCCGTTTGATCATAAATATCTGAATAGAGCTATCTTGTACTCATCAAGACTAGAACGTTTCTTCTTCCTTCAGACAACGAACGTCAAGACATCCCCTCCTACATTCCCCCACTCTCGTACTCGACAGATACTGAGATACGAAAATCATGGCGAACAGTCCTCTGCTGTCGACTATGGTAGAGCAAGAGTCTGCACATAGGCTCACACTGCTGGATGTCCGCTTCTGCCTTCAACCCCCAGTCATCTTCCACCTATATTCTGATCCCTGGGCTCGCAATCTAGTGGTGTAGTCGATCGTGCAATGCCTGCCCATCGGCGAGATTCCTGTCAAAGTGATACAGAGGCTCGAGTTTGGCGTCCTTGTTGAACAGTACGTAGCGCTTGAAAGTGTATGGAAGTGTTTGCTTGACCTGGTAAGCCATGTGCCTTCGCGTGGGGACGGCAAATATGTGATCCAGCTCCTCTAGAGTTCGTTGTTTGGTCTTTAAGACGAATTGGTCAGTTGATCTTTCTGGTGAAGCTCATGGGTAGGAATTTGGAATGACTTACTTCTGGAACCCAAAGAAATATCATCACAAATGCCACGATATTCAAGGCGCTTCTGGTAGTTAGCAAGGGATTTTTGTGTCTGAGAAAGCGATGTGACTGACGCATAGAATCCAAAAGCTCCCTGAGGAGTCAAGGCTCCCAACATGCGAGGGAATGTTAGACTCAATACTGAAGACCAGAAGAAACACGTCGCCACACCCCACGCCATGCCGACCTCTGTTTGAAGTTAGCTATGGGACAGAAATACATGGGGACAAACACGGGGAAGGTACCTCGATGAGACAGCGGGAATGCTTCTGCTGTGTAGGTGAAAGGCACGGGGCCTTCTCCACAGGAATAGAATGCCGTAAAAATGTAGACGAAGAGCGCTACAAGTCCGACATGGGCTTTACTTTCTGACGGAATCCAATAACAGAAGCCAGCCGCCAACAAAGTCCACGCCATCTGTGGGAAAGTGAATAGCAAAAGCGATCGACGACCAAAGGTGTCAATGGTGAATACAGCCGGCCACGCGAAGACAAAGGCAACCAGGCCAAATCCCAGTGATGCAGCCAGGGCTCCTGTTACTGAAGCACCGGCCTGAGCGAAGATTGTCGAGGAGTAGAAGGCTAATCTGACATCAGACAAATCATAAAACCACAGACGAGGGAGCATCTCCTACCAATAATGTTGATTCCGCAAAGCTGTTGGCCAATCATCACCACAAAGGACGCTAGAGTAGAACGTCGGATGCGTGGAATCGTGAAGAGCTCGGTGAATCTGCGGAAGTATGTGGAAGGATGAGCGCCCAGGAGCTCTTTCTCCAGCTTGATCTGGTAGCTGATGTAGTATAGATCTCTGGCAGCCTGTAGCTCGGTATTGCGAAGGCGGACAAGGGAATTGTAGGCTTTCCGGTACATTCGTTTCTTGATGTAGTAACGAGGAGATTCGGGCACAAGGAAAATAAAAGCCCACAACGGCACTGCTGGAATGAAGGCTGAGCCCAGCTGCAATCGCCATGCGATGCGACCAACATCTTTCACCGCCATGTTGGCCGCACAGCCGAGGAAGATCCCGAAAGCAGTCCATAATTGCCAGGACATCACAAGCTAGAGGTTGTTAGTTGCTGACTCTCTGCTTGGAGATTGTGGATTGAGAGACAACGCGTAGGATGAAAGACATTTGGTTGCTAGGAGAACTTACCGCGCCTCGAATTGGAGCTGGGGTATTCTCGGCAGCAAAGATGGGAATAGTTGATCCTTTCAGTCCCATTCCCACCCCTAGAAGAAGCCTGGTCACGAAAAGTTGCTCCCAGGTTTGAGTGACAGCGGATCCAATGACCGAAAAGCAGCAAAATATCGCAGAGATGAAGATAACAGGACGTCGCCCTAGCCAATTGTTTAGAGGGTCCGACAGCCAGCAGCTGAACAACGCCGAGGCCATATATGGAGCAGAATTGACCACTCCAACAATCCACTGGTTTCGAGCTGCGTTAGGAGAATCCGCAGAGTCGGGAATGCCGAATTCCACAGGGAAGGATAGGTTGGCGCCGTTGGATCCGGTCTGGTCCCAACCCTGTACCGCAGCACCGATAGAACATAGTGCTATGGTAAGATACAGTGTCCAAGGCTGACGCCATTTGCGTAAAATTTCGTCTTGAAGGGCAGTCTTTTCGGCGTCGGTGATGCCGTCGACACTGTCAAAGGCAGCTGGATCCTGAGCGACTAATGCACCCCTTTCGAGGAGGAGAAGAATGTCGACAAGGTCGTTTCCTTGAGCAAAATTCTTCACGTCTTGTAGTAACTCTTCTGCAGGGATACCTGCCAGCGGATTGGTGATCCTTTAGACTTGTAAGCAGATCGCATCTTGATTGTACAACCATTCATTGCTCACTTTGCAGATGTGTTATGATTGAGATCGACACCAGCGTCGCTCCTATGCACGCTCTTCTCGATGTCACTGCCACTCCTATTGCCATATTGATAAGCCTGAGGAGGTACGTTGAGCATAACAAGACTTACGAGTGATGCTCCTCGTGCGCCACCACTTGATCGAATTTAGTCGCCATTGCGGATTGTTACTGAGAAAGGATTGAGAACTAGGAGCCAATCTTCAGAGGAATGAAATCGCATAAAGTATATATACACATCCTGTGCAGCATCTCTGGTTTTCGCGGAGTCCCCATATGGAGAAGTCTCATCTATGGCCGCCCAAGGATTGTGGGGCCGACGAATCTCACAGGAAGCATGGCCTAGACTTCTGTAGAACGAACCTGGGCATGAAAGATATACGGCTATCTTCCCCATAATGGGGATATAGTCGCTGGGATTGCATCGACTCAGCGATTAGTCCATCTGAGTCCATCCTGGATCAGTGTTTACACTTCTCGAAGGCTTGAAAAATCGCTGTGTTGATCAAGGCACTCTGCGTCTGAAAGCTAGGCAATCACTCCGTTTCTAGGCACTTACACGGCCAGCGGTGACTTCCCTCGGTGAGAACGAAGTGGCCGCTACTGACTCAGACCAATCATGACAGCTTGCCCTTGTTACGCGAGCCGGGTTGTTGGTGGTGGTGACGCTCGAGGCGAGTCAAACCCGATCACAAGGAGGTGGAAACACTCGTCTATAATGCCAAATTGGGTCATATAGCCGCCAAACTGCTCCGATTGACTTCAGGCTAGGCCAGTAAGGTGGCCCAGGACTGAATAGTTACCATCCGACATCAATTCTCGCCAGATATCCCCGAAAGGGGATTCCTAACGGCCTTGGGTAAACAAGCAAGTCGTCTCTGGGTCCTATGGGCTCTTTCAACATCCAGATGCAAATCAGGTTGGAGTTACGTCTTGTTGGCATCATCAAAAGGTTGAATGAATATATATCGGTAATGTTGTCCAAAGATCATTTCCTACAACAACTGCAACAACAATCATTCTATCTCATTTCCTGCCTCCAGACTCTCTTCCACAATGATTCTCTTATGGCTTATCCCAGCATGTCTTGCAACACTCCTTCTCTTCGTGGTCGTGGAACACGTAGCGATCTATCTTTCGGACCCGAAGGGACTTCGGAGGTACCACAACCTCAACCTTCTTTGTGGTATTACCAACCTAGGATACATCCTCCATCTTTGGCGTGGGGATGTATTTCGAACGCGCGAACTGACGGAAGCCCACCGTCGTCACAAGGTGGTCCGCCTCGGACCAAATGCTCTTTCCTTTGGAGATTTGCGAGCAATCAAAGACATCTACGGACATGGCACTCCGTGCTCCAAAGGCGACATGTATTCCGTGCCGGCCGGCGAGCATCGGAGCATTCTGGATAGCGTGGACAAACAGGAGCATGCCGAAAAAAGGAGGCGATTGGCCGCTGCATTCGCAACCAAGCATCTCGAGGCGTGGGAATGGAAAGTCGTTGACAAATGCGAGATGCTTGTGGCACAATTAGATCGCCGTTGTGTCCCTAGTCTCAAGGAGGGTATTGTTGACACCGAGATGGTCGACCTGCGAAAGTGGACGAATCTCTTCACCGTCGAAGCCATTGCAGATATCGCTTTGAGTGAGCGCCTTGGGATGCTCGAAGCTGGCGACGACAAGATACTGGCTCTAGAGAAGAACGGTATGACCCGCGAAGTGAGCTTTATCAACAGTCTCCACGGATTGGGGCGATCAATAGCCCCAATCGTATGGTCGGGGCGAGCTTATGGTCTCCTAAAACGGGTGGTGCCCGTGTTCTCAACGAGCTTCCAAAAAGAACAGGCTAAGAATACTACCTACGATGACATTGTTCGCTGGTTAGTGCAGAATCGTATACGGAGACAAATCAAGGGGGAAGCACTGGATGACTTCTTCGCCTCCCTCTGGCATGACAAGCAGGGACATGTGACGAATTTACAGGTCGGCGAAATCGAGGCTGAAGTCAGCGTGTTTAGTATGTTTCTCATCGTTGTGTCCGTGAGGATATATCTAACAGACTACAGTGAACGCCGGGTCCGACACTACAGCCATAGCATTGACACATGTCCTGTACTACCTACTCAAAAACCCGGAGAAGCTCGCAAAACTACAGAAAGAACTGGATCAGTCCCTGGGGCAGCAGGATGCAATACCTTCATATGGGGCAGTAAAAAATCTGCCATATCTGCGAGCTTGCCTTGACGAATCTCTGCGCCTTTCGCCGCCCGTGTCTTTTGGTCTCGAGCGCAAAACGCCTCCAGAAGGAACAACAATTGCTGGTCAGTGGGTCGCAGGCAACACGCTGGTCTCGGTCCCGGCATACACGGCACACCGGGATCCAGTCGTATTTCCCGAGCCCGACAAATTCGTTCCAGAAAGATGGCTCGTAGACGGGGCAAAGGAGATCCAAAAGTATTTTATCTCGTTCAGTGCGGGTGCCAGGGGCTGCATCGGCAGGAATATCACCTATATCGAGCAGTTTATGCTCATAGCAACTTTGGTGCAACGTTACGATCTGGCCTTGCCATACAAGGACTGGGAGTTGACGTGGGAAGAACGCTTTAACCTTTGGCCTTGCGCCTTGCCACTGAGGATATCGCGCAGGTGTAATAAGGACTAATTTGGCAGATGTTGTGAAGCAGGTGTGACGGATAGAAATACTTCTGTGCTCTGAACAGGGTGAATCGTTTTTCAAATAAGACATACTACAAGGGGATTGACAATGCTAATGAGGGCATGTCTTATGTCCTCCCGTGAGAATTTCAACCCTAATCCGGGTTGTCAGCGCATTTTCTATACAGCAGATCCTTTGCAATTGTGCACATGTGGCCATTAAAGAGTCAAAAAAGGTGGCGTATATTCGTCACAGACACAGCACGAGCCAGTATTGACGAGAATATGAACATGTAAATGGCCCCGCACCATTTGCCCTTTAACCGTCAAGGGGTTTATAGCCAAGGCGCTAGCAACTGTACCTATTTGGTATAAAAACAGCCTTCGGGACAGATAGATTTACTGTAGCTAGTTCCAACGGCACGCCTCAAACTGCGCTCAAGAGGCTCAATCCAAACCGATTATCCTCGCGCCGAGTTACATAGGATGGAAATGCTCGGAGAGCTACAGACAGCGCGAGTAAATAAAGCCAGAAGTCGAAGAGGTACGAGTCATCTTCCTGCGTGTTGTAACATCAGCAGACTGACAATGGCGCAACAGGCTGGTAAGCTTGCCACGCTGCCACAACGCTCATGCTGACGTATCTTAATCTATAGCCTGACGTGCCGTGCGCGCCATATTAAGTGTGGAGAGGAGAGGCCAATCTGCGCCGTGTGCCGCAAAGCACGGCGGCAGTGCCATCAACCAGACTTTATCCATGCACTGCCCCAGAGTGCTTCTTCAAGAATTCGCAGTGAGACGAGGCCAGATGGTCCGTGCAGTGAATTGGATGACACATGTCATTATAGATTGTGATCCTGTCGCTGACTGGTGCAGAATTCGGGCCCAGGTCCCAGCGTCCTGGGCACTCGACCATCTATTCCGAGGCGCCGAATTTTGCACAGGACGCCGCCGCTGATACGGGCGGACTTGCTGTGGCATACGACCCTGCACCCTGGGGTCCTACAGCATTAGATGAGATCTTGCTGCCCGCAGACGACAAACTGAAATACGTAACACCAAAGTGGATCGAGTTTCACTCCCTTACCCAAGGCTTTTCATCTCCCCCGGCTCCATCTATCTCGCCACGCACTGCTTTCCTGTTGAGGACCTACGAAACAGGGATAGGACCTTGGATGGACGTTTTCGATTGCTCTTTGTCATACCAACAGGGCCTCTTGCAACTAGTACCACAGTCACCACTATTGCTCAACTCCACTTGTGCTCTCGCCGCCCGTCAGCTCAGCCTGATCACCGACCCCCACACATGGACTCCTGTAGCAGAACATCATTACGGAGAGAGTCTGAGCATGTTGAGGTCAACACTCGAAACAGCCACCATGAATGCGGAACATGCACTAGTTGCGACCATCCTGCTGAGTAGCTATGAGTTGCTAGCCTTTCCAGGCCTCAACTATCACCGACATTTTCGGGGCGCGAAATCCTTCGTGGAAGCACTGGAGGCATACAAATCTCCGAATCGCATGACGCGTGCATCATTCTGGATCTATGCCCGACACGAGGTTGGACAGGCACTGAATTTGGAACGTTCACCCATGCAGAATCCCACCAGGTGGCCAAAGCAGGACCTACTTCAAGCGGAGAACATAGGCGAAGATGTGTACTGCAATGACGCTCTAAGGCTGTGTGCCGAAGTCATTCACCTAATCTTTGGCTCGGAGCCCACGAGGCGAGGCAAGAAATGGGTCAACGACTGGTCATGCTTGCACGAAGAATGGGACAGCTGGATTCGCAACGCCCCCAAAATCTTCTTTGGGCAAGAATATATCGACCAAGACTCTCGCCGCCGGTACTGGTTCCCGAGATCTTCTTTCGCATCGGCCTTGTGCTTCTATCATGTATCCCAGGTTTTTCTGCTCACAAACCGTCCCAAGACGGTCCAGAAAGTGGCGGAGCAGACTTCGGGCTTGAATCTCGAGCAGCAGATAGAGCAACATGCTCAGACGGTCATCGATATCGCCCTGTCAGACATGCCTGACGGCGTGCAGGTCGTTATGTTCCAGCCAGTCTTTCATGCTGCAAAGCATGTCCATGATGTCACTAGAAGGGCCGAAGCCATCACACTCCTGGCGGATATTCAGAGAAGGACTGGTTTTCATACGGAGGTCAAAGTTGGCATACTGAAAGCCTTGCCAGGGCTTCCGTAGCATAGTAACTTATCCCCAGCATGATCCGGTGGCTGTTGCAGATTTTGCATGGCAACGATGTCGCAGTTGGCAAGGCTCAAGATTGGTTTTCCGCTTTTATATTACGAAGCACCCTCCATGGGGGGGGGGGTGAAATTTGGAGGATTGGACCGTGGCAAGCACAGAGACTACCATGGGACTGGTCTCGGTAGGCGCCGTTGGGCTCGGTACCGGTTTTACCAGTCGCCATCGCGGACATCCACGTTGTAGACGGGATAGTCACGCTGTATTGAAGTCTATTAGCAGAGTGCCATGGCTGGGTGGGTCGTACGTGATGTTCGAGCAGATACCGAGTAGGACTCTCTATATATCTTGCCAAGCACAATCCCGATTGGCCAGCTCTGGAGCCCCTGGAAGTCAGGGACAAAAACTGCGGAGTTCAAAACCCCAAGTGGCTTGAGGACACTTTTATTTGGCTGCGGTCTTTCTCAATCATCTCCTGCTCGATCCTGCCGTCAACGCCTCCCGAGACGCCTCTCTACCTTACACTCGTCTCTGACGCCCGCCAGAGAGAAATTCTCCCGCAGACTCAAGAAAAATGCGTTTTGGGAGAGCAGCGGCCTATGCCGCGTTTGCGAGTTGGATAGGGGCAGCCCTGGCACACAACATCGCGCTGAAAGCACACACAAGAGAATGTTTCCATGAAGAGCTGCACAAGGACGACAAGATGACGGTGACCTTCCAAGTCGGCGACCGCGAATTTGGAGGTGCCGGGAACTTGGAGATTGATTTCTACGTATGCAATACCCATCTACGACCCGTTGAGCCCATCGCAATATCGAGTCTTCCTGCTGACCATTGGCTGTGCATGCATTTAGATCACCGATCCTTCAGGCTCTTATGAAACACAACTCAACTCCGTCTCTTCAGGCGACTACTCGTTCGATGCCCGCATGGATGGAAAATACATATACTGCTTCAGCAACGAGCATTGGTCCGCCAATAGCAAGGAGGTCTCGTTCAACGTCCACGGCATTGTCTACGTTCCTGAATCCGAGGCACCCCAAGATCCGCTGGAAACTGAAGGTTTGTCAACTTCCCGATTCTCCCAGGCTGCCGCAACGAGACTAATTGTACATGCGCCTAGTCCGCGCACTCTCCGATCTCCTCGCCCAAGTCAAAGACGAGCAAGCTTACATTGTCGTCCGCGAGCGAACACACCGAAACACCGCAGAAAGCACAAATTCAAGAGTCAAATGGTGGTCGATATTCCAACTGGGCGTGTTGATAGGAGAAGGCGTGTTCCAGGTGTGGTGGCTGAAGCGGTTCTTCGAGGTGAATAGCCGACCCCTTCCATGATCCCATGGTTTCGCGCCGTCTTTAAGCCCGGTTCTATTTGTTGGGGTGGGTGAACTGTCTGAATTTGCATCTGGCTGGACCAAAACACAAAAGTGGGAATTTGGGCTGACCGCCGTCTACGTCACAGGTCAAGCGCGTTGTATAATAGTCACGAGGTCTTACGAGATGAAAAAAGAAGGGCCCCGGCCATTGCCATTTCACTGTCTATCATCACCCTTGAGGCTCGACACTGGGCGCCACGGATTGTTCAAGTGTGGAGCCAGAGCAACACTCTGGAATTGCGAGGAAGGCTTTGCTGCTCCAGATCTCGCAGGCGTGTTCGCAGTCATCGCGATTGGCGAGAACAGTCAGCGACAACGTGGCGTGGATGGATATGCACGTCAATTGCATCCGCTGACTCTGGAGAATGTGGGCTTGAGAAGCAGATCAAGCATCTGCTGGTCCTGGAACCGAGGACGAGGGAGATACAAATGGAAGACGGCACAATCTCCATTACATGTGACAGAAGACGTGTATGAGAAGAAGTAGCAGAACAAATTACCCTGGCCGGGTGAGGCAGCCTCAGGTCACGACACCCACAAACCTCCCTTCCTTTCCGCACCCATATCAAAAAAGAAACCTCGTCCATACAGACCAGCTTCGTGGGCAACAAAAACTCTCAGTTCGAACCCGGGTTCGAACTGAGAGAAACCACTCCGGGTTGGAGCACAAGGCCCCTACCACAGAAGGTTTTTTTTTTTAACTTGTTGTTGTTGTCGTTTGTGTTTGTTGAGTAGTCTCTCGTTACAAGTCACACCCTTTCTCTCCGCCTTCATCTCGGCCACGCAGGAGAAGAGATTGGACAGATGCTGGAAGATCAGATGATATTAAGACAAGCCGATGTTACCACCGCCGTCGACGTCGGATTTTTGAACCCTAGTCGGAAAGCTGGCAGAAATTGCGGCTTTGAAAAATATATCATTGTTTTTTTCTCGAGAGGAAGTGAATAGAGTGAGAGTGCTGTGGGTGGGTGGTGAGTGAAGGGACCGGCAACGACTTGATGGCCATCCTCCCACCGCACCAACACCGCCCCGTGTCTTCCTCACCACCACATCCTTTTTCGTCTCACTCAGATCAGTTTGCGCCTTTTGCTCATGAAGCAGATTCCATGTGGCTGCCATCTCGACAAGAGAAGTCGATGTTCAATTTAACTCCTCGCAAGCCCTCTTCCAGCAAATGGTTCCAGCGCAGTCATCCTGATGGCGCCATGCTCACCGCGGCCGCGCCCAACACCGGCCCAGCGGCAATCAATCCTGGCCTAGCGAACCCGAAATACGAGGCGCGCCATCGTGTGCTTTACCTGATCCAATCCATTGCATCGGCCAGTGGCTTGACCTCGGCTTCGCTTGCAAGCACTTCGTTCCTTCACCCACCGCGTCCTCCTCCTCTCCTCCTGCTCCCCATCACACGACTGCACATAACCGGGATGGGCATGGTTTACGAATCTTGGAATGCGCCAACTTGCTCGGGGACAATCCTCTCGTCGCATCGCAAGCGAGCTCTGCTGGTGGGCTCTCACTGGGCGGTCATTTCCTTCGGCTGAGGAGATCACTCCGTACCATTGGCTTGGTGGCTCTGATTTCCCATCGAACGGCGTCAAAGCTTGCCTTGCCCATCCTCGATCCCCTTACCGAAGTGACTGGCGGTACCCCTTCTGATGGCCGGATAGTCTTCTTTCCGAGAGAAGCTCGTGGACGATCGGAAATGTCGTGATGTTCCCCCAGGTTTGTTGATACTCTTCTTGATGCTACGTGTTTGTGTTTCACATTCTTGTTTATCTCGGCATGCATTTATTCCCCATCGTTCAGTCCAAGCGTGTTCTTGAGCCGTTCGTGCCGCATTCCTGAGCGAATATCCTTTCTGCTACTTACATCTCTTAACGTCCCTCACCGTCGAGAGATGAGGTTCCCTTGGTCGAAGGCCGCAGAGGTGGACAAGCCATCAGACTCGGATGTCCAAGATAGTCATCTCAGCACTCCTTCGGAACAGCCAGTCTCAACAGAAAATATTGACCCCGAGAAGAAACCGGTGCCCGCCGATTCGAACGGCGCTGAGCCCGGGTCACTCGAATCGCCATCAAATCCAGCCACTGCACCACCTGATGAAAAGTCCGCGGAAGAAACACATGAAGAACTATCCCGCAGAGATTCAACAGCAACCTCCGATGCGGGGGAGCCGGGAGAAGATGATGAATCCAAGTACGCTAAAGGCTTGCCATTGCACCTTTTGACGTTCGGCCTGACTCTGTCAACGTTCGTCATTGCTTTGGACAACACCATCATCGCAACCGCCATCCCCAGGATAACCACAGTATTCAACTCTCTGGATGATGTGGGCTGGTATGGCTCCTCGTATCTGCTCACGACGACCTCGCTGCAACCGTCCTTCGGGAAGATCTATACCTATTTTAACGTGAAATGGACCTATATGGCTGCCCTGGCCATCTTCGAAGTCGGCTCAGTGCTGTGTGGTGCGGCAAGGAACTCGACCATGCTGATCGTGGGCCGCGCTGTAGCTGGAGTTGGTGCTGCTGCAATTTTCTCCGGTGGTATGACAATTGTTGCGTATTCTGTGCCTTTGCGGAAGAGGCCGATCTATATTGGCCTGTTGAGCTCCATGTTCGGCATTGCATCCGTTGTTGGACCGATCCTGGGAGGAGCCTTCACAGACCGTGAGTCCCGGTTGAAGCACCTCAGAGAGATACAGTCTGCTGACATCGCTCCTTAGGTGTATCATGGCGTTGGTGCTTCTACATAAACCTTCCCATCGGTGCGATCGCCATCACGGCCGTGTTTTTCTTCTTCAAGAACCCCGAGCGCAGGCATAGCAACTTGACCTTGAGGCAGAAGATCGGCCAGCTCGACCTTCTCGGCGCGTTCTTCCTGATCTGCGCCATCGTCTGCCTCCTGCTCGCCCTGCAGTGGGGTGGAGTCACCTACGCGTGGTCCAACTCGAAAGTCTGGGGCTGCATCCTCGGCTTTGGGTTGTTGATCATCGTCTTCACCGGCATACAGCTGTGGAAGGGCGACCTGGCCACTCTCCCGCCGCGGATCATGCTCAGGCAACGCACCGTCTTTGTCTGCGCGTTCTTCTCCGCCTTCCTCGCCATGGCCTTATACACGCACATCTACTACCTCCCATTCTACTTCCAGGCGGTCAAGGGCACGACGGCCGAAGAGTCCGGGATCCGCACGATCCCGTACCTGGTCAGCATCACCATCTCGTCCATCGTCGTGGGCGCCAGCATCACGACGCTGGGGCCCTACGTGCCGTTCACGTGGGTGGGCTCGGCCATCTTCGCGGTGGGGTCGGGCATGCTGTACAGCCTGAAGGTGAACTCGTCGACGGGGACGTGGATCGGGTACCAGATCCTGGCCGGGTTCGGGGCGGGGGCGTGCGTGCAGGTCCCCTTCATCGCGGTGCAGGTGGTGCTGAACAAGAAGGACATGCCCGTGGGCAACGCCGTGGCCATCTTCTTCAACTCGCTCGGCGGCGCCATCTCCATCTCCATCGCCCAGAACATCTTCTCCAACACCCTGGTCAAGGAGATCCCAAAGTACACCCACGGCGTCAACCCGCAGACCATCATCATGGCCGGTGCCACCCACATCCGCGAAGTCACCCCGCCCTCGCAGCTTGCGGGTGTGCTGTACGCGTACAACATCGCCGTCACGCACTCATACATCCTCTCCATCGCGTGCGCGACCATTGCATTTTTGTTCTCGCTGGGCTTTGAATGGAAGAGCGTCAAGGGGAAGAAGATTGAGATGGGTGGAGCGGCGTAAATCCGGGAGGAGACAGGTCAGAAGGAGCAAGACCAAAACGGATGATTCGATATTTTTCTCTTAGAAGAAACAAAAGAATATAAATCTACTCCTAGTTGGCGGTACAGCCCAGGTATAGAAATCATACTGGGCCAAAGCCTGCCGGGAGGGTGAATGCCGGGTCCTCCTGGTTCCAAAACGCCATAAAGTCAAACCTCAGAACAGCATCGAGAAGTCCGGTCTGCAAGGGGTCATCAGTTAGCACATATAAACACACACACATGCACACACGAAGGAGACAAAACGGAACTCACCGCGTGGGAAGACGTCTGGGGCGGAACCGCCCAGCAGCAGGCCTGGGTCGACAGGGCGGTATGCTCGAGCGGGACACTCTCTCCGTCCCTGTCATTCTCGCAGTCGCCGTCACCGCCACCCTCGCCGGCGACAGCGCGGTGTGGATGACGCGTGAACCGCAGAAGGTACGAGCCGGTCCCGGCGGTGTCAAAGCCCACGTCGACCAGCCTGATGCGGTTCTTCGCCGGCACGTCGGAGCCGACGATCGGGGCGGCGAGGCCGGCCTCCTCGACGCGGACGACTCTCATGGCGATCTGGGCGAGGATCTGGCCGTCCAGGCCGCACTGGCGGAGCAGGTCGACGGCGCGGCGGCGGAAACTGGCGTTGCGGTACCGGGTGGCGACGAAGAACAGGGCGGGCACCAGCCGCGTGCGCCGCCGCTGGACCAGCAGGCTGCAGCTCACCACGACGTGCTCGAGCGTGCCCGCATACGCGTCGAAGGCCGCCTCCTGCCTGAACGGGCCGCAGCGCGACAGCACGTGCAGACACAGGTGGTACGTCCGCAGCAGGTGCAGGTCCATTAGCATCGCCGCGGTGAGGTGGGCGTACATGTCCGACTCGAAGGCCGTCAGCTCGTCGAGCCACGCGTTGAGGCGGGCGGTGAGGTGCGGGACGATCTGGAATCTCGTCTGCGGGGGCGCGCCGTCCAGCTGCGCCGAGGTGCATTCAAAGGCAAGTCCTTGCAGGGCTCGCGCCGCCTCCTCAATGCGCGCCCAGAGCTGGAGCGGTTCGAGCTGCGGGTACAGCGGGATGCTGTCCGTGGCGGCGTCTCCCTTGCACCACCAGGACATCGACTGTGGTCGGGCTATGTGATACAGTTCGCTGGTGTGCAGCTCGAGCCTCGAGAAGATCTGGTCGAGTTCTGCAATGGCCGCGTTGTTACTGGTGCTCCTACTGCGGTGAAGCGATGCCGCCGCTGGCCTGTACGCAGCGAGGATCTTTCGGCCGGCGATGAGGTGCTGGATGGCCGCGAACGAATTCTCTTGGAACTCGTCACACAGGACGAGCAGGAGGCAGGCCATAAGCAGGAAGCCCGGGTCCGGGTTCTTGCTTCGGCTGAGGAGCTTCAGTGCCCTGCCGTAGTGCGCGAGGAAGACGGTGTCCTTGTCCGACGGCGGCTTGCAGGGCTGGAGGAGTCGGTACGACCCCAGCCTGGAGGCCGCGATGGTGAGGTGCTTGATGCTCTCGTCGACATGGCAGGCCTGCAGCACCAGCTCGTTCCAGAAGTAGTGGCTCCCGTAGTTCAGCATGCCAGGGGCACAGACTTGAACGAAGAATCTAAACGCCGTCACGGCCTCGCGGTCGCATTGCGTGGGCATGGGAGAGTCTATTACCAGCATGACGGCCACGGGAGGCGGATCGCGTCCCTCTGCCTTGGGCGCTGGATAGCCGTCGCATTTGCGGCCTGTGCTTAGACAGCGGTTGCAAGAGGGCTGGCCGTAGTCGCACCGAACACGCCTGACTTTGCATGTGATACAGGCTCTTCCGCGGCGCCTTCTCGAGCCGACCCTTGTCGCGCTCTGAGGAGGATCCAAGACCTCGACCATCTCTTGCTTTCAAATCCGTGAAGGGAGTGATTGATTCCGTCTCCGGGTCAGCTGTCCTGGATGGCTGCGCTGGATTCGAATTGCGATGGGGGCAGGTTTGAAAACGACAAAGACATGTTCGGCAGCCGTCGACCTTCTGCAGGACGAACCGGCCGAAGATTGAGTTCAAGGCCCATGTTGCCACATCGTGCCTCGTAGGAGCCACCAAACCTTGGGGAATCTGAAGTCGGCGACGGAGCCTCGAATTCAGTAAGTCCGCCTCTTAAGCCCGCGACATGCGATTGGCCCGCTCGCGCAACTAGACGTTAGCTGCATATCGCGACCCCAAAGTGCCCTTCCTTTGTTTCCCAGCCGATGTATCACCTTCAGTCGCAAGGCTCGATCAAGGACAGATCATATAAAGACCTTGCAGATGCAGTATTAATGCGGGACGACATTCCTCCGACGTCCACCGGATACGCTATGTCCGACGGGAGACCAGCAGCGACCAGGTACCAAGTACAAAAGCGCAGGATGTTCTGCAGAATGAGAACAACCTCTTAATAGACAAGCCAGCAGAGCAGAGATCTCAACTTCTCTGTCCAGGCTATTACCCCCAATATGTCATCATCAGTCACAGCAGATCACACTGTCGTCCTCATCACAGGCGCCAACCAAGGGATCGGCTATGAGTGCGTCAAGAAGCTGGCCGCTGAACAAGCCAACTACCACATCCTGCTCGGCTCCCGAAGTCTACAACGAGGAAAAGAGGCAGCCAGCAGCATAACAGATCTGGCCCAAGGGACCTCGGTCGAACCTCTCGAGCTCGATGTCGATGACGACGAGTCCATTGCCAGAGCTGCCAAATACGTCGAGGAGAAGTTCGGCCGGCTTGACGTCCTGCTCAACAATGCCGGAATCAGTAGTGTCAAGGACGTGGGGTTCCGCGAGAGCATGACTCAAGTGCTTCAGACCAACACCGTCGGCGCCGCATGCGTGACGGAAGCATTCATTCCGTTGATGCGAAAGGCCCAGATCCCGCGGCTCCTGTTCATGTCCTCCGGGCTCGGCTCTATCACACTCGCTCTGGACCCTTCTTTCCCATACTACGGGTTGGGAAATGCACCCGGGATCAAGGGATATATAGTGTCGAAATGCGCAGAGAATATGGTCGGGGCACTGTATGCGGTTCAGCTGGGGAAGGAGGGCTTCAAGGTCAACATGGTTTGCCCAGGCCACAGGGCCACCAACTTGAACGGGTACAACAAGCAGGCCGGCAAAGCTGCCGATGGGGCGCTCGAGGCATGTCGACTAATCGTTGACACTGACAAGAATGGGCAGCATGCGACTTTCACCACTTCACCAGAGACCCAGTACCCGTGGTGAGAAGACTGGAACTTGTATCCCACCGAAGCAAGAGCTCTTCTAGCATAGCAAAACACTGTCATAGATCAAAGGATACTTGTCAATGATAAAGCACGCTGCAGTCCAGAAACAACGCTTTAGTCGGATTGTGCACACAAATTAGTCCATTGTTCAACTGAGGCGAAGGCTGTTGAAGACAGACCTGCAGCTGTGAGCTCGTAACCATTCTGCGCCGATCCCGAGCCACTAGAGGCTATCTGATCCAACACTTGCAGTGTTCAGCATTTCATCTGCTAGATTTGAACCTGTGCCTCCGAAGAGATGTGATAACCCAGAACAGGGTCTGGCCACACCGGGGGCTATCTAGTACAGGCAATCAAATGCTTGCAAAGAGTCAGCAATTCCTCTGCTCGCTTGATGGGAAACCGATGTCGAAAACAAATGGCACGTTCTCACGAGGAAAGGGTTCTGTGGTATCCAAGGCACAATGACAGTTGGCCAAAAGGCAATGGTCATTCATAAGGGTGTTTGCTCTACCTTTAGACACAGGCTATCTTTGAGCCATGCAAATACTGAAGTCATGGGTAAGATGACTCGAACATCAAGGTTTAACCGCCCTGACTGAGATGTACTGTCCCTCGCCCCAGTGCAAATACGACTCGACGCCGGCCCTGAGATTGGTGAAGCGCGTGTGCAGGCCAAAGAATTGCAAGATGCGGTAGGGCACGTGTCCGAGAACACCAAACAGTCTCCACAGCGGGAGGACCTCGTCGGTCAGATCGTCCAGCTCGACGTCCTTGAACCCGACCTCTTGTAGCATCTGGGTCAGCGCGCCCTCCTCGAGCGTGTTCTGGCAGTGCGACAGGCGGAGGACATCCTGCAAGAGATCCGAGTTCCGATTGAAGTCAGCCTCGTTATGCACGAGCACCCCACCGGGACGGAGGAGGCGGTAGAAGTTTCGCAGGACCTTGACGGGGTCGTCCGCGTGCACGAACGTCTCCATAGTGTAGATGCCGTCGAACGAGCCATCGGGGAAGTCGGTCAGATTGTGGTAGTCGCCCAGGCGGATGGAGACTCTGTCCTGCAGGCCTCGCACCGCGACGTTCCGCCGAGCGTCCCCGACGTAGAGGGGCGTGATATCAACGGCTTCAACCACAAGGCCCTTCTCGGCCATGTGCATGGCGACATATCCGGAACCAGCACCGGCCTAGCTTGGCATAGAGCTGATCCTCCATCGCTCGCTGGGCCTTGCTGACGGGGAATGGCCAGAGCTGGCCTTTGGGATAGAGCCCGCAGTGCCGAGTGTTCCCCAGAAGCACCCAGTAACCCAACCACGACTCCAGGCTTGTGTAGTATTCTTGCACAGAGGGGTTTTCGGTGCCATTGTTCGCGATGACAGCTGGGAGATCCGTGTGTCAGCCACCGGCCAAGGTAAGGTGGTGGTAGGACTTGAGCGCACCGAACAGTGCTGCAAAGAGCGCGGACAAGACTGCGGCCGCATAACGCAGCTTGAAACGGTGTGACGCTGGGCCTGTGCCTGCGTTGTCAGTTGGATGGACTGGGGATCTGTCCATTGGAAGTACTTGCCCGCCATTTCGTCGTAAAATCCAACAAACCACCAGGTGCACAAGAGTTGCACAAGGATTTCAGAAAGAAGTAGACGCCTGACCTATGAGAGAAGCAAGTGAAGCCATTCTGGCTAAGGTCGGCGCATGTTGGGCATTTGAGGAATCGAGAAGTGACAGTTTCAGTGATACTGTTGGGCAGTTGGCTGCGCAATCCTCTTCCGGTGGGTCATTTGGGCAGAAGCGCAGATGTACAAAAGGGGGCCGCGTGGGGGCCAAGCGACTTCAATCAACCTCCATCATGTCCTCATATCTCTATACAGCCCTCGACCCTACATGATGTGCTAGTCCGAAGTCAGCATGCCACCCGATGGGCACTGCAGACTCTCGTGACACGGCGTACGACCATCCTTCCAACCATCCGTGAAGAGTACTTGTACGTGTACGCCCTCTCAAGGACAGCGTCGGCTAGCTGCTGCGAGGCGTCGCCCGATGAACCACTAACCCTTGCAAGATGGCTTTTACGAGCAACAGCATGGAAGCGCAAGAGTTTCAGTCTAATTTTACTCATGCACGGTAAGGCGGCGGCTGTTTTGGCGCTGTTCTGCCCTCCCCCGATTGAAAGCATCTTTATATCGCAGTATCCGCTGTGCAATGATGGAGACGAGAAGTCCGCCTCTCAAGCATCCATCCCTCATGCCACGATGAACGCCAGCGACACGACGCTGGTGCGAGGCTGGGTCTCGCAGCCAAACGGACGGGGCACATTCGACTTGGTGTTGTCCTGCGCAGTGACGGTGTTCTTGTGCAGCTGGTCCTCGATATGGGTCAACGTTCCCCGTTCCGATCATAGCAAAAGGGAGCTCTTCTGGGACAAGTGGCACATGGTCTGCCTGTCCATGCTCGGCCCCGAGTTCATCTTCATGCTGGCCCTGGGACAGTACGTGCGCGCCTACGACTCGATGAAGTTGTTCCACGACCAAGGGTACAAGAGCTGGACCATCAAGCATGGATTCTACGCCAACATGGGCGGCTTTGTTTTTCAACCAAGCGGCTGGAAGTCCTTCCCGGTGGACGCCAAACAAGTTCTGTACTTGGTCAAGCGTGGCTACATCCCTTATCCCGACATCAACGAAGCCGCCATCAAGGACAAGAACAAATCCGACAGACTGGCGAGGTTAGTTTAGTGCCCATCTCACAACAGCCTTCACACCGACCAGAAATCGAGTCTTCCCTAACTAATTGTCGATCCGATCCCTAGATTCGTCACGTCGTGCCAGATCATCTGGTTTATCTTGAACGTCATCGCCAGAGCCACGCAACACCTGGCCGTGACAACCCTCGAAATCACCACCATCGGCTTCATCTTCTGCACCTTGGGGGTCAACATCTGCTGGCGCGAGAAGCCCATGGACGTCTCGACCGTGACCGTGCTGCACAGCGAGCACACCATCGACCAGATCCTGCTCGAAGGGCCCCGTGCCGCGGCGCAGCCTTACCGGCTCACGCCGCTCGACTTTGCGAGTCGCGAAGAGTGGAACGCCACCAAACTGTGGCAGTACAAGGTCAACATCCTGCGCCGGCTGGGCGTCGTGCGCCAGCGGCCCCGGGTGCGGCCGGTCCAGAACCTCTCGTCGTTCGGCTTCCCCAAGCCGCTGTCCCGCGCGGCGTCTGCGGTCACCTTGGCCGTGGCGCTGGGCTACGCGGCCATCTTCATGGCGGCGTGGAACCTCGAGTTCCCCTCCGTGGCCGAGAGGCTGCTCTGGCTCGCCTGTACGTCGCTGACCACGGCGGTCACGCTCGCCGTCGGGGTCATCGAGGTGGTCCTCCCCGCGCCTGGCGACCCCCATCAAGACGAAGAGGAATCCTTGCACACAGCCGTAGCTGCTGGAGGAGGAGGAGGAGGAGGAGGAGGAGGAGGAGGAGGAGAAGAAGAAGAAGAAGAAGAAGAAGAAGAAGAAGAAGAAGAAGAAGAAGAAGAAGAAGAAGAAGAAGAAGAAGAAGAAGAAGAAGCAGGAGAAGCCCAGAAGTCACACCAACCTAGTGTTGATGGGCGCAGAAGAAGCCCCCGAGGCCTCCTGGCCAGGCTGGCAGACAAGCACTTCAACAACTCCCCGGACAAGGACCCCGCCCTGGAGGTGCCGCTGATGTCGATGCTCTTCACACAGCCCATCTGCGCTCTATATACCGTGTGTCGCTTGTACGTGTTGTTGGAGGACATCATCGGCCTCCGTGCGCTTCCAGCTAGTACCTTTAAGACTGTCGATTGGACTGTATATTGGCCGCATATATGATTTGATGACCCGAAAAAGTTCTCGTTCTCTACCTCTCCCTTTGTAGTTTCTGAAATATAGCTACCTCCATGCACACCAGAGCTCTTGTTCGGCGTCTCCCCAAGGCCCCACAGGTCGTCTTCCAGCTAGAGGAATTGGATTCGCGACCTACAGGGGCCCTCCCATCACCAGCGGCAGTCGTCTTCGTATCGAAAAAGAACCTCTCTCGGGTAGAACACTGACGTATACCCTTAGTCCGTCAACTCTCCACCGCTTCCACCGCTGATAGCTCGATCAGGCTCGCCCGTGCGAGCTCTTGCCCCAATAATGCAGCGACGACACTGTTCGAAATCCTCGAAGACCGAGTACAGAACTCGCAACTAGTCATCGCTGTCAATAGCCATCATGACAAGACTTCCGTATGCGTCCTGTTTTTGCGTCTCCATTGAAATCTTGTTTTCCGCTGTCCTTTATCGTCCCATTTAAATCTTGTCGTCGCGTCCTCTCCGACGGTTCTGTAGGGCAAGACGCCACAACCTGCACAATAGCCTTGTTGCATGATACACGCACAAGATCCAGTGCAGTAAGCCCATCCCGCGCTCTGACAGTATGATCGGCGCCCGCTTCTAGCAATACCCCCACTACATTTTCATGTCCATTTTCAATAGCGAGCAGCAATGGAGTGTCCCGTGAGTTGTTTTGGGCTTCCAGATATGCACTGTGCTCGAGTAATACTCTTACCACTTCTTCATTCCCAGTACGGGCAGCTATTGCCAGAGGCGTCTCCCCATCTCGGGTTGTGGCTTCCAGGTCTGCCCCTCTCTCAAGCAAGAGCCTCACCATCTTTCCGTTCCCTTCCACGACAGCTACTGTCAGAGCCGTCGCGGCATCGTCGTCTTTCGCTTCCAGGTCTGCACCTTCCTCAAGCAATATGTCGACAAGCTTCTCACGACCTTGTTCGACAGCCAACATCAGAGGTGTCTTCCCTTTATCGAACCGGTAATCGACGTGGGGAAGCCTTTGGATGAGCATCCTCACAACAGCCTCGTGTCCAGCTCGAATGGCGTGGTGGATAGGTGTTTTTCCATCGGCATTCACGAACACCGCGTCGACGCCCTCTCTCAGAAGCATACTGACAAGGACCTCGTGACCGCGCATTGCGGCATGCTCGAGCGCAGTACGGTTTCGATAGAAGCTGGTATTTGGATCCGCGGCTTGGTCAAGGTGAAGCTGGACCACCTTCGCGTTTCCGTACGCCGCAGCGCGAGATAGGTTTGACCCGCAGTTCGTTCTATGGTATCCCTGTCGGATGCATACTGATTTCCTCCGTAATGAAGTATCCCAAGGTGCCGGGAAAAATTGCCAGCCACCATCAACCCTTTCGAAGTATGCCTCCTTTTCCGATAACAGCCGCACGCGCAAGGCCACACAATCAGTCTTCGACTTGAGTTCACAAGGCAAGACCAGCAACTGGTCGAAATGGGGATGTTTCCGTTCCCAGTACCAGGCCTTCAGATGGATTCCCTTCCCATCCACAATAATCACGTCAGATGGGCTTATGCCGTGGGCAGCCAAGACCATGTCGGTACAGCGATCAAATGAATCTGGTGAAGGTGCGAGGGCTCCAGCAACCCTGTCATTGGAAACTTCATACCATGCTAAAATGCTGCAGTCGCCGGTTGTTTTCATGATCTCTTCTTGAAGCCTGATGAACGCCTTTTCGCCTTCACCATACAGCAGAGGCATATTCACTCCAAATATACCCATCAGAGAATATGCACGATCCTCAAGCCTTGTCGTTTTCCGATGAGAAGCCCACGACATTCTCTGCGCCACACTAGCGAGTCCAAGATCTCCTCCTTGGAGGATACTTTCCGGTATACGCGTTATCTTTGTTAGCATGTTGCTGAGAGTCCACTTGGTCCCGATTTCATGCCACATTTGGTCTAGAAATATAACGATCGGAGGGGCAATCAGCTCTTGGAGAGTCCAGCCTCGTTTGAACCATCTGCAACCGCGAAGATCTTGGGGGTATATCTCATAAGCTCCGGAATTCGGTCCGAAGTCGCAAAGATAGACATAGCATAAAGCTGCCTCCTGATACCAGCGGTACATGGAATTAATGGCTTCCGACAGCTCTGCACTACTCTTTTTGTCGATACAGCAGGTGTCGATCCAGACATAATCGAATCCGTCGGCAGCAGCGATCTCGCAGGTTTTCCTCACTTTTTCATATCCCGACCTTTTTTCGACACCCGAGACCCCGATGTCCTGAAAACTTATTTCGTCAGCCCCCCAGGTATGCGAAAGGATGGCATACAAAGGAACGTCAGTGCCTTCGAACCGCTTTAATCTGCGTGAGTGTACGCTGAGCAGATGCATGTTGTCGATCGGGATGATTGGAATCACTGAGTGACCGTGTGAGAAATCAGTGTTTGTTTCAGCGCGGATAGTGCTAGAAGCGCTTGCGAGACCTCTGTGGTTCAGCCTCGCGACGACCTTGTTGCGGGATGTCGTCCTCGGTCTAAACCCACCAAATGGCCGGAACAAATCCCGTCAGATAAATCCACGCCGGTCGAAGGGGGGACGCAAAAAGACTGGAACGGCATAAACGAAGAAAAGAAAGCAACAGACAGGAAGAAAGAAGTGTCTTGCGCAACAAAAGTCAGGTTGAAGTCGACCTTGGGTGTGGTGCTGCGGTTGTGGTTGCGGTTGCGGTTGCGGCTGTGGCGGTGGCAGTGGCTGCAGCTGCCGCCTGCCATTCCAAGCGCACCACTTGCGTCCTGCCACAGGCAGCCAGTAATAGCGGGCAGCAGAGCATAGCCTGCAGGCTGTGTTGAAGAGCTATCGAACAAGGCAACAGGTACATACCGCGAATTCGGATAGGTTTGAGGTGGTCACTCGAGTCACATGAAAGGCTTTCCAATCAACGAGGTGATGACCCATTCATGTTGGACCTTGTCTGTCTCCATATACATTCAATGAAAAGACATCTCCACGAAAACCATCAGAGCTGACTTGACCAAAGCCACGTCTGAAATACTCAGGACTTCCGGAAATTCTAGAAGATGCTCCAGTCTCTAGCTAGAATGGTCTTCAGAGCAGCTACTCCATGCATTGCCCGGCAGGATCAGGCTCAATGGCAGAGCACGCAGGAGCGCCCGGTTCTAGTCGAACCTCTAGGAAAACATCCGATTGTTTCCGCAAATACCGTCCATAGATGGAGTCATACCTCCTAAGATAGTACAAATCGAAGTTCTCTGCTCAATGTTTGCAGTGTAGCGTCACGGTACCATCCTCAACTTGAGGTAGACAAGTAAGCATATAGCCCTTGCAAATGTCCAATTGGTAATGTCGTACGCGCCCATTGGCTAGATATTGCCATTGGTAGAGACGGGGAGTCGGAGGCGGTGCTAGTCATATGTGTAGAAGACTCATATCGACATGTTGGTTGTCGGACTCGACCTTGAGAGCTGCGTATTCGGCTGCCAACAATTGTATCTTGGAGCAGTGCAATGCGTGTCTAGCTCGGCACAGAGCAGGCTGATTCCTGTTTAGGAAGGCGTATCCATTGCTGGGCCTCGTGCGGCGCCCCGGTAGGTACATCGGGGGATTCGTTCCTGGCTGACTCCGATTGTCCGTCTTACCAACTGTGAGAGGCGATGTAAGGCGTCCAGGAAGCTTGTAAGATCCCCTGGCGGATGGGTCCCTCAAAAATTCCGTTCTCAGTAGGATCTTGCAGGGAGCTCAAACATCTTCATACATCGACTCACTCTTCCTGCGTCCGCCACCAAGCCAAGCGCCCGGGGGAGGTTGTAGCAGCCCGTCCACTTCTTCCGCAATCTGCCCTCTCCTCTGTTCGGCCGCGAGTCTCTCTTCTTGCTCCTTTTCTGATTCTCCCCGTCCTTTGGCATCTGCGGCGGCTGCGTAATTGCCCGCTCCTCCTCTTCCAGCATTTCCGACGGGATATGAATTTTGACCCTGTGGACTAGGTGGCTTCCCTGGAACGGGAGATGCGAAACTTGCCGGCAAACTCGGGCTTCGTTGAAGAGATTTCATGTCAGCGAGAACATAATTTCCGGCGCCGCCGCGGCCAGCGGACAGATACTGCGCAGAGTTCTGGCGCAAGGGCCTCGTATCGCGGGTATTGATGCTCTCCAACCTGGCTGCTACATTGCGGCGCTCCGCGAGCGACGAGTGTGGTTGTGGTGATCGATTCGCTTCCAAGTCAACAGGCGAGGTGGATCGCGGGGCGAGCTGGACGTCTGTCTGCCAGTTGAAGTTGCCGGCGCCACCGCGGCCGGTCTTGACATAGGGTCCATAGGCAGAGGACATGGAGACGGAGGACTCGGACGATTGGCCATCGTCATGGGAGGAGTATTCTGACGTGGAATTGGATTCCTCGTGATGTCGAAAGGAGGTGTCGGTGGCCATAGGTGACACAGAGGAAGCGTAGGAATCGAGCAACCACGACGCCCATGATTGCGTAGCTGCTGCCCAGGACTGCGTGGTCGAGGTCATTATGACTCGGGAAGATGTCGCACTAATAATACAATGCCTTTTTGTATTGTGTGTTGTTTTTCAGCAATGACGCAGAGACGAGCGCAGTTGCAACTGCGAAGGATCTGGATCCCTGGGAGAAAAAGGTGGGGGATTTGCTTTTTTGGGCTTCAGATCTAAGCACTCGACTGCCCCAATAAACACCGCAGTTTGAAACCGCTGGTGCCTGAATGTACTCGCTCCAAGCAAATGCCCGGGGCAAAGACGTACGCACAACTAGAAAGGAGGAAATCAATGGTGACCAGCACTCGACTTCGTATTATGGCCTACCAGTCCATGACAAGCTCCAAGGTCCGTGGCGCCGGAGCGACAAGAAAAGGGGAGTATGAGGCAACCGCAAAGCTAGCTGAGGCTTGATTGGAAGCTCCGAACAGGGTCGTGGCGAGATGAAATCGAGCAGCCACAAGCACGAGGGAAATGATGACTTGGCTATGCCGTCTACAGCCTCAGGCCAAAGTCCGACCACAAATCTTCCGTCAGGATAACGAGACAGAAACGACGGCTGGGCGCACTGAGACGAGTCGAGGCAGTGCGCCTAGGGTATCGGACTCGGCTTCCAATAGCAGGCGGAGAGACCACACCGGACGCAGACAAATAAGCCCCCTCAGCCTCGCGCAACGGCGGGCTAATGAAACGGAGAGACCAGAAGGGGACTTTGGCCGACTGTGTGGATAAATGTGTTGGCTTCATCCGAGCCACCGATGTGCTAGGCTTCGTTGTGTTTTATGATATTCTCTCCATCTGACAAGCCTCACCCCAATATCGAATTCCACGTGGCCGGCGCATTCGAGCTCACACAGTGCTGTACTTGGTAGGCCCGAGGAGATTGCATACAACACTGTGCATGCCTGCATTGATCACAAGCCAGAAATCAAGACTACCGGGTTTCCAGAGCCACAGGACGTCGAGGAGAACATTCTTCGGCTGACGACCCCCTTTTTGCCCACCTGGAACGAGGGGCCGCACCGGCAATGCAGATGAGAACTCCTCTCCATGTACCGTCTTCCCCTCTCGCGGGTAGTATTCGGTCAAGCCTGCTGCACGGTGAACTAGCCTTGGAGGCTAGGCAGATGATGCACGAATGGATTCCATTTGCTGCTAGGAACAGAACACGGCAATCACAGAGACACTTGGGAGTCCTCTTTGCGCTTCTTTTGCCTCTTGGTCGTTTAGGGCGTGGGTTTGTGCGCGAACTCGAGACCCGACGGCGTGCGAGGATGCGATAAGGGAACCACTCCTCAGATAGGGGCGAACGATGCTGGTCAGTCGTTATCAGCTAGAATCGCTGGCGCTGGTCACTCTTCTACTTGTCTGCTCGCCGATTTCGGACCCACGGACGCATGGCATATGTTCGGCAGAATGACAGTCTTCGTATAGAAAATCCATCACTTCTATTGCTGAACTTGGGTAGCACTACTACTACCCCTTGACCTCGCGTTTCCCGGCGGTCCTGCACGCCCAAGAGCCATCCCAGAAAGGTCCCCTCCCCCAAACTCGGGTCTCGGTTGACCACGACGGGAACTGGATCGAAAAGCTGGGGCAAGCTGTTCCCCTAACCCGACTCAGCCGAGGCTCCCCTGGAACCCCGCTGCATAGTGTCAATGTACTCTGTACTGGTAGGTACAGTAGCCACTAGCTGTCTCGTTCGACTTCTCTGAAGGGGATCAGACAGAAGCACAAGGATGGGGTGTTGGTGTTATATTCCTGGGTGTTTCTTCCGGGAAAATCGGGGTGGACTCCATCTATTTCTTCCGGACTTGCTTACCGAAGTGCCTATACAACCAGAACTCGGACAACGTGTGTCAATCAGGATGATCTTTTGCGCTTTGTCTCATAGTCTGTGACCTGCTGAATTGTCCGATTGGGGACAGTCGAAGGATCAGCACCATTACTGATCGGCAGGTTTCGGTGCCACGCGGATGGCCAGCGACCACCGGGCCGTATTCTCATTTGTCCGAATACAAGTATTCTGGGCCACAGATACCCCCATGAAATATTGGACCAGTAGGCAGGAATCAAGTAGCATGGTCCTGCGTATAGAAGCCCAGGGTATGCAAGACTAGCTCGTTTGGCCGCAATGATTCCCGCGTCCGTGCCGTTTCCAGATCGTCTCAATGATGACGAAACAGTTCTGACCAGTGACGCTGCTGACCTCGTGAATCAAGAAACCTGCTGCTTGACAGAAAGGGCCACGGGGCCAACGGGACGAAGCCGTATCTTGCGCAACGCATGCATCGCAAACCAAAAGTTTCAGCCGATGACGGCATCCAGGATTCGGATGGTGCGTGATTTTGTTACCGTGCACCATTGGCATCAGGCGACCTCGCCTGACGGCTCGCAAGGTCGCCCAAAGAACGGGCCTGTCAGAGCGCACCCCGTACCTGGCACCTGCTTGTTGTGCACCAGTTCGCATGGCGGTTTGGCGCTTTTGGGCATGGCTGCTGGGACTTCGATCTTATCGATGGTTCGACTACTCCCAGTTTCGGTTCCCCACAAGCTCCCTAAGAAGCCATGGTGCCTTGCCGGCGACGTGCCTATTGCTTGCTAGTGCTGTCCTTGTTCCACGAGCTATCGTGCCCAATGAGACGCCTGTCGCCAACCCGGGTCCTGTACAGCGGGAACAGTGGCTGTCCTCGTAGGGGGCCATGCCAATCAGCACCTCTTTCCATGCCGTGAAGCGGACATGTTGATTCGCGGAGTAGCAGCTACAAGTCGTGTCTGGAGCGGATACCGACAAGCGCCCATCACTTCCTGGAGCGTCCATAGTGTTTATTTTTTTTTTTTTGAACAGCACGCAGCGCGAGTCCTTCAGGATATTCCTGACCGGCATGCCTCTCCAATTCACCGGTCGCCAGGCGTGCACGGATCAAGGAGAGGTCCGGTTTACCCCCCTCTTTCACTGTGGCCGAGAAGACGACACCCGGTCTTCTTGATTCGGAGTTGCAGTGGGTCACCGTTTGGACCCTGTCTGGTCGGCCCAGAGGTTTGGAGAGTTCGAGGGGGCAAAAGAGGAGGAGGCGCTGTGGTGTCTGGCGCTTGGGGGGTTGAAGCCAGTCAATTTTTAGTCAGGTACGGGCGAGGAGTCTGATGGCGCATTTTAGCCCATCAGCCCTGGCTTGCCTGACCCATGACCTTGAGTAGTGCATGACTTGATCAGGACCATGCTCTTTTCAGCTCTCTTTTGCCCCATCTTTTGCCATGGCTCCATGCCCATGCCCATGCCCCATGCCCGCAGTGTGTGATCTGTCCGGCATCAATCGCAAAGAGCTGATCAATTCCCAAAAATTATGGTTGCGTTGTCCCCCCTCTCGCCTCCCTTGGTTTTCTGAGATGGAATCCCGCCCTTTCGCTTTGCCTTTTGTCTGTTTTTCGTTTCGGGAACGCGTAACGTGGATCCGTAGAGGGCGCGCTTGAGAGGGAGATAATTTCTTCAACCGCCCGTGCTGCTGAAACAGATGCCAGTGAACTGGTCTAGAGCTCGGTGCGATTAATTTCCTGCTGCGAGCTTGACACGCTTAGGCCCAGGCACGGGCGACCCCGCAGCAGGTGCGGCAGAAGCAAGGAACGCGGTCAGCCAGTCAAGCAGAAGGCCAGGAGAGGAGAAACCCAAAGAATAGTATCAGCACGAGGATACTCAAATCGGCACGATCAGCAGGTCCGTCAGAGAGGCAGAAAAAAAAAAAGAAGAGACGGCCGTCTGCCTGACCATGACCATAGTAATCCTTTCCACCACCGTGAAACTTGTCTCTCCAGACTATCTGACCTGTGATGCCTTTGGATATTTCTTAACCCCAGTTCAGGTCTGGCTGGGCTTTGGGTGCCATTGCCAGTACGCTCGGCCTTCTCTCAACCTGAGTTGAACTCCACAGGCTGCGATCCTCGATCGACGAACCACGAATCCACCCGCAAGCAAATCCCGAAGCTGAATTCCTAATAAAAGTCCCCCAACTGACAAGAACTATTTCCGCCTTCCGTTCCACGCTGCCTCTCCCACACAGTTCACGGTCCAGGCCACACATTTTCCCACAACTTTACTTTCTGTACCAGACTTCAACCACCTGTTTCAACGCCGGATTGCTTTGATAGACTTTTTCTTTTCTCGATAGAGTCCACCGTGACGGCTACATCGCTGCCGACTTACCGTGGACATTCTGAGCCCCAGCTGCGGTTGCCCGCTGCCTTCACCCCCTCGCGCTCCTCAATCCTCTGATTTCTCGGGCATTCCGAACCCCACAACACACACACACACACACACCACCACCACCCTCTCACCTAACTTGGCTGCTGTTCTTTCTTGACGACTCTCAAGTCTCAAGACTGCCTACAGTTTTGAGCTCGAGAGTCGTCTGATCTCAAAAGGACTCGACGCTACTGCAACATGGCCTCCTCCAAGGTGAGTACCGGGCACGGCCCATTCTCGACCCGGTTCTCGTGCTGACCTGGTTTCAACAACAAAGGAACAACCGACTTCTCGTCCTGTCTCTGGCAGCTTCTCATCCCGCCATCCTCCTCCCTCTGCCAGACAACACTCTCATTCTATTTCGCTGTCGGCTACGAACCCTTCTCATCGAGTCAACAGGAGGAAGAGCGTGAACGCAGGTGCCTCGACAACTGCCCAAGCTGCTATTGCCGCGGCGTTGAGGGACCAGGGTGATCTACCTGGAGTTCCGGTCCAGAGCCACCGCAGAAGCACGAGCTCGAGAAAGATGACGGAATCACACTCGATGACTGCTCGGCCCAGTATGCACTCCTATTTCAACGGGCCCCCTGGCACGGCGGCTGCCGGTGACAACGATGCAGTCGAGGACAATTCCCACGACGAGGATGCCCCAGCCTCGTCCAAGAACCTCAAGAATCGTAACAGGCGAGCGAGCGAAGGGTCGCATCTCATCAAAGGCGAGGGTAAGAAGTCGGCTATTGAATTGCGGTGCGATACCTGTGGCAAGGGCTACAAACACAGCAGCTGCCTCACCAAGCATCTGTAGGTAACTCCGGTGGCTCTCTTTACATTCGCTGACGCAGTCGAATCTTAGCTGGGAACATGATCCCGCATGGGCAATCACGTCCAAGCTGCTCATCTCCAAACACCAGCAGGTTCAATTACTCGAGGCTGCCTCGGTGTTGTGTAACATGACCGCGGAGAATTTGCCACTTGGCCAATCCGAGATTGAAGCCTCTGCGATCGACGCAAGCGAAGATTCATCTGCATCCCCAGGGTTCTCCTCGTCAGAAATGCAGGACGAGCTCAGCTCAGTCGAGACAACCCCTCCCCCCATGAGTGAAGCAGCATACCCAGTACCGGACTCGAAAAGGTTCAGCACTGGCAGCACCGGCTTCTCGCGTTCGTACAGATCTATTCCGTCTAGCTCGTATGCCGAGAGCTTTCACTCGCCGGGACTACCACCTCATCGACTCTCTGGGGCAGACTTTCGGCCGAGCACATCGGGGACTGACGATGGCACGCTGGCGGCCGCGACAGCTGGCCTCACATTCAGCAGCGGAACTCCTCGTACGAAGCCATCCTATCTGGGCGCTGATGTGCCACCTGTACCACCATTGCCACAACAATACCAATCTTTTAACAGCAAATCGTCCGACAGTACATTGACCGCTATATATAATCCGTTGTTGCAGATGCACCCTCCTGCTTTGACGCAGAACTTATCTGACGAGCGCAACTACCGGGACGGAAGTGACGACAGAGATGTCCCGATGGACGATGAAGAGATGTTCAGGATGGATCAATAACGCGCTGCAACGGAGCAAATACCACGAGCTGATCACATCCGTCCACTCCTTTTTGACGATTTTATTTTTCTACTCTCATTTGGCCACATCCTTGGGGGCATTGCCTTTGTCAATTGTACGTATTTGATTCCAACATAAAACAGTTAACATCTCCATCTGGACTTGTCGTGGGGACGCCGCCCAGTCCGCAACGCCAAATCAACTGCTCGGACAGATAACGACAGGAAGACGCTGGTCTTTGGTTGCGCCATTGGAGGAAATGTTCAACGTGACGAAAACATTGGAGGCGAAAGCTACTGGAACTATTATACTTTTTCCCATTGTTTGGAGAAGAAAACTATATAACTTCCATGCTCCGCAGACAGATCCTCAAAACACCGATGAGTCGACTCTTGCAGACGCTACGAAGCCGACGAGGTTAAAGTGAGTGGGACTGTCTCGCACGATGCGTTGAGCAGGATACAATATTGCTATAACGAAATGGATTTCATTGCACCACCGGGTTTGGCATGGCTAGCCTTGCATCCTACCCCTTTGTGTCCTGAAGAAGGGCCGAGGGCAGGAATGATGATGTCTGCTTGTCTCAATTTTGGGAACTCTTGTGATGTGCGATACGTTGCTGGTTTGGGCAACACTATTTCAAGGGGGCGAATAGTGCATTTACTGGTGTTGCGCAGTTGATGCCACCAACATTGAGATTCTGTGGGAAGAATTTCCAAACCAACCCCGCGTTTTCGATCTGCAGGATTGACCCTTTACTAATTGCATAGTGTCGTGATTGACGATGAACTCGATGTGCAGATGCAGGTCACTCTGGTGGGCAGTGCTGATCAGGGGCCACTAACTTTGAGGGCGCCGAAGGATGGAGAACCCCTGGAGACAATGAAGATCTCGAGATCCCCCTATCTTAGGTCTCTGTGCCTCCCTGGCCCTTAAGGATTCCCAGTGATGTGACTATGTCACGCATGAGGGTTGGTTGATCTGCCGCTGGTTCTGTGGGACACTGTTACTCTACACACCGGACTGCAGTAGCTGTACACGAGACTCGCTCACATCTGCCCCCTTTAAGAAGGCAAGCACTCCGTCGGCAAATCTAGCTTGAATATGTCAACACCCAGGTCTGTGTAGTTCGCCCGTGACTTGGTAGCGATGGCGATGGAGGTAGCTCTAGTACTGGGGCAGCAGAGCATCGGCCGTCGTTCGCGCAGGCTGGGGAACGACAATCCTTTCCTTGAGGGCGGATTCCGGTCGGGAATCGGACGATCTTGCATGCAAAGAACACGATCGACTGAACCGACGTCAATGCATTGACATGGTTGACAGGAGATGACCAGCATGAGTCCTGGATGTGCTCAGATGTGATCATTAATATGTGCTATACCACAAATACGTGGCTGGTAACAGCCAACGCATGGATCTGCTGAATCGGCCCAATAAAGCCCGACAGGCAGTAATGATTGCGTCGCTGTCTGTGTAGTGATCGTTCGGACTACGAATCTATCTTCTTCTATCTATCACTATCCTACACATGCATTCCGTATCTCGATCCTATCTATTTCTCTAAATAACTAACCTAACTACCCTCGCAGCCTCGTAGCCTTGCAGCCTCGTCGGATCCCTTGCCCGGGTGTGTCTCTCACTCATTGTTTGCCGCTATCTTTGCTCCTTACAAGTACATCTATCACACGTGAACCTCTCTCGGCGCGCGAACGGGTCCTCCAAGGTACGAATGACGCCACTTGCGAGATAGAATAAAGAGACTTATATGCGACCCGTTCTCCTCTACCTAGAACAAAGTCTGCCTTCATTTCCCAACGACGACCGAGGGACCCTCCGCAGAACCGTCCTCCCTTTTGCGCCACAATGCCGCTCACGGCGGCCGAAATCATTGCCCATCCAGCCTTTGATACCGTCGACTGGCACTTGGAACCCTCGAAGTCGGGGTATTGCGAAGCGGCCAAAGGCAGACACGGTGGTCCCTTTAAGCTTTACTGGGAAATTCATGGCAAGGGGGATATCAAGTTGGTGGTATGTTCGACTTTCAGTTTTCTCGGACTCTCCTTGTTTGATTTCGCCGGCCTCTCGCCTCAGCAGGGTGGTGACGGTGCTTGGATATTGCGGAGGGACATGTCAGCATGAGGCGGTAAAGAGGCATTGGGAACTCGTGAGAGTTGTTGGGATTGGCCGGCTACCTTCAAGCGTCAAAGAACATCTACAGCTACATCCATATCAGACCTGTTCTGACATCGTCTGCAGTGGATAATGGGCCTCGCCGCCTACCGCACCGCCTGGAAACGACAGACCAAGTACTTCGGCCACGACCGGCCGGACAAGTACTCGTGCTTCGTGTTCGACAACCGCGGGATGGGCCTCAGCGACAAGCCTTCGTGCCTATATTCTACATCTGAGATGGCTCGCGACGTGATCGACATGCTCGAACATGTCGGCTGGCTACCCGCCTCGTCTGCTGCTTTCGCTGCATCTCCGCCTCCTCATCACCAGACAGCAGCCGACACGACCAGCACAAATACCTCCCCTGGAAAACGAGACATACACATCGTCGGCGTCAGCATGGGCGGCATGATCGCCCAGGAACTCGCGCTCCTGATCCCCCACCACATCGCCTCGCTGTCGCTGGTGTCGACGGCGCCGCGCATCGTGCGCACCGTGCCGTTCGTCCAGAACCTGCGCCAGCGCATCAACATGTTCATCCCGCGGGAGATCGACGTGCAGCTGGAGGAGATCGCGCACCGCCTCTTCTCCGACGAGTTCCTGGCCCTGCCGGACACGGAGCACCCGGAGCGCAACTTCCCCACCAACCGCGACCGCTTCGCCGCCGGCGAGCTGCAGAAGCGCATGGACAAGGACGGCTTCACCAGGAAGGGCTTCATGCTGCAGGCCATCGCCGCGGGCTGGCACCACAAGTCCGCCCCGCAGATCAAGAAGATGGGCGACCTCGTGGGCCGGCACCGGATCGCCGTCGTCCACGGCACCCTCGACCGCATGATCGACTTTCACCACTTTGAGATGCTGAGGGACGAGCTGTCCGACGGCGAGCAGAGTTCAGAGGGGTCGTCGTCCTGCACGTTCCGGGTCTGGGAGGGCAAAGGCCACGTCTTGGTCTGGGAGGTCGAAGACGAGTTCAACCCGTTCTTGCAGGAGAGGTTCGACACGTGCGCTGGTCTCGGGAGCTGATTTCGAAAGCGGATCCCATCATGGCGCAACTACTGTTCGAGGCGTTTCAGGTCCCGCTGGTATATCGAGGTTCAGAATCAGCGCCCTCCGCAACCAGGAGGACCGGGTTTAGAGCAATTGCACTACTACATAAATACCCTACAGCAAGACGGAGAGGAGTTCAGGGGAGTATTATAATGCTGCGTAAGGAAGGACGAATGACAGTAGAGCAAAACCCTTTCCCGCCTCTCACGCCTCTAGATCGGGTCGACAAGTCGACAGGTGTTAGAGGCTTTATCAGTAGCAGCGAGACTCGGAATTTACATTGTGAGGGTTCTTATAGACGGGGTAGGATGATCTCACGAGAAGACAAGAGATGAGGGGAGGATAGTGACCAACAGAACACAGCGGTGAAGCAACTCGAGATTCTCTCTCCATTTTTTGGATGTCGACCGCCGTCATCCTTCTCTTCGGTCAATATACAGATTTCTCCTACCAATGGCCTTCTCTGTCGAGCGGAGATATATACACTCTTCTGTTGTACAAGTCTTCCGCTTCCTGGATATGCAGCTCACAGCGACAAGACAAAACAGATTCGTCGCTGCAGATGTGAGATCCCTGTACAATACCACGTAAGAACGCCGTGCGGTTGCCCCGTTTAAAAGCCCCATGTCAAAACGCCCACGCTATGCGCGGCCAGGAGCCGCAAAATAAACCTCTCCAAGAGCTGAGGCGTCCGCAGAAATTTTGTTTCCAATTTCCCTCTTCCGCTCTGTTGACCGTCGTCACCCGTTTCTTTCCAAAAACTCCTTTGCCTCGTTAACCTTGCTGGCCAGGTACGGACTGCCGCCTCGGTCCGGGTGATTCGACAGCATCAGTGCTCGATGGCTCTTCCTGATCTTCTCCTTCGTGAGCGTCCTCTCGCTGAGGTCCAGGATCAGGGACGCCTCTCGCTTCGTCATCTTGGGCTCGAACCCGCCTTTGTAGAAGGGTCGGCCGAGGGCGTTCAGGCCGTTCGGGTTGCGCCAGCGGCGGAATGCGACGAGGCCGGCACGGCCCTGCCATATGTCGTTAGTATACTGACAGACAAAAAACGGAGAGTTTGAAGGGGGATATGAGGGAACGTACAAAGAACGCCGCGGCAGCAATGCCCACGCCGACGGCGAGCGTAGAGGCCATTCTTGTTTGCGATCGGAAAGGTCGGTAGTGTGTCGCTCTGCCTCTCTTTGGAAGGAGAGAGAGCCTTGGAAAATATGGAGATGCTGTTGGTCGGAAAGGGGAGTCGGTATCGCGGTCGTAATTGTGTCTGCACGGAGAAGAGGTAGGTCGGTAGGTCTGCGGCGACGACAACTGCAGTTGCTACAGAATGAAAAAGATTCGCTTTCTAGAAAGCCGGCTGGCTTGCCGAATGCGGAAGTTCCGAAGCCCGTGATTTCTCCGAATATGACAAGTCCAGCGAGGCGGGCTAGGGCGGAGTACTTGGTCCGTGAAGCGAAGCACATCCGGAAGGGTCTATGCTCCGCCGTTGTGGCCACTTGTATTTCTTGACACTCGCAACAATCTGCCGACGTACTCATCAATTTGCACGCCAAACCCCCTATTCTCGAGGGGAAAACGGCCTATGCAGCTTTTACCCCGTCTTGTGAGACAGAAACAGCAGCAACAGAACAAAAGAACAAAGTGTGTGAGTCACAAAATGACAGGCAGCCTAAAGGGCATAGATGAACAGCAACCCATGGAAAATGCAACGCAATCCAGGTATGTACCTGCTACCGCCACATCACAGGTGCTCTACCAGAATGCCAGCACCCTGGCCTCAATGCTTTCTCTAGGCTCCTGGCCCTCAGTGCCTAAGACAGAAGGACTGCCATGTCCTCCAGCCGCCGCAACATCTTTATCATGCTCGCTGTCCGTGTCCGCAAACTTGATCATCATCACCTCGTGCGGCTTCTGCTCCGAGACATAGTACCATCTGTGGTCCTCTAGGTTCTCGGGTCGCGAGATGGTGTATGCCTCGAGCAGGTACTCTCCCTGAAAGCCCGAGGCTCGGTAGTCAAAGGCATGGAGGTCTTTTTGGATATTCGTCGAAGACTTCCAATCCAACACGGCAATGGGATCCCGCTTTACTGTCTTGAGCGGCCTCCACACGCTATACGCCGCGACGCGCGGTCCTCGTGTGCCTGCGTCGTGTGCCTTGATCGCCTCGGCGCCCGCCTCAGCCATATCTGCGCGAGAGTATTTGATCGTGTCGAGGAGACCTTTGAGCGTGTAGTCCACATGCAAGGCTCGGGCCGGTTCTAGAGATCGCTCCGCCTCCTGCGGAGCAACTGCAACCCGAGAAATGCAAAGTCAGCGCGGCTTCGAGTTATACAAAGATGATGCCGGGGAAGACTGGCCGGGGAAACAAACTTCTTGTGCGGTCAGATGGGAGTGCGCTAAGCATTTTGTCCATCTCTCCGCCGCGAGGGTGATAAAACTTTTTGTTCGAGTCATATTTCTTTGCAAGCTTGCGGCGGAAGGCGACGTTGTTGACGATCACGGTTTTGCACCCAGTCACGGTCTTGACAAGGTCTTGCACTGCGGGAATGTATGTCTGCAGGACGTCTTCTTCGGTTGCCCACGCGCTGGGGTCGATGTGGTGCTCAACGACCGTGAAGCCGTGCCTGTGGAGACCCTCGACACCTTTGGCCAGCTTCGTGTCGGAGCGGTAGTCGTGGAGAGTCAATCTCTCCTCCCTGATGTTGTGAGGTGCTGGCGCGGCGAACAGACTGCGCTGTTCAGCGGGGACGGACCGGTCAGGCTCTTCGTACCGGAAAATGGCCTCGACAGCAGGGGGAGACACCGTTGACGTTGTCGTGGCTGATGGCATTGTGGTAAGTGGTTGATGGATAAGATGCTATGTAGGCTGCTCGAGGTATTTCGCGTCCAAGGCTCACTCCGGGCGTGCGACGTGAAAGAGGTAATAAGAGACCAACAAGCCACTAGGTCGTGCCTCTCTATGCTGTCCTTATTCTATGCTGTTGTATTCCACCCCATTTATACCCCTCCCCTGCTTTTGGAAGTGGTCGCTCCCTTCCGCTGTCGAAGAGTTTTATATCCTTCCCATCTCACCGGAGGTAAGTACGCCTAAGCTGACATGGTGCACGGCCCACACATCGTGAAGACCAAGAACAAATAATCGAGGTCCCAGGTCTTTCTGGTTACCTACCGAGAAAACTCGCAAGAACCCTATTGCCAAATACGGTTTCATCCTGAGGATGAGCGAAGGCTCCTTTACCCGGTGCTCTAATTGAGTCCTGAGCTAGGTCGTGCTGAGCACTCTCTGAGCTTCCCAGTGAGGTACAAGCACGGCCGAAGCTGACCACAAGCGATCAGCGATACGCGGCCATTGGCTGGGTGTTGGTCAGAGTCCTCTGCGACACTGGCAAGTGCCTACCCTTTACGCTGTTTGCCTGCGGCAGACAAATCACTGGTCGACTGGAGGCTCTTCATCCCAGGCTATTGCCTAGCTGAGTGGTGGCAGTGAGAGCACTCCCGACAACAATAGCCGTGCGGGGAGTTGAAAGCGCAAGCCCGTCAATAACCAGCTTGGCATCTCTATCCCTAACCTCATTTAGGTATACAAGAATAGTGTCGAGTTGTGCAAATATACTCCTAACCACCGCACATCATGCCCGGAGATGTCGCAGGACTCATGGCTCATGGCGTGTGCCGAAGCTCCCGAAGTGGGCTGCATCTACATACCTCATTCCTTACCATATCCCTCACGAGAAGACGCTGCGTCCGACACCGATGGAAGAGCCAGCGACGGACCCTGTCCCGTCAGCACTATTAATCAGGCTGCATCCTCGTCTCCATAGGCCAAGCCATTCCCATATCAGTAGCCGCGACCCAGAGAACCTGGCGATCTTTGGGGGCCAAGGCCAAAACGAGGGATCTACAAGTACATCACGGAACTTGTTATGTCTCTAAAAAATCTTGAGCCATCCGCTCAGGTGACAATAAGTATTGGCATGTGTCCGCTTTCTAAACCCATTCAGTACAAACGAGGGGCAGAGTAGGTACTTAACATTTCATGGTTTGTCTCAGGTATGGTCTACTCTATTCCCGGATATGAGAGAGAGAGAGAGAGGGAGGGCTTTATTGCGTGGCCGTTGTCTTTGCGTTGCCCTTGACTTGCGCATTTGAACCATGGTCGATCCGTCCCATCCACCGGACGAATGTGCAGGCACTGCTGATGCTGAGCAAGAGCAGCGTGTACCTCTAACAAGTCCAGTAGCAGAGAAAGCTCGGAAGGCTCCTGGATTTCTTGCTGAGGATCGTCATGACGGCTCCGACTCGCCACAAGTTCGGGATGGAGCGTCCACGGGCCGTGCGAGAAACAGCGGCGTTAGCATTCGCAGGCTCTGGAGCTCATGGTGGCTGGAGGTAGCAGGTAGCGTCTTGATCCTGCTGGTCTTCGTCGCGCTGGTCATTACGCTGAAAGAGTATCAAAATCAACCTCAGCCAAACTGGCCACATGGCTTCTCCATCAACACGCTCGTGTCGGTGTACACAGCCCTGTTCAAGTTGCCACTCATGCTCATTGCATCGGAATGTAAGTGTTTCCCGCTCTTATGACTAGAGTCTCCTCACCCCTTGGCTTAGGTCTGGGTCAGTCGAGATGGAGGTGGTTCCGCCGGCGGAAGCAACCTTTGAACGACATTGCGATCTACGAATCTGCCCTCCGAGGAGACCCGTTTGGGGTCATCCAGCTACTGTGGGCGACTCGCGGACGACAGCTTACGGCGACCATCGGCGCGATCATATCTTTGGCTTCCCTTGTGATCGACCCCTTCAATCAAGCCGTCATCACCATCTACCCTTGCCAGATCCCCGATGCATCGTCACTGGGCGACGTCCCGCGCGCAAACACCTTGCAGATTCCGGAAACCCTGCCGTTGACGATGCAATATAACATGCTGGCGACTGCCCTCGGGTTGGGGTCATTCGAGGTCAGGCCCAGGTGCCAGTCCGGAAACTGCACCTTCGACCAGGAATACCATTCGGTCGGCCTCTGCAGCAGCTGTACAGATATCAGCGCCCAATTGCAGCGCAATTGTACCATCCCAGGAGACATACAGCCACAGGTGACAGCCACGCTTCCCAGTTGCCGCTGGTTTCTCGAGCACACGGATCCCGGCGACGGCGAGAATCCCAACTATATTGGCTTTGACACGTCCATACCGCTCCAGGGTGGTGACCTTTGGAAACTGGTGAACTACGAGGTTGCCTCGTACTCGGTCAATCATACTATTGCTTGGATTGCGGACCCGCCCCAGGCCGTTTCCTGCTCTGTCAAGCCTTGCGTCAAGTCCTACAAGTCTGCTGTCGTCAATGGGAGCTTTTCCGAAGAGCTGGTCGGAAAGTCACAAGTATGGCCAGATCCGCCTATCACTCCAGCGTACCAATGGGACGTTATCTATTCTCGAATGCTGAATCGCGACTGTCTGCCACCAGCCACAAAGCAGGCCCTCATGCGCCAAAACATCGATACCACCCCCGAATGGATTGCCTACAACTTTACCGTTCTCAACAACACCCCTAGTGGGCTGCGCGTGCTGCAAGGCATGGCCCCTGATCCCTCCGTCCCCGATGAATGTCTGTACCAGTACGAATCGTATGAATTGGGCGTGCAGAGTCCCATTAAAAACGTCATCAACTGGTTCGCCACCCAATTCAAACAGCCTCTCACGGCGTGGGTGACCTACAACGGGACCAACCTCACCGGCGGCATCGCGTCCGACATTTTCAACTACGGCGACGCAGCACCACCCATGTACTGGATCAATGGTCTGGACGCGAACCAAAGCAACGTCATGGTGGCGCTGTACGGCAACGGCAGCATCACGGGCGCCACCGTGGCGCAGATGTTCGACAACGTCGCCGCCACCATGACCAACTTCGCGCGCAGCAACCCCAAGGCACTCCTCGATGGCAACGGACGCAACGTGGACCTCGCGCCGGCGCAGACGCCCGAGCTGCTGCAGAACTCGTGCATCAGCATCAACTGGCCCTGGCTGGCGCTGCCCGCGGCGCTCATGCTGCTGAGCGTGCTGTTTTTGGGGTTGACCGTTGCGCAGTCCTCGCGGCCGGGCTCGGCGGGCGTCTGGAAGTCCTCGCCGCTGGCCTTGCTCTGGCATGGGTTCGAGGCGCCGCAGCCCACGAGCCCCGCGTCGGACGACCTGAAGACGATGGAGACCATGTCGAAGAACATGAGCGTGCAGCTGCGACAGACGGCACTGGGCTGGAAACTCGTGCAGCGGGCATAGAGCAGGGAACCGGCAAGAGAAGCTCCTAGCTCTATAGAACCACGGAGCCGGATGGGTTATTGAGTGTATACTATTACCAGGTAATTAGCACATCTTCCTTGGACACAAATACGTCTTTCCCATCCGAGACACGTCTTGCCTCTACCGAGTACATTGCGGATGTGACTTTATGACTAGGATGTTGTTCCTATGCGCTGCTTCCCGCGCTGTCACAATTCCATTCCAATCCTTCTCGTGTCAGTCTTCTTTCGCGGTATAAGTGCTTTAATAAGTAACTCTTCCTTTTCCCACGGGCTCTATTCTCCGGAAACGACCAAAGTGTAAGCCTTCCACTTGGGATCAATCTACTCTCCCGGTAGTCCTTCGTCTGCAGCGCACTCGCCGCGCCCGAGATTCCCAAACAGCACCTCTCCTTGACGACGGATCGGGGCTCTCTCCAGGTTTGGGGTCTTTAGGTCTTTAAAAGGAGAGCGTATATATACAAGAGTCTGGCGTAGGAATCACCTATACCTACGCGTCATGTGGAGGGTGGTTTCTACTCTTGAACCAGATTCACTTGGGCACCTAAGATAGGACAATGCTTCGTTGCTGTTCTATAAGTGTCATGTTTGCGAGAGTGACCGAACATTGGATAGTCTAATATATGGAAACATCTAGTCAATGACTAGCCACAGCCTTAGGATGAATATGGGCCGCGTGTCCCAGCGATAAACCGGACAGAGCGATCTGAAGGAATTCACCGATAAGTCTGTCTTGGTGAGCACTCAGTCTTCTTGGCGACCTTCACATGTCGCCACGGGACCGGTGTACATGCGCCGGGCACTGAGGACCCAGTTGACCGCCGAGATGAACATTACTCCCGCAAACAGGACGATCGCCCAGTTCATCTGTGCAGAAAGATCAGGTCAGCGCTTCCCATGTCACAGAGCAAGCAATACGGAACCATTTTCTTACCTCTTCCGCATTGGGCTCCCAGTAGATGGGCCAGAATGCCCAGAAGAAAGCGTAGATGGCGTAGGTGAGGCCGAGCCCGTTGACCAGGATCCCCCGCCTGCCCAGGCTCCAGAAGACCGGTGGGAGAGTCTCTGGAAGGGCGATGCGCCGCCAGAGCACGCAAGCAATGCTGATGGCGTACGTGGCCATCAACGCCACGATGGCCAAGCTGATGATGGCATTGAAGGCGACCGGGCTGCCGAGGTAGATGAGGCTCATGACCACCGTATACCCCCAGGTCACGAAGCATGCGTTTGCAGCGACGTTGAGGCTGGGGTTGACCTTCTTCATCCACGTGGGGAACGGCATTCCATCGTCTCGGGCGAAGGCGAACAGCTGTCGAGAGGTCGACGCGAAACAGCTGGTGGCGATCATGAACACCAGGATCTTTGGTCACAAGTGAGTAATTGTGGGCAATACCGAGAAGAGCGCATATGGCGCGTGAAACTTACAAACATGATGGAAGTGATGGCTTGAGCACCCGCCGTGCTAAGAGAGTTCTGCAAAATCCACACAAAAGGAAATGCTTCGGTCGTAGCAGTGGCGACGTCGGTCATGCCAAACAGGAACACGATCAACATGGCGAAGGCGAGAGGGATGTTGAACATGTATGCCCAGAACATCGTCTTCGGTGTCACCACGCTGGCATTTTTGACTTCTTCCGCTGCACCGGCCGTCAGTTGCTACTCCCAAAATCACCTCTGACATTGTGTACTTACAGAGATGGGCGACGGCATCCGAGGCCAGGACATTCCACATGGCAGGTACCTGGCCAACCATGACGGCAAGGCCCACTGCAGACTCCAGTCAGTATACGGCGCACTGATTCGAGTAGAGACACTGTGCAAGGTGCAGTAAGGATAACAGGACGTTGTCTGTGCGAGAGTCCAACATACTCAGAGGAAAGTTGCCGCCATTGTCGGTGAAGGTGAGAAAGACCTCCTTTGCATCGTTCTTGGGAGAAGCGACGGCGATGGTGATGAGGACCACAAAAAACCCAGCAACATGAAGCGCGACGAACACGTTTTCCAACAATGCCAGCTTCTTCGCGCCCCAGACATTGATCGCGGTGACCAGGGTGCCAATAAGAATGCTCAGGAGGGCAGTGTACCAGTTCTTAATGTCAAAGTCGGGGTTCCCGAGTTGCACCAGAGCCATGACAAGCTGGGCGGCGAACATTGCGTCGGAGGCGACGAAGGATTGCCAGCACAGAGAGCTCAGCCAGCCTGAGGTGTAGCTGAGAGCCTTTTGGTAGCGTCTCGAGGCAAACTCGCTGACCCAGTGATACTGTCCTCCGGCGGTGGGGGCCATGGAGGCCATCTCGGCGAGGCTCAGGACAATGAAGAATTGGCCCGTGATCACCCATGTGTAACTCCAGAACATGCCCGCGGTTCCGCCATCGACGAGCATTTGGAAATTGTTCAACGCGACAAACTCCGTGCGGCAACTGTTAGTACCAGAGCAGGCGGCAAGGGAGACGGGGGAGACATATCAAGTGCCCATGGTGCAGGAGGTGAAGCCGACACTGCTGATCCAGTTGAAGTTGCGCTTGAACTCCTGCTTCTTGCCCATCCTAGCCATGTCCTTCTCATCTTGGTCGATGGCATCGCTGCTGTCCTCGCTGCCAACTGCCTCCGCCGAGTATAGGCCTTCTTTCTGAGGAAGGATGTCGTCCGTAGTCGTCATTTTCGCGGGTGCAAATGGCAAAATCCAGGGGAAAGAAGGGATGCTCTGACAACGAGGGTCGAGGGCACAACCCGGGCTTGACCAAATATCATGTACCAAGATCCAAGATGCAATCAAAACAGTCTAGACCTCAGCATCCATTGCATTCTCGGAGTAAGATACATGCTTCCACGGCGCCAGCATATAAGCTTTCGTACCTGCTCATCGTGGTAAGCCTCGAAAGATAAGGAGTCGGGACTTGTCCGCAGGGGCCTTGTCGACCAATTGATTCGAGTCTCGCTAGACAACCTTTAGATAAACATCCAAGATGGACCCGACAAATCATCTCGGTTTCGCTCCCAAAAATTGCGCAGATAGCATCAAGCAACGCCGGAATAAACTGGGCAGGACACCAGGAAGCTTACTTCGTACGCGTGCCAGGGAAATCTTAACCCGTTCGAACGGAGACTGTCCACGCCTGGGTTCTCCCAGTGACTGCTATCTCCAATAAGAGGTCTCTTAGTTCGCCTGGAGTGCGCAGGCGCTTTCGCTTGACTTCCTGCCTCTCACTCTGTCAGCTAACTTGATACGAAACAGCATTCGGACATGGTCGCTGTTCAGCGCCATTGTCACTCCAGCCACCACGTGGTTTCGAAACAGACGGTCGCCCCGTATTTTGTCAACTAGCTGCATAGTTCCTCTTCGTTTCGAACGGTGCTACAGCACTAGCGATGTCGTAGTCCTGTTGTTGTGGCTCAGCGTCAAGGCTAGGACATCCACGCCATCGCCCTCGCCTCAGGCATTCCTCCATGTTTCTTGGATGTGTTTCTGAAGGAGCTTCCGAGATCTACCCAGAAAGGATGCTTCTTGATGACCATGCTGACCAACTCAGAGAGATAGCAATCTGGTTCCACAGGACTTGAGGGTCGCGAGTGTGACCATGTCGCGGTGTGCAATCAGTCTTGCGAGGCTCACATTGAGGTCCCGCCCCATATCGCTAGCAGGGTTGGTGCCATTGTTTCGGCGTGCTGCCAGGCCACAAGAGTGGCTCGGGCTCAGGGTATCAAAGACACTTCTCTAGGAGAAAAGGGAATGGTCTGAACAGAGCCTGAAGATTGGGACTGGAGCGAAGCCAAAATGCCGTTCCGTATAGCCGGGTCTGTGGTCGCAGATTGAGCGACCTTTAGCACCTTTCGTCGCCTCCCCACAATTGATAACGTGTCAGTGGCCCTTGCCTCCAGGTCAAGGCAGTGCTAACGGAGGGCCTTGCCTTCTGTCGCTCTGCGTGGGAAGCACAGCACGAGTTCCATATTTCGTTACGAGAACGGTGTCTCCTCCTCCTACCTGGTCAGAGTCCGTGTTTGCCACCAAGGTGGTTTAGTAGATGACGAGCTAGAACTGTGAGGATCGCAGATATCGCCAAATGCATCCTCTAGCACCCAGATGCTCGCACTCGCATGCTAGCTTATTCGGTTCTCGATTTGAGGCCCCCCGCAAATTGCGGTTGGATGAGTGTGGCTGAGCCCGGGGGGTCTTGATGTGTGCGCAATTGTTCTGCGCCAATTGCCCGTCATCTTTGCATATCCTGGTTTCGCAGTGATATTCATCGCCTCCTCCTTCTTGAGGCACCTTGTAAGTTGAAGATTGTTTGGCCACTTACCGAAATGTGGGCCGAATGCAGCTGCGATCTCTTCGGGAACTGCAGGCTCGATCAGACAGACATCATTCAGGTGGCCTGATCACAAAATGATGCCCAGACATCCAATATGGCAACATACCGAGATGACCTGGGACTGTCTATGGAGAATAGACAAGGAAGCGAAAGAAACGACGAGGCAATCAACGGTCAATCATTCGCCGTCGCCAAGGAATTGAAGAATCCAACCGAGGCATACGCCACAAATCTGGGGTAGAACACGGGGAACGCTTCTGTATTTTGTAAACAAGATGGCGTTGGAGGGGGTGTCTCCGCCTTTAGGCGACCCTCTGGGGGAATTCATGGTCATATAACATCTATCAATTGCTCAAGCTCAACTGACGATCTAGAAGTCCATACCTGACCAGCCCGAGAGTCTCTCTACTCCGAATTCTTCCCTGGCTCTATGTCCTCAGAAGCGGCTCTCGACGTTATCGTAGTCGGTGGCGGCATCGCTGGCCTGTGTACGGCCATTGGACTACGTCGTGCCGGCCACCATGTCCACCTCTTTGAACGAGCACCCACCGCCACAGCCTTTGGTGCCGGGGTCGTGATCGGGTATAATGCTTCCAAAGTACTCACGTCGTGGGGTCTAGACTACGCAAAGTACCACATCAACGTCGCTGAAACGTTCAAGATGGTCAAGGGCGACACGTTCGAGGAAATAATGAGTTTCCCTCCGGGTCTATACGAGACGCTCGCGCGCGGAAGCCGTCAGTATTACGCGCACCGCATTGACCTCCAACAGGCCCTGCTTGACCTGGCAACTCAACAAGATGCCCCGGGGACGCCCGTGGCCATTACCTACTCTGCTGATGTGGTCGCCCACGAGCCCGAGGAAGGGAGCATCACGCTCGGAGACGGGTCGAAGCACAAGGCTGACCTGGTTGTTGCGGCGGACGGAGTGCACTCGCTTGCACCGCACTATTTACTCGGCTCGAACGCTGCCACTTACGACATCTCTCACACGGGCACCACCATCATTCGCTTCATGCTTCCCTCCTCTGCCATCCTCTCCGACCCACAGACCGCGCACCTGATCTCGTCCTCGGGACAGTTCACGTGGTTCGTCCATCCGGACCGCAATCGTTGGCTCTTGCAATATCCTGTTCGCGACAACAGCGAAATCAATTATGGTATGTACTCGCGCATAACCGCCAGTGAACAAGTCACCGAACAGGTTTCTCGGTTCAAATGCAACCGGGAAAGTCTGCGTCGTGAACTCGAAGGGTTTCATCCCGACATTGGAAAGCTCGCGGACAAAACAAGCGAGATTCTGCCAGTGTGGAAGCTGGCCGAGAGACCGCCGCTTCCGACGTGGTTCAAAAGAAGACTCGTCGTGGTGGGTGACGCCGCTCATCCGATGCTCCCGAACCAGGGTCAAGGGGCCGGGATGTGTATCGAGGACGCTGGCGCGTTGGGCACCGTGTTCACCCGGATGAGTCAAAACAGTATGGAGAACATCGCCAGGAGGTTGAAACTGTTCTTCGACCTGAGGCATCCGAGAGCCTCGGCCGTGCAGTTGATCAGTCATTGCCCGTATTTCGAGGATGCCGTGGGAATCATGTGGGCGGAATTGATCAAGGTTGCGAAACCACAGGACTTGCCCAGGGCCAACGACAGGAACAACATCAGAGAGTGGCTGTTCGCTTATGACGTGAACGCTGAAGCGGAAAAGGCCCTCGAGGCGCAACGGGACCACGCACTGGGGAACGGTGCGGTGTCCTGAAGGATTGAGCAGCAGAAAAGTATATATGACACGAGAAAGTCGTCCAACAAAGGAACGTTTCGTCGATTCATGCCCGTTGCCCGTTGCCCGTTGTCCCAAGCAGAAAAGAGAAAAGGAAGAAAAGCACGACCCTCCCCCTATGAGCAGGGTAGGACGGGATAGCCCCTTGTTCGTGCAGCCTCGCCGCCCCTCGAATTTGGCTGCTAAAGCGGCGACACCACCCCTCCGTCTTGGACGACTCGGGAGTTTCTTTTTCCTTCTAAATCTCTGGGCACAACTGTACAACACTCGGGAAACACGGAGCATCGAAGAATTTCTGTTTTTGCTTCAAGTCCTCCATGGAGCATAGGCCAGCTTGCTTGAAGCAAAAAGGCAATACTAAGACCGCCACGGGGGAGGGAAGGGGCGAAGCGGACGGCGACGCAGCTCTGGGGGATCAGCCCTAGGAGGACGGCTGTGTTGTGGCTACTTATCTACGCTACAGGAACGGTTGCCCCTTAAGGCGCGTCCATGGGGCGTACACGGCCGGCTGGAGCCAACAGTGCCGGGTGGTAAAGGCCAGACCATCTGATTAGGAAGTTTGTTAGGCCCGGACAGCGGAAGAACGACCATCAGGCTTCTATACAGACAAGGTCAGGCCAAGTACGGAGGACCGAGTATGAATGGAAGATCACTTTGGGGTCCATCATCGGTCCCTCGAACCCATAGTGTAGTCCGGTGTCGTCCTTGTGTATATGATTAGCTCCCAGCCTCCCCCGGGCGTCTCACGTGGACAAAGGATCCGGATCAGCGGATTGTTGTGCCAGACAGTGACAGCCTGGAAACTACAGCCGGAGGAAGCGACTACTTGTAACCTTAGTGTGTGGCCTGTTTCTGCTCCCTCGCATCGACCCCCCGCGTCAATCTGTCCTCATTCTGTCCCTTCTCCTTACAAACCTGCCTTCGTGGCGGTGGGATTCAGGACGCTTTTGGGGCCCTGTGCCCGAGAAACGCCTCGATGTCGACCTTCGAAGCCGGGATGGTGTCCTGTGCGACCACCTGATAATAGCGCCGCATCTCGGGGAAGACGTCGGCAAACTTTTGGCTGATGGACCAGTGCGACAGGTTACAAATATGCGCGGCGAAGTGGTCGGACAGGGTCATGGCCCCGGTCTCTGGGTCGGTGTCGATCGCTGCGTCCAGTCCATGTTCCCAATTGACGCTGCATCCCAGCGTCTGGATTGCTAGGATGTAGTCGCGCATATCCTGGACCAGTCCGTCGCGCATTTCAGGGCTGGGAGGGGGGCGCGCGCACCCAGGATTAGCATCGGAAGTCACTTATGCACTTGAGAGGTGACTTACAATATGGGCAGATCCGCCCCGGGATGATGACGGACTAGTCTTTGGAGAGGCGTTGGTCTCATGGCCTCTGGGAGCAAGGTGTATGTCTCCGCCGAAGGGGCAATTATCCACTATTGGTCCGTCAACAGAGTGTTCTGTCTTCCCCCGTGTTTGGTGTCATGACACTAACGCGCATGAAATGTGCATAGGTGAAAATCCACGCCAGAGCTACGTATATGTCGCAATTCGCGAGAAGGCGCATGTACTCGCAGGCCCATGTCGCCGGCGTGTGTGCATCTTCGGGCGTGCGCCCACGGAAATATAGAGCCAGATCAATCTGCGGAGACCCCAGCACAAATTCGATGGGCAATCCTGCAGCCAGTTGTCCTCGTCCATAATCGCGAAAATCAGTATATGCGGCGGCCATGGGACATCGTTCTCCCTCGAACAGCATCGGCTGGATGAGGTATTCGGGAAGGTCAAGATTGAGCAGCTGTTGACGCTGCCAGGCGAAATCCTGAATTGTACTGGGATTGGCCGAGAGGAACGAGGAGTCACCGAATATCCTGATTGACTCTACGTTTGGAGCATCGTGGTCGGTGGAACAAAAGATTCGAAATTGGACTCTGGGGTCAGGATTTTTGGTCCTCTGCACAGTCGCTTCGGATGGGATTGGCAGATCCCACAGCTCGTCGAGCGAGCCTGCCGGACTGATCAACGCGTTTGAGGGTGCTGCTTCGGGGGCAACATCTTGCACTCCTTCGGGGAAACTCCCTCGGCGCCGAGTCAACTCCTCCTTCTGGCTCACGTCCTCCCCAAACTCGCGGCGATTTGTCTTTCGAGCGTGGGCTGAAGCCCAGGACTCGTGTGGATCGGAGCTTGATGATGCTGCAGCATGTTCCGGCATGTCCATGCCGAGCCTTTGGGAAAGCGTGCGAATCAGAGGGTCATCTCTCAATCGCTGTCGCATCTCGTCACCTCCGGCGCGGATCAGTTCGAGAAGTCGCTGCAGCATCTGCTTCTGCAGCGCTGCTTCGGTCTCGGCTCGCTCCCAATGGATCTTGCGTCGCCTGTCGAGACTGGCGTTGTACATACATTCGAGCCGCGATCGACTGCAAGCACTACAAGGATTGCCGCCGGAACACTATCCAGGAAGCCAAAGTCAGAATACCATGACCCAGCATACTGCGGAGAAATGCCACCTTTGATTTTCGGATCTTGCAGCTGAAACAGGCTGTGGAGGCTTTGCGCCGAGGCGGATTCAAGCCCGAGGCCGGAGTGGAAGTCTCCATTCCAGGACGACTTTGATTCATGGGCCTCTTATATGGGCAGGTGTGTGAATGTCTCGGTCAAGTCCTGGATCATCTCCAGCGCACGCAGAACTTGGTGGATCTTTGAGAGAGGCGGAAGATATGGGACATTTACATATTGCCGGTAGACGGTTTCGATAATGGGATACAACATGTCTTCTTTCGTGTTGCAGAAGTCGTCTGACTCTAGCATATTGGGACCTGTGGCGTGTACACTGTGCAAGCGGCGTGCACGTGACACTCGTTTTTGATGACGTCGAAGGCACAAGGCGGCACGGGACTATTCCAAAAAAGGCAAAGACGCAGCCGAAAGGAAACTCGGCGTTGGTGGCACTTTTTCCAACGCCTTGGCAAGGATTTTCCGCAATTCTGCGTTTCTGCAATGTCCTTGAAGGTGGCATTGATACCTATTTCAAACCGCCGATTTGCGGGCAGCCTGAGTGCGAGAAGGGCCGTCGCAGCTACTGCCAGTCTACGAGGATTGTGGTCTTAGGGAGTTGTCTCTTCAATCGAAGCCCTCCAAAGTCCCCCGTTGCAGTCCATCAACGACTCACCACCGCCGCCATGAGGTTCGCCGCACCCGACTTGTCCTCCTAACACTCCTCTTATTCGTTCGTGCTAACACATCTGGTCTCCCGCAGGATCGAAACGTGCCATCTGTGCTCCCGGCCCGTCTACCCTTCCAAGGGCATCACCTTTGTGCGCAACGACGCCAAGGTGTTCCGGTTCTGCCGCTCCAAGTGCCACAAGAACTTCAAGATGAAGCGCCAGCCCCGCAAACTCAAGTGGACCAAGACGCACCGCGCGCTCCGCGGCAAGGAGATGATCGTCGACCAGAACCTGCTGCTGTCGCAGTTCGCGAAGCGGCGCAACGCCCCCGTCAAGTACGACCGGACCCTGGTCCAGGCGACCATGAAGGCCATGGAGCGGATCGAGGAGATCCGGGCACGGAGGGAACGCGTGTATACCCGGCGGAGGCTGAGCGGCAAGGCCCAGAGGGACGCGCGCCGCAGACAGGACCTCAAGGTGGTCGCCCAGGGCGAGCACTTGATCAAGAAGGAGCTGGCCGATCTGGAGGCCGCGAGGGCCGAGATGGAGCCCATGGTCGAACAGGTCAAGCGAGATCTGGAGACCAGCAGGGTCCTGGGCGAGGAGAGGGTCAGGCAGAAGAGGAAGAGGAAGATGCTCGTCGGTGGAGGCACGGAGGAAGAGATGGATCTCGACTGATTTGGTGCGCCGCGGTCATGATCACTCGTGTACGGACTGGATGAAGCTGATGCGACCATGATACCCGGCGTTCGACGTTGCGAGGCCATCTCTTTTTTCGCCTTGTGGTTAGACGGCATTGTTGGTCCGGCGCAAAAGGGCGTTTGAGAGGCATGTCAAAAGTTTTAATTTTAGATGGATTGGATTCCAGACTTTTTAAAAGACTTCTGGGTTACTGGAGAAAGAGAAACGACGACAGCGAGGCTTTCTATGGCTGAAGACTGCAGGTCTCACAACTTCTTCATTGGCGCTTCGGGACTATAGGCCAAGTAACATCAGGACTGCTGGCTTGGTGGTCCGCCGTTGGGAAGTACAAACTAGGGGCTGTCTCAGTCCTATAAGACGCCGTGGCCAGATCAAATATCTCGTAAAGCAGTCCACACAATGAACCCCAAATGCCTCCATTTGGTTGGTACTGTTCGTCTTGCGTCTCAAGCGGTGACCACGTAGTGCTTGAAGTCCTTCGTCTTGATGTTGCGCTCGAACATGATGTCGACTTCCTGGTACGTTCTCCCTTTCCTGTAGTGGAGCAATAGAGTCAGTAACGGTTCATCCATCGTTGAACGAGACAGATCAGTGCCAAACGGCGGACAAAAGCGGTAACTCACAGTTCAGGGACTCGGAAGTATGACCACGTCAGACACAGCGCCGCCAGTCCGCCAAAGAAGAAGCCGAGTTTTCCTCGCATGTCCGCTTGGTCGGGGTTGATCATGTAGGGAATCGCCACGGTCATGACGATGCCGGCGGTGGCCTGGACGGCGGTGGCGATGGCGATGGTTTTCCCGCGCACTCTGGTGGCCGACACCTCGCAGAGGAGGACGAAGCACACGGGCCCGATGGACAAGTCGTAGATGAAGTTCCAGATCAGCATCAGGACGCTCTGGGCCCAAGAAATGGAGGGCCTGCTGTCGTAGTGGGGCGCGCAGTCCAGGATCCCGATGATGATCTGGAGGACCGCCAGCAGCGCCAGGCCCGTGTTGTAGATGGTCCGGCGGCCGAAGTAGATCAGCAGGATCCATGAGAGACAAGTCCCCACGAAGCCGATCGCGAGGAAGCCAACACCCATGTTGAACGCCTGGTCGGAGGGCAGGCCAGCAACTAGATCCGGGTGAGCAACTTACACGGACAGAAGGAGGGCGGTCCATTTCACATACGGGTAAAGAAGTAGGTGGCATAGCCGACCAGGTAGATGCCGGACAGGACTTGGATGGTATAAACACCGACGGCAATCTCGGTCCGGCGGATGTTGATCTTCTTGAAACAATCCGAGTACTATGCAAAATTGTCAGTCCCGTGAAACAGGTTGCTAGAGTGCCAACCACCAGTGACTTCTGGGGAAAAGGCCACAAGAACAGAAGAACGTACAGTGGAACCCGCCTCGATTTCTCTCTCCAATCGATCCGTCTCGATTATCATGGCCAGAGTAGGTCGAACGTCGACCTTGGGCGAGGCTAGTCGCTTGAGAGACTTTTCGGCATCCTCGAACCGACCTTGTCGTTGCAGCCACCACGGGCTAAATTCACGTTAGCAGACGAATGAGGGGGGGAGTGAACACGGGAGCTCTCACCTTTCAGGAGCAAATGGCAAACCAATCAGAATAACAAGTGGCCAGAGCCATTGGATAGCGAACGGCGCGCTATAAGCCCAGTGGCTGTCAAGTACATGCGTCCCAGCAATGACGCCATTTGCAATCAATTGGCCTGTCACGAAGCAGATGTTCGTGCAGGATGTCAAAACACCTCGAAGGGCCAAAGGGCACACCTCTGATGCATACGCCGGGGCGATAACGGCATAGCTCCCCAAGACCAATCCTCCGAGTAATTCGCCCGCAAGCAGGACGGGAAGTGATCTGGCAAAGAACTGGATAAAGACGAAACCGGTCGTGAGGATGACACATGCTCCGAATGTCTTCTTACGCCCGAACCACTCCATCGGATAAGCCGCGAAGAATGCTCCGACGACTTGGCCGATTGGGGAGCCCATGCTCAGGCCGGTTTGCCATGGGGCCGAGACAATATAGCTTCCGTCGTAGAGATAACCGAAGTCACGCTGAAATGCTGGCGTCGCATACAGCTGGCCTAAAAGTTGCGGATCAAAGGCACACCTGAGTATGCACTTGTTAGAAAAATATGTGAGTGCTCCACTATGTCGGTCACTTACATGATAACACCCAGTGAAAAGAAGAGAGACCATCCGACAGCTGCCGGGTACAGCCTCACGGCTTCCCAGAACGAGTGTCTATGTTCTTTGTCGGTGGCTGTGCGTGCTTCAGCGTTGATTTCGTCAATAGAGGCAGTCGCAATGACGCCCACGGGCTCTTTTCTGATCTCAATATCCTTGTCCATATCTGTGGTTCCCGCAGTGAGCGCCGTTGATCAGGTCCTTTGGAAGTTGGAAGAAGTAGAGCGCACAGACAGTGGCAGATGACGGGCGATAGTCAATTGATAAACGCTTCCAAACAAGTCTGCGTTATCAAGGACGATAAGAGCTTGAGAACCGCGTTCATCAGTCTTTGCCGCTTGACTTGACCCCTCCTGGCGGTAGCGAGATACAGCAGCCCGAGGGATGTGGCCAGGGTCTGGAATGGAATGGTGTCCCATTCGCGTGGTTGGAAATCATGGCCACGAGGGCAAAGCCTCACCTTCGCTATCAACTTGAATTGCCGGTGGCACCTGATTCGACCGACGTGCCAAAAGCGGCTGCTGCTCGTCTGGCTCGTCGATAGCATCCATCTTGTCGTATGACTCGGGCCAAATCGAGGCGAGGAAGGCAAGGTCGGTGCCAGGATCGTCGGGGCAAACCCATGCGATTGCACTGTTACATGGAGGAGCGACGCAGGTCGAGGCCCTAAGAGCGAGTCCTAGCCCTCAACTAAGCGGGGATCTGCGATAGATGGGATATCAGAATGTTATCGTTACATTGAAAAGAGGAGGAGAAGTTGGAGCGTCGGGGGCGATAGCAGAGAGGCAAGCGGGTAGAATACGATTGGTGAGTCGGAGCGGAGGTGCAGTACGGTCAAGCATATAGCGCGGAGGCACATTATCAGATTACGTAATGCAGAACTATGCACGATCACAAAATCTCGTGCTGACGGGTGTCCTTTGGAGATGGTTTGGCGCCATGAAACAATAAGATGGAGCCTCCTCGGAAGAAGATTCGGCGGGTGGTGAATAGCTGTCTCGAGTGTAGGTTCCCTGCGTTCTGTATGTCGATTTCTACCATCTCCTCTAACAAGCTGCAGGCAGAAGGCGAAAGATTAGGTGTGACTTGAGCTCCAATGCGTCAGACAAATGCACTGCCTGTGCCGGCCGAGGCATTGATTGTGAGAGATGGGAGCATTCAGCCGAAGCCCCCGATTCCTACAATCTCGAACTCAGCGCAAGACTGCGGCGTGTGGAATCTCTCCTGGAGAAATTGACAGACGTTGAATCCTTGGATGCTGTCGAGGCTGCGTTGAATGTGGGGGCCGGAGATGGATCAATAACCGCACCGATCGAAGGGCACACTCATCCGCCCCTTATATCTCTATTCGACAATGCAGTTGTACGTTTGACAAACCGCTTAGTTGCAACATGATCGGAAATGGCTCATGGTCATAGTTTGGTCACCAAGAACAGTCAACTCCTTCAAGCGGCCCGGACCATCGCAGCCCGTCCCAAGGTGCGGGAGGTCCTCAGAATGCTAAGCTGGAGAAGCTGCGTCTGGTACTTAGCGCACTGCTCCCCACACAGGAGGACGCAGATCTGATTGCTGGTTCCACGGTGAGTGCTAGAAAGCATCGCGCCGGGTCACGCTGCTAATGAATGCTCTGGAAAGAACGCCTGGGGCCTTGGCCACATGCTTTATGCTGCCAATGGGAACTCGACGCAGACAGACTTCGACATCACCACTTTGTCCAAAGGCTCACCACTAACTATAGCGCGAACACTGATGCATTTTGCAATTCTCATCCAACAAATGCCTCCGGAATTCGACACTTCGAGACTCCAATTCCACTCGCCTATTGACACTGTGCTACAGAAGTACCTGTACTACGTGGCGGATCTCGTTACTTCGAAAGATGATTTTGCTTGTACAATGGAGGGCTTGGAGTGCCTCCTTCTACAGAGCATATTCTACATCAATGATGGTAACCTGCGCAGAGCTTGGCTTGCTGGTCGTCGAGCTTTGTGCACCGCCCAATTTTTGGGGTTGCAAAAGAGCTATCTCAGCTGTATCCGGAATTCAGATAGCGATGATGCCAGTCAGAGACCCGATGCCATGATGTGGGTCAGAACCGTAATGCTTGATCGCTTTCTGGCTCCTATCCTTGGGCTTCCATGTGGCGTTGGCAACGATTGCTTTGGTGAAGATGGGGTGATGGCGCCTATCATCAACTTCCTTGATGTTTTTGAGCGCAGACTCTGCGTGATTGCCGGTTTGATTGCTGCGCGAAACCAAAAAGAACCGGCTCCTGGGTATACCACGACGCTGGACATCGACGAAAAGCTTGAAAAGCTTGCGAAGGATATGGGCGATATGCTGACGACGATCCCAGCATTATACAGCTCGCCTCAGCCCCTGGCCGGGGAGGATCCTTTCAAATTGGTGCTGAACCAAATATGGTTCTATCAAATTACGATCATCTTGCACATACCCTGGATGCTGCGAGCGTTCACCGACAGCAAGTACGAGTACAGCAGATTCGCTTGTCTGACCGCGTCGCGAGAGCATCTTCGCCGATACCTTGCTCTCCGAGACACAAACAACACTCAGAATACCGCTCGTGTTGTTGATTTTGGGACCGTCATTGCGGCCGCAACACTCATTCTCAATCGAGTTGAATCTGCAACACGAGACACCGCCACTTCTGATGGAGAGAAAGACATGAGACTGGTGTCCAATGTCGTGGAATCCATGCGAGCGGTCTCTCGAGGACCACGAGAGTTCATGGCTCGCCAAGGGGTTGAGGTCATGGAGGCGCTTCTAGCATTAAAGAACGGTGCCGGGGATCACAACACAAGCGACACACTGCGATTTACCATACCATTCTTTGGCCCCATTGTCATTTCCCGGAACCGTACCCCAGTTGGCCCGACACCAGTTACCGTTGTGCAGGACGGTCTTGACGAAGACGATCCAATCGACGCTCTGTTGCGGTCAAATCAGGTTCAAAGTGGCCCGCAACTCAGTGGCGTCTCCAATGGACCCGTTCACGGCCATCATCTGTCATTTGAGCAAGCGAATATACCTGACTCTGGTTGGATTCCTCCTTTGCAAGCATGGGACTTCGACACGATTCCTGCCTGGGGTGGCTCGTTTAGTTTGTGGAACGTCCCTGACTGGAATGCCTGAGGCCAAAAACTCCCAACTGCTCGTAGCAAGAGTCGAATGTAATGCTTGGGATCGGCAACGAGTTTCTCCCTGGAGCCAAGCAAAGATGCTTTCGAGATAAAGACCCCGGCAACTTCTCCAGATGGACAGAGGGATGGACAGAAGATGAGAGCGCTCTCTTCTAATCTAGGGGCCTGATGACCTTCTATAAAATGTGCTCGGCCGAGAACTCCGAGTTACAACTCCGCTCATGTACCTACAAACGACATTCAGGCCACCCGTCACGATTTTGCCATTGGCCGATACAGAGAACAATGACTCTAAGATCTTCAGAAGCCTGAGATTGCGATGGTGGTTCTCGGTTACGGGACCGTGATGTGCGAAAACGTGAATGCGTCGACAAAGTATCCGTCTTGTCACCTTTCTCGCTGCCCCCTTCTCTTCGACAAAGACTATTATGAGACATTCATCCTAGCAGACATACATCGACTATCACGATGAACAACTACCTTCAATTTCTCAGAGAATCGTTCCCACCCCGGCCTGGATTTACAGAAAAGGAACTGGGCGACCAGACAGGAAAGGTGCGTGAAGCCGTTGTTGAATCTGCTCGTGCCATGCTGAGCGGGACTCCAGGTATTCATCGTTACCGGAACCACCAGTGGAGTGGGCAAGGCCCTGGTCAGCATCCTCTACTCGAAAAATGCGACAGTCTACACCGCAGCGAGAAACCAAGAGCGTGCCCTCGAAGTCAACGCAGATATTAAAACTCAGAGCCCGAATTCCACAGGCAGACTCATTTATCTAAACATCGACCTCGAGGATCTGAATAGCGTCAAAGCAGCAGCGGAAGAGTTCCTTTCGAGGGAAAGCCGCCTCGATGTCCTGTGGAATAATGCTGCAGTTCTAACCCCTCCTGCTGGCTCGAAGACCAAGCAAGGGTGGGACTTACAACTCGGCGTCAACTGCCTGGCTCCATTTCTGTTCACTAAGCTTTTGACGCCGATGCTGTTGACCACGGCCAAGATCTCTCTACCGAGCTCAGTCCGGGTGGTGTTTGTGGCCTCATCTGCCACATACCTCTTTGCGCCGACTGGAGGAGTGGATATGCTTCGGTTGATGGATGAAAGGGAAAAGGATCCAACCTATATGTACGGTGTAAGCAAGGCCGGGAATGCGCTGTATGCTCTGCAATTCGCAAACCTGTACAGACGCGATGGCGTTATTGCTGTGGTACGTCTAGCCGGTTCTGCCACGCCGTATCTTGGGACTCTGGCTAACACATCCGTTTCACCCAGAGCGGCAACCCCGGAAACCTGCACTCAGATCTGCCGCGGCACGTTCCTAGATGGGGACAGATCCTCATGCGTCCCCTGCAATACGACCCTCTCTATGGCGCATATACCGAGCTATTCGGCGGTCTCTCCCCAGAGATCACACTCGAGAAAACGGGGGCATGGCTAATGCCTTGGGGTCGCGTCGGGAAGTTGAGGGCTGATATCGAGGAAGCAGGTAAGAGCAAAGCGGATGGAGGGAGTGGTATAGCCGAAGATTTCTGGGCCTGGAGCGAGAAGCAGGTGATCGACTATCTCTAGGAGCCAGGTGCTTTAACGGATTGGGGGTGGACGAGGCAGTTTTATACAAAGCGGCGCAGTCGAACAGATTGTCAACATGGGAAATTGACGACGGCTTTCCTATCTTGCTGCACTTGCATTCAACACACAGCGATGGTCAATCCCCTCTTGAGATAATCACTTGGCTTTCCGGAGCGCAGCTCTTCCCTTCTCCAACAGTGGAGCATGAAATATTTTGTATTCAGGATTCCCCTCCAAAGCTGTCTCGATCATGGCCGCCGCGAGTACACCTACACCGATCACGAGTCTGTTCCCACATGTGGCGGTGTTAAGGCCAGCGGTCTGCTTGTGCAGCACACCACCGGGCCTGACCACATATGACTCCCAGCTTTTGTGGTTCTGTTTCTGCTCGTCCGAAAAGGCCAGCAGCCTCGTCTCCGCGAGCCCCTAAGCAGAGTTGTCAGAGAAATGGAGTCTCCTGGAAACGTGCGATGGGCAAAGCGGTACCTTGGCCTTGCGAGTCGTGGTGAGAAACCACAACGAAGCATTCTGGTCATTGATCACGAACATGCCGCTTAAGTAGACCATCCGGAACAGCTTGGTCGTCGCTCCATTGCGGGCTTTGGCAATTGCTTCGCAGAATGCGAGTGGATAGCCGGCTTCGACTTCTTCACCGCCGGTGTATGTGCCTAGAGACCTTCCAAAACGCGTCGGTCATCCAAGCTCGGACGTGCCCTCAAGAAAGCAGAGTGGCCCTTACCAGATGCAAAAGTCTGCGTCTCTGAGCTCAGGCAATACCGAATCGGGATAGTTCGTGAAGTCCTGGAGAATCACGACTTTGACCTTGGAATTGCTTGCAGCCGGCTCGGGCAATGCACGGCGAGAGAGCACCACAATCGAGGTGATTTGAGGATGTGTGAGGCATTGGTTGAGAACTTCGCCCCCAATAAAGCCCGTGGCCCCAGTCAGAATGGCTTTCATTTTGAGTCTTTTGATCGAAGGAAGACGAGTTTGTTCTCCATCAATAGGGTTGTATCAATCATTGTACCATCGGCCTGTGGACAACCGGAATGTTGCTGCCTGCAAACGGCAGCTCTTCTGTGGTTGGACAGCTCTCTCGGCCGAGGGCGCCGAAACCTGGTCAAGGATGCCCCTGTCTACGGCCGAGGGCTTCAAGCTTTTCGGTGAAAAGGGCCAGAATGCGAAGAAGACGAGGCTGAGATATTCAGCCTTGCGGGTGGCGTCGATTAGTCAGGCGTCTTACGATGCTCAGGCGTTCCGGACACTTGACAATCTAGACCTATTTCCAGATTTTCATTGAACACGAGTCATCACGTCTACTAATCGGGGGGTTGATATTGACAGAGAAGTTGTGCAGTTATCCATCATGGCCGAGGAAGCGGTGATTTTCCCGTCTCAGCCACTGTTCATGGTGGACAGAGGATGGCAACGGCGCAAGAAGAAGGCCAAGAATGACGCACTATTCCAGGAGCTCGATCTCCAAACCTCGCGCGTGCCTGAAGTTACCATCAGGGTTGCAAATGGGCAGGCCAAAACAAGATCAAAGTCTCCGCCTCAGGCTAGACTTGGGGACACGCAGGCGAAGGTCAATCCAAGGGAGTCCGGTCAAATCCAGTTTATGGCGTACAAACCCTCGGAGAGGAAACAAAGACAGCCTGCCAAGTCGAAAAAGACCGATCAGATCAAAAGGACAGAGAAGCAAGTAGCAGACACGAAAGTCAAGCTTCATATCCCCCCTACCGAGTTAGCGGAGGCAAGGAAGGATGTATCTTTTCTCAAGCAGACACTTCCTGGAACAGCCACTGCCCTTTACACGGTCATCGATCCTGAAGTGAGCTCCTTCCAAAAGTTCATGACCTACTGTATGCCTCTATCCCACAAATTATCACTATAGTCATTTGCTGACGCCGAACGAAGATCCTACACGCCTTGCTGCGTCCATGTATCCGATCAGCAGAAAGGTGCGACTCACGTACAACCCCATTGAAACAATATGGCTTCCTGCCGTTGTGACAGACGAGGTTAGCCTGCACACGATTCTATTCTCATGCGCCACACACTTCTTCGTCGGGTCCGGGCATCAAACGTTCAAAGACTCGCATCTGCTCATGAAGGTGATTCTCAATCGACTCAACCGCAGAATCCACGACGGCAAGTATTCGGACCTTACCATCGGTGCTGTGTCTTGCCTGGCACTGAATGAGAACCACATGGGCAATCATCAAAAATGGGAGATGCATGCTGCTGGCATGTCCGAAATGGTACGAGCAAGAGGCGGTTTTGGGGCTGTGAGGGATGTGTTGCACATGAAGATCTATCGGGCCGATACGATTGGTGCCGTTGATACGCTCTCACACCCTCATTTTCCGCGGCCGGTCAGAAAGACTCAATCGCTCTACAGTGCAATGGTGCTTCAGTCAGATTTGACGCCCATTGACCCGCCGATGCTGGACCCCGATTTGACACTGCCCGTGTCGAATGCTCTTGCCGAGCTCACATACTTATGCCATGTTCTCAACCATGCCGCCGATATGCAGACCCCGATTGATCCTCTTGCCTTTGACGAGGATGTGACTTGCATTCAGCACGACTTACTCCGGTCACAAAACCCAAAGCAGGGGTTTGTCGAAAGAGTGTGCGTGATAGCAGCTCTGATCTTCATCCAGACGCTCACCCGCGAAGTCCCATTCACCAGACGTTGCTCTGGCCATCTTTCCCGAGAGCTGAAAATGGCCTGCCTTGCTGTCGAGCCGGAGGCGTTGTCCGAGGAGTTAATGTTCTGGGTTCTTTTCATGGGAGGTCTCGTGTCTATCGAGACGGATCAGTATATCTGGTTCCGGGCACGGTTGGTGCATTCCCCGAGCCTCCGCCATGGTGTCTTCACTTGGGAAAATGTCAAATGTCAACTTCGGAAAGTGTTCTGGATCGACAGCCTTCAAGAAGACTACGGATTGGGCCTTTGGCGAAGCATCGACACATCTCTCCACCTGCCTGGTGATCCGATCACCGCTTGGACGGATATGGATCAAAGTCGTTTTCATCAAGAAACATATTGACGTGGGTTGCGCAAAGCGTCGCGTACTGCCACAGACGCCGATGACCAGCGGGCCGCAGATAGTAGGCTGCGCGTTTGGGAACTCATGATATATCTCACAGCTTCACCCTATTGAGATCACCTTCTCATTTTCGCTATTAGCGACAAAAACGCGCATCCTGAGTTCTCCCCACTGGTCGAAGTTGCTTGAGGGTTTCTCTTGAATGAAACCGTCGCCGCCTCGAATTGCCTCTGTGCTGCACGATGCCCACCAGAAGGTGAAGGATCCTCTCGTGGCCAGATGACCGACTCCAGCAACATAATTTGCTGACGGCATCGACGAACCGGTGCCGATGAGATGTAGCGCTGTCCAGTGATCTGAGCACAATCGCCGCCCACGGGAAGCCCAAAAATTCAAACTTGAAAAGCCGAGAGCTTCGACAAAGCAATAACAAAGTCATCCAGCTCCAGCATTGAAACGTTTCTGGAATTTTGTCGAAGTTAACTCAACGTCGTCGAAAACCACCACGGTTCTGGTTCTGGAGAGCGTGTTGACGAACAGGGGATCCCACATATTCATATTGGGGCGATAGGGGGAATATGTATGAACAAGGGAACACCATCCTTACCAATACGTCGATTTGCGAAACGGACTCCATTTGCAGCGTCCACGTATTGAGTGACGGCTGTTTGTGCGTTCGATATCTTATGAAGTTGTTGATGTATTCTTTTGAGGAGGAGGATTCGTCGGATTTGAACAGTGCACGACGCAAAAGCATAAGGGACTTGTCACTTGAGAGCAGATACCCAGTTTGCTCACAGCTTTCGCATTATTTAAGCGTCCCTCCTCTCGAGAATTGTGTCACAGCCTTCGCACACTGCATGACCTTTATACATCCAGGAGGCAGATGGGTCTGTATTTCCGCTCGATCAGGCCGAAAAGGGAAATATCAAGATCATTCAGGAGGCCAAATGCTGCTGCTACGTCGATAACACGAAAGTGGGAATATCAACCCTAGTCATGAGAGACCAAATCTCTAGGCGGTCAGATTTAATCTTGCTCGCCAGATCATCGTTGGAATTTGGAAGGCGAATCATGGCAATAGAGCGCCTGATAAGGATCCCAAAGAGGCAATCTTGCACCCATTTGGGACAACCGTTGAGGCCTCGAGGCGTGCCAGACTTTTACCCTGTCAGGGAATACTCTGTTATACTCATCTATCGCATACGGTCGATTGACTCACCGTACAGAGGCGCGTCGGCCATTTCCGCGTCTCCGTTCTTTATCGTTCTCGAGACCGTTTCCCCCTTTGGCTCTGAGCCGCAAATGCGCATACCCCTCATCATCGACAATGCAACCTGATGGCTGATCGATGATAAGCACCACCCTAGAGTCGCTTCCCTTCCATTTTCGAGTCTGGATCGCGTGGCCTCGGCTGGACAGGCAGGTTAGGGTCCCATGCGAGGGAGGGCGAGACTGACTCGCTTCTGGACCGGTGATCCCAGTCGTTTTGGGGGGCATGGGGGTTTGATTGACGTTGCCGCAAAGATATTCATCTTCTAAGTAATCTCCACGGCCTTGGGGAAGACATCGTCAGAGACCAAGCATCTCGCCTTGGAAGGATAGCAAGAGTCTCGTGGGCACAGTTTAGCCAGAATGGGATCGTATACTCCGGTCCACGACCAAGAGGTCCATACCATCCACATCCCCGAGGAGGTGCGCCAGTCGGGCCAAGCACCGCTGGACCTGGTCGGCGAGGGCGCCGCGTTCCTGCACAAGGATGGCATCGTCGTGCTCGACAACGCCATCGACCCGGCGCACCTCGACGCGCTGAACGCCCAGTTGGCGCCGGAGGCGCTCGAGATCGCCGCGGACCCGGACCACCACTTCAACTTCGGCAAGCACACGCGCAACATGGATCAGGCGCCGCCGCCCACCCGGGCCCTCATGTTCAAGGACGTGTGGTGCAACCCGTTCGCGGCGGCCATCCTGGCGGCGGTGCTGGGCCCGCGGCCGGTCATCCACTACGCCAACGGTAACACGGCGCTCCAGGCGCCCCCGGACGGCCGCCAGCCGGTGCACTCGGACTGCGAGTTCGCGCACCCGGCGTACTTCCCGTTCGCGTACGTGATCAACATCAACCTGGTCGACGTGACGCCCGAGAACGGCGGCACCGAGGTGTGGGTGGGCAGCCACCACGTGTCGGTGCACGAGGCGCACAACCGCGCCGCAAAGGATGAGGGGGACGAGGACCTGCTCACCATCCAGCCGGGCCCGCTCGAGCAGCGCCGCGCGCACTCGCCACCCGTGCAGGTGCGCACCCGCAAGGGCAGCCTGATCATCCGCGACCTGCGCCTCTGGCACGCCGGCAGGCCCAACCTGACGGCCGCGCCGCGCATCATGCTCGCCTTCGTGGCCAGCCCGGCCTGGTGGCGGGGCCGCAGCCGCATCAAGCTGCCCCGCGACGTCCGGGACCTGGTCGAGGGCTGGGCCGACGAGATGGCCTACGCCGCCGACTGGGTCGACGGCGAGGTCGACCACAAGAAGCTGCGCAGCGCCGGCGTCGACTTCGACGGCGACGCCGCCGTCCTCAACCGCTTTCGCCGCGAGCTGAGCGTCTGGCCCGAGTATCGGCCTCGGTGGTACTGAGTTTTCAATGTCGGCGAGACGGTGCGGTCATTCCTTGTGACGGGGGACTGAGATGAAAGGGGCATTCGTCAATCGGAGGAGTAGAGTCGGGGACAGTCAAGAGGGCACAATCCATCGAGGGACAGAACTTGTGGTTGTGGGTGTTCACGGCGCCCTTTTTGACGTCCTGTTTTCGGTTGTATCAAGAGCTTGTTATTGTCTGCCCTCGTCTTCTTCTACTGTCCACCGACAGGCGATGTCTACAAATTTCGAGGCAGTACAATGTCTTGTCTTGGTTTGTCTAGATTCATTCGTTCATTTCGATGTCTGCTTCATATCTCCGCATCATATAACAGTATTCTATCCTTTCGTGTCGTGTCGTGCCTCGTCATATTGTCCAAATCCATCATATCCTTCATGTCGTATCCCTTCTAATCTGTTCCTCCTCCAGCTGATGTCCGATACACGGTATCCCAAGATATGTGATTGATCCGCCAGCGCCCATAATTTCGCTTCTGCAAGCCTTGTCGTTGCCTCCGTGTCGTGTCTGAACCAGTTGTCGAAGCCCAAACCCAAGAATTGCCCGTCGAGTCTCCTGTGGTCGCACGAAAGAATTCTTCTCGTTCTCACTTCCAGTTCTGTACATTGTCGTTCCTGTCCCAGGTCCAATCCCAGCCGCATGTCCCGTTTTTGTTTCCGTTTCCGTTTCCGTGTCGATCTCCATCCCGTCCAACGCCGTCCGTCCTTCTCTCCCCATCAAACTGTTGCGTTTCCACGTTCAAGTCCATCCAGTTGGGCAAAGTTGGAGTGTATTCGTTTCCAATGTCATGCTGCGGACTGGATGAGATCACTTGGCCGCCATCAATCTTTGTTGTCGTTCGCAATTCATGTCCATCATGTTCTGAAATATCCCAGCACCAATCTCCTCCATGCACGTCGGCTGACTGACCATTTCTCTCTGTTGGATGCGAATTGTGTTTCGTGTATTTCTGTGTCTCGGTCAAGATATCGTGGTTCCTGCTTTCAATTTGGTGGTAGGGAGATGCCTTGGTCCTGTTTCCAGATGAGGCGGATTTTGCTCCCTTATGCTGCTTGCTGGAAACTCCATATGGCGCTGTCTACCACCTGCTGCCAGTCATTTTGCGGAGTTTGTTCCTTTTGAAATGCCTGTTCGGTGTGTCTGTTGGTTGTCGAGGAGGAGGTTGTTTTGCTGATCCAGCGGCTCACTGTTTCGCCACGTCCCTCGTTTTGGAGTCGTCGAGTTCCAATTTGTTGCTGTCGCAGTGAGATTGTCGAGATGCTGTTTGAATTGTGTTTTGCGACTTGTGAGATTGCCGCTCCCTCACTTTTGACCTTGGAGAAGGTAGAGTCTTTCCCTTCTTTGTCGGAGGCACTAGATGTAGAAGTGGCCAAACCCCCATTCAGATTGTCTGCCCGATGGCCTTCCCTCCGCTCGGAATTTCCTCTCATATAGCCGCTGCTTCTCCCTCAGAATTGAAGCCGGCCCACGGAAGAGGGCGACCTTGCTGCTGTGGGCGTGTGCACATGCCCAATTTGCCTGGCTCACTGCTTCTTGGCTCACCAAGTTGTCCCAGTAGTGATCTCTTTTGTCGGTGGGATTCCGGCGGGCGATCGCTCTCATCCTTTCAAGTTGCAGGAAAGAGGCGTGTGATTGTCGGTTGGGGGTCGAGTCCTCCTCGTTGCCATTCTCGAACTCCGGCCAGGTATATTGTGGAGAAAAGGTGGTCGAATCGATGTCGCTAGAGTCCATCAGGGTCACCACGTCGCCTGGAATCCTCTCAAATAGTGCGAGCTCCTCGGCAGCACGAAAACCGCCGTGTCTTGGAAGATATGACAACCTGAAGTTCTTGAGGATATGCTCGAAGTGCTCCCTTGGCAAAGGATGCCAGGGATTGTGGATCCATGTCCACTGCAGCCGAGCATAAACGCAGTGTCTTAGATGTTGATTGAACTCCGTGTCCACCTTCCCCTGCTGATGTGGATAGAGGCGGTGGAACTGCCAGGGTAAAGGCGAGTGATAGTTCCAGAAGTAGGCACATCCGGCACAGTGGACCGCCTCAATCTTTGCGATTGTCGTCTGGAGGGAACCATCTGGAAGGCGCCTAGACAGGCGTCTCAGAGCGGGAACTCGCACCGCGCAGGCGTGTTGTGCGTAAGTGGTTTCGGGCGGAGAGATTTCCACGTCCAGTAGACGTAACGGCGTTTGGCAACGGCGGCCTTGGATTGACGACTTTGACCGTGGTCGGATGCTGCGTTGGTCTGCAGCCAGTTCGAGTCCAGTGTGTATCAGGGGGATTTTGCAAGACGCCGGAGGCGCCTCATCCAAAGCGATCGATGCCTTTGGTCCTTGTTCACGGAGGATGTCCATAGCAGCCTTGTAGTCAAAAACATGGCCTTTCTGGGCTGGAAATCCCCAAAAGCAGTTCTGAGGCACAGTCACCAGCTGTGGAAGCTTTCGCAGCTGGGCCTGGGAAAGCCTCATGGTGTATTGAGCGTAGCCGAGGTTGATGGCTAATAGTTCGCGCTCTTGAGACAGGCACCGAAAGCAGCAGCGTTTGAGCTGCAGCAGGTGTAGTATCTCACCATGCTCTCCACAAAACTCACATTTGGTGGTGAAGAGAACATCGACCAATTGGGGCACTGTCCATATGTAACCGGCGCCTGTCGCCAGAAGCGCACGGACTGCATCTGGCCCATGGGTCATCATGGCCCTGAAAGGCTCCCATTGCTCAATAAGTTGTTTGGCATGGGAATTGGTCGCCCGGAGGTTGATCAGACTGTTGACGGGGGTGCTGGCAAAGGTATATATTTGTATTTCGAGGGGGAGTTTGTCGAGGTCTCCTAGACCAGCAGATCGCTGGTTTCTAGTGGTGGTCCATGTTCGCGGTTGACTGAGCCAGATTCGACGTCTAAGCTCCTCGGAGTCGATAATAACTTTGTTGTAATCGGGTTGCTTTGAGAGGAAGCGGAACTCATCAGAGGTCGTCATGGCAGGTTCGAGAGGCTTGGCGACGAGGGAAGCCATTTTGTTGAGGAGGTGTTTTGGAGAAGTCGCGTTGAGAGCTGGTGTGTCGTCGCAAAAGTGTCGAAGTAAAGGCGTCTGGAATGAGGGAAGAGCTTGTTGTGTATGTGCAAGTCCTCGTGAGTCGTCAAGACGAATCTAAAAGGGTGAATCAGGCTGGGTGTGAGGCTTGGTATGTGAAATTCAGGATCCGGGATCCAGGGGAACATGGCTGGGGGGACTGATATATATACTCGCAGGAAACAGAGACAGTGGTAGTTAGAGTTTCAGAAGATAATGGTTAGCATCTGGAGCATATTTAAAGAAATTCCTGGGACCAGCCAACAATAGGCAAACTTTGACAATGACAAGCAAGGGACAGTGGACAATAAGAAGCCAAAGGGCAGTTTCCGACGCTGAATGGTTATTGATGGTCACGGCCTCGATGGGCATATCAGGAAATGCATGAATGGGAGAATAACAGACAATAAGAGAACTTCACCAGCAGAAGAGTGATGGCATGGGACCAGCCACTGCTGCTACCGACGGAAGTCCTGTACCTTGAAGAGACTGGGTGAAACCTTGTGTCACCATGGATCTTGCGAAAAGAGCGGTTCGAGAAGACCTTCTACCCAGAAAGCGTCTTAGGAGGCAAGACTGAATTTCTTCAGGATCAGGCTGGGGGTTGAAGCCGCTCTCCCAGCCAATCAAACCTCTTCAGGTAAGACTGCTGTTGCTTGAGGCAGATGTTGCTGAGATTAATGTTTTCAGATCGAGCACAGACCAGATAATTTCCAAATCTTCGCCACTAGGAGTGCCAGGGTGACGAATGCCAGAGAGTCTTCAATTTTCCTGGGAGAAAAGCACTATCTGAATGGGTGTATGAATGAATAAAAGCTGATATTAGTGGCAGGGTGAAGTGGTTGAAGTCGTCGAGGCTGACATAGTGAGCGGATGCCAAGGTATGCCAAGGTACCGCCTGATCATGTGACATCATGTGATGTACTGTCACGTGCTATCACGTGCCGTCGCTGCAGAATGACGTTTTGGGCAACAACAATTTCACATCCAATTCCCGGATCCCGTCGAACGTTCTTCTTCGTTCTTTGCATGCATTCAGGATTCTGTCGACAGTTGCTCGCGTTCCATTCTAGATTTTCGCGTCTGATCACTTTTGTTGCGATTCCTTCTCTTGTGCACGTTTCTTTTGACGCGTGTTGGCTTTGTAAGAGGAGTTCGAGATGGTTTATATCAGGCAGCGCAACTTGAAGAAGCTCCACGAGTACAAGTACTCTGGGGTGGATAAGTCTCTGGTGTCAAGATATGTCCTCAAGCCGTTCTATACCAATGTTGTCATCAAATGCTTTCCCATGTCAATGGCGTGAGTACACCGATTCTTCTCGTGAACAGCTTTATACTGAGACTTCTCCAGGCCCAACCTTGTGCGAAGACCCGTCCCTGAACTGTGATGGCCTCCTCTGACGCGCAAACAGATTACCTTGACAGGATTCAGTTTTGTGATTATCAATGTCCTTACCATGCTGTGGTATAACCCGACACTCGACACCGATTGCCCTCCCTGGGTCTATCTAACCTGGGCTATTGGTTTGTTCCTGTATCAGACTTTCGACGCCGTAGATGGCACGCAGGCTCGCCGAACACACCAAAGCGGCCCACTGGGCGAGTTGTTTGACCATGGTTAGCATGTATCTTGCGACGTAGCGGGCACTGCTAATGCATATTAGGTGTGGATGCATGCAATACTAGCCTCGAGGTTCTCCTTTTTGCAGCCTCTATGAATCTTGGCCAGTCTTGGAACACCGTCCTCACCCTCTTTGGCACAATCCTCACCTTCTACATCCAGACTTGGGAGGAATACCATACCCACACCTTGATGTTGGGTATTGTTTCTGGCCCTGTTGAAGGCATCCTGACCTTAGTTGTGGTCTACTTTATCACCTTTCTTAAAGGCGGTGCGAGTTATTGGCAGCAGCCAATGCTGCCCAGTCTCGGTCTCCCTAAGAGCGATCTCATCCCGGCCTCTCTTTACCAAATGGCCTGGAACGAGTGGTATATGGTTTATGGTGGGCTGGTCTTGGTCTTCAACACCGTTAGCAGCGCTTTGAACGTCATGGACGCCCGCCGACAAAGAGGCCAGGATCCTTACAAGGCACTCCTTGGTCTGGCTCCTTTTGCTATCACTTGGATCTTGATACCCACCTATCTCTGGCTGAACCCAGTCATTCTCCACCGCCACCTTGTTCCATTCATCATATTCGCTGGCATTGTGAATGCCTACTCCGTGGGGCAAATGATTGTGGCCCACCTGGTCAAGGATAAATTCCCCTACCAAAACGTCCTTGTCATCCCATTGGCCTGCGCCATAGTCGATAGTCTGGGCCCGACACTCGGACTGTGGCCGAGTGCGCTTGGTGATGATGTCTACCAGGTGGCGTTTGTATTCCTGTCACTGGGACTCGCGCTGGGCGTGTACGGAAGCTTTGTTCACGATGTCATAACCACGATCTGTGACTACTTGGATATCTGGTGTCTCACGATCAAGCACCCTTATGTGGAAAATGCCCAGGACGCTGACGCCAAAAAGTCCAAATGAGTCGGCTTGTCGTCTTTGGTGAATACGACGGCCTCAAATACCGAGCATTGCCAACGATTCAGGCTGTTGGATCTTCACAACACCAATGCTGACTCATTTGCTTCAACCTGACCAACATCTTCGATTCATCGGTGATTGTGCAAGTCACTCGCGACAAACGGACTAGGCTATAAATCCTCCTCATTTCCGATTGCTCAAGAAGTCTTTGTTCTCAGACCACCCACGAAATTCTCACCAGTCCACTCTCGAAGCCGACCCCTTTCCATCATGTCGTCAGAAAAGCAAGAGGCCTCTACCAAGGGTGAGTTTAAGACTGGCATCCTGGACAAGGGGACTTCAAGCACGTTCCTGCAACGATTCTGTGCCTGGAAGCCAAAGTGCGCAAGAAAGTCTGCCCATGCAAAGCTGCTGACGGGGCCGTCTCCATCAGAATCGGAAGTTAATTCTTCTTCGCCGAACGCGGTTCTCTTTGGCCCGGTTCAGCAATATGGTCAGTGCTAAACTCTCATGCTCTCATGGTGTACTCAAACCAACTCTTCCCAAGGACAAGTCCCCTACCTGCATCCTGGGCAGTATGCTTCGAACACCGGGATCACGAGAGCCTTCAAAGGGCACATCACGACCACCGTCCACGGAGTCGAAACAATCATGTCCACCCACGAGTATCTGAATCACCCTCAGGAGACGCGTTCGGCAATCCTCAATCCCCGACTTCGTCTGGATTCCGGATACTACCCCAATCCTATTCCGCCTCCACCGGACGCGCCTCCCCCTCCCCCTCCGATCGATATCACCACCGGGAAACCGAAGTCGGAGTCTACCAAGTCGTGTTCTGAGGCTGGTAGCGCAGAGAAGATGTCCTCAATGCCACCATGCAAGTACTCCGGCTTTGACAGACGCCGTTTGGATCTGTTCGGGCTGTCTCCAGGGTCATAAGTTCGTACTGGCTAACGATTGCGAAAAGCGTTATTAGTCCGGGCCGGCTAAGTAACGGGTTGGGGACGTCGTTCAGTTTTCCTCAATGACAAGTGTGACGCATGATGATGTTGATGGAGACGGAGACGGGGACGGGGACAGTCGGGTACCTTGCTCGTGCTCGGTGAACGTTGCTGCTCATACGAACGATGCAAATACGTGGTCCTGAAGTTCAACGGTGTGAGGTATACGAAGGGTTTTCTGGCTCATGATGGTGGGGATATTTCTCTTTTCTTTTTGGTTTGCGAGGTGGCACGGCATAATGGTCCTGAGGGCTGAGATTTCCACAATACATACAACCTTTGAGATGCTTATCTGGACATGCGCGGAATGGGACTCGTGGGACGAGCAAGCCAGCAGTGTGATGCCCTGATCAGGAACGACATGCACATCAGAGGCTAGTTTCACAAAGCGAACAGGAACCTGGATCTTCTGGATTTGTTGAAGGGGATAGACTTCTCAGACAGGAAATTTGTTTCATCAGTTTCTTTCTTTTTGGTGCTCATGAAAAATCCGTAGCTGAAGCACTTTCAAAGGCCACGAAAAGCTCATAACTCCTGGGTGGCGTTTTTTCAAAGCAACCATGGTTCTCTTCGCTGCCACCGCCCAACAGACTGAATACATACAACAATGCCAGCTGAATTTCTGCATCGAGCGTGGAACATTGTGTGATTCCCGAACTGTCGATTAAAGAAATGTGCCCATCGTGCCAACCGCTCTACCAGGTACGCTCCGCCCCATTTCTGCTCACTGTCCGAGATCTCTTTCCTTTGCTGTGTCTATGCTCAACATGACCCCGCCACACGCCTCGGCCATAGATAGAGGACTGTAGATAAAGGACCGTAGGCGTTGATACGGGCAACGACGCGCGACAGGATTTTCGACAAGAAAGTGGGAATGGTGGATGGCTTAGTAGCCCAGCTCGGCCAACTTCTTCTTTGCCTCCCCATCTGCGGTCGACTTGGTCGCCTCGACAAGGTGTCTTCGTTGGGCCTTCTTCCGCTCGTAGTAAGCGGCGCCCTTGACTTTTCTTCTCTCCTCGAGTCTGTTGTCACATTGTCAGCCACAACGCTCATTTCGCACAGAAACATCCAGCCGCCAAATGTTCCATTGCTCAAGCGGATAGGATGTCGAACATACCTCGCGACCACATCCTGGTATTTCCATCCCACCTCATGCGCCAATCTTCCCACCGTGCAGTACTTCCTTCCGGGCTTTAATCTGAGGACCCTCAATGCCTGAGGAACGACCATGCGTTGCTTCTTGTCGTATGGCGGGGGGACACCCTCAAAGACCTTCAATCTCTCCAGAGCGGCAGCACCGCGGGCGGTCTTGTGGGGGATCATGCCTCGGACGGTCTTGTAGAAGATGCGGGCGGGGGCGCGGAAGTGGAAGGGGCCACCTCGGGTTGGGTTGTAGCGAGTGATTTTGCGGAGGTAGGCATGGTACTTGACTGTTCGAGGCGGGAAGAGCTTGTGTTAGTCCAGATGCACCTTGATAGCAGTGATAGAGGGTGTAGTCGAGTAGAATGAAGAGGGGAAGAGCGTACGCTTAGCACGGAAGAATTCGCCAGAGATGTTGAGGGCCTCGCATCTCACGACGACGATTTTCTGGCCATTCAAGAGTTGCTTCGCGACTGTACTGGCGAGACGACCGAGCAAGTGTCCCTTGCCGTCGATGACAACCTGAAGCAAAAAAGAGGACGCTGTCAGTACTTTTTGATCCAACTTGTATGACGATGCTGAGGGCGCAAGTCACCGGGGAAGAACTTACGACGGGCTCGAAGGTCGACATCTCGCTCTCAATCACCTGCAAGAAGTCGTACGGGAAAGGATTCGCAAGTTGAGCGAGGACGTGGTTGTTGGTTGAGTTCGTCAAAGGCCGGAGATTGAGTCAATGAATTGTGTAGATGCGCTTTCGTTTCCGTCGTGCGCACGCCAAGACATCATTGCTTGGCGCGAAATTCAAAAGCACGTGAAAGCTGCTTAGTCATGAGTGGCCCCAAAGAAGCCGCAGCTTTTCAGTCCAGAAAAGTTTCTGTCTGCCGACCACCAGTGAAACTACCACAATGCATTCGAATCGACGCCAACCTTGAGAAATGCTCACAGAAAGCTTTATTGCAGCGACATTGACCGCGAATAAAGCCGTAGCACATGCCAGCGCCGCCTTGAAAGATGTAGGCATTTTCCTTCATGAGTTTCAACCTCAACGCGTGTTGCGGCATGGCTTCAAGAAGAGTTCCAGTCAACCAGGCTGTGTGGCAATCAGTGACTCGCACATCTTCGCGGCTCAGGCAGACAAAGCAGTTGTGAACGTCTATAGTCGAGAAAGAGCCAATCAAGAAGCCACTGTCCCGTTCCCTGAGCGGGTATCCAGCCTCGCCTATGCCCGCGAGGCAGAAATCTTGGTTCTAGGGACCGAAGGAGGGAGATTGATTCTATGGGAAGTTGCAACAGGCAGAGTGACAAACTCGGCGGCCTCTCATCTTCAGGCGGTCTCGTGTCTTTGCATCACCCCTCGGAACGAATACATCCTTTCTGGCGCTGCTGACTCGAGTATTCACGTTTGGTCGCTAGCTAAACTAGTCTCCTTCGCGCAATCATCAGATAGCTATGAAGATGACGGTGCGTCAAATGCTCCTATCGAGACATTTTCCAGTCACCGAACCGCCATCAGTGCATTGATCTGTGGCCACTCTAGCATCACCACGAATTTTGCAGTTTCAGCTTCCAACGATGGGACTTGCCACATCTGGCATATCCAATCATGTCAAGCGTTGCGGACTCTATTGCTACCCTCCTACGCCGTTTCCATCACGCTTGACCCGGCGGACAGAGCCATATATTTCGGATGCGAGAATGGAAGGATCCAATCCTATGACATCTTTCAAAAGGTCCCCACCACCAATATTTCATTGTCTAGCCCTTCGATTACAGCAGCCATACAGCTTGTGGACAAAGACAGTTGGAAGACCCCATCCGCCGATGTTGGAACAGCGAATTGTGTCACACTATCCTATGACGGGACATCCCTCCTCTCTGGCCATGCCAACGGGACCGTCATCCGGTGGGATGTTGCTAAGCGTCGAATTCTACAAGAGCTCACGAATTTCGGTCAACCAATCACCAATATTGAGATGCTCAAGCCTGAAGGGTTTCTGAATGTGAAAAGATCCGGGTATACGATCTCAAGCGTTGTGAAGCCCAATCTTGAGTTCACCTCGATGAAGGACAACGGTACCTGCGGCGTCCCTGCGAAATATGGCCTCCATGTCACGATCACTGCCCAAAGAAGCCTATCCGAACATGATGAATTCGAACAAGCTGTCACCGGTCCCGGACTCCCACAATCCATGCTAGATGCAGCCATCCGCTCTTTGTCAATGGGGAACAGCGCTACCCAAGTCTCGCTTCCGGCAGATACCGCCGAGATATCGAAAGCAGAAAGACTCGAAGAAGAAGTCTCCAAATTGAAGCAGCAACTCGCCGTCCTGCACGACCTGGAAGAAAAACGAAGGGAAAGGAAGCTTACGAGGATGGGCAAGCGGGATGAATTGGCGGTGAAGAAGAGAGAAGCGTATTTTGAAGCCAAAAGGCGAGGAAAAGATGGAGATGCAGCGATGAAAAAGTGGGAGAAGACAGAGGCAGAACTTGATCGTGAGAGCGACGAGGAAGATCTTGGGGACGGGGAAGAGATGGATATCGGCTGAAAGAAGAAGTTGAATGGCTTCTCTCACTACAAGTCGGGGAAGATCCTCAAAGAATAGCAACAGAATAGCAACGACCCCAGCGCCCTCGTCAGAAATGGTGGAACAGGCGCAGTCTCACCGCCACCACTCGAATGCGGCCACAGTCACATCATCTCCTATTGAAAGTCAACGAAATCGGAGACAATGCGCCGATCCCTCTCAGCCTCAATCTCAACCCTGTTCAAATCCAATTGATACGATGACAAAGGCGCTGACCCTCTTTGGACGGTATATGTGAACAAGCACACAGTGGAAATGGGTTGCTCCGCCTCACATCGCAGGCCGGACATGATGCTGTGCCACTAGGAGGTTTGCAGTAAGCGGTCCCCCCTTTCCTCGCGGCAGATGTCTATCCAAGCAAAGACCGAGTGGCGCAATTCAGTCGGCATTTGCGCCATAGATCACAAGTGCTCGTTTTCTGCCCAGAGGCAGTGTATATTCTCGAGTAGAACAAGCTATGGTTTAGACCGTTGCGATTATGGAGTGGGGTGGGAGAAAGACCAAAACGCATCTCGTGCGGAAGTCATCAAGGTAACGGCACAAACAATTTTGCCAGAGCAGAGAAAATGAGCATTCATATCAAGCCATCTAGATAATCCGGAACTCAGAGGCGTAGCACTACAATTCACTGGGTGACATAACCCCGAGAGCATCATCAGACATTCTGCGTAACCCCAGGCTGGATCTTCTCCAAGATATCACTCAGTTCAACCCATACCTTCTTGCCAGCGGCGCCGCCGTCCTCGCTCCTCACAAAGGCCGAGAGCTGGCCTTCATTAACCTTGGCATCCGACATGTACTTGCCATGCGACTCCATGCCAGCCTCGGCAGCAGCCACCAGTGTCCGACTGCCCACCTCTGTAGAGCGAGCAAGGAAGAACTTCAACACCTCCAAGACGAACGAACCCTCACGGGCGAGCTCCGAATGGCATAGGCCGGGATTGAGACAATTCAAGATAACCCCCGACCCGACCAGTTTAGGCGCGATCTGGCGGACGGTGAGCACTTCCAGCAGTTTGCTGGTCTGGTATCGTTCCTTCATCTTGGCCGTCTTCTCGGCGTCGAGTGTCTCAAAGATATGCGGCTCTTTCCATTCTTCGAACTTGCTCCAGCCGTGCACTTCGCTGGACACGATGATGAGGCGCGGATTGGTCTTGAATTCTTTGGCCGTGGACTTCAGTTTCGGCAGCAACAGCAAGGCCAGGAGGAATGTGCTGATGACGTTGACTGTGATGGTGCGTTCGTGTCCCTCGGCTTGATTGTAGTTGTGGGTGGCGATGCCAGCATTCTCGAGCAGAACGTCAATCCGGGAAAGCTTGGAGGCGCGTTCGGCGAATGCCTTGACGGAGCCATACGAGGCGAGGTCGAGTTCCCACACCTCAATCACGTCGGAGCTGCATTTTGTGGTCTTTTCGATGTCCTTTTTGGCCGCTTCTCCAGCCTTGGTGTTTCGCACAGCGAGAATCAGTTTCGAGGCGCCCAGGCGAGCGATATGTCGGGCTGCTTCCTTTCCCAGGCCAGTGTTGCTTCCAGTCACAATGACGGTTTCTCCAGCGAAGGATCTCTTCGGATAAGCTGGTTTGATGAACAGCTGAGAGTATAGAAAGCCCATTTTGACGATGGAAATATCAAAGAAGAATATCCAAACAGAGATGGGGGTTAGGGTCAGACAAATTGCAATGGTACTCGCTATTGAGAGCAGATTCCGAGCTGAGCTGCCCACCCACCTTCAAGTTTTATATCAATCGCTGGCGCCATTTTCGTTCAGAAAGGGAAACCAGTTAATCCCGGTGCTACTGTATGAACGTCACGAAGACCCTCCAGTCCAAGCTCTGGCATCGAAGACATGGCTAGGTTCCTGGGCACTGGCTGGGAAGAGTATGAGAAGGGGCTCTCTAGGTTCTGGAAATGGTGCACGGCATGCTCGACGCTAAACCTTGCAAGGGCAAACCCTGCGTAATCGGTTAACGAAGAGAATGTCAAGACTTTGGAGATTGAGCCACCAATGCCGCTGTTGTCGTGCCAGTGTGGCAGAGTGGGTCGGATTTAAACCCCAGCAAAGTCCGCTCGAAGCCTGTTTGAGCATCGGTCGGTGCAAATTCGTCCCGACCATAACTTTGTCGGGCAGTTCGAGGAGATAACAGTAGCCAGAACTCAGAGCGGGTTGGGAGGTGGATATAGGGCATGGACTATGCAACTCTAGAGGATCGATCTTTGTTGAGACAGAGGGTCTTGTGCAAGGCTGAAAGGCGAGGCTGAGATGGTAAGGCAGGTAGGTACGGCGAGATCCCAGCAACTGATATATTTGGTGGAGGGTTGAAGTCACTCGGCGTCATTACAAGTCTTGGCATCACGTGAAAATCCTGCCTGCCACGTGAGTGGAGCGACCGCAGCCTCAACTTAGAAAAAAAATGTCGAGCCAGCCCAAGTCAGTCTTCTTGATATACCCATTAACAAGCTGCTTCTTGTAGGGATCTCGAGCGCAAATCAGCCCTCGAGTCTCTGAAGTCCTGATTTCTTCACCACGGTCTCCCTTACCTGCTTCATATCCCCTTTCGCTTCTCCACTGCGCATTTCAATCCTTGCAGCCGGTTCTGCACTTGAGCCTAGCTCGCAACCCATTCTCCGCAAGACAACCTCTCTCCCTGTAATCCAGGTCTTACAAATACGCAATTACGCCAAGAAGAGAATGCCTCCCAAAAAGATTGTGGAAGAAAAGAAGATCCTGCTAGGCAGGCCCGGGAACAACTTGAAGAGCGGCATCGTATGTAGGCAAATCCCACTTAACATGTTTCGACTTTCCCTAATCACATCGGTGACTGACTGTCTTTGCTCTAGGTTGGCCTTGCTAATGTCGGCAAATCGACACTTTTCCAAGCCATCACAAAATGCTCACTAGGCAACCCCGCCAATTTCCCTTATGCGACTATTGAGCCTGAAGAGGCCCGAGTTATTGTCCCCGATGCACGATACGAGTGGCTGTGCGAACACTACAAACCCAAATCTCAGGTCCCTGCTAACCTGACGGTGTACGATATCGCTGGTCTCACTCGAGGATCTTCGACCGGCGCCGGTCTGGGCAACTCTTTCCTGTCGCACATCCGAGCTGTTGATGCCATCTTCCAAGTCGTACGATGTTTCGACGATGCAGAGATCATTCACGTGGAGGGCGACGTCAATCCCACGAGAGATTTGGATATCATCTCTGAGGAGCTGCGGCTAAAGGATATCGAGTTTGTGGAGAAGGCCAAGGAAAACCTCTCCAAACAGACAAGGAGAGGTGGTCAAAGTCTCGAAATGAAGAAGTTGAAAGAAGAGGAAGCCACAGTTGACAAAATCCTGCAGTGGCTGAAAGACGGCAAGGATGTGAGGAAGGGCGATTGGGGCCCTAAGGAGGTAAGTTATCGCCATTTTCATCCCTGTGCACTGTATCTTTTCATGATGAACAAGAGCTATAAGCTCGACATAATCCCAGCTCGTCGACAGCAGTCTCACCCAAAATCTCACGTTTAGAGGCTGTTATGAGAGGAAGTCCAACCCTGAAACAACATTTTCTCTGGATCAATTTGCTCTATACCACTGCTGTTTATGCTCTTTGCATGCTAATAAGATGGCAACAGATCGAAGTTATAAACCCTCTATTTCTTCTCACAGCCAAGCCGGTGGTCTATCTCATCAACCTCTCCGAAAAAGACTACCTCCGTCAAAAGAACAAGCACCTTCCTAAAGTGATGGAATGGATCAAAACCAACTCTTCAGGCGACCCTGTCATACCCATTTCCGTCTCGTTCGAAGAACGTCTGGCTGTCATGTCCGACGCCGAAGCTGCCGAAGAATGCAAAAATCTCAACACCAAATCTGCCCTGCCAAAAGTTATCGTGACGATGAGACAAGCACTCAATCTCGCGAGCTTTTTCACCACCGGTGCTGATGAGGTAAGGCAGTGGACGATTAGGAAAGGCACCAAGGCACCGCAGGCCGCAGGCGTGATCCACACGGATTTCGAGAAGACGTTTATTCAGTGTATCGTGTATAATTATGAGACTTTGAGAGAATATGGTGACGAAAATGCGGTGAAGGCAGCAGGCAAAGTCATGACGAAGGGTAAAGACTATGGTAAGTTGTCTGATGGCTCTCGATGCCTGGTGAATAGTATTGGATTTTCACGGCTAACGATTTCTGCGCCCAGTTGTGGAGGATGGCGACATCATTCTTATCAAGGCCGGTGCCGCAAAGGCATGAGAGGACTGCAGACGCCGATTTTCACGCTTACTCCGCGATTATGCACTGTTAGATCTGAGCCAGAGTCAACTCAGCGTCGCAGCCTCAGATCTACAGGCTCGTGCAGTTTTCGTCTCTCTTCCAACGAGCGTCTCCCTCCGATGACAGATCTCCGTGCAAGGGAGAAACGCATCATCCCAGAGTCAACTTTGGCGTCCTTTCAAGCGTTTCTAGATATCTTACGAATGCCCCCATTCCCTGATCTCGAGAGAAGACGGCGAGAGTTACTTGCTCAAGCCAGAGGCTGCATAATGATGCCCTTTCATCTGACAAGCACTGATCGAATGATTGAAAAGTAGTTTTCAGAATTTGTAATCCCCGGTTCGTTTGATGCCTCGTGATTTTTCTCTCCCCGACCTCCCAATGCGCATGTTCGCTTGGATGATGTCTCGAAACCGCGTCTTCCCTTTCTTGTAGGACGTTCTTGTGGAGCTCTATGTTTTTAGGCTCGCTGCAAGAGATATCGGGCCGCCATGTTTTCTGCGTCAGCCATGACTTTCTCCGTCTTCCAGCTTCTTACTCAGGTACTGCGAGTGTCCTAAATCAATTTGTCTCCCCCGGTTCCCTGGGTTTGAGCGACTAGAGTAGCCATGTACAGGTAGCTTTCACCCGTGGGGGATTCGCCTTCAGCTCATTCCATCACATGCCATCCAGCACGTACCCACCGTATCCGTCACCACCCAACATCCTCTCCGTCTCCTGGCTCCAGCCGGCTTTCTTCCCCAGCCAGTCCCCGCCCAGCCACAGCCGGATGCACGTGTCGGCCGGTTTGAGCTGCGGCGACTCCATGGGGACGAGCTTGTAGAAGTTCTCGTCCAGCGGCGTCGGGTCGCATGTGCACTGTCGGGTGTCCGCGTCGGGGAGCCAGAATCGGGATTGGGACTCTTCTTCCCTGGTGGTGCTGGTGCTGGCAGTCTCAGCGGCGCTGATGCCGGTGCGTACGCCGGTGCCGGTGCCGGTGGTGGTGAGGCTTGCGCTCCCACTCCGCCGCCCCTGTGGCGGACAGTGTCGCGCGATGTCGTGCTGGTAGCCGATGTCTCTGAACCACCACACCTTCTCTGGCGGGAGGAACATGGACACGCTGAGCGTGTGCACGGGCGCGTCGCCCCAGCGGCTGTAGTAGAAGCCGCCCTTCTCGTCGAGCCAGTCGAAGTACTTCCGGTTGCCCTCGTTCTCGCGGAAGAAGGCGAGCGAGCCGATCTCGAAGTTTGAGAAGAATTGGCAGTTGTTGTACGACAGGCCCGTCTGCGGGTCGAGGAGCCAGTCGAGGCTGGCGGCCGGGTGGACCAGGTCCGGGTGCGCGGTGATGAAGTCGCGGGTCGTGGACCACAGGGAGGCGAAGCTCCGCGCGTCGTCCAGGATGGCCATGTTGAAGCCGTACACCGTCCCCGTCGCCTTCATGAACCGGAACGGGTCGTACGGGATGTCGCAGAAGAAATGCACGTCCGGCTCCACGCGCCAGTAGTATTCGTACCCGCCCAGAGCCGGGTGCAGGTAGAAGAGACCCGATTGCCACCGGATCATGGCGTGGTAGCTGAGCAAGTGACCCTTGCCGACCGATGTCAAGGAGAGGTAGTCGAGCGAGTTGTGGTAGAGGGTTTGGTTGATATGCGACGGCGTGGCCCAGTGCGCATGAGGGACGAGGTGATACTCTGTCCGCGCCGATGTTGCATTCGAGGTCGCGGCCTGTTTTTCCAGCAGGTGTAACCACGAGCCGTCAGCTCTCTCTTAGACATCAGAATCCCACCTCGTTCAGCACAAGGAGTTCCCACCCATACCCGAGTGCCAGAGAGCAGGAGCTGTGCGTACCTTGAATTCTTCCGAAAATGGCTTCTCGTTAAAGAAGATCCACGGATACTGATACCGCCGGTTCCAGTGGAACTCCAATTGACGCATGCTCTGCAGTATCCCGTCGAGCTCTTCGTTCCTCACAAGACTGATCAACGCGGCCTTTGGACTCTTCGTCCGCAGGTCGTTCGGGTATGAATTGTCCTTCAGCCATCTCCGAGCTCTGTATTTAGTCTTTATTGCGCCCAGCAGGTGAGATCCCCGGCCCCATTCCTCGGGTAAGAGAGAGAGGAGCTCGTTGCGGGAGGATCGGATGCTGAGGTACAACTGGGTGGAAAGCAAGAAGGCAAGGAAAACAAGGATCCAGCGCCAGATGCTCCTGTTTGATCGGCGTAGGCGACCGTAGAATCGGTTGTAAGGGGCCGGATTCTGTTGACTCTTGTAGGTCTTTCGGAGAGACAAGGGAGAGGAGGGTTTGCTCAGTGAGGACTCTTCAGCGGCGCAGCGTGTGGAGGTGATCGCGCGTGAGGAGGAACTGGAACTCGCGGCACTGGAGGTCGAATTGACGGCCGTTACAGACGAGGGCAAGCTGAGGGATTTGAGTCGCTGTTCAGGCGGCGTCGCGAGGTAGGATGGGTCCATGATGAGTGAGTATTGAGGCAATGGCAGAGTCAGAGTTGAAGCAGAATAGTTGGATTTTGAGGAGATTGGCACGTAGTCAAGTGAAGTTCAGTTTTTCCATCACCAGCTTTTCAGATCGCAGAGGTCACGCCAGCCCTAGTCATTAATTCTTTCACCGTGGAATGGATCCTGGTCCATTCCTCGTATCTGAGCGCGACTCGCCCTTTGCCTTCAAGTCGCTAACGATTTCCAACCAGTCCAGACGCCTCCCCTTCACAGAGCAAGCTTACAAGGCCATTTGATCTTGATCCTCCACCATGTCGTCCACGATATGTAACATTTTCGCGTAAGGTACAGTGATTCGCTGCAAATCCCGATGTTTCCCTGTTCGAGGAATTAGTCACTGCATATCTTGAACAATGGTGAGAAGACACTTACCAAGTAGCAAGACAACGTCCTTCAAAAGCTCTTCCCGGGGCCATCCGCATATCGTCTTGGAATCTTCTTGCCAGTTACGACCTTCCACGGCATTCATGGTCGCCGCAACACTCTCACCATCCTGACTTGACGGTTCCACGATACCGCCGATGAGTGTCCTTAGAAGTTCCTCAACCTTCAGCCTCAGACCTTCGGCGCCCAGTCGTTTTGCGTACATAAGCAGGTATATCCGGAACTCGTCCTTTGCACCCAGCATGAGCGCTGCAGCGATGCGGTTTTCCAGATGGGCGATCGAGACGCCAGATTCGAAACTTTCATACCCTTCCCGTGACAATAGTACCTTGACAAGGCGCTGCAAGAAATATGCTCGGCCCCTCAGCAATGTCTCCGACGTCGTGTTTCTCTCCAGCCAAGGCACGATGCCCGAAGACACATCCACGGATTTTTCGAAGTCGGTCTTTGCCTTCGAAGACTGGATGTTGCCCACCGAAGAATCGGTCGTATTCCAGTATTGACTGCCCACCGCCCACCAAACCTCGGACAGTCGTTGCCAACAGTACATCTGAGGCGAATACGCGTACCCGTCACCATTCGACAAGCTGACGATAATCCTACCTTCGGAATTCAAGCGAGCTTGTGTAATGGCAGGCGCACCTGTAGGGTGAGCAGCCAGTGAATGGACAGCCGCGTCAAGGACAGGGGCTAGCGACACGGGCGGATGTGGGGATGACATAGTTTTGACATTCCAGACATAGCAAACACCAACCGCAGTGATGCACATCAGCCAAGAATCGTAGGACGCAAGAATCACTGGTTGAGCTTCCATGACCAGAGCACTGTTGAGCCGTCGGCCGTGTGGCGTCCACAGGTATATGGATCCCGTCTCATCTGCTGCCGCCCAGAACGATTTGGTCCCTGTAACCAAAAGAACCGGACGAGGAAGAAAATCCTGCCACAGAGGCTGATCCTTCCTCGTCAGGGTGATCCGACAGGGTTCACGATCCTGTGCTCTCGGGGTCAAGGACTGCCCCGAGGGATTCCTGGCCTCGAAGACAAATTCAGCTCTGGACCTGCTGGCCGTATCGCCAGATATGTCGCCTGGTTTGCCTGTAGAATCAATGCCCTGTACGATATGCGCTCGCACTTTGGGAACAGCAAGGCGAAGTTGACTGAGGCTCAGCGCCTGGTTGATAACAGCTGGCCGGATGAAATCTGGAGTCACCTGTTGGCCGCTCGCTGCTGGCTGAGGTTGTGCGGGTAATAGGCCATCCGCGCCGTTAACGAGAATGGGTGTAGCCCCCTTCTGGCTTGCTGCCACCACTCGTTTCTCCGTAGTGCCTTCTTCTTCCCCCTCGATCTGTGCGTATTTCCTTTTGTTTCCAAGTAGCAATGCCGCCAAGCCACCTTTTGGAAGCCCGTCGAAGGGTTTTGAAAGGTCCAGCACGGACTGGGGGGCATCAACCGTCTGAACATTGGCGTTGGCACTGACCAGCTTCGTTTGTGGCAGTGAAGATTCCGTCCCGCCGGCACCAGATACCAACAGAGGCCTTATTCTCTTCTTACCATCCTTAGTGATCTCGACTCGATTCTTGAGTCTCTCGAGTTTGGCCTGATTTTGGTCGTCTTGTGCCTTCGCTGCGGCTTGTCCATTGATCGTCGTTTCCGAGGTGCCATTTGCGAGATTGGCGGTATTCGTGGTTGTACCATTCGTAATGGCGGACGGCTTTTCTGCTGTTGCTGGTAGTGAGGAGTGCAGGTCACCCATCAACGCGCCCATGCGCCCTTCCACACCCTTAAGCTCACCGGCCTTGCTCATTTCTTCCAGCAATAGCGCGTCGGTGCTTTCAGGGAATCCGATCCCCTTTCTTGATGTGCCGTACTTGGAGAGCGACCTGTCGTTTTCTTCGATGGGTCTTGCGTAGCCCAACTCTCCCGCTTCGAACATGACTGTCAGAATGGTGCCGTCTAGTGCAGTGGCGAACAGTGTTTGACCATCTGGGCTCCAAGCGATATCTGAGATTGGTTTGCCAGCCACGTCCTGCTGGACCACAATGGGCCGTGGACTGCTCGTCGTCCAGATACTCAGGCATTTATCTGCCCCTCCACATGCAATCACCGTCGTGTGAGGAGTAGGATGATCTTCCAGTGCACTCTTGCCTGGGGGCTCTGGTCCATAGAGCCTCGGAGAAAACGCACATACCTCCACTGGCCCTTCATGTCCGATCAAGGTGGTGTCTCCGTCCCACGTACCGCGGTTGATGATGGCGATCGCGCTGACGGGGCCGTTGACTGCATTGGCTGCCGCGATGTGCATTCCATCAGGAGCCCAGGAGCACCTGCGGAAGTACGTCGTCAGGGGCGAATTCACAAACGGCTGGCTGATGGTCGTTTCGAGGGTGAAGTTGTTCACTGCATCGTGCGTCGTGTAATTCTGCGTGGGGGAGGTGAACCTGAATACCCGAATTGTTCGATCATCGCTTGCGGTTGCGAAGTACTTATTAGCCGGATCGAAAGTGATACCTTTGACGTGGCTGGCATGATTCGAGAGTGTCTTCAACTTTTCGAACGTGAAGCCTGACCACACCACGACCTTTGAATCCAAGCCCACCGATACCAGAATTGTCCCGTCATATGACCAGCCTAAATCTTGTACATCGTTATCGTGTCCGATCAGTCTCCGAAAAATGCGCCAGTTCTCAACCGGAGGGGCCTCGTTTGAACCTGTCTCAATCTCAGTATCTGCCTATCTGGTCCAGACCATCACTACTCAACGCACCGAAAGTGGCATGGGTTGGAGGACTCGGATCGAGGGTGTATACGCAGACAATCTTGTCATCCGCCCCTGAAGCCAGAAATTTTCCGCCAGGTGAGAAGCGCACTGTGTGAATGGTGCCCGAATGATAACTCATGGACGCCAACTGCTTGGGCTTGTCGTATTTGGCATTTGTGGCATTGTAGATCGCCTCGGTCGACCAGATTCGCACGTAGCCATCTTCAAATTCAATCAGCGAACAAGTATTTTGTCATGGAATATCAATGTTGACGTACCGCCGGCTGCGGTGACCAGGCGCTTGCCGTCTGGGGAGACATGGCAGCTGTAGACCTCGAAATCTTTCTTTTCGCCTATTCATGACGCACAGTTAGCCCCTCAACGGATTGGAAATGTAAATGCGACACAGTCTACGCGGTTTGCGACGCGTCCAAAGGGGTTTGTTGCGGGAAATGTCGAACCTCCATGGGTGAGCCAGATCGGCTTGATGAGGTGCATTGCGGATCTATCTCTGCAGCCGCCTGGAGCACATTCTGAGAGGAGATCAAACTAGGGTATGTCGCAGGAGGAAGATGGGGGTCAAGTTGACAGTGAGGAAAGGTTGACGCAGGGAGCAGAAATTCTGGTTTCGTTGAAATGTAGTTTCGCGAGTCTGTAGTCCGCAGTCCGCAGTCCGCAGTCTGGCACATTATGACAGGCTTCAATTTACCTAGGGGGCAAGGCTTGACCAATGAGGCTGAACGCCCATGAAGCTTAGATCGAGAGGCGGAGATATAGATATTCTATGGCATTTTTCGTCTGTGCTGTCTCCTCGAAAGTCATGGAGCACTCTGGTATATTAGTACATAGCTATCGACTTTTTCCCTTTCAGCCCATTTCCAGTAATACACGCAGGAGCGCCGTCGCTGCGTCATGAAGGAGTCGACGGTTTGCTTTTTGCCCATATGATAATGTCCCATTGTTGTGCCATTGAGAAGTCCGCCTACCTCCTTGCTTCCCGGGTCTGCTCAAATCCCTCGAGGACTGTCTGCGCAACATCTTTTGCGTCTCCGTGCTGGGCTGCCTCAATCACCCTTGCACCAACATCCTTCGATTTGGACTCGTCTTTCTCCAGTGGTGAGCTGACAACCTTGGCTGCTAGATTCTTGGTTTGATTCTCGTTCACTTTCCCATACACGGCCATGGCGGTAGCAATCATCTGACCAATGTCTCCAACGTTACCCGGAACAACAACGGCAGTTCCTTCTTTGGCCAGGTTGCCGAAGGCTTCGACATATTTTTCCGCAACGCTCAAGCTCACAGCTCCTTGGGCATTGGCTTCTCCTCGTTTGATGGCGTCCGCAACGGCATCAATACCCCGAGCAGTTGCCTCTGCTTTGAGCAATATAGCCTCGGCCTCACCAGATGCCATGTTGATCTGCTCGGCCTTCAAAGCCTCAGAGGCCAAGATAACGGACTGTTTACGACCCTCGGCGATATTGATTGCACTCTGCCGCTGACCTTCGGAGTCCAATATTTCAGCACGTTTTGATCGTTCCGCCGTGACTTGCCTGTGCATGGCGGCCACGACTCCCTCCGGGGCATGGATGTCCCTGATCTCGTATCTCAAACATATCACACCCCACTCTTGGGCGGCTTCGTTGATCGCCTGTGTAATGTTTGCATTGAGATTCGCTCTTTCCTTGAGAACATGGTCCAATGTGAGTTGACCGATTTCGGACCTCATAGTCGTCTGCGCCAGCTGCGAGATGGCATATTCCGCATCTTCTACGCCGTAGCTAGATCATCCTTTAGCGAAAGTCCACTCAGGCTTTGATCTTTGTCCACGCTTACCTCGCTTTGTAAGCGTCAAACACTCTTGTGTAAAGGACGCCATCCAGCTCCAACGTGACGTTGTCTGCAGTAATGGCACTCTGACTTGGGATCTCGATGGCCGCTTCTTTCAGCGACTGGACATAAGCAATGCGCTTTCCTCACGTGTCAGCCCCTGCTTTTCCATCTAACATAGACATTGCATACATCGATGATCGGTACGAGGATGGCCAGCCCAGGCTGTAATATCCGATTAAACTTGCCCATGCGCTCTACAATCCATGCCGTTTGCTGCGGTACGAATCGGATAATGGTGTTCGCGGGTAGGCTCGTCTGGCGTTGGAAGTATGTGGGAGAGGAGCTGGAGCCGCCCATACCCATAGGGCCGCCTGGAAACGATAGACTCGGCGTTGTAGCGAACTGTCGTCGGCTCCATACAGCCATCGGCGAGCAAGCTAGAACGGCAGCTGAACGGTCCGCCTGTCGAAGTGAAGCGGCGAGGCGAGGCGCACGCCGAGGTAGATTTCGTAGGGCCATGTGCGGTGTCTCCATGACGGCGGCCCTCGCGGTTAGACTATGCGGTCGGCGGAGGACAACAACTCAATGAATCGAAAGGTGCAATTGCGCAGGCGACAGTGATGATGGAGTGCAAACCATGCAACATGGTGGTTCGGTCATGAGCCAATCACAATGAGGTGCGACTTTTGGCCGGAATGAAGCGCCGCAACGTTTATCCGCTCCGGAGAAATATAAATCCAGCAATGCGAAATCCCAAAAAATGTCTCGCAAACAAAACTCGCAACTCAAGGTTCCATTCAGCTCGTATTGATGTTTGCAAAGATCTCACTTGTCCCAAGACGTCATTTGCTCCCAGTCACTATGACGGCGAGCTCGAGTCAACTATTATCGATGGGGCCATGCTATCCGTTGAGAGGGCGATCGAGGAATGATGCTCCTTCATGTCGCTAACCGGTCAACCTGTGTCCCTAGTTATCAAAACCACCCGTTGGATGCGCGAGGAAGAAAACATGTTGCTCTCCAGAATGTCGATCTTCTCACGGTACAGTGCCTATGGCTTGACCGAGCCTCGTCAGGCCAAGCGCTGCAACTCTCTCGCTTTGGGGATGCCCTAAAGAGTGGATGATGGGCTCTCAGACTAAAAACGCTCCGCCGACGCATGCCCGACCTCCGACCGGTTGCCGCCCTGTGGAAAAATTGCACCAAACCCATGGGTCAAGATCTTGGACGGCAGGCTAGTATCTTGGTAGTAGCGTCCTAGGAAATACCACCAATGCTTTTAAATGAAGTCCTGGAAACCATTTGACGTGCATTCATATGATATGCTCAGCTTCTCTCCCACAGCGAGGCGGACAACATTCCAACCACAATGGATGGAAAGAAAAGGCAACGGCCAGTCACTTCGTGTCTTCCGTGTCGGAAACGCAGGCTAAAGTGTGATCGGGTAGAGCAAAATGGAATCCTGGACTCGTTCGTCGAGCCGATAGAGGAGGTACTAATGTATGCATTTCAGGTGCATCCCACTTGTGGACGCTGTCTGGCTGGTGGTACCGACTGTGTCTACGACGAGAGTGCCAGTGCCAATGCCAGCGTCAGCGCTGCACCCCGATCATCTACCTGGCAAAGCGCATCAACTTCGCAGTTTGCACCATCATCATCGACAAGCTATGCAAGACCCGAGGAAGGGAGGGGGACAGGAGCTCAGACCGAGCGTAAGTGCCGCTTGCCACCTTCAAACTCCTCAATCAGCCAAATTAATAACCCGGATCAGCGACTGCAGAGCCTGTGTCCAGGCAAAATAACCATGAGAGAGGGCAACTTGCTGTTTATGATGGTGGCCGCTCGGCCTACGTTGGCTCAACCTACTGGGCAAATGCAATCCCTCCCGAGGTAATTGAACTTCCTGACACGTTTCATTCATCTGTTGTTTTGTTCATAGTCACCCGTGCTTTTGCTGACTGTCGTCCAGATCAACCGCGACACAGTGCCTACACTCGCCGACGAGACCAGCCCTTTCCCCAAATTCCCAGGCAGGATGCAGGAGGGAGGACTCGAGTGGAGCGGACAGAAGTTTCGTCCACCGCGCAACTGCGGCTTCGAATGGACCAAGTCATCGTCGAACAAGTGCAAGCTCTGTGGAAGGAACTACAACATCTCGTGTGTCATGGCCCTACTCCCCAGTCGCGAAATCTGTGAGAAGCTATGCGGCTTTTTCTTCTCAACCGTCTTCCCTCTGACACCCATCTTCCACATGAAGGGTTTTGCAGAGGACTTCGCAACGTTCTGGGATGGCATGCCGCCCACGAACGTGCACAATGCTGAGCCGAGCGTGTTCATGCGCAAGAAGCCGGGCTTTCTGTCTCTCTTATCTGCGATTCTGTTTGCGGCAGTCTTCTCGGCCTCGCCAGCTCGCCTTGAGCGTATCTTTGGGGAGCCCACCTATCTCAATCCTGGAGACATGTACTTCATTGCCATGGCTTCAGCTAGCCTGACCGGGTTTCCTCGACGGCCCAGCATCCACTCCCTGGCAGCATACATCATTGCACAGAGCCAATTCGTGAGAGAAGAAGAGTTCTCGGACGCTCCCGACTTTATTGCTACCTCGTTTCGTGTTGCGCTAGGTATGGGCTTGCACCGCCAACTCCCAGAATCGGGACTACCTCCGGCCGAGCTGGAGACCAGACGCAGGCTTTGGTGGTATATTCTCCACCTGGATGTCATGTCTTCATCTTCGTCGGGGCTCTCGCCTCTCTTCATCAATCAGAAAATGGCCAACACCGATGCTATATGTCAATACGACGTCCACAATGACGATCCGGGTGCTCGTCAGGATGGTAAGCTATTCTTTCCCAGTCGAATCATGGCCTTGCTGACCCAACGTAGTCGACGTTCGTTACCTAGTAGCGTCTCGCCGCTACGAAATTACCAGGGAGATCAGAAGAGTCCTTGTGCTCCATTTCGAAGACGCCTTCCAGTCGCCGGAAGTGGTGGCAGATTGTGCAGGTCGCCTTCGAATGATAGCCGACCGCACTAGTGCCACCGTCGACACCTTGCTCAAGGCCAGGGCCACTGCTGAGGCAAAAGTCGCGAGATCCAGCACACCCCGTGCCGTTGAGCAAGCTTCCTCTATGCTGGATTTTGACCGGGTTTGGACACTTCGGCCAGACCCGAGCGACAAAGAGGCCGTGGACTTTACCGCTTGGTCTGCGCTTCTTTTGCACCTAATGGTCCACAAGGCATATTGCGTCCTATACCATCCCCTATTCAGGGACCCTGCAATGTTGGCCGACGAAAACATCCGAACAAAGTAAGCATTCTAACCACGACGGCCCTCCTGTAAGCACAAACATGCTGACCAGTCTGCAGTGCCGTCAAACATGCGCAAGCATTCATCCAAGTGTTTATCCGCGTCTGCAACGATCCCATCTCGGACCCCTTCCACTGGATGTATCCGGGGACGTACCAGCCTCTCCAAGCAGTCTCGCTGCTTCTCGCGGACCTCTTGCAGCACCCGTACAGCGACGACGCGGCTCTTTCCCGGGGCCTGATCGACGCCATCTTCGAACTCTACCAAGTCGACGAAGGCATCGTCAGCCAGAGCGACCCGCCGCGGCGCCAGCTCTCGCCCTCCGGACGAGACGCATGGACCATGCTGGTGCGCACGCGCAGAAAGGCCCTGGAGCAGGTCGGGATGGACTACCACGTGCTGTTCCCGTCCAATGCCGTCCTGTCGAGCCGGTGCATCTGCGGTGAAAAGATCTCCGTCGTCGACACCGACGCCGTGACCCACCAGCAGGCTCTGCAGCCGACCCGGCCTGGGGAGGGACAACAGCCACCCCCGCCGCCGATCCCACAGGACATGCAGGGCGAGCAGACCGAACAGGCGCCGGGGCAGATGCTCTACGATCAAGTCGACTTTGACTGGCACGCCTGGGACAACGCGCTGGGGCCGTCGATCGGCCTGATGCCGTGACGGGTGCAGCGTACTTTTTTTGACTGAAGGTTTTACGACAATGACCAAACCCCGCTGTTGAACAATCTTGTAGTTGGATTTAGAGCGAGAGCGAGGAAATAACATGAATGAACGAAAGAAAGGAGGAAAATGGTTGGTTAATCCCAACATGAAATGGATATGGACAAGGATATGGTGATAATGATAACCTGCTTCCGTACCATACCATACCAACATGATATTTCGCTTCGTATTCTCATTGTGCCCATTTTTCCGTGTCACCACTCTTACCCAAGCAAAAGCCAGTCTTTTATCTTCTCACACGATTGCGCTCGAATTGAGGGGGAGACAGAGGTAGCGACAGAGACAGAACCGGCATGTGCGTGTGGATAGGATTATTATTTTCATTGCATTCGTCTGTGAAGTGGGGGGCTTTACCACATACTTACAAACGTACGTTACTACGTAGTTACTTGGAGAACTAGAAACAGTCCCCTACAAGCAGGTAAGTAGGTACCTAGGTTCGCTTTGGCTTTTAGGGCTGGCAGCGTATACAGAGCTCAATCAATCTTCGGTCCCAGGTCCTGAGTTTGTGCCTGGAGGATCAACCTCTGTGCCCGCACCAGCTAAGCTGACGCTTACGCTCACGCTCACGCTCAATGCCAGGCAGACTTGTGCGGGTGCTTGTGGTCGTTCTGGATCTTGGTCTCGGTGACCTTCTGGATCTTCTCGCTCAGTTGCTTGTCGACCTTGGCGAACATGGCTGGAGCAAGCAGCAGTTAGTTGATGGTCAATACTTACAAACACGGATAGATATCAACGAGGAAAGGAAGGAAGGAAGGAAGCAATAAGGGGGATGAAGAAGAACAACAACAAAAAAACAGACGGAGAGGAACATCACCACCAACCCCAGCACGTAACGAAGCCGAAAGGAAGGAAGAGACGGGTGGGTAAGAAAGGCCAGGCTTACCGTAGGCAGCCTCCCTCAACCACTTCTCGCCCACGCCACTGACGTGCGCGGCGACGTTGTCGACAAACCGGGCCTGCGCGCCCTCCTGCTTCTCCATGATCTTCCACAGGGCGGTGGCCTGCTCAAAGTCCCGGTGGTCGTCGACCTGGGTGAAGGCCGCGACGGGGTGGGCCAGCTGGACCTCGTCGGCGCTGCCCAGGCTGAGCCGCTTCAGCTCCTGGACAGTGGCGAAGTCGGTGCTGGCGACGGCGGCGGCGCTGGTGCGGTTCGAGAAGCGGACGGGCTTGAGCCGGGTGCCCAGGTAGTTGGGGTCGGCGCCGTAGTTGGTCGTGAAGTTCATGAAGCCGTCACGCTCGATCGGGCAGTAGACGGGGCCCCGGGCGGCGTTGGTCGGCAGGAACTGGTAGTTGACGCCCAGCCGGTAGCGGGCGGCGTCCGGGTACGCGAACATGCGGGCCTGGAGCATCGGGTCCGGCGAGGCTGCGATGCCCGGCACCATGTTGCTGGGGCTGAAGGCGGCCTGCTCGATCTCGGCGAACCAGTTCAGCGGGTTCGTGTCCAGCGTCACCCGGCCCATCTTGCGCAGCGGGTACCGCCCCTTGGGCCACACCTTGGTCATGTCGAAGATGTTGATGGGCGCCGCGGCCACCTCCTCGGGCCGGATCACCTGGATGTACACGTCCCACTGCGGGAAGTCGCCCTTGTCGATGGCGTTCTGCAGGTCGAGCAGATGCGCGTCCGGGTCCTTGCCGGCGATGTCGGCGCCCTCGGCGTTGGTGTAGTAATGGATCCCCTGCACCGTCTTGAAGGTGATGCGCGTGTAGACGTACGAGGCCCCGTTGTCCTTGGTGAACTTGTACGTGTTGCCGCTGTAGCCGTTGACGTGGCGCACCGACGACGGCAGCCCGCGGTCCCCAAACAGGAACATCAGGGCGTGGATGCTCTCCTGGTTGTTGACGTGGAAGTCCCAGAACATGCTGGCGTCCGAGGCATTGGTGCGCGGGTGCGGCTTGTGGCTTCGATTCAACGAGGGAAACTTCATGGGGTCGCGGACGAAGAAGACGGGCTGTTGGTTTCGACATGGTCGTCGGTGTCAGCATTGCGATCGACACTCCAGAGGAATAGAACCGTGGACCAGCCTACCTGGTTGTTAAAGACCCAGTCCTGATTGCCCTCGTTCGTCTTGAACTTGATGGCAAACCCGCGGAAATCACGCACCGTGTCGGCAGAGCCTCGAGCAGGGCCGACGGTCGAGATGCGCATCAGCACTTCAGTCTTCTTGCCGATGCCGTTGAGGAAGTCTGCATCCGTCACGTCCGAGACGTCGTCGGTCACTTCGAAATGGCCCCTGGCCCCGGCGGCTTTGGCATGGACGGTTCGTTCAGGAATCCGCTCGCGAGAGAAGTGTGCCAGGTTCTCCAGCAGCTGGGTGCTGGTCAAAAGGACATAGCCACCTCCCGATCCCGTCGACAGCTGCTCGATGATGTCGTTGCGAGGCAGGGGGACGCCCTCGGCGAGGGTATAGTGAGGCTCAGACATGCTTGCTTGAGTGGACTTGGTATCACACTAGCATCGACTTCTCCAGATGTGCTGATGTCGTGGTGGCCTGCAGTCGTGTATATATATCCCCCCGATCCCTGCGCAAACCAACGAGGACCATGACGCGACACCATCTCGATACACTGCGCAAAAGAGGCCCCGGAAGATTTGTCACCCCAGCTCTTTGACCTGCGCGTGGAACTCGAGACATTCCGATTCGAGAGCTGCTTGTCAACAGCTCGCACTCGATTTGCTGTGTGTTACGACGCGTTCCATCAGGCCGACAGACCCAGGGCCTTCAATCCAGGGCACGCAGAAACTCAACATCCGAGCCTGCCGCTCAATGCGAGAGGAGCATGCTGGAGCACGGGCCTTCGAGGGGTCGCCCGCGCTGACATGGGCAGGGCAGGTGAGGGAGGTGTTCGAAATGGCCTTTCGCACGAAGCTTCGCGCGAAGACTTAGTCGCTAGCAAGCTGGAGGCTTGTCAGCTAAGCAGAAGCGATTCGGCGTCCCCTCTCCGCTCATCCAATGGTCAGCTTGATGGTGCTGCAAAGAGTTTAGACGCTGTGATTTATAACCTGAGGACCAGTCGCATTGCAGATGAATGTGGAAAGAAAGGGACGATCTCCGATTTGCTTGGGCGAGTTGATGGAGTTGATGGAGACGATCTTCCTCGCTCCCTCCAGCCCCAAACAAACTCAAAGGCGCAGAGAGTTTCGACCATCAGGTCCTGTCGAGCGAGGCCTGAATGGTGGTTTGTGCATTTTTGATCACGGTATGTCAATAGTATTGGCTCATGGTCAGGACAGCTGCAGCGAAGCGGTGGATGGGTATCAAGAACGTGGGGTCACGCGGGTCGAGCTATAGCAATAGCATGAGGATGGACAGGGAGATAGAACTCCATCAACACATGCAAGAGGAGGAACTTGGTACACGTCATCTAGCACTCGAGTCGTCCGACGGTCCATGCTCGTCTTCTCCTAGAGGTAGAGCCACAGCAGCGACAGACGTCTTTTCCAGAGTCCAATCCAGCACCACCATTTAGACCCATTCACTCATCCACGTCCCTCGGCTCGTTCTCCGCCCAGAATTTCTTGTAGTCATCCCAGCTCTGTGTAGGGAACTCCTCGGGCCAAGTAAGCGGCACCAAAGGCGAGCCGGTAGCCTCGAATTGCTTCAGCTTCTCTGCCGTGCGCGGCCGGCTCTTGTTGATACTGTAGACACTGATCCTGTGTGCTGAATGCGTGACGTGGAGACCCCAGTTCCATGCGGCGCGGACCGTCAGGGGCTGTGTGTTCAGGGCACTGTCCCAGCATCGACAGACAATTTCGATCCAACCCTCGACGTCGCATGGAAGGTCGATCGACCACGTCCTCCACGTCCATTTGCCCTTCTTGGAGAGGTTGGCGTTGGGCACGGCATACCAGCTGAATCCTCCGTCTGCCGACAGTTCCACCCGCTCTGGCCATCTTCCACCGCCCGAATACGCCCAGCCTTTGCAATGGATCTTGCCGTTGTGGATCACAACTTGTTTGGTCCACGGAGACATAATGGCTGAGCTCACGGGCATTTCCTGAATTTGAATGCCGTCTGTCGGTTGTTGGTTGTGCTTGCCTGTCTGCTGACTACTTCTGGTTAGTATCGCACGACAAATCGTCCGGGATACAGATGCGCTCTGGGAAAGGGTACTTACTTGAAATAGAGGTACTCTTTGCTTTGGACGGGTGCAATGGAAGGATTCTCAATGGCCTTGATCCGATAAACCCATTTCACGCTTCGAGCACCAATGTACCCCAACACCATGATTCTCACCGGGTAGCCGTGAATGGCTGGTAGTGGTTCGCCATTCATCTCCCAGCAGAGGAGAACTTCGTCATATTTGACTTTGGACCATGGAACGCTCACGACGTAATTCATCACTATTGACGTTAGAAATAGTCCACCAGCATCAATATTGCACGTCTTTGAACGTTACTGACCTTCATTGTCCTTGAAGTAGGTCTCGGCACCGTACAGTTCGAGATGTTTGGCGGGTTTAACGAGGCCACCGCAGGCTTCAATAACATCCTTCAGGTTGATGCCGAGATATTTCGCTGTCCCTATGGCGCCCTCGGCCCATGGAGCTTGGGGAACCTCATCTCCCTGGCCCGCATAGAGAGAAATTTGCTCAATTCGTCGGGTCCCAGAGCATTGCATCGTGACAAGCTTTTCAATGCGAGGAAATTTGGACTCATCTGTGATGTCGGCGAAGGTGAAGGCCCGGGGATTCTTGACTAGCCCATCCAAATCCAGCTTCCATTTGTCTTTGTCGATAAGTGGAATGCCGCCATGGTTGCGCACGAAGTGAAGCGAATTCGGTGTCACAGCTTTGTCAGTCACCAGCCTCTTAGGAGGTTCTCCATTGTATGGAAATTGCAGCAGATGCAGCATCTCAGGGTGCTTTTCACGCAGGACAGTACTCCAAGAGTCTTCCGGGACATCAGCGAGCTCGCCACCGACCGCGTGGTGCCACATCTTCCAGTGTGTGCCCGGGAGGACGGGGTTGGTGTCAGGAATAGGTCCCATTTGGAATTCTGGATTGGGCGGAAAGACCTGGGAGGCCAGGATTTTGCGCGCCTTTTCCTTCTTCTCTGGATATTTCTCCCATTCCACGTACCTAAGATCGTGTCAATTGTCGCCTCCAACCAGGAGAATTAACGCACCCTTTCCACCCGTCGAGTTCGCGCGTGAACAGCTCATCACGATTTCCTACGGCATCAATGGCTGCTTGATCCTTGGTCAATTCCGGCCATGTCCTTGGCTGGATAAAGACTGGTTCAGGACCCGTCTGATCTAGAAACGGTAGCTTAGCACCGGACAAGCCTTGTTCAATTTTCCATTCATCAGGTCGGTTGTGTAGCTCCATCTTGACTGTTGGTGGGAATGATCGGGAAAGACGAGACGTTGATCGTGGGCGCGCGGGGTTGGTGCCGGCCTTATATCTCGCCCATGGACAAGGTGTAGAACATCCCCTCCCGCCTCAAGTTGTCAGACTCTGGCACCAAACAGCCTAAACGACGCGCCCACACTCGTTCGAATAGTTCTGCTGCGACCCAGCTTACGTCTGAGTGGTGTGATATCCGCTAGCACTTCCACAACAAAGCTTCCGTGATCTGGCTGAAGCTTCAACCCCTCCAATGCTGAAAAGTACGCGGGGTCGTAATTGGCAAAGTTCCTGTCACCATGTGAATCAGAGCAGCCGGCTCGGGCGAGGCAGTAGGGATGGTGAAGACCACAGGGATTTGTCAGTGAGACTAGGTTCTTCGTCTTGTGCGAAGCATGAGATGGGCACGAAGTGATTGGCGGATCCACCGGATAGGTGTAGACTCCCTCAAAAGATCATCGTGATGCCTGAAGGTCAGCCAGTCAAGTAGCCTGTCCCCAAACACCTACCTTGAGCTCCGTGGGATTGATTGGATAAGAGACAGGACTGGAGCTTTCCTTGAGGGACAAAGCATGAAAATTTCTGGTTCGCACGAGCTTTGGAGCGAGCTTGGGTGCAAGCTAGGATGAGGCCCCGCTCTTCAGCTTGGTTGGGATTGTCAGAGGACAACAGGCAACCAGGAACCTCGCATTGGTCATGGTCGGGATACACATCGAGATGGAATACGAGGTTCATTTCTGCTAGGGCCCGGTCGACACGAGCGGTCGACGACCCAAGGCGAGTGGCAGGAGGAAAAGGCGGTGGTCCCTTGAGGAATCACATGCCGGGAGGCGGGGGATGAGTTGGAAGGGAGAAGTGGAGAGGGGAGGGAGAGGGAGACATCAACTCCCGCTCCAGCTCCAACTCCAGCCAGATACAGAACAAAGGCCATAACGTTGGACGGGCCGGAGAGGGAGGATGGAAGCGGAAACTCGTTGAAAAGAGTGCGTCTTTGGAAAGGGAGAGCGAGTTCTCCCTAAATAGTATTTCCTTGCAGCTGCCAAGCCGCCAAGCCGCCAAGCCTCAGCCTGCGCTCCTCGGGCCCGATATATCGCGCTATTCCCGTCCTGGTAATTCTAAGCATCTCTATCATTTCTATTCGGGTGGTTTTACAGCGACGAAGATCCCTGGTATGTACCAAGGTTCTCCGTATAGTACACAGGTGTTCAGGCTCCATCAACCTCTTGTCCCCCTCATTTGGGATTGACCTGGTTCTCAGAACTGCCCGACTCTGGCTTGGTGTCCTTTATGCCTTCTTCCTCGGCCCGCTGGCCCCGAAGCACCACCCCTTTTTCCCACCCGAGACGATAGGCAGACATCTTGTCCTTCTTCGCCCAGTGGTGTCGATATCCATCCCATCCGATCAAGAAGAACCAGATCCCTCCCAAGACTCCCATAATCACAAAGTTTCGAACCAGAGAGTGGGTGGCCACCAGCGAGATGGGCACCAGCTGAAACCCCAAGCCGGAATTGATCCAGCCCAGGCAGATTGCAATGCGGCCGAGCCACCGATGGATGTAGGCGAACATACTCTTCTTGCCTGTCTTTTTGAAATAGCGATGCTGCAGTAACCCCAGTGCCGGCTGAAAGAGGATCAGCGCCGAGGTCGCGAGGAGGCCAATCACGACGTGTGCCTTGGTAGAGGTGCTGCTGGCGAAGTAGTTCAGATCAACGTCTGCAATGTCGATTCCCAACCCCAGAGCGCCAATCATCATCGCCATCCCCAAGATCTGGATCGGGGCGTGGATGAACTGAACCACGCGCACGCCTCGAAGCGGGAGATGAAGGGAAATGGCACCCAACGGGAAGAGGACGATGAAGACGATAGACATCATGCAGGCGTGGGCATTTCGCTTGCGTTTAAAGATTTTGTAGCCATCTTGGTAGAACGCTCGCTTTTGCAGGGAGTGTTCCGGCTCAGCTTCTTCCAGGACCGTCGCTGCCACTAATACAATCCATCGTCAGCCACAACGCGAATTATCGGTACCCTAGAACGACAACTTACCCGCTGAAGCAGCAAAGAGCATGGCTAATAGAAGCTTTGACTTCATCTTGAGCAGTGGACGACACGATTCGGATATTTTGATCTGCGAGACTAACAAGAGGGAAGGATATCTGTCTCTAGCAAGTTCCAAGGCTATGAGTATCGATCTGGCCTCTGCTAGCGGGCTGGCAGTGTCCTTTATACCTGGCTCTTGGTCGACGATGCAAGGACAGACGCTCCCTGCAGTCCTCAGGTATATAGCGCATTGCGTGGCATCAGCGGCTTGAGCCTCCTGCAATGTACGGACGAAGTTCAGGAGGCCAAACCAAATCCTGGAGGGTCAGCGGCGACTTTCCGACTTGTTTCGTGTTTGTTGCAGGACCAATCTGACGGCTCATTGACCGACCAAGCGAACATGGGGGGATTGATCGTTTTGTTGTGGTTGGCGAGATCCCTTGCCACGCGAGTTAAATATAGAACACGGCCCAGCCCTTTTGCGGTCGTTCTACGTGCACCGTCCAAAAAAGTAAAGCGTACGACAACCACCCGTATATTCCTCGGTGGTGATGACATATTTCACACATATAATTGGGAAGAACTGATGATCGAGGAGGCGCAGATCTCGAATGAAGGTGTGCAAACTCTGACTCAGCGGCTCTGAAGCCGGCGACCAGGCCGTTGATGAAAAGATTTGTGCAGTCTGTCCATGTCGAGACGTAGATAGATTTGCCGCACCAGAGCTATGTGGCTACAGAGTACCAAGGTGCCGGCTTCCGTGCATTTATCATACCAAGCCAACGCACCTACGTCCCTAGGGAGCCGGTAGTTGACAATTCGTGCAGACTACTGGGCAAATTCCGAAAATAGCGCGATGAACTCCAAGGCACGCTGGTTTGAACTGCTTTTGAATGCAACGCCCAAGTTAGGCTGCTGTAGAGTGGACTGCATACCTCTGGCTCCTGGTTCTCATGACAGGTCCAGACATTGTAGTATCTGCAATGAGAGCTCGGATGGAGAGGGCGTCCCTTGCGCGAATTGCAGTCATGAAATCTCGCCGAAGTGTGACCACGGCAGCACTGATACTTGGTTTGCCAGCCAGCACCAGTGCAGGAAGAAGATCAAGAGACCGGAGATTCTCCTGGTATGACCGTGGGTCTGCTCAGTTGTGCTTGTGCAGGGAGCACGAGAAGCCGCGTAGCACCCATTCTATTTACAGAAAGTGCTTGGCCCAGCTCCATCAAACCGCCTTTCGAAGGGTGTAGATGTCGATGCCACGACCACATATAGGACGCCTTCTGAGCATCGAGGCAAGGAGCTTTCGCCCTGTCTTGCTTGAACCTCGAACGGGCTCAACGACCCGTAGCTGCATCTCGGCAGGTGTTGCAATGCTCGACCAAATGTCCTCATCTCCGAAGATGGCTGCGCGATCTGGCCGGTACGGTCCAGGCAAAAGATAACGGCGTCGAATGGCGGTGCAATCTTGATTACCTGCGCAGATACCAGCGAGTCTCTGCCATCTATACCCGGTCCTGGCCCGAGAGTCGTCCTCGATTCTTCACCGTCACCAACCTTCTGCTTAGTAGGGCTAGCCACCGAAGGCCTCTTGCACCAGGTTGATCCGCCAGGAACCTAGCATCGAGCATCGAGCCACTACAGCGAGCGAAACGGAAATTATCGAAGAGGACAAAGACCGCAGGTTTTGTGAAATCCTCTAGCCTACCTACAAGTCTCATATGAAGAACCTGCTAGAGTCTGGAACTCGCAATCAATGAACTGCTTGAGCATCCTCGACTCAGAGGCGACAATGCCCGACTCGGGGTATCAGTTTGGATGGGATAAGTTGTTGAAGCCTTCGGGAGAGGAGAAGAGACTGTCGGCAAAGATATTCTTCTAGAACCCCGTACCGTGTGGAGTGAAGGCAGATACTGTGCGATAGACGAACTTGTCTCTTATCTGCCTCGACAGCCAAGCTTGGCAAAAGCATTGTCAATGTTGGAGCAGAGGGTTGGCGGGTTTGCACTTGCCAGGTGAAGGAAGTCTGCGCCTCCAAACACGAAATGCCAATCTGATGAAGGATCCAGACTTGATGCTGATCGAACGCCAACATTCAAGGAGTGGCAACAGGTTGAAGCAGCACTGAGAAGACACACAGGTCCCAGGATGCACACGCGATGCGTCAGATAGTCTGATACCTACTCGACTTTTGGACGACTACCTGCTGTCACCTCGAGGAGCAGCGTGGACAGTGCCAGATGGTCATGTACTGGTCTTACATTGGGACTGATGGCAACCACGTGTCTTTTCTTTCCGTTCCGCGTGTGGAAATCTGATCTTGGCCTCTTTCACTCAATCCTCAATACAGAATGAAAGGCGCTCTTTCTGGTGTTGGGCAGGCATGAAAAGAAGCGCCCAAATGTCAACGATGCGGTAATGTTCACGATGATGTACGAATAACGTAACGACTCGTTGTAGCCTGTCCAGTAAATAATAGGAGCAATTGCGAACGATGGTGGTGTCATCGAGGATCTGGGAGTTTGTCCTACCGTTGTGCACATTTTCCAATGCTCTTCGTGGTGCCCCAGCGTTTGGCAGTTCAGAACAAATCTTTCCAGCTGGGGGGACTATCTGCCTCATCAGCGCCCGCCGCAGAGCTTCGAGATCCCTTTCCAGAAGTTATACCTCTCCCTCAGCATCTAGATGTCATATAATTCTTTCGATGGATCCAGAGGTGCACGATCAGCGTCAAGGCTATGTGCCGTTTTGTCTTTCGAGCGTGCATCGAACACGGCTTCCGTCTGGTTCGACGTTGCCTGCAGCGAAGGGAGAACCGATGTTTTTCACGCATGCAACGAAGAGAGATGGTGTGGTGTCAAGAGACTCGAGAACACCTGTACATATCAGCGTGTTTGGCGAAACATTCAATGTGTGGGGAGAGAGAGAGTTTTGCCTGTGAAAGTGGTCGTTGTGAGGCGGAAACAAGTGCATACGAAGACTGCGGTGGCTGCGGTGACTGTGCAGCCTCGGCGGGCGGAGCGACATAATCAACATACTTCCTCTTGCGTCCTCCTGTGCACTGTTCATTTCCACGCTGGTGACAACCCACTCCATCTCTTTCTGACACCGAAGTCAGTACCATCAGATTGCGAATAATGAGACTGCAGAGAGTCTGCGCTACACACCCTTCTGTTCTAGTGGCAGGCCCCTCTTGACCACCAGTGGCACCCGTCACCATTTCAAAACCGAAACTCATTGACTCACGCCTCTGCATGCGAACCAAAAGCCGGTTCTTTCAATTGTTCGTCTCAACAAACCAGATGCTCTGCACGTCACTGTTCAAAGGGATCCTGGATCTCCGCGCGCGAATGAGCGCGGCGCAACCACACTTCAAGTGCCAGACTCGGCAGCTGCAACCTCCCACAGCATCCATGATCATCGGCAAGGCTGTGGAGTGCGAGCGGCGTCTCCTAACCGGGAATGGCTCTCAACGCGGTGGCACATGTTGGCCACTTGTATACGCGCCATCTGAGTCGTCTATGCATGTTCCAAGTAGCATATCCAAATGTCGCGCATCTCCGGCGACACTCCCTACGATAAACGGCAGGTGATAGAACTTGTCGACTTGCCGTGATGCGCAGGTCGCCCTTCATATCTTGATCCCTTGTTATCTTGTTCTCCGCACTTTGCTGATCCTGAGGAGACCGACAAGCAGAGCGACGGTGATGCCCACCTCTACCGGGTTCCTCAGCCGTTGGACTATGTTGATTGACCTTTCTTACAATGGCAGGTCGAGAACCCTCACGGAGGCATGTCGCATGCGCATACCAAAGTCATTGGTCGTATCCTTGGATGTTCGAGATAACCCCCCATGATAGGCAGCTCCAGTCTGTCGGCATATGGCCGAACAGGACAGCTCCCGCTATACACCCTGAGCCAGATATATTCTAAACGGCGAGGTGTGTTTTGGTTTCCCTATCGTTTTGCAACCACAACCACCAAGTCTCTGATCAGTCCACAAGCATGAAGGACGACATCGAAACACACCAGACAAGGGTGACCTCCGTCGAGAGCATCGACGAAAAACTTGTTGACTATCGGGATGTGGACGCAGCCCTTGGTTTTCTGCGGGCCAATGCCCAGGCAGGGCAGGCGGTTGACATTGATGAGAAGAAGCTCATGCGAAAAGTCGATTGGATGATCATGCCGTTGATGTTTGCCTGTTACTATTTGCAATACACTGACAAGACTCTGCGTGAGTTCGCGTGCGGTGAACACATCTCAAACGCTGCTGACGATGCTCTAGTCTCCTATGCTGCGATCATGGGCGTCATTGAAGACACCCACATGCCGTCGAATGGCTTCTCGAACTTGGCAATCGCTTTCTACGTCTCCTTCCTGTTCTGCGAGCCGTTCCAGTCGTTCTTCATCCAGAAGTTTCCGACCGCGAAGTATTTGGGCTGTAACGGTGAGTATGAGGCTCGTGACTCTCGGACGACATGGACTAATGATGCAGTGATCCTATGGGGCATTGTGGTCTCCTTAAACTGCGTCTGCCACAATTTCGCATCCATTGTCGCTCTTCGCGTCTTGCTCGGCGTGTTCGAGTCATGTGTCGCTCCCAGGCAAGTGTGTTCGCAACTCTACCTAAAATATGCGTCTGACGGTTGCAGTCTCGTCATTCTCACGGCCATGTGGTATAAACGACATGAACAAGTGTCACGGATGGGGATCTGGTATCAGGGCGTTCGTCCCCCTTCTCTCCAAACGCCTCTCGTTGGTATTCGGCGAATACGCGTGCGGGCTAACTGAAATGCTGCAGACATCGGTGGCACCGGCCGTGTCTTCTCTAGCCTCGTATGGCTTCCTCCACTACACCAACTCCCACCCGCATGTTCATTTCAAGTCGTGGCAAATATTATTCCTGGTCTTCGGGATCATCACAATTGCTATCGGCGTCTTGGTGGTGCTCTTCCTTCCAGATAACCCTATGAAAAGCCGGTTGTCCGCAGAAGAGAAGATCTACATTATCGAGCGTGTTCGTGAGAACCAGACCGGAATCGAGAACAAGAGATTGAAGACCAAACAGGTCAAGGAGGTGCTCCTTGATTACAGGACTTGGTTGTTGAGCTTGGTTGTCATCACCACCAACGTGCCCAACGGTGCCGTTAGCTCTTTCTCAAGCATCATTATCGAGAAGTATATGACACTCAACCCTCACGTTCCTATGCTTGCTAACCTCTCCAAAAAGCTTTGGATATGATGAATACACAACCCTACTCCTGAACCTCCCTGGATGCGCGGTTGCCTTTGTGTCGGTCGGTTTCGGAACATGGTGGGCTGGCAGATATAATGGCAGGGGCATTGCAATCATTGTCCTCACGATTCCGACCTTGCTCGGAGGAGCTTTGATGGCATGGCTGCCTCCCACAAACAAGGGTGGCTTGCTAGCCGGCAACTTCTTGACAAATACCGTCGGGGCGAGTGAGTGTGGACTTGATTACAACATTTCATAGCAGCTGCTGACCATTCCAAGCCCTTCCGCTGTTGTATAGCTGGATCACATCGAACTGTAAGTCATTCTCAGACACATTTTTCGGGATATACTGCTGACACTTCATAGATGCCGGACATACAAAGAAGATCACGATGAATGCAATTGTCCTCATGAGCTTCTGCGTGGGCAATGTGAGTTTTCTCCAAGCCTTCGCTCGGATGCGTAGGCATGCCAGGCACGGACTGACACTACCTTGACTAGATCATCGGACCTGAGACTTTCCGTGCCAAAGACGCCCCCCAATATATCCCGGCTAAGCTTACCATTGTTGTGATTCTCTCAATCGCCATCGTGCTGGCGATCACGCTGGATCTGCTGTACGTATTGGAGAACAAGAAGAGGGACCGCGAAGAACCTCAGGATCTCCCGCAAGATTATGAGTTCCTCGACTTGACAGACAAGGAGAATAGGAACTTCAGGTACCTGCTGTGATTCTGTCTTGTTTTTGACGGGCGGGACCAAGCCAGGAGAGGAATGCGTCGTGGATGCATGGTTTAGGCGCCTAGGTATACAGGAGCGCTACCAGAGACAGGGTCAATAGTCACGACCAAGACCCATCCTCAAGTGCAGATGCATATAGAGTAAGAAGTTCGTTCTGCCTGATGAGAGGGAATATAGATGGAAGAATAGGTATTATCAATCTGAGGAAGCCGTCAAGTATTCTTGTTGTGTCTGTGCCTTGCTTGTTACACTCCTTTATCCGTCTGCCACATGCTCTGACGGCCGCGGAGTGCGAAGTGCGAAGTGCGACGTGCGCATTTCTTAATTATACGCTCGATATCCCACCTCAGCAGTAATAGCCCTTCCCAAGCCATTTTCGAAAGCATTGTGAAGCTAACAAACCACCGACCGCGAGATTGACGAGACTCTCAGCAAATCCGAAGTGAGAGCCAATGACGATCACATTTAGTCAGACATATCACGACCGAGGTCCCTTTGCAGGGGGATGGTCCCCGAGAAGCTCAAGATGATGTGTTCACACCACGGGCCCGTTGCTCACAACCGAGGCGGACATGAAGCGGACATTTAGCAGATAACGATGCGCAGCTTGACGGGAGCGACGGCGGAGGTGGAAAAATGCAACAGTCTCTTGAATTTCTCCCTCACTCCAGCTGCGCCCACACGCCATCCATCATGGAAGCTAGCGAGGACGACGCCAGTCTCTCGCCTGAATCCCCTCCGCTGGCAAGCGTACCACGTCACCATCCTCGCGCTCTCCTATCGTGCAGTTTCTGCCGCAAGAGGAAGCGGAAATGCGACAAGTCTCTACCCGATTGTTCCTTCTGCCGCAGGTGAGTCCGTGCCTCTCCTTAGGCCTGGCAACCTACGGAGAACGCGCCGTGAACTGATCAACGTCTCTAGACAGAGGAGGAGATGCGTGTATCCCCAGCGGAAAGTCTCCACGCCTGCAGCAGAGGAGGAGGAAGTGCCTCCGGCGGCCAAAACAGTCGTTGAATCTCACCCGTCAGAGGCGGTGGTTGTTTACTTCCTGGACCACGACATCTTCACATGCGGAGAGATGACGGTCGCAGATGTCCACTCAGCTGTTCCGGAAAGCGTCTCAAGCCTCCTAGGAGATACTGCAGCCCTCCAGAAGGACGCTGCAGAATACTTTAGGACCGTCCACTGCTGGTGGTCTATCATATCCAAGCATTCGTTCTACAACCGCCTCATGAACCCCCTGGTGCCAAGACAAGGAGATGTCGTCTTGCTCTTGCTTTGTATGAAACTAATCACCTGGAGGCCGTCTGAGGAAGGAAAAGATCCTCGGACGCCGTTGTACCTTGCTGCAAAACACTACGCAACCGAGCTCGAAGTGGTGGGATCCTTCAGCATCCGTGGGTTACAGGCAGCGGTGCTGATCGCGGTCTACGAATTCGCCCATGGTATCTATCCATCTGCGTTTCTTTCTGTCGCGTCCTGTGCAAGATACGGGAGAGCTCTGAATATTCACCTGACCTTGACAGAGAGTTCCGGGAGCTGTGTTAACTGCTTCCAGTCAGAAGAGAAGAGACGGCTTTGGTGGGCAATTCTCATTCTCGATCGCTTCGCAAACATAAGCTGTCCCGGAAGACGCAATTTTGAGACTGATGATCCAAGCCCAACCGACCTTCTACCCGCCGATGATGTAGCATGGGATGCAGGCATGGTTACTCCGTACGATAGGATGACTATCTCGTGTCCCGCAACGGAGCGAATGGGGAGATTTGCGAAACTGGCGCAGGCCACGCATCTCCTATGCCGAGTCCTCCAGCATGTTGCTGATCACTCTATGGATGCAGAATTTCGTGAGAGCCAGGAGCGTCAGCTGGAGAAAGCTATTCAGATGTCGATACGAATGGTCAGCGGCGTCTTGAAGGGTCCTGCGGGTGCACACGCGCAGATCTGTTACAGGTAAGTGCTTCTCAAAAGGACAATCTCAGCCCGGGCTCATCAGAGAAAGTTCTCTGTTCGTCCTGTATGACGACGCTCTCAGCATCGAGCCTTCGACTCCCGCAGAGGTCAGACGTCGCGACCATGCGCGCGACTTACTCGAACGGGTTTCGAAGACATGCTCGACCTCTTCAAGCCACTTTCTACAAGGCAATGCACTGCCCGTCGAGAAGGTAGCTCCTTTTGTTCTGCATTGGAAGTATTGGGCGGCAGTCTATTATGTTCGTATGATCAGGGAAAGCTTCAACAGCGACCATGCAAGAAACTTGGAGATTCTGAAGACGGGGCTGAGAAGGCTTGATACGAGATGGAAGATTGCAGGTACTTAAGCCGTTCCCAACATCTTTTGGTGCGTTGAATAATCATTGGCAGGAACCTATCTACGAATGCTGGAAGCCAGGGAAGTCATGCTTTGCACCTAGACTGCTCGACGGATGCTTGTACGCTATTCTCCTCCTCTCCGTCAAATGTCCGCCATTGTCCACCATATCCCACGGACTCCGTCGTCCTCCACCAGTTTCCACCTTGTCCACCCCCACCATCTCACATCCCTCTAGACCCTTGACATGATCGACCCACGTCTCGTTGTGTGTACGGCTCCTTTGAAAGCGCCTTCAAGGCTAGTCGACACTAATCAAGAAAGCATGGAAAGTCCTGCCTCTCTGTATGGCGCCATGGGCGTTCACTCAACCCGGGGCCCCGCATTTTGTCACGCTTATGTACGAAATCCAGGCGTTTCAATGACTATACCGGTGGTCAAAGCACAGAATCATCGAGGACGCTATCACAATATCCTTCCGTCAGACGTAAGCTGGACCGAGGATCCAAAGCAATCTGCGACGACCTTCAATTATTGAATACTCATCAGTTGGAACCGTCTGACCTGTGATGACCAGCAGCCGTTGTTGGATTCAGAGGTTGTCACTGGCTTCACCCTGCAAGTCCACCCTGTAAATATCTCTATATAATGGAGCATTCAACGACCGCCCCCGTCCTCTGAGACGATATTCACCGACATAATCTGATACAGTCAACTATCTTTACACCGAAAACCAGCACCCTGCAACATCAGTACCAACTCGGGGCTTCACACCAAAATGCCTGTCTACAGCGTAGGTCACCTTGGCTCTAACCCCGAATACGCCTCGATTGCTTGAGCCACCTCCGACCTCTTCTTTCCTAATATTTACCTCTAACTATTCTCGTGGATAGATCCAACACTCCTACCCCCTTACGCAGTACCAAAAGTCGCTTTTGGCGCACAAGATCACCGTGCTGCACAGCACCGAGTTCCTGACCCCGTCCCTCTTCGTCAACGTGCACTACATCCCCGGCGAGCCGGCCAGCGATTTCTTCCTGGCCGGCAAGCCCTACAATGGCGGGCTCACGTCGCCGAACCGTATTATGGCGACTGTGCGGGTAGGGCCCAAGCGCACCAAGGAGAGATTCGACGCTTTCGCCCTGCGGCTCCAGGACGCCTGGTACGAGGTCGTCAACGGGCCCAAGGAGGAGGGCGAGGCTAACGGCAGCGTCAACGGGCACGGCGAGATCAGCAAGGAGGAAAGGCTCGCCAGGAAATTGCACCTCTGTGGCTTTAGGCCGGTGATTGGCGGGCTCGAGAACGGCGTCCTTCTTCCAAGTGTGAGTCTCCTTCTTCTTCCTCTTCCAGATTGCCCTCGGGGTTCTTTCACGTTTCTTTCCATCCCACCCTGACCCTTTTCTTACCTCCCGTGAAAACGTCAATTCGTAAAGCCTCGCTCCTTCCAACTCATGCTAACGAGGGGCTTCTCTGTCTCTAAACCAGCCCGACAACGAAGGCACCTGGCTCAAGGACAACATGGCCTTTTTCAAGGAGCAGGCCGAAGTCTACGACGACGAGCCGTTCCAGGGCCTCCTCAAGGAGTTGCAGGAGAGACCCGACTTGAGAAAGCTGGTCGAGTGAAAAGGGGGGCAACGAGTGGGAGAACGGTCTTTTGCGTCGTCTTTGATGGGCGAGAAACACTGGTTCTCCGCACGGATGAAGCTGGCGAGGAACGTGTTCGGCGGAGAAATCCCAGGGCGATGTTCGAGGGCGAGGACAAGGACAAGGACGAGGGACAAGAGGTCCGGGCGGGCTCTGCAGCAAGCCAGCGAGCCCTACCATTTAGGCTCGTGGCTGGAGCGACAGCACAAGAAATGAGGCACCAAGGCTTGATACGCATTTCTGAGTTGAGAGCCCCCTTGTGATGGTAAATCGTACCGAGACTTATTTATTCTCCTTTTCTCGTTCTTCTCGTTCTCGCTCTCGCTCTCGGTTTTTTTTTTTTTTTTTTTTTAATTCCGGTCCTTCACCGGCGCGAGCGCTTTCCAGCGGATACGGACCAGAGGGTGGTGATGTGATATAGTGGGTAGGTGGTACTGTCCCTCGTCAAGACCTACTGTGTGGCTGGATAGATCATGATCATCGTATAATTTCAAGTTTAAATTCAGCGCTTTTGGGTGGCGGGGGAGTCGGTGCTACAGACCCTCGAGCTCCTGTCTCACAAATGATACCGTCCCATCACTTCTCAATCCTCATTCGAACTCAAGGGATCCCCCCGCATCCCTCACATTTTATATCAATGACCTGCATCAAAGCCGGCTCTCTCCGCCGTCCTTCTCCTTGACCACCAGCCCCTTCTGCGCGTCCCAGACTCTGTCCCAGATGCGCATGCCGCGCTCCCACAGCTCGTCCTCCCTGTCCTCAACCACGTTGCCGTCCTGGTCCAGCCACCGGACAAACCTCTCTCCTCGGCCACCGCCGCCAAGCGGCTCGCCGGCCAGGAAGCGGCCAAAGGGGGCCAGGAAGCGCTGTATGACCTGCTTGTCCTGGTCGGTGTAGTCGGCGCGCCAGCCGCTGGCCCACCAGATCGGGGTGTCGAGGCCGTGGCAGACGCCGACCGCGGGCGAGATCCAGCGGTCGAGGTTCCGGGCGCGCCACGAGATGCGGTAGCGGTGCACGTTGGCGGGCGGCAGGGGCTTGACGGCCCGGTGTTGTTGGGGTGGTGGGTTGAGCAGGACGTGCGTTAGCCCGCGCAGCGAGGCGTGCACCTGCGCGTCCGCCACGATCTGGCTGAACACCTCGGCCCACTCGGCCGCGTTGGTCGAGCTGCGCGCCGGCAGCGAGTACAGCGGCAACAGCGCCTGGACCACGTGCGCGGGGTAGTAGTTGGCCAGCTGCGTCATGAGGCCCTGGTACGACGCGGGCGGGTTGACGATCTTGTACAGCTCCTTCTCGTCGCAGACCTCGCCGAGGAAGACGGAGATGTTGTTCTCGGCGAGGCGCGTCGTGAACGAGCCCGAGTGCAGCGCCGCCAGGAACGTGCTGGGGATGAAGCACTCGTCGGTCGAGGAGCGGAAGGTGTGCATCTTCATCTTGGCCAGGGACGCGATCAGCTCCTTGGCCGGGACCTGGCGGAGCCGGTCGAGCTTCTCGCGCGGGCTGCTGGAGGAAGGGATGTCGAAGAGCGCGCAGAGGTCGTTGAACTGCTGCGTCAGCACCGGCGAGGTCGTCGGGTTCGGCTGGATCGCCACCGCGTTGGACCACAGGTACACTCGCCGGATCAGTCTCTGCTCCGGCGGCAGGAGGGTGTCGTAGTTGAGCTGGAAGAAGGTGCTGTTGGCGCCCGCCGACAGGCCTCCCACGGTGATGTTGGAGGCGTCGCCGCCGAAGAGGTGGATGTGCTTCGCCACCCACTCCAGCGCGCACCGCTGGTCCCACAGGCCGTAGTTGGACGGGGACACGTCTTCCTTGAGACTGGCCAGTTCCGACCCGGCGAGGAAGCCGAACAGGTTGAGGCGGTAGGTGGGCGAGACGATGATGCGCGGCGTCGTGTGTGCGATCAGGTCGAACGGGTCCGTGTCGTGCTGCTGCAGGGCGTCGCCGACCTGGAGCCAGCCCCCATGGATCTGGAACTGGACGGGCCACCCCTTTTGGCTCGGTGGACGCGACGCCGGCACCCAGATGTTCAGGTAGAGGCAGTCCTCGTCCTGCTCGTTCTCGACCGGCGGAGCGGCATTCGGGTTCGGCAGGGCGATCGAGCCGTGGTCATAGTGCGGCTGTGGGCAGATGGGCCCGAAGCTCGTATAGTCCCCCGGCGCGCCTTGCGCGTTATTGAAGGTAAAGTCCTGCGGTAAGGCCTGGGGTCGACGCCATCGACGAGACCCTGTGGGTGGCAGCGCGTATGGGACTTTGGTAAAGCGATAGAGGACTGCGTTCCCCGCTGGGTCGCGCTGTTCTAGGCCTTTCAGTGAGCCCCGAGATGTCTCGAGGATGTAGGGATGGGAGGTTGATTCTGGTGCGCGCATTGTGATTTGATAGAAGTCTCTCCCAGAGCTTTCTCCCAAGAGGTGTCAATCCAGATGATATTCAATCAACCCACTCCGTGTGCGGGAAGCAGTTTATGTATCGCTGGCGGTCGCGGAATGGGCTCTCCGCGCAGATATCCTGCCTTGCTGTGTACCACCGGCAAAAGCAATGACCCTTGTGCTGCAAGATTCCAGGTCTCAACAACCGAGCAAGGGCGATGGAGATGGAGATAGAGAGGATCTATCGACGCCTCCGTTCCAATGCGACGGCGTGCATCTCCATCGGGAGTTGATTTAACCCCGCCGATAGCGGAGGCTTTCCGCCGGCACCAGCGCCGAGGCTCCGGGGAAGAGGCGACGAGGGAAAGGCAGAGAGGGAGAGCGAGAGAGCAAGAGGGAGACAAGTGAGTCGCGCAATCATTTCTGACTGGTCACAGTCCTGAGAGATCCCTTCAACAAGGACCTCATTCCTACGTGTTGCAGTAAACGTCCTCTCTCTATTCCTGACCCTGTCTTCGCTCTGCTAAAGTCCCAGCACGGGGTGGCGAACTCTTCTTCTCTGGATCCCTCACAGCGAAGGGCAAAACTCCGGATGCCATGAGTACGAGAAGGCCGACCCAGCAACAGACAGACTCATAATACTACAGAGATCCAGTGTTCAGACCTGGCGAGAACTACCCATCTCAGCTGAATATTACGCCCGCACCCAAGGACACCAAGAACTTGTCCAGTCCCAACATCCTCGAGCATGCTGTTCGAACAAATAAGAGAACAAACTACATAGAATACAAACAAGATTGATATGGAGAACAAATACGATGCCTGCAGCAGATGCAAGAGCCGGTAGAATCGAAACACGAGCGGGACGTCAAATCGGGCAGCAAATAGAAGCATAGTTGTACAGCACAAGGAAGAAGCGAGGTAGAGCCTGGTCCTTGCAGATGCACTGCACGGAGCTCTATTTGCGGCCAGTCTCACAAAGCCTTAGAACGTCTCTTGTCTATTGCTTCAGCATGCAGCTCTCAACAAGCGCATGCACGTTTGTCCCAAATTAACCTTTGAATAGGTGACTTGGGCTGAATAAAAGACGTCATGGCTTCGGATCCATCGGTCTTGGGGAGCGGCACGAACGGGTGGCTTTGATCGGTACGAGGATGAAATCAGGGTGGCTAAACAAAGCCACACACGAGTAGACGGGAGGCGCTGTGGCTGCCGTTGCTGGTCTTGTTTGAAGGCATGTTCGGAGGGGGGAATCGGATTGCAGTGTCTGGGGAGTTTGTGGTGCTCTCCATAGCGACAGCTGACAGTTCTTGTGACTTGTAATTTCTCCTCCGTTTTCTCAGGCCCAACGGGGGTCTGGAATCTGTCGACAATCCATCAACAAATTAAGATCAGCGGTGAGCTGCCAGGAGAGATGATCAGGCTATCAGCTTCTGGACCGAGGAGATCCCGGCTCGAATGGGACGATCCCAACAGGTTGAAACAGCCTCAAACCCGGTCAACTATTGGCTGGGTTGCCAGTTGCACATGGAAGCAAACAAATATCCCGTTGGCGGTGTCATCGTGACTGACCATGGGTTGATGTGACGGCAGATAAAGTTGAAGCAGGAGGTCGACTGACCTGCCGGCCGAGCGATATCTCGATCCGCTAGATACCTGAATACGAGTCTGATTGTTCATTCATTCTTTGTGATGAGGCTGATGGTCATGCTTGGGCTGCACGGATGACAGGCGTGGACGTGGGGTGCTGCATAGCCGCCGAACGAAGCTGCAGAGTGAGCAGGCCCATTTCAAGCAGCCGTTGGCTGTTCGATCGAAATCGGCAGATAAATCACTCGAGTCGATCCAATGAGCAGCTCGAATAGGGCCAATGGATGGAACAGAATCATGCCCAACTGATGAGGCAAACGGTTCGCAAATAACGAAACAGGTCCAAGGGAAGAGTGAGGGTGGTACGATTTGACACGTTCCAGATGGCTCTTTATCTGGTCATTGTCCTTTGGGGGGGGGGGGGGGGGCAGAAGGACGCCTGGGGAAGTTTCCATGGTTAAAATCCAGGCCAGGCACTAGCGACCTAATCAGGTAGGCCAAGGGCAGGCCGACGACCGCCACCGGTTAAGCCCGGGGGGTGTTTAGTTACCTACAAGTAGGTACCTATGGAGGTAGGCAGGTACCAAGGCGCCTCCGGGCCCGGGCACCCTCTGGGCTGTACGAGATCTTCGGTAATAGCATTCTCCGTGGCCTGGCGACCTGGTTCGCCTGGGCAGCAAAAGAAGGCAACCAACGGAGTTTGACCATGAGTCTCATTTCTTTTGGGGTTGCTGGGGACGAGAGCTCTCAGCTACAAGCACGGATTCATAGCGATGGTATTCCCTTGTATAAACGCGCAGACTGCATGGTGACGCAGCAAGAGAGTTAGTTGCTCAGTGACAAGGTTGGTATGTGAATACCTCTCGACCTACTTGTAGATATCGATTCACCTTGGGCCGGTGGTTAAGCCTGCAGGGCAAGGGCGCAGGCAAAACCCTCAGCTTGTCAGGGACTCCGGGTGCCAGCGAGCCAAGTCATAGTGAAAGGGCGTGACCGCCCAGTGACAGAAGTGGCTCCGGCACCGCCCACCTCCCACCCCCCATCGATTGCCCTGCTGCTGGCCCTTAAACCCCCCCCTCGGCGCCCCCATTTGTCCATTCGCCCCTCTGGCTGCCCCTTCTGGCCCAAAGACTGACCCGCGGCTCCCCCCCCTTCAATTGGCCACCCAAGGTCTCAGTCTCTAGCACTTCGCTTGCTTGTGATCACCTTGCAGACCTTTCCCTTTTCTTTCCCTCATCTCGTTCCCTCCCTCGTTTGCACTCCCTTCGTTTCCCCCATCCCACCAACCTTCTCACAACTGCGTCCTGTCTCTACCTCACAGACAAGAGGGATTTCGCCCAAGCTTGATCGACTTGTGAGCGTCGACTCACTTGTCATCAAGCATCTCTCATCCTCTGCCACAGTTGACCAGTTCTGCACTAGGTTAGTCATCTCTTTTACTCGGTCCTCTTTCCCGCTTTGCCCGCTTGGCTTTCCCTGCAACCTCACCATCCTTTATTCGCCTACACCGGTTGATCCTCACCTTCACTTTCCACCTTCATCCTCATCCTCATCCTCCTCCTCGAACCTCAACTCCAGCTTCACCTCTCTCTCCTATCCTGCCCCCTTCCTGTTGAAGTTTCCAGCATCATCACACTGCTTCGGCCACGTTGTCGAGGCAGTCAAGACTGACGAGTGGGCTTGCTAATCAGGGTGGAAACAGGCTGAGACCACTTCAATCTCTCCTCAGAAGCCACCGCTTTTTCCAGCAAACGCCTCGACCCCCAACATACCCCTCCGATCCCATCATCCTCATTGATATCGAACATTACGTTGCAGCGTTGCTGCCCATCAATCTATCAACATGACGACAATGGTATGTGAAAAGAGCTGGTTTCAGAATGAAAGACAACACTGCAATAGAGTTGGGGCGACGATTATCCTACATCTTTCATATCGTGCTTGCTTGTTCACTGCTCCATCTTCATCTGCTGACTCGTTTTGTTAGGATTTGCGTGTTGGTAACAAATACCGCATTGGTCGAAAGATCGGCAGTGGAAGTTTCGGAGATATCTACCTGGGCACCAACATCATCTCAGGCGAAGAAATTGCCATCAAGCTCGAATCCGTCAAGGCCAAGCACCCTCAACTCGAGTATGAGGCTCGTGTCTACAAGTCTCTCGCCGGTGGTGTTGGAATTCCGTTCGTCCGCTGGTTTGGAACCGAATGTGACTACAATGCCATGGTTCTCGACCTGTTGGGTCCCAGCTTGGAAGACCTCTTCAATTTCTGCAACCGCAAATTCTCCCTCAAGACCGTCCTCTTGCTGGCCGACCAGCTCATCTCTCGCATCGAATACATCCACGCCAAGTCCTTCATCCACCGTGACATCAAGCCGGACAACTTCCTCATGGGAATTGGCAAGAGAGGCAACCAGGTCAACGTGATTGACTTTGGTCTGGCCAAGAAGTACCGCGACCCCAAGACTCATTTCCATATCCCATACCGCGAGAACAAGAACCTGACCGGCACGGCTCGTTATGCCTCGATCAACACCCACTTGGGAGTGGAACAATCTCGCCGTGACGACATGGAGTCCTTGGGCTATGTCATGCTCTACTTCTGCCGCGGCTCCCTTCCATGGCAAGGTCTCAAGGCGGCTACCAAGAAGCAGAAGTACGATCGTATCATGGAGAAGAAGATGACCACCCCCACCGAGGTGCTGTGCCGTGGCTTCCCTAACGAGTTCGCCATCTACCTCAACTACACCCGCTCTCTTCGCTTCGATGACAAGCCAGACTACTCCTACCTGAGGAAGATTTTCCGCGATCTTTTCGTCCGAGAATCCTTCCAGTACGACTACGTCTTTGACTGGACCGTCTACAAGTACCAGAAGAATGCCCAGGCTATTGCCCAGGCGGCTGGGAACCAGACCACTCAGGAGGACGAGGAGAAGCCACGACGCGGTGCTCACCCTGCAACGGCCGCAGCCACTGGGGCTCCCACTCCTCAACATGCCTCGCAAGCTGGCAAGCCCGCAGCCATTTCCAGCTCTCGACGCAAGGTCATCGAACGCGGTGCCAGCGGTAACGACCAGGGAGGAAGTGACAGGATGTGAGTACTGAAACCTTAAGGTTCCCATGTAAGGGATCTCCTCTGCGTTTTGCTTCGGTTTGCGTGGAGGTTTACCATGGCATCTGACTAATGCGCTAGTCTTCGACGTTAGGCTTCGTTCCGGTACAAGGATAACCACTGGCAACGGCGATTATCGTTGAAACGGAATGACGGCTTGGTGTTCTTGCCACTGACCTTGTCCCACCAACCTCTTCTCGAAGACCGCTGTCGGTCTTCCAGAACACAAAAACACCATGGGTATGTCGGATCCGGCGCGGGGTTTGCTCTTGCACATGGCAAATCCGGACCGGGAATTTGTGAGGACCACACGGCAAACAAACTTTTATCTGAATGGCTTACTCGGCTCAATCCCAACATGCAATACTGGCACGATTACCAACGACTTGATGGGCGTTCGGTCAAACTCCTTTGACGAGTAGCTCTGGCATGAGACATCAGACATGAACGAAAGTTTGGCGACATACGACACGGCAGCATCAGTATGATCCGTTGCTGTTCCATTTATGCAGGATCGATCACGGCCTCGGCTTGATGATCGTCCTGCTCTACCACGATGGACCACTACCTCGACACGATAGACCTATTATTTCAGAATCACCACCGACCACCCCTCAGCACCTTCGGCACGTTTTCCTTTTTGTCTTGGCTTCACGCTTATGCTCACCATTCGAGTACTGCTTCAGAGGAAGAAGGGAAGGGGAGGTTGGAGAAAAGCCACCGCGAAGGAAGGCCAACAAGCCTGGGACTGGCGAAGCTTTGATGACCTGGGGCCGGGTTTTCCGAGCAGAAGGGGAAGAAGGCAATCTTGAGGCAAAGATGGCGAAGGACTTGTGAGGGGCCGATTCTGGGGAGGCATATGAACAGTAACTCATTGCTTTGGCGGAAGCAAACATAATTAGCGGCGACGCAAGGGAGTCTTTTCTTTGACTCGACTAGCTAGGCCAATAAATATCAATGTGCTACAAACCGGACCGATCACGTAGTTCGTTGCTTCGGGTTCGGAAGACAGGAAAGATATCAGAGGCGGTCTGTCTCGTAGCTCGGTCTCATCTGTAGATGAAGGAGGAGCAGGTTAGTGCTTCGTGGTTCAACAGCTCTTAGCACTGCGGGGCAAGCATCACGGTCACGCGTGCAGCTTGGTCTTGCACGGTGCGCCAGTCCTAAGGTCCAGTGTCCAAGGTCCAAGGTCCAAGGTCGAACATCGAAGATGGTCTTCCAGCCCACCTGCGGAGTATTGAGGGACACGAGCTGCTTTGGGAACGAGAATCAAGACTTCCCTCCTCCTCACAGGTCTGAAAGCTTGCCGCTGTTGTCTTGTTGCGACTGACCCTTTTGATCCAGATCATTGCACCTCTTCAATACCACTGAGCAGTCCGAAGCCGCTTCGATTCCCTGTTGCGTCGAGCCCTAGTTTGTCCATCCTCGCTTACAAATATTCGTACTTCGGGTAGTTGGCGGCTGCGCCACTCAGGAGCTGGAGACATAGCTGCATTTGGCCGACCGCGCCGACCTCGCTTGCTCAGACGTCGAACCTCGTGGGCCGAGTAACCCAAAAGTCAACATTGCGACGAGCGCACGTGAGGGTGAGCTTGCTGCATGGGAGTGATCGAGCCCTTGGCCCCCAGAATGGCCCTCTGAAACCACTTGCTTCTCACCGACTTCGCCAGCAGAACCTCCCAGATTCAACCCACCAACGCCCCCAATTAAACAACAACTATTGGTGAGTCTGTCTCAGCAGCTCTACAACCCTTAGAGCTTGTCTCTCTTCTCCCCGGGGGACACCAGAGAAAGTGGAAGCTGGAGACTAAGGAGCTGATTTCCGGTTCTCCAGGGGTGTGACAGAGCTGGCAAGCAGTCCCGATATTGCTACCCTCAGAGTCCTCTGTCGCGCCATTGGATCTCTAAACCCGATCATCGGTCCTACTGGAGTAAGTAACGGTGACGACTTTCATATACCGAGTACACCTTTGTTTTCGGCAGGCTCTCTCCTTTGCGCTGTCGCGGATTGGCCGGGACAATGGGATGTGCCTGCGCCCAGCTCAGCCTTGTGGCTTTGAGCGGACGTATAGGAGTTGATGGGTGCAATGAGACCTTCCACACCTTGGGGAAGTTGTTTGAGTAAGTCACTCCAAGTCATTGCCTTGTCGTATAGCACCCTCCTATGTGGTCTTCTGGTTGCATGTCCTGCATGTCGCAAGAATCATTCTGGCCGGCAAGCGTCATGCGCTTTGTGGCACTCTGGAACACTATCTTTGATGACCACGGGAATTAAACTCGATTGCTAACACCGAAGCATGTCAGAAACTAGGTTCTCGAGGGTTTCGCGCTCGCAAACGCAGAAATTCGAACTTTTGCCGTATCTCTCGGAAGAACAGCTGGCTGCCTCATACCGGGCAGCGGTAGCGACTACGTGATCAGTCCAGTCGCGACGTGCTCGCATCGCGTTTATCTTCTTTTGCCACATTGTCGACGTCGACTAACTGGTATTATTGTGCTCCTACAGATACGAATTTGCCGTCACAGTCCGAGTCTCTTCATCAACGTGACCAGCAACGAAATTAACCCATCCGCCTCAGCCCCGTAGTCAAAAATGCCTGTCGAACTGCGCAAACGCCCTCCCCCAAAGGAGCCAGCCGCCCCGCCCCCTCCCGCGAAACGAGGGAGCAGTAGCAGCACGGTAAAGAAGCTCGCCGGCAAGGCCAAAGCCGCCGTTACTGGGTCGTCCAGGGGCACCAAAAAGACGGCTGAACCTGTTGTCGCCAACCCACCGGAGCCGGAAGAAGCTCCCACTTCCTCCTCCGCAGTCATCGTCCCCGAAGTCGTCCCGGCCACGGCCGGCGCCAGCGAAGACACCAAAGAGGAGCCTACCGCGAACGGGAGTGCGGTCACGGCAAAGGCAACTGCTTCCGGGAAGTTGAGCGTGGGCGACAAGATCGATCTGGATGGCTTTGGCGGCACAGTGCAGACGCATGATGGGACCAGCGTGACGGTGAAAGAATTGCTCGAGAAGAGCGGCGCCGGCATCGTCATCTTTACGTATCCCAAGGCGAGTACGCCGGGCTGTAAGTCATCCCCATCTCCGTCTACCCATGATTGTTCTCTCTCCCTCTCCGTAAAGAAAACGGGGTGGTCTGATGCAGGATTGACCGACTGATGTTCCCATTGTACAGGCACCAACCAGGCTTGTCTCTTCCGGGACAACTACGCGCCCATCACGGGTGCATCGCTCGCGGTCTATGGTTTGAGTACAGACAGTCCCAAGGCAAACACGACCTTTGCAACCAAACAGAAGCTGCCGTATCAGCTATTGGTGAGCTCCCCGTATCCCGATGTTTCTTTGCAGTCTTTTCAGAGGCAGACTAATGATTGAAACGCCAGTGTGACCCTAATGCAACTCTCACGTCTGCCATCGGAATGAAAAAGCCAGGCCCCGGCAAATCTACCACCCGTGGCGTGGTCGTCATTGATAAACAAGGGACTCTCCGTCTCTGGGAGCAAGCCGGCCCCGCCAAGACGCTCGAAGCAGTTTTGGAATACATCAAATCCCAGGGCATGACTGAAACAGGCGCCCCGGCTGCAGTTGCCGCACCTCCCGCGGATGACCCTATTGCATCGGAGGAGGCAGCAAAACTGGCGGACCCGGACACCAAGATGGATGAGGTGCCGCTTGTTAGGACACCTAGCAAATCCGAGCAGGACGCCGCCGAGACAGCCGCAGAGGTGGGGGAGACGGCGGCCAAGATTGATTCTGCTGAAGGCGAAGCGAAGCCATAAAGGACTTCCTCAGGGGTGCTCGAATAGCAGAGGTGAAGGCCTGTATGTTGTTTAACGTTTCTTGTCAGCGCGTGGTCATGAGAGTTCCGTCTCGGCGTCCAAGGCGCATTCAGGTTAATGAGCATTGTGTTTTCTCTTTCAATGTTCCATCATTTCCTCTCCTTCAGATACTCCCAATCCCCGGATACCACGTCTTCCCAATCCTCTGGATCTCCGCAATGAACTTCTTGCTTGTGATTTCGGGGCTCTTCCCCCCATAGTTTGCTATCTGCAAAGGCGTCCTCTCATCCGGCATGTAGAACGGATTTAGCATTAGGTGGATGTATGCGGTCTGCACCGCACGGAAGGCTGGCTTGAGATCCGCGTCTCTCAAACCCACTGCCGCGGTCGGGAATCGTCTCTTGTCCTTTCCCAGATCTTTGGAACCATCTTCCTCGGACGGAGAGGGTGGAGGGCGACCCATCATGTCCACCACGATGATGAACTTGATCCCCGTATTTGTCAACCAACCGTAGCATGAGAGGCGATCATCGATGGCCTGGAGCAAACCCAAGTCGGAATCGAGCAGCTTGGTGGTGCGAGCTCGCAGGTCGAAGATGTCGAGGCAGGAGTTGAGGAGGAAGAGGAATTCGAGTTCGGCGTTCGGGGCGGCCTCGTGGGGAGGGAAGAGGGAGATGTGCAGCGGTTGGTCATGTTTGCCGATGACGCCGATGCATGCTATCGACGGTGACGAGTTGAGGGCCATGAAGCACGATCGGCGAAACTGATCTCTGGGGGAGTAGAGGAGAGCGAGAGGAACAATGTACGAGTAGATGACCCTTCCCCAGATATTGCCCAACCAGGCAAGCCGATCTCGCTGTCCTGCCTGGCACACAGGCCAGCCAATGAACGAGCTCGCAATTCGCCGGGCATTTCGACATCATTGATTCTCTACCGAACGACACACAGCAGTTTCGCCTCCTCTTTCTTTCCCTCGACGCCCTTCAATTCTTTCCCTTTGCCGTCCAGTTCTCTCCTCTCTTTATTACCCGCGACACTGCAGAGCAAGATGATGTCTCTGTCGAGGACAGTCGCTCCACGAGCGCTACGAGGTATGCAGAGCCCGAAAGCTCCCTTTGCCACAAACTCTCGGAATGGGCTCAATTGACAAAATCAATCAATACAGCGTCGACCATCCTCCCATACTCCCTCATCCGCGCCGCCCCTGCCGTTTCTATCTCCTCGACCTCTTCGAAACCCGCCACCTCGGTTGTCTCGCAGCCCCCCACCGCCGGCGGCGATGCCTCACGACTTCCCGTCACGGGCGGCATTCGTCGTGAAGTGCCCCTCCCGTCGCAGGAGCAGAAAAAGGGAGCTATGCAATACGCCCTCACCACACTAGATCAGATCGCAAACTGGGCTCGTCAAGGCTCACTTTGGCCCCTCACCTTCGGTCTCGCGTGTTGCGCCGTCGAAATGATGCACCTCTCGACCCCCCGGTATGACCAGGATCGTCTGGGAATCATCTTTCGCGCGTCGCCCCGACAGAGTGACGTGATGATTGTGGCAGGCACACTCACCAACAAGATGGCGCCGGCGCTGAGACAGGTGTACGACCAGATGCCGGAGCCGAGATGGGTGGTCTCGATGGGATCTTGCGCCAACGGGGGAGGTTACTATCACTACAGCTACAGTGTGACGAGGGGCTGTGATCGCATTGTTCCTGTGGATATTTATGTGCCGGGCTGCCCGCCCACGAGCGAGGCATTGATGTACGGCATCTTCCAATTGCAGAAAAAGAGTATGTTTGGATTCCCGTTTCCTCTGTCAACCGAGAGCAGTCCAAGCTAACCCACGACAACCAGTGAGACATACTCGCATCACAAGACTGTGGTACAGAAAGTAAGGGACACGGGGAGGAGAAAGCACCAGAGTTATAAGCATTTGCGGTGGCCGTGTCTGTGGGCAATGGGCGTTCTCGAAGCCGGTTAGAGCATCTATCTTGCTCTTGTGCTTTCCGCTCTAGCACGCGCACATCATGTACAGAATGAACATTTGGTTCGATGCGTGACTTTTGCTGGGGACCTTTTCCCTTTCTCAAAATTCCAGGTCAAGGCATTTCCATCCCTCTTCAAGCCGATACGGTCACATTCCAGGCATGCAGGAGCCAGTGAGGTCGGTTTATCATGCCGCTGTGGCAATTTTTCCGATTAGTGATCCTCCTCACGACAGTTGAGAGGGTTTTGGTAAGGTGACATGCCCATTCCAGTTTCAAATCCACCACCGAAGTCGTCATCGTCGGCGGCGGCGGCGGCGGCGGCAGCAGGGGAAGCCACAATACTCGTCCTCTTCTCTTCCTCACCCAAATCGGGAGGCTCACAGAAAGGAAAAATTTCCATAGGGGCGTCAGGGAGAACCCACTCCTCTCCCACCTGAGAGCGAGTGGAAGGCCGCCCAACCTTGCAGTGTCGGTTAGCCTTTTGGAACTTCTTCTCAAGTCCCCTTGCTTGGGACTTGAGCCACTCCCTAAGTATGGATGTTAGGATTTCACTCACGAATCGTTAAGGCAAAACTTACATCTGAGGGGCCGGAATGGCCTTCGGGCCACCGGCGACGGCACTTGCTCTCTGAATAAGAGCCTGAATGGCCCGACAACCTGCCTGTAGGTTACTGGGAACCTAGGAGGATTCAGCACTCTGTCAGTTAACCTTGTCGTTACACTCACGGCGACACAACCGGCACGAGGCCGGACGCGGACGCAGAAGGCACACGACTTAGTCCAAGTCCAGTCGCAGGGGAAAGCCGACTGGACCCCAGGAGGGTCTTCAAACCCGCGGAAACCACTGTTGGTGATTAGCAGGCTATCAGTCGCTATCACAGGGTGGCACTCACAACTCCAGCCAGCAAGGCTGGCACCAAAGTCCCACTGGGACCGAGGCGGAGGGGTGGCCTTCTGGATAATGGGCTGCGACATCATCAGCATGACTTCCCTCATAATTTAGGAGGGTAATACTGACACATGGTTAATGTTCTGAGGAAAGGAAGGAAGAAGGAAGACAGATCGCTCTTAAAGGAAGAAGGAAGACGAGATCATTCTGTGTTATGAACAGGACAAAAAGGAAGCGTATTGAATTCTGCCTCACCTGTTCACCACCAGTTACGAAGCCGATCAGATATCCCCTGATCGAAGGCAAGACAAGTCTAGTTGATTGTTTATCTATTGCCGGCGACATCAAGCCCGTCCGTCCGTCCCTCGACAGCGCACCAGTCCCATTGCACCGCTTTGCTTTGTGTTGCATTACCAAAGTTGTGAATTGCTCTGTGTTGCCATGGCTGTGCTATATCCTGCCTAACCCGGTGCCACTTGCCCACATACCTAGGTAGCTCTTCCACTGCTATATCGGTGACGGTGACGGTGACGGTGTCGGAGTTGGAGTTGGATTAGGAGCTGGAGCAGGAAGATGTGGCTACCAGGTTGGACGTGTCGCCCTGTATATCCAAGCCGTCGGTTCCATCGAACTGTTTTGCTTCGGGCGGTGTTCTATCTACCAGGCTCCCAGATTGCGGGGTTTAACCCCTCGTGTCGCAAAGACTGGACTCATTGTATGTGGACATGGAGCAAAGTACATCTTATTCATATAGCTTCATACAAATGTGTGTCTACAGCTTCTGCCAGAAAGTGCGGCAGGCACAAACATGTGCACTAATAGAGCTCTGTCCCGACACCAAGGTTTGCTATGGAGTGACCAGTCGGTCGGATAGGTTGTGGTCAACACCACAGTACCGTCAAGTCGTTGCCGGCGAGTCTGTCAAGGTGGTGCCCTGCCTGCCTCCCCCTCCAAGGGCGCAGAGTACATTGACATTATCATCACAGCATCATCCCAACGGCTCCCGCCAGGATCCCACCAACACCACCAATGACCATTCGATCCAAATCCGGTCTGGGAGCAGCCGCGCCGGTGAAGCTAGACGCAGCAACCGCAGCAGCGCCCGTGCTGGTCGCAGGTGTGGCGGACGTGGCAGACGCTGCGGTGGCAGTGGCAGAGACGTGGTCGGTTGCCAGGGGCGCCTGGTACGAGTATGTGATATCCTGCAGACTCGCGGGGCAGGACGGCAAGGTCATGCTCGAGACCGGGGCCGTGGGCTGTGAAGGGAGGCCGGAGATGCTGGAGTAGAATTGGCACAGAGTCAACGAGCTGGCGATGGCGGTGGTGGTGGTGGTGGTGCTGGGAGACGGCCAGGGTGTATCAGTAGGCGCCGTGGTCGCAGGGCCCGTGGTCGTCTCTGGAGGGATCGTGTACGAGAAGGTCAGCAGGCTGGAAGGGCAGAGAGGCAGCGTCATTGAGGTCGCTTGCGTCGAGGAAAGGCCCGGGATGCTCGAGTAGAACTGGCAAAGGGTGTAGCTGCCGCTGGTGGTAGCTGTCGAAGGGACCGCCACCGCGGTTGAGGGGGTAATTGCGCTCAGCATAATTGTCGTGGCGATGACACCCATTTTGGACAAGAAGGCCATATTGACTGTATATTCTGAGTTTCCTTCGGTAAGCAGGTCAAGTGGTTTACTTTCAGGGCTCTCTACTGAACATTCGTATGCATCACAGAAAGTCGGATAGAACGAACTACTAATAAGTTAATACTTCCAGCAGGCAGCCGTCAAAAAACTGGGCGTGGTAACATCCATTCGTGACCAGGTTACCAGGGGAACAAATGAGGGAAGCCATCCGGATATAGCAAGGTATGTATGTCGAGTCTGTTGTTGATGGACGAGGATGGGGGCTGACATGGTACGGAGTATATTAGCATGAGAGTACTTGGTACGGAGTCTCGCCGAGACATGCATGATAGAGTGGAGTATTTGTTCCAGTCTGGGGTTGGCGACTTTGTGTAGTTTACCCAGTTTGTGCAGTTTGTCTGCTTTGTCCAGTTTGGTTGATTCTCCCTTGGGCGGCAGGGCGGTCACGCAATCCCTTCCCCCCAAAACGTCAAGTTCCCCCAAAGGAAATGCTTCGCTGCCCGAAGACCACCTAGAGGGGCACCTACTAAGGCACCGAGACACCTAAAGATAGAATCCAGGCCCGGCTGGTGGGCTTAGACTTCAGTGGTGCAGGGACACCTCTTCAGCTAGGAAGCCCTTGCTTACCAATACCTCCCCAAAACCACCCCCTTTGCACGCCCCCTAGCCAGTCGTGCCAGCTCCCCGTTCCCCCCCCCCGAAACCTCAGCGCCAGGGGCACAAGGTGCTCACCACCCTCCTCCCCCTCCCTTCCCTTCCCTTCACCGCCCCCAGGGAATTGCGGTCGCTAATTACAAGCAAAATCCCATTGCGCGATGCATTGAGCAAGTTTACTAATTGACCAAACCTCGAGCACGTTTCGCGTGATACAGGCATAAAACACTTCCCTGCTGTTTGTTTGTTTCTCCCTTTGTCTGAACCTTGATAGTGTTATTCCTGTGACGGAGGAGTGCTGCGCGTTTCCCGAGTTCATACCCTGCCTAACTACCGAGATATTGATATCGATAGTTCGCAGCTGCGCACAAATACCTCAGCCTCACCACCCCCCCAGATCGACCGTCTCGGCCTCGCCCCTCACAAGACAAATACTAAACAACCACAACTACTGTGCATATATAGTACAGCACCCATCCCATCCTGCGGAACAATTTCCTCTCCCACATATACACCCACATACACGAACTCACGTACATCTCTCGGCCCCACGAAAGTCACTGTTACTCTCGCGACTGAATCCCTCCATCCTCCCACCTCCAAAGACGCAATGGCCGAACACCACTACAAGTTCAACGTGACAATGACCTGCGGGGGCTGCTCCGGCGCCGTCGAGCGCGTCCTCAAGAAACTCGATGGTAAGCATAGAAGCACTCCAAATTCACTATTCCCCTCTCTAGACTGCCCAAGCTCGCCTGTGTTGCTGCTGTGACGAGGGCGCGGGGTCTGGGCGGTCGTGATCCTCGACCTGTAACTTGCGGCCTTCACCTCCTCCCTTCTACCGACTTGGTCCAATCTCTCCACATTCCCTTCGCTTCCTAGAGAGAAAAAGTGGGCAATTGGCTGACGTATATGTGTCCTACAGGCGTCAAGGACTACAAGGTGTCGCTGGACACGCAGACCGCAGACGTGACCACAGAAGACTCGGTCTCATACGAGACGGTGCTCGAAAAGATCAAGAAAACCGGCAAAGCCGTAAACTCGGGCGAGGCCGACGGCGTCACCATGTCCGTTTAAGATCTTGGAGGGCGGCAAGGCGCATGGCTGCGTTATTTGGGTTACTACATACACGACCCGGTCTGCGCTGGTGGGTGGATTTCATACGAGCGAGACGATTCAAAGAAAGCCAGTGACCGGGAAGAAGATGTCGAGCAAGCATGGCCGATCATCGTACGCCACAGTGCGGCTCAGGAGCACGATGTGAATATTTCGACCAGTCACCTGTACTGAAATGCGGCCAGGTGTGGGAATTACATTTGACCTTTTGGAAGCGCAGAAATAGAACAAATTACCAACAAGAGCGTGAACTTTGAAGTTTTTCACATTGGGTCTCGCTTACATCGAGTCCTATCTGATTGTCTTCTGCAGTTTGACAACGTCCCCATCCACGACTCAACATAGATTGAACCTCGGAAGGATAAAGCGCCAAGGCAAGTATCCCTCATTATCCCACAGATGTAGACAAGAAGCCAGAGCAATGATCCGGCCCGAACACCATTCTGAATGCCTCCGACCATGATCCAGTGTGACCGAAATATGTGGGTATCTTGATCAAGCGTAACATTACAAAGAGAAGCTGATAGTATTCTGTCGTGATTCATTGGCAGTCTCCAGTCGAAAGTTGACACAGAACTCCGTCGCCGACTTAGAAACATGCAGATGGTACCCACCCATTTTGATGCGCAAATCGTATGAAGAGGAAACAATACTTTTGACACTGATGGTGAAGCAGCGAAGTAGTCGTGACTGAGTAGAGATGCATCTACAAGAGGGCGAGTGTGTGCAGACGTTGAGCACGCTGCTTGCTTAACGGCGCATTGCAACAGTACCTGGACCAAGGATCAGCACTGTTAGTGGAAAATATGGAATACATGTTCAAGCAAAGTTCTGCCTTTGGATCTTACCGTCGTCCCGGTGTCTTTGCGATGTATGTCCCTTGGTAACGTCTCCGAACAGATAGTGCTTGAATTTGTCCACCCTCAGCGTGCATAGGAATGGAGAGGAGCTGTTGGTCGATCATACTCAGGCAGGCGCTGTGGAGGTAAAGATTGTAGAGTTTCACGGCCATTGGATCCATCTGGATAAATGTACCGTACACGAGACTCTTGCATAATCGGTTGCACGTATTGTTCACGGGCGAGCCTCTCCTGCTCCCTAGCAATCCTGCTGTCATATGCGCGAGACTCGCCAATCGGCTCGTAGGCATGACCTAGTGGAAGCAACGGTTGCTTTCCCAGATCTCGAGTGGGACGGATCGACTCAACCTCATTGTGGCTAGTGGCCACGAAGGTTTGCGAGTGATAACGACGCTGCGCCGTCGTCGTCTCACGAAGCTCATGAGTAGCAGATATGGGTTCATAGCGACGTACAACAGAATGCAGAGAATCATAAGCATCGTAGAGGGGTTGACGATCAGCATAAGCGGTCTCCCTGGCAGAAATTGCCGGTTGTAGACGTGGGCTGGATCGCGGCTCACCATAATCCGCTATGCGATTTTCAGCAACGGCAGCAACCGGCTGAGGTGGCATATAGTGATGTTCAATGGGCCTGCCGGGAGACTCTCTTCTGGTCACGCGGCGTTCTTGGACTGGTTGCATTTCGTCCAATCGACGTCTCTTAGGTGTTTGGCTCGAGCTATGCGTCAAGTCAATATAGGCAGCATTCCTCACGTTGCGTCCGTCTTCCCGCCCTGGGTTAGTGTCACGAGGCTCGGAATGTGCTTCAAACGGATTTCGACGTAAGCGAGGAGACATATATGAACCGTCAGGTCCTTCGATCGATGGTAGGATCGTACCATCACCTCTGTCAAAATCTGCGTTGTTTCGCGATTCCCGACGGGAGAAGTCTTGGGGTGAAGAAGGTCGCGTTCTAATTTGCGGTCCGCTCAATGCCGGTGCAGGTTGTTTGTGATAGTGTTGTGGCGTGTCTGCCTGGTTTGCACGGAGCCTAGTGTCGATCCGTTCATACAAAATGCCATTCGCGTCTCGGATGTACGTCGGTGGGCTTGGTTGGCGACTTCTAATCGGTGGCTGTGGAGGTGGTCAGTCAATACCGTATAATGTCCGCCTGTCGAGAGACAATGTTTAGAAAGTCTTGATGGAATCCCGCTCACCTCGTAATCGGCTCTTGCTATGCTCGTTGGAGGCGCTTGAGTGTGAAATATCTGGGCAGGTGAGTGGACTGGAGGGTCAAGAGGGACAAGAACGCGTGGGGCGGGGGGCGGTTCAGGCTCGTAGATCCTCTCCAGAACCGTGACTGGTCTCTGAGCGATGCTCGAGCGATAATCCCGCTTAGCTTGTTCCCAGATAGCATATCTGCTTTGATTTCGTCGGGCAATTTCAGCGTTGGAGGGTCTGTAGCTGCGAACCGCAGGTGGATAGCCCAGCATTCGTTCAGGCGGAAGTTGCGGCAAAGGGGAAATAGGTCGACCAGGGGCAGGACCATAGGAATTGCTCGGGAGTTCTTCAACCTGAACACGGTCTTGGCCTAAGGGTTCAACACTGTCCGAATCACTCTCCGATGCGTCCTCGTCAGAGATGACAATAACCTCTTTAAGGAGATCATCTGCGGCACCCGTGGCGCTTTCAAGAGTGGTGTCTTCACCGCCACGCCACTCAACTAGCTTGATGAGAGTCTCTTTTTCCACCATATGGCGCGCCTCGTTGTATGGCATTTGTCTCAACAACTTGTCATATTGGGTGTAGTTGTGGCGGATGTGGGCAACCACCGACAGCTGGGCTCTTCGAACAAGTGGTAGTTCGTTTGCAGTACCGACCCTGCGATCGCCCAGTTGAAACGCCGTCTTAATGATCTGGTACAAGTCATTATTGGGGATGTTGGGGAACAAATCTTTGATGGTCTGTTTAGCATCAGTGTTGATGGTGATCTGATCCTTCTCTTCCACCGGACGTTGACCGTCTGTGTTGCGATACACTTTGCTGAAAAAGGACTCGTCATTCGACTCGTCAACGACCTTTCCTTCGCTGTTTAGGCGGATACCGTAGTGGGCACAAACTTGGTCGACAACCCCTGTAGGAAAATGGAAGCCGACACGATGTACTTCCCGCGACAACTCATGGCGCGCAGCATGCGGAGTGATCTTGGACGTCAGAGAAACACGCGTGTACATTATGAAATGGAAGGGGCTTACCGTCACGGCGTAGATCTTGTGGTCACCACGGCGAGCAAACTCTTTCAACGCGCTGGTGAGCTCGGGGTTTCCGGCGGGAATGAACGTATATCCAGGCGGGGGACGCTCTTGGAATGAGATCTTATTCGGGTCATAAGCACTGGTAATACGGCCTCGACAAGCTGATTTTGCTCTTACCACTGTGGGCAGTTTCCTCTCTTGGGGATCCCCTCCAATAGCGATTTTGTGTCTCTTCTGCTTGGCTACCTGGCTGCCCCGGGTTGAGGCACCTGCAGCACCCTTCTTGGCCACCTTCTGCTTGACTCTTGCCATCTCAATCTCTCAACCTACAAGGGGGAAAACCGAACAATTGGGCTCGTAACATAGGAGAAAAGGGGGCGCGAGGTCTCTAACAGATAGCAATCAGTTGGGAAAAGAACAGGAGACTGTCGAACAGCCAGTCTTCTGGCTCGTGCGAAGTTGTTTTAGGTGATGGTTGCTACAGCCTTCACCACAGACTTGGGCAAGCGGTCAGCTGCACAAACGCGGCTTGACGGAAGGCGCCACTGCACTTCAGGCGCAGGATCTCAGCGTGAGATCGAAACTTGTCCAAGGGCGAAGTGGAACGTCCGAAGATATTGGCATGGAGAACCAACAAGCGGGTGAGTCTCGACAGATGCCGGAACTGGGAGGTGTACGATGGTGAATGACAGAGAAGGCAGGGAGGAATGGAAGAGGCGACTGCGCTGGGGATTTAAAGCTCAGAGGTTCGCAGTCCGACTTTGGCAGGCTTGGCGGGCGCTTGGTCGCCGCCTCACAAGCCCAACGCCAACACGTCAACACGCCACGTCAACTTGCGTGGATGTTGCCGCTGCTTTAAGGGGCGCCGTATTAGTTTAGCCGTGCAGCTCGACCAATGAGAGAGGCGCTCTGACATGTGACGATTGAGGCCTTGAAGAGCATTTGCTACGGTGAATCAATTAACGCAACAGACACTTTTGGTTCCCCGTACTGTCCTGCGCACCTCCTTTTGTGGCTTGAGCTTCGATGCCCATATCTCAGACAGATCTTCACACCGCCGAGAACAAGTCTCTCACACTCATAACATTCCAAGCAACGTGTCGAGCGCCTTTGCGACGCCCTCGATGTCCTGCAGAATCATCTGATGACCACTTTTCACTACCACAACTTCCGAGGGCCCTCCCACCAAGCTGCTGATATCCTTTGACCTCTGCGGCGGGCTGATCATGTCCTTGTCACCGGCCACAAACACAGCCGGACTCTTGATCAGGCTGTAATCGGGGTCATAGTGGTCGTCGCTGGCAACTAGTTCTGCCGTGGCTGCATATGCCTCAGCAGAGCAAGAGGACACAGCGTCACGAACCTGCTGTTCGTGCACGCTGTCGTTGACACGATCCGCTGGGAAATTCGTCTTGACCGCGATCTGTCCGACCTCATCCATACCCTTTTCGCGTGCTGTTTTCGCAAGATCACGCATGCGCTGCTGTGCCGGCGGAATACCTCTCACGGAACGGCCTGCGCCCAGAAGTAAAAGTCCTGCCACTTTGGCGGGGTGCTGGGCTGCATAGTGCAAGCTGATGATACCGCCGAGGGAGTGACCGACGAGGAGAACGGATTCTTTGCTCCCTTCGTCCCCTGAACTGTTGGTCGTCCCTGATGCCGAGTTTGAAGGATGTTCCTGAATATATGTGATGAGATCGTGTAAGTCGGAGACATACCGGGCAAATGAGAGAGACGTTCCCTGGTTGAGAGGTGTCTTTCCGAATCCTTCGAGATCTATGCTGATGATGTGATAATCGGGCGGCAGGAAGGGAATCAAGTCTCGGAATGTCTCTGTTGAGCCGCCTAGCCCATGTAACAAGACTGCGAGATGGCCTCCCTGGTTGCCAGATGAGATATAGTGGATGTCGGTACCGTCAGGCGTGAGATGTCTTTTTGATGAATGCGGCTGCATCTTTGTGGTTGCTGGTGGTCGTGCAATGTTTTTGTTCCGAGCAGCAAGCAGCAACCAAGGACCACATGTATGCTCGCTCACTGTGACTAGGACTCATCGAGGCTGCACAGCATGAACCCATGTTGGTGGACCAGAGCCTCGGCCGAGCTCCACTTCTCACGTCGGCCGAAGACGATACTCCTAGTACACATGATTGAGCTTCATGCCAGCGCTTCCTGGGTTCATCTCCAGCTATATGCTCGGCCGACTGGTCGAGGTCAAGGTGCGCAGTCGCTCATGGTCGGCTGGGGATTAGTGCTTCCAAGCCTAGAGGCGAAAGTCGAAGATTGAAAAGACGTTCCTGTTTCACAACTGCAATTGCTGCCAACTACCACCTTGCCATTACCATCGACAGCATCAAATCTCCGCCGCGATGGTTGTCGAAGCTCTCACGGAGGTCATTGCTCCGGAAGGTGTCAAAGCAAGGCTCGTCGCAACTAGGTCATCGGATATCACCCTCCCACACGCTGAAAAGACAGATGGACGAATAGTCCCTCTTAAGCATCCGGCTGAAAGCAAAGTTGACTTCGGAGCCGAGGTGTACGGAATAGATCTGAACCAACTCACTGATGCGGATTTTGAATTGATCTCCGATGCCCTGCACCGACACAAAGTCTTGATTTTTAAAGAGCAGCCGGAGATGCTGAAACCGCAACAGCAGTACCTGCTGACTGCAAACTTCGATCCCGACGAGACGACGGGAGGCTTCGCACATGGCGCTGATCCATTCTTGACCTCGCACAATGGCGTCAACATCTATGGCATCCAGAGCAGACCTGCCCTTCCTGTTCAACCGCAAGTACATATATTGGGACGAGGCGAGGTTCCCGAGGATCATTATCAGTTTCCTCCGGGGTTCAAAGTCAAGGGCATCGATCATCACGAATTCCATCTCCCGCCTCACATTCCCAAAGAGGAGCGGGAGAAAGGAGCCAGCAGGTTCTACCAGTGGCATTGGGACGGAGCCTTGTACAATATCCCGCCTCCGCGGGTGGGCTGCTTACTCGCGGTCAGGACCCCGAAAGGACCGGATGTGACAGTTCGCTGGGACGATGGCACCGAGACGGAGATGAAAATTCCACCTGGAGCTACCGCCTATGTCGCCGGATCCAGAGCTCTGGAGCTTCTCGACGAGGAGACAAGACATATTGCCTTTCATTCTCGGATCGAGTATGCGCCACATGCTTTCAAGTGGATGTCAACCGCCCATAGCGCCCGACTCGGACACATCCTGGAGACGGAAGGCCTCGAGCTACCACGCGAAAAGCTCCCACCCATCGACGAAAGCAAGATCTGCATCTACCCTATGGTGTGGACCAACCCGAAGACCGGTGAAAAGTCCTTGCAGGTGCACGGACAAGGAGCGGTGAAGTTGTACCTCAAAAGCAGCCCCGACGGAGAAGAAAAGATTGTCGATGATTTGAAAGAAGTGAGGGATTTCATGCACAAGTATGCTTTTCTCCCAAGGCGATTTCTCGCAGCCGTTGTCAAACGTGTTTGGCTAACATTGTCGCAGAATCATGCGGCCAGCAATCTCGCCCGAGAACATATACGCCCATCCTCACCAGGAGCAAGACGTCGTCCTTTGGTACAATCGTGCATTGTGGCACAGCATCGTAAGTTGACTCAAGAATCTATCTTGCTATGACGCCTTGCTGACACGGCATGAAAGACCGAGTTTCCTGAGTCGTATGGGCCAAGGATCATGCATCAGTGTAATATTGCGGCATCGGACCACCCATCAGGGTAGCAGCCTCGGTAGTGATGGATGTGAATGAATGAGAGCGATATTCCTCCTTTTCCGGGATAGTGCAAGCCATGAACACGCCTTCGTTGTAATTGGCGATGTCCTGATCAAAATTCCCTCCTATAGCATGAGCCATCTTTTTCTGGAAAGGCTAAGCATAAGATAGAGCATGGTATTAAAATGAGACCCCCATTGGGCGAGAAACAACTTTGAACTCAGTACGCCTTGGTGCTAGAACGCGCGACCTTGATTTGCAAAAGATAGCAGGGTGTCAAATGTTTGCGTGCCATCTTCATCAGAGAGCGGCATACTCCACAGCCAATTCAAGTCTGCAGGAAGAGTCAGTGGTTCGTCCACACCGACCGCTTGCGTGGTGGCGTCCTCGGCTCGCTGCTGCATGAGGTCCAATTCTCCAGCAGGAGTCAGGCGCTCTGATATGCCTTGATTCAGGAGCGGAGGGCGATCCTGGCCTTCGCAGAAGGATCGAGCAAACTCCGCGGCGTCGAAACCTCGACGTCTCTTTCTTGGGGCGCTGTCTCTGGGAGCGTCATTTGGCCTCTTTCGACTCTCGATCCGGTTCTCTATCTGCTTTTGCAGCGCGTTGAGGACTTTCACGCCTCGAGCGGCTATCATGCTCTTCTGCTGGCAAAGCTGCAGATGCTCGAGCGTTTGGGCGACCAGCTGTGACTCGTCCTGGCCGGAGTACGGCGAGTGGAGGGTGTCAAAGCAGATGACTATGCAAGCTGCCACCGCGAATGCCTGATGAGTCCAGAGCATCGGGCTCGATTCGTCCCGGCTGCTCGCAAGATACTCTTTCAAGATTGTTTTGGATGCGGCCAGGCATGTCCGACGCGTGAACGCGAAGACTGGGTTCGTGAAGCTGAGACCGAGCAGCTTCCTAGACAGACATCTTTAGCTAGGACAGGGACATTTTATTCTCCCGACACTTGGACGTACCTGTGAATCATGATGATTTTGTGTGCGGAGCTCATTGCAATGGCTCGACGCGCCCATGGAATGTAGCACGGCCAACTGGTATCAAAGGCTGTGTTCGCGAGGAACGGGGGCCTGCCAGTGGCCAACGACCGCATCTTTTTGTCGTAGACGAGAACCGCCTCGTGCTTGGTATAAAGTGTATTGGACAGAGCCATGGCATCCTGCAGCGCGGGCATGATGGCCGCGATCTTGGACAGAAACCTGCAAAAGCTGGTCACGGTCGGCTCGGACTCGTCGAGGACGTTCAGGTCATCGTCACAGTTTTGAGGAGGGAGAGAGGTCGAGTGCAGAGGGTTGATAGAGTACGACTCGGAAAAGGCGGTGCTGAACCAGTCCTGGGTACAGAGCTCCTGCCACACGCGACGGCCGGTTTCCAGCTCGACGCCGCCACCTGGAGCATCGTCGTCTAGTCTGTGCAGACCAAGGCTTTGCGCGATACGGACTGCAGATGCCAACATCACGGACTGGGCATTTGAATGGCCCAACATATGCGCAGTGTTTGTCAACGTGGTGATGGCTTGAACAGAATGTAAGGAATGGTGGGCGGTGAAATTCGCGGCGTTCAAGGCGACGACCACCGCTTTGTACCATTTTTGAGACAAAAGCCGTGCTTCACTTTCGTCGAAGCCCCATTTCCTCGCCTCGTGCGCTGGGGCGGAGGTGATTGTCCCAGCCATGATTGCGAACAGCAATGCCACCCATTGCAATGCGACCCCCCTGGAGTCGAACTTGCCTTCGTGGTCGGCGTAGAACGAGGCCAGTTCTTTGGAGAATGTGGGTGCGAAGTACGAGCCATGGAACCAGAGCATACAGTTGCTGTGATACTCGACCAGCTGGTACACCTGGCGGCGGGAGGGGAGCAGGATCTGCAACCAGGAAAGCAGATTGATGCCGGAGTCGAGGGCGCAGTCGAGCTCTTCGGCCGGGCTGATGCCAATCCCATCATCGTGCTCCGAGACTCTGAGGGCTTCCGGCGACAGCATCGCATTGTCTGGGTCCTTCATGCGGCCCCAGGCCAGGAACTCCAGGACGGTGACTGCATCTTCAATGTCTGACCCCTGACTCGGCGACGACGACCTCAGCTGTGTCCCCTCGGCCTGCCCTGTTGCTGGTGTCGTTGGAGACCGCGCCACATTGGCCTCTGCAATTCTCTCCTGAAGGGCAGCCTCAAGTTCGGCGACACGAGCACGAAGAGCACCAACGGCAGACGCGTCTTCGGGGTGGTGTCGAACACTAGATACTGTGCCCTGCAGATGTATGTCGTCGGGATCCTCGCGCTCGCATTCTGCTGGAGTCCCCCTCTTCACGCAGTTGTGGCATGGTATCTGCTTGTCACACCGGACCTTCCGCCGGGTGCAGAGGCGACAGGCCAGTCTCCTCCGAGGTGCAGCGGACATTGTAGGTGAGCCGGCAACATGGTGCTCGAGCCCTCGGTGATCATAACGGGTTGTCCCCAGGAGGCTCCAGATATCTGCATGCAGTCAGCGGTCTGGTTTGTCGACGAAACGTCCGACTGATAAGAGCGACCTTGATAAACAATACCTTCGACGCGATTCGTCAGACGATAACGTCCATCCACTCTCTCGCCCTCCCAAATCTTGAAAGATACTTGATTCTGGTCCATCTAGTCGACTAACTGAACTTGGCTCTAGCACGTCTTGATCGTGTCGGGCGGCAACCCGAGACCTGCCGATGCGACGTGAAGTGCTCTTCGGCCGCCTCGCCAGTGAGGCTTCGCGGCTGCGATAACAGCTCGCATGGGCTCAGCGCAGCTCGGCCGAGGATATCAGTCACCATGAATAGCAGCATGTCGATTGGCCGCTCATGCGAGACGATCGGACATACCCTGTTGATACTTGTACAACAGTTGGACGTCGACAATGGACTACGAGATTCATAAACTTGTCGCCGTCGAAGTCCAAGCTGCGGTGGCGTTGATCAGTGATCTTATCATACCTACCGACTCAACGAGCAGAACAGAGACACCATGTCGCCGGCGGCCCTCACTCCTGAGCCGTCATTTCAGGTTCTACCCATCGTCAAACGCAAGGACCAGAAGTTCAACTTCGGCGCTGCTGTGGAGGGACTAGATCTAAACCATATTTCCGGTATGAGGCACTGTGGTCCGACATGTCATAGCAATCACCCAGCTGATAGCACCAAGATGACGATGTCAGGCGGTTAAAGGAGACAATATGGACGCACAAGGTCATTATCGTCCAGGGCCAGAAGGACCTTACCCCCGAGAAACATTGGGAGCTTGTCACGCGCTTCGACCCGGACGCTTCTCAGGTACATAGCCACGGCAACCTGGAGACGTTTCAAAAGAAAGGCGGCATGCTGTCCAAAGCCCGTGATGTCTATGGTATTCCCGGAGCAGAGAACGTGCGCCTCGTTGGTAAAGGGTATCAAGGTAAAGAGCGAAGTTCGATTCCATCCATCCATTCAGGCTAACGGAGGCGAATGCGCACAGGCGAGGATCATTTTGGACTTAAAAACCTCAACGTCAAAGGGCTGTCGAACGATTTCCACGCCGATCCGCCCGACGAGAAGGATTTCCAGGAAGGATTTACGCGCTTTCAGAGATGGCACATCGACGCGCCGCTGTACGCTCGCGATCCAGCGTGGTTTACCACACTCCGAGCAGTCAAACTCCCCTCGGGACCGGATGTGACCATCCGATGGGACGACGGGTCTGGACTGAGTATGAAATCACGGCCTGGCCTGACCGCATTCTTCAGCACGTCCCAGCTTTACGACATGCTCAGCGAAGACGAAAAGCGGCTTGCCGACCATAGCTGGGTCGAGTACGCCCCGTACCCCTACATGTGGATTGAGAACTGCAAAGCGCCCTCGACGGGACTGGGGCTGAAGTCCGAGGGCAAGGAACACACCATTGAGGAACTCGGCGGATACGACGAGAAAGACGTCAAGAAAGTGAGTTTACCCCCCCCTCCTCCCCCAAGCTTGTCGCTGCTCGCTTTGCCCTTTCCTTCAGCGAATTGACCTCGGAGTGAAAACAGTATCCCTTCGTCTGGATCAACCCCGTGACCGGTGAGAAAGCATTCCAGGTCCACGGCCTGGCTGCGCGAAAGCTCTTCCTCCGGTCGTCGGTCGACGAGCAGCCCAAGGTCATCGACAAGGTCGAGGACATCCGCGCCTTCCTGCACGACATCCAATCCCGTGTCCTCCGGCCCGAGTACATCTGGCTGCCCGAGGTCCAGGAGGGTGACATCGTCATGTGGGATAACTACGGCATGTTTCACACCGCGGTGGACTATCCTCTCAAATACGGACCCAGGTCCATGCACCAGGCTAACATTGGGGCGAGCAAGGGGCCCGTCGGGCCTGTGCCTATCCCGTCTGTCTGCTGAAGGGGCTCGAGATAGAAGGTATTTATTTCTTCGAGAGAAAAAAAGGCAATGGCCGGGGACGTGATGTGGATGATCTATGACGAAGTTGATAGGTTGACAGTAAAGGGCAGTGATTTCAACCTCTGCTGATTTAGTTCGACTCGAGGCATTGCATTGTCTTGGTCCGAACGATACGGGAAAGAAGAATCTTCCGAAATGTCTGTAGTATGTCTGTGCAATTCGACCAATGTTGGGATTTGATGAATATATATATTATTACACGGGACTGTTTCAAGGAAGCGCACGCCGTGAGTCTACACTAGCTTGTACTCGTCCACAAATCCGATGCAGCGATGCTCCTTGTTCTTGCATAGAGGAAAGGCAAGCTTGCAAGCACGTTTCTTGTGTCAGTCATTAGGTCTTCACTCGGCTTTATTCGAAATCGATTCCAATGCTCTGATTGCGTCTACAAGAAACCAATCAACCCGCCTATCAAGTCCCAGCATGGGTCTCGAGACGACGCCGAGAAAGCAACGTCCTGGATCCTCGCATCTAGATTAGAGCCATGTTCGAGTCCTCGTCCTTTGAGATAGCGGGACGCTTAATTGGATAGGGGATATTCAACGCTCTTCCACCCGATATAACAGGCATGTTAGCTGTGTGGTCTATGCGGTCGCATCAACCACATTTGGCCTGAAGTCGTGGGCTCGCTTGTACGACTGAACGAACTGCTCGCGGAGGAAGTCGGTGACGGAGACGGGACCGTACGGCTCTGCCGGGATGGCGGGGCCGTATTTCCTGGCCGCGACGGACTGCGGCCTCTCCTCCAGGCCGGGGATGGTCTCCAGGGTATACTTGGCGTTGCCGCTGTAGAAGAAGGGGATCGAGTAGCGGTCCGTGGCCGAGAAGTTCAGCACGCGGTGCGTGTTGGACGTGTAGTGGTGGTTGGTCCAGCGGGCCATCAGGTTCCCGAGGTTGACCACGTACGCGCCGGGGACGGGGTCGATGTCGAGGAACTCGCCCGTCTCTTCGTCCTGGACTTGGAGGCCGCCGACCCCGTCTTGCAGGAGGAGCGTGATGCACCCGAAGTCGCGGTGGGCGCCGCAGCCGCGCTCCTTGTCCGATGTCCTGGGCGTGGGCGGGTAGTGCACCAGGCGGAGCGTCGCAGTCGGTTCGGAGTCGGTGAACCGGTCGAAGTAGTCCTCGGGTATGTTGAGCGCCGCCGCGAGAGCTCGCATTACTTCTCGGGCCAAGTTGGTCATGGCTTGGAAGTATTCCATGCACGTCTCGTGCCACTGGGGGCCGAGACAGGATGGGTAGATATTCGAACCGCATCCGTATTCGCCCTTCAGCACGCGCGGGTGGTCGGCGGGGAGGTCTTCACCCAAGTAAATGGCTTCTTTGGTGTCCGGGGCCGAGCCGGGCTCGAGCATTTGGTCTCCTATGGTTTCGTAGCCTCGTCCGTTCGTTCCGGTCGTCAGTCTCGCTTTCAGCTTCTCTTCAAGCGGGAGACTGAACAATTCCTTGGAGGCCGCAAAAATTCGCCGCTGGAGCTCAGGTTCCACGCCATGGTTGGTAAGTTGGAAGAATCCCTTGTCTCTACACGCTTGTCCCAGCGCTTGCAGGAATTCCGCCTTCAGAACCTCATTTTCACTCCGAAAACCTGCCATCTTGGTCAGTCCCTTGCTGCAATGCTCTTTAAGAAACACTGTTCACTTACCTGAGAAGTCGAGGACGGGCGGGAGCTTGGACCGTCTTCCCAACGAGCCCATCTCGAAGCGCTATCCAAGTGATCCCCCAGTGCAGGATTGAACGCAAATTTGAATTGAGATGATGGCCGGTGTGCGCCGACTTTGAATCCTTGATGTTTAGAGGCGTCGCTGGTGATGGCGTGATAAAAGGTGTCTTACATCTGGACAATAGCCACCAAGAACGGGACTTCCCTATGCCCATCAGCGGTCCAGACTCCAGGTGTCGGAGTCGATTTAGGTTTGGCACGCAGGCGTGCCCGTTCGGCCGATCTTCTGCTATTTCTCACACCTTTGCAAAGCTTAGGTTGAAGCAGGAGGGATGCTAGACACGTATTGGTCCTGGCCGCCCACAGTCGTGGATAAGTTTCTCTGCAGGAGAAGTAAAGCCAGATTTAATCTGTGGCCCGTCAAATGCAAATCATGCCATTGGTCGCCAATCATTCAACGCCGGACAAGGCTGCGGCCCAAATGGCTGTATAGAGCAAGGGCTCGGCCGAGGGTTGGTCTGGAGTTTCCCGCTGTCAGATAACGTGCTCAGAAGTCTGTATATCCGAAGTCATTTATCTCGACGGCAGATTTGTCCACGAGCTAGGGATGATAAGACCCCGGATACAAGTATGTTCCTGGCGTTGTGCATTAGCCCATAGCCCAGACATGTTCAGATTCGGCCAATGCGATAAGAGTATTCCTTGCGTGTCGTGTATAGCACATGGAGCATGTATATAATATTCCGTATCCACAGGCACTATCGCGTGGCATCCATGCAGAAAGGTATCCTTCACTCTGAAAATGGGTTCCCATATCAAGATCCAAGAGAGTATTCGCCGTGGCTTCCAGGACTTCCAACATGCGTTTACCAGCAGGGAGGCTTTTGTGAAATACATAGAGACCAAGCCCGATGCATCCAGCAGCGCAACCGCTTCCCGCAACCGGTGGACGAATGAAGATCTCGACGTCAGCCCCCAGAACCATCAGACATGGGGTTGGTATGACTATGCCGCCTTCTGGTGGTCCTACGGGTTCTCGCCGGGCTGCTGGTACCTTGGGGCCGCGTTGCTTGCCATCGGGCTGACTCCAGGCCAAGCGTTGGGATGTCTCTTCCTTGGATTCTGCTTTGGGTCTTTGGGAATCGTCATGCATTCGAGAGCGGCAGCCGTCTACCACTTCGGCTTCCCTGTCGAGACCCGGCTTGTTTGGGGTCTTCGTGGCGCATACTTTCCGATCTTGATCCGTGCCCTGTGTGCACTCATCTGGGCCGGCGTCACCATCGCGCAAGGAGGTTATTTCACCGCCGTCGTTCTGCGATGCATCTTCGGCAACAGTTACTGGAACCTGCCCAACCACATCCCAAAGAGCTCGAATATCACAGTGCAGCAGCTGATAGGTTCGTATCCCATACTTCTGAAGACCCTCCGTACATGATCGAAGCTGACGACTCAATTCATGCCGCAGGAATGATTGTCTATTGGTTCATGACATGCTGGACACTCAATGTACCTATTCCCAAACTCCGGAGAGCATACGAGATCCAAATGCTCGTTCTTCCGGCAGTGATCATCGGTACGCCAATCCACGACAGTCCCATAAAATCCGATAAAGAAGTGGTTGCTGATCGGTTCGCGAACAGGTCTTTTCGCCTTTTGCATGGTGACCGGACGAGGCCATCCACACAAGGATCTGTACAGTGTTGAACACAAACATGGGGCCGCGCTGTCGTGGGCATTGGTAAGAAGAGACCCTGGTCGCAACAAATTGGATCAGCTTTTTGACAGAAACAGCTTTCCGCTGTCAACTCAGGGTTGGCCAAAACAACAACCCTCATGGTAAACCAACCAGATATTGCTCGCTATGCTCGCAGCAAGATGGCCCCGGTCTGGTCGCAGCTCGTCATGTTCCCTGTGGCAAGTACTGTTTGCGCAGCCATGGGAATATACGCCACACAGAGCATATACAATGCATGGGGCAACATTGACTGGAATCCGTGAGTTTTGACAGCATTGTTTCTTTACAAATACTATCCCGAAGAATCATGAGCTGACAGATCACCCATGCTAGATGGGACCTCAATCACGACATGCTCGACCACAGTTTCAGCCACGGTCGTCGAGCCGGCATCGCCATTATCAACCTTGCCTTCATCTTCGGAAACGCCCTTACCGAGCTTGGAGCGAATGTCATCCCGTTTGGGGCGGACTTTATGTCAATATTTCCGAGATGGCTCAACATCAAACGAGGCATGTGGATGTGCTACATCCTCGGAGTGTGTATTTGTCCATGGCAGATCTTGGCGACAGCAACCGCCTTCCTCAAGTTCTTGAACGGGTATAGCATCTTCCTGGGGCCTTTTCTGGGAATGGCCTTGACAGACTACCTTGTGGTGCGCAAAGGAAATGTCTTCGTCCCGGAGCTGTACCAGGCAAATGGCAGGTATTGGTACTTTCATGGTGTGTCGTGGCGGCCGATTGCGACATGGCTTTTCTCCATTGCTTTTATGGTATGTTCAAGAACGCAATCCGATGCTCCCGATGCGTGCTGCGTATGCTGACCAAAGGAAATCTCACAGCTTCCTGGATTCGCCGAAACATTTGGCACCCAAATTGCAAACGGCGAGGGCTGGACTCACCTGTATGCTTTTAGTTGGTTCTACACCTGCACAATCAGCAGTGTCGTCTACTTTGCGCTGTCCTTTATCGGGGACTACGCCCGTGAAGAAAAGAGAATGCCATTTGAGAGCCTAGCAAGATCTGGCGGTGTTGAGGAGCTGCAGGCAGTCGAAGGACAGAGCGACGTATCTGAGGTCAACCTTAGCATTGAACAGAAGGTTTGATTCTCGAGCAGGCGCGCGGAGATGGCAAAGGAGCCTTAGTATAATCAAGGAATATAGACGCCACCATTAAACAAGGAATACAGATGATTTCGAGTTCTAGCGGTGCAGAAAGTAAATCAGCCTTGATCTAAGCTCGAGGGAGAGCGGAAGTCGATTTCCTCGCAGCCGCATGTGAAGCTCTTGGCACGCGCTCCATCCATCGAAACGCGTTGCCATCGTCAATCCTGCAACTTTCAGTTCTGCGCCCGTCCAAACGCTACGCCCAAGCAACAAAGCTCATATTACCCATCTAAATGAGCACGCCCATCCCGAAACAGTCCATCCTCCATGCTTACCGTCACCTCTACCGCACCTCTCTTCGTGCAGTCAGATACGCACGCCCCGCCCGCTACGAGATCCGCGACATCCTGCGCGATGCATTCCGCACCTCAGCGCCCGCAAATTTCAGTCCCCGACGTATCCAGAATACCTTGAAGTTTCTGGAGAATGCAAGGAAGTACAATGGATTTGAACACAGGATCTTGAAGAATCTACTGCATCTGCAATTTTGGAAGATCAAGGGTTTGGATAAAAAGCTGTATGTCAACAAGGAATTTCGACTGGGCCTTTGGGGGAGAGCGCTGACGTTGCGGGCCATACAGGATCAAGAATTCGAATACTTCCGAGGCCATTGAGTCTAGACGTCAGATATGGCATCAGTATCGGGCGACGTTGATCATGTTGAATGAGAGCCTGGACATCTGCCTTACGATATGAGCCAACAGAAAGGCATTCTTCCTCTTTGATGCTATCGAGGGCGTCGTTCGCGCTTCTTGATACCACACCGTCAGGACAGCATCCTCTCAGAAGAGGCCAAAATCACCGGATCAATATAGCTCGACTGAAAGACGATTGATGGCAAGAGTTGACAATGTGACCACATTGTCGGTTACAGACGAGGCCGAAGATATGTGAGTCAGCTCCATCTGGCTGATCGAAGACTATTGGCTTCCCTTCCGAACCACTCTCTGCTCCTTGTATCGTGCTTGGAGGGTTGAGGGTGCGAATTGTCCCATCGAAGTACGCAAGCTCCTGGTGACGATGTCCTCCTTCAAGATCCTGAGACAGCATCAATATCACCGGCGAGACGACGGCGGTAGACTATGGAGAGCTACATTCGACGGCCGTCAGCATTAATTCCAGCCCTGTAATGCTGGATGTCCATATCCACTGCAGAAAGGTGTATTAGAAGACCATACGCGGCAAAATAGTGATGGGTCGATGGCGCACAATTATTTTGCTGCGCTTTCTCCGCGAAGCATGTTCAACTCGATCGGCCTGCTCGAAACGAAACACTACTCTGACAGACCAAAGTGAGCTCCAAATGAAAGGACTTATGCGAGTCTCACGCGTTAAGACTCATGACGTCTCCACCGTTGCTTCCAGTGTTGCCATTCATTATGTCTCGCGGACGGGGTCCTCTCTCTGGACCGCACTGTAAATTGTGCGAATGTTCTGGACCAACTTCATGGCTCCAATCTCCATTTGCTCTCGAGAATGGATCTATGGGCTTGCCCGCGTCGTCTCTCACCGGCCAAAGCGACCCACTTCCTCCAAGCGCTTGATGTCTGAATCCAATAACAAGCCACCGGGCTGTCATTCATGGACCAGGATTCCCCATATTTTAGCACCGAGACCTTCAATGAAATTCGTGCTTTCCTTCCCACTACCTCTTTGTCTCTCTGATTATGCTCCTTTTCCACCAGCTAGGATCATTAGGAGGATTCACTCGAGGTTGGGTGAGCAGCCGCTTCCGAAATATTTCGACGCGATGCGGACGTCTCTGGGCAGCGAACCGACTCAGGGAACAAGAAAGACAGTCACACAGTACTGTGCACGTCTTCCTGGGCTACAGCATGAGATTCTAGACCGGTGTCAGACTTGAATCAACTTTCGCTTCGTAGGCTTCATAAATTAGGGGAACACATGGACTGCATCTACAGCTTGCGTCCTTGCGGCAAACTCCAGCGATCTTGCAGTCCCGTCCATGTCCTGCGCGTTCCTGATGCCATTCTACTACTTTCCCCAGATATTGTCACTCGCTCAAGTACGGCGCCACCGAGTGAGACAACCCGTCACTGAAGATACGCAATTGGCCAGTACTGGCGTCTTAGCTAACGAGGTAAAATGTCTCGATCGGAGATTGTGCTTACTTGGTCTTTGACCATAAGTCTATCCGCACACCTTCGGGGGAGACGTTGATCCAAAAGTCAGCAGAAAGTCGAGTCCAACGCGTCGAGATCGACACACTCACGGCCATCCCGTGTCATCAGGTGCCCTTGTTCCGGTGACAGAGGCGATATCTGCCATTGGACATGCCTAGGAGCCCATATAGTACAGACTCCACTCGATCTTCCCCGTTGGCGCTACGTAATGTCGAGAATGGTTGAGTCAGGCAAGCCTGATGCTTCACATTCATGTATGTCCAGCAAGATGAAGACAAGAAGCATTCAATCTGACTTGTAGCTAAGCAGCCTGTCCTATGTCATTTAGTTCCCGAGCATTCTTGCATAGAATACTCGTTCACAACTATACGACGTCAGTCGTATCTGAGACTGAATGCTAAGACTATTCGATGCCAAGGTACTGCCATCGCGTGGCGCAAATGAAAACATCAAACTGTGAACCTGGATGGAAAGACGCTATTGCAGAGGCTGGATGGCGCTCTTAGGTGTCATCGCAAAACGAATTTTTAACAACTTGTTCCATGGCGGCGACCCTTTCCGACTACATGGAGATTGCGAGGCTGAAAATGCTTACACTACCAACAGCCACAATGCTATTCCAGAGGCACAGCCCGTCTAGCGGGCACATTGGGGATTATTCTCCCAAGGAGTGAACGGTCTTTTCAGACGTGAGGATACAAATGTGTCTTGTAGGTCTCCGTCTCTCAAAAAGCATCTCACTTCAATTCCGATCAGATTTGTAGGTTGTTCAGTCTCAGAAACCAGCCATGTTCTTCCAATCTCGATTTCCAGTCCTCGCCATGGCCTCAATGGCCATGACGGCTATTGCAGGGATCATACCAGTGCACAAATCCTTCACGTCACACAAGAGGTGGGATCAGAGTGTATGTGATGCTTCCCTTTCGGGAGTCCCAATACCCGACAACAACAATTTCAACTTGCCTCTGGAGAACTACCGACCGTCACAGTGCTGGGACTTGTGCGTCGGCGACCAGACTCTCTGTTCCACCAAGTCTCAAGTCTGCTACAGCTTTGTGGGTTTCGACTTGGTCTTTACCTATGAAGCTGTCCCGGGCTACACATACACGGAAACCGGCATCTCGCTTAGCCTCGAACCGCCGACAGGTTCGCCTAGTCCTCAATTCACGTCTGGAAATGGGCACTGTGCTATAGCCGCCGATGGTTCAACCGTTCAATGCACCATTCCTTACAGTCAGATCACAAGCAACCCGGACGTCCTGACTGGGATGTGCCCCTACGGCGACCAGCAAGCGCTGACCTTGTATTTGTACACCAACGCCTGGTTAACCGGCACTTCAGGTGCGGTTGGAGCCGAAGGCAGACTGTCTTGCACGGATTATCCAGCATGTAGCTCATACTACCGCTTCACCAATTGGGAGCTAGGGTACCGGTGCACAAAATGCCCCACTATAACTCCTTCAACAACTACTACCACGACTACAACGACCACCACCACAAGCACAACTACCACTCCTCCAGCGCCGACCACAACTCCATCGAGTCCGCCAGTGAAAGAATACTGCTCCTTTGGGACCACATTTGGCTACTCCGCGAGCAATCCCAAATCCCAGGCCCTAAACTCTATGTCACCTCTACCAAACACCTGCAACCGTTGGGGCTGGTACGAGACACCCACGATCAGCCAACTCATCGCTGGAATCGGCGGCCCACTCTACGTCGGCGCGGGCCAAAACGACATCTCGAAAGCAACCACCGTAGGGACGTGGTCGGCCGTCCTGGTCAATGGGCAGGTCTACGTGACCTATACGCTGACCGGAAGCTACTCCCTGGCCCAGGTCCATGTCGATCTCGGCTGTCTGCCCTTCTCGAAATGCTCCCCGGGCCAGTATTTGTACATCAACGATGCCCTCTCGACGGACTCCGCGGTGACTAGCTTCACCACCCCTGGGCTGTCGCTACCGAACTGCTCGACGGGCTTGTACTTGATCGTCCACGCCAGCATCAACGCCAGCACCACGATTCCGGCCTCGGCAGCCAGCACTTACACCTGTCCTGCTCCAGTGGCAACTTAACCACGTCTATAAGCTATGTTACTTTTGTATACTGGAAATGCGTGTTAACTTCAACTTTTGTCTGGACAAATCTGGATTTTGTTGCTTTACAACGCACGAGGAGGGCGGGTAACAACACGTGGCTGTCTCGGGAAATCTTGTATTACTACTTGAAAACTAATTTATCCAGGGGGTACTGGCTGTATGGGTGATACGAGGTCCTTTTTCCATTCCTTATGTCTCTCTGGAGGAATTCCTCGATAATTATACATGGTATGGTCTTCTGGAGGGAGCTTTCGGATGGGGCGAGTAAAAAGACCTCGGCCGAACAGGGTTAGTGACAGATGACGCGTTACCGTTTCAGGCAATCGCCCCCACAACATGGTCTTTTTCTCAGCCTTGTTCTCGAGGATGGCCCGACCATCCGACTAGAGGGTTGGAAGTTAGATCATCGACATCATTTCTGTCCTGCTTGTGCAACCCCGTCATGAACGTTGTTCTTGCATTAAGGAGAGTATTTACTTTTTGTGAGCTAACCTATAGCACACAGATTCCTTCAAAGGAGTGAAAGGTAGGAGCCCCATCCCGGGCTACATTTACTCGCGCAGGAGCAGGCTGTTATGGCCCGCCCCTGTGTTCTGCAGCCACCCCGCCCCTCTCTTCATTGGCTTAGATAGATTCGATACCCAGAGACACTGAGTGGGCAAACCTACGAGATCACAAATGTTGTTTTCTGGCCAACCTAGGGAGCAATGTTCGGTTTCCCTCAGGGTTCTCTATTTCTTAGCCTCGCAGTGGCCGTCTGGGCACTTCCACTCGCACTGCAACGCCGGCGGGTTGAGGCAGTTGGCTTGGTTGTTCAATCGGTGGGCATTCGTGCATTCGTTGCCCGGAGGAGAGTTGGCCGAGGGCTGGCACTGGCACGGAGGCTGGGACCATGAACACTCCCCGTGGTGCCCGCAGTCCGACGACGTCTTGCAGGTCGAGCAGTCAAAGCCGCCGCCACGGCCTGAAGGACGTGAGTCACTCGAGGGTTCGCAACTTCAATAACACCCAGCTAGGACGGACAGACTTACCCTGAAGGTCAGAGAGACCAGGCAAAGCGGTGGTGAGGCCGAGGAAAAGGATGCCGGCGGCTGCTAGGTTGAACTTCATGGTGGTGGTCTTGTTGGTTTAATTGGTCTTGTGAGACTTGCTATACCTGGAGATGTGGTCAAGACTTCACGACGTCCTGAATATGAGTAAGAAAGAATGAGAGTTGTTCAATGTATCCAGGTTCGAGGCGGGGGAGCCAGCTGATATAAATACCCATGAAGTGAGCCCCCAGCCAGACCTAGAACTCCTCGAATCCTTTGGACAGCTCTTCCCGACGTTTCTTCCCCTCCTTTCCCAGTGCCTTTCCGTCACCCGATATTTTCAAGCGAGAGAGATCTGGCTCTATTCTCGAGCTGAACACTGTTGTTCAGCCAATCCTAATAGAACCTTCGACCAGAACGTATGTTGCAGCAGGAGGAGGTCAGCGAGTTCTGGACGCCACAGCCTTGACAAGTCCTCGTCAGGCCAGTAATATCGTCTAGTCGGCATCATCTCCGCCAGTCTTCCTTTCAGCTCTTATGTAACCGCAACCCGTGGTGCTTTAGAGATGAAAGTCTTGGGGCTCATTGTCTCAGATGGACCGACGCATTGTTACCCAAGACATGCCGTCCTTTTGCGGGGACGGGCAACCTGATCGGCTGCACAATGTCATTCTCCCGTGAGCTCATTGGCTCAGCCCACGACAGCAGACTGCAGTAAACCTGCACAACGCAGATGGAAGTGGAGCCTACCTACCACTTCGGCCGGGGAAATGAGAGTCTGTAAGCTCGAAAGCCTCGAGATCGAAGAAGGGATCCAGCACTGTTCGCCTCAGGACAGTCCCTATTCGTCCTGTTCCATGGTCGAGATGCATGGTGCAGACCTCTCCCAGCCCACTCTCGTCTTCTCAGCCCCATATTTACGATCTCAAATGTATGCCTCGACCACATGAGGGTGGAAAACTAGGAATATGCATACATGGACAGGAGCTGAGCGGAACAAATTGCCGACGACTTAAATGGCTGTTCGACGAAGGAGGGCGGGAAGCTAACTTCGCAAACCTCGACAACAGCAGGCAACTCAGTAACAACTTTTGCTCTTTTTTTTGAGGCTTTCGTCTAGACTAGGCGTTGGATGACCTCGTAAGCGAGCCAGAACAATACACGGGTGATGCATGAGAAGACAGGACTGAGAACAGTACCTGATCATACGACCGACCCGCATAGTGAGTGTCCAATGGTCTCCAAAACAAGCCTGTAGGGTGTAATTTTGGGTAGAATCTTCTCCCAAAGGAGAATCGTAATGTATACGTTTAGCACTTGGGCACCTTCGAGTGAAGTTCTCAAGGACCGGAGCACAGGAACAGGATTGATACCTCTATGACGAGGTGCCTTCCCGGCCATCGTAAGCAAACCGGGGCGTTCGAGGACAACTAGGACTGACAATCCCAAAAAGGCATGTGCTCGGTCATACCAATAGAGTATTACTGGAGTCGACCATCCCAGCTGCTGCGTCGGCTGACATTGCCTTGGTATGGACATTGCTTTGGCCGGGTAAGAGCATAGAAACGGCACTTTTGCTCGTAAACCCTGAAGACGACGAATCTGTCTGAGCCACGAAACCCATGTATTTCCGCAAGTACCATGGCTTCCTTTGACATCGTGACAGTCACAAATGCGAGCTGGCGTTGGGTGGGCACTCTTGAAAGCTCATTGAACGGGCTCTGGGTTCTCTAGCAGCTAGAGTCCGTGAGCCAGGGAAATGAACGGCTCGGTGCCATGCCATCCAGGCTTGCAGGCTAGATCGGGGAGTGGATTGCCACTGAGGCTGTCTCATCATCTGGCTATTCCAAAACCCTTTTTGTATCGTCTTCAGGACCTGGACCGTCCTCTGACGCTCGCGTACCTGTGCATGCCCACGCCAATGTCCATACTCGGAACAGCAATGTCACTAGCAATACCTTCCAGCCGATGCTTTGCATAGTCACATGCCTAGTGGGAGGACTCATTTGTGGAATCGAGCGAGTCGACAGAACCAGATGATTGATGCTGTGAGTAGTATGAGCAATCCGAGCGGACGATGCGCCCTCTCGAGGCATTTACAATGACCGGACGATACGATGATTCTTTACCACCGTCATGTCCTTGAGCGCTAAGCTAATCTCGTTCTCTTAGCAACAGTCAGTGATCGGTGACGGGTGAGATGCAGTAGTAACGCCTCGCTATGCATTAGTATCGGTCAGACTACCATTCCCAATGCTCTCGGTACGGGGGCGGACCACACCATCCCCTTCTTCAACCACGAAGTTCTGTTTGACTAAGCTACTTGGACGTGATGCATCTCGGGCGGGCGCAATACAACCTTGTGTCGTGGAATTAGATAGATTATTCATTACAAGGTGAAGTACACTCTATAGTGGTCGTAGATCGACCTGCGCTACGCCGCTACCCATGATCTGAAATGCAAAAACCCCGCCAACTATCCATTGACACCAATTTTAAAAGTCTCATTGATTGGCAGAGCGATTCGTCCTTGTCCTCGTCAGATCAAGTCCGGCCAAGGAGGTTGACGTGTTCACCCGGTCGATATCGAATGGGCTGGCGTTGTAGTTGGCAGCCTCGCTGACGCTGCCGGTCTTGGACCTGACCCTCGTCAACGACCCCACCTCGGACGCAAACGATTTCCTGGTCTTGATCGGCTCGAATTTCGCCTCGGAAGCGGCAAGGTCTTGCCCCGACTCCGAATCGGTCCTGCTCGATCTCCGAATGGATTCCTCTTCGGACTCGAGGGCCTCGTTGGCTCGGGCGGCCTTTGCGCGGAGTTCGGTCATGATGGCTTCGGCCTGGGCGGCATACACGCAACGGCTGCGGATTCTGGCTCCATACTTCCGGAAGATGAACGGGAATGGAACGCACGCCAGTGCCAGGAATGCGGGGATCGAGCTCGCCCAATGAATACCCAGGGCATCGAACATGTCTGGCGTAAAAAGAGGGAAAGCCGCACCGAAGAGAGATCGTAGGACGGTGTTCGCTGCCAAAACGGATGCTGCGAAGATGGTGTATGCGTCGATCAGGTAGTTGGTGACGGCCAGGAAGATTACCGTGAATCCATAGCCGAATGGCACCCCGGCCATGACGGGCGAGATCCAATGAATAGACGCGTAGTTGGTCCAGGCAAACCAGAACAATCCAATGGGGATCGCAACGGCCCCGTACATCGCCGGCGGTAATCGAGCCTCTGCTGGAGCGACGCCGCCGTTTTCCGCAGCCTCGTCAGTGTACCATTTATTCGTCCAGCTGGCGAAGACAATCCCGGCAACCATGCCCACGGCGACGCCGAGGAATGGGAGGCCACCAACGCCTTCTGACCACCCGCGGACTTCTTGAAATACAATCGGATAAGCACCGAACAGGAGATACAGTGTGCCTGGAATCGTCAGCAAGGTTTGACTCACAAACAGGCAGACAAGTGGCGTACCGTAGACGATGGCAATATAGAGCGACAGTAAGAGAACAATCGGTTCCTTGAATAGCAGAATCCACGGTCGAATGAGCGCAGTCGGCAGAAGAGAACTCAGTGATGGAGCCCCTTTCCCTTTGTCTGCCTCTAACATGTACACCTTGCCGGTCATTCTTGATAGCTTAGCAACCCTCTTCCGCAAGATGACCGGCGCGTAGGTCTCGGGCACGAAGACAGCCCCGAGAATCCACATAACTCCGGCAAAGATGGTCAAGAGACCCATCACCCATCGCCATCCTTGGTTCTCGGCGAGAAAGCCTGAGCAGAAGGGTCCCAGCGTAGGCCCCATCGAGGGCGCCAGGGCAAAGATACCCATGGCCAACCCTCTCTCTGACGCCGGAAAGACATCTGCGATGACGCCGCCGGCATTGGTGAACGGGGACGAACCAAAGGCTCCGGCGAAGAAGCGCAGGACGAGGAGAGTTCCGATATTATTGGCACCGGCACAGCCGGCACAGAAGGCCGTGAAGCCACCGAAGCTGATGATGTAGATTATCTGCCTGCCATAAAGCTCCGACAAGGGTGCCCATAAGAGTGGCCCGACTGCGAAACCGAGAACGAAGAGGGAGATGCCGGCAGTTATCAATTCTGTGCTGGCGCCTAGGTCGACGATGAGCTCGCGTAAGGTTCCTGGATGACAATCAGTAAGAGTGATCCCGTCCAGAGATATCGCTCGGAGGTCATGGACATACCACTGAACGCACTCGATGCAAAAGCCGTCGCTAACACTTCAGTCGCCACGATCAGGCTAGTAGTCCATCGCCTGCCTTCCGACCAGTTGAATGGATTGCCCGGATCATTGGGTATGTAACTGACGAGATAGGGATCCTCCTCAGTGCCTGATCCGGGATATGGATAATGCAAGACTTCCTGCGTGACCCGAGCTTGATCAGCTACAAGGCGGAACAATGACATTGTCTGAGGCGTAGAATCTTCATGGTTGCGTTTCTCAGCCATCATGTGCATCGTAGGGGGGGATGGCGTCCTTGAACGAGCAAAACATGGTGCCCATCGAGGGCGGCAGGCGCAGTTTTGTGCATTTTGAGAAGATCCAAACGCATAGGGGGTCCATGAGACATGATTGCATCACCCATGGCAGAGAGCCATATCCGAAGAGCACCTAACTGGTGGAAGCCACTTCAACCTTCGATCCGACTCCACAGCCAAATCTTGGATGCTCTCAACCAGCGGCGCAACGTGGAGCTGTAAAGGCCGTATCGAAGATGCATCTACCTTGGATAACGTCGGTGTCGCCGCTGGGTAACTTGGCAGAGGCCGGGCGTCGGCCCCAATAAAGACATTCTCCCCGGGAGATGCACATAACGCCTCAAGAGTCAAAATTTTAAGGGATGGCGCATCTCGGAACAATTGAGCCGAGGCCTTATCTGTCAAGACTCTCGACGTTGCACAGTTGATAAAGAGAAATAGAAGATATGTATGACAGGCTTACAAGGCTGGTTTGGTTTCAGCTCGACCTGCCTGGTGGTGGGAAACTCTCGGCCGCCAGAGCCATTGAGTAGTTGAAGCTTCTCATGGGCATGACAAAGCTGATCTCGAAAATACGACATACGACAATTCAAATCTTCTCGAACAGGACAGCAATGGGGCTTCTCGCTTGGACCGTCGATAATGGCGCCACTGACATAAAACAACGTGGCGACAGCCTCGTGAACCTCGGCCTAAAATTTTGCGCTCGGAAAAATTTTGCTCCGGTGGGTCACGTCTTGCAACCACAGCCTCGCTGTCCGACCAAGATCGTCCGCGATCTTCGGCTGAATCAAAATGCACATGCTCCTGCGGCCTCAGAGGCAGAAGCTACGTGGCTACCTAGGCATCAATGAGAGATATTGACAGGCCGCCAAATACAGCCCCACCAGGATCGGAATTTAGCCCGATGAAGGAGACAATATCGACAACAGGGGGGTTTTCCCTACAGATTGCGAACTGCCTTGTGGAGTCGCACAAAAGATATGCCGCCATCATAACTCACAACATGGCCCTCCTTTCCTTCTTCACGGCATCCACGTCTGCCAAAATCTTTTCCGGGACATCCACCACCTTATCTCGAATGTAATCCGCAAACCCCTTGCCCAGCGCGTCCAGCAAGCGACAGCTGCTCACGCCTCGGCCCAAGGGTCCGTAAATGACAAAATGCACCGCCCAAAGGTTGGGGAACTCCATCCTCTCGATGAAGAAATCATCCTGCCAGTCGTCGCCCATGAGCTCTTGCAGCTTCGACCGAGTCATGAAGGTCTGAAGCCACGGATAGTGTTCGGCACGACGGACGAAGATGCCGAAGTTGATGTTCGCTCCCTTATCTCCTGAGCGGGCAAGGGCGACGTCTCCAAGGCGCGCTTTACGCGTGGGTCCAAAGGAAGCCAAGTCGACTGGATGTGCGGTCTCGTAGTTCTCTCGTGGCGCTAGCTTTTGGTACTGGGGAGGATGGCCGGCATCTGCAGTCTGGGCATCTTCTCCATCCGCGGATAGGATCGCTACTCCCTCTTTGAGGTCGTTCTGAGGGTACAGAGCCGGATAGAAGGCAAGGTACGATCTCGGAAGCGCGGTTCTGTAGTCCAGAGACAGATGGAAACCCGAGAAATGCTGCATCGCGATCTCGCTCCACGCCTTCACCAACCCATATATTGCGGCTTCTGTGTCAGCTTGGACGAACAGCCGGCAGTAGGTTGTGCTGGAGAATTGGGACTTCGGGTTCGCTTCCGGAGTGCCCAGGATCTGGAAATCCAGCAGTTGATACTGGTCGATGAGACCCTTCTGCTTGAGAGCATGCCGCATCTGTGTCTCGAATAGCTTCCACTTCTCAGCGGTTGCATATCCTGTGGCATTGGTGAGCAGCTGCGCCTCATAACCTCCGTGGTAAAAGATGGCCAGCTTGGTGGTTGGAGGCGGTGGGTATCCTCTGATGTTGGACAACTTGACTCGATTCTTGCCGACTTGGTTGATCTTGATGTCCGTCGTGTCGGCAGAGACATCTGAGTTGAGGTATGTGCCGCCCTGAAGCTCATACAAGAACTGACACTTGACATTGTCCTCGTTGACGAGGCCATTAGTCCCGTCGTGCTTGGTGATGATCGAGGTCCCATCGTCTGCAATCTCTGCAATGCCGAAGGACAGGTCCACGAAAGTCTCCAAGGGATATTCGTCGAATCCCGAAAAGTTCGACCCCGTCGCATACGCCGAGCACTCGATCAGATGTCCCGCCACCAATGCTCCAGCCAGGCGGTCGTAATCTGTGTCCGACCACTTGTGCCAGTACCAGGCTGCTCCGATAACTGGGGATGCGTCTGCCACTCGGCCGCAGATAATGACATCGGCACCCAGCTCGAGACCTTTGACGATGGCTCGTGCACCAAGATATGCGTTTGCACTCACGATTGGCTTCCCCTTGGTGTCCAGTAAGTCTGTGGCATGTTCTGCCAGCGAGACTTTCTCATTCTCTCCGTCCAAGTGCTGTGGCAGTTTCCCTGTCTTCTCAAGGCTGCTCTTGACTTCTTCCATCAGGTCATCGCCATACACATATGCGACCTTCAGGTCCAGGCCTCGGTCACTGACCAATTTCTGGGCCTTCTTCGCCAGCCCTTTTGGGTTGAGCGCTCCACCATTGATGATGATGCGGATTCCTTTTTCTTTGATGACATCCAGCGTCTGCTCAAGGCCATCCCAGGCAGTCGGCTCCCAGCCGTCATGTTTGCCAGCCGCCATCTTCTGGGCATTTTCAGCCAGGTTCATCTCCGCAAGGTAGTCGCCAGTGATGAAGTCGACAGGTCCATAAGTGGCCTGGCGCAGCATCTGGTATCCTGGATCGCCGCGTGCTCCGGAGCAATTGGCGATCCGACAAGGTCGCGTGGTAGGAGTTGAAGCTGGTCCTGGGTCGCCCATCTTGGCGGTAGGCAATTGTCACAGAATGATGGACTCCGAGTCGAGGGTGCCAGCTGGAGGTGTGTCGAGAACAAACCGTCGCCGCTGTCAAAGTCTTGAGACCTCGTGTGCTGTTGCTCTACCTGTGTCCGTGTTGCCAAGTAAACGCTTAGATAGTCTAGACGACAAGTCTCTTCGCCACGACAGACTATCTTCTCAATTTCGTTCGGTCTAAAGTGGGAGAAGTTCTCCTTTTCCAGCGCAGAGATGCAAGAAGCGTAGTTGCCTTCATGATATCCGCACACATTTTCTCTGGCGAATGGACTCGATGCCGATATCCCGGGAGTCTGTTCTCGACTCTGGGACTCTGCAAAGCACCTCTTGAGGTATTCCGAGGCAAAATCTGGACAGACCAGCCCTCTGTTCCTCGACTCATGGGCATTGACTCGAAGCGTGCCAATCATGTCCTCGTCTCCCTCGGTCCATCTCTACCCCTCTCCGCATGCTGAAGGTGGGGGGAACTGGGAGGCTGCTCGGATTCCCCCACAGAATGAGAGGGAGTTCGTTGTCCCCTAACACCCGAAAGTCAAACGACAGGGGCGTCCAGGGATTCGCATGCTTGGGTTCCATTGACGGATTCTTGAAAAATAAGCATTGTCTACCCGCCCTGACGGTATTACCCCCTGTTGAGCCGAGGGTTCTTCGCCCAGCGTGGTAGAGGTGAGATCCTACTCAATACTTCGCGCTCCATAATACCAGGCGTATCAGCGAAGCGAAAACGCGCGAGGTGTGGTCGCTCCATCCCAGGCAACGTTGCATATAGTCTTTCTCATCTACGACCGAGCGTCTTGATAACTTTTCCTTTTAAAAACCGGAGTTCCCATCAGGGTGGGAAGTGGAAAGAAGCCAATACTGGATCGTGAGAGTACATCAAGAAGAAGAATAGTGTAGACAACCAGCCACCATGGGTAGCGTCGACGCGTCCCTGTCGGATGCCATATCCTCTTATTCCACTCCTGCAGAATCAAAGAGGCTGCTGACCGAAGCCTTGTTGGAGAATCCGAAGATCGCCAAAGACGTCCCCAAGGAAGCCCGAGAGTTTGCCTCGCGCATCACGTTCAAGGGCAGCAACCTCCCCTCGATCCCCATCAACTGGCGTTTCGCCGAGTCCGCGGCAAGTCTGAAAGCCTTTGAAGCATGCATCATCTACGCGCTCGTGAGGCGCAAATACGGCGTAGAACTCGCTGGGGCCGAGATCAACACCGACCACGCCCAGTTGTTCTTCATGTCGACGCTGATCTGGCAGATCCACCCCGACACGGACCACACCATCACGCTGAACAAGAACCTGGAGAAGATGTACGAAATGATCCCCAACTACGACTTCCACAAGATGGGATCGAGCCTGTACAAGCTCTGCGTGACCAACATCTACCAGACGAAAGACGGCCGCTATTTTCACCTTCACGGGAGCATGGACCCCAAACCATCGCTCGACAGCATCGGCCTGCCTGAAGACCGTCCAGAGCTCAAGACGTGGGAGGAAGCGATGCAGCCGTTCATCGAGAAGATGGCGACCATCGACTCGGCCGAGATGCAACATCTCGCGTCCGACGTCTACAAGCAAGCCGGTGTGATAGCAGAGACTGTGGACTCCTTCCGAGCCAGCGAACACGGCAAAGCCAATGCTGATGTCGGGCTTTTCGAGATCCATCCTGCTCCCAACCCTGCGCAGAAGCCTTCTTGGTGGCCGTCATCCCCTCAGACTTCGGCCGCCCGGCCTCTCGCGGGGCTCAAGGTGGTGGATCTGACACGCGTTATAGCCGCTCCAGCTGTGACTAGAGGTCTCGCCGAGCTAGGTGCAAGCGTCATGCGGGTAACCTCGCCCAACCTTGTAGATTTCAGTTCGCTGCACATTGATCTCAGCTGGGGCAAATGGCAATGCAGTCTCGACCTGAAGACCGAGGAGGGAAAAGAGAAATTGCGAGACCTCATCAAAGAGGCGGACGTCGTGGTTCAAGGCTACCGACCGGGGGTGCTCGACAAGTATGGCTTTGGCCAACAAGGTATTATCGACTTGGTGAAAGACCGGGAGCGTGGCATCATCTCGGTCCGGGAGAACTGCTACGGCTGGAATGGTCCTTGGGACTACCGCTCGGGATGGCAGCAGATTAGCGACGCCTGCGTCGGCATTTCCGCCGGCTTCGGCAAAGCCATGGGGTTGAAGAACAACGAGCCTGTTACTCCTGTCTTCCCCAACAGCGACTATATGACAGGCATTGCCGGCGTCACTGGGATTCTGTGTGCCTTGATGCGGCGCGCAGAGGAAGGGGGAAGTTTCAAGGTGGATATCGCGCTGAACTACTACAATCAGTGGCTGGCCAATTCGGTGGGAGAGTATCCCGAGGAGGTCTGGCAGGATGTCTGGAAGAGAAACGGAAAACAAGTCTTCAGGTGAGGTCCTTTCCTTGACACCGTCCCTTGCACTCCCGTCTTGCTCGTTAAGGGAAAGGCACTCTGAGTAACTTACTGGGCGCTCAGGTGTTACCACAACATGAACTACCTGATACCTCGATATATGGAGATGATCGCCAAGAACGGCAGCATCTTCCAGCCGTCGTTCTTTGAAGATCGCGAGACCAAAGCCATCGGTGCCGTCGTGCGCACCATCAAACCAATCGTCAAGTTCGACAACGACCAGGTCCGCCCGGGCTATAATGTAGGCACCAGAGGCAACGGCAAAGACGCACCACGGTGGCCGGACAATCTAATGACGGAGGTCGTGCAGTGACGAGTCAACTGGACAAAGTCCTCCGATCTGTCGCCGATGGCCCCTCGACCCTGGGATTTCGGACCAAATCAGCTTCGGCGGGCGAGCATTGTAGCACCTGTGAACTTGTAGCGGCGGATAAGGTAAACGGGACCTCCGTTTCACGGCTCGACCGAGGTGGCGGAACCGTGTGCGAGGGTGGCAAGCCGAGGATATAGGGGTATTGATCTAGATATCGATCAATGCAAAGTCAGAAATACAAAACAAGTAGTTAAACAACGGGAATGGATTTCTTCCGCCACTGTGGCCGCCCAAGACCAGATATGGGCCTGATTGGCCAATGACGCGCAGCGTCAGCAGCTCCTGACATATCAAGCGAAAAGGATTTCGCGTAGAGAACTTTCGCCAGACCACGCCAGAGGTTCGTAGTATACAGGGTATTCAAAGAGCCAGGATACGCGATTGTCACTCGATCGCCCCTGTACTACCTTTGGAACTGAGATACCCTCTGGTGACGGGATGCTCTGGCACCTGGCGAACCGGTCCAGCCGAGGACATGACGCAACAGCGCAGCGGCTCCGCCAGGCGAGCTGGCTTCATGTATGATTGGAAGTCGAGGGCGCTATATAAATGATGTTTGGACAGGAACGTCGAGTACAAGCAACCAATTCGAAGCTTTCGTTTGACTGAGAAATAATAACCTACCCAAAATGCCTTTGAAAGGACAATGCAACTGCGGTGCCATCCACGTCACTGTGAAAGACGCTGCCGCCGAGAGAAGCGAGCCGATCTTCTGTCATTGCTCGAATTGTCGAAGACAAAGTGGCGCTCGTACGGACTCGTCATCCACATTGTCTTCATGTCGCTGATGAATTCGCAGTTGGGACCTACGTTGCCATGTACCCTGACGCCGATGTGACTATAACCGGCACACCCAAAGATTACCAAGACCGTCACACAGATAGCGGAGTACTTCTTCATAGGTGGTTCTGTGGGTCATGCGGATGGTGAGTTCAACTCCCGCCCCTAGATCGATACTCGATATCGACGCAATCAAGACTTCGGCTCTCTGTTTGCTGATTTCGCAATACTGGTGGAACTGGCTGACGAGAGTTTGCAGTCCGATCATGTCAACCTCATCCAGATATCCAGGAGTAAAAAGTGAGTTGCTAGTGAGCGTCTTTGGTGACATACCTCCAGATCTGAATTGGCGAGTTATACTGAGACATTTCCACACATAGTCATCAAGATGGGTCTGTTCGACAAGATCCACAAACCGAGTTTTGAGCTATATTGCAAGAACAAGAACGAGTGGGAGCCTTCTGTCGAAGGCGCCATGCGGGTGCAAGGAGCTTTCTGAGGCCATACTGGTCTCGCGGGAATTGGGTGTTTGTTTCTGTCTGATCGTGATTTAGCGCCACACAGCCGAGGCTGGCTTCTTGATAGCAAATAATGAACTGGCTGGTCTATCATCATGATCTTTTCCGGATTCAGCATGTATGCCGTTTCAATGTGTCGTACTGGTCCGTTGTTTCGGACCAGAGAACGACTCAGGAATGAGTCGCCGGCAATTTTTCGGGAATGGTAAAGAGGGACCATGTCGACGCGGACGGCGGGAAGGGCACATGTCGTCGGTAAAACCTTTCCCAGGGCAGCACAATATCGGTAAGGGATAAGGCCAATTCCATTTTCCGCACCTTAGTAATGTCCATCCTCAGCAGGAGATGTACTTGTATAATCACGCACTATGATGCAGATTAACCAGGACTGAGGAGGATTTCGGCCGTACAGCATCTAGAGATGCCGGTGGCACCGCGGCCGCGAGAGTATAAGTGCTTGCGATGCTTACCAGTGAATCCTGGTGCGCTACCGGCAGGATTGCTGAACGATATTTTCGAAGTAACTCGCCATCTTCTGCTCCTGGCCGCTGAAGCTCCTTTGGAACTCCAAGGTTGCACACAATGAATCTCTGTTCATCACCGCGGGATACCTCCATCGAAGTACCAGGTCTTGAGCATGGAGTGACAAGTGACAAAGGCACAACGTACACGCAGAACAATCAGTAGGTGAGGTGATTTTGTTTGTTTTCTCCTTTTTGGTGTTGGTGTGCATCACGAGATGTGAATGTGTCTGTCATTCGTCATTTGAAATCGCTGACGTAAGAGATCTCTCGGCAAACCTTCCATTGCAATCAGTATTTATTTTATCATGTCGTCGCCGCTCATCATTCACTTTGCTTGTTTCTCCTTGACATCAATCGCGTCGCTTGCTATGTCGTCCAGATCTGATGATCCATCTGTTCATGAGGTACTAGAACTTTTTACAACCCATGGGGTCTCATGATTGGTGAATTATTGGTCAGAATTTCCCTCTTTTGCGCGATTTCGGCCATAGCCGCCGAACACTGGCACGTCGGTGGTGTGACAATCGGCTTGCACAGCCTGGTAACGTGATCTTCTTTCCATTACCCATCATTCCATCGAAATTATGGTTCCTTCTAGCCAAATCTGTCCGTCAGCCAAGCCTCGTGATACCCGTCCAATACTACCGAGTGTTATTGCTTCTTCGCGACCGAAAGAGAGATAGACTTTGCCATATAAAAGGAATTGGCCCTCATCATCTCTCGGCCCCGGTCTCCATTTGCCATCTACCAAGCAAAAACCAAAAGACTTCTACAACCGATCGAATTGACGACTACCAAAGCAACTATTGCCAACAACAAACCACACGCAAAAATGACCAAAATCAGTTGGAACTCACTCACCGGCCACCACTCAGAAACTCCGGCCGGCACAGAAAACCCGGTCGCGGAGGAATCGCAACATCACCGGCGTGACTCGAAGCTTAGTCACATCATGGACTCGATCCGGCATTCGCTTGCCCACGAACATGAGAAGTTACCTAGCGAAAGCCAAGCCCAGCACCAAGGCTCCGTCGCCGTAAACGGTGAATCGAACAACAACGGTTCACTCAGTCCTTCTCTGCAAGCAGTGGCCTCATCTAAACTGAATGAGAACAATATGGGTGAACACTCCCACGAACTCGACGACACCTGGGGTTGGCCAGGTCTTGGTACTTACGCATCGGGTGCACCAGAAGCTCCGAGAAAAGGCAGCGGATCCACCGACTCAGGCGCACCACAGGCACCAAGACAAGAATCAGTGTCGAAAGGAAAAGAGCCCGAGCCGCCAAGAAGGGAATCGACCATCTCTCAGGCCAGCAAGAAGAGCAGCGACACACAAACCGGCTGGCCAGGTCTGGGTCCCTTCCCAGAAGACGTCGAGAAATAACCGACTTGGGCGTCGAACTCGCAGAGCGGAGCCGGTATTTGCAACCATCTTGTGTGTTTCAGAGCGATTTCCAGGTTTTTGTGGTGCGTTAAGCGAGGATGTCCCAGGGCCACAACGGTGATACGAGAGAACCTTTGATGGTAGGTTAGGGTTACAGCATCAACCAGCGGGATAAAAGCCATCTTGGAGTGGCTGTTTGTGACTTTTACCAAATATAGTACTAATACATTGAATTCTACGGAAGAGCCCTATTCTCTTCACGGCCGCCCCTGAAGGAGCAGCATCAGATTACAGCCACGCGTTCCACCTCAACCAGGTTGGTAGGCCATTCCTGCGACTCGGCTGTGAACGATATATTCGACAGAGCGCTAGATATCCAGATTTGGCCGGCTGAAAATAGGAGGTAGTCTAACAACCACAATCAACTTGCCAGTCATTACTGTCGTTATTAACTTGGTGTCAACCATATTTTGCATTCCGTGCTGGCATTTCTAATTTTGACATCCACCTTTTTGCGGACACACTCGATTGTTTCGGCCCCATGCGGGTATTCCGTCGCCCTTATGAAAGGAGACTACGCTTCATTATCCAAAGCGTACATGTTTCACCCACCAATGAATCGAGGAATCTGGCTTGACCCAACTGGAACCATTACCGTACATGACGGCCTATCCCCACACCGTCACCAGTATGGTTCGCTCTCTGGTTCTTTGGTCCCATGAAGGCGTGGATGGAATCTAGACCCCCGGCAATCAATGCTGATTAGTGTCTGCCGTCCCAAGCTACTCTTTCCTCTGATTAGGTAGTCTGTGGGACAATTCAGTGCCGCTTTCGACTTTCGGTGCTTGAGCAAGCGTGGTCTGTATTGTCATGTAAATCAGTGTCATCGGTTGACCCCAGCTTAATGCCAATTGGATATCATTAAGAGCGATGCTTAAAGGCGTCCGGTGTAGTCTTTCTAGGATGAAGCAAGAAATACCGACTCGTGTGCCCGCATAAACGAGTGTGTTCGCAAAGGCTGTGACCTCGTCACGCCGTGATTGTCCAGAGAGATCTGTCGCACTTTGTCCATAGTCGAGTCGTTCTCAATCCTGTATGTCACTAAGTCAGTTTCCTCCGTAGGTGGCGTTCGGTACGGTGTCTTTTCGCAGAAACAATCACCAGGAACTTTGCTGCATACCTTCCCTGTCTCCGTAATGTTATCTTGCGGCTTTGGTGATCTTGATCTCACGTTTGCAAAGGCCGCACGCATCCAGCCATGGAACCTCGACTGCGACTCAGTCCTTCTCCTTTCGGCGATGGATTCCAGCTCTTTGTCTTTGACCGAACAGCCATCAGAATGGGCAATCAATCTCTAGCTGGTGACTCGGATTTCGCTATGCTCCATACCGCATAATGGAGCCCATGCTGCATCAGACGCCACTACCTTATTCGGCCCACCACCCAGGGACATTTCCACCTACTGGGACACTGCCAAAAAGACACAATCGCGTCATCCACTACCGCTGCCATAACTGGTGGCAACAGGTCCTCATCTTGACGACAGTCTCAGCTGATCCCAATTATGATTTGTTTAGGGAATGACAATTCCTCGGGTGGTTAGAATATGGATTCGATGGCAACGGTATTTGTGGAGAGGTCTTGCGTGTGTGAAATGTAGGATACCATCAAATGAGAAGTTTGAACTCGAATAAAGCTGCGGAGCCGTCAATGTAAGCGTACGGACAGAACGGGCTTTCTGCAGGTATGATGATCCCTGGCGATCAAGAAGCATGAACCTTGACGGTCCATTCTGCCTCTTCTTGGCCGTCAGAAGGAGGCAACACAGTACCCAATCCAGGGAGGTTGGTGTCGGAAAGACTGGGGAAAGTGTCAGAGGACAGCTTGTCACTGCTAGTGTACCTACAAGTAGTAGGTGGCCATTAGTTGATAGGAACACTGGCGGAAGTGTCGAGGTGTGGATGACGCCGGTAAAGACGGAGGAGGCTGGTTCATCAGATTGGCTAGAAGTTGCATGGAGCAGTCCATGTGAACCAGCGCCAGGGAAGTAAGTTGTGCCAGATCCTGGCAGCGAGAAGAGTGCGGCTGTTTCTGCAAACTTCCGCTGAGTTCCTGTTTGATGTTCAACGGTGCAGCCTGAAGTCGTTCTGGTGGTATCATGATGATTGAAGATTGTAATGACCGGAGCAATGATCCGCAGGGGACACTTTGTGGCGTCCCGCAGCCAGTGCCGACAATATCCTGTCCAATAGTGGGCGGCAGCCGCAGGTGTGCCTAGAAGTCTGGGTGCGGGGGAGCTTGCCGCCTAGCCACCGCCGTGCAACGCCTAGAGCCCACTGCGTCCTTTTAGAGCCACTGCCGGAAATTTCCAGACACATCTATGGGTCAATACTTGTAATGACGCCACATTCTCCCCTGATTTCGCTTCACATGATGGAAACCTCACTGGCAAACTGCGATGCTCAGCAGAAGGTCAGATCAGCGCAACCGTTGCGGGGCCAGTGGCATCGTTGTGAGCAACACCATTCGAGAAGTGACAGGTTCGAGAGTCCCAAAGCGGAATCGTTTGAAGTCTCTAGAAGCCTCACGCCATTTCTGCATATTTCGGTTCACTCGGTGTCGTCAAGCTGAGTTCCACAGAATGTGGTCTCGTACTCCGGTCTTCAGGTCTATAAATCACACACCATCTCTCCCTCTTCAGACTGTCTTTCAGCAGACCAGATCAGATCAGAACACTTCATGTCTAATACCCTTCGAAAATTTCCACACCGCGTAACTCCAGCAATCTTCGGCATCTCCAAGCCAAAGCGAACTCAAACAAGAAACATGGCTCTCTTCCCACGCATCCCATCTTCATTCGGCCCCTACCGCTCCGACATGGGCCCATTCTTCAACCTCTTCAACGACACCTTCTCTGAGCTCCAGAAGCTGTCTGACAACGCATCTCGGACCTTCGCACCCAAATTCGACGTCAAGGAAGCCAAAGACAGCTACATTCTGGAGGGGGAACTGCCTGGAATCGACCAAAAGGATGTCGTCATCGAGTTTGCCGACGAACAGACTCTCACGGTGAAAGGCAAAACGGAGACCTTCAGAGAGGAGGGAACCAAACCAAGCGAGGCCAACGGCGAGGGCAAGAAAGAAGAAGCCGCGTCTGGCAGCAAAGAAGTGGCCACGACTGGCTCCAAGGAAGTTGCAAAGGCCGAACCACAGCACACCTATTGGGTCTCAGAACGCAGCGTCGGCGAATTCGCCCGCTCGTTCTCCTTCCCCAACCCAGTCGACCACGAGAAGGTCAAGGCCAGCATGAAGAACGGAATTCTGAGCATCGTCGTTCCGAAGCTAACAAAGCAGAAGACGGCGAAGAGGATTGAGATCAGCCAGGAGTAAAAGCACACAAGTCACGAGGCGAAAAGCAGTTAATAGCAGGATTTCACGGGGTCATCTATTCAACCGAGGTCTGACACTACATCTAGCCACAAATCACGACATTTCTCACTCGCACTGCACCTTCAACCACTATCCAACAGTGCAAGCTCTCCCTGCTGTTTCCACGTTCCTTATCCCAGAAAAACCTCATGGCGACTCGAGTGACATTCCTTCACAAGCATGAATGGTGTTTGGCGCGAAGTTTCTAGTTTGGGGTCTCAAAAAACATCAAAAATCAAAAAGTCCACAGCCTTGCACCGGCCTGTACAAGTAACATCATGGACGGATATCTATCATGGTTCCTCAGATAGTCCCCGTGGTCCTGTAATAGCATCCATTTCAAACCAGAACAAAAGTGCCTGATTGTCCATTTGTGCCCTCTCTCCTGCATTCAAGCTAGCACGGAATATAACATATCCTTCAGACTTAACCGGACTAGGGTGTGATTTGGTAGTGTCTCGTCTTCCAATGAGAGTGAAAGGCCCGAAGTTAATTCTGGGGTACATTGATCTTAGCCCAAAAACGGATCTATGCCTCATAAGGACCATTCAACCACTATCATACGTCTGGGGGTCGAGTCAGGATACAACTTTCTAGTGGCGACGTGAGGGTGAAGACATTACCCAAGTTCATTCTTGGAGCTTGATATCTCTTGGAAGTCGCCACACTTGGTATTGTTTGCAGGTGCCGAGTTCCGAAGTCGAGTTATTGCGGGCAGCTAGTTAGAATAGCTAGTAAAGGAAGAAGACGTCCTTATCCTCCTGCGCGTGTAATGTGCTCAATAAGTTGGGGATGTCGGACGAGACCGTACGAGATAACGGCACATGCACAAGAATGTCATCTTACAACCCAACTTCGTCCTCCCCAGAGCTCAACATATGGACACCCCTCGAATAACATTCGCGCTATTTTCATGACTTGTGTAGAGGAATTGAAGATGTCATCCGCGACAATTACAAGAACGACAAACAAAAACAACCGGAGAAGCTCGGGGTGAAGCTGTTGAAAAAAGTTGATCGAGTCACCTTCCTTCTCTCTGAGATACGGAACAATCAAACATACCACCCGTCTTGTCCCAGTCCACCCTCGCTAACTGACGAAATGGGCGCACGGCAAAAGTAACACCTGTTTGTTCCAGTGTCACGAATGACCAAGATACCATCAAACCATGAACATGAACATCATGTCGAACAGACGTCATGGAGGTAGCTCGGCTGGAAATCAATCCTGAACAGAAAGTGGAGTGTCATGCAGCGTCTTTCCAAGCATGTGCCCTCTCAAACAGAGACGGACTCGATGAGAGGCAGAATCTGAGATCAACACCTCGTAAACTTGGTTGGGGTGTCAGGAGACGGCTTCAGGTTGCGCTCTAAGGATGGCCAAAGTTACGACTCTCCCCATTCTCCGACGCCGCGAGTCACACTTACCGAGTGCAATGGTGCCTCTGATCCCGGCATTCTGGGACGCACTCGAAGCTGCCACTGACGAGCTGCTTTGTGGATTTGCGGGGGTGCGTACGGGCTTCTGAGTATTGCCGATTGAAGCAGGTAGCTCCTTGATACAATCCTCCATTGAGCAGACCACGGGCGGCCTTGGGGGTGAGCTTCCTGAGGCCGATAGACGCGAAAAGGACGCATGACTAGTGTCTTGCTCCTCGTCCATGCCTCAGGAATCTGGTTGGCATCCTTGCCGTCGTCGTAACGCACCGGCTCCCAGATGTCTCGGGAAGACGAAGGAACTCCTGGAGATCCAACAATACCACGCGTGATACCTCGCAACAACCTGCATGACATCGTGGATGAACAGTTGCTAGGATATGTCTTGCTGCAGCCTAAGTGTGCGTATCGTCTTGAAAACGCACACGAAGGATCAGAACGGTCTTCGTCCATCTGCTGAGATGATTTCAAAGCATACCGACGTCGAGATCCTCATCTGTCGCATATTTTTGCGATGAATACCGTCATTCAGATCTTGAAACCAAGACTATTCAAGCGACGGTGAACACGACCTGTCCCTTTCGACACAAGATCTGACGCTGGCATGACCACCAAGAGCCATTTACAGTGGGCGAAAAGGCAAATGTGGCGTGACGGGTGGATCGGGCTTCTTGGGTTGAAGTCGTGCCGAGAAGCACCCAGAGGCCTCGACCACGGCGGCTTCCGGGGGGCGCCCATCCCTAATGGCCACGCCCAGAGCCCTCATCGAGTTAGGGGCCCAGCGTTTCATAGGCGCCGCCATGGCGTTTTCGTGGGTTGATCGATCAGGTGCCCCCACCGTTACCCAATCCTCCTCTGATCTGCCCGGCCGTCACCAGATGCTGTGCATGTCGAGAATCCTCCCGACCACTAAGCTGGCTGGACGGGAAAACGAGCCTGAGCACAGCGGAGCGGAACCCCATCTGCATTGCCATGCTGTGATTATGGATTCCATAAAATGCTATCAAGAGGAGGTCTCCGACTCCTTTGCTTCTCATCACTCTACCGATCCAAACAAACAGGCAGAAATTTATCAAAGTCCTCAGTCAGGTCAACCCAAGATCAACCCACACACCTTTGTGTTACAATTGCCCGAAATGGTCCAGTACGATCAGTTCAACGGAATGTTTCCTCTCGCCTCCCTCCCATCACGTGGAAGGACGGGTGGTTCTGACAGTCCTCAATCACCGAGTATGTTCTCCTCTCTCCTGCGAATGCAACCTCGTAACATTGTGACTGACGAAGATTTGCAGGCCAGCCAATGCACCCAATCTTGAGGAGACTGTCCTCGGCCAGTAGCGCCGGGCCGCACTACTGTGCTCGATGCCACTTGCGACGAACCTCTCAAGAACGTCGCTTTTCCCTCGACCACGAGTGCTCCTCGAGCGAGGAGGAATGGGATGGGTTCTGTCCCGATATCGCCATGCCCAAGGACCTCACCCCTCCGCCATCGCCTCACCACAAAAGACGACACTCGTGTCTCTGCCCGGTCGGCGTCGTCGCCCAGGAACACCACAAAAGCGGCACTGTGACCCCGGTGCAGATGATCGTCAAGGAGGGCGCCCGATGTCCCCACTACGGTCACCACAACAAGTGCAACTGTCAGAGTGTACTTCCCGAAGAGAACTTGGAGGAGAGATATGGCCTCGTCGAAGAGCCCGCCCAGACACGGCGGAAGCTGAGTCTGGAGAAGGGCGCCGCGAACCAACTGGCGGATATCATGCACGCCGAACTTATCTCTGACATGGCGGCACGGAACAGCCATCTTTGAAGGGAGGCAGCATGTGAGACGGTCACAATATGCCCCCACGATGTTATAGCAATGAGGATTCCAATGGGTGCAAAAGCATGTATATAGTATTTGGGGGCACTGAGGCGTTCGGGACACCCAGGATAACAGGGACACCATGGGCACCACGGGGGGAGGGGGAATACACGGCACTACGAAAGGTTGGGGGACAGGGTAATGACGGCTGGCTTGAGTGACGAGAGGGCCTTTTCTTCCCCGCAAAATGGGATCCTCATTTCCGACGATTTAGATCAATAATGAGTTTGAAAAACATTACTTCGTCTGCCTGCAGCGTGCACTCCAGTATAAGGGGCTTTTCGAGAGGAGATGAAGAGACTCGTCCGTCAATTCACACTGCCCGGCTTCAACGTGAGTTTCTGGGGGAGGTTGGTATCTATGTGGCCCTTGTCCTTGGCTACTTCTCCAATTTGACGGTTTTTCCTCGCCCAGAGGCAGCATCCTTAGTCACCGCCTCTCAGATTGCTTGACACCATTCATGCCTTACTCGGCGGGTATGTAGTCGGCCACTTGGCGAGGCTCGACAAGGCTCTGCGAGGCTCTCCCGTTAAAGGGGCGCGTGGGAGCTTGGCACGGGCGGAAGCCCCCTCAAGCACGGATCTACGATGGCCCGAACGCCAATCCTCTAAGCGAAGGACAAGCCAAACGCAAGGATTGGCACCAGTAATGATTAGTGGTACTCGGTACGGCTTCCCGTGCGCACTTTAATCAGAAACATCACACCACCACCTGAGTAACTTTCCATTTCTGACCTCCTGCTTTTGGCCTCTCCGCCTGTCCAGCGGTCTTAGTAATGCTGGCCCTTGGGAGAAAAGAGGGGGACAGACATACGCAACGTTCTGCATGGCCTTGGTAAGTGCCACAGCACCACCAGGCAGAGCTTCGCGAGCCCTTGGTTGCGTTTCGTGGAAAGCACCTCGTACGACGGAGGACTTAGTAGGTACCTACTTGTAGTAGCGAGTTCTTCCCTGTGTCCGGTACCGGATTATCTCGTTTGCCCGGACGAGACCGATGCCCTTATCAAACACCCGTCAGCAATGGGCTGGGCTGGAACCCAACTCGTCCTGCTAGTATTGCGCACAGCCACCACTCGGGGCATTCCCAGGACTTGTACGGAGTGGTACTACTGCAAAGGATGCTTCCGTACCACCACTGTGACTCTTTTTTTCGCGCTCAATCATTACGATTTCCCCGCATTGATCACTTCCTCATCATGAGATCTTACCTGCGCACCTGGTCCCGCCGAGTGCCGCCATAGGCGAGAGTTCTAGTCCCTCGGTGGACCATCGTATGATACTTGCACAAGGACGCACATGCACGGCGTGCAACAGGGATACACAATGTCATGATCCAGTCATCGTCGCCTAAGCAGCTTGACGGCATACCCTTTTTTGCGTGGTCCCCCTGGCTGCACACGAGTCCCAACACAGTAACCCCTCCTCACGTGTGTGTGCGTGCTATGCACCTTTTTTCACATCAGAAGGTGTGCACGGGGCGCGTCGATCAACGGGTCGCTCGATTCGGGGTTGAGCTCATCCCATGAGAAAGCTGGTCAATGGGTAAACATCCAGTCGATCCGGGTGTAGGGAAGCAAGCGCACGCAATGCAGAGTTGGTAATGGGCCCCCCATTGAAACCTTGCTGACCTAGAGATATAAAACCATCCACGTTCGCCCTTTCGAGCTGGAGACTTGCCCATAGGAGTATCTCGACACACATTCAGAAAACACCAAAAACACACCCTTCCAAAGGGGTTTTCGAAGTTTCCTTGATCTGGTTGAAAAAAAAAAAAAAAGGGATCGCAACTGATTTTCCACCCGCTTCATTGATCCCACCCCTACAAGAGAGGAATTTAATAAAGTCACAAACCACCACCAAAACAAACATGCCTGGCCTTCCGTACTCAGTGCCCTCCAACTACGTGATCCGCCTGATCGAGACGGACCCGGTGTCCGCCAGCCTCGGCCACCCAGAGCACCCGGTGCAGCCACACCCGTCGCAGCCGTCGCACTTCCAGTTCCCGCGCACCTCGCTGCACCAGGCGACGCTGCAGTCGCACTTCAAGGGGCCCCACGCCCCCGGCAGCGTGGCCGCGCCCAAGTCGGACACCGCGTTCGCCCCGGCCACGGACATCCGCGAGACGCTGCGCGCGTACCACATTGAGATCGAGACGCCCGGCGTCACGGAGGAGAACAAGAGCGACCTGGTGATCACGTGGATGAGCCCGCACACCCTGCTCGTCCAGGGCGTGGCCACCCGGCCCAAGAACATCGGCCTGCTGGACCAGGAGGAAGGAAAGCGCGTGTGGGAGGGCGAGGGCGAGGGATGGGCCACCGAGGCAGGCCACGGCAAGGTACGTTTTTGTTGTCCACAACCCACTGAAATCACCCTGGCGTTGACTACACTTCCTCCCCCCCCCAAAAACTCTCACTCCTTCGTCCAATCCAATAACACAAAAAACCCAATTCCTAACCCTATCTTTATGATCACAGCCTCAACAAGAAGAGACTGACGGCGGGCCCCTGCAGCGCGAGAAGTCGCACGAGACGATGGAGGAGGAGGCGCTGGCGGACTCGACGCCGACGATCCTGCTGTCCGAGCGGCGCGTGGGCGCCTGGCGCCGCACCTTCACCCTGCCCGAGGACGTCGAGATGAAGGAGCTCAAGGCCCGGCTCGAGGGCGGCCTGCTGCGCATCGACCTGCCCAAGCGCAGCCTCGAGGACATGGCGGCGCTCAAGGGCGCGGGCGTGCGGATCGAGATCGAGTAGTCTGAACTGACTCGCCAAAGGAGTTTTCTCGCGCGATGAAACCCGTGCGGAGCGAGGAGGTGTTTGGAGGGATGGGGCAAGAGGAAGAGGAGGAGGGGGTGTGTTTGATGGTGGTGGTTATGGTTCTCAATGTTCATTCTTCATCTCTCATTTGATCGGGAAAGAGGCTTGGGTTGGGATCCAAATACCACACCGACCACATCCTGCTCTTCCTGCTCCTGCTCCTCCTCCGCAACAAAACCATTTCAAAGACACCTCCAAACTCTTACCGACCCGGAGAAGACAAGAGAAAAAGACAAGGAGAAGGAGGGAAAGCACGCATGTTGCGGATCCGTTTTTTGCGAAAAGGGAGTCCATTGTTGGGGGGGTTTTGCATTGTGTGCATTGTTTAAATTGGAGGAATTCGGAACCCGGTTTTGCATTGGGATATAAAAAAAAACGCCTCGTAATTAATTCCACCCCCTACCCCCCCAAGTCTTTCGGTCCTTTTGTAGCTCCAGACGGCGACGAATGGAGTAGATAAAAATAACCATCATAATGAAAAATCGTCACTTGTACGGAGTACGGAGTACAGTACATTGTTGATCCTTGTCATGCGTCCGCTTCCTTGATTGGAAGTCTCTATTCAAGGGTCGCGGGTTTCAAATCATGCCGTGTCTTCGTTCGTCATTGCGTATGTGCGAGGACAGATAGACTACCTAATGTAAAACGGGTATCCATAACATGAGCATAACACGTTCACTCACCACGGCCTAGCCACGCATCATCCCCGCTGGCTCGTGCATCTCTAATTCGTAAGACTTAGATGTGATGGCAAATCGGTTTCTCATTTGTACGGAGCACCTCTCGTTTGTTCAAAAATAACCACGCATCAAAAAATGGACAGTTTTGCTCGACCCAACACTTTGTTTGCAAGCGGGGGAACATTCAATCACCAACACTTCATCAGCTTAAGGACCCATGCCGCCCCTATGGCTCTTGCAGCCCGCCGACCCCACGAGCACCGAAAATTCCTAACCAGAAGTTGATAGTACTTGTTCGCTGGAAACGGACAGAAAATTCCAATCGCGCGCAAAACATTCGGTAGAGCGGACAGATGGATGCTATGCATCCGCAGCAGCACAAAGATCCCTTGCGTCGCTGCCGTCAGGTCAAGCGCCGCAAGTATGGAGAGACACACTGGGTGTGATATTTGTAGATGGATTTTTGGATACTTTCACAGGTGTTTTTTTTTTCTTTCTGGTTTTTTTTTTCTGTTCCTCGTTGGTCTGAAATTTAGACCGCTTGAACCTGAAGGTTCACCATCTGCTTGAGCAGACTGCAATCTTCGCAACGCACCAGCTTCTCCAATACTCGTACTCTTTCGGTCAGTCTGTGGATTTCATTTTCCATGTGTCGCATTTCAACTTCGGTCTGGTTCACGTAGTTCATCGCCTCGGTCAGCACATCGCTCTTGCGCACTTTGGGAGGAGGAAGTCCGTTGGCCGCAGTCGCGGCTTCGACTTCACCGTCCTCGCCCACTTTAGGGCCGTAGTGAGACGCTTGAAGTGTATTGTGCAGCTGGGAAATTTTCGCATTGAGATTTTCGCGATATTTGCGTTCTACGAGCGAGTGGGCTTGTTTGGCCCGTTGTTTGGCGTCCGCTTTGGATGGAGCCGTGGACTTCGTGGTCGGCTGCTCATCGTCCTCGTCGTCCGAGGCCAATGACGCTGCCGTGGTCATGGTCGGGCTTGTTCGGTTTTGACGGCGCGCCGCGGCACCAGCAGATGTTCTTCGAGGAGGTAGAGGCACGGTGTCGGGTTGTTCGGTGGTTGCAGTGGTAGAGCTTGATGAGCGTCGAGTAGCTGAAGAGCGAGAGGTGGCTGTCGTGCTGGTCCTCCCGCTCATGCTGGGCCGCTGATGCAGCTCGACAGACATGCTGTCGTTGCTGATCATGGTCTCACTGGGCGAGGTCGTCGACCCTGTTATACAGGGGACGGATGTGCACTCCTCAATGGGTGGCAGGGTGGTGAAGTTCATGCACGGTGCGTCTGGGCCACAGCGTTGTGGCTGGCAGCTGTCTACTTGGCCTGCAATTAGAGGGCAGAGCTTCTCGGTCGAGTCTGTCTTGGATGCTATCGAAGCCGCGATAGGATCCAGGTTGGTGATGGAGCGGCTGGTGTTGAGAGAGTCAGAAGCTGATAATGTTGTCGTGAGACTGTTGTCGTTGTTTAGCATAGTTGCATCGTCATCAGCGCGTGAGCTGGTGAGGCTCGACTGATCCATGGGTGGAAGATTTGCCTCCATGTTGAGAAGCTGAGAGTAGGAATATTGGGTGTTAGAGTACATGTCTCCTGAGGGTCTCCGTGGTTCGGGAGACTGTTGATGGGAAGAAGAGGTGATCAGGCTACCTGTCGACCCCTGCCGGTGATTGGAAGAGCGAAGATACGCCAGCGGATCCTGATCTCTGTCCATGGCGGACGAGTATTTTTGGTGGAGGGCTGGGTGTGCGTCCAGCGTCCCCCGTGACGAGGTCGTGAGCGGAGTAGTGGTGAAGTCCATCTCATGCCACCCGGTGAAATCGATGGAGTCGGGGTCGACGATGGCAAGCTGGGGATGCTGACTTTGAAATGCGTGTTGCCCGTGAAAGTCAGGAGAGCCCTCAGGCTGGTGGAACAGCTGCCGGAAGGGCATTGTGTCCACTACTGACATGGCCGTGCCTTATCCCACTGAAGCAGTTGTTTCCCTTGGTTTCAGGCTCTGTTCACACAACAGGACCGTCGAGGTCCGAAAGATTACCGTTTCGCGGTGTCCGAATCAACCCACAAGGCGCTTAATCGGGAGGTTGTCTACCAGTCTCTGTCGGCGCTGTCCTCGCTTCAGGCCGAAATCGAGACAATCGTTCAGCACTAACGGTGGGCAGGTCGTGGTCGAGTTGGGGCGGTAGTGTTCGAGGAGAGGAGGGTGTCAGGCCACGATGACGATGTTAAGAGGGAATTTTGGCGGTGGAGTTGCGTGTTGTAGAAGAAGTAAGTCGAGTGACGACGTTGGGACTCGGCACAGGAAGTCCGGAGAATTCCAGCAAGGAGGGTGTTTGCTGCTGCCAGAGCGTGAGTAAGGAGCCCCTCAGTCAGACCACTTCCCCCCGGTCGCCGTATTGCCAAGCCACTAGCTGTACGGTATCGGCCACTGATCGTGCTCTGATCTGCGCTGCACCTTGCTAGCGGTATCAGCGTTACCGGTACAAAACACTGGCCGGGCCTGGACCCACGCGGAGATTGTTCCAGACTCCCGGGCATGAGACCTACTGCTGGTTGTTGTAATGACAGCCATGACGCGGCAAAATGTCTGGAAAGCAGCTGTATATGACGCGAATAAATCTCCGTGGCCTGACTGTCCCGGTGGGGTCTGATTCTTTCCCCTGCCGTTGGATCGACCAGTCAATCCTCCCTCAGTCCCCCCATTCTCTCGCTTTGGTACAGTAGTCGCCCAACCTGGCACTTCCCGCCCAGGGCACACCGTCTCCCATGTGCCTCACGGAGGCCGCCGTCGTCGATCACTTTCTGTCACCAGAGAAACTCTTGTTCTTTGCCTGCGAGCTGGTGATGCGATCACCCTACACCTGAGCATCTTTGAGTTCTGGGTTCCTGAATATCGATTGCCGTATGCTGATGGTCGAGAGGAACAACACCTTCCCACCGCCCAATGGGTGAAGTCGGGCACGTAGATGGTGCCTGGCCATGGGCAGAACAGATCACAGAACAGTTAAAAGCCGTCATGAGCCTGCAATGGAATCCACGGTAGGTCAAGATCACACCAACACATCTCAACTCAATCTGCATCTTTGTAAAAGAGTGCTTCGTCGAAACAAAAGCCAGAAACATTTCCCATCTCCTCCCCCAACAGTCTCACCAGAGTCACGATCACTTCTCTCTCTCTCTACAAGTATTCCCCTCCAACAAACCGCCAAAATGAACGCTGCTGCTCGTCAAATCATCTCACGACGCTTCGTCACGGCCATGGGCCCCCGCCTCACCTCCCCGGCTCGATATGCCTCGACAGCCGTCGGACATTCAGCCCACCCAAGCATGACCCCCAAGGACAGACAATTCATGCGAGGGATCTTCACCGTGGCGACTGTTGGGACCGCAGGAGCTGTGGCATATGGGGTAAGTCTTAGCGACCCTGGCTCTCTTTGCTTCGCACATATAACCCACCTTGATGCCTTTTACCTTTCTCCCCCCTCCTCTCGCGTAAACTCTCTGCCAAGATCCAAGGCTGACAAGGTGATCCTCCTCTCAGGCTGCCCGATCAGGCGGACGGATGAACAGCCGCTTCGTCAAGCGCAACTCGACCCTCGACAGCACCAAATGGTTCTCGGAGAGCTCGGAATATAACCAGACGTTAGGCAGCAAGCATTAGACTGCGCTCCCACGGAATGGTATCAGGGTACAACGATTTAATAAAGGAAGGGCGTTCAACAATACTTTGAGTTTGAGGGTGCAAGGATTCTTCGGGCAAGGCGACCGTGGAGTTACAGCGGCAGACCCGACACAAGGTTGCCTCAGTTGGCTGGTTAAACATGATGAGCTTTGGCGTTCAAGATCGACACGAAGAATTCCCATGGAGAACAAGATGGCAAGATAAAAATGCACGACTGAGTGTCTGCAAAGTTCATGATGTGCCGTTCAGCTATCTGACGAGCACGAGGATTCATTTCGCCTTGTACATATTTTCAAATCCACCTTTTTGGGTATCACAGAAAAAAAACTCCATCTGCCAAACATAAAGTTCCTTTCTCCCAATCCAATAATATGCCCTCCCTTTTTTTCATGTGTCCGCCTGGGTCGAGACACCATGAGACCTATGACCGACAAGACTCCACGCCAAGAACCAAACACGAGAAGCTGAAAAAGATAGTGCCCATGATTCCCCGGATCTCAGCCCTATCCCGAATCTGCCGAGCGATTGCTCACAAGGGGTATAAGAGGCCGAATGGCCCAGACATCGTCGTCCTCCTCCGACTCGTCCTGGCCATACTTGGCGTCCGCCGAGTCGAAAGTGGGACTGGAGCATTCGGAGCGTTGGCCCTCGCTTTCGTAGTCCGTGCAGCTGTCATCGCTCTCGGCTGAGGTGTCCTCCTCGTCAGACCAATCGCCGTCGCAGCTGTCGTAGTCGCTGTCATCTTCCTCTTCTTCGTCGCTGTTGTACTCCTCGGCGTTGTTGTATTGTTCCGCGGCTGCTCGGATTTGCGCAATGGTTGCCAGCTGGGCTTCGAGGGCTGCCTGGAATTCTTTGAAAGAAGGTACTTGGTGTTGTTGGATGTAGGTAGACAGTTCGTTTGGTTCCGGCCTTGTCTCTTCCGACGGCTGTGTCTGTTCTTCTGCTTGTGCAAACGTCCTCGTGCGGTCGTACACTGATATGTGGCCCAACAGCCTCCGTAATCTGGGCTCCTCACGAGATGATTCTGTGTTCAACTTCCAGTGTGATTTGAATAGCAACCTGGCAGCAGACTGAGAAGCCGTCTCTGGCTGGGTCTGGGGTTGAGGCTGAGGCTTAGAGGCAAAGCAACGCGGGTCATGCGAGGAAAGGGCACTCAGTTGCTCCATGACGTAGGGCACGAGTGTTGTTGTTTGGTGAGGTACCTCAGAGAGACGACGACTGGGAATATTCGAGTAGCAACTGTCAGGAACAAGGAGGAACAGTAGAAAGGGCTGATAGAGGGGAAGCTGGGAAAAGGTGCCTTCTTGAACTTCGCATTAGGCTGGGCAAAAGGACACGAACGTGTGCATCTAGGCCATGAACCAACATCGGTGTGGTTCGAGAGGACCTGTTAGCCCATGACATTCTCGGACTCAATCCTAGTTAGCCACGTTCACGGTGGAATGGGGTCCACAAGCACCATGCCCCAAAGGGGGGGACGAGACAAAGGGGGAGAGCGAAATCATTCGACGGCCCAACTTTTGGGATGCCATGCGGCTGAAAGAAGATTCTGGGGAGGAATGGTTCTCTGCCCAAGACTGACCACTGATCAAAAGGTGGACAACGAGAAGCGAGGGGGGTTCTATTTGGTGGAGCAGGGCTCGCTCGGGGACCATTCAGCAAGCGACACGGTCAAGGCCAGGTCGCCTTCCCTGGGGGCCATGGACGAGCTAAGCGAGGGCCAGTCCCCGCCGCAGAAGAACTATCGACTCTCTGGAAGCAAGGGAGGACTCGGAAGAGGCATGGACTTGACCAAAGAGTGTTTGGGCGGGGAGATGAGGGCGTGATTGGCGTTCCAAGGGAGGCGATAGTGGACAAAAGCCAACCTGACGCCTGGAAAGCAGATGATGGCAGAGTTTCACGGGCGGGGGAACTCAACGAAGCCAGCCCAGAGTGAACCCACCAGCCTGATCCAGGCCCCCGAAAAGAGCCACTCGGGCGTGACTGGATCGTCGTGGTCGCCTTGGTGTGTGTCACTCCGCCGGTTTGGGCCTCAGCGGCACCAACTCTCGCTTAAACCAGGTTGAATTGGGACTCGCTGAGCACAGTGGGCACGGTGAGCACGAGATTTGACACATGATGCTAACACTGCTTCAACAAGCCACCACTCCATTGCACGCCCTTTCACCCAAACTCAAAGGGGCGAGTCGCAGATTACCGAAAAAGCAGCCTTACCCTTGCCTCATGGGCCATGGCTGCTGGGCTACACCTGACGTTTGACGCGACTTTGACTCCCAGCCGTGTGCGCCACAGATCTGGTCTATCGACAGTCTAACAACAGAAAAGGGGGCTCCGTGAGTCGTCGAACCACCAACGCATCATGGCGGCATGGTGGACAATCTCATGGTGCATGGGTGCCTCAGATGAGATCCCGTGCATTGTTGTTATTGTGCTTCAGGAAGCGCGCTCTCGTTTCAGCAAAGCTCGCGACCTTATCATACCGCCATCAGTGCAGAGGAGATTGGCTTGAAGAGGATGCCTTTTCTGACCTAGGCTAGGCACCTTGGGAATGAGTTGGAGTCGATCTCTTCCCGTGTGCAGATGCACCTTTGACGAGGCTTTGACGAGGCATTGACGTGATGCAGGCGGAAACCTCTTCCCTTAAGCGTGTAGCGGGCGTCTTCACCGCCAACCTCGCATCCCCAATCCCCGAAAGCCCTAAAGCCAGCGAGGAACGAGGGATTGGATTTCCTGCTAGCTTCGGAACGCGAGCCGAACAGACAGAGCAGGGCAGGGCAGGGCAGAGCACGCGATACTGATTCATTATATCAGGCTGTGGTAGGTCAAGGCGACAAAGCCACAATGCCACCCGGGCTCTGCACATTGCTGAGAGTACCGGGTCCTGCCCCGAAGTCACTCTTCCAACCATTATTGTTGTTCTGACACGGGTCCCGCCATCTACCGAGTACATCAGATAAGCAGCTTCATAGAGGAAATCCCGGGGTCTTTCTCAGTCTCCCAACTCTCGTTCCCACTTCAGCACGCCCACGCCGACCTTTCGTCCCTCTATGCCGCCTATCTTAGCAGGGTTGACTGCGACGGCATTTGGCACCACCGTCTCGAAGGTGAATCCACACTTTTCGAACACTCTTCTGCTAGGAAGATTGTGCTCAAAGTATGTCCCGACCAGTTTGTGGACATTCATGTGTGGAATGATTACTTCAGCCATTAGTTGCTGCAGGGCGGCCGCCATGATCCCGCGACCATGATATTCGGGAATGAGCCAGACTGTTTGGTGTGATTAGTCCATGTTCTCGGCTGCGATGGGAAGCAAGGCACTCACAGCCGATTTCCCAAGTAATGTTTGGATCACCAGCTTGCAGCTTATCGTTCTCTTCTTTCCGTCGGTTTCTTTGCTCCTCATCTAGAATATACAAAAAGCTCTCTCTCTCCACACCAATCTCGCCAATAAATTTCCCATTGGAATCGGTATCTGACTCCTCGAAATGTCGAATTGTTGACGTCCAATGTCGCCCGAGCCACGATCGCTGCGAATAGTCGGCCGGAGTCGACTGCGCGCGTTTCCGGATAGTGACCAATTCCGACCAATTTTGTTTCCAGTTGCTGGAGATCTTGGCATACCATTCTTGCCGATCCTGCTCGGTATAAGGATAGGGAGGGCCGTTCAGGTTCATGTATACCTTGGGGTGGTTAAGACCAAGGATCACGGCAGCTCCATCGGACTCTCGAGGGGGAGTGAGTGCGAGCCTTAATGTTGGATGAGGCACTGCGATGTTGAAGTCTGAGCTCTCCACGACCGCTTCCATGGTTTCGCTCAGTACCAGAGATTATTGGTAACGGGTTCTGGGTGAGAATTCTGGGAATTGTGGTGATAGACAATCAATGCATCAACATATATCATTCAAGGTGAGTCAAATTGGACCAGCATGGAGTGAGTCACCCCCATCTTACCGTGTTACACGTTGCATGCAAGCTGTCTGGTTCGGTTACTCCGTGGCACAGCTCGAGTAACAAGCCTCATCGATGGTTACATTCGAGGCCAGGAATATGATTGACTCGTCCAATGACAAGTTTAGTGTGAGGGTTAAGATTGACGAGGCCTCAGCGATGCGTTCCCGATGGATCATTGTTTCCCCCAGGAAGAGACGTCTTGGCATGTTGGTCTCGTATCTACCTACATATTACCACGACAGCCACCCACCTATATACGTACTGCATACTCATCATTCTCATTCATGAAGTGCCAGCAAGCAACCTTCACATCATGCGGTCTCGGTCGCCAATATCGACCTCTCCTGTCGGTTTCCATGCCTCCGCATCACCGAATTTCTCCACCACCAGTCCTGCAGAGCCTGGATTGCTCATGCCTGCCTTCAGTTGCTTCACATATGACACCATCCTGAGCCTTTGAGCTTCTTGCGGTGTCATTGAGAGGTATACTTCAATGCCTACTGCATGCAGGAAGAATGCCAGCCACAAGGCCATTCCGAAACTGATCCGAAGACTCGCTCCAGTCTCTTCCTCGATGCCACTAAAGAAATCTGCGTGTATCATCTTCAGCTTATTCCCCAAGACGTCTGAATCTGCCACACAATCAGGGTAGGCCCCAGCAAGGTTGTTATGGCCATGAATCGAGCTTAGTTCACCACACGTCATGATCACGTTGTACGATCCGATCTGGGACACAGTCAAGGCGGCGATGAGCATGATGATTCGAGTGGTAATGATGGCGCCCAGATAGAACATGGTTCGCAACATCCAAGCTCGATGCTGATCCACTTGAAGCTTTTGGATGTTATAGTACGCCATCCCCAATCCGATGGTTGTCAAAATAACCAACACACCAACCCCAGCTTGTGTGGGCAGTTCCCCACCGAAAGCATGTCGAGCGATCATGAGCGCGCCGGCGTTGCTGATCAGAAGGAGAATGATGATGACATGGCCATTGATGCGATGGAACAGCATTGCTTGTTGGCGAATGACCGGAACGAATTGAAAGACCACCAGAATACCGGCAGGTAGGACCGTGGCCAAGTGGATCAGCAAGCCAACTCGGTAATGACCAGTCTGATACCAGTACCATTCCCCTGGCGACGCGCCGTTCGAGAAGATGTCCAAATCGAGATACTCGAGTCGGGCAAGACTGAAGCCTAGAAGTGCGGCGGCGAACACAACGACTAGATCAACTATTTAGCAACTGGTCATGTCTGGACAACATCATCTGCTACCTACACAACGGGACATTGTATCCTTTTTGGAAACCAAGCCAGGAGTAGAGTCTTCTCCATTGACGCCTCTCTTTCCCGTCAGAGACGATGTGCATATGGACTGAAACAGCGCTTGAAGTCGCCATCTGTGTTGAGGTACAACAAAGTCTCAGGACAGCGAGATGATTGAACGGTTCTGAACGTCACCATATTGTGGGGAGGACTGAGCACCTCTATATACCACACCATTCTTTGCATTGGGTCACTGAATGCAGCTGCCTAGGACTTGACAAGACTCTGGGCACGCATACGCTTGATATAGCGTTAGTGATTCGTCACCCCCATCACGACCTGCATCCTTGAGAGGAGGCAGTGTCGCTCATCAAGGAAAGGCTTCGTCCCAGGCGTTTACCTGCAAAGCCAAAGCAATGAATTCGAATACGATGCCCGCACATCGGACGTTTGGCCAATAGCCGTTGGTATCGCAGTTCGTTTCCCCAAAACGCTGCTATTGGGAAAAGCTTCCCAGTCGACCAAAGATCTGTATGTTGAACTCGTTCGCCGGTCTTTTTACAACTGCATTTCCCTACCCGCAATGACTCCGCATCTAGTCCATGATTTCCAAGAACCCGTAGGGCTAGTAGACAAGATCAGCGTAAAGGGAGACTCAGGAAAAGCATCGGAATCAAAGTCGGCTTCGGAGAATGTTTTGATGCGGGGAAGGCACTGGCCAATCATCGCCAACTCCCTGGTGGCAAATGCTGGGCATCCAACATCAACCATCCAGACTTGAACTTCCTTTCAACTCTCCATCACTGTCAACAAGTGTGCCTCCGCCTGGTGGGTAAACATCATGGCGTCGTCTGGAGGACACCTCTTGGTCACCAAGGCCATGAGGCTGGTCAAATTCGCCGCCGCGAAGACGGGACGGTTCATACGTGACAAGATCCCGCAGGCAACCAAGCCACTTGAAGCCGACGTCCAGCCTGCCTATGCCCGCGTCTCTCAGCGCCAACAACCCGTCAACCGCCTCGCTCAGATCCGTCAGACCCAAAGCCGCTGGTATAGCACGAAATTGCACGGTCTCAACAACACCAGACACTACTCGTCCCAGTCTGGACCGAACGGCCGTCCGACTCGTGCGTCCTACCCTTCCTCCCGCACTGCTGCGGCTGTGGGACGACTGACTGGTCGGGCCCCGTTCGCATCTACCCTTCGACCAAACCTTACGGGGGGCACTTTGTGCCGTCACGCAGGTGGCTATGGACTAGGAGGTGGTCGAGTCGGCGGAGCCAGATACTTCTCCCATTCCCCTGCTGCGCAGGCACAGGTGGTCACCAACGTCTCCCAAGCAGTTCGAGCCTTCTGGCTCTCGGGCCAAAAAGCACGATTCGATGGAGCCAATCCTCGCACAGGTGAGAAGCGGTTCCGAGCCGTTTCCAGTCTTCAAGAAGATGCCAGGCACACCATGGACATGTCATCAAAGAATGCACCCGGTTCCTTCATTGACTTCAAGGTGTCTCCTACTATTACCGCCATTGGACCCTTGGCCAGTGTCCCTCGCTCGCCTTCCACTGCATCCTGCGATTACGAGGTCCAACAAGACACCCTGAACAACACCACCCTCATGTCCAACCTCTCAATCGATTTCGCCCGCGCGTTGAAAGACCTTGCGGCCGTCATGAACGATCTGAAGCACTTGGCAACATTAGGCGACCTCCCGATCTCTCTGCACAACAGCACGACTCTCCGCGTCCGCTTCCCTGGCTGCGATGCAGATACCGTCGAGGCTCTGTGCCGGGAACTCAACATCAAGCGCGGCATAGTCGGTCAAGATGAGGATTTTGATGCCAGGAACGGGACGGAAATGGCACTTTTGTTTCCGTTTGCGCCCAGCAAGACAGCCAGTGAAGCCGGCTTCATGGGCTCCAACTGTGGCTACGGTGACAGACCGATCAAGCGCATCAAGAAAGACCGCGTTGAGTGGCAGGAGATGCTCACTCCGCCGCAACACCCCTCTGCGGGTTTCTCGCACATTTCGGTCACGAGCAAGTCGCCCGACGCGTTCGAGATGATCGATGCGGCAATGGGTGAAAATCCCTGGATGTCAAGCCCGTCGGGATATTCCAGCCTGCACGAGAGCGAAATGTTGGAAGCCGAGGAAGATGCAGCAATGTACTTCTTCCAACCACGAAACAACGCGGCCGGAAGAGAAAGATATCCCGAGCGCTCGGTTGATGGGAATGGCGACGGATACGAGGGGCTGGAAGGCATCTATCGGTTCATTGAGGAGTGCGATCGGGCGCGGTCCTGATCGGTGCTTGGAGAGAGTCCCATCGCCTCAGAATGCACTGCCTCGATCACTTGCTTAGCTATTCCTTTTGTTCAATGCGGTGGACACCCACTACGGTCGTGGCTGATCGGGTGTGAGAGTCCCGCCGGGACCAGCGCTCCTTGACACTTGTATGGTTGCGTAACGAGCTACATCCACAGAGCCCCAGAATGAAACTCTTTCCTCTTCATGCGTACCAATACGAGTATCATTGTCGTTCACTCATTTCATGTCTAGTTATTAATGGAGGTGCATTCGTATAGGTGACGCCGGAAAGCGAGTGCCGAGCAGACCCGTGTATTTCGCCCGCAAACTCCTCGCTCGTTCTGTATTAGGGTATCCCGTCATCCCAGCGCATCCATGGCCTGTTCAGAAATACGGTGTAAGCCCCGGCGCGGCCTCACTGAGAGAGGCATCCTTAATTTCTCCTAGGGTACGGGCCTGTGTCTCCGAACCACCGTTGCCGCCCCATCACCCGTCACCCGTCACCCGTCACCGACATCTGCATCTCCGTCGGCATCTTCATACCTGCTCCTCAACCTGTGCTTGAGCTGCTCGTTCTCTTTCAGGACGTCCTCCCTCGCTCGCTCCAGCTCGTCGATCTTCTCCTGCAATTCTGCGATTTCGTCTTCCGCGCCGGAAGAGAATTCCTCGATGATCTTAAAGACGCGCCACAGCCGGAGGACGACGACCAGCGAGCCGGCTTCTTCCAGCGGACCGCGCAGGAGCACGTCGATTACAAAGGCGGCGATGATGACGAGGGCGTCGAAAATGTGGAACGAGTTGTTGAAGTACCTGTACACGAGCATCGAGGTCAATGCGTGAAGGGTAGGGAGACCAGACTGGCCGCAGAGGGCGGGGCGTTACCTAAAACCAAATGCAAAGACACTGCCCAGCAATTCGGCCATGAACAGACACGAAAAGACCAGGCTTGCGTATCCAAGCACGTCGTTTGCTTGCTCCCAAGCCCGCAGGTTGAACCCTTTCTCCCCGGCATGTTCACATATGTGCAGACTGATGAGGAAATCGGCGAAGATACAGCATATATCGGCCGAGACCAGGAGGATCACGAAGTAGTGACCCCATTTGGAGGAGAACCAGTGTTGCAGCGAGTGTCGGAGTTTCCATACCGCGCTGTCCTCGCCGTGGATCTTAACGATGTGGCAGGCTATAAAGTCCTGCGACTGATGGAGGGCGGAGATGAACTGGCGGTCGGAGGGGAGGAGAGGCGAGTATTCATTCGTGTTGCTCGTGGCTTGGACGGGCGAATGCCCGGTTTCGGGATCGGCCATGGCGGGTATAGTTGGGGATTCAGATTGAGACTCCGTTGTGCACATGCGAATGCTCAGGGCATTGCGTTCAATGGGTTCATCACAAAGGCACAAATCTCTGGGCTTGTAGAGGGGCGATGTAACACGTAAACGGACGAACAGATGGGTTAGATGTCCTAGTTGGATCTCTAGGCGCAGCTGGACGGTTATCGTAACAGCAAGAGCATAGGGACAGCAGCCTTATGTGCTTCCCCTGAGTAGCTGCGATAGAGCACACAGAGCTGCGGCTGGGACTTCTGTCAAGAAGTACCTCGTATCGGCGGCTTCAATGGCGGAAATCGAGATGATTCGATGACGTAGGCTCCTCTGACGCGTCCCGCCCGGCTGCTCTCATTGGCTCCTCGTCACTGGACGGGTAAAGAGCAGCTTCGGAAGAACGATGTTCCTCGTCCGCGAGTGCTTCTGCCAAAGAGCGACCAGAAGAGCAGTTTGTTCGTTGTTCACCTCAAATGAAGCAGAAGTGAGAGAGAGAATCCGCTCTTCGATATCGTCCCACGCGGCGGCCATTCGCTGCTGCAATATCAACTGAGAGCGGTTCTCGAACTCGGCTTCGAAACACCTAGAACGACACCTCTTCAGTCTCGCCCTGGATTGCTTGTAACCAGCCGGCCTGAATGTCTTGATGATTCTAAAGAGCCCGTGGGTGCCATAGTCGGGGGCAGACTCGTTCGGTCAACGTCTCGCCGGACGTCTCTTTCTACTGACCACCTTCTGTCGATAATTCTAACCTCGAGTAGCAGGTGCAGGTGCAGGATCTTTCCTCAAATCACCAGCCAAGTCAATTGGATGCGCTGCTTCTAGAACCAGAAAGCACAACGTCGTGACTTTGTTGAGAGAAACTTCTGACGGCCAGTGAGCAGACAGATCTTTTCACCTCAGACCAACTGTGGCGCACCGCATCTCTTACGTACGCTGACCACCGAATTTGCCTCGCTTTCGACATGGAGTACCACGTCTCTGCAATCAACCTCGAGCGCAGAGGTTGCACGTTCAGTTGGCCCGGCTTCGTCGTGGGCGTAGTCCTTGGGCTGCTCACCATCTTCGGCTTCTACGCTTGCCTCCGCCTTCTCCAATACTGTGTCCGAAGCCGTCGTCCCAAAGACCTGGACCTACAACATGACTACCTTCCTTTCCATGCTATTCCAGTGGGATACCAGCGGCTAAGACTGCCACCTCCTTGTTCAGACTGTATCGCGTCAGTGCCAGCAGATAACTACCCTCATCCAGGAACAGCAGTGAGACCATTGACAGAAAGCCCCCGGCAAATGAGGGAGAGGCTGCAGCGACAGGCCACGACTCTTCACGAGCCGAAACCGTGGCTCCATCTCTCACCTAGTCCTCTGACCTTTGGGACAATGACCTAGGGAGGGGCGTGTGCGTCTCGGCCGACACGCAAATGATAACATTTACAGCGATTCACTCTCGAGGTCAGTACTTCAACGTGTTCATATCCTCATATCATACCCAGAAGGGCTGGTCACCATGCCCTCAGTTCATGCTTGAAAGTTTTTCGGCATCGAGATCCCCTTCCTTGTGTACCGTCCTGCTGGGAGCTGCGACCCTCTTCCCACTGCAAAGCCAGTTCTGGGCGATGAGAGAAGATAGGCGATGTCTGCGAAGGATTTGAGAGAAAAACAGGGCCTGACGGTGCCACTTTTACTGCAGGGCGTGCATGAATCACATTGTTTAGGAGCTGATATACCTCGCGCCTGTCGAACCAACCGGCGGACTCTCGAGTGCTACCAAGACTTTCCTATGAGTTAGCTTTCATCGTTGTCCTTTTCGCTCAGCAGAGATGGTTAACTTGCTTGAGATTGGCGCTGGGGAAGGGCCCTCATCGAAGCCATCTCTCTTTTCATCAACTTTTGTCGTCATACATTTTCACGATGAGTAGGCCACATCCAAACGTGTTTCCCATTGCCACTTTGTTCAGTGATGCCCAGATTAGTCTTCGATCAAGCTCCGACGCTTCGGAGCATCTCAGTCCGAGATATCTTGATGCATCGATTGTATGATTTCAAAAGGACCCGACGGATGAGGACCAAACCCGCACTTCTCCACGAAATGGTCTCTCGTCTCCAACTCCTTTTCCCACCCGTCGAGGTTATCCTCGGGGTAGGCGATGGGGTTTGGGTAGGCTGGGAGAATCTTCATGGAGGACTTTCACCCAGCCGATGCGATGTTATTTCCAAGGACTACATGTTCTCGGCAGCGTGGCATCTGCCAGTAGTGGGTCAATTGTATCGCCATCGTCTTGAAGCTTGAGCCTGCCCAGACAGACTTTGTCGTTCCCAAAGGCCGAAGGGAGTCAAGTTAGAAACATCAAGGGAAAAGGAAACGCAAAAGCAACTCGCCTCGTAACTAACTCACCATGGCAACGATCTTTCCGAACAATCTATATCGCCTTCGGCAGGCAGGTTCAATATGCAAGGTAGATACACCCCTCTCTACCTCTCGCTATCAGTCTCTCCGCGTACTTTCCTTCGTTCTCCCCCGGTCTCTCCAGAAACAATACATCAACGCAGCCCCCTAAACCCCTCTGTGGGATGAAAGGTCATCATAAAGTGACATTGGGTGTTGGACAGGTCTTCGGGATCAAACTCGCCCCGTCCGCGTCGGTCGTGCAGATCGCCGCAGCGGCCGGCTTCGACGCGCTGTTCATCGACCTCGAGCATTCGGCCCTGTCCCTCAACGATGCCAGCCTCCTCTGCACGACGGGTCTGTTGGCGGGGATAACCCCGTTCGTGAGAGTGCCGTACCAGTGCGGCGACGGGTTCGTCCAGAGGGTCCTGGACGGAGGAGCCATGGGGGTCATCTTCCCGCATGTGAGCACGAGAGGTACGTATCCCACGGCCAGTGCTTCTTTCCGACGGCCATTGTGAACCACCCCCTCACACGCATGCACGCACACCCGCACACACACGTATGCAAGGGAGTCTGTATCCGTCAATGCCACGAGACTTGTTCCGTTTTGAGGCTTGGGGCCTTTCTTTTTCTTCTCACCCCCCTCTCTTGATCGGCATATCGTGAGCAAGAAGCAGTGGAAAGCGAAGACTGATATTCCTCTGGGACCGTTCATATAGACGAGGCTGAATCTGCCGTCGCCATCTCAAAGTACCCGCCCGCCGGGAAACGCTCGATGACCGGACAACTCCCTCAGTTCGCATACGCGGCCCAGCCGCACGCCGTGGTGATCCCGCAATCCAACAACGTGGGCTCGACCGTCATCGTCATGATCGAAACAAAGGAGGCTCTGCAGAACCTCGACGCCATCGCCTCCGTCCCGGGCGTTGACGTGCTCCTTGTCGGGTCGAACGATTTGACCATCGAGCTCGGCATTTCCTCGCAGTTTGACAGTCCGGTGTACAAGGAAGCCATGGAGAAAATCAGCCAGGCGTGTAAAAAGCATGGCAAGATCATGGGCTTGGGTGGCGTCTACGACAATCCCACGATCCAAGGCTGGGCGGTCCATGACTTGGGCGTGGGATTTGTCCTGGGTGGCCAGGATTCCAGTTTCATTGCAAAGGCGGCAAAGGCCTGTGCTGAGGCGTTGGTTAAAGTAGAGAAGAGCCAGAACTGAGGAATCCAGTAGTGTCACCTGCAAAGGTAAACCCTGGGGCCGGAAGTGGCGAATGCGTATGTGCTCGTAGCGTCGCTCCATCGTAAACTCCCTTCCAGCTTGGTCCGTCTCGTAAGAGCATCGCGGCAAACAGGACTAGGCACGTTCATCAAGACCCACGTGAGGGAAGAACTGCTGTTCCCCAACCAAAGTTACACAGCAGACGGGTCCCCTTGCTGAGAACTCAAGCCGACCAACGACCGTATCGGCCACAAAGGTCTTACCCAAACAGCACGACAATTTCCAGTCCTGAGATCTTGGAGATGACAGCCAGAGGACTGAGTCGTATTCTCGGCTCATGCTGTCGTTTCGTTCGAAACTTCTTCTTGCGTCCGAAGACTAACAGTGCGAAGAACAGGCGGCGGGAAATCATAATTTGTGGCAACAGCCAATCGAGCGATGCCTCTTCGTACCTTGATCGAGAACCATTTGGCGCTGCTGTGTTTCTGGTGCCTTGCGTTGCGTTTCCGGTCGGGTTTCCAAAGTCAGGGGGTTGACAGAAATTCGTGCGACTTCGTATTGTCTTTGCTGGACCTGTGAGGAGATATTCACCTGAATGCCGACTTGTACCGTTTAAGGGAATGAAGAATTTGGCTCCGAGAAATGTTCAGCGATTGCACCTATGGAGTGAACCTTTTGTGCAGGCGACATCATTTCCTGAGCATCCATGTGCTGTGGATATAGTCGCGGTCCTGTGGCCACATCTGAGATCACACCAAATCTGTGTAATTGTTGCACGACATTGAAAAGCTCCAGATCCGAGCCAGGCCGCCCTACGAGACTGATCGATACTGGGAGATACTCAGTCCTAGAGGTAACCTTCGACAAGTACGGAACCTCTGCGACAGGAACTGTATAGTCTGGACAGCCTACCAGATACCCGAAGGAATAGATACTGAAAGCATCGTTGAAGAGCTCAGCCCGATCAGGCACATTGTCACGATAATCTGGGCGACCAAGGGATTGCGGGAATACCAATAAAGTGATGGCATCCTGGTCGTAGGAACCAAAAAGCGTCGTTTCGACCCAGAGTTTGAACGCCTGCATCGCCTCCAGAGCGCCAGTGATTTTCTCTGTCGACACGTTGCGCCCATGATCGAGACGGCGATTAACCAGGTCCGAGACTTTTGGAGGCTGCCCGTTGTTGTTGGCCTCGTATTTGCCGAAGAATTGATCGATGCCCCCGCCAACCGCAGAGGCCGTCGTAATAGTTGAATAGACATGCCCAACAGCTTGATCAAGCGACCTTGGCTGACCGATTGGCGGTGTGGCTCTCCACAGCTCGTCGATGTCAAAGAATACCCTCTCACAATCAAGATGACATTCGAGTCGACTGAGCATTGTCTCGATTTGCTTCTCAGCTTGGGACCAATATTTCGCGTCGACCGAAGGACGAGGAAGCCACTTTTGGTGCCCATGGTGAGGTGTCCCTCCATTTTCGGGCTGTGCAGGTCTGGTTGGGCAGAGCAAGTTGTACTTGCGACTTTCTGGAAATCTCGATGGGACCTGGGCTTGGGAAACGAGATAAGAGCCGACACGAGTGAAAACATCGACATTTCTGGCAAATATTCCAACCGTGTTAAACAAATCTGTTGCTCCGAGCACTCCCTCGAGGCTGAGCAGTCCATGCGAAGGTCGTTGTCCAAATACCCCGTTTACACCAGCCGGATGTCGAATTGACCCGCCGGTGTCTGTTCCAATTGTGAAGTCCAGCCACTCGTAAGCCGCTGCTGCTGCGGCACTGCCAGTACTGGAAGAAGAGGGCTTCTGTAGTCCGTCACCCCTAGGATTAAAGGGACAGACATCGTCAGTCCATTCGCAGGGATCGATGCCCTCGGCGAACTCGGTAGTCTTGAGCTTTCCGACTAGGATGGCGCCAGCTTCGAGTAGTATTTTGACAACTGGCGCCGTAGCTTTCTCTGCAGGATAGGTGTCGTGCCAGGCCTGGTTGCCAAAGCCGGTCTTCAGGCCTCTGATAGCAATCGAATCCTTGACTGCAAATCTCAAGCCAGCCAGGGGCCTACCGTCGTGGCAGCGATACAGCTTCGAGGGCAACGGGATGATATTCGGCAACTGCATATTTGTTAGGTTAGGGAACGTTGGCTGGGTCATCAACTCACTGGAAACCGCCGCCATGCCGATGTTGTGCCCGGTTGCCGCAGAATGCCAGTCACAAACGCATGATGGGAGTCTGCTGCCAGTTTGTATACGCGAAAGACGTTACCTGACGCTCTTGAAACAACGTATGGACCATTGCTCAGTTCGACTTCGGAGTTCCAGACAGAAAAGATCCGCCGCTTTCTGACATTGCATTTCGTACCTGGTGGACGTAGCAGGAGAATCACTGGATACGTGTCAATATCAGCAAAGCGAACGAGCACGAGTCGAATGGTATGCTACAGTAAGACTTACAGGAGACGAAACTTTTGGTCCAAATATCATCTGCGGTGCTGAAGTTCGTGGATATTGAAGCTAGATGAGCTGGGGTGAAGCTCGACTCCTTCCACTCAATGGCGGATGCTGGTATCAGCTCTTCGTCAAATAGAGCGAGTCTGGTCATACAGGAGGGCGGCAGACGACTGCATTTCGAATCGAAGGCGACATAGAAATTGTCCTGTCCGACTGTAATGAAGGGAGAGATGACCTCTGACATAGCACACAAAGCAATAGCAGGAGCGCGAAGTCAGAGGGCACGCAAGGACCAGGCGAAAAGGCATAGATCACTCACTTTCGGCGTGATCAAGATAGACTTCCTACACCAAAGACAAAGCCGGAAGCAGCTTACCTCTTTATATGAGACCATTGCGATAGACAGTGTCCACATGTAAGGGGTAGCAACAGTGGTTGTGGTGGTGCTAGGTGCAGTTGGGCCGTGTCACCTCAGATAAGCTCTACAGTGGCACTGATAAACACCGCTTGGCTGAGATACGTATACGGAGTACAGAAGTACCTAACACAGATGCAATTATGGCGACCCGCAGGACTGCCCCTGTCTCATTCATTGTGTAGTCAGGAGGCTCAAGGATCGAGAGATGTATATCATACTTCAAGATCCCAGGACGAAAGGGAGCGGTACAAGTCAACACTTTTTAGTCACCCTCCTCTCGCTGCGACGCGCCATTGCGTCCCATGCGCTCTCCTAGAGTCATATCCCCGGCCCTTTTATGGTAGCTATTGACAAAGTCTGCCCGACCACCATGCTTCGCAGTCCTAGCCCGAGCCGCGTTGTCTCGATCCCTCTCGGCTCTTTCCTTTTGTTCAAGTTCAGCCAGCCTTTGTTCTCGTCGTTGGTCGAGGTCGGTCGCATCATTTTGCATCGCAGCTAATCTGGCTGCTCTGTCTTCTTCCTTGGTATCTTCTTTCTTCTGTTCGCGGCGTGGACTGCGGTACCTCGGTGGCTCTGGCCTCGAAGAATGCCAACTTTGCATTTTGCGGACTCCATTGCTATGCCCGTTTCGGCGAGGAGAATTTGACCTGGACCGAGATCTTGGTCGTCGCCTTTCTTCGGGTGAATATGAACGTCTCCTCCGATAGGGAGATCGAGATCGTGACCTCGCGGGCCTCCGTGGAGGAGATCTCGATCGGGATGGAGACACGGAAGGAGTGTATGATCTCCGCTGCCGGTGCTTAGATCTTCCATGCCTGTCCACATCGTCGTCTCGATATGAACGGGAGTTATCATGTCTGTCAGGATCATCGCGGCGACTGTGGTGACGATGGTGGTGGTGGTGTTTCCTTCTTTTGCGATCCCGTTCCCGATCATCATCTTCCCTGCCAGCCGCCTTTAGCAGCAATCTTCGCTTGACCGGGTCATTCATCATAGCATCATATGCGGCCTGTTCCTGCTTCTTGATCGCCAGCATAGGGTCCTCTCTGATTTTTGCTGCCGTGTCTCTCGCGGTGTTGGCGTTCTGCACTGCAATGAACGAATCCTCTTTCGCGGATTTTTCCAGTTTCTGGTTCTCTGTGCCTTTCAGCAAACCATCTATCCGCCGCTTTCCCAACAGGTAGCCCTCCATCTCCTCGGTAGTGCCGGTTTGGCCGCTCGAGGGTCCATTGTACATCCAGTCAACCCGAGCTTGTCGCTTCCTCCCGCCAGCAGCCTCCTGCAATTCTTCGAGTTCTTGAATCGCTCTCTCTTCGGCGCGCTCTTTCATGATTTGATCAATTTTCTTGCGCTCCTCCAGCGCCTTTTTCTCCTCTTCCCAGACTTTCTTCTGGTTGCTCATGAGCACTGGGTGCCATGATTTCTTGAGATTGAGGTCGCCACCCATTTTGACGGCGTGCGGCGGTCTTTCGAGGATAGATGAAAGCTACCGCGGATGATGAGAGGACATGCACTTTGTCTGCGATGTCTTGTCGGATGCAGGGAAGTGCCCGGTCACGGTGTAGAGTACTCGAAGAGAAAGTTCAGGACCAGAAACGCGGATTTGTAGATTTAGGCGCAGGCGGCAGGCAGTAGAAAACTCCGCAAATGCGAGTGCGGGACAAGGCTGCGGCAGGCTTCGCTTCTCCGCAATTCGTTCACTCGTTCACTCGTTCACTATCCAAGTCTCAATCGCCGCTGGATCGATTACCATCTACCGCCCTTCGCGAACAGGAAACCTCTCTCCTCAGTCCCATCGTCCGTCTACGGGCACGACGTCTAATATTTGCTAGCACCACAGCCGCGTCGTCCTCGAACCTCTGCACCGCGCCGTTTCGATCGACCACCCATTCCCCATTCATCCATACACCCACGAGCACGATGTCGGACGACGATGATTTCATGCAAGAATCTGATCCAGAGCAGTACGCCAACTCCTGTGCTTCAAGACCCATACATCTGTGACTAATAAGAGCCTCTCCAGATATGACTTTGAATACGAGGACGACGATGACATGGGCGGTAACGACGCCTCCGTCGACATCGAAAACAAATACTACAATGCCAAACAGCTTAAAACCGACAACCCGGCCGAAGCAATAGAAGAGTTCCTCGGCGTTCCTGCCCTGGAAGAGGACAAAGGTGAATGGGGATTCAAGGGCCTCAAACAGGCAATCAAGTTGGAGTTCGCCCTGGGCAGATACGATGACGCGGTAACACATTACAAAGAGCTGTTGACTTATGTGAGGTCTGCCGTGACGAGGAACTACTCTGAAAAGTCCATCAACAATATGCTCGATTACATTGAGAAAGGGGCCGGTCAACCTGCCGCCAGCGCTGGCGCTCGTGCGAGCCGGGGCGACACGGAGACAACGGCGTATAAGTCCATGGAAGAGTTCTACCGGTTGACGCTTGATACTTTCCAGAGCACGAACAATGAGAGATTGGCTCTCAAGACGAATTTGAAACTGGCCAAGTTGTATCTCGACAAGAAGGACTACAATCAACTGAGCAACAAGGTCAGGGAGATCCACCAGGCGTGTCAGAAGGAAGACGGCACCGACGACCCCGGCAAGGGCACGTACTCGCTCGAGGCATACGCACTCGAGATCCAGATGTATGCCGAGATGAAAAACAACAAGCGTCTCAAATCTCTGTATCAAAAGGCTCTGACTGTTCGATCTGCGGTCCCTCATCCCAAGGTCCAAGGGATCATCCGAGAATGCGGCGGGAAGATGCACATGAGTGAGGAAAATTGGAAAGAGGCGCAAAGCGACTTCTTCGAGTCGTTCAAGAACTATGATGAAGCAGGGTCCATGCAGAGAATCCAGGTCTTGAAATACCTTGTTCTTACAACCATGTTGATGAAATCGACCATCAACCCATTCGATTCACAGGAAACGAAACCGTACAAGAACGATCCGCGCATTTCGGCAATGACAGACCTGGTGGATGCCTATCAGCGCGACGACATTCACCGCTACGAGTCCATTCTCAAGGAGAACCAAGATCTACTCGCCGACCCGTTCATTGCCGAAAATATTGACGAAGTCAGCCGGAACATGCGCACAAAGGCTGTCTTGAAGCTGATTGCACCGTACAGCCGCTTCACCCTGCAATTTATCTCAAAGCATATCAAGATCCCCGTCAGCGAGGTCCAGGACATTCTAGCCGTTCTGATTGTGGACAAGAAGCTGCAAGCGAGAATCAATCAGGAAAATGGGACCGTCTTAGTGGAAGACGCCCATGCAGATGACACGCAGCACTTGAACCAGCTTCGCGATTGGACCTCAGCCGCTGAAAGCTTGTGGTCGGTGTTGTTCAACGAGGGCGAAGGGTTCAAGCTCGAAGACGTTCAGGGTGGTGCCTCATTTCCAGGCCTGGTTTTCCCAATGGGCTTCGAAGCGAGTGGGCCCATCCCAAGCCGGGGCCCTGGGCGTCGGGGCCATGGACGCGGTCGGGGAGGCGGGAAGCCAGTTGCTCCAATATGAGAAGCGCATTTTGGCATGTCCCCAAGGGAGCGGGAACATGTGCGGCTGCGACAAATGGCAGCTGTGGTCGCACACGCCTTCGACTAGACACACCTAGCTTGGCATTCAAGGGCAATTTGACATCTGCATTGTTTTCAAGCCAGCTTGCAACACTACCTACCTGGCTGGGGACGAAGAAATGAACAGCGTCAAAATCTGGCCTGAAGGTCATGTTATTGCACCCAGGCAAGTGAAGGATCCGAAGTGGTCTGACACAGTGAGTTCAGCCGATGGTTGCTGCCAGATCCAACGCCACAGCAAGTAGGCAGAGGTTGAGAAGAAGGGGGTTTCTGAAAGTAGAAATCGGACCTGTGGAAGCGACAGAAATTGTGTGCAAGCAAGCTTCCTGCTCGGGCCTTGTTGAGATGGAGTGGCAAGTTGGGCTAGACCTGTGGAAAATACGGGGAGGCCTACCTATGCTGATTGCCAGCCTCAGCACAGCGGTCCCCTCACTGAGGCAATGATCGATGGTGGGTGTGGTAGCCTATAGCACAGCGTCAACCACGGACATACCCGTTGATAGACAGTGCTGTTGACACCCGTCGCGAGGATAGGGTTGTGGCAGAAACCGACCCGAAAGATTGTTCGGCTGATTTCCCTTCCATTTCCTCCTTCATTTGTCCTCTTCTCCGACCCTCTCTCGCCCTCTTTATCAAGGGGTTTGACCGAAACATGCGAGAGATGCAGTAAACGGTGTCGCCCCTGGCATGATGTTTGGGAGATAGAAGTTGCTATTCGCCCTTGGTCCTTGCCCGTGCAGTCCGTTTGATGCCGAAAACGGAACAGGCAAACGGTTGATTGGTAGGGATCTCGATCTGATATCATTTTTTGGAAGCACAGCGGAGCCACGTCGGCTTTCCGATGCTCTACACCACCCCAGGGCAGCAGCCAGGGCTTGTGAGCGCGCCACTAAGAAGTGGTTGCATGTTGCTTGTGGGGACAATGCTGAAGACCCTGGCTTTCAGCTTGTCGCCGATACGGGGCAGCCGCACGGTGTCCCAGGGCCGCCCAGGAAATCACTGAACTTGGACCTCTCTTGCACCTTGCATCCACCAGCAACGGTCAAGAATAGGCGGTCTTGGAGGGTCTGGTGGCGCCAGCAGCTTCTGTTTCGAGCCATGACAAGAGTCTGGTGCTAATGGTCGACCCTGGCCGATTGGACGGAGGTAACTTCCAGAGTGGCATTTGAATGACAATTCTTGCTTGCCAGCAAAGCAAGAGCGTCAGGGGGTATTGCACAGCAGCTTAGATAGTCCAGTTCGCACTGCTTAATCCGACATGGGAAGCTCCATAACCTGGAGTTATCCCATGCGTCCCCCCAGAGCCTGAGGATGAAAACCCTAACCAGTCGAGCTAAGCCGAAACCCTATGGTATCCGAGAACTACAGGAAAGCGGCGGTGGAGCAGTGGCTCTACCCGTAGGTAGGCACTGTCCTAAAACCAAGGGAATCGATTTGTTGTGCCCGCTCTGCGCTGGCCAGGGTCGACTGGAGGCTCGAGGCATTCTTGAAGCACAGCAGGTCTTGAACGTAAGCCGCGGTCTCTACTGGATGTCTGCTCTCCGCTTTCCGGCGGATGCAGTCAGTTGCGCAAGTGGAAATATATCGCCGCAGAGGGGCTGGGGCTGGTCTCTACCAACGAGGGTCGGGTATCTGGGGCTTTACCAATCGGAGGCTCGGGTAGCGGGCGTTGTCTGCCCGGGGGGCCCCCATCGAGTCAGAAGGTCCTTCGCAAAGAGAACAGGATGCGAGAATGATGGGCAGGATCTAGAGGTGCAGTAGCTTGTGGTCTGATGGTCCTTGGGGATACGGAGGGCCGACCGTCTTTTGCGCTGGACTTGTCGGTTTTCAGACTGGAACCTTGCACCGGATCGGCTGGGTCATGGCTCTTGCCTGCAACCGAAGGCATAAGTGCTGATTGCGTGCCGTGGATCCCTACCAAAAGGTCACTGATGGTCCGCCGATACAGGTTCTCGATTCCCAGACCCCCTTGTATCTCTCTTTGCCCATTTTTGCGGAGAGGGCCAGTCATTGAAGGGCAGCCAAGGTCGCGTTTTCCGGAGTGTGTTTCGGTAGGCTGGGGAGATGGTTAGTTCGCTCCTGTGATAAACCAATCAGCCAATGACCGAAAATGAATGCTGGCAAAAGCGACACCTTTCCATGCCATCCAGATTGATGGCCAATGCTGGAGTGAGGGAAGTGGCTTCGCTAATTCGCCGGCACAGCAGGACTTCGAAGCGGTGACTGGGGTGCGTGCTGCGCTTGGCTGCAGCAGGGGCGAGCACACAAGCTCACACAGTCGCAAAGTAAAGTTTGTTTCTGACAGATGGCAGAGAACAAGCCAAGTTCTCGAACATAAGGTTTCCTTTTCCCTGGAAAATGCAGCTCGGTGTGGACATCAGAGGGTGAGAGCGTGGTGAAAGTGGTTTAGATGGCAGGTCAGGGCGTGGATGGATTTGCCGATGTTCCCAAGTAGGCACAGTCCGAGTTGAGCGACATGCCCGCCCATACCTGCATGCCCCAGCACGCACGCCTTCTTTACCAGCACCACCACCACCACCACCTCCATCACCACCAACCTACCTACTGGCCTATCTACCTAACAAATCTGGGTACCCCACTGTTTGGAGGGGCTTTCTTAGGTATACCTACCTAGACAGCCTCCACATAGGCATGCCCGTAGAAGGTGCGCATGCCCGCTGATCAAACGTTGAGCCAGTAAACTCGTCCACCAACTACTCCTCGGAGCCTTAGTTAGAGCTGTCCTCCAACCTGGCCCTCATTTCACCTTGACCTGACCTCGTGTTTCACTTCAACCTTCAATTCTCCCATCCCTCTCAATGATAATACCTTTTCCTCCCCCTCCCTTCGGGTCTCTCATCATCCGTCGTGTCCCATTCCTTCGTCAAGCCTCAAGTCGGCCCCTCCTAGCCACCAATTAGGGTCACCGTTGATTGAAACCCCCCTATCCTCGGCTCACCCTCCCGGTCGAAGGAGCCAGCCGTTGCCCTCTCCCAGCTGCAGACGGTCACAATTGAGCAAACGGCATTTCTTATCCGGCCTGGTACTCAGGATAAACCTCAGCTGCTAAAGACATCCCCGATTGGCCCCGACCGACCATGGCCGACTGATCAACAAGTTAGCTTTCACAACGCCCACTCCGCCAGCATCAGGGGCACTCCGCGGCGCTGGGTTAAAGGAAGGCCTGCATTGGCGCCCCCAGCCTAAGCAAAGAACCAAACCATCGTTTAACATCACTTCCCACCTCTTTCTCTTGCCTGCTACCTCGCTCAACACATACACGAGTCAAGATCGCCCTTGTTTCTGAGTGCCGGCTTTGCGGGTTTGGCTTCTCGGTAAGCTCGTCTTGTCGACGTCAGCAGACGCTCCTACGTGAGATAGGGTCTCAGCCTCTTCGACTCCTGGATCAATTCGGAAAAACTGTATTCGGCCTCACGAGCCATCACCTATCTGATCCAGTCATGAATTAAAGGATCCTGAATCTGCCACCTGCGGTCCACGCAGGACGATTTTCAGGAACAAAACAGAGCTCATCAAGCAAATTCGATCACAACAAAGTCTCTCAGCCTAATTCGGCCCCACCAGATTGCCACCCGTGTCTGTCGCCCTGGCATTTCATTGTTCATCAAGAGGAGATGACATTTTGTCCAGAACCATTACCTTTTCACAGTTTGTCCGGTCCTTTTCCTCCTCAGCAAAATCCACGTCCGCGTTTGCGGTTCCAGCCCGATAGTCAACATTCTCTCACGTACGAATATTTTCCTGAACTTCCGTACAATCAACACTACGGCTATCCGACGCCGGCTGCATCGAATCGCACGGCCTCTGCAATGGCGACTCCAGACGTTGACGAAATGGAGCAATTCCAACAACTCTCCGACCAGTATCAGCCAAACCTGCCTGTATGTATGTGAGCCAGGGTGCACGCATGCCTCGCTAAGAATGCCTTAGGGACCATTGATAGGAAGTAAAAAACCACTATCTGACCTCGTGACCGAATACGCACAAGCTGATTCAACATACGTGGTCAAGACAAGGGTATGCGAGCTCTTTCCCTGTCGTTGGCTGTATACTTAAATTGCCAGGCTCTCGAAGCAACTCATTCCGCATATCGACAGGTCAAAGGTGACGGGCAATGCGGCTGGCGAGGTAAGGGCGCACCTTTACTCCTGGTATCGGAACGTCGCTGACCCAGGCAACTTGACCTTTGCAGGTGCTGTCTTCGGCTATTTCGAGATCCTGCTCCGATCTGGAGATCCCAGTTTGATCACCCAAGAGTTGGTTCGACTCCGAAGCTTTGAGCAGACTATGCGCAGCGTTGGCATTGACTACGATATCATAATCGACATGTTTGACTTTACTTGGGAGCTCTTTGACGCTCTCAAGTCTGCTGTCGAGCGGGGCGATACCAATGAGGCTGTGTTGCTTGATTCACTCAATGACGAGAATATATCGAATTCGATTGTCTATCATTTCAAGGTTGGTGCATCCCTTACCCCTCGGAGGATGCTTTTTGACATCGTACCAGATGATGACAAGCTCCTTCATGCAACTTCAACCGGACCGATACGAAGCATTCCTGGAAATGCCAGTTCAGCAATATTGTTTGACCAGGATCGATCCTGCAAACCAAGAGATTGATCATGTTGGGCTTCAAGCATTGACGGATGCCGTCATTGCGCCTGCATACATCGCGCTTGAAGTGGCATATTTGGACAGAAGCACCGGCGATGAAGTGACTTCATATCATTTCGTGGACAATGCGAAAGGGTGGCCCACAATTCGACTGATATATCGGCCGTGAGTTCTCTCCCTCATGTGGCTTTGGATGAGCTGAACTAATCCCAGGAATAGCGGTCATTACGATATCATTTACAAAGAGGATCAGATGCCTGCCCAAGGGCCGCAGCGGTTGCAGGTGTACCTGCAGACGGACACTCCTCAATACATCACCCCTCAACGGCCTGAGGTCTTCAAGTCTGAAGACCCTCAAGCTCTTGACGAACTATCTTTCATGTTCCCGCACGCTACACAGGCCATGACAGATTCGTCACTGTCGTTTTCGAGCAACGGCGTCTTCTCGCCTCGGTTCCAGAGTCCACCGGCCTTGATTTATGCACAGTCGAATTCGGCACAAGGGTCATACTTCCCACATATGCCGCCCAATACTTTTCATGCGATACCACCTCCGCAGCACCAGACACAACAGGCAGCACCACCTCCTCCAGTCAGAACCCACTCCCTCCCACAACGAAGCTATTCTTCGACGATGCTGCAGCTAACGCCGCAAATCTCGCCTTCGCCACAATCTCCCCAGCCCCCGTCTCCGGCAACTCCTAATTCTGCCGTCACTAAACCAGTCGTCATGCCCAACTCGAAGCCAAATGAGCCCCAGATCAGATACAACGAGAATTGTTTCAATTACAGTCTCCAGGGCAACAAAAGCATTCCGCTGGATCCAGCTTCGTTTGGCAGGTAAGCATGCCACCGTTATGGACCATCGACTCTTGGCTCTATCTTCCCTTTGTTTGTACAGTCATCACCTTACTGCATGCCTCCTACTTGACTGGTACGCGTCGCTAATACTTCATTTGTCGTCTTCAGTTCGGCCTTGAGCCCCGCACATTTTGCCAATTCGGCCTTTCAACCGTTGATATGGAATGCGGAGGAGGAATACGGCAAGCGTGACTGAATCAGCCTCTGTCCGAATTGGCAGCACAGCTGGCCCTCACCCAATGATCAGGCGGCGCTCTGGATTTTTTCTCCGGCGCCGGACAATCCACGTCAAATGCATCAACCAAAACGTGTGCAAATAATTTCCTATGCAAATCGGGGGCAACAATTCGACCATGCAATTAGTCCTATGAACATCGAAGCATTTCCCTGGCGAACCGGAGCAACGGCTTTTCTGATATGAGCATACCAGATGCACAGCAATATGGGGGGAGAAATCCACCGGTCTTTACTGAAGCATGGCAGTCGTTTTCATATCCTTTTTCATTCCTGTATGACACCAAACCGTCACGACTGTCATTACCGCTGTATAACTAATCACGAATCCGGTCCTGATAGAACCAGGAGGTGGGGAGAGCCGAGCTGTCCTTTCGAGCCCGGTGGATCGGTTCAAAGTCTTTACGAGCAAGAACAACAACGGGAGAAAAAAGAGAAAACAGACTCGACAAGAAAACCCAACGGGACCGTTGCCACAAGGCTGCGGCTGTGAGCATAGGCCCAAGGCGCAGGAAAGGCAAGGCAAGGCGAGGCGAGGCGAGCAGAGACAAAGTGGGGGTCTGATTTGGCGCTTGCAAGCGCCCGAGTGTTTGTGAAAGGGCATCCCCTTTTGATCCTCGAATCTTTTGCTTTGTGTTCTGCTTTTTTCTTTCTTTAACGGCAATGAAATAATGTCTTACACTCCGATTGCGCGAAAAGGGAGCGTATACCTGGGTGTCTACGGAGGACACGCTCGGCTTGAACTTCAGGATTGACACAGCCGGGCTCGCACGACGTAACGTAAGATTGATTGTCCAGCTGGCGTAGTGGTGGCGCCATCACCGTCGTTGTCCTTGACCGATCTCTGACGCGTACGGCCATCTCTATTCTATGGAAGATGCCACGGAGGGAAAGACAAGCGCCTCTGGCTGTTAGCCTGTGCTAGCAAACGCCATCGTCTCGGGGTCGACGCTGCAATGTGGTTGGTCTCATTGGTGTGTCCGGGGCTGGGGAGGTCAAGGACGGACGGGGGCTGCAGACCATCTATCTGCCCTTTTTGGACCCATTTTCACCAGCCAGTTCAAAGAATATCCGGCTCTTGTATCCTGTACACGCCATCCACGGTCTCTTTGCCCTCGGCCTTCATGGTGTTCAGTCCGTGGACGATCTCGCGCGCAAAGACGTCGGCGACGGATTGCGTCGAGATCGTCTCGGTGGCTGGCGGGCTGGTTGGATCGTCTTGGGCGCGCGGTCCTCCTCTTTCTGGGGGTTTGGCGGTGGAAAGCAGAGGTGAGGTTCTCTCTGCTGTTTGGGCCGAGGTCGAGGGTGAGAGTGGATGCGAGCATGACATCTCCCTCGTCAGCCAGGTCACGCTCTTCCCTTCCAGTCCGCAGGCGACGATGCGGCTGAAGCCCCATGACAAATAACCTCGCGTAGCAGGGTCGTAGGACGGCGAGGATACTTGCGCGGGGATGAAGTCATAGATTCCTCGTCCTGACGAGGGCACGGTAGCAGAAGGAGAAGGCCATGGTGAGGGAGAGGCTGCGCCGGGTGACGATGAGAGGGCTGATGAGGGCAAGGCAGACGACGACGGAGGCGCCGAGGGAAGCGGTGCGTCATATACGTTCAACCCTACTCCGTGGGAGGTAACGCCACGCGAGACCTGGACACCGATCGCACAGATTTTCCGATCGCTTGCCGCTGGGGACGACGGTGCTCCCGTGGCCGGCGTGGATGCGCTGTCTCGCCTACCACTTTCCTCGTCTGCGGCTCGGCCGGCATCCAGCACCACCCACACCCCCGGATCGTCCGTCCTGCCAGTCCGGACCCCCCAGCGCCCGCAGGTGCGCATGACACTCTCCTCCAGCAGCTTCACCCAGCATCTCGCGGTGATGCCAAACCTCCGCAGGTCGACGATCACGTACCCGGTCAACTGGCCGGGTGCGTGGTACGTGAGGAGGCCACCGCGGGGGGAGGCATGGAAAGTTGCCAGGCCATTGGCAGAAAGGAAAGCCTGCTGGTCCGCGGAGATTGGGTTGGCGAGCAGGTGCCGGCGTCCGACCGTGTACGTTGGAGGGGTGCTGAAAGTCAGGAGGACAGGATCTGGGGGTGTCTGGACGTGTGACGGTGTATGCCAGGAGGAGGAGGAGGAGGAGCTGACGTCGAGAGGTGGCAGCCGGGAGCTTGCATTGTCGTGCGAGGCGGTCGTCGTATGCCTTGTAGTGCAACTTCCATTTCCGGCGCCAAGCAAAGAGGAGTCTGGTCGATCGTGCCGTGGCCTCGAGGTGTTGCGCCTCAACGAGGTGCGTGCCGCTGCTGCGTCATCATTCTCATCAGCAGCGGCAGTGGCAGCATCCGCAGGTGGTCGGTCAATGACACTTTGCAACGACTGCCTCCCAGAGCCCTTGGCCGTGTCGTCGAGCGCCGGTGGATGCGCACTACTCGTGGCCTCGCCTCGTCTTCCTCCTTTCGCCGCTGCGTCATCTCTCGTGACCGCGCGCAGCCAATCCTTGTGTTGGAAATGTCTTTCCAGAATCGCCGTTTGTAGACGTAGTGAGTGGCTGTAAGGGATCAGGCCCGGGATGTGCAAGTGAGCTAAGCGCATGACGGTGCATTATTGATGTGCTCGTTCGACCCTGCGCTCTTGGAATTGATGCCTGGTGTGTCCGGCCAAACTCTATCTGGTCATTTGGCTCGAGCAGGGACGGGTCTGGCGGCGGTGGACCACAGGTTTGAAGGCGAGCGATGGTTCGAAGCCGAAACTGGGGACCCGCAGGCAATGGCCTCGAAGCAACGAGCTGGTTGTGCCAGCAGAAGACAGGGGTAATTGTCAAGCACAGGCCGTGGCCGTCGAGAGGGCCAGGGAGTCACCCGAGGGTTGCATGTATCTCTAGTTTCACGCTCGATGAGTTTTTTGGGCGTGTCTGGGTTGTTCGTTAAGCTAGGGCCAAAGTCTCCGGCAACGCTTGTGCCGCGTCTCAGCGAAAAGGCTGGTGGCGTCTCCGGCAAAAACACAGGATCAATCAGGCCAGGCAAGGATTCGGTTAATCACACCGGAGGCTTGTGTCGAGACGGGAGGGCTGGAAATGGAATAGACGACTGGGAGAATCCAAATTATCGAGATGAAGCAGCCTGTAGGTGATGGACGGAGCAGTACGAGGTAAGGTAGGGATGAGTCTAGGATGATCGTCGTCGTCGTCAAGCTTTTCGGGTAAGTTACCCACGTCCTTAGGCGTCTCTTTTGGCCCCCCGACAACAAGTAATAGCACCTAGTGATTTTCTAAGCATAGCAACAGCTCGAGGCTTCATTCTTGTGACGAGTAAGCTGAGTCTCCTGCGCAAGGCTGAACTGGCGCCCCAGAGATGGCTCAGAGATGGCTCAGAGATGGCTCAGAGATTCCCTCTTCAGAAAAGTGCCACGAGGTAAGTGTGTTCCCAGGTGAAGAGGACTCCTATTTCCTAACAACTACTCGGTACATACTAAGTTGTCCACGAACCCCAGAGACCGAACATAGGGAAGGAAAAAAATAATATAACAAATCCCACATGGAAGTCCCATTCCTGATTCTTTCCTTTGCCAGAGAGAACCAAAATATGGCACATGTTAATGCTGCTCATAAATGCCCGAGGCTCTCAACAAGAGGCATGCCGAATGGGCCCGTTTCCAGCCGCCGAGGTTACAGGGGGGAAAGCAACTCCCTAGGTGTGTGCGAAGTAATCAAAGCGGCCCTGTTAGGCATGTATATCTGGACCTCCTTTCTCGTAAGCTGGCGTCGTTAGGGCTGGAGCCGACGAGGTGACTGGCCCGATCCCGCACACCAGCCTCCTATAGTTTGCATCTCGACCGTTGGGAAGAAAAGATGGAGAACCCATGGCTCGGGTGACGAATTTCACCAAAGGGGGAAGAAGGGGATGGTTAGGGGTCATGTCAACTAGTTGGTTGTTGGTGGGTGTGTTGAAGCACGCTTTCTCACCAGGCCCATTCAGGTATTTGCACAAGACAACTTGCATACAGGTCACAACCGTATACAAACCTACCACAACGCCTCCCCCCGTCTTACCAACTTGGCTAGAGGTGGCCATCCCAGACCACCAGTCACACCCAGGAAGCCTCTTCCCTTGCCCATCATGTCAGGTTTCTTAACGGACCAATAAGTCGGACTCGCTCAACAGGGCTGGGATAGTGGAACTGCCTATTTGCGTCCACGTCCCGGGAAGACGCCTTACAACCAGGTCACGCTCGAACGCATCCTTTGATGCCAACTGGGCCCTTTCTCCTCGGTCTCGCTCCTGGTCCAGAGCGAAGCCGGTCCCAGCAACAACTGGGTATTTGCACTACTTCAGCGCCCTTCTTGCGTCAAGAGGGCGGCGGCACGGTATAGCCGCTGCCCGCTTGCAGCCCTAAGGTGCGAAGATCGATGATTTACAGAGAAAGGCTGAATATAGTTGGTCATCACTCACGCCGCTTGAAGATCAACGGGCCAATATCTTTTGGTTGTGCGGTGTGTCCCTGGGCGTTCTCATGTATATCAACATCACCTCCCTCTTTTCCTTTGCCTCTCCGTGCCATCGTCTGGGCTCTCCATGTCATTCGATAAATACCTCATTGCCACCCCCTTCGACGGTTCGCTCCTCCCCATACCGACGCTTCCATTCCGGACAACTGCACATTTCTCGCACAAATCTGTGCACAGCGAGCCCCTGTTCAGCCTGGAGCACCAAATCACCACGCCGGTGCTGAGAGCAGCAAACCCTCTTCTCTGCGTCAAACATCCTACCCGATCGAGGAATAGGTCGTGACCCTCGTGCTGCGCTGCTGTCACCATGAGCACCTCTCACAGCTCCGCTTCTACCAATGAGACTCCAGCCCGGCCCAAGACCGTCGACAGCCAGGACGCATTCAGAAATGGGCCTCAAGCCCCGACGGACACTCCACAGGCGTTAGCCGAGGTGAGAAAACAACAGCGTCTCCTCCCGACAGCAACCAGACTTGAGATCCTTCCCCCTCGGGGAGAAGTTGGCTGACTTTTGACCCCCAGTACGGCGAATACCTGGGTCGATGCATTGCCATGGCTGACAGCGAACCCGCCACCGCGCAGACGGGGAAGAAGCGGAAATGGGCTTCTGTGCAAAAGACGTGATGCCTTCGAACCCCCTGGACCGGACGGAAATGGTCATCAATGCCTGGCTGAGAGTTTTGGCTAAAGGGGGAAGCTTTCTCACTGTGCGTGCAGCGGGCAGGACCGGCTTCCCACTAGTGGCCAGGACAGTCGAGTAGGGTTGGGAGAAACGTGGAAAAATGGAGGCGTTTGCTTGAGTCTCGCTCCCAGAGTATTTCCCTCTTCCGTGTCGTCGGAAAGCTGCGTCTGCGTTGCAAAAAGCTGTCATTGATAAACCCCTGGAGGTTCCAAGCAGTAGTCCTATTTGATCAGAAATAGTCTGCTGCGTCAACGTCGCGGTAGCGTTTCCGTGCACTCCCAGTCCGCTCAGTGTTCGCGGTGCTGCGATGCACTTTGCTGCTCCCGTCATACATCCCTTCTGCGAACACTTTCTCCACCCTCATCAAGCCTTGGAAAACATCGACGTGCATCGCCCCGTCGTATTCATTGCTCGCCTGCCATCCATATGCGACCTGTGGATTCCCCATGACCGCCACGATTTCGTCACCACGGAGCAAACACCCACGGTCCCCTAGCTCGCGCAGAAGTGTGTGGTAAACCTTGGCAATAGCAAGATGACTGTCATCCTTGATAATCGCCTTGTTCGCCCAGAGAATCACAGCCACCAGCGTGCAAAAGTGGATGAATGGGATGACTGCTAGGATAGTACCCGCGTATCTCCACGTCACCTTGAGGACTTGCGCTGCAAATGGCTGGTCCCTGCCCGCGATGTTCTTCCTATACATAGCTGGAGAGTTGTCCATAAACGATATTGCACCCATTGTAAACGACGAGATGACGTTGGCCATATCCAAAGGCCCGAGTGTTCCCGAAAAGCTCAACTGAGACGTGTTCGTGTAAACCGCATATTCTTCTTTGCCATCGGCGGTCGGAGGGTTATCACTCCACCCAATTGCCCCGGCGAGCATCCTTCCAACAATGGAATATATTTCATAGTCGATAGTGACCTCACTGTAGTCGTCCCCGACTTGAGGCTGCGAAGAGGTCAGCTACACCGAAAACGAAGGGTATTTGATCGCCGTGCCAGCTAGAAAGATGAAGAAGAGAACCAGCCTATCCAAAGGGTACAACTTACCACTGTATTGTTGCAGATAAAATAGGTCCCGACCGCGTTTTCGTCGTCGTCACCAACACCGCCATTGTCGTCGGGGTAGGCAGCGGCCTGGAAAGTATGAATCTCCACACACCCGTCACCACAGGTCGAGTTCAACTTAGAGATGGTTAGTAGCCCTCCTGGCCCAGGACTTGCTGGCAGGGATCTGTTGACGTCTTTTTCGCCATCATGGTAGATGATGTATGAGAGATTGCCATACAGCCCTTCGGTGACGGTGAAGTCTTGGCAATAGGCTTGGGATTCAATATATCGGGAAGAAACACCAACGCTATTCGGGTCGTCTGGGTTCTGATCCTGGAAGTAGTAAAATGTGAAACCGTCCCAAGACGAGAAATAGCTCTGGTACTGCTCCACAACACCACTTTCATAGTCAAGAGGATTTGTGGTCTCTCCACGGACACCCCATTCTTGGACCGCGGCCAAATCAGCTGGATAATCACCAGTCGAAAGCGCATTCAAGTCGACTATGCTGATGTTGCCTTTCCGGAGAAGAACGAAATCGTTCGAAGTGTCCAAGTTGTAATTTAGACCGATGATGCCCACAAGGATCGTGACCGCCAAGTGGACAAGAAGCCATAAGATACAAAGAACCTGGGTCCTCGACGGCAGATATCTGCGCCTCTGATTCCGGGCCTTCCAAAGGAGCCTCATCACATTCAAGAGGCTATCGCACCCCATGACGAGATCGAAGGTCTCCAATGGTCGGTAACATGCCGCCAACATTCGCCAGCGGAGGAGCTTTGCGTAGCTGCGTAATGATGCCGCCAGGTTCACTCCGAGAAGAAGGGATACTCCCGTTGTGAGAGCATTGAACATTCTGCGTTGAGGTACGCTGATGGTTTGCTTCTTGGAATAAGAATAGAGGATGCCAAAGTAGACGACACAGAGGACGAGGCTGTTGAACCATTCACCAATAGTCAATCGTAAAAGCCGGTTTCGTTGTTTGTGATGTCTATACTCTCTCGAGGTATTGTGATCGGAACATTTCAGTTCCAGCACTTCGTGAAGTGAAGGGGTGATAGAACTGTAAATGCGTTCCTTCCACCCACTCAGACTGGAGGATCTTCTTTTATCGAGTGATTGCACCGCTGGTCTTGCGCCTGGCTCTGTTGATTCGGTCAGATAGCAGCCGGCACGCGGAGACCAACGACTTACGCGGCAGGGTTTGGGACAAAGAGATAGTATCAGAGTTCCCGGTATTGAGCCTTGTGGGAGGCGAAAGAGGCGAGGGAGGCGAAGGGGTTGGAGATATCTCGATGATAGGCACGTTTGTTGTTTCTGAATCATGTGGTGAATGACTCTCAACATCGTGGTCGACGTCGTCATGCGCATTTTCTTGGATGTGTCCTTGCTGGCCACCCACACCGTCGTCGTCATCTCCCGTAGGGAGTGGACTGTAGTTCCCTGGCGCTTCAGCGGCCATATTCACGGTAGTTCAGACATCAAGAGGCCCATGCGCGCTTTCCAACTGGACTTTGGTTGCATTGATTCCACGAAGAGGGGCATCGACGAAGGATATAGCGAGGAGAATCTTCAGGCCCACGCCTGAACGGCACTAGTCAAGGCGCCGATTCAGTTCTGTTTGATATGACCACCTCTTCCCGCCCATCGCGAACCCGAGGCTTCCGCCCAGTAGCGAGGCGCGATCTGACTGAAGTCCCATACATTGGGAGAGGTAGGTCGCTCAAGGATATGTGTCTGGGTTTTGCCCAAGGGGCCGTTTCAGGCGATCTTGCCAGCAACCGACGGGCCTCGCTAGCGGAGCAATTTGCTGACATCCCTGCAAAACGACAAAGTCAATCACGCTAGCCTTGTGATACTACCCCAACGGCCAAGGTCAAATGGCAAGTTGGCATGGGTTTGTGATCGGCCGCGAGACATTGGATGCCTTATTTAACGTAGAACATGCCCGCAAGGACCGTCCACTAGTGGAATATTCAAGATAGAGATTGCGCAAACCGCACGCTGGGATCAGGATGTCCACATTGTCACATGGTGCCCTTCCGCGCACGCAGGCAGAAGCCAGAGACAGGAAGTGCGTGCTGAAATTGATGCGCAAGCATGGAGTCTTCTCGCATTATTATTATGCGCTATGTTGTGGAGAAGGCGAACGTGTTTCGAGGAGGTTCAGGACTGGTAAGAGGGGAGGTTTCACAGATCGCAGACCTTTCTTCCTCGAGTAAGGACAAAGATGCTAGGGCTGGCTGCGGGACGCCCCTGCGGAATTTGGCCCGAACCGAGCAGGCTTCATCCACACTATTGTTGAATCCCATTGTTCGTGGAACATAATATCCATACCAGTTTCTTCCCAGGACAGAGTCTATTTCCAGATGGAGGCTGAGGCCCAAACAGCCACCATTGAACAAGTAGTCGTACGAATCAAGGCCTGTTGCAAACTCGCAGTGTGCGTAACCCTCCAAATCCTTGTATCGTCTCCACCTGTGAACTTCAGCAAGAATCGACCACGGGGTGCCTCTGCACGCGTGTCGAACCGAGACACCGATTGATTTTTGCCGTTCACCATGTCTTCACCTCGCCACGTCCGACCATGCTCGGATGGCGTGACATGCGTTCAACGTTCTGCCAAACTTGCAGTATCCAAATTTGGAGTATTCGCCGGGCATAGATGAAACTCCAAGCTAATATCCAGCCAAGTCAAACAGCATTTCGAGTTAGGCCTGCAGCAAGCCAGAATCGAAAGGTTGCCGGTTCGAACGCAAGTGGCTGCAGAAAGCCGGTCATTGATAATCTTCGTTCGAATGCTGGTATTTGCGGAGGTCTCGATTTCCGAGCTTCGGCGCCCCGTGCAAGGACGGTATCACATGAAGTGCCCGTAGAACGATGCTTGAAATGGTGAAGGACAGTCAAGCCACGGGGCGAACCATCTAGACTGCTCGGATGAGAAATGTACGAGGAAGTTCGATTCCAGGCATACCACAGACAGGGTTTCTGAAGTCTGAGCGCCAGCTTTCAGGAGAGCAACGAGGCAAAGCATGTGGTTCACGCCCTACCCACATTCAACATCTGAGTAGGCGTGAAGATCTGATGGTCGGCACTGAATTCGCAGTTGACGGTCAATCGCGTGCCGTTCGTGGCGACGGCTCGATTCTGGTGCAATTAGGCCAGCACAATCGTAACGGTTACCGAACGTGCAGACTCCATTCTGACTTGTTTCGACACTTCAACTCTTCTTGCTGTCGCTACCAGAAGCACCCGCAGCGTTTGGGTCTCCTGTCGCTGTTTTGCCAAACTCCAGTCCCAAATTTGACCACTCGTCTTTCGCCATGAGACCCTTCTCCATACGGCACCCGAGATATTCCTTTGCTAGTAATCTACACTCCTCATTGTTTCTTCCGGGAGGATTTTGTCTTCTCAAACATCGTAGATAGGAGGAGATGACGTGCTTGCATTCCGCGTCGTGATCAAGAGGAAAGGAGCCGCGCTCTGGAGGTGTTGGCTTGTAGTTGGCCGCGCCGCCACCCGGCGCACCGAAGCCAGACATTTGTACGCTCTGAAGCAGAAAGGACAGAAGGACTGTTGGGCAGAAATGGGCGTCGTGGAGGCTGGCGCTGCTTGAATATTTGCGGAGGATTGTATTTGGAAATTTGTTTCACGGAACTGGAAATAAGATCAGGCGATGGAAAGCTCAAGCTTTAGAAATTCAGCATCACGTGTCTTACGATCCTGTGGACCAAAGCTCGTGAGTTAAAAGTGGAAGACTTTCTCAACATATGATAATCAATATTCAAGGTGCATATAATTATCTATTCACTACAGAAGCAAAATGCTGATGAGCCAGGTGTAGAACTAGGCGGCCACAGACTGCGACGAGGGTCAAATAAAGTCAGTGATTCACACCCGGGGCATCTTTGCCCGTTATATCCATCATTAATACATCCAGCGGGAGGAACTAAGAGGAAATCAGCATATATGTCTCGAGAACAGTGTAGAGGGTCAAGTTTGAGAAGAGCAAGCAACATTTCAGTTCTCCAAGGTGATATATGTTCGACATGGGAATTCAGTAAGAACACAGCGAAATACATGAGATCATCAGGATGGACATATTGACAAGAAGGCATATTCTCACCTATTCGAGTACTTTGTCCTTCGGACCTGAGTAGAGCAAAGCGAATATACCTGCGCCAAACAGCCATCGGTCAGCTCAGCCGAGACTCTCAGATCTTGTGTGAAAGGGAAGAAAGTGTAAGCATCTATTTCAGGCTATTAGCAACTCTGTCAGCGAGTGGCCGGGAAGAGTAACGGTTTAGGCAAACATACCTCATTAAATCAGAATTTTCAGTGTTAACGTTCATTTCCAAGCGAAAGCTCGGTTCAAACAGTGTGAATATTGTTCATCATAGGATGCAAGTCGAGATGAGAGACACGAGGGGATCGCAAATACCTAGAACCAGCGCCGTTAGCATCACTTCACATATCTTATACCATCCAACAATGTCTTGTGCAAGCAGTCCTCAGCTGACGAGTTCTCAACAAGTGTTACGGCCCACATCACATCCACAAGGATTGTACGTCCTGCTTTTACAGATGTGTGAAGCCGCACACGCAGTCTGTCCGCCCGTTCGTTCAAGTCTTCGTCACAGGAAAGAGTACGGGGGTTAAGGGGAAGAAATAATCGGTGAGGAGTACCTGTTGCATTTCTCGTTAGCTTCCCAGGCCACGAAACAGAAAAAATCTGGGAAACAAGAAAAGGTTGCACTTGGATCAGACAAGGCTGAAACTTGTAATAGACAGATTCCACATGATGAATTAAGTCTGAGGAATGCCATTCGTGTCAAGGGGTCATCACCGAGGGAAGGGGAAGAGGAAGACGTGCATGCAAGCTCGTACCTTTCAAGAGATGTTGTGCAGTCGTGGCAGCATACAGAAGTTAGTCAAACACCTGTCATAACCTTCAAACAAGTCAGCGATCACTCTACAATAGCAGAATGCACAGGAGATTGGGCACAGAGGCAGTCAGCGTAATTCTAGAGATAAATTTTGCTCCTCATAGAACACAAGTTCTTGGAGTTGGATTGTATAATGTTCATCATTCAAACAGGGAATAGGAGACAGGGATGTGCTAACCTTGACAGCAACTATCAGGGACGAGGGTGAGTCCTTGCGAACTGCATGCTCCATTTCAGAACGATGAGATTCAAAAGAGGAATGAAACTCGAACTTTTGGAGAACCTGGGCTGCGGATAAAATAATAAATTGTGCCAAGCCCGACCTTTTTCAGTCTAGTGCCCTCTACGCATCAGAGCCTTGTTCAAATATCTCAGCCTCGCGGGTTCGAGTTGTCGACCATCCCTTCTTTTTGCTCTTGGCTTCCAAGTCAGCCGCCCATTAGCAACATGCCGCCCCTATTTCCTCAAGCCCCCTCATCAGCCTCAAAGATCAACGTTGCCTCAGGTCAACTTCCATCGTACGTTACTGCCTCGCAGGCTCCTACCAAAAAACCTCCGTGGCGCACTATCCGTCAACATGAATATGACAAATACGTGGCGGTCATTCTGCCCGATGGGCTTTACCATCTCATTTGGGAGAAAGTGAACGCAAGCATCGGGCCTGTAAAATATGCAAAGGTCATTATGAAGCTAGAAGATGTACTCAATGGAGAATTCTTCACAGTGTATGTAAAAACAGGTGAGGCCACCTGAATGCTGTCTTCTGCCCTCAACTCCCGAGGCTACGATCAGTCTACGCACAGGCAGACTGACTTCTCTTTGATGCTTAGGAAACATCCTGATGCTTTCAGAAGGTGAATCAGGTGTTGACAACGTCTTTTCATTGAAGGAAGGTATGTAAAGCCAACCAGTTGGTCGAAGCGATAATTTGGCTTCGGAGTTGCATTGGGATGACGTCCCTGAGCTGACTCGGAGTACCAGGAGTCCTGAGACTGGAGCTATCGAAAGATTCATACGAACGAGCTGGCCTGCAAGGCACCCCGATACCTTCTGGTGGTAGCAAACATGTCAAGTTGAGATACCGTACGTCTCTTCTTCGTTTCTGCATCGCCATTTTGCGGCACCGGAACTACGAGTCTGAGCTTGAAAATGGAACTGACACTCTAGCAGTCGTAGAGATCAATCTACGTCTCCCTTCAATGTTACACAGCAAAAAGGGCTTCGAGCGGCTTATCTGGGCTGCAAAGAATGTTCTAAACCAAAGTCTTAATTGGCTCTTCCTAGATCTCAATAGCAATATTGAAGGTAATTTTTCTACATTTTGACGCAGTCTGCCTAGTGGTGCTGATCCTCGCCACAGATGTCTCAGACCAGAACACACAGCCTTTGAGCAACCACCATCCCACAATCCACACGTTGACGCCGTTCACACAGTCTCTGACAAACACCTTGACTCCTCGTACAATGGCTGCAGTATCTGACGGGATCTCCCTTCTGTCCGCAGAGGCGCATGAGTCTTTGTATGATATATTGGAATATGTCGACATGCTCTCACTGGCTTCACCTCGTGTACAAGCCACGGACCAGACTCACTCTTTTCTCAGCCGATATGAGGTGCCTGACCTCTCAGATGAGGCCGACCCGAACGACCCCCACACGTCAGGACAACCCGTAAGGGTACTTACCTGGTCTGGGTTGATACCATCTCGATGGATATTGGAGTTATTGTGCGCCGTCATGTAAGTTGGTCGTCTCCATTTGAGCGCAGGAAAGAAAGTATCGGGTGCAATCGACAATACCCCAGCCCCATTTTGACGCTTGTCCCTGCTGCGCTCATTGCTGAGATGGATCTGAACAGAAGATACTCCCGAGCCGAAGGCTTCGAAGCACTACCGAGACGACAACAATGGTTCGCAATCAGTGTCTCTTCCCACAAGACGCAAGCAGTCAACCAAGTTGATGGTTATACGATCTTACTCCAGCCGGCCCGCAACGCTGAACAGCCTCGAATTCTTCATCCAGAAAGCCAAACAGCAGAGATGGACCTGGGGGAGGGGATACAACAACCTCCACGCCAAGAGCAGGGCGACGACGTGAATATGACGCAAGCACCGACACTCGACAAACCCCAGCAGACTCGGGAGCCCGCTTCCTTAAGAGCGGGATTTCAATGCCATCTCTGTGCGGAATACATTGGCAGTTTGACATAGCCAAGCAACCCGAGTGTAATTGAGCAGTTGAAATTCGTGGAGACATGAATATCATGAACTATGGTCTATTTGATTTGAGCATCAACAATGCGGTCAACCGCACCGGCTGTGTCCCTTAATGAATGTGCCAGATGGAAGCGACACTTTTGGGCTTGTTGTCTACCGCAAGTCGATACACATTCCAAGTGTACAGGTTCCTGGTAGGTTTAGTAAGAGAACCTGAAGGCAGGGTGATCGTCACCCAGATTATTGAGCTCGGCCTCTGGGAGATTGTACCGATAGTCCCTCAGACCCTTCTCCCGCAGCATGTTCTCTCGTCTGAGATACCACAAGAGAATGCACGAAGCCAGTGCTCCGGCAGAGAGAAGCCCCACGCCCGTTCCGAAACCAACTGGATATGTTGGAGCTTGCGACTTGAGATATATGTTGCTCCCGACGATGCCACCAATGTTTCCGATAGCTAATTGCATCGCGATTCCCACCCCACGCTTGTAATTGCCGCCAAGATTGTTGCTCAACCATCCTACAATCCCTGGCTGCGCCACGACGATGCCGCTTTCGAGGATAAAGAGGGCAAAATAACGCACTCCAACTGATACCGAAAAGTATGACAACAAAATGGCATATGCGATGATGGCGAGGATACATCCACCGAAGACGAACAAGAATCGGTGTTTGAGGTAATCGGACAGGAAAGCGCAGCTCAAGCATACCACGGTCCCGACAGCATAGAGGGGGATCGTCATCACTTGGGCTTTGGTCGAGGTCCAGCCCAATTCCAAGAGTATTGTGGGTAGGAAGTATGCAAACCCATAACTGGTCGTCAATATGCAGAGGTATGCGAAACTTGCAATCCAAATCTTGACGTCAGCGAGGCAACGCTTGATCGACTGCTTGTTCAAAATGTTCATCTCGATGCTTTTTATGTCTGATGCCAGCCTCTGCGCCCAGAACTGTCGTTCGTCTTCGGTGAGGAATTTTGCCGTCTCTGGCCAGTCGGGGAGGATCCAGTACGCTGGGATCGCCACCACAATGGTAATTAACCCTTCTATGATCAAGATCCATCTCCAGCCGCTGTAGCCGGAGATTCCGTCCATATGAGCGATCGCGTAGGCGAGAAGGCCACTGAAAGCTCCCGTGACAAGGGAAGAGCCGTAGAAAATGTTCATCCTCCACTGAAACTCGTGCCTCTTATAAAACATTGTCATCAAGTAGATCGACCCCGGGTAGACACCCGCCTCAAGACCGCCGAGGATGACTCTGCAGACAACGAGGCCTGCGTACGATCTTGTCAAACCCTGACACATGGTCACGATACCGAAGGTGAAGACTGAGAGGCTCAGCAAAAGTGACGGTCGAATCCGCTTGATCAGGATATTCGCAGGGACTTCTAGTAAGATGTACAGGATGAAGAAGACAAACAGGACGACATTGAAGTCCTGGCCATGCATGTGGAGATCCTTCTCCAGGCCTTGTATCCGGGCATTTGCGATATTGACTCTGCGTAACTTTTCAGCGTGAGTACACGGCGAGAATGGCGAGACTGACCTGTCAAGAATCGTACACATAAACAGCAGCGACAGCATCGGCAACAAGTTGAGGTCGCACTTTAAGAGGATGCGCCTTTCAGAGATTCGCACATCATTGGTTTCTTGCTGGATTTCTCTAGCAATACCCGCGGACTCATCTTTCTGCATCGATCTGGTTGTATGCTGGATACCGTCCGCCTCCATATCTGTCTGCAGAAAGGAAGATGCGCTGGGAAGGATACGACAAACCTTTTCGGGGCCCGGTGGTAAACGACGACGATAGAGATGAGCTCCAAGGCTCTACACAAAGAAAGGGTAAAAAACCATTAGAGCGGTCACCCACCATCCGTGCCGTGACCGTGCCGAAGGTGTGCCACGGCTCTCGATGAAGCCCGGAGATCGAACCATGACCATTGACGGAGTTCAACCGTGGCATTAATGCAAAGTTACCAAACCCGGCATAAAGAGAAGTCAACCACTTGCGTTATAAAGGCATTCGCTAACTCTTAAGCGAAAGCGATGGGTGCTGATTAATAGGATTGTGTAAGAATGCAGCAGGTCTGACTCTCGACCAAAACGGGAAAGTGGCGATGCCTAGAACGGCTAGCCTCTTGCCAAAGGACGGCCTTCCACCAATAGGAAGCCACTCCATGAGGAACCTTGCCTACTGCTTCTTTCAGCGGACAACCGGCCGAAGAGACCGCGACACTTGGGACAATCTGGAAAACAAGGCCCTGAGTCAGAAGACAGCTTCTCTTGCCTGAAACTGAAGCAACAGAAGGAGTATGGAGTGACTACGGAGTACAAGTGGGAGGGAAAATACCCGGCCGGCTCTGGCACCCCATGGTCGCAACGCTGATGCACTGGCGCGCAATCTGCGCGATTCAAAAACCGAGCAGCCGTACTCAGGAGAGCCTATCCATCAGGGTCACACTGGCTTATATTGGACGAGATCCCAGTATCTGACGGTAGATCGCCCAGCGCAGCAAGGCTCCCGGGAAAAATTGATTACGTGTGTTAAGGGCGAGTCTTTTCGGCTGTCCTTAGTCGAAGATGTACCCATCCCGACTATACTCTGCTGGATGCGATTGTTCACTAATTCAAGGACCTACCTGCACACCATGACGAAGCAAGATCAGCCCCTGATCTTTGTCCTGCAATCATCCTCCTCCCAATCACAGAGAGAGAAGGAGCTTCAGGCATCCGAGCGCAAAGCCCATGCCGCAAAGGTCTCGCATGCCAGACGCCGCCACGTGCGCGGAGTCGGCCAAGTCAGGCAGGGCAGAACAATTAACAGAAGTTCCTCTGGCGCAGTTGGCTCTAGGAGGTCTGAGCAGTCTATAGGTAGTACCGGGACAGGTTCGTGGGAGCCGATTCGAACAATTTCCTCTCACCAATGACCGTACACTGACCGGCTTTCCTTTGCCACAGATGATTATTGGATAGATGAAGCAGCACAAGAGGATAACCCAGCTGCGCTCCTACTTATACCCCGACGTACACCTCTACTGCTCTCACAACATGGCTCTTCTGATCCGTTCAGTTCTCAAGCCATCCCCATCACGCCCCGAGTGAACCAAGTCTTGCAATATGCGACCCAGTCGCTGGCCAGCCTCTTTGCCACGAGCTATGTCAGGCGACTATTTTCTGGTCCCTGGAAACAATATTTCGACCCCAAGGGTATCGGTGTCCTTCAGGATGTCAAATCATTTGCTTGGACCTGGGAATGGTCATCAGCCGAGGAAGGCGCACTCTCCTCCTATGTCTCGATGTACGCCACATCCATGACTCGATTCCTGCCACAGCACACACATAAAGAATACTCTATGATGGCCCTAAGCCTCCGAACTCGAAGTCTTGAGGTGTTGCGGAAGAGGATAAGCGATCTGGATGGGACGCGCGGCCCAGACATGGCGCTTATTATGAACGTGATGCGCCTGTTCCGCATGGACTCGTTCGCCGGAGACGTCAAAGCAGCGAGCCTGCATGCGAACATGATCCGTGGCTTTGCAGAGTCTGTCCCGGAGCTGGAGCGAAAAGGCCATTTCGTCCGCATGACGGTGTACAATGACATCGTCTCCGCGACCAACCAACTTCGACGGCCATTGTTAGACTATGAGAATTGGATCAAGGCATTTATGAACGAGTGCCGAGAACCAATTGCTCAATATCTTCCACCCGAGCCCCGGAACGACAAAGACATCCACTATACTGTGTCGTTGTATAAACTACGCACCGTCATGAAGCGGCTTCAATGGTATCTGTCGTTTGGGAAAGAGACAAGCTTCATGCCGCGTACATTGGCGGAAGCAGAGATGATTCATCGCTGGATAATACTGGCTGCTCAACAGAACATGGCGACCATCTTACACCTCTATGTGGAGTTGACCGAGGATGATGATGATCCTCACCTGGAACTTCATCTCACAAACATAGCCTTGACTCTGACGTTGATCATGTCCCTCCAAAAGAGCATTTGGGAAGCGGTACTCAACGGCGCCGACATCTGCGACTCTTCCCGGGTTATCATGCCACGGTTGGAGCGAGTGATGAGGTCGATCCTCGAGACTTCGACCTTAGAAGAGCTCCATTACTACCGGGAAGCACATTTCTGGGTCTTCTTTGTGGGAGCCCAGTTGGAGCAGCAGAAGAAGCTCAAGGCGAGCCGCCCGGGTCCCCGTCAGCAAAATCAGCCCGCATCCCATCCGTCATGGTACAGTAATATGCTCGTACAGCAGGCGCGGTTTCTGAACTTGTGGAAATGGCCCGATGCGCAGGACTTGGTGCGACGCTTCGTCTTCAACGAGTTTTGGGAGCCACACCCGAGTGTTTGGTATGAACACATCGTGCAAAGGCAGCAAAGCTTTGGCGACGCGGCGGACAGAGCTGTGACTGTGCCCAGCGACGGGCAATCTGCCTTGGTGCTCACAAGGCCTTCGGACAACGTTTCCTGGCCCGCGAATAGCACCATGTCTCATAGAGCCTGATACCAGCTGCAAGATGCGCGGCACATTTGGACGGAATTGAAACAAGCAGTATCGGATGGCTACCTGTTTCACCAACGCAATGGCTCCGAGGTCTTCACATACCGATACCTCAAGATCTCAAGGGATCAAAGTGTAAATGGAAGTCAGATAGAACGGGGTACCCTCCCTTGAAGTTTCAGCCTTGCCAAAATTTTACAATGTAGCGCTTGGCGGGCTGGCCTTCATCCCACGATGATGAGGATCAAAACAAAACCAAACCATCCCCGTGCCAAAAGGGCCCAGAGGAGCAAAAAAAAGGATGTGATCAGAATATATTAGCCCCTGCCCCGTTGACTCTGTAAACCCACTCAAGCCCTCAGCTACAAGACCCGCTCGATATATATATATAGATCTACACAGTATAAGTATATATTGCAATCCCCCAGAACCCACATATGCGCGCACCCTCTGCTACGAAACCCACTCAGATGACAGATCGCTGGGAACCCACCCCTTTCCTGTCAGCCCTCGAAGAGTCAACGGTGCGTGGATCAGATTCAACGATTCCTATCGCTTCAACAAATCTGACCCGGAGCCCCCACCCGCCACACCCACAATTAAGCACAATCGGGAGACAGAGGAATCGTTCGAAGTTGAAGCTCGTCCCGCCCCTGCGAACAGGTTTGGTCCGAATGTTGGAGGGAATTGTGGGACAGTGATTGATATGTGTCGAATATTTGCAGGATTTTTTGGTGGGGACGTTCTGATTGGGTTTCGTGGTGAGAGGTGCGGCAGAATCGTGGAATGCTGTTGTTGTGAAGCCTGGGGATTCCTTGGAGTAGCCTTTTGACTGGCCCAACCGGGAATTCGGAAGGATACGTGATTTCTGTGATGCTGCGCGAGCCAGTGTTCGGACTTCAATGAAGAGCGTGTCCCGGTGTCCCAACACCTTCTCCAGCAACCAGTCCGAACGCATGGAAATGGGTGGTCAGGATGGCGGAAGCCATAATTCGACATGCAGGTGGAAAAGCGTTATTGGGTTCGAGGCTGTATTTGAGTCTGTACCTGGCCTGACTCGCTCACTAGACCTAGAATATGGCAAACGAGATATCATCCTTCGACATCACCAGCAACGAGATTGTGGATCAAAGCAATATGCCTACCAATGACATGAGAATGGACTCATCGCCTCCTCGAAAAGTCGACAGATTACGCTGGGCAGCATTCCCACCCACCCATGGTAGATTTCGAGGAGATCTAGCGCTTCATGGACCTCCAAATTGATGGTTAAAGGCCCTTTACCATCTTGCCGCAGACTTAAGAAGACGACACAGTGCCCTTGCTTTGAGGTTGCTTCTTGTGAGACGATCGATTAAGCAGCGTCTTCTTTCTGCTGCGGATTACGGCGTCCAATGCAGAAGTGCCAGCTTCATCCTGGAGATAGCACACAGTTGCCAGTCTGTGTAGACTTGGGAGTACAGAGCCCACCACACACAAAGAGGTCTGCGATCTCAAACCAAAGACAGGACGTCTCCAAGCAGTCGAAACTCTGACAATGGGGACAAGGAACTGGTGCATGCAAGGGCGAGAGTCAGTCCAGATCGGTGGTTCTCTTACGGCCGTCGTTGTAGATGACATGGTTTAGGTGGGTGACCTCCAGTTTCAATCTGTAGAATAGTGATGTGCTGTGAATGGGGAGGTCGCCAAGTCAAGTGAAGAGGTTGGTTTGTCCAGACTTTGGCGGTTGTGGTTGATGCCAAGACCAACGAAACTGCGCGGCATCTGTATTTTGATCCGCCGCAGACATTTTCATTCTCGCTTCCGCATGCTCCACCGTTTATACACGTGATCACGCTAGACATTGAAATGGCGTTCCTTGTCGCTCTCGCTCTCCTGGCAAAATGCTGCCTCTTCACAGCCGACTTCCTCCTCTCCAACATCATCGCTTACTACATTCTCCAGAAGGGCATCGACATGATGGAGGAGTTCCAGTCCGAGACCGACAGCGACTACACCAGTTACTGGCGTGACTGGGTGAGTTCCATCCCCAAAGCCTCACATTCATCTCACATAACAATTCACCTCCTTGGTCCCTGAATGATAGAATGAACGGAACACCCTCTGCTGACTCTCACTTCCAGTTCATCTCCTCGCGTGGCAACGAGTACTTTTGTGAGATCGACGAAGAATACATCACCGACCGCTTCAACTTGACTGGCCTTAACACGGAAGTCCACTACTACCAACACGCTCTCGACCTCATCACTGACGTATTCGACCTCGACTGTGAAGATGACATGCGCGAGACGATCGAAAAGTCTGCACGTCATCTGTACGGGCTCGTCCATGCGCGCTACATTGTCACCACCCGCGGCTTGGCCAAGATGGTTGAGAAGTTTAAGAAATCTGATTTCGGCCGTTGCCCACGGGTCATGTGTGAGAGTCACCCGCTTCTGCCCTTCGGACCGAGCGACAACCCGGGCCTCAAGACCGTGAAGCTCTACTGCGCCAAGTGCGAGGACATCTACAATCCCAAATCATCTCGTCACGCCGCCATCGACGGTGCCTACTTCGGCAGTTCCTTCCACAACATCTTGTTCCAGGTCTACCCCGCTCTTGTCCCGGTCAAGTCCAGGAGACGCTACGAGCCCAAGGTCTTCGGATTCAAGGTGCATCACGCGGCTGTCTTGGCCAGGTGGCAGGATGCTGTGAGGAGACAGCAGCGCCGACGATTGGAGGAAGCTGGCGTGGTCGCCGAAGGGCAGCAATTGTTCATCGAGGGTGCCGAGAGCAGCGACGGGGCCGGTGACGATCGCGCCGAAGAACTGGACGACGACGAACTCGGCGACAATGGTGATCGCAGAATGGCTGCTGCCGGTGGCGAGACCGAGGGTGTGGCCTTGTACGGAGCTAACCCAGTTGGTGGGCAGGCAGCGCACTGAACAATGGAATCACGACATGCATTGAGAAACGGCGTTACGAGATCATGGCAGATTTGATGTAACGAATCGGTTGAGGAAAAGCGTGAAGGCGGGTCATTGCTTGCACAAAGAGTGCTTGAGCACACCGCCGGCGTCGGCATCGGCGTCCAGGCGTTCTATCGTCCTCTGGGACCACTGAACACATGGGGAATTCAATGGCTGAAATATGAAGAGCTGTGAGGGCTTGATCGAGGGTAAGGTGTGTTGTGCAAAGGACAGGGCACAGGTCATACCGCCAGTATGTAACGGAGACATCGTTCTAGAAATACTGAACTTCAACCAGCTTGAATGAGCAGATCCGGGTTCAAGAATCAACTCTCATTATTGTAGCTGGCTGGAAGGCGACCGTTTGCCTGCCCGTGCTGCATTTTGCTCCGCTAGCATTGCTGTATCAAAAAATGCCGCCCTTCCCAAGCCTCGGCCGTGTCGAGGTTCCCAGCATCCACCACGACGGCGTCGCAAGCGGCGGCGGCGGCGGCGGCTGCGGACCAGTCGACTGGCTCGTAGTCTGAGACCTCTAATCTCGTCGCCTCCTCTTGCCCTTGCGTCCCGTGTCCTCCTGCGCCTCATCGACTTCTTCGTCCTTGCCTTTCCGGAGCTCCTCTGGCTGCAGTCCCCATGCCTCGGCATCGATCCAGTCCTCTCCGTCGGACCACTCGCCCACGTGGCCCTCGGTCCTGCACCAGTTCCAGACTTTGTCGCGCATCCGTTTCGCTTTGATGAGTTTCCCCAACACGGCCTCATAGCCGCGCACGCTCTCCTCTTGCTTTTGGATATACATCATTAGAAGACGGCGGGTCTCCATTAGTTCGTCGACCGGAAGGCCTAGGCGCGCCAGGCTTCGTGGTGGCCGGTGGTTAGCTGCGAGGACGGGAGGAAGGAGGAATAACGGGTCGGGTTGAAGGAGGTATGAGTCAATGGTGGAAACCGTCGACTCCGGTGAGAGAGGAGGGGTCGGTGCGGTCGAGCTGTTGTGCTCGGCGGCCAGGGCTCGAGTAATTCTTCGCGTGGGTTTCGGGTGACTCTCATCTTCGGACACTGCTTCATCTTCCTGCGCCTGTTGTTGCTCCTGGCCATCCACTGCCTCATTTGTGGACGCATCTGGTGCATCCTCCGCGTCAATCTCTGTGATCCCAGTGGTGTCGTCTTTTAAAGCTGGTTCATCTTCTCTTTTATGTATTCCATTCGTCTTTGGACGCTCGGTTTCACCACCAGCTCCTTCTTTGGCGCGTTGCTGGACTGCCATCTCAGGATGCTGCCGGGACTTGCTGGCGGCCTTTCCAGCTTGATTCCTGTCATTCGTGTTCAGACTGGTCTCTGACGCACTGGCTCCAGGATTGGACGCATTCTCGTCCTTTCCACCATTCGTGTAGTTGTGCCCATTGACCCCGTTCTGAGAGGCCTCGTTCTCGAAGCCGCGCTTCCTCTTCTTTCCCGCTTGCTGTGTGGACAATTTGGGTTTGGGTTCAAAGAGATCCCAATCATCTGCACCTTCAGTACTCTCGAGGGGCATCCACGGCTCATCTCCCATGAATTGTCTGTTCAGATTTTTGGCACGCCAGAGGTTGGCTCTCTCTTGACGCAGTTTCCCTTCGGTGGATTTGATCATATCAGGAAGGGCACGGTCGGTAAAGGGTAAAGATAGCGTAGGGTGATTCGAAAGCTCAGAGGGATGTTTCAAGGGGCATAACAGCTCTGGCACCTCATATTAGCGATCGCATCGACATTGAGAATGCAGCTAGAGGGCATTACCTTCAAGTCGGATGCCGGCGTATGCGTTCTCGTCTTCCGCATCTGCATCTGCCTCGGCGTCACTTTCGCTATCTTCCAGTTCGTCGCCAAACTCGTTGTATCTTCTCGGGTTGCGTTGAAGGATGTATCGCGTGTAGCCAGCATGTTCTATTTTCTGCGCGCACAGTGAGCTTCTCGAGCCTCCAAACACCCCACCAGAATGCTCGGATCTAGACGTACTTGTTTATGGCCTTCTATCCCGTGCGGATAGGGCAGAGCACCAGCGTGAATATAGTTTGCTCCACGGGCTAGTTTATGGCCTCTATTTGTGGCAGCGGGGGTAAACTGATCCGTCGGACCTGGATGTGGAGGGTAGGATTAGCTCAATATTTCGCAATGAGCATGTCTCGAGGAGTGAGGAGGTTGTTTACCATCTCTTTCGCGCCGTAGAGTTCTTTTCAGCGCGGCGATTGTCTCTGCAATTTCCACATGTTGGGGAGGCATATCGACGGTCGACAATGGGAAGGGGGGAGTGGCCGGTCAGAGCGAAGTTGACAAGACCAGCCCGCGCAGTCGGGTGCGATATAGCGGAGATGAAAAGGGTGGAAGCGAACAACTGAAAGCAAAGCGACGCTCAATTACCACTCAGCATAATGAGCGTACTATTATGGTCCTAACATTGGAAGAATGAGTCGAACGGACGACGAAGGAGGCTCGCAGGTCACTTTCAAACTTCACCATCCCTCACTCCTCATCCGGTTGCCCACAAGCACCTGCAGCCAATCATAATATGCGCCCTGAACTGGAGCCGCGGCAAACCTGCCAGAAATAAAAGGTCTCCAGGGTTCACGGGATTTCCCAGCTTATGACGCAATGGTGCGAGCAGAGCAACCGAGTTTCTTGTGTATAGAAGTCCTAGAGTACGGAGTACTTGAAGGGGCCTGAGGCATCAGCGCTCACCGATAGGCGTCCATGACGGGTCGGATGGGTCCCTTGCATATACGTTAGAGCCATCCAGATCTTTTGTGTATCTATTGTTTCTCTATCCGTGCACCTCATGCCTTCTTTCGTTCTTTCTGCTTGGTCATTGACCGGGTTACAGGCCTCGCTTCCTTCTTCGCATAGATTGCCGCCGTGAAGGGACTGGGACATGTTAGTGGTTGGACCCGCAAAGCATTCAAGGTATCTCACTCTTCGAATCGCAGTGCACCGAGATACATCACAAACACCTCCAAAGTCAGTAGCACGCCGGCCGTGCGACCATAATACAAAGCGGTGCCCAAGAATGAGAGTGTGCTTCCCCAGTACATTGGTGCGTCGGTGACATTGAACGGAAATCCTTCAACTTTGTGATCCATTAAGATGCCAAAGTAATCACCCAGGTACGTCCCGGTGACGCCCAGTGCCCACATACTGGACAGCACGAGCACATTGCCGGTAAGAAAGAGGACCACCCCGACTTCCGGCTGATGTAATGGTGGATAGATTGGCTGCTGCTCCAGCGCGGTCTTGTAGAGGGAGTCTCGAATGACGCCGATGGCGAAGATAGTCACTGCTAGAGCGTAGCAGCCATAATGAGGTGAGCCAAAGGTCTTGGTCAAGAAGTGAGTTTTGTGCTCTACTCCAGTCAGTTGGGGGCTGCTGTCACGGAAGATCTTGCTTGCCTTGTCGGGCGACGATGCTTTTGCGGTTAGTTCCTGAGTATATCAATGTCTGGGTGCTCGATACTTACTTCCAGAAAATTGGATTGAACGCAATGGCGCCCGCTGCAACTGTAGGACTCTGTTAGTCCGTGTCGCATAGGCAACAGCCATTGACTTCAAGCCTTACCATAGAGAGACGGCTGGGATGAGTCCATAAACCCAGTCTTCTCTTGCCCCGTCAGGCCAGCAAAGATGTTCTGAATTTTGTCCATTCTTGAGTCGGTCCGACCGAGCTTTTCTCGAAAGTGCTTTATCGAGGACAGGCTAGCAAGTGAAAAAGCCCAAGCAAAAAAGGAAGAAGCGCGCGAATCTGAATCGAGACGAACGATATGGCTTGGCACAGATATTATTATGACGTGATACTATGGACAAATCCGTTGCTGAAATTGCCTTGCCTAGCCATTCAATCTTCCAACCCGTTCACTCTGTTCTTCCGGCAACGCAATTGACAGCAGCGGAATTGACTGTCGCGTCTGGTCTGATTTGACTCTCTTTTCACCACTTTTGTGGCTCATCTCCGGATGTTATCTCTCCAAGGGGCTCTACACCGCGCTGGAAACCCATTTTTTTTTAAGCTGCTCAAAGGCTTCACAACAAAGATACAGGATACTAGATGGTATGCTGGTTCTGAAAACGGACCTTTCAACCTCAGCACAATTCGCTGTGATATACTCTGGAGTCGATCGACGAAGGAGAGCTGTCTAGAGCTCTATTCTAGGTACCTGGGATATGGTCACATTGGCTGCTAAACTAATAGGTTGATTAGACCTTGACGAGCACGTTTCCCTTCTTGTCCACCTTGACTCCATGGCCTCCCGGCAGAACCCTCAACGTCTGTCCAAAATATGCATCAACCACGTTCATATGCACGGCGATCCATTCATCCTTCTTATTTGGCAGGATCCGATAATTCAACGTCTGCCTGCTGATGGGGACCAAGCTGATCGCGCACGCTTTCGGCCCACTGAACGCAAAATCCTCGCTCGCCTCCATGGACACGTTAAATGTAAGATAATGCATGCTCGGATTCTCGATCGTGAAAGAGAGCCTGTGCGCCTCAATGTTCAATGGTCCGAGACTAGTCGAGGAAACAGTGAGCATCACTCTTGGCTCAGCCATCGGCGCCACTAGTCGAGGCACTTCAAGAAGGGTTGTGTTGACTTCGTGTGAATCCTGTCGGCGCCAGCCGATTTCTAGTGCAAGTTCGACCGCCACCGTATGCCGGTCGCCAAGTATCAGTTTCTGCAGTGTGAGATCAAAATCGAACCTCTCCGTGTGGTCTGGTGCTATCACTGTCGAAATAGTTGCATCGGGATCTTTGACTGCAGCGTCTGTCTCTGCCGCTTTCCTCACAATGCCAGTAGTCGCTGAACAGACGGCACCCCCTACAATTTTCGTCGCTGTGAGCAATATGGCTTCAATTACTAGCGGGTCCGTGGCGAAGGAGTAGAGACTTGCTGCAACAGAGTATAGATGCCTCAGACCCATAGGGGCCAAAGAATCGGAGCGTTGTGGAGGCGCTTCGAAGAAATTCGGCCAAGGTTCTTTGTCCAGCTGGGGGCTGAAGTCGTAGTTTGCTTCAAAAGGGCGGATGACTCCGACATCGACAGTCAGGGTCTTGGTGAGAATCGTTTCCGGTTCTGAGTCGAGCCGGTAAGTCGCGAGAAGTTCTACTTCGTGATCGAGGGCGGCGGCTGTATTCGTTATGCGAAGTGACACGACAGCCTTTCCTGACGATGAAATTGAGCCAAGTTCACGCTTTTCCAGTGTTAGAACTCCAGCTCCAGATGCAGCCGCTCGAGCGATTTCCAGTCCCTCCCCAACCCACATCATCTGCGCCGCGCCCTCAACTGGGCTGATCATACGAGCATCGAGCGACACAGTTGCATCTTCCGCTTCTTCGTTCAAGATCTCAAAGTCTATTGTCATTGATTCGTTTGTGTAGTATGATCGTCGTAATCCGGGGGCCTCAATTTTTAGTTTCGGTGGTTTAGGCTGCACGTGGATCTTGTTGAATGCATTGGACTCTTGTCCAAGTGATCGAAGCGTGGGTTTGCCCGCTTTCGATTCCCACCAGTGACCTATCGAATGGGAAAAGTCGGTCGAGGTTGCAGCAAAGGTTAGATTCTCATCGTTGATAATCAGTGTAATGGAAGCAACGGAAATTTCCCCGGCTTCCCTAGGTATGACATATAGCCGGAATATCTTGGTGCTGCTTGGTGGAATCGTCAGATCAGCACTGCTCGTCTGTGATGCAACAACGCCAGCAGAAGATCTTTTTGTAGATGATAAGGACATGTTCGAAGACTCATCCAAACGAATGTCAATGAATTCGGCAGCCGAGGAATTAGCCTTGCTATCCTCGCCTTCCTTTGCAACCAGATAAACGGGTTTCAGGCTGCCTTCGAAGACAACCTTGATCTCCGATAGGCGGATGGCTGGTAGACCAACCTGCGCTCGAGACAGTATGCAGAGTTGACACTCCACAGGCTCTCCGACAAAAACGTCGTGCGTTGAGAAAGTAAATGTTGCAATCAACGGAGAAAGAGCCTCATCAATGCCCACCGCGACAGACAGCAGCATTTCCGTGGCGCTGGACGATGCGATCCCTCGGCGGAGATCATAGTTAGTGTTCGGCTTCCGGTCGAATACTTCGTTCGAGAGCTCCCAGATCAACTGGATTAGCAACTCGCCGTTATCGACATGAGCAAGGCAATCAAGGAGTGCCCAACCAAGACCCTGAAGCAACTTCCACCATCCAGCGTGTCTCCAGTGTTGGCTATACCACAGCTGTCGTAATGTGGTGACTGCTTCTGCCCACAACTCTGCCTGGATTTGCTGGAAAGCCTTCTGGAGCTCGAGAGCCTCAATTTTGTGCAGTTGGCCTCGTTTTGCGAAAGAACCGATGGCCGCATCCAACGTTGAGACGATCTCTCCCACATAATCATACCCTCGGCTTCCGTCTGTAGGAACTTCACGGTACGGCTCCAGCGCAAGATACGTATCGTAAAGATGAGCCTTGCTAGCAACCATGGAAGCCGGTGAACGACCTGGTGACAGCCTATCTTCCTCTGGGATTTGCAGGGCCCAATCTCGGCGCGCATGAATGCATTTCTTTGCAATGTCCAACCAATATCCCTCATGGTGAAGCTGTTCCCAGGGGACAAAACGCTCGCCGACAGAAAGTGACTTGTCCACATCAACGAAGATAGGAAGCAGGCCAGGGGTGCTGGGGAGCTTTATATTCAACGCGGGATATTCCGACCGAGATATCAGATCAGCCATGATTTTTGCCCAAGCAGTCTGCCACGCTTCCCAACCGTAGTTATCTGTTCCCTTACCTCTTCGGTCCACCAGATCTCTGGTTCGGTCTCGGTGGGCCACCCATGATCTCACCGCTGTCGTAACTTGATCAGTCCACAAGAGACACCTGATTGTGCGAAAAGCAATGACATCTGCCAACAGTCTTGCTTCGTTGAAACGCGGGCTCCAAACAGCAATAGCATCTATGATTTCAGCAGCAAACAGATTATCGTAAGCAGTTTCATAGTTCCGACACGCTGCATCCATCTCTTGCCGGAACTCAGCGAAGGCGCCGAGCTTGAATTCATATCGAACATTCCAACCTTGTAACGACAGTATGTGCGAGCTTCCCGGCTGTACAGTAGGTTGGGGGGCTGCGCTTCGATTACGCTTGCGCCGTGCATGTTTCGAAAGATCTCGGTAATATTCTACACAAGCAGGATGAAGAGATGAAAGAACAGAGTTGACAGATGCATTAATCTCTGTGGGCGAAGAGTTATGGGCGAGGAAATAGATGCTTTTGCCGTCTAAGCCGGTTGCACGTCGAATGGTGCTGAAGCGCTCTTCGAGATCCGAAGGGCTAATTAGGCCATCTCCAAGTAATATCACCACAAGTCTGGTCTTGTAATTTGCCGACGTAAGGACACTGCGCACGTTGTTGATCTCGGATTTCAATTTATTGTCCTGAAGTGAGCTTGTGTTGGGATCGGAGCCGAGAGTAAAGACCATCAAGAAGGCGCAAGGCAGTCGTGACTGGTGCTTTGTGATCCACAGGGGAGAAATGATGCCGTCAGGATACAACGGAGAGCTGGGAGTCAAGGGCGACAGCGGAGAATGTAGCACAAGTGCTGGCGGGGGACTTCCATTTGCACCGACAGCCGATAAACGGGGAGAATGGGGAGGGGGTGGTGCTTTGCGAGGAGGAAGAGTGTAAACCTGCACTATGTGTCAGCGTCGCGAATTTTGAGGAAAGGTTTATGGTAAGGGGAGCGCTGACCTACCCGTCCGACCTTGACTATCTTGAAAACCTTGCCATTCCTCGCAGTGAAATATTGAGAGTGCCATGGAGTATCAGAGGCATCTTGTTCGCAGAAAGATTGGAGCAACTGCTCCGCGAGAGGCCCGCTGACGATGGGCGCATCGACCTTGATTCTAAATCCGCCTTCGTGCAAGAAGTCGTGGGTCTTTACTGAGGGGTCTGGCTCGCTCGGGCTTCTCGTCTCCAGGCCTGACAGAAGCAGTAAAGGCAGGTTATGAAGGACGTAGTCTTGCGGGAAACGGTCCATGATGATCGGACATCTTGCGTTCTGACAGTAGTCAGATGCCGATTACAGAGGAGCGTGTCTGTGTCTCGCGGCGGTATACGATGGCAGCAACAGACCAAGAAAGAATGTCGTCAACCTGCATTCAATCTGCGATTGAGGTTAGAAGATGGTGGATAGGAAGTAAGATGGAGGCAAGACTGGCTGCGCTCGCCGCACTTTCCCAATTTGGAGCAGTTCGTAGTGTGCTCGGGAAATGCATCCTCCTTCATGCGACAAACTCATCATGTAACTACGACTCGACATCTCTCTGGCTCTCCCCAATGGTCTATCTCCCATCATTGGGACATGCAAGGATACCTGTACTTCGTTCTGAGAAATGTGACTCTGCGCCATTGCTCTGGATTGTGCCACCTCTGGCAGACTGGTCGCAACTTTCCCCTCTCTACATAGGTTGCTTCGATTACTCGACGTGCTCCAGAATACTCCGCCCACGCCCTTGAACCATGCTGCGGGTTCAACTAAGCACTTGGACAATTGGCGACTGACTTGGAGGGGCTCATACCGTCACAAATACGTGGGAATTCCCCTTGGCTATCTCCTGCGGACATGGCTCATTATGTGATCGTCCCCCTGGCTGCAATCCACGGTCGAGTCAGTGTGTGTTTGTCTTGAGACACCAGAACTCGTGGACGGATCTTGCAATCCGGTATTGCGCCTTGCTGTCGACCTCGAGTGCCTCACATTGAGGGTTTCTTCCTGTGCTGCAAGGTTGGCCCACACCTGTGCATGTGGCTCTTCTTGTGCTGATGATGCGTGAACCCAGCATTTGCATGACTGATATAAGCTCGATGTGTAAGATGCGTCTCGGGCATCGCTTTTTGCTTGCGACCCCCTGGTCTTCGACAGGCCAAGGGCAGTTACCAGATTGGGTATTTGTCTCTTCTGTTTCGGCCCGCAGAGCTCAAGCCGCCCCAGCTCCACGGATAGGTCCAGTGTTCTTCCAATAATGCAGCACGCTGACTAGACCCCACTCCTTTGTCATGGCGCCATGCGAAGCACAGATCATGGCTTGCCTCTTCCTCCTCATCTACAAGTACACCTGGTTATTGCCGCTCTTTGGCCGCGGTTAGCTTACCAAGCCATGCGAGGAACGGCTAGTTCATCTGAGCCCTTCATTGGCCAACTTGACCTTCGGGGTGAAGTCACAAAGGGGGAATCCGCGGGTTCTTCTTACGAGCGATGCACGACAACGGTATCTGCTTCTGGAAGGCGCAAAGAGCGGCAAGACGGCAACGCGCCATCTCGGCTGGAATAGCATTGTCAGTCTTCTTCCAGCGCCAGTTACGTGCACGACCTGCAGCCTAATCTCACGAGGACAACGTCTCGAACCCCATCGGATGTGGACCCCGAGAGCCGAATGCACAGGGATACAGAGGACTGCATGAAGTCGTGTCAACGTACAAGTACACTGTTACTACGCATACCGTGGTCACGGGGCGCTTCCATATGGCCGGTGGCAAGGCATTCATCCTAAGAATATCGCATCACAGACCACATCCCCTCCCAAGGGCCCAATAAGTGCTCTCTGCCAGGTGGAATTATTCAGCCGGACAATGCAGGGTGCAGCATCTCCAGCATTCCTAAAAGAGTAGGTGCTCTAGGGCCCTAAGCCTTGGACGGGGCCTTGATCCCACCTCCTAGGAAATGCGAAGTTGGCGAAGACCAATCGATCCATCTGGCTCGCTGGCTACCCACTCTCCCGTTTTCCGGCGGCGAGTCAGATCCATGGAGATCCAGAGCCTCGTCCAACTTTCCTTGATTAGGCCGGAGAGTTTCAGCTTATGGCAACCGCATCTGTCGAGTCGGGAAGTGGTGTGATCGCCGCCAACATCATACTCGCGTCTTTGTTCTCGGGGTCGTGGTCGAGGCCCGGCCTTCCTGAAGCAAGGAATCTTCGTACGTAAAGATTTGCACCCCGAGAACCGACAGCGTCAGTGCCGGCACTGCGAACGAGATATCAGGAGAGCCAAGAAGGGTGGGCCGGTTAGTCACATATTATTCAGCTGGATGATCCGAGTCCAAACTGGATCTGGGCTATCACCAAACCTGCCGGCTGATGGACGGTGACAAGCTAGGCTGTTTCCTATCAGTTGGCCCTCCTGGAGGTGAGCTGGAACTCTCCGCCTGCAGAATCTCTCCGAGTCGTCTGTTCTGAGTAAGGTTTTCGAAACAAGCCGTTTCTGGCATTGACGCTGAAGCTCTCCGGCAGGCGCAGCTATTTGTGACCGAGCTATCCGCCTGGACAAAAAGGCCCCTACTCCTCACCGAGACTCACGCTGTGGTCCAGACCGGCTCCCCCCCCCTTTAACACTCCGCCAGATTCGCTCTTCGACGAGCTCGAAAAGCTGGGTCGGATGTGTGTGCCTCGTGGCTCAGAGGTGTTACCGACAAATGCCTCCCAGGGAGGACGGGGCACCAAAGTCTTTTACCTGGATAACCGGCGATCCACGCAGCAAGAAGAACATCACACAGATTCGGCGACATGCGGGGCAGAATTCCGGGGTGAAAGCTGAGAACAGCGCTAGAGTTCGCTCAAGCTCCTCGCCGAGACCAGGACATCGAGGCTCTGCAAAGGCCTTCAGAGCTGTCCACCCTACTTCCAAGGTTGACGAGACAGCTGAGAAGTCTTTTGACCCCCAACAAGATGCGAGCAATCTCCTTCACGTGAATTACCCTCCCGGCGCTGCGGAAAATGCCGCCGCTTCCTCACCTGCCCCCCAGAATGAACCGGTCAATGTCTATCAACCAGCCCACCCCGTTCCGTCAATATTGAGGGAAGCAACTTCGACGAGCGAGGAGGCCCCTCCAATACGAAAAGTCGCTATCTGGGATCTGGTCAATCACTCGGCTGAGGAAGAGGAGAGGCATAGACAGGAACTACTGGCGTCAACTCCAGGACAAGACACTGACGACGGCCGTCCCGACTATTTTGGCAGCCACATCGACCATACAGAACTCAAGCAAGCATTGAGCGAAGTACGGGCACATTCACCTCGAAATTCTCGAAAACTATCTCCCTCCCCGGCTACCACAGCCCTGCAAGCCAACATATCCAAACGCCGGAAACCTCCTGTCCTGGCAGGTTCATCAAACGCATCATGGCGCATCGGTATGGCGCCGTCCGCCGTCATGACTCTGTCCAAGGAAGACTCACAAATTGAGCAGATCCTCTTACAAACCAGCACCTTCTACACGAGCAAATTCGAGTCTTCGTGGTGCGGACAACTCCATGAAAGCTACAATTCTTTCGACATGGTGAGCGTGGAAAACTTCAGCGGCTCCATCACCACGGCCGCCGGACTCATAGCTGTTGGAAGAATCGATTCAGCCTCATCAATATTGAGCCGTGTTCTCCCTACCCTCTCGGACCTCTTGATCTTGCAGCACCCAAAGCTTTACTATGTCCTCGCCGAACTTAGTCTTGACGCCTCCAGCACCGAACTAGGACGGCTACGCAGCCAAGTGAAGAGGTTCGCCGCCGCCGCATCTCTCACCATCCTCGGCCCTTCCCACCCGATCACAGCCCTTCTCCAGCTCACCCTCACGAACGCCGACCAGCGTCTCCGCCTCCGCGAACTGATCCAGCGAAAAATCCACGAGCTGCACGAACAACTCTTCAGCGCCACTTCCCACGAGACAACCGGGCAGTACTACTACCTCGCACGTGTGCTTGCCCAATTGGGCCACCTAGATGAAGCCGCCCGCATCCTCACGCAAATCATTCCCATATGGGAGAAGACGTACGGGAAAAACAGCCTCCTGCCTGTGACCGGCTTCCTCGAACTCACCAAAGTCCATCTCGCATCGGGAAACACGTCCAAGGACACGGAATCGCTCGTATCCGATGCGCTACGCCGCACATTAGCTATCGAAAAATCCTCAGACGACCAGTCCTCTCGGCTGGCAGAAGTAGTGCACTCAAGGATGGGCTGCCTAAGAACATTGGGGCGGTTACATGTCTTGAGGGGAAACGTGGAGACCGCCATGATGCAGTATACCGCCGCGGTGAGTGTAGGTGTCGGGGAGCTGGGAGCGAGTGTGCCCGCTGTACAACTCGCCGTGGCGGATCTGGATACCGTAACTCGCATGGCTGTGCATTCAGACGAGGAGAACCCCCAGAATGCGGACCGGGCAACGGCCCCACCAGTGAGGCTAGGGCCAGACGTAAGGGAAACGGCGAGGTTGAATCTAAGTGCTTTGAATACCAAGGGTCAATGACGAGCGTTGCAGGCCGTGGGATATGGGCGTTTAGATGGGCTAATGGGAAACTTCAGCGGTGAATTTCAGTAGAGCCTGCTGCAGGGGCGCCGCGGTTTCAGACGACGATACGAGCGGTGGTGGCTTCCAGAGTCCCGTCTTTGTTATAGTAAACCGGACCAGTACTGGCGGAGAGCCTCACGGACTTCACATCAAGTTGTTTGTGCCGTGTGAACCATAAAGGTGTCGAGAACGGCTTCCAATGCTTGATATTTTGAATTCTAGTTTGCTCTAGTTCCGGTTTTCTCCTCTTTTGCTTTGTTGCTTCTAGCGGTATATCCACTGCTTCAGATAATTGGATCTTTCCTCTTATCTTGCCTTGTCGGCGGATTTCTTCCTTCTATCTCTCTCCTTCTTCTCTAGATTCTGTATATACGCCTCGGCGGCAATTCCGCCAAAGACCAACCCGATGCCCATCCACTGGCCCTGGGTCAGCGAATGGCCGAACCACATGACGCTCAGGAGCATGGTGAACATTTTCCGCGTCACTGTCACCGTGACGAGGAGGAGGGAGGAGAATCTCTCGAGGGTGGCGTAGATGAAGAGCTGGCCGACGGCACCGCAGAGGCAGAAGAGCAGGACGTCCTTGAGCACGGGCGGGTGGCGCTGGAAGAAGGAGATGGCTTGGCCCAGCTCGTGAGTGTCGGTCCGCACGAACTGTGGGATGAGCGCCGAGGGGATGTAAGGTGTTGCAACCAGGTATGCGCCCATCAGGATCGTACCGAGCAGGTTGAGGATGACCATCATCTGCGGCCCGGAGGTCTTCCCGTAGCGGTGCGGGGACTGGAAGATGTGGTCCTGGACCGTGTTCGTCAACCCGTCAAACAACAGGTTGATCCCCAGCAGCGTCAACCCGTAGAGACTCGAATTCTGGGTCGACTGTGTTTTGCCCGGCTTCGGCGGGTGGTAAAGGGTGAAGACGGCGACGCCGCTGGTCACCGCCAGCACAATCATGTATTTTGACAGAGGGTATCGTTTGCGGAACAAGGTGACGTGCAGCGCCATGACGGGCAGTAACTTGCACGATTTTGCCAGGACAAACGTGAGGTAGTCGACGTGGGCGAGGGAGGCGTAGCCAAAGGGAGACGCGAGTGTGGTCGTCAGCGTGACCAGCATCAGCGGTAGGAGAGAGGAGGTCGAGGGTAGAATGTTGAAACGCCCGGTCGTGTAGGCGAGGTACAGGCTTCCGCTTGTGAAGGCGAACAAGGCCTGGATAGTGTTGAGAACGATGGGGAAGCGGAAGTATTCTTGTTGCGGCTGGGCGGCCGAGGGAGAGGTGAGCGGGTATGGGGTTGTCGTGATGCGTTCTTGCAAGACGCCCCATGTCAGAAACGAGGCGTAGATGCCGCCGACGCAGATGAGGAGGGTCAGAAACCCTGGGTGCGACTGCTGCGACCGCTGTGTTTGCGGTCGCTGCTCTGTGTGTGAGGTCGGCTTGATAGAAGGGGAGGGCACATGGCCATTGGTGTAGACGGCGCGATGTTCGGGCGCATCTGAAGGAGCCTGCATGACTTCTCCCGAGTTGATGCGCTGCATGGGCGTGATTTGCTTTCGACGCGCCATTGCTGGGGAAAGCAGGGGAAAGAAGGTAAAAAAAGGGAATGACTAAAGTGAGTGAGCGACCGCTGGAAAAAGGACAGGAGGATGGATTTATTGTTCAACTGCGGACATGATGAAGTGATGTTGTAACGTGGCGTGTCAGTGGCGCGCGCCCAAAAGGTGTCTGTCAAGCGTCTACCCCTGGTGGCGCTGCCCTGGTAAGTGCTAATAATAATCTGTTCAGCCTCAACGGCCCATAGCCTGGCTTACCAGAACATAGTACTCAAGCCACGAAGCTTCAGTGACATTACCATGCCGGCGGTTTTGTAGGATCTTATTGTATTCTTCAGAGGGGGCGTCAAAACATAGTGATCGATCGAGTATAGCAACGGACAGAACAAAACAGCCGGACTCCTGCACTTTTTCGTTATCACCTCGACAATCCGTCACGTAACTATGGATCTCACACAACGTCAAGTGCATATCCCAAGCCTAATGGATCTGTGCATGATCTCTTGATTGCCTAGGCGTATTACAATTGGTCTGAACGGTAGATCGGCTTCACAGAAGGGAATCCCCATCATCCATTCCCTGTTGAACCATGTTTCATGTATGCTCACTTCATCATATTCATGATTCGATAGAGAATAAATGATCAGCTAGCCAACTGCTGATCTCAATCGGTACTATTCCTGATCATATGCCTCTACTGTGCAGTGGAACAAATAAATGACCACGTGGAACATTATAGACTTCGGTGTTCTGAGCCAAGCGGAACAGTTCTGGGTAGGTCCCCTCAGCCTCGTGAGCCCCTTGCAGAAGCCAGCCTTGTCACGGACGATCAGCCAATGGGTCCCACCCCAGATTGAACAGGAGTAATGGATCTCTGAGATTCATTCTTGAGCCACGCTGCTAATCGTCTTCGTCATCACTGCCGAAAATGGCTTTAAACACTGCTTGCCCTGGTCTTTGCTGCTCGAGGGCTTCGTTTCTGTCCGGGTCGAGCGCGGGAGGCTGATACTCCATTATTGCTGCAGTTGACGGCTGGTTCGATCGAGATTCAGCTTCACTTTTGATGACTTCTGACACTTCGTCGTGTTGGAAGCCGGCAGAGGCGAAAGACCGGAACGGCGGCGCTGCGAAGCTAGGTTCGCCCGAACTAGAGGTAGTTCCACGTCCATCTCTACCTTCCCCAGATGCTGCGTGGGTCGGCATCGACACATTGAATCTTTTACAGAGCAGCCTGGTAGGGTAGAAGTTGATGACAGACCGCGTCATGGGACCAAACATTCCTAGCTTGGCAGCCGATTCTGCTGGATCCTCTGGCTTTGCCTTTGATTTCGTCAATAAAGAGTTCGTGGCAGTGTCGGCCGATTTGCCATCTTGACTTTGAGGAAAAGATGATGAGGATGTAAATCGGGTAGCCATCAAGCCGCTGATGGGCTTAAACACTTCCGCTGCTCGTGCGAACTCTTGCAACTCGAGAATCCAGTCTTCCCGTCTCATGTTTTCGGCGCGAGGAGGCAGCTCATCGGCTATCCTGAGACCAGCTTGAATCTCGAGAAAAGTCCGATATCTTGATCTTTTGTTTTCATTCTCTGCATATGGCATCCAACCACCAACTGCACGATTTAGGGCCTGAAGCGCTGTATCTCGGTCAAGTTGGGGAACCATGGGATGAAGGTCTTTTACTTCCATCCCGGAAGGTTCGTAACCATTCGGAGGTGCTTCACTTCCAGCCGCAGGAAGGTTTTCGCGACCTGAAGCTGCAGCCAGGCGATCACGAGCGGCAGGTGTCAAGAAGTCGAATACCGACTTTCCCGGAAGTGGTGACTCCCCCAAAAGCGACGCACGGGACTTGGCCGTGAGATTAGACGACTTGGCTGCCTCTGCGGTCGAGACAAGTGTGGATGCCGTGTCTGCTTCTGTGTCCGGCGAAATGGATGACTTCCAGCCTTCAGGAACCACAGGAGGTTTGTACTTCTCATCCTGTATGGTCATTGTGCCCAGCGAATCAAGTTCATCTGTCAGAACAAATCCGTCGAGGGGCAACCGCCCATCATGGCATTTTCTCAGAACCTTCTTCAAGCTTGTCAGTTTTCTGGAGATAAATGTGGGTTTGGCTTTCACAAGTGGGTTTGCAGCGCTTCCTGAAGCCTTTGATTTCGACTTTAGATTCTTTTCACCCCCAATAACCTTGTGATATGATATCTTAGGACCCATAGAATAAGGGTCCTCGACATCAGAGTCATCGTCATTGAGAACTCCAACACCAAATCCTGTCCTTTTCCTTGGACGCGCTGGTTTTTTCTTGAGGCCGAAAAGCGGTGCAATTCCCTCCTCGTCTGAAAGTTCGCCAGTAGACCCAGGTGCGGGATTCACCGTTGTGATGTTTCGACTTGTCGGCTGATCTTGACCTTGTAACCCTCCTGTATACCCCAGGCCTTTGAGGTCTGTCTTTCGCGTATATGATACTAAGTGGACATCTTCTGGTGCAAAGAGATGTGTCTGTGTCGGCTCATCATCCTCGTCATCCTCCTTCTCCTTTTCCTCATGAAATTTTGCTGCTCTTCGAACTCGAGGGCCAATGCCTTGACCCTCCCTCCAGCCCATTCGCTTCAGCAATTTTGAGCCAATAGTTTCATTCAAAGGGCGAAGAAGGTCAATAGCGGCGGTCTTTCGCATAGCATCGTGCTCCGTGCCAAATCCCGCAAATTCTGACGAGGTATTCAAGGTTTGCGATTCTTCCGCCTCACGGTAATCTTCTTCGTCCATGAAATCCTCTGGCCTCTGTTGCCGCCCAGTCTGTGCAGCCTTTGCGCGGTTCTGTCTGGATGAGACAAAAGAAGAAGGGGTCCATCCTTCTTTAGAGCCTACAGTATTAAAATATCTGTGTCCACCATTTTAGCCATTGTGCTCCTGAGATCGTGGCTCCGAGTGCTCACCCGGCGCTGAAGCCTCCTGTGAAGGCGCCGTGCAAGCGTTTCCGTCCTCTTTCATCTGTGACCTCCTGCTTCCAGACGGGCACAAAAGAACCATCATCTCGGACATTTTCATCTAGAGGAGGTAGGGCTGTCCCATACAGAACGAAAGGTGAAGACTGCTTTTGGAGGTCGGCTTCGAAGGCTTGCCGCGATCGCTTGGAAGTCATGTTTGGAGCAGCGTGAGGCTCACATTGTCAAGAAGCGGTATGAAGGAACAGACTGCGGGTCCACGGGCGCAGGCCTATTGCACAAAATCCATCTGTGGCGGGTGAGCTCGTGCAGGCAATTGTTCGCAGATTATTTTCCTTACTGCGTCCCTGGTGATGTAAGGTGATCTTGTCTGGCAGACAGATTGTGGGCATTGATCGCCAGCCTGTTGGCGGTCAGACGGTCAGACGACTTCTGATTCTTGGGTGCCTACGCGTCGAGATCCTAGCAGCCGGTTAGGTCTGATACGGGCACCGATCCCGAACATCTGGTTAAATGCCGCGTCCACTAATCACATCACTGAGTGAGCTCTAAGCACCCAGTCTAAACGGACCACCAACCAGTAGCTGATGTACCAGCCCATTGTTGGCCTGGTAGAGTTGCTTTGGAGAGCCTGGAAGTGTCACGGAAGCATTAAACTCCCCTCATGCGTGTTTTGTCAGGTTCTGTGCACCGTGCTTTTGCCTGCGCCCATCAATCAAACGTTCACAACTTGATTCCAACTTCCAACCCAGGTCCTGAACAACTTGAAACAGAGCATTGGTACCGTCATTTCGCCTCAGGTCATCAATCTCGTTTGATCCGCCGCCACAACCTCCTCTAACATTCTCCCCGCCCCGATCTGCGTTGGACCTGACAGAGCTGCGGTCATCTTACTATCTGCTCTGCCCACCTTCGACTTTACGCGAGAACTCGATGATACTATTAGTCGGGCCATTTCCTTGCAGTGATCTCTCTGAGCGTCGTCTGAAGAGACTCACCCTATTCGAGCCATATCCAACGATACAGACCGGATACTGAATCGAGCAACTCCCGAACAAAGCCTTGTGGCTGCAAAGCCCCAAGGCCCAAGGGGTTTGACGTTGGCTTGCCGTCCGTGCGTCTCATACTGGCGTGTTGGTCCTTGAATTCCTGCCGCAAACGTGACACTCGATCTGGTCTCCGATCAAACAACCGAAGAGTCTGAACGGTGACCGATTCGAATCGTCCACTGCGGTCACGAAAATGGCCACGACAGCATCACAACAGTCGCCGTCGCTGGTGCGCAGTCACTCGACCTCCCGCAACCCTCCTTCTTCGTACGCTGCCACCTCGCCCTCCCAGCCTACAAGGACGCGTTCCACAAACACCAGACCCTCAAATCATGTCCGCTCGGGATCCAGAACCCACGAAAATCCTCCTCAATCCAATCCCACGGCTCTTGCGAATGTCGCTCGCAGAGATTTCGAACAATCAAATGTTGCTCGCACCACTTCCTCTCGTCGGAGCACCTCTCGAGATGGGAGAGGGGAACATCATTCAGAGGCATCTGCCCATGGGCGTTCTTCCTCCCGACCTGGATCTCGACGGAATAGCCAGGATCTAACTGCACCTACGACAGTAGTTGCCAACGGAACAACCTCACAACCCCCGCCTAGTACCACCTCAAGAACCGAGACGCACGCCTCGCAGACCTATCCCACAATCGGTCGAAGAAGAACATCGATAACATGTCAGACCGGGACTTGGTCACTGGGGAAGACAATTGGCCAGGGTAGCATGGGAAAGGTCAAGCTGGCCAGGAACATTGATAGTGGAGAGCAGGCAGCTATCAAAATCGTCCCGCGACAGGCGGCCGACGAGCAAGGAAATCCGAAAGATGAGCGCGCGGATCGGTCGAAAGAAATCCGAACAGCAAGAGAGGCAGCTATGGTGTCATTGTTGTCTCACCCATACATTTGTGGAATGATCGATGTCCAGAGGACCAACTATCACTGGTACATGCTTTTTGAGTATGTGAATGGTGGGCAGATGCTTGATTACATTATCGCTCATGGCAGGCTCAAAGAGAAACAAGCACGGAAGTTCGCTCGACAGATTGCAAGCGCCCTGGACTACTGCCATCGAAACAGCATCGTTCATCGGGATCTCAAGATCGAGAATATTCTTATCAGCAAGACCGGGGACATCAAGATCATCGACTTCGGCCTTTCCAACCTTTATTCCCCTCGGTCGCTTCTGAAAACATTCTGCGGGAGTCTGTATTTCGCGGCACCGGAACTGTTGCAAGCACGTCAGTACACTGGCCCCGAGGTTGATGTATGGAGTTTCGGGATTGTTCTTTATGTTCTTGTCTGTGGCAAGGTCCCATTTGACGACCAAAGCATGCCTCAATTGCACGCAAAGATCAAAAGAGGTATCGTCGACTACCCTCAATGGCTAACAGCTGGTAGGTTTTTGGCCCTGATCCGAGAGTTTTCCATATTCTAACGGCTTCCAGAGTGTAAGAATATCATTTCGCGCATGCTCGTGGTGGATCCGCGAGATCGAGCCAGTCTTCAGGAAATTATGAACCATCCATGGATGACGAAAGGCTTCAACGGCCCACCGGACAATTATCTCCCACACAGGGAGCCCCTTCAATTACCGCTCGACCCAGAGGTCATTGACAAAATGCAGGGTTTTGATTTTGGCTCTTCGGCCTACATTACCGAACAGCTCACTCGGATCATCGAGTCGGAGGATTATCAGAATGCTATTCGCAGAAGTGCCAAGGAAGACTACAGCCATGCCTCGAGCAGTGGAGAGAAGAAGCGTGGAGTCTTCGACTTTTACAAACGACGAAATTCAATTAGTCGGGAAGGTCTCTCGGCACCGTCTTCAGAAGCCATCAGAGGTCTTGATCCCATCAACGCTTACAGCCCACTGGTCTCCATATATTACCTCGCACGTGAAAAACGGGACCGAGAACGACAGCAACAGAATCCCGGTGCGCTGGCCATGCCCATGACGGAAAAGGAGACGCCTCTCAAACTCCCCGGGCTGCCTACACCGGAAGCTGCTCATACAAACACGTTCGCCCCAGAAATGCCGGGAGAGAAGGCCACTGGGGGCCGGGCAAGACCGCGTGCTCGAACAAATGGCGAAGACGATGTACCGCATGGTGCGAAGTCATTGGAAGCTGCCGAGAGAAAGCCTCCTCCAAGTGCGATCCCATCGAATGCAATTCCTCAACCTGATCAGCCTGCGAAGCGCGAGGGTACTGCCTTGGGTCTTTTGCGAAGGTTTAGTACTAGACGCTACCGAGATCGAGATCTGGAACGGCCGCAGCCTCCCCCGGCTCTGAACATTCAACCTCCGGCTGATTCAGTAACTCCTCCGCGCAAGTCCTTCTCTGTTCGACGCTCACGGAGAAGAGACCCAAGCCCAACAACCCATCACCAGGGAGGGAGTCAGCCACAGCATGAGGGTCTTCTGAGCGCCAGTGGCGGGTTATCTAGAGCCGGGAAATTCCTGGGCCGATCAACCAGCGTCAACTCGGCGGAGTATCGCCCACGACGCGTTCTGCACAGAGGAACGTCGGGCAACGAGTCTCCAATGCTCGCGCCTGAGCCTCCGCCTACTAGCGGCTCCGACCAATCGAGTGTCAACGCCGGTCGAGGTGGCAAGGGTGTGGAACTTACAGACAAGCCCGCTCCCAACGCCAGCCCTCTGACGACACCACGCACTCCTACTACTACACGTACGAAGTCTTTGGGCCACGCACGGCAGGAGAGCATTCAGGCCCGCCGCCGCCGCCATGAAGAGCGTCGAGCAGAGGCTAATGTCCCTGAGGAGACGGATGCTGAAATGCGAGATGGGGTGGATGCACTTGACACACCGGCCATCCCTGATACTCCGGGGACCGAAATTTCCAAACCAGCCAGTCTCAAGGGGTTATTCTCGACTTCCACTACCAGCAGTAAGCCGCCTGAATTCATCAGACACGACATTATTCGTGTCTTGAATCAACTTGGAGTGCAATATACCGTGATCAAGGGGGGCTTTTCTTGCAGACACGCGCCTAGCATTAACCTCGAAGGGGTCAAGGAGCCCGTAGCCGGACTTGACGAAGACAGAAGTGGACGCGTGACAAGCGGCCACCAACGGCGGATTTCATTTGGCGGCGCTTTCCGGGGTAAAGAGAGAGAAGATATCAGAGACGACCGTTTAAGCCGACATCATACGAGAAGGAGACAACCAGACCAGAGTTTCGTGACCAACTCCGAAGGGTCGGATGAGTACTTGCAACAGAATCGCGGATCCGAAACTCACGATGGAGCCGCGACACGAACTCGAGTACAAGAGGACAACGGTGAGCGATTGGTGCTCAAATTTGAGATTGCAATTGTGAAGATCCCTCTTCTTTCGCTTCATGGAATTCAGTTCAAGAAGGTGCAAGGGGGAATGAACCAGTACCGATCAATGACCTCGGCCATTCTCAACGCATTGAGATTGTGATGCAATGGGCAGCTGGACGGATTTGAATTGTTACGGCTTAGCGAAACGCAAATGAAGCATGCAGAGCGCAGTATTTACGGGCAACGCAGGTTGACAGTGGATTCTACTGTGAATTGTAGCGGGAGTGAGGTAGAGGCCGCTGAGCAGTGACTCGTCAACTTTGATGAACGACATGCCAAACGAACGCAGGTACCACATATTAGTCACGAAGGCAGGGAAATGCAGTGCTTTTCCCAGGCTCGCCGCAATAATGACGGATTCTGATCGTGATGAAGTGTCGTGACGAGTAGGTTTCAGTATTATGGCGCGCAGAGGCCTCCTCTTTTTGGACACTCCAGAGGCAGAGCTTCAACCATCATTCGTTGGCGCGGGCGGGGAAGGGGGAGCGATCGACGACCGTCGGAAACAAAGGGAGTCGGAGAAGATCCGTGGCACGCGCTTTTCGCACCTGTTCAGCTCGGTACAAATTCGAGATGATAAATGAAGAAGGTGAGATGCAATTTCAGCCAGAGGATTTTGGGGGCGCGGGCATCACTCAGCGGCTTGCTCCACGTTGGTACCGAGGGGAGAAGAAAAAGCTGATGGTGATGGATAAGAATAACAAACTGACCGAGACATTTCTAGACAATTATGCTCCCTTCTTTGTAGCTGAGAGGATTGAAGGTACTCCGACGAATTGATAGTACCACGTTCAGCCGGTGGCTCAAGTGCGTGCGAGCCTGAAGAGCAGGCGTAGACGCCTAGAGGGCCATGGAAAAGGCAGCTCCCGCCCGAGTGACGGTTGACGGCTCTAGGGTTCTGGGTGCCCAGCCGGCCACTCATCGTGCGGCTCCTGGGCCTCATGGGCTCCAGAATCCACCCTTCGGGGAAACAGGCTGTCAAACGCTCGACTCTGTCTCCAGCTTTTGGTTTGGTCGATTTTCCCAAAGCGAAACTCCTCAAACAAGCCCCGACAGACAGAACAACCGCAACCGCAGCCGCAAAGCACAACCTCACTTCTCTCCTCCCTTTCCATCCCTCTCATCCATCTCATCCGTCCCCCTTCGTTGCAGTTTCTGTTACTCAATTGCTGCTGCATTCTTCATTCTTGCACGTCCCTCCAGGCTAGACTGTTAGCGGGCCGCTTGTCAGTCCATCACCCTCCTTTTTAAAATTATTCTCGTGCTTGGTTTGCGAGGTCCCCAAGGTCTCTGCGGCCCTGTGTCTCGGTCCCGCAATTGTGACTGCAGCCAGTGCCTGCGCCTTTTCCGCCAGCTTCTCAGAGTTGCCCAGTCCCCATCCCCATTTCCACCACCACTCGACTTTTTTCCCTGAGGCTCGTGCCCTCTGACCACCGTCCCTGCCACTGCCAACGGCCCTCCACCGAGACATTCAAGGCCGCTCCGTTGCTGTCTCGCTGTCTATTCTTTGACCCCGGGATCTCACAGAACCTCCGAATCCTCCACAACACAGTCGCAGTCTGACTGGCCGGTTCCCGTCGATTCAGCTCGTATCCAGAGCACCTCCTGTGCGACGTGGCTACCGACTCGGGCAGCTCATGGCCTCTGCAGCCAGCATCCCATCCCCGAATTTGAATACTGCAGTCAACCCACCACAAAATAATGGTTTGGCAAGGGCCACAATGAGATCAAGTAGCAACCAGAAGGCTGTGGATGCAGGGCGCAAGCAGAGTCCCGGTGGTGCTGGTGGTGACGGAATTTCAAGGTATGCACACGCAACTCGAGACGTTCCCCCCCTCAACTTTGCTGGCTGGACTTTTTCCCTTTGGCCAACATCCTCGTCCCATCTGGGACAAGGTGCGATGCAATCCTGCGTCAACTTTCAAAATCGCAGTCGCTGATCAAAACAAGTGCTAGGCGACCGACTTCTCAGAAGGTCTGGGGTTCATCCTCAAACTCATTCCAGCAACGGGGCTCCATGCCCATCCACCAGAATGGGAACACTGCCCAGTCCAGGAACACAAACGTCATGAGGTCCACACCGCAGCGGGATGCAGGCATTACAGACAAACAAGCACACGAGAGATTGATCTTCCTCTTTGGGGCGGCTATAGTATACTCCAGTCTCGATCCACTATCAATGAGATGGTAACTGACATTTCGTGCAGGGTTTGAACATCATCCTTACGTCCAGATCAGGAGAAAAGTTCGAGGGCCTGTTGTCTGGTTCATCACTCACACCGACCAGCACCAAGATCACTCTCAAGATGGTTAGAAAACTACAACCTGCCACTCCAGGTCAGGCCAACGGTGTGGTACCTCGGGAAGCGGCCTTAGTTGGCTCGAGTCCAGAGTATGCAATGAACTTTGATCTGAAGGATATGGCCGATATGACCATCGCCGACTTCTCTCTGCCAGAGACTTCGAAACTCACCAACGGTATGCATACACGACCCGATCATTCCAAAGTGCCCGCTAACCCCACGCCCGCAGGGTCCTCCTCGACTTCTTTTCAAACTGACACCGATATCTCTGGCAATCAAGTTCGGGGTGAACGCGAACTCCAAAAATGGGTACCAGAAGGACCAGATAACACTGACTATTCATTGGGGTCGGGGAACAACGCTGCTTGGGATCAGTTCGCTACCAACTCTCAGTTGTTCGGCGCTAAGAGCACCTACGATGAGAACCTCTATACAACCACCATCGATCGCAACGCACCATCCTACAAGCGCCGGGAAGCTGAAGCCGAACGGATCGCGCGGGAGATTGAAGGCTCAACATCGACAAATGCACACGTTCGCGAGGAACGTGGTCAGGCTCTCGAGAACGATGGTGAGGACGAGGAAGAGAAATACAGTGGAGTTCGTCGGGATGAGCAATCCTATCCATCACTGTCTGTTGGTGGAGCGAACAAATACACACCTCCGGCAAGGCGTGCGCCTACCGGCCAAGTGACTGTTCCAGGAGCGCCCGTAGATCCCGCAATCATATCCGCGCAACTTTCTCGACCAGAGCCGGCCGTGGCCAACACGCAAAAGTCGAAACACGAAAGAGATGTACCTGTCACCATTGAGAAGAGCACGGCACCTGCTCCAGACAAGCCGGTATCTGAACCAAATGGTACGACGTCAGCACAGAGCGCTGAGCCAGACAAGGCTGTCAAACCCGCTACTCCAGCGAACCCCAGCAAGGTTGAGTCGACCAATGTCGAATCGCAACCTAGCAACAAAGTCATCTCTCAAGGTCCTACCGAAAACGTTGAAGTTAAGGTCCTCCACCAATTCCGCCAATTCGCCGATCTCGAGAAGCAAAGGGTTATTGAGAGAAGAAAGGCTCAAGCGAACCAAGACCGCGTTGCTAAGTTGAACGAACTCCTCCGCTTCTCAAAGACGTTCAAACTCAAGACCCCCATCCCGAACGACCTGATCGGCATCCTAGCCAAAGACCCAGCTAAGCAGGAGGCTATCGTCGAAAAAGCACAAAAGGAATCCAGCGAATCAACTTCCACTACTACGGCGAGCCCTTCGCAGGCCCCAGTGGCCAGCAACACCACCCGCAAAGCCGATGTTCCACAACCTCAACCACCTGTGCCGGAACGACAAGTGTTCCATCGTGGTCGCGGGGGATTCCAACCAGCGGGCCGCTCTGACCGATCCGCAGGCCAGCAACAGCCACCACTTTTTCCAGGTCGAAATAACAGCGCTCCATATCAATCAAGGTTTAGTGGACATCAGCAAGATCGCAAAGGCATCCAGCCTCCTCCTATTCCTGCCCCAATTCCCATTATTGAAGGACGAGTCCCTCCAACCGGGCCCATGGCCGATCAAGCTGGAATGACCAGCCCGCAGCGGTCCAATATGCACACCCCCAATTCCGCCATTTCTGGAAAATTCAATCTCAATGTGAAAGCTTCCGAATTTCGTCCAACTGCCGCCTCCTTCAACCCAGCTGGGCCTTCGCAAACCCCTTCAAGCCCAGGCTCGACCCAACGTGCGGGTTCCATCTCTAGAACGGCGTCTCCTTCGGTGTTCTTTGGTAACAGGAAGCCAAAGCCGGCTTCCCAGAGACCCTCTATTGCCAAAGACTTCAACCCCATTGTTCGGATGAAAGCAGAGCATGCTCCGAAGAAGTCCACAGAGGGTGCAAAGACCGAGGAGGTGCAAAAAGACTATAGTAGCAATGGTGGCATCCCGAATGCTTTCCAAACGGGCCCGAGATGGACTGTCAAGCCTGAGAACGATCAAAAGACGTACGAGGAAGTATTTGAACAGCCCGTGGCACATCCTGTAATCTCGCCTGCTCAGAGTCGATCATCGTCGAGCCATCATATTCCATACCTTGGACAAGGTATGTCAATACCTAATGGACCGGCCAACATCCCACACATTTCAACACCACAGCACGTGCCACACACCGGCCCACACCAGTTTCCTCATCAATACGAGGATGGCGGTCATCGAATGCAATACGGAGCAGCGACGCCAGGTGTATTCTCATCGCCAAATATGGCTTCTCGTCAAGCTTCGGCCTATGCTTCGCCCATGACACACCCTGCACAACTCTCTTACCAATCGCAACCGTATTTCGGGACGCCTTCCGGTCAGATGCCCATGCAAATGCGGCCATATCCAGGAACTCCTGGCATGATGCATGCTCAGGTGGGGCAGATGAGTGCGCCAATGATGGTCCAACAGCCATCCAACGGCCCGTTCATGGCGGTGCCGCAGCACTTCAATCACCAAATGCAAATGTATTCGCCAAATCCAAGTCAAGTATATCCCCAGCAGAATGGAGGCTACTCCAGTCCGGGACGCATGGCGCCGATGATGATGCAGCAAGGATCACAACAAGGCCACCCACCTGCGCCCAGCATGATGTTTAGCGTCTCCAACCAGGGAGCAGCGCCGATGGCATATCCGCAGCAACAAATGGGTATGCATCGTGGCAGCTATGGAGGTGGGCACCAGTACGGTTCTACACCCCATCAGGGATATGCCATGCAGCACCGAACCATGAGTAGTGGATATGGCCAGATGTCGCAAAAGATGCATCACCAAATGCAACCAGCTCATGGACCTGCGATGAATGGACCCCCACAAGGACCAGCGTATGGTCAGATGGAGGGAGGTCAGGACGACGGCAAGTGAACGGTCCGGGAGCATTGCTTGAACATGACGTTCACCGATTGTTTCTCATAACCCCTTCTGTTCGTGCCACAACGACGGCACTGACAATCTCTCTTGCCCCATGCCGGCTCGGCGTTCAAGGCTAAAATCTTGGACTTCTCGTTTCAGTCATGTGCGCCTGCGTACAGGTATGTCGGGAACATCAGATTTTCCTGCCAATCAGCTAACTTGGCCAGCGCAATAGAGGACGAGATGAAGGGTCACCATCGAAGAAGGCCGACGAATTCCCAAACATCAGAATGGAAACCAGGTTCCGAAGGGCTTGCAGGGTATGCTATTATCCAATCACACGAGTGCTGCGAACCATCCCCATTTTAAGTTGGGAGTGGAAGCAGGATCAACCCTCGAGTCGGGACACACTTCTGGAGGTGAACGCAAAGGGGCAGCGGAGACAAGAAACCGATGAAGGCATTAATATGGACAGGAGGAAGCGGTCAGGATGACGGGCAGGGAGACTGGCTTTGCAGAAGTTGTATCTTAGTGGGAGGCGGCAGGACATCGGATGCAGTGTGCTGCTAACAGGGGGAAAAGAGCCGTCGTATGGCTCCAACAAGGGAGAAGGATGAAACTGAGCAAGGATCGAGAGCCGCTGTTGGCTTTTCTCTCACTCACACACACGGAGAGAGAGAGAGGATATGGAAGGAAGAGGAAGAACAACCACAAATAACGGGAAGTGAGGAGCTCTTTGTTAAACTCTCAAACTGTTGCCTCCATAGGTAGAGCCGCTCACACTAGATGGGTGCTGTGAGGGTTCACCGAGTCAGTCGAGTCACTGATCCTGCAACTACTCGTCCCTCTGAATTGCATATTGCATGTCTACTGTAGGTATGGTGCGCTGGGGGGCATTACGAGGTACTCGGGCAGTCGAAGGGCAACTGAGCGCTGAGTGGCCATGACACTACTCGGTACTGCTGGGGGGAATGGCCACAATGGCCTCGCAACGTGGAAACAAAACGGGGATCGGAGCACGGAGCTTGGCAGCAAATACGAGTAATAATGATAATAATAATAATATGGAGCTGCAGGGCCGCCACGGTCCATGGTCCACGGTTCCATGGTTCCACGGTGGTGCAGCTGGCGCTACGGTCAATGGTCAATAACGGATGGCCCAAGGACCATGGCTGCTGCATGCAGTTCATCATTTTAGCTCCTGAGCATGCTTCGCTTCGTCGCTTCGGCTGCCGTCACCAAACCTCTCTTTTGCTTTTTTGGTTCTTGTTTCTTGTCGCTGAGCGTGTGCCACGTAGCAGCCCGCAGCCCGCAGTCCTCCACCGCTTGTTCCTTGTGCTGGCGTTGCCATGCCTCCTCTTTCCTTGACCGCCACATCAGACTTTAACGGTGACTGACGGAGCGCACAATTGACTTCGTCTCCAAGAGAAGGGAAAAGTGACGCTGGGCACATGGGACGACAGGGACCACCAATGGCTGCACCTGGACGAGAGATCCTTGCAACTCCCGTGCTCCCATCTCAAGCCCATGTCGTGCCTTGTCCAAACCCTAAAAACTTGCCCGTGAGCAGCTTGCCCTGCTCCAGCTAGTCTCCAGGCTTCCTCCACACTGTCCACAGGGGGTCAATCCATGGCTAACGCGCTATTGCCGGTCAGGTCAAGCCGGCGACCAGGGCCGCACGCGCTTGATGCGCTGGCACGATGCAGCTTCTCCCAGATCGCCGGCTCTCAGCCTCTCGTCTACTACTCGTCTGCTGCTGACCTCTCATCTTTGTGCCATTGTTCAATCACCTTTCCACTTGCCAGCTCCAACAAGCTCGACGGCAATGGTTTCGTTCATTTCATTTGCTCCTGCTGCTGCCCAGAACATCGTCGTCATGGCATGGTGATCGTTGGGGCCCTACCCCGTCCTACGCTACTGCTCCGGCGTGCAGCTGCTCACAGTCACTACGGTTCTGTCTTGTGTTTGACTAACTAGGTCCATCCGACTCCATACCTGCATCCTGCATCTGCAACCTTCTGCACCGGTACTGCACTCATTCGTCCCGTTTGCAATTGTCCACTGTCGGAATCTCCCCTCGTGTGCATTTCCCTTGCTCCCAGCCCGGCAATCTGCGTCTGTGGCCAGCACCTACATCGTCAATCAGTTGTCCACCCGATCTGTTCCAAACTTTTGGATTGGCCCCCTAAGGAAAGAGAAGACGGGGAAAGGGGCTTTGCTGATTTGAGTCGGATCAACCCACTGGAAAAGCTGCAGCTGCACAAGATCGAGCAGTCCTTGCATGCACCGCTTGAACACCCACTGCGCAGGAAGACCAGAGGCTCTTTTCCTTCCGTGTCCGTCCAACACCATGCGTGAGACCAGAACAAGCGGTACCCGACAGCCTCATTTCCAGACAAAAGCCCTGCGGCCGCAATTGCAACCTTCAACACTACCTGTCCCAGATTCATTGGCTCGAATAATAAGGGTGCTGGGCGAATAGGCGGTTTTGCGCCAGTGTGCTGTACGTAGGCGCTCCAATCCCAAGCTGCTGTGGCTCTGCATCTTCCTCCAGGAACGTTGCATGGACGTCATGGCCGACTCGGTTTCGGTCTCAGCGAGCTGACATCTGGCCTCAGAAACCCAATCTCGGCAGCACCACACCAGCACAGCCTTTTGCACAGCTGTCCATCCGCTATTACGAGTTCTTTTTCCTTCTTCACCTGTACATTTTTGTAACAACAGCGCTTTTCCCGTCAAGATTTTACCCTAATCACACTGGCTTTCGCCTCGAACGTTTCCACCTCTTTTCTTTCTGCTATTTGTACCAACAGTCGATACCCACAGAAAGAAACCCGTCGCTCAATAGACAAGAAGCGAAAGTCACTCGTTTATCCACACGCTCGCTCTTCTGGTCGCACTCCGACACGCATCTCGATAATCAAAGACGACGTCAAAAGTCAGTTTATTTGAGAAACGGCCGGCTGTCTCAACGTACTTTTCTCCGACCTTGTTAAAGCAAATTCTCCGAATCGTCCGACTCCAAAATAGGTGAACCAAGGCTCCGACAGCCTTGTTCACCCTTTAACAAAATACCCCTAACTTGCTGAGGCGGGCATTTGTTGCAAGCGCCTTTGCGTTGAAGCCGGGCGGCTAGAGGTAAATTGCACTTTTCGCTTGTTTCACAAACCCACGTTCTCCGTCGAAACACTCCCTTCCACAATTCCTTTTGTGTCCGTTGAATCTACCATTACCTCGATTCTACGGACAACCATCAAGTTCCTATTCGCCGGGAGAGGGCAGGATTCTCTCCAGCTATTCGCTCAGGCCCTCACAATCACAATCATCCAAAGTTCTTTGCTCTGGTTGACGGATCCTGGCGGTTGCTTCAAACATAACCTGCCAGCTGGCACCACGACTCCTAGGTCAAAGAAAAAATGGATACAGATGGGATCAAGACCGATGACTCTTCAGAGTCGGCACAACCCACGAGAGCACGCAAACGATGGAAAGAAGGTTACGTGGAACTGACATATCTGTCTCGACAGTGGCAGCCGTCCAGCAAGGACCAACCGGATCCTCCCTTGTACTCGATTTGGATGGCCTCCTCGGAAGTGGATCAAAAGTTTCTGGGTTATTTTGCAAAAGTTACTACTACGGAGAATAATTATCTTTCCAGGTAAGCCCCTTGTCAGTGCCGGGATCAGAGTAGCATAGATGCAAGGACCTTTCCGGGCCCGGTTATTGCTGACACAGATATGATCAATAGTTTCCTGTTCCGCGTTCTCGGTCTTTCCGTGATTCTCGCTGAGAAACTTCTGCGCGCGCGCCGCGCAAAACGCCTCGACCCTGTTCGGGATCCAAAAGCCCGCCACTTAATTCATCACATCTTATGGCTTGCCCGCGAAGGGCTCGTTATGGTGGAACAATATGTGCTCCCTATGGTTGGTCACTACGTGGAACTCAAGGTGTTGAGTTACAAACTCAAAGCCAGCTTCTACCATATTTTTGTACTGTTTCATAATGAGCCGCCAGTGAATGACCGCATCAATCGCAGAAGGAGCACCGGCGGTGGGGTTGCGACTTACACTTTGTTTCCGGAGCCTTTGAGTCCGAGGGAGTCGAGGGAGGGGAGAGAAAGGCCGAGCAGACAGGCCACAGTCAGGTCTCCCACGGAAAGCGGGAGAAGGAGATCACCAGCTATCAGTCTTGGAGGACCTGTGGGCGGCGGTGTGGGAATTACAGCAACAACACGAACTCCGCCCGGGCTACCCCTTCCTGCAACCTATCCGTACTACGCCAATGGTAACAACAATGGCGACGGCAATGGTAACGGCACAGCAACTTTCCTCCTCCTTTTACAAGATTATACTCCTTACGCAACCCAAGCATTTCGCGAAGCCGACGAACTCGCCGAGCGCCTCCTTCCTGGATCCCATCCAGTCCGCCTGTCCGTCAAAGTCGAATACGTCGCCTACGTCTACGATTGTCTGCACGAAGCCGAGGCATCGCGGAAGATGGCGAGGATGGCGATTAGGCACGTGTACGAAGCGCAGGAGGGCATGGATGATGATTCGTTTCAGGATGCGGCCGAGATGGTGGGAATACTGGGGCGGATGATGAAGAGAGGACTGGGGGGAGGAGGAAGCAGCGGCAGTCAGATGCAGGGACAAAACGTTGGCGGCGGAGCAAGTGGAAGGAGAGATGTCCAGCAGCCCTCGACGTGGGTGTAGATCCTGCCCAGAGTGTGCGCTTGATCAAGATGTGCTAGCCGCTTGGATATTCTTGAAATCCTGCGCTTGGTTGGTGACTGAACAAATACGAACCAATTTCTTTCAATGCCCACGGTGCTTTGTGTAGTATTACGTTGCGATTATTTCTCCGTCAAAGTTACAACATCTTTGCTATTGGGCATCAAGGCGTTTCTGGCGGCTTCAGTCAGGGGGAGATGAAGACCAGGTGAGAACAGAGTGAGCTGAGACTGGCTGAGAACGACAGCAGTCCTCGTAGTACATATGCGTGTAGGGTATCTTATGCTTACTTCGCTGTGTTTGTGGTAGTGTTTGTGGTAAATATATGGTATCTTATCACTACTCCAACAAGCAGAGCCTTGTTCCCAGCAAACCACAAGTTCCACATGAGGATTTGCGTGGGGCTTTGATTATTATTTGGTGGCGAACCCTTGATCGAACTTCACTTCAGCTTCGTGTAGCGACTGCCACGGGATTGGACGACGGGGAACAAAGACGCACTGCGTACATTTGCTATTTGCCATCAGCCCTTCTCGCCCTGCGCGACTTCTCTACATATTAATTCCGACCGCAAGACTCGCTCTCTTCTTTTCTTTTGTCCACTCTCCTCCTCTTCAAACACCATCACTGCTCGCTCTACACTCTTCCCTTCTTCTCTACACGACCCGCACCGGCATTCATCCCGCCGATCACCAAAGAGACTCGTTGGAGATCAGCGACCAGGTTCGTTCCAGCGCTCCCTCTCCCCCTCCTTGTGAAACGCGACAGTCGCTAACTCCGGTACGCGCTTCACCAGGCTATTGCCACCGTTCTCACTTCCCTATCTTCACTCAACATCTTCCCACACACTACAAAATGTCAGAAGCCGGGCAAGGGTCACCAAACGGCGTCGCTGGCGATGCGCCTCCTACTGCCGCCGCGAACAACGAGCATCTGAATATTAAGGTGACGGATGGCAACAACGAAGTCTTCTTCAAGATCAAGCGAAGCACCAAGTTGGAGAAGCTCATGCGAGCATTCTGTGAAAGACAGGGCAAAGATCCAAAGGCAGCAAGATTTTTATTCGACGGTCAAAAAGTGCAAGCAGGAGATACACCTGAACAGGTGAGTGAATCGGTCTAGGGAAGAGCCCAGGAACCCGACCCCGCTGACAAAGATGCGCAGCTCGAAATGCAAGATGGTGATTCGATTGAGGTTCATCAAGAGCAGATTGGCGGTTCGGCATAACGGATGGTGATACGCCTCGATCTTGACATGATGAAGAGATGACATCGGGCTGGCGGCCTCAATTTGTTACATGGATATCTTCTGGGCATGGCAGACGGAAGACTTACGTGCTCTCTTACCAATGGTGCTGACAACAACCTTGACGACGAGGTGACGATGGGGAGATGTAGCGACGGCGAGGAGGGCACTAAAGCTTTCTTTATCTGATGGGTGGAAGATGCCCGGTTATCAGGACGACATGTAGATGCCTCTTTCTCAGCAGCTACTTGAGAATTGCGTCTCATCCCCGGCCAAAAGGATCAGCCGCCCAGGACTACGTAGCTGAAGGTGGTGGTGGCTTTAACTCAAGGCTTACGGTTCAAATATTCAATTGCTTGTTCACGGTAGTTCCATGGCTTTTGTAACATTCCAGAGCGATCAGGTGTGACTGAGTTTGACCATTTCTCACGACATGAGGTTGGGCCTTGTTCTCCCTAGGGCGTAGGCTGTGGGTGTTGCTGCGTGACCCACCAGCGGTATTCGAAGTTCTTCTCTCCACCAGCTCACCATCACTTGTCATCACTCTGTCCATCCCCTGATTACAGTTGCAGCAGCACTTCAACAGCACTGCCGTTTGTCCAAGAAGACATTCCTATGTCGTCGATCACCACTCCGCAGCGATTGCCTTGGGCTCTCACAGCTCGTCTGCCCGATTCCTCTCCATGAACGCCAGGGGTTTATCGGTCGACAATGCGCAGAACCATGCAGCGCCGCAGCCTCACTCGATGAGCCGTTAAGAACCTCTCTGGGGATGGGGACCAATGAATGGAAAGCCACCTTGAGGCTGTGCGTGGAGGTCGTAGCTGCACTTAGCCTGCCGTTGACGGCTTCGCTGCGGGCGTTTCCTGCAGGGCAAACAGAACCTCTCCAATCCCATCTTCCAGCGTCTCTCCTTCTTGTGGTCCTTCACCAACCTCCTGCTTCGATTGAGAGACAATCCCAAAAGATCCAGCTTCTGTCCAAAACTCAAGCGTCGGACGGCTCCTCATGTCATCGCAGCCCTACAAGCTATTTGGTTCTTTGATCGATTCTCGCTTGCCGCCTGCTCAAACCTGAACTTACCACCCAGCATGTCATCCACATCTGGCCGCGAGCTGGCAATGACCCAGCTCTTCAGCAACTCTGGCAGCCTTGACTGGGTGGCACTCAGCCGCATGCAATACTCTGCCTCAGTTGCCGTCCTTGGTCGTCCGGCCGGCGCAGGCATCGACAGCCTTACAGCCGCCTTTGGACAAGCAATGTGCTCAGCAATCCCCCTCGGGGTGCATGGAGAAAAGGTCCTCCAGGATGCAATGAACCGGCTGACGTATTGCCCCTCTTCCGGCGAGCTCATATGGTTTGGCGTTGGCGTGCGGCATGTTCTTCGAGATCTTGTTCAGACTGCACAAGGCTCAGCTCTCGTGGCTCTCTGTGCTGCTCTTTGCGAGGGATGCACCACAGGCGTCTCCGGCCTCGTTCTCTACGAGGTCTCTAAGCTGCTTGAAGCACCTGGGGAACTTCGACCCTCGTTTTCACAGTGGCGCGCTCTTACAACGGTTGCTGCCGGCGTCTTCAGTCACACTGGTCTGGGCCTTCATATCAATCAGTTCATGATGCTTAGTGGACTGGCCCAAGGTGTTGACAATGGGGCCGGCCATCCGACTGATCTTGCCAGAGTCATCCTAGCTCTCGGGAGGCTCGTACAAGGCAGCTACGAGACCATATACGTCCAGGGCGGAATTGCATGCAGTTGGATCGCTGCTTGGGCGGTATTTATACTGGGTCTCCGTGTAAAGGTGCTTTCGAGCGAAGGACAGCTCATCTTCGCCACTCACGGTGGGGGCGCGGCTGGGTCTCAGATCGTTATTACCTTTCAGAGACCCGAGACCTTCGAGACTGCTGTCCAATGTACCGGTCACACCATTACGGTACGCTCTGAAGGTGTATTCCTCGATGAATGCTTCCAAAAGAACTCTTCAGTTTTGGACTTTCACTTCTCAGGGGGGTAGAGTGAAATTGAGCTCCATGCTTCGAGACACTTTTGGTGGCGAGATCGCAGAGCTTTTGAACGGCTCCACGCCTTCGACTTGCATGGAGGGTCGACTATCGACGTTGCATTGTTTGAGCAGCACTAATACGTCCTGGGACCCCTCGACTGAGGCTCGAACTCTTTTTGCGAAGGTCATCGCCTCCGGGACCGCCCTGATCCTAGGAACCACGACTATCTACCATTGTTTTAATGATCACGTGGGCTTTCTATCATGGTTGACGAACACCATGACAGAGTTGAAACCCCTGATGTCCCTTATGATCGATTTTTCACGCGGTCATATATCGAACCTTCAAGTCGACCAAGGCTACGACAAGTACATATCCGCCGTCGAGGAGCTCACCGGGATTTGTCCATGCGATGGATGTAGGTGGGTAAAATTTGGTCGTACAACCAAGGACGGACTCTTTTGCTTGGTTCGCATCGCGCGGACTATGCTCAAAATATCAGGTCTTCTCCCACAGCTGATCCTGGATACGCCATTACACCCAACTTATAAAGGAATCATGGGCTTCTACCTTGCTATGTCTGACTCCGAGTTCCGGGGTTACACTTATCTTTCAGACACTGCGAGGAATATGCATGTCTTCAAGGTCCGTGATCTGGCACTGGTGAACAAGTTGCCTGAATGCTCTGCGCTCTTTGGAAGTAACATTTCACTTCCAGCTAACAACACGGAGCTCTGTGCTTTCAGCGACGGGGCCATGTTCTATTACGTGGAAACATTGAGGGAGCCGACTGATCGCATCGAACATGCTACCCGCATACATGTCGGAGCTGGTTCCATCCAGTGCGGCTCCAAGCTGTACAACTTTGTATCCGGCCGGATCCCGATTGAAGCTGTTCACCGGTACCCGGCACATCATGTCACTCGCAACGGCCCCATAGATCTTCTCAATCAAGATACGACTTCGCCAGAACTCGCCCTCCAGGCAATGGTTCGCAAAAGCATTGGGAGCCTTGCATTCTGGTATAGAGTCTCGTGCAGACAAGGGAAGATGACCTTTTCGCCCTCTCGACTGGTGGAAAAGCTGGCGGAAGCCCGTGCCTACCTGTTGCCGCTCGACAACCCCTACTCCGGCCCGGAAGGGAGGTCAATCCTGGACGGCAAAGAATGCGTAATGGTGCACGGTGAAGGTCGTGCGCCCCCCCTCCATGAAAATGAAGTTATTCTCCGTCCCCTGCGATCTAATCTGCTTGGACGCTGCGTTGTCATTGCGAGCTCCGAGGGTCAATATATTGCCCTGGTAAAGAATGACGACGAATTTGCTGGTTTCAAGAGATTCTGGCTGTCAAGAATAAAAGAGAATGACTCCCGGCTGCGCGCCATTGATAGGGATCCTGCGTTTCACCCAAGTTGGCGTGGTTTAGAACTGATTTCTTAGCGCATGAGTGTACTTTGGATACGAAGACTCCAGACGGTTTCGAAGGGGAAGCATGAAGGTCCGACCTGGCAAAACGAGCAGGTCATACACGAGGTGCATAGGGGTGCCAATACTCTATCGAAAACTGGGTTCTCGACTGTCTACAGAGATTCTGTCCCAGTCTACAAGAACGCAGCATTGAGCCAGCCGCACGTCTTCGCCGTCGTGTTCTTGGGCTTTTAACCCGACCACCGTTTCAATACGAGGCCGCCCTCTCCCCTTCGCCTACCTTTCGAAGTGGACGAGTGAAGAGGAACGCGACCTGGTATGTCGGACGACAGGCATCAAGACATCAAGACATCAAGACATCAAGGTACCTCGTACGAGGTACAGTATAGCCGATCCACTACGTTCCTAGGTACCTACATGCGATGCCTACGCATTCTCGATACAGGTTTAGCAAATGCTTGACCATCTCACTCCTATAGTACCTAGGGACGAAGGGGTAGCCTAGCCAGTTCTCTGCGACTACACGGGATATGAAGATGGACATCGTCATTCAGCTGGATGTGTCAGCCATGGAAACACTGATAGACAGTGAAAGTGCTTCATTTCAATTCACTACCATGTTCGCCACGCTTGCTTGCTATGGATGGAAGGCTGGAGTGAGCTTAGTCGATGTCTGAATATTCTGCATCCTGCCCTGCATCGCATCGCCCTGGAAAATCAATGAAAATTTGGTGCTGATCGATGGATTCCAAACAAAACCAATCAATGGTCCTGTCCTTCTAAGTTGTTCACACTACTGCAACCACGCCATCGACATCCTGTGTGGTCTTCAGATGTACACTGACAAGAGACAACCCCCAGCTCGTCGTGCAGGAAAACTCAGTCTTCGTTTAAGCCTCCTCTTCCAAAGGCGCTTCCTCCTCACCATACTCCTCTTCGCCCTCGGAGATGCTGGCATCTTGGTATTGTTGATACTCCGAGACGAGATCATTCATATTGGACTCGGCCTCGGTGAATTCCATCTCATCCATACCCTCGCCAGTATACCAATGCAAGAAAGCCTTGCGCCGGAACATAGCAGTGAACTGATCGCCCACACGCTTGAAGAGTTCTTGGATAGAGGTAGAGTTGCCGACGAAGGTGGATGACATCTTCAGGCCTCGTGGGGGGATCGAGCAAAGAGCGGTTTGCACGTTGTTAGGGATCCACTCAACAAAGTAGCTGTTGTTCTTGTTCTGAACATTACGCATCTGGTCCTCGACCTCCTTCATGCTGACCTTGCCGCGGAAGATGGCAGAGCAAGTCAGATATCGGCCGTTTCGGAAGTCGGAAGCAGCCATCATGTTCTTAGGATCGAACATCTGCTGTGTCAGTTCGGGAACACTGACGGCGCGGAAGGAGTAGGCGTTGCGGCTGGTAAGCGGAGCAAAGCCGACCATGAAGAAGTGAAGTCGAGGGAATGGGACCATGTTGACGGCCAATTTTCTTAGGTCAGAGTTGAGTTGACCAGGGAATCGCAGGCAGGTGGTGACACCGGACATGACTGCCGAGACGAGATGGTTCAAGTCGCCGTATGAGGGGTTGGACAGCTTGAGTGTGCGCATGCAGATGTCGTAGAGAGCCTGAACAAGTTAGGATACAGTTCCCAACGATCAGACATTTACCGTACCTCGTTGTCAATGCAGAAGGTCTCATCAGAGTTCTCAACCAATTGGTGGACGGACAGAGTAGCATTGTACGGCTCGACCACAGTATCGGAAACCTTCGGGGATGGGACGACGGAGAAAGTGGCCATCATTCGGTCGGGGAACTCTTCTCGAATCTTGGAGATCAACAATGTACCCATACCGGCACCGGTACCACCACCAAGGGAGTGGGTGATCTGGAATCCCTGGAGGCAGTCACAGCTCTCGGCTTCACGTCGGACGACATCGAGAACTTGGTCCACAAGTTCCGCGCCCTCAGTGTAGTGACCCTTGGCCCAGTTGTTTCCTGCAAAGATGTGTTATTGGTGTGATCATTCTCCTGCTGGGTAGCCGCTATATCTTCTTACCAGCACCGCTCTGGCCAAAAACAAAGTTATCAGGACGGAAGAGTTGACCGAAAGGGCCAGCTCGGACAGCGTCCATAGTACCCGGCTCGAGATCAACGAGGACAGCACGGGGGACATATTTGTTTCCAGAAGCCTGTATGGACGTCAGCAGATGGATCAAGTCAAAAAGGTTACAGGGGTGATATACCTCATTGAAGTAGACATTCATGCGCTCCAGTTGGAGATCCGAGGTGCCATTGTAACTGGGTGTATGGTCAACTCCATGATCAAGATAATCGGATTAGGTAAAGACATACACTCCAGAGCCATCAAGGCCGTGCTCGCCGGAGATGATCTGCCTGGAAGCCTTGTTAGATTTGAAGTCGTCGCGTGTGGGAGGCAGCGTACCAGAAGGCAGCACCGATTTGGTTGCCCTGGGAAATTTTATCAGCCTTCAAGGAAACACAGATGATTTTGGGTCAAGAGCTCTTACACATTGGCCGGTCTGCAAGTGAACCTATTCGTGATGGACATGTCAGTCTCCAAGCTGTTAAGGAAGGGAGGATGGTGGGGTGCAAGAACAGGGGTAAACAGGGTTTGAGACGCGTAGCAAACTCACAATTTCACGCATGGTGTCGGAGGACTGAGAATGATGAAGGAGATATGGACAGGTTTCGAGATGAAGAGAAAGATGGAAGAGCTACTCCAAGGAACGATCTCTCCAGAAGATGGTAAGGTGGTAAGGTGCAGTTGTGGACGACGAGACAGAATTGAAGGCCGCAGGTCAACAAACTCGAAGTTTGGGCAGTGGAGCGCCAAGCATCCACCGCGATAGGCACAAGGTCAGGCGGTGAAGAAGGCGCTAGCCGTTGGCAACGCCTTTCCCTTTTTAGCCATTCGGCAATACACAGGACGCGCCGCTGACACCAACACCAGCCTCACCGCGATATGTCCTGTCTGTAGCGGTGTCGATATTTCATCATTACACTATGCTTTTTGTCTACCTGGGGCAATGTCCTCTCATTGTTAATGCAGCCATGACATACTTGATGCCGGGTATCAAAGATATAAGCCTTCACTTCTGCGTCCGACTACACTTCGTTGGAAGGATATTCCACCTTGGAAGTTGGCAGTGTCTCCTCCTTCATCGACCGCATACTGACAAACCGCGACAAGATTGCTGCGGATCCGGCCTTGTCATTTGTACCTGAAGCTCGTGCACCTCCAAATGGTTGTTGGCCAACAACGGCACCTGTTTTCTAAGTCAGAACGTCGCAGACAACAGCTCGTCAAATCAAGCACGTACCTGTACTCTTGCAGTTGATGTAGTAGTTGCCTGCCGCGTTTCTCAAAGCCTCCTCAGCATACCTTATCGCCGCCCGATCTTGAGCAAACACCGCCCCCGTCAGACCATACTCCGACGTACTGTCTACAAGCTTGCAAGCCTTTTCGAAAGAATCCGGCGCCGCGTCATCGTAGACATAGACTGTCAGGATCGGCCCAAAGAACTCGGTGCTGAGGTTTCGGTGACCGGGATCTTTAGAGAGGTAAATGGTAGGGTGCACGAACCATCCCTTCGAGCTGTCGTATTTGCCACCAGTAAGAAGCTCCAAAGAGCTATCGTTCTTTGCAGCATCGATCACACCAGACAGCTTCTTGAAGCTTGCCTCGTGAATGACCGGGCCGATGAAGTTTCCAAAGTCTTCTGGAGGTCCAACTTTGAGCTTCTCAGTCTCCTCGACAAGCTTGGTTTTGAACTCGGGCCATATCGACGACGGCACATATAGTCTGGAGCAAGCACTGCATTTCTGCCCTTGGTACTCGAACGCACCCCTGATTGTTTGCACCACTGCATTGGTGATATCGGCACTGTTGTGGACCAGATGGAAGTTCTTCCCGCCCGTTTCTCCAACAATTCTGGGGTAGCCTTTGTACCTCCCCTCGGCAATGCCCTGTCCAATCTGGCCATATAGCTTTCGGAAGACAGCCGTGGATCCTGTGTAGTGTAGCGCTGCAAACTGCTTGTGACTGAGGACGGCCTTGGTAACCTCCTCAGCGTCACCGGGCACGAACTGGATGACACCAGCAGGGAGTCCGGCCTCTATGAGGATCTGATGCACCAAGTAATTCGACGCGATGGCCGATGGACTGGGTTTCCAGATTACCACATTGCCCATCAAGGCTGGAGCACCAGGCAGGTTCCCTCCAATGGCCGTGAAGTTGAACGGAGAAATAGCATAGACAAAGCCCTCAAGTGGTCTGTACTCGACCCTGTTCCACACCCCCGGAGAGTTATAGGGCGGCTGCTGCGCATACAGCTCCTCCGCGTATCGTACATTGAAACGCAGAAAGTCAATCAGCTCCGCGGCCGCATCGATCTCTGCCTGCCATGCATTCTTTCCCTGCCCCAGCATTGTTGCAGCCATCAGTTCGTATCTGTATTTTGTGCTGATCAGATCAGCGGCCTTGAGGAAGATGGCAGCTCGGTCGGCAAAGGGTAAAGACTCCCAGGCGGGTTTTGCGGCGAGGGCACCTTCGATGGCGTTGTTGACATCGTCGGTGGAGGCATTGGAGTATTTGGCGACGGAGGTCGCGTGGGAGGAGGGGCTGTTTTGTGTGAGGATGGAGGACGTCTTCACGGCTCTGCCAGAGACAACGAGAGGGATCTCAAGAGGCGCCTTCTCCTGTAGAGCTGCCACTGCAGAGGCTAGAGCTTCCCGAGAAGGACCTCCCTTCTCATAATGCTTGTTCGGCTCGTTGGTAATGGTCGGCAGCCGGAAAGCTGCGAGGGTCGACATTGTGACGTGAGTTGAACGAAGACCGTGGAGGGATCGGGTGGTCGGAGCAGTACCAGAAAGTAGAGAAGGGCGAGGGAATGAGAAGACTGCTTTAATTGAACCAGACATTTCTACGAGAAGGCAAGAAGCCACCTGACGAAACTGAATTTACTCCTCCTCTCCTCACAAACCACAACAAGCGCCCCACGTCGAGTTTTTGAGATCAAATGCATGCTCCCCTCTGGCTATCGTCGGTTGGTGGCGGGGTTTACGGTGGGTGGTTAGGCATGGAGATGCCCGTCAGGGCGACAGGGACCGCTGATAGGCGTGTGTTGGGCGTTTCTCTATTGGCGGGAGCTTCGCAGTTGTGCTGGAAATGGGGTAGGAGGCTGAAGAAAAAGTGTCTTGCGAAGCCTTGCGCAGCAAATTCAGCGAGAGTCACAGGGCGCAGTGGCACTGAACATCCGTGGAGGTCACATTGGTATCGAACACCGATTAATCTCTCTGGCCTCTATGACGCACGCGCATTTCAAGCTCGACGGACTGCAAACGGACAACCGCCTGTCCTCTCCTTCTTCAGTCTCTCCCTGGTCATCGCCATTTCTTTCGATCCCTTGCCGACGAACACAGATGGCCCCGTGCTGTTGATTTCGAAGCCTTCAGGATACGTGCCTGGGTCTCCTGGACGGGGAATCCCAAGCAGCAGATGAACTATTGCCCCGGGACCCCATCGATTCCACAAAGTGGGCTTGACATAAACAGGTGCTGTGTCCCACGCAACATAGTATCTTCTGCCCTTGGCATCAGGTTCTTTGGTCATTATCTGCTTGGCCATGAATGTGGGTTTGGGTAAAGCAAGATATCTCAGGAAGAAACGTCTCAACTCCATGAAGCCGTTGAAGAATGATCGGTATGATGCTGGTGCCTCTTCGAACATGATGGCTTCCCTCAGCCTATCGTCCAAGGGAGCGCTCACAACCTTGCTAAGGACATCCTTCATGAAGGGAGGGTACATGCTCAGCAGCAACTGTCGGGTCTGGACTGCCGTGTCGTAGTTCTTTTGGTGAGGTACCATGCAGGCCTTCTCATATTGCTTGGCCCAGGTATCCAGCTCCCGGTAGAAGTGCAGCCCGTCTTTCCATCCCGTCGAGTACGACGGAAGTTTCTCGAAAGAGATTTCCATCCCATCGCCCATAGCTTTGTGGAAAACGCCCATGGCGCAAATTTCCAGGTCGGTGAGTTGCCTCCACTCGTACTTGTTGATCCATTCCACAGGCTGGTTGAGAAATAGCGACAGTGTATACAGCATATCGTCATTGCTGATTTTGCCCTGTTTGATGTAGTGCCCGTGCAAGTAATTCAATCTGGCGTAACCCTCAATGCATCTGTCGCTTTCAGGTTCGCCACCGTACATGTCGCCAAGCAACACCCCAGTGTCGGCATATCGCTTGGGCACATTCTTCTCCGCCGAGAGTTGGGTTGTCTTGACCAAGAGCTCGCTGATGGTGGGAATGCCGTACGTGCGGAAAAGAGCAAACTGCAGCCCCTTCTCAAACAAGGACGGGAATTCCAGGTCGCTCACAGACTTGAGAATATCATGGGCTTCCTTGACGGTCATTCCCTCATAGGATGGATATTCAGGCGTGCCATATTTGTACTTGGCCTGGAGGGCCTTTAGTCGGCGGAACCGAAGTGCTGAGCAGAGGAAAGGATAGGCCACAATCGCCGGAAGCAGGTAGTAGGACCAAACCCACGAGAAGCCTGAGAGTCTGTGCGTGGAAATCGACGCCAGCTTTGAGAACGACTCGTTCGAGAAGGTCGACATGGTGGAAAAATGCCCCTGTCCCTCTGCAGCTCGATTACCGAAGCTGACCAACAACGGCGCCAGGCAGGTAATAAGTGTTCCCAGAAGAAGCGACTAAGGGTGACCCCCTCTTGAACGATCTGCGCTACAGACAACGGGAGAATGGGGAAAAGAAAAAAACAGGAAACACTCGCGATAGCAGGAGGTCGAACATCAAATGAACAGTGAAACGACTGTCAGCAACATTAAATATATTTCGAGTGTCAGCTGGGACCTTCTCGGTTAGCACCGCCAGGCGCCTGCGACGTGTTGATATCGGCTTCTTTTTCGACCAAGACCGCAGCAGAGCCCAATCCACAAACGCAACTCGGTACTCGCGCATTACTTCTGTTTCCATCCACTATTGTGACTTTCCCCATTGGTCCATTGCAACAACGTTGCATATCTCACTCATGGTGTGGCTTTTATCAGCCGTGTCTTGTATTGCGTGTCTGCAATCCCTCCCGCGTCTCACCGATTTCCTACTTCAGACGACTCCAGCCCACATGGCATCCATCAAGTACCGCGCCACGGATCCGTGTTGGGAAGTCTGCATAAGAGATACAAGGTTATGCAAAAAGAACACAAGAGGCTGAGAGGGTCAGGAGATATGTACTTCCTCGTCAATTTAGCGATGCGAGTGCGCCCGCAGCCGAGTCAGCCATAACGACGTCGATATCAAGTGCCATCGAGGACGGCTTGAAATCCTCCCGGGTTGGTAGCCTCGAAAAGTGAGCCTCCACGTACAACTCAAGTCAGCCGAGTCACTACAGAGTACCTCGTACTTGTACTCGGTACTGAGTGTTAGAATCAATGGGGTCTCGTGCGACTTCGAGAGGCATGTCAATACCCGTGTTACGCTCTTCCATTCTTCCTTGGTGTCTGTACCCGGTTGCCGGTACATAGCCCACTTTGTTCGATTAGTTGATCTACGTCCCCCAGTCTTCTCTAGAGTATCCATCGCTTGCGGTGACCTCTTTGTAACCCAATATGCTTCTAGCCAATGATCAGTCATGTAATGCAACTCCTGCATTCTCACACAGATATCCGACATCCCGCATCAGGTTCTCTACAGACGCCGTGCGAAACATGTACAAATGTGCAGCCTCCCCTTTCTATTCCATCTTTGCTGTTCCGTTTGCTATTGCAATTGCGCGAGCGGCTGCTTCTTCGAAAGAATCTGTGACGGTGGTTATTATCAAGGTCTGCTTTCGCACAAAACAGCGTCCACTTACCAAATGCATCGAGATTGAGACCGCTTTCCCGGATGAGCTTCTGTCCCTCGGCCTCCCTGGTTCCTCGAATACGGACGACCACGGGGACCTGAAGATCCAAGTCTTTAAAGGCCAACAGGATCCCCCGGGCAATCATGTCGCCCAGTGTCAATCCTCCAAAGATGTTGACGAATATGCACTTGACTCGAGGGTCTGATGTCACAATCCTGAAGCCGGCCTTGATGGTATCGGAGGTGGCTTTCCCGCCAGTGTCCATAAAGTTCGCTGGATGTCCACCTCGAGCCACCAGTGCATCAACCGTGTTCATGGCTAGTCCTGCGCCGTTCACAATTGTTCCTAACGTGCCCTCTCCCGCCAACTTCACGTAGATCATGCCCTCTTTCTCAGCCTCGACTTCTTCACGGACCTCGCTTTCAATGTCTCGCAGGGCATGGACGTCTGCCTGTCGCCCTGAGCTCCTGAACGCTGCATCGTCGAAGCCAAACTTGGCGCCTTGAACTTGGAGCCCCCCTTCGTTGTCGATCACGATTTTCGTCTGTAGTACAAAGGCTTCTTTGGACATGAAGATATCGACCAGCTCGGCGATGAGTTTACCCAGGGAATCCTGACCCTTCCCAGATACACCCAAATGGGCCGATACAGTCTGAAGCATTGCATCTGAAGTCGCTTCGTCTGTCCCATAAGCAAACGGGAACTTTTTGGACTTGGCGAACGCTTGCGAAGGATCTGTGGTTGGTGATGCGATGATGCAAGGCTGTCGTGCTTCCCGATCAATGGAGATGGCAATGAATTTCTCCTGGAGGCCTGTGGGACTGTCGACGGTGGGTATTCTCCTCTGCTTCAACATGTCAAAGGCTTGCGAAGGTTTGATGTACAGATTACGCCGTTGCTGGGGATGGGTCCTCGTATCAATCAGTCTAGGCCGCCTTCGCATTGTATGGTAGCCTCTCTTCTGCGATGCAGTCGAGGGTCCTATTCTGCTGGTTGAGCCTGATTTGGACCGCTCAGCAAGTAGCTTCTTCATGCCCTCTCCCAATTTCTCCGGGTGGTCAACGACTTTCACTCCAACGTCTTCCAGGATTTTGATTTTTTGTGCCGCAGTTGCTTCACCGGGAGCAGCCCAGGCTCCTGCATGACCCATGATCCGCCCAGGCGGAGCCTCGACGCCTCCTATGACCGACATGAAGGGCTTGGGATTTGCAGTCCGCCGTTGATATTCTTTGATCCACTCTGCAGCCCTTAACTCAGCGCTTCCCCCAATTTCCCCGATCATGATGATGCCCTCGGTCTTCTCATCCTCGACCAGGACCTGGAAAGCTTCAGTGAAAGTCGTTCCTGCAAGCACATCACCGCCCATGCTGATTGCGTATGTCTGTCCCAATCCCGCTCGTGTCGTAGAAGCGACAGCTTCGTAGCTCAATGTGCCCGATTTGGCGATTATGCCGACGTTGCCTTCAGTAAAGAATGGTAGAGGCTGGAACCCTAAGCGACAGCGGCCGTGGACATTGATGATTCCGGGACAGTTTGCGCCAACCAACCTCGTCTTTGACTGTGTTCGTAGCATTTGGTGTATCCTCAAGATGTCGTGCACGGGTATGTGTTCGGCAACCGCTACAATGAGGGGGATTTCGTTCTCGATGGCTTCCTCCATGGCCGTAACGGTTCCATTTCCAGGGACGTAGATGGCGCTGGCGTCGGGCTTGAGCTTCTCCACGGCGGCCCTGACGGTAGGAAGAACTGGTAGACCCAGATGCTCACCCTCCACCCCGGGTTTGACCCCACCAACGATGTTTGTACCAAACTCCAGTGATTCTTTGGCGTTCATCGTGGCTTGCCGTCCAGTGAAGCCCTGATAGAGCACGCGAGTATGCTTGCCAATCTTGAGGTTGTTGATCGTGTCGGCATAGCTCCACCGTCGAGAAGACGTCGAGAACGGGGCGACATTTCCACATGTACCATGTTTGTATAGGACAGACCACGAGGCTTTCTGGGATCTTAATCCCCTCGGCAAAATGATTCTGGTCATCCCACGAACGCACGCTGAATGTATGCGGAAGAAGAAAAAGACACCAATGGTTCAAACCAAATACTTTCACAGATACCACAATTTCGGAGCTCCAAAGTCGTTAATTGACTAGGCAAAGATCAATAACGAAGCTCGACAACACCCAAGGTCCTGATATTGGGTGAGGGGAATATATACAAAGATTGGAGAAGGGCTCGTGTCCAGTCGCTCGGCACGGTAAAAGTGAGACTTCGGGTACCATCAGTGAGGCGGGTGAAAGACTTCCGAGGTCGGAGAGGGCGCCATTGAGGAGGACGCACAGGTATCGAGACGCACTTCAGGATGGCGCGGGTGTTTGCGGCCTGGTTTCCGAGACGCTAGCGAATTTTCGAGAGAGGGAGCTGTGATGGGCGAGATTGGGTGGGTGTCCCAGGTCCGAAGCACCGCCGACTCGGGGATGGTGCTCGAACGAGGTAAGGGCTGATACGGCGACGCGAAAGGCCCTGGCATTTCGCCATTGAGATACCAGAGGGGGGGAAATAATATCAGCCGCCTCGAGATTGGGGGAATAATGAGAGACTTCACAGGGGGTGGTTAGACCAGCTTGAGTGCGGAGTTTGCAGTCCGATGGTGCCTGGACCCATGCAAAGCGTACGACCCCCCCTCCAGTCCGCTGAGTTCTTGGTCCTCGGCCCTGATTGCACTTTTTTCCTCCCCCCCCCTTACGACCCTGCAGGAGCACCCTCTACGGAAATGCGGGGATGGTCTTACAGGGTTGCAACGGCCCCATGTGTGCCCCCAGCTTAAGCACAACGTATCTGTCTAGGCGACCCCAACCGCCAAATGCCGCTTAACTTTCACCTGCACCTGCGATTCGTCATTCCACTTGCCTTGACACGAGATGTCTGAGGAACGGAGCTCATTGCGGAGCACCCAGTTCGTTGAGGACATCGAGTATCTTATGACATCGCTTGAGAGATGATCTGATCCTCTCGTTCCTGGAACGTTGCGCTATATCCTTGCTCCTGACTATTTGTTTGCTCGTGTGCGCCCCTCCCCTGGAAGTCTTCTCTTGGATAAGCATGTCGGGCCAAACATCAATACAATCCAAGCTGCCAGATCTACACATTAACCTCCCTCCTAACCCCCAGCCTACACCCTCCATGAAGACGGAAGAAGTGATTGAATCTTGGGAAGATGATGATCCTTCTTCCCCTCTCGGAGATGACTGCAATACTCGCACACCTGTCGAAGGAATGAGCCTCTCTCTGAAGCAGTCCGAGTCCGCAGATCCTGCATTGCGTCCACCACCTCCTACCCCAATAGCTCCAGGCAATGGTGCGCAGTACATAGACTGGTCGCCTGCCCAGGTCCTTGGAGGAGGCCGTCCAAGTACCAGGCCATATACGCATTCCGGAGCGTCCACACCGCAAACCGACTCTGATTGGGAACGACGAAGGCCAGAGAAGACGACAGCCACCGCTAGTCGAATGATAGCTGCTGGGTTAGGGATGAAGGCTCCCAAGAAGAACGAAGAACAAAAGCAGTACGATCGAGCGGTCAGGGAACAGGAGATGAAAAGAAGAAATAAGGAGAAGGAGGAGAGAGAGCGTGAAAAAGAAGATGATGAAAAGGCCAAAGCTGCTGTTTGGGAGGATTGAGGTCAACAGACTGTCAATCGATCCGATGGGATCAAGGGGAGAATCTGAATGTTCCGTGGTTACAGGAATGTACTACAAATTTGACGGTTTCTCCTGCTGTGTCGCTATATGGTTTGTTGGTAAGATATGCTGCTGCTCTCTGCCGAAAAAAGGCGAGAGATCCATCTTCTGTATCCCAATGAGGAGTCACATTCATCTGCGTGAAAATGAGACATATCATACTGCTAGGCTTAGGCCCGCTGCTGGGAGAGCAAGTCTGCCTCTGGGGTTGGTGATTTGAACAGAACCTCCATCTCCATACGTACTTGTAGTATGCTGTTAGATCTCCACTGTCATGCAGATAACATGTTCGTTCTCAACACAAGAAGAAAAAGAAGACGGGTAAATTGGGTTTGAATCGCGCGACATATGTTTCGCAGAAATGGATCGAGGTCGAAGATGGAGTACCTGAGTACCTCGTACGTGTAGTGTACCTGAGACGTAAGTTGATGGCGTGGACTTTGTGGACTGTAGTCGCACTATGACGCACTTCGGTTGCAAGAAAATGTCCAGATCTCAAGTCCTTGGTATCTGCTGATGTACATGGTAGGCAAGAGAACCATTTATCCTTGAACAAGGTTAGCTCGAGCCTCTCATATATCAATTTTCTTCTTATCGTCTCTCGACTTGCTCGCGATCTTCTAATTTGAATGCTTCGATAGCGAGGACATCACAATGGTAGGATACTCTTGGGAAACCAGAGGTTTGTCCGATGCTTATTGCTAATAGTCGTACAGGGCCGCCTTGAAGACGACTTGAAGACAGATCCCCCCTGCCACCCCAGAGCGGTGAGTGAGTCTTTATGAGCCTTGCGAGTACTGTTAGCGCTGATTCTGTGTCGATGCAGTGTGCAATCCAAGGTGTGTTGCGCACCCGCTTTGCCGAACATCTATGAAACCTGACACTCATCCCAAATAGATTGCCTGCAGAAAAACAACTACAAAGAGGAAAAATGCCAATCAGCAATAGATGCCTTGTACGAATGTTGCAATGCATTCTATAAGGACCAAGGAGATGATGCCAGCACAACCTCATGCCCGAAGCCCAAGCTGCTGAGGCTGAAGATGGAGCAGCGAGGCCAGAAGTGAGATTCAAAATTTGTTTGCCACGATATACCCTTTTGCCAGGGAGCACGTAAATAGCTATCAGAACAGACGTCGGGGGATGTCGCAGAAGGTTATTGAATAGGAAGGTGAATGTAGCAACTCGATTTTTTCTACCTGAACCATCAGTCCCGTTTGTGAGGTCTGGTCAGCTGAACAGCGAATGCCGGAAGATACTCTGAGGCAGTCGTGAGCACGCAAGAGACCCCGTAGGATCTGAACAAACATTGAGTGTCCGCTCCGAGACTCTAATGACTACCTGGTTGACATTGATGGAGGAAAAGGAAAGGAAAGGAAGAGGAAGAAATGAATTTCGAATGGCCACTTTCAAAAACTTCACTAATGGACTATTTGGGTTTAGCTCCTCGACGTAAACTGCCGCGTCGCGTGTGAAAGGCCAACGAAAGCGAGAGGCTTGGACATCCAAAAGTTGTTTGGCCTTCTGGAGGCAGCCTCCAATGTGCCAGGTCGAGATCCCTTTTATTGTGAGAACTTTTGACACATCGCAGTCGGCCTCTATAAATGGCGCCTATCACAAGATCTTCCGTCCATGGAAGGCAGTCCCAGGTAAGTCATCGACGCAGCTTCCGCAGGTACATTTTGCTGAACCCAATGCGCAGCTGGACAACCACGAGACCTTCGAAGAGTCACATATACCTGATGAAGACCAAGAGATGGACGACCAAGACGAAGAAGTGCCGGCTCACGAAGGTGCGACGAACAAAAACAAGTTTCTTATTACTTCGCAAAACATCATGGACTCCCCCAGTTTCGAGACGCAGTCAGGAGCCAACATGCTAATCGACACTTTAGATACCCGGTCACCCTTCAGATCTTCAGCGCAGGAAATGCTTCGCCCTCTTCAAGATACCGCCGATCGAGTGAGCAGGCAAGTCGAGGAGTTTGCAAAAGCTCTAGACAGATTTGTTTCTCATCGAGACGTCGCCGACAACTCTCTCTGGGAAGATGCCTTGGTACTGCTAGAACGATACAGCAAGATTGCGGACATCCGAAAATCAAAGACGCCTGCGGAGGAATTGGTCGGAGATCTGGAAAAGATACAGCTCGAATCAGATTTGTGGATTTTGGTTAGGAACCTACTATACTGCAAATCTCCAGTCTCCCTCAATGATGCGCAGATTGCCCAAGAATCGAGGTTGGGTGGACTACATCGCTATTCTACCAACGTCGAACTCTGGACTGCATTCCTTGACTCTGATGCTGCGGCACAGGAGTACGAAAACATCCTGGCGTGGTTACAAGAAAGAGCTGCCGAGACGTCCCCTCCCATTGAAGACAGCACGCGCAGTCTAGCCGAGAAATCAGAACGTGGGGATGGCATTTGGAGTGCTGGACCTATCTTCACACAGACTGCAGTTAAGCAGCAGAAACGGACCCGAGTATGGTCAATCCCGTTGGAACCTTCAAACCCTGGATTAAACCGGACCCACGTTCGCAAGGTCGACCAGAAACCCCTCGTCGCTCAGCTAGATCCTGACGCCCCAACCAGGGAGTCGGCTGTACTTCAAGAACAGGATGAGTTCCACGACCAGGCAGCCTGGCAGACATACTGGGAAATGCTCCGCAGAGGATACCCTAATAGCCAGATTCAATCGTGGTTCGCGGAACGAAAAGAAGTCTGGAGATATACAACCCTTTGCGGATGTGGTCCACATGCTGATCAAATGATCAACTCCCCCTGGCTGCGTATTCTGAATTTTGCCTCAAATTCTGAATGGTTAGAGCGCTGTGAGGCACTGGCTCAAAATCCCGTCATCCAAGATCAATTTCAGAAGGCCACTTACGGGGTCCTCTGCGGTGATGTTGGGGCTTCCCGGTCTGCATGTAGGTCGATTGATGACAACCTTTTCTCCATTTTCAATTCCCTCCTTATCCGGCGATATCGAATCTATCTTCAAGCCTACAGAAAGAGATTGACGGACACGGCCGCCACTGAGTACCGACCCCCGCCACCATCAACCGCCGAGATCCAGCAATATGTCGCCCTTGCTCAGTCAAATCCAACGACGAGGGATGAATCTCACCAGCCGCACAAGCTGCTGGAACTAACCATTATGTCGAAGGACTTTAACCACTTCTTTGTGAACATGGGCAGGGCTGCCGCCAGCGTCGCACATACCACAGGCCAAGGATCACATCTCATGACCAGAGGCCAAAACGAAGGAACTGAAGTTGCCATGTTGAATGCTCAGGACCAAGACAGTGTCCGTATGATTGCGCATCTTCAATTGGTATTACGCTCTCTAGGCTTATTACAACCTTCGTACGCGGAACACGAATACGAACTCGAAAACAACATCGCCGCCTATATCGGATTGTTAGAAAACTGGGGCAAATGGCTTCTGATTCCTCTTTACGCGTCCAAGCTATCCAAGAAGAGAAGCTATCATGTTCTGGGAGCTATTTTGATCAACGTCACAGATCGCCGCGAAAGAGATCTACAAGTAAAGCTGATGAAGCAATACAGCATCAATGTCTCGGAAGTCACCTACGGGCTTTTCTCTCTCGCCAATTACTCGGATCTCCAGAAACTTCGAAAGTATAAACATGGTCCGATATCTGCCCGAGTCACAGTTATGGGTGGTTCAGGCAAATTAGCACAGCACAAGGTTCGGCCTAGCTTGATGACTGGCGAGGTCACTGAGGCAGATGAGAAGGCTGTCAGGAGCGTGGAGTGGATTCGATACGTTGATGCTGAAAACTGGGGAGCAGCTGCGTGGTCTGTTGCAGTGCTCTACAAAGTCTTCTTGGTCGAAGGAAGATTCATCGCCATGCGTCAACTACTTGATCGTGTTCGTCTCTCAGATATGTCACTCGCAGCCTTGGCGATGAACCTCTGTTTTGCGGACGCAGATCCACCGGCAGGCACTGTTGAAAGCGAGGTAGAGGAGTTGGATGAAGATCAAGTGACTCCCATGAGCAGCCCGACGAGGAAGAGAAAGGCAGCTAACTCAGACCATCCTTTGACGAGAGCCGGGACCGATCGACAAACGCTGGCGTTGAAATCACTGATCTGGAAACACCTGGAACAACTTGTGGCTGCCATTGATGCCTTGGACGTCTTTCAGGAAGTAGCAGATAGTCTCGAACAGTGAGTTGCCCTGTCCCTGGATTGTCCCTGACCGAAGCTGATAAGAATGATACAGACACCGAACCAACCCGTCAGTTGCGCGAAATTACAAGCGCGAGCTGAAGCGCGCTCTTGAGGAAGTTCGACAGGCTATGCTACCACTATTCGACAACGATTTTCTTTGCCAGCCTCAAGATGAAATGGAGGCTGTGGTCCTGAACGATATACGCAACCACTACATCCCCGAGTGTATTCTCGCGTACAATAGCGCGTTATGGTTTGCAGGTCACTTCACTTCTCGTGCATGGCTCGTTGAATGCATGACCCTGGCCCAGGTGGTTGCGGAGACTCCCATGCTAACCAACGCCTTTGTGGAAAGCGGAAGAATGAAGGAACTGGTGCGTGCCTTTGCGGTTGACAGCCAGGCTCTCCTACAAGCAACAGAGCAAGGTGCTGCTGGTGGCGCTGGTGGCAGTGCGAACCGGGCGAAGAAGATCAAGACGGACAAAGGAAATGCGGATATCTGGAAGGTGTCCTGGAAAGAACAGAATGGGCCACTGGATTTCGAGGCAATGGATTGAGCACAGTGCGAGATGAGCGCCCTATGTACGAGTACGCGGCGTTTACCATAAAAACCTTAGGATGATGGGCGATGGAGAATATCGTCTTGGATCGAGGGAACAAAGGCTTGGTTACGAAGCACAGCGGGATGTCTCTCATGGGAGCATCTGTTTGTATGACTGTCACCTGGGAACTGTCTTGTTCATTGTCAACAGCTCTCGCTGAAATTTAAAACCCCCTATCCTCTAGTATGGCTGATTGTCTGAGGCTGATGGATCAAGCGCTCAAGTTGTTATTGACAGGAGTCGAAATTTCCCCACTTTCGTATTCCACCGGTTTAGTAGTAGAATCGGTACCAGCAGCGAGACACTCGTACCCCGTAGACCGTACGGAGTGTATCATTCACGACTTGACGAGGTAGCAGTTAGACGAGGCTGAAGCGAGATTAGCGCTTCCTTCGACCCCTGTCGAGCCTTCCCTTGTTTTACGCCGACGTTGACTGCGCACCAGACGCCGAGATACGAAACCACCATAACACATTCCGCCTCACGTTTCATCGGCTTGGGTCTACGACTCCCGTGCAACGTCGTGCCTGCTCATGGGACGTCTCTGAGCGCTCTAAAAATCACGCGCTGGGGCATTTGGCGGAGGAGTGGAAAGCGAGCCCCAAAACCCGTTTGCCAGCCATGTCCGTCCAGGCCCAAGGACCTGGCCCTCGCAGGGAGATCGAGGAGGTCGTCTTATCCGACTCCAACTCCGACTCCGACTCGGAATCCAGCTACGAAGGCCCAGACGACGATGACGAAGTCGACGACGACTCGGCTTCCATAGGCAGCGCCGCACGGGGTGTAGAGCACACGCTCGAAGACGCGATCCGGTCCGCGAGCCTGGCGCGTCTCAGGACCGTCCTGCTCCAGATGTGCAGCGACAACGCCGTGTGCCGCCATCTGGCCAGTAAAGCACTCCTGGTCGCCGCGCCTGCCCTCGCGCCGGAGCCGAAGACGGGCATGAAGCGGCTGCGCAAGGCGTATGAGATGTGCTCCCAGTGCGGCACGGAGTATGAGGTGGAGGAGAACGAGAGGGTCAAGGGCCTCTGCGTGTATCATCCCGGTGAGTGCAGTCACTACCTACTTTTGGCCCTCTCTTTTGCCTTTCTGGGGTGTCCTTGATTAGATCGAGAGGAAACCCACCTGGCGGGGAGAGGGGGTAAGGAGTCTGTCCGTCACAAAATGCTCCATATTAGTATCATGGCCATATTACTGACCAGGAAGAAAAGGCGAGAAAGAGCTCGACTTCGAATCAGACTTCTGGGCCGACCATGACCCTAACTGCCATGGCGATCCGGACTCGTTCATTGACGACCCCGACTACGCAGAGGGGTTCCTTTGGAGTTGTTGCGACGAAGAGGGCGGTGCTGAAGGGTGTGAGAGGACGCGGCACCGCCCAGAGAGGAGCAACCGAGCGAGACATGTTTGAGCGATGATGATCTCGTTTTGTGCGAGTGTTTGCAAGGCTGCCCATGTCTCACGGGGAGAGAAGGTTGTGGGGATGGCGATTTTAACTTCCCTTGAGGCTTGACGGGCAATTTCATTCTGCGGTGGCATTTCTTGAACGTAAATGGCTTTGCTGGCGCCGGGGAAAAACAATGCCTCGATTGGGATGAGGTTGTTGTTGTTGTGGTTGTGGAGGATCCGTCCCTCACCCTATCGTCTGGCCCAAAGCGTAACGCCTTGTCTTGGACCATGGCTTCGCCCTCATATCTTGAGCACTTCGCCAGCCGGCTTCGGAACCAGATGGCACAGTCTGACACAGAATGTATGTCGTCTTCGAATGTAGCCATAGTCACTTGATAGCGACGAGGTGTTCGTCTGATCTGGTACAGCAGATAATGCTGATCGGGGCAAGGTATACCACTGCGCTCAAGGGTTAGTAGAACATACCCTTACAAATGACGACTTACCTCCCCGGGAATGAATTGGAGTGGATGCTTGAGAAACTCGTTCCCAGTCAGACTATGCCACTTGATTACATATGTATGTATGGCACTCGCTCGCTCGGTAGCCCCTTTGGCTTGCGTTCCCCATACTACTACTACTATTTTCGGCGTCGAGCGTCGTATCTTCAGACCAGAAAAATCCATTGCTACGTACGAGTCGACAATCGGGATCCAGACCCGGCGAGCGGTTTGGTGCTCTCTTTAAGCATGAGAGAAACTACTTTGTCTCCGCGGAGCTCGAAAAAGGGAACATAACAATTGCGGCCTCGTGCAGACCGGGACTTGTCGACAGCAGGGCGTAGCTTCGCGGGGAGTACTGCCGTTTTCTCGCCAAAGGCTGGGCCCTGGCGTCTCGCGTCTGAAATGGGGAGTTGTCCATGACCCAATGCAGCGGATCCCCATGCCCTGATGCCCTTGCGTGGACCGAGTTTGGCAGAGAGTCAAGCACAGGGCGGGAGGCGGATATTGCGGAGGAACAAGGAGAGTTTGTGACTAAGATTTTCCATCACCGCCGTCGTCAGTAGTGGCATCCTATGGCATCCTATAGCATCCCGATCGGATGTGATGTAATCATCCACAAGGCGTTGGGAGACGGGACAGCATGCTGGGAATCGAGTATAAAAGTTACGCGAGGGCATTCATTCACAGGATCCTCCAAGTGTGGCCCTTCTTCAGAGGCAGTGCGACTTGGTTCCTGACCGTCTTACTACACGCGGACACCTCAGCCTGTCCATCCTGATATCCACCCCTGGAACTATACTGCACAGCCTTGTCATCTGCGCAATCTACCCGATAATCACCACCGACCCGCCTGAACTCCAGAGCCGTTGCCGGCACAATGTCTGACAGTGACAAGACTTATGGCTTCACGGCCCTTCCAGCCGATCAATCGCAAGACAAGCCCAGAACAACTAGCCCCGAGCCCATGGCCGTCTCTTCGCTCCAGCCTCCAAACACACCGCTCGCGACACGCGTCGACGGCTATGTTAAGTCCAAGCTCGATGCTGACACTTACCGCCACAGTCTGCGCGTGTACTGCTACGGCTGCGCCATAGCAAGGCAGTGCTTTCCCGAGTTTGAGCTCACGCAAGGCTCCAAACTGGACGAAACTTGGTTCTTGACCGCCATGCTGCATGATATTGGCACTTGCGACGAGTTTATGACGAGTACTCGTCTGAGCTATGAGTTCTTTGCCGGTGTCCATGCCTTTGATCTCCTGCAGAACCCCAAGGTCTCGGGCGGAGACGGCGTAGCGCCTCGAGAACAGGCCGAAAGTGTCGTGGAAGCCATCATCAGACACCAGGATGTTCAGGACAAAGGGAAAGTGACTCTGGTCACCAGACTGATCCATTGGGGAACGCTGTTGGACAACATTGGCGCCGGGAAAGAGTTGGTACACCCAGACACCATTGAGAACGTGGTGAGAGCACACCCCCGCCCGGGATGGAGTGGCTGCTTCAAGAGAACGGTTGAGAAGGAGAAGAAGTATAAACCGTATGCTATGGTTAGCCGGATTGAAGGATTTGAAGAGCTCATTGCCGGAAATGGAGCCGCTGGAGGACTGATGGCCAAATATGACTGAATTAGTGGGATGCAACCATGACTGCGCGAATTAGCTTTGACGAGACCATTTCAAATTATGGGCAGTCCTCGATATCTTCACTGCTTCGTGCTTTTTCCAGCCGTCAACCAACTTCGACGAAACGTGGAAGCTCATGATGGGCAAAAGGGGACAGAATGATGCCTGACCACAGGGCCCATCAACGGCACCTGGCCAATCATCATACAAGTGCGTCGGGACGTCAGGGCGGCAACATGATCGCGTTCTCTCCTTCCCCAGTAGAACATCTCGTTTCCTGATGGTTGCCTCACTTTAACAAACACTCAGATGGTTTGGGTTTGTCTGCTCCAGCCTTCGGACGGTGTCTCCCCAAATGGAAAGAGAACGCAGATTGAGGCGTGAGAACTATGTTGGGCATTTCCAGTCCCCTTCATTGCCCAGACTGCCATCGCTTTCGTGGATCTGGGAGGCCAAGCCTAGTAGTTTCATCAACAATGATTATGCCAATACCTTCAGAAATTTCGGGATCGGCGAGTGGCTCCTTGAATGCCAGGCACGTGTGAGGCATTGGCAGAAAGAATGGACCGCCGAGAAGAAGAAAAGAACAGAGGGCTCTCAACGAGTTGACGGTATTTGGCATGCGTCTCGCGTTTGATCTTGTTTCAGCAGAGAGACGTCGAAAACTTGCCACCTCAACTCAGCCACTCCTGCTCGTTCCGTTGTATGCGTATCCGGCGGTCAAACAGCTCGATCTGTCTCTGTCCGGAAGCTTCAGGTATATCGGAGTTGCGTGAGAAGTGGAGGAGTGGAGGCGAACCAAATTTGAAGGAAGGTGATAGGAGAGATCAGATAAGGAGCGCTTCCATGGTCAGCCAGGCATGGCCTGTGGTCTTCGTTCCCCGAGAGCAACATGCCGAGCTGCGAGTGACAAGGGGGCCGCCTGATGGAGAAAGTCTTAGCACAGTGGCAGTGCAAAGCCCTGACCACCAATTCCCAGATGCGATTGGAGAAGATCCTTCCTACCTGCAGCAGAGGGCGCGAGACGGAAGCGGGGACAGAGATGAGGGTTTTTCGTTCCATGGCCGGAGCATGTCAGATGCATTTGCCGCCGAGGAAAAGACGGGAAACTGTTGAGGAAGGCGAGAAGCGTGATATCACACGCAGAGACAACAGGTTGAGGGATGGATTTCTTCCATGTTTGAAGACTGCGGATCTTTGTTTGTGTTGTTCTCCATATGTAATCAGGTACCTGATCGGTCTCTGAATCTCCGATGCGGGAAAACGGCGGACGGCCTCTGGACCACTGGAAGCCCAAGCATTCTCGCCTGAGCGAAGCTTGGCGCCTCACGGTGATGTCCAGAGAGTGCAGAGGGGCGACTCCGAAGGTTAGGGTGCCCGCATTTTAGAGGCTTGGTTAGTGGTGTTTAGGGGCCTGGTTTAAGTGGCCTAGCTCCAGCCTGGGGCCTGGGCTGCTTGCAAGATTCCATGAGACAAACTGCGTCCATGCATGTTGATCCCGGACCGTTGTCCACAACTTCACGTATTTTCCCAACTCGTTGGATAGTCTTGACACACCTTCAACGAGCAAATGGCCTTGCAGTTTGCCTCGCTCCCTTCTTTCCTTTGTACATACTCCTCTTCTTGACGTTACCCGCTTTCTTCCCTTTTATGCTTCCCCTTCCTTCGATGGACCTTCCTGTTTGATCGTGAGGCTGAATCCACCACCCTCTCCTTGTTGATCCCTTCGCTGTCACACTGTACATTATCCCGCATACGATTCAGCCTTTCCATAGTAACCGCTATACCCTAGCCAGCACGGAAGCTACGAACCTCGCTCTACACACGGGTCGGATTGGAGTATCGTTTTTCGGCATTGGAACTGGGAAGTCTGTGGTGTGGGCGTGACTTTTTGCTAATTCACTCCCATCTGTATGTGCGCTGTCCTGCCACTTCACGGTTGTCTCAATCACAGTGAATCCAATCTGACTGCTTTGTTGTGCCAGTTCATCTTTCAGATAATCCAGCAATTCACATAATATCGTCATCTATTTCTTCTGCAGGTCGGACTCTTTCGCCAATTCAACTTCGTGGCACTTCTTGAATGGCCGGCTTTGGACACTCGCGCCTCCTACAAAGACGCTGAGGAGCCGGGGACATTGCATGCACCCTCTTCCAGACTGGCTCTTATACCTCAAAAAATCCTACCATGTCTTCACCCTCCGATGGGCAAGACCCAGAATCGCCAAAAGCAGTACAACAACGACCGCGGGCTCCTACAATTAGTATAGACGATTCCGCCGTCAACGCTCCTCCCTCCCCCGAAGAACCTCCCAGTGCAGTGTCCGATAAACCTGGTCCTCTACCTCGAATACAAACATCCGGGCTCGATTCTGGACCTACCCTATCCTCTCCACTTTCAGTATCGCCAACCGATGTTCGGCCGCCCTCTGACAGCCGCGAGTCCCGTCCAACCTCTCCTCATAATGTTTCCTCTCCCAGGGCCCAGTTCCTTGACGGAGCTGCCCACAACTTCCTGGCTGTCCCCGGTTCGAGAGCAAGGGCGACATCGATGGAGTCTCAAAATTCGGCCTCTACTTCCGAGTTCGGGGGAGAAACACAAATCGCTTCGACGATTTCCGGAACGGATGATTTACGCAAGAACTCGTTGATTAATAACGATGATGTGATGAATGATGCAGAGGCGTTGAGGCCAGATCCTGGGACTGAGGCGGACTTTGAGGTTGAAGACAACAAGTTTGCGTTTAGCCCGGGTCAGCTGAACAAAATGATCAACCCCAAGAACTTGGCTGCCTTTCACGCTCTCGGTGGCTTAAGAGGTCTGGAGAAGGGCTTGCGGACTGACCGCCATAGTGGGCTAAGTGTGGATGAAGTTGGCTTGAGTGGCACTGTCGACTTTCAAGAGGCTGTTCAGGCTGGCGCTGAGGCCGAACAACACTACGGCACCGTGAAGAGGACGACCACCTCCAACTCGATAACGGCACCCGCGAAGATCTCCGAGAATTCGTTTGCGGACCGCAAACGCATCTTCAAGGACAATCGGCTCCCGGAAAAGAAGGCCAAAACTTTCTGGCAGCTCGCGTGGATTGCCTACAACGATAAGGTGCTCATTTTACTGTCTGTCGCTGCTGTCATCTCGCTTGCACTTGGTATTTACCAGACTGTCAATCCTGCGCCATCCGAAGAGCATGAAGCCCGAGTCGAATGGGTCGAAGGCGTGGCCATCATGGTTGCGATTTTTGTCGTGACTTTTGTGGGCGCGTTGAATGACTACCAGAAGGAGCGTCAATTCATCAAATTGAACCGCAAAAAGGAAGAACGCTTTGTGAAAGTCGTTCGATCCGGAAAGTCGCAGGAAATTTCAGTCTATGATGTGTTGGTCGGGGATGTGATGCATCTGGAGCCGGGCGATCTGATACCTGTGGATGGCATCTTCATTGAGGGTCATAACGTGCGATGCGACGAATCCTCGGCGACCGGCGAATCTGACATTATTCGCAAAACGCCGGCGGACGAGGTCTTTCACGCAATTGAAACGCATCAAAGCCTGAAGAAGATGGACCCGTTCATCCTGTCTGGCGGGAAAGTCTCCGAGGGCGTCGGCACATTCCTTGTCACTTCAACTGGTGTCAATTCGAGCTATGGCAAGACCTTGATGTCGTTACAGGATGAGACTCAGACCACCCCTCTACAAGTGAAATTGAATGTTCTCGCCGAGTACATTGCGAAACTCGGTCTGGCTGCCGGTCTATTGCTCTTTGTGGTGCTCTTCATCAAGTTTCTGGCAGAACTCAAGAATATCGATGGAGGTGCTCAGAGCAAGGGTCAACGGTTCCTTCAGATCTTCATCGTTGCAGTCACCATTATTGTGGTAGCGGTGCCAGAAGGCTTGCCATTGGCTGTCACGCTCGCCCTCGCCTTTGCGACGACGAGGATGTTGAAGGACAACAACTTAGTGCGACTCCTGCGAGCTTGTGAGACCATGGGCAATGCCACGACTGTATGCTCCGACAAGACTGGAACATTGACACAAAATAAGATGACGGTCGTCGCGGGTACGTTGTCTACTGCTTCTAGGTTCGGCGACAAACAACAGCCCATCGACTCTACGACTGCTGGTGGTACAAAGACTCAAGCTCCTGCTGTGGCTACTAACGACGTCTCTTCGGCCGAGTTCTTTGCGACACTTTCTCAGGATACAAAGGCACTCCTCAAGGATTCGATTATCCTCAATACCACTGCGTTTGAGGGTGAAGAAGAAGGCAAGAAGGTGTTTATCGGATCCAAGACTGAAACAGCCCTGCTTACATTCATCGTCGACCATCTCCCAATTCAATCAATTGGTGAAGAACGAGCAAATGCTGAGATTGTCCAGATGGTTCCGTTCGACTCCGGTCGCAAGTGTATGGCTGTTGTCATCAAATTGCCGAACGGCAAATACCGTATGATGGTGAAAGGGGCATCTGAGATCCTTATTTCTAAGTGCACTAGGATCGTCAGCGATCCGACAAAGGAACTCGTGGACACGCCAATGACCCTAGATCAAATGGAGGCATTGAACGGCATTGTCAGCAACTACGCGTCGCGATCTCTCCGTACCATTGCACTGCTCTACCGAGATTTCAATGAGTGGCCGCCGCGAGGTGCCGCTTCCGTGGACGACAAGAAACAGGCGGACTTTGATAAAGTCTTCAAGGATATGGTTTTCCTTGGAGTAGTGGGTATTCAGGACCCCCTTCGTCCGGGCGTTGAAAAGGCTGTTCGCGACTGTCAGGTTGCCGGTGTGTTTGTGCGCATGGTGACGGGTGATAACATTATGACCGCCAAGGCGATCGCGACTGAATGTGGCATCTTCACACCGGGTGGAATTGCTATGGAAGGACCTGTGTTTCGCAAACTGAGCTCGAAGCAGCTGACGCAGGTGATCCCGCGCCTGCAAGTGCTCGCCAGATCAAGTCCCGACGATAAAAAGCTGCTTGTAAGCCATCTGAAGAAGCTCGGAGAGACCGTCGCCGTCACGGGCGATGGTACCAATGATGCACCGGCGCTTAAAGCTGCGGATGTTGGCTTCTCTATGGGTATCGCTGGGACGGAGGTTGCGAAGGAAGCGTCGGCTATCATCCTCATGGACGATAACTTTGCGTCAATCGTCAAAGCCATTTCCTGGGGAAGAACTGTCAATGACGCTGTCAAGAAGTTCCTTCAGGTAAGCCCCTGGTGTCACACTTGTGTGCTAACGACATGCTGACAATGGGAAAGTTCCAAATCACAGTGAACATTACAGCGGTCTTTCTAACGTTCATTTCAGCGGTTGCTAATGATGACGAGAGCTCTGTCCTGACCGCCGTGCAACTTCTGTGGGTTAACTTGATCATGGACACTTTCGCCGCCCTTGCCCTTGCCACGGATCCGCCTACCCCGTCGGTACTGAAACGACGACCGGAGCCAAAATCTGCGCCATTGATCACAGTCACAATGTGGAAGATGATCATTGGGCAGTCAATCTATCAGCTGGTCGTGACATTGGTCCTGTACTTCGCTGGAGACAGTATCCTATCCTATCAAACGCAACACGAGAAGGACCGACTTCAGAGTACAATCTTCAATACGTTTGTATGGATGCAAATCTTCAACCAATATAAGTGAGTGAATTTCTGGCCATATCTGATGTACACCGGACGCTGACCCTGTCCAGCTCGCGACGCCTGGATAACAAGTTCAATATCTTCGAAGGAATGCTTCGCAATTACTGGTTCATTGGGATCCAACTCATCATTATCGGAGGCCAGTGCCTGATCATGTTTGTTGGAGGACAGGCATTCTCGATCAATCGAATCAATGGGGCACAATGGGGTTATTCCATTGTGCTAGGTGCCCTTTCCGTACCAGTGGCGGTGATCATACGATTAATCCCCGACGAACTGTTTGCGAGATTGATTCCCCGTTTGCCACGAAGGAAGAAGCGTGGTCCAGATTTTGTGCTCGAAGACGACGAAAAGGTGCAATGGAACCCAGCATTGGAAGAGATTCGAGAAGAGTTACAATTCTTGAAGAGAATCCGTGGCGGTCGTATATCGGAGCTAGCTTACAAGCTGCAGCACCCACGAGACACGTTTTTGCCACGGTCACGAAGTCCTTCTCGTTCGCGATCGAACAGCGAATTACCGCAAACACCAGATGCGGAAAACGTTGTACCAGAGACATTGACAGGGTCCCCAGTCACCCCAGAAAAACTAAAACGACGGGCAAGATCCAGCTCGAACTCGGTTTTCGGACCTGCCACAGCAATGGCTGGGATCATTGCAGGAAGCGTCGCCGGAGGATGGTCACCGATCGAGAGGCGCCCTGAGGAACTAGAGACGGTGCGCTTCACAAGAGCTCGATCTCATTCGGGTGTTGAGGGTACAACTGGTATGGAAATCCATCCGGCAACACCAGCAGACGACCCTGTCTTTGCCCGCTCGGGCCCCCGGGCTGGCGTTCCTCCCAGCCAAGATCCTCAGTTGGCTCCACATTTCGACTATGCACCGCCGCACAGCCCTTCTGGGCGATCCAAAGCCTCACACTCGCGACATGGGTCGGCTGTGTGAAAGCCGAGAAAATGTCTATTGTTGGCATGCCTAGGAATGCTTCTGCTTCGACTGGAGGTACCGCCTATCGAGAACAGAGTCACTTTCAAATCGAGGGGGAAGACATAACCCGACAGCAATCTATCTGTTTGAGGGAAACAGCACTACGGTGTCCATAATATTGTCAAAAACCTCGAATGTGAACAAGACCGTTGATCGCATGAAGGGAATATCGGATTTGCAATGCAGCGAACCCGGCGGGCCTGATGAGTTCTGCGATTACAAGGCTGAGTGCAAGGAGGCTACAAATCTCTACGCTCTGATTTGCCTGGATTTGACCGGGCCGTCGTAAATATGGGTTGGGGAATGGATAGGGACTGGATTAGCGGGAAAAAGCAAATACGGGATACGAGAGCCTCGAGGAAGGAAAGGCTAGCTGAGATCAAGGACACGGTGTCGAGCACAGGGAGGATTGATCCGGCTCCTGTACAACACATAGGACATAGCACTTCTCACCGCATGTCGCTCTATCAATAATAGGATATGATGAGAATCAACAGCGCAGTCCTGAGCACAGCAGAGGGTGTATATTGTCCTACCACAAGTAATATTCTTTGTATGTTTGGTTGAAAAGTCAACAAACCAAAAGGGGGGTTGCCCCCGAGGCTGCGCCGTGAGGCTGTGAGCCGAGGCAATTAAAATTCCAACGCGCATTTCTAAGTCGGTTAGATCGCCGTTGCCAATCGAGGCCAGGCATTGTCGCTTCCACACTCCACATGCGCTTCGACATTATCTCATCGCACTGCTACGTCCGCGTCCGCTCTTCGCTTCGTCGTATTCCGCCGGTCACTGGCGGGCCGTTTATCGCTTTTTCCTCCTGGATACCTCGCAGTTGGGGAACAATGGCTCCTGGGCGGTCAACGTTAAATAGAATCGGGCTTTGCATCCCTCGCTCAACCTCTCTTCTCAACCAGCCACCCACCCGGAATCCCTTGTCCATCTGCATATATTGGTCTTCATCTGCACGCACGCTCTTCCCCCGGTCACTCGCTCACCGGCCGATCCACCTTGCCACTGGGTTTGGTTCCTCAGCGACATCGTCATCTGCTCGGGTAAAAGTCTTTCAATATCCCAGACCGACAAAAAGGACTGCGTGGCGTTCATATTCCACAGGTGAGTGACACTACACTCTGTCAGGATCGGCGGACCGCTGATACACGCGGCTGCAGTTGTCGTCCACAACAAGGGACAAGCACGTGTCCGGCGGACAATCAGCTTCCTCCTCATCAGCACCGTCTTCTTTGCAGTCGGGACCTATTTTGCCGTTACATACGCCTCCCCTATCCCCACGCCCTTGATCATGGGTTCCATGCCCTCGGACGCCGAAACCCTCTCCCTCTACTCTCCCGACAATGACTTTGCACGCGAAGTCGACGAACACATCAAGAACTGTGCTCTGGCGCAGTCCTTGCGAGCCAATCCAGATTTCGTCGAATCTAGACCCCATCTCAAAATTCCCGAAGAAATGAGACAACATAATCTCACGGCAGGGACATTGTCCGGCCCGGGAATGATCGTGGTGCCCCCATATTACTTCAACGAGAAAGATGGGAAATCAATGGTACAGATATTCTACGTGGGAACTGATGTTTCGGGACATCCGGGAATCGTGCATGGAGGGTTTTTGGCGACCATGTTGGACGAAGGACTTGCGCGGTGCGCATTCCCTGCCATGCCGAATAAGGTCGGAGTGACGGCCAATTTGAACATCAACTACCTCAAGCCGACGATGGCGGGACAGTTCCTGGTCCTGAGGGCCAAGACGACAAAAGTCGAAGGCCGGAAAGCGTGGGCTGAGGGGTGGATTGAGAGTCTTGAGGTTGCGGAAGGCGAGGAGGCCGTCAAGCTGGTCGAGGCCAGCGCGTTGTTCGTTGAACCAAAACACGCAAAGGTACGTTCGCTGTGATAAATGCTTCTTCGTCCACTGCTGGGTGTCTTGCAACTGACAATTCATGTTATAGGTGTTAAAATCCCTTTACAGGGTGACCCCATCATGAGGGATTCCGCCCGGTTGGAAATCGTCTTCCTTCTTTCCTCACGACCTAAGTGTCTTCAAAACGCTTCAAGAGATTCACAAAAAGCGGATAGAATTGTAGGATGGAGTACATACAGAGATCTTTACTTTGCTGGGTAGGAGATGGTTTGGGGATATACCACACTAAGCATGTGATTTTGAACAGGTTGCCGAGATGATCAACTTTCTTGTCAACAAGGCTGAGGGTGATTTGACGCATTTATAGCTGTTTCTGGTTTCTTTATACACATAGAGCGGTGCATAGATCATGTGGAGACCTTATAAACGGAGTGGGAAGAACGAGAATGAAAATCCAAACACACATGCCATAGCCTTTGCCGGCCACGAAATTTTCCAAAGTCGTCAAGATTGTACCCTGTCGTGATCGGATAGGCAGATGTCGCAAAAGAATCCAACAAGGTTCCACATGCTAAATGGTGGACCCTCCGCGAGATGACATGGACAACCTTCAGGGGCAGTGCGAGGCGAGACGGGTTGATGCAAAAGACAGTAGTTGATGACGGGTCGGATTCTACTGTCGAGTTGCCATATCCGGCAAAATCGCAGCAAAGCAAAAAACATAGGGTCCCCGCGAGACTCTTGCACCATTCCTACTCGTCCACATCCTTACACATGTATCCCCAATTCGAAACGCTTCCAGACTCCACCGATGGAGGAGGGGGGAACTTGTCGACGGACAGCATCATCAGTGGCATGACGAACCCGCATATGTCGTATGATAGATGGAATGCCGGCGATCTCCCAACCCCAATTGGAATCCAATGCGTTCTTGATGTCCCCCCCCTCTCCTGCCCGCCCTCGCCGCTTACTACCATGTTCTCTTGCGCCATATGACCATCTCCCTGTTGTTGGGGAGGGGCGGATTCCCCGTGTTCTTGTTTGGAGTGGATGGCCTCGTCCCCGTCGCTGATTGTGGAGTTCCTTGGGCCCTGTTGTTCCCACACTCTTGAGACTTTGCCTTGTGGTCTATAGGTAAAGGTACGTGATGTCGGACTGGAAGCTTCGATCGCTAATGGGGCTCTGGGGCTCATCTGGAACAAATGACGTTGCAGGTAGATAAGTCTAGAATCGACAATTGCTTGCGTCTTCACTCGGTTGGGCCGAGGGTGTTAGAGTTTCTCAAACCCTGCCATCCTACGATCCATGACAGTCAGGTGTCGGTGGGAGGAGGGGCCCTTTCGCTGGGCGTTACCCGAATCGCGCAAATCCATTCGCTGGGACTAGCTGCTCTAGGAAAGACGCCTGAAGCTCACGGCCACAAACTGGGTGACATGGACCAACCACAAGCGAGTTAATAAATCCCTGCGTGGCTAGACGCCGATTTCCGGCTCTCGATTATGCGCTAAGTAGCTTTGGGACATGGAGAGCGAGGAGGGGAAAGGTACCTGGTATTTGATTGTTTGAGGGGCACCTTTCACCTTGCTCTCTTTATAAAAGACGCGGGGTAGTTCTCTCCCTTCCCGCCATGTCCTTTGCTTTTTTCTCACCTTCACGTTCCTCGCTTCGACCGTCTTTTTCTCTCACTAGATTGACAAGAACATCTGCAGCCATGGCTTCGTCTAAATGCCCCATGAGAGAGGCCAATGTCGCCGGCGGCGGCACCCGCAACCGCGACTGGTGGCCAAATGATCTGAGACTCAACATCCTCCGCCAGCACACTCCTGTCTCCAACCCGATGGACAAGGACTTCAGCTATGCACAAGCCTTCAAGAGTTTGGACTATGAAGCAGTGAAGAAGGATCTCCATGCCTTGATGACAGATTCTCAGGACTGGTGGCCGGCCGACTTTGGTCACTATGGTGGTCTGTTCATTCGAATGGCCTGGCACAGTGCCGGTACCTACCGTGTCGCCGACGGTCGCGGTGGCGGCGGCCAAGGTCAACAACGCTTTGCTCCCCTCAACAGCTGGCCTGATAATGTCAGCTTGGACAAGGCCCGCCGCCTGCTCTGGCCCATCAAACAGAAGTATGGCAACAAGATCTCCTGGGCGGATCTGATGCTCCTCACTGGCAATGTCGCCCTCGAGTCCATGGGTTGCAAGACCTTTGGCTTCGCAGGCGGCCGCCCAGACACCTGGGAGGCTGACGAGTCCGCGTACTGGGGCGGCGAAACCACCTGGCTGGGCAATGACATTCGCTACTCACAAGGTCACTCGGGCCTTTCCGGCGATGGCGTCGTCGACTCCGATGAACATAAAAAAGATTTCAAGGACATCCACACCCGAGACTTGGAGAATCCGCTCGCAGCGGCGCACATGGGCTTGATCTACGTCAACCCAGAAGGCCCTGACGGCGTTCCCGACCCCGTCGCTGCCGCTAGAGACATCCGCACCACCTTTGGTCGCATGGCCATGAACGATGAAGAAACCGTTGCCCTGATCGCTGGTGGTCACTCCTTCGGTAAGACGCACGGTGCTGCTCCTTCCGACAACGTTGGCAAGGAGCCAGAAGACGCTCCCCTCGAGCAACAGGGTCTCGGATGGGCCAACAAACACGGTTCCGGCAAGGGTCCCGACACCATCACCAGCGGCATTGAAGTCACCTGGACCGGCACTCCCACAAAGTGGAGCAACAACTTCCTCACATATCTCTTCAAGTACGAATGGGAACTCACCAAGAGCCCTGCTGGCGCCAACCAGTGGGTTGCAAAGACCAACGACCTCATTATTCCCGATGCTTATGACGCCAACAAGAAGCACAAGCCAACCATGCTGACGACCGACCTTTCCCTCCGCTTCGATCCAGCGTATGAGAAGATCGCTCGTCGATTCCTCGAGAACCCAGATCAGTTCCACGATGCATTCTCCCGTGCCTGGTTCAAGCTGTTGCACCGTGATATGGGTCCACGATCCCGCTGGCTCGGTCCGGAGATCCCGTCTGAGGTGCTGATCTGGGAAGACCCCGTCCCACCCGCCAACCATCCCATCATCGACGAAAGTGACATCTCCAGCCTGAAGCAAAAGATTCTGGCCACCGGCATCAAGCCTTCCGAGCTGGTCACTGTTGCCTGGGCATCGGCTTCAACCTTCCGCGGCAGCGACAAGCGTGGTGGCGCCAACGGTGCTCGCATTCGTCTCGCTCCCCAGAACAAATGGAAGGCGAACAACCCTCAAGTGCTGGCCCAAGTGCTCGCCGCTTTGGAGAAGGTGCAGCAAGAGTTCAACAGCTCTGCTAGTGGCGGCAAGAAGGTTTCGCTGGCGGATCTCATCGTCCTGGCGGGCAGCGCAGCCGTAGAGAAAGCCGCCGGCATCCCTGTTCCCTTTACACCTGGTCGCACAGATGCTACCCAAGAGCAAACCGATGCCGAATCTTTCCAACACCTCGAGCCTTTGGTTGACGGATTCCGCAACTACGGCAAGGGAACACCCCGTGCTCGGACTGAACACTTCCTCGTCGATAAGGCACAACTACTGAATCTCTCTGCCCCTGAAATGACTGTGCTGGTGGGTGGTTTGCGTGTCTTGAATGCCAACTGGGATGGCTCCTCCCATGGTGTCTTCACCAAGCGCCCCGGTCAACTGACCCCTGACTTCTTCACCAATCTCCTCGACATGGGCACAACCTGGAAGGCGGCTAGCGCTGACGAGGAACTCTACGAGGGCTTCGACCGCAAGACCGGTGCGAAGAAATGGACAGGCACTCGCAGTGACCTTGTCATCGGCTCTCATGCCGAGTTGCGTGCCATCGCCGAGGTGTATGCCAGCGCTGGCAACGAGGAGAAATTTGTCAAAGACTTTGTCGCAGCTTGGGCTAAGGTTATGAATCTGGATCGATTTGATCTGGCCGCTGCTCAGGACCCCGCAAGGGCACGTCTGTAAGCGAGAAAGACATTCGATTTCAAGGAGAAGACGGGGACTTGCAAGTCACAGTGTGTAGTCGTCACCTCACCATGCGGTTCGGAGTTGGGCAGTCAAACAAATTCCATCGGTTAGCAAGCTCAATGAACTGCAGCCGCACTAAATAGCAATCAAAATGTATCATTTCACAAATGACTTCAATACTTTCGTTCCCTCTCCTTTTAAGTAAGAAAAGAGCAGTAATCATGAGCATGAACGGGTCAGAAAGGGCGCGGGCGTTCAAGGAGGGGACTGCTAAGTAGTTAACATGCTGCCTCCACCGCCGAAGTGGGCATGACGCAGCCTCTGGATGGGAGCTTCCAAACGCCAATCATCATATCGTAGTGAGGGAGCTCCATCTCTGCCTACTGCACCATCTAAATAGTTCACCCGGATCTCTGCATACAATCAATACCTAGCGCAGCCCTTCTCCCCTCATGCATCCAGACCTTTCAGAGCTGAGAGCTATTTCCTGAACTCGCTGCGCCCTTGATTCCCTTGAGCGGCCCGTCGTCCCTGAAAGCACCTCAGACCCCAGGCCACTCCCGCACAGCCACCATGTCTGCAAAGTATCTCTTCGTCTCGGTGCCGTCCAGCATAACGCCGTCGGGCCACAAAGACGACGCAATCGCATCCGTGCAGAAAGCGGCAAACCCGTCCAACGGCGACGTGCTCCCCTTCTCCATCCCAGAGTTCAAGATCGGCACGCTCGACGCCCTGTTACAGCAGTCCGAGGAACTGGCCAAGCTGGCGGCCGTGTGCCACGGGGTGGTGGGAAAAGTCGGGGACACGCTGAAGAACATATTGGACGGGGACGAGGAGAAGATCGCGATGCACAAGAACGTCAATGATAGTATGTTTTGCTTACACTCCGAACCTGCGACTGACGACTGCCTTGGGCGGCGGGATGGATCACGATCGAGAGCGCTGACCCGCGGGATCTCCAGAACCACTCGAACAATACCTACGGAGCTTCTCTTGGAACAAAGTCAAGTACCGCGCCGACAGGCCGCTGTCGGAGCTAATTGATCTCCTACAGAAGGTATGCTAGCGGGCACTGGGATCTTGCTCCGAAAGTGGTGAGCATGCATGCTGACCCCCGGGGACAGGAAGCCAACTCGATAGACAACGACGTCCGATCCAAGTACAACCAATACAACTCCCTCCGCACCTCCCTTCAATCCCTGGTCCGCAAACAGACGGGCAACCTCTCGACGAAATCTCTGGCCCCTCTGATCACCGACCCCAAAATCCTGGTTCAAAATCAACACTCCGAACACCTGGAGACGCACCTGATCGCCGTGCCGAATTCCAGCGTCAAGGAGTTCATGCGGACCTACGAAACGCTGGCCCCGATGGTCGTTCCGCGCTCGGCAACCTTCGTCGCGCAGGACCAGGAATTCAGCCTGTATGCGGTGACCATGTTCAGGAAGCACGCGCCAGAGTTCGTGCACAAGGCGCGCGAGAGGAAGTGGATACCGAGGGACTATAAGTACAAGGAAGGTGGCAGGGAAGAGGAGGAAAAGGAGGTGAAGAGGGTGGAGGCCGAGGAGAAGAGGGTTTGGGGAGAAACGCTGAGGTTGGGTAGGACCGGGTGGAGTGAGGCCGTCATGTGTCTTGTGCATGTGGTCGTGTTGAGGGTATTTGTCGAAACCGTCCTGAGATACGGCTTGCCGCTGGACTATGTGGCTGTTTTGATCAAGGTATGTGTCATCCCAATCCACACGCTAAACTGTTCTACACCCCGTGTCCCAAAATCTGTGAAGGCCAGGTCAGTGCTAACGACGAGGTGTGCACCCCGACAGACGGACTCGAAACGCGAAAAGAGGGTCCGCCAGGGCCTGGACAGCGAATACTCGTATCTGGCAGGCAATGCCTTTGGGAGAGACAAGAAGGGCAGACTGGTGAAAGACGAGGGAACGGGCCAGCAGGACATGGTGGCGGGTGGAGACCAAGGAGAGTATTCGGCCTATGTATGTTACGATGTCGACGTCGAATGATTTGCAAACTTGATGGGGTTGAAAGGAACCCGAGAAGGCAGAAGGGGAGGTCAATCTTTGGACTCAGCGGGAGGGAATACAGTGATTCGTTCCCTAGAAGGATCCCCCGGCAGAGCGCGATGTATAGAAGAAGCTTTGATTCAGTCCCATCCGGTCACGGTCGGAACGTAGATCGCTGACGGAGAACTCTGCGGTCGGGGTAAACGAGTAGCGAACAATTGCAAAGTGCTCCCACATTCCTTCGACCTTGCGGCGTTGGTTGGATGGAAGGTGGGAAGGGAAGGAAGGAAACGGAGGAGGACCAAGATCAATCGACGCCCCAACACGCCCTGTTCACACCCTCGAATACAATAGTCCTCCAATGTCCGGCCCATGAAATCGGGATGATATTAGTGCGTTCCCACAGCGTCTGTTCGTTCGTCTCGTCTCGGCCTTGCGCCTACTGCAGGAGAAAATCATCACGTCGGCCGCCCTCTCCATTGCTTTCCCTTGCCTTGTGTTGAGTGACGCCCGAATGTCCTGTCCCTTCTGCTATCCATCCTCCGTCGTCGTCCTCCTTTTGCCCACGGATTGGAGACTCCTGTTGATTTCCATACCAGCCGACCCCGGCGGACGTTTAGGGCGGCTCTTACATAGCCGTTTCCCGGCTCCAGGCCATGGTTTCGGTTCATGTCTAGGCATGTAGTTGAAGGGGATGGAATGATAGGACTTCCAATGCTGGTGTCGAACTGGGGCGAACAATGCTCGATCGCTCGCCTGGGTGAGGTTTGATGCGCCATGTCCACAACTTGAACACCCGCGTAGTAGAAGAGAAAACTGTCGGTCGAGCGTGTGATGTTTGCGGTCCGAGTGGGTGGGCATTCCCTCCGTGTCTAGCACTTTCTTGCTCATTGCTTGTGCCTATGGTCCTCAAGCTTTGGAACGTCGTCCACCATCCCGTGGTTGGACCGGGCGAATTCTTAGGAATCAAGTTGCTTTGTTCCTCTCTTGTTCCTCTTTGAATTCTTGGACCATTTCTTTGGAATCTGGATAGCTCGGAGGGGCTGCAGAATCTATGAAATGCTCAAAGGGCTGGCTGTGTGGCCCATTATCGAGACCTCATCTAGGTCAGTCGGACGAAGATAGCCCATCGACGACTTCTGGTGTGGCTGTCAGCGCTCCGTCATGATGATAGGGCGCCAACAAGAGCCCGGGCGACGTCTGAGTGTAGAGTTCATTGCTGGCCTAGTGAGGCTGCCTTGCCTGGTGACTGAGGCTTAGTTCCGTGCTGGGTATCACCCTGAGCCTGCACCTGAGCTTGCCGCTGACCATCATACAGCCCGGAGTAGTACCCCGCCCAGTAATAGGCCATCTTGATATTCTCGAGCGTTTGATCTTGCGAAAGGTTTGTTGCGGCTGTTGGCATTGGATAGGAGTTAGAGAAGCCAACACGACCACGAGAATTGTTGGGGAGGGAACAAGAGACATGCACAAAGGAAGAGGGACAGGAAGATGATGAGGCAATGGCCGGCTCTGTCTGCACAGCTAACAGGGAGGGAAGGAGACCATACCTTGTCCGTTGGTGAATGCCGTCGCTGCTGGGGGCAAGCTGGGTCCTATAGCTGGAGCAGCAGTTGTCGTTGTCGGCGGTTGTTCCGGTGCTGACTGAAGTGGACGTGCTGGCTGTCCTTCCGGCTCGCCTAACATGGATTTAACTAAAGGCGCAGAGTATCAGCGATGGCCTCCATCTCAGAGCGTTGATCGAGGGAGGAGACAGACATTGATCCATGGCAGCCTTTCGTTTCTGCTCAAGATCATGCGGCTCACCTCCGTGGGCATTCCCGTGCGCGCTCGCACCATCTTCGTCTTCTACCTCGCCGCTCTCAGATCGGGTATCACGAGCAGCATCGGCCGTTCCGGTTTTGTCGGGCGCTGAAGCTACAGCTGGTGCTTCTGGGTGAACAGGCCGCCACTCCGCGCTTGCTTGCCCTCCAATGTCGGCGTCGGCGTCGGCGCCGTTATCGTCGTCCAGCTCGCCCATCTCGGCCTTCCGGAGGATTTCTTCCACGTCTTCGCCACGCGCGTGTATGCTGTGGTAGTACTAGTGGTCCCACCCAGTCAGTCCAGGAAGGGGCGCAGAGGCAGGAGGGAAACAGGATTTGAGGTTGAAGAAAAGCAGGCTGCCTCCTCGCCAAGATGGCTTTCGCGGAGCTCATCCCCCGTGAAGTGTGAAGGGAGGTTGATCCAACTAGTGTATTCGTCCAACATACCTCGTATTCGGCAACAGCGTCGTTCCAAGACCGGATCAGCGCTGAATCGTCCCATATCTCAGCCTGACTGAGCTCTCCCCTCCCTGTCGAGTGCTTCATCTTTTGCTTTTTGTTCTTGGGCATTGTCGCGGCCGTTTGGGGAGAAAAAGGACAGGTACTACGATGACATATGTGAGACGCCAAGGTAGCGTGAGCAGGGAGTCTACCGGGTTACAAGGATACCTAAGGGCATCCACGAATCCATAATCGAACTCGAGGTGGAAGTCCCCAGGCCTGAACAAGATACTCGATGCCAAGACGAGTACGAGGTACCGCGTATTATTACCGGCGACTCGCGACTCAGCCTCCTTTCGGCCTAGGGTGATGCCGCCCTGTGCTCACCCTTTTGGGACTACTTAGCTCTCGCGCTTGGTGCAACAACACCATGGCTTGCTCTCATCACTCATCTCAGGGCTTCCTGAGCCCAAGGACTAGGGGAGGTTATTTACCTGAACAACGCTTAGCGATAAGTGTGATGCCCATCGAAGCATTGCCTGGATAGTAATTTGATAGCTTCCGGCAGTGCTATAGAGTATCACGGGGGGGAAACGGTCCCCTTGGCTTCCTAGCACCAGTCCTACTCACGGTACGTAGATGGTTGCTATATCGTATCATGTTACTCGGTCAAAAACCCACCGGCCCTCGCGCCTCGTCAATTGCACAAACGTCTCGCGTGCCATCTCTGCGTAATTGCCCATCCCGTCCTAGTCCACTGAATTCGACAAGGTTGTCGTTTGCAGCGCGTCACGCTCCTAGCTACTGGGGCCCTCCAAGGCAGTATCTAGACTTGTACATGGACCCAGCAGACTCAAATTCGTGTGAACGTGGCTACTATACCGGAGCCATACACCATGGGCGCAGGGACCTTGTCAGTAGTCACGTCCCTTTTGTCCATTTCGACATCTTATTCTTATCCTCCGTCGTCCATCTCGTCCGGCCTCTTTACGACGGATAGCCACCTATCCTCACTCAAGATGGACGGAATACCTCGACCTAGAACATCCGATTCATCAGTGCCATCGTCGTCCTCGCCGATGCTCTCGAGTGCCGCCAAAGCCGCACCGACGAGTCCCTCGTAATTCTCTGCTTCTTCCGCGACAATTAGCACTGTGTTGATTTGCGGGATGGATGGATATATGGATGGGTGGCGGGTAGGGGATTTCCAGCCAACGTGCCAACATACGTTTAGGCTAGTCCGGCCCGCCAAAACCGCAAAACAGCAAATCCACTTCGTACCTCGAACTCGATGATAAGAAACACAAATCTCTCCTCAACGACGACGACGACGACGAGTGCTTCTACATTCCTCACCTGCGAAATCAAAAGGTTGTTGGGCTTCTCACACACACGCACAAACTCTCTCAACTTGTCTCGAAAAGTCGACCGTCAGATATTCCTCTACCCTCGTCTCGTTATCGTCGCACGCTTCCAGCTTCTCGACAAGGCAACTGAGCACGGGCCCCCCCAATGGTCGCCTCTTCGTCGCCAGATCCCAACCGCTATCTCAGCCGTGCGTGGACGGCTCTCGACTCGGTGTATCTATGGACACTCCTGATCTTGCTCGTGCCGTTCATTTTCATCGACACGCATATACCTCGAAGCTGGGCCCAGAAGGCACGGAAAGTCCAAGAGTCTACCTGACTTCCCGCCTCATCCGCCTAGATTGTCCGTCCGCAACAAGATCTAGTCTGGTGCAATGGCATCCGGCGCGAGGCATTCAGCTTCTCCACAGTCCAATGCGAATTACTCCAGAATATCGGGCATTTCATGCTAAACCTCCATTGCGGACGTTAACGAGCACTTGTGATAAGTAGGCGTGAGAATATATTAACTGAATGGGGTATCTATATCCAAAGAAGATTAAAACGAGCCAAGCGCTCATCAACAAGTCCAAGCTTCCTAGCTTCAAGTACAATATGCCCGATACTCATACAATGGGGGTCCATGATATACCATCTTCAGCTCAGCTCAGCCTTGCGCGAAGGAAGAAGGGGAAAAGGGCGAAGATCGTCAATCAAAAAACTCAAATCTGAAATTTCTCGCTTTCGTCGCTCAAAAATTGCCAATCAGAACAAATGTGTAGATGCAAGTTGATGTACAAGCCAGCGCGATAGGAAGACATGGGTATCGAAGCGAGTGGTGATGCCGAATGCCAAAAGGATATGTTGCTGTATGCTTGTAGGATCGCTTCCTGTCTTCGACCGAAGTCGGTCGAGGAAGAAAAGTGCAGCTGCTGGACGAGCGAGCTGCGGCCAGATGATGCGGATGTCCATTCCAGCAGACATCCTCGCCCCACGACGTCGTGATTGGGGCGCAATATCTGGCCTCTCCTGCCCGTTCCCGACCCATGTATGCCGGGTTGAGCGCACAGGGTGGATCTTCAGCCTCAGAAAAGACCTCCGAGGAAGCTCTTTCTCTTGCTGTCATTCCTTCCACCCAGTGCTGGACGCCCGTCCCAAGTCTTGACGGGCGCCTCGTCATAGCCATAGCCGCGATTATCAGACTGATCGCGATCTCGGCGTCGACGTCGTTCTCTTCGTTCTCGCTCCTTGTCTCGCTCGTCACTGCCGCCACTGGCTGACTTGCCCTCCGCACGACGCGAGCTTTTCCTGCGAGCACGATACTCTTCGATTTCTGCATCCGTCATGCCTGCATATTTGTCACGATGGCGACTGCTGCGTTTAGCCCCGGCACTCTCGTCTGCTGCTCGTGGTCTCTCGCCACTCGGATCGAGAATGGTACCCTCAACCGGCGGGAGATCGGGTGGCTCGTCGGCTTGAGAGTTGACCCATGAGCTAGTCTTGTTGGCTGGGGGAGCGGTTCCTTTACCGCTGCCACTCCGAGATTCGTGATATTCTTCAACAAGGACACTGGATCTCTTGCGGCTCGATTTCTCTCTGTCTTTGTCTTTCTGCTTCCGCTTTCTTCTTTCCTCTTCCTCGGTGTAGTATGATCTGCGACGATCATCCTTTGCAACTTCACGATTGACCCCTTGCTCAGCTTCGAGCTGAGCACGAAGTCGCCTGCGCTCTTCCCGCCGGCGTTCCGCTTCTGCATTTGCCTCAGCTTCTTCTTGCGCGGCGCGTGCTTCTCTCGCCGCACGCCTAGCCCGCTTTTCCTCACGGCGCCTCTCTTCCTCCTCTTGTTCTCGTCTTTCACGCTCACGAGCTTTGCGTTGACGAGCTTCGAGGTCCGCTTTTTCGCGCTCTCTTCTTTCCTTACGTTTTAATTCACGCTCGACGCGATCGGCTTCTTCTGCGTGATCACGCGCTTCGCGTTTCGCTCGTCTTTCAGCACGCCGAGCTTCCACGTCGGCGTCTGTTTCACCAGGCGCGTCGGTGGTGAATTCATCCCCATCGATAGCTCGGGAACGCCTCTTTGACTTATCTTTGGTCCTGATGGGTAGGTCTTCCGCATCCGTCAGAGTGTGGCTCCGGTGTCGCTGTCTCTCCCCTTCAAAGGAACGAGAACTGCCAAAGAAGCTGCCAAAAAGTCCGGTCGATTTTCTGGGCGCAGTATTGCTTCTCTTTAGCGCAGGCGGATGATCCACAAAGGCCATATCGTCGGGTCCGCTTGTGACCAATGGGTCTGCATGGGTTGGGCTCTCCACCATTACAACGTCGTCGTCTTGAGAGATATTTTTGCTGTGTGACTTGATCTGCGTATACGAAACCCGTCCGTCAGCATGAATTTCTTTATTGAAATCCGGCGACCAGGACGGGCGGAGCATGTGGCCCAGACTATTTGAGGAGGGTTGTGCACCTACCTCTTTCTTTGGTTTTGAAGACCTAGACTTTGATTTTTCTGGCATAGATATGCTGTTGACGAGCGGAGCATCGTCATTGGTGTGGATCATTACCATGTCATCGTCGTCGATGGGATACGGATCCGGAACGACTGAGGAAGGTGGATTAGCTATTATCGGTCTGGGCGGGGCCAGAAGGTTAGGCTTACCTGAAGATTTTCTCTTCACCGACGGACGGCGTTCGACCTTGCTGGACTTGATTCCCATGAGCTTCGCTGCCTTGTCGGTAACTTGGGGTTCATCCTCGGGTGGTGGGGATGAGAAACCATCAATGGATTGACGCCGAGACGAAGGTCTTGAGCTGGCCGCACTGCTTGGTCTTCGACTGGTGGTCTTCGAGCGCGGCATAGCCGATGGCGGTGGCCCACCAAACATAAAGTTCGAAAACGAAGTACCGCGTGCAGCCTTCGGTCTCTCAGCTTTCTTGGGTTTAGTCTCTTTGTCTGATCCAGACGACTTGGAGAGCTTTTCAGCTTCCTTCCTGTCTTCCTGTTCCTTTTCTTTCGGACTTCGAGTAGATTTAGACCGACTCAGGCCGGTTGGCGATTTCTCCTTCTTTGGTGGCGGCGGCATGTCCTCGTCGTCCTTTGGTTTTTCTTTGGTCGACTTCTTTGGTGGGGGTGCTGCACCCCAAAATCCCCAAGACGTGGTTGCGGATCGTTCAACACGAGGGCGTTCTTTCTTTGTTGTTTTCTTATCTTCTGGGGGAGGCGTCGGCAGCTTGGTCACTGTTTCTCCCTCAGGCAGGCCGATGTCGTCTGTCGCTGACGCCTTGGGCGTGGTAGTCTTAGATTTGGTACTCTTTTTCCCGACGGTGGCCGCCTTCGCTTTGGGCTTTTCGGGCGATGTGGGCGTGTCGAGATCGAGAATGTCGTCGCCGTAGTAGTCGTCGCCAAACGCGCCGGGAAAGCTGCCAGGGATGGAGTCCTTTGACTTCTTCTCCTCTGCAACGGGAGACGCGTCTTTCTTGGATGTCTTGGTCGTCTTGCTGGTGGCGGCAGTCTTCGTCTTCGAGGCTGGTGCCTTGTCTATATGCGCCTTTTCCTCTTTTGGCGATGGCGCGTCGTCCAGTGGAGGCAAATCCTTAGTCAGCGCAGACTCGGCCTTGGACTTCTTCTTGCTCTCTTCTTTTTTGCCCTCCAGAGCCTTGATGCGATCGGCGACAGAAGAGCTTGTTTTGGTCTTTGTGGTGGTGATCATTGCCTTTGCGGCCTTTGAAGTAGAGGAGGGCTTCTCAAAGTCAAATCCGGAGTCGAGATCTCTCGAGAGGTCGGCTAGCGCGTCATCCTGATCGGGCCACCCCTGTTGGGTAATTTCCTTTTGCAAGTCCACGTCCTTCTTGCCAGCTGTCTTTTTCGAGGTTGACGCGCTACCCCAGAAGCCAAAATAGTCGTCCTCCTTCTTGTCTCCAGCCTTTTCCTCTTTGTTGGACGTGGTCTTTTTCAATTTGGAACCCTTGTCGGATTTGGATGGCTGTGTGGGCTCGCCAAACATATCAATGAGCTCGTCCGCATCCTTTGCTTTGCTGGCTTTGGCGTCGATCTTGGACGACTTGGTGGTTTTCTTCTTAGAGCTTTTTGCTGCCTCTTCAGCCTCGCGAGCCAGCCTCTCCTCTTCTTCCTTTCTGGCCTGTTCTTCCGCCTCTTGTTTAGCCTTCTCTTCCGCTTCCTTTTTCGCCTTGGCCTCCCTCTCCTTCTTGGTCAGTTTGGTAGTTGTAGTCGAGGCTCCGAAAGAACCCCACATGCTCTTTGTAAGGCTGGCTGGAGTCACTTCTGGCAATGGCTCCTCAGGCGGCGTAATGTCAAAGGACTCGTCAATTTCCTTGGTCTTCTTCGCCTTGTCCTTCCCTGTGGAGGTCTTGGAAATCGTGCTCTTTTTCGAGGATGCTTTGCTTTTCACTCTGGTCAGACCTGCCCAAGAGTCTCCAGCCAGGTCGTCATCCAACATCTCAGCCGGATCAGGTTCCGGAGTTAGACCTTGAGCTGGGGGACTCGGGGCCGGGGGAGGAAGGTCGTCCTTTGTCTTGGACTTCTTGCTGGTCTTCTTGTCCTTAGATCCCCAAGCGCTCCAGATGTCGTCCTCGGCGGGAGCCTCAGGTTTGTCAGACGAGTGAGGCTCCTCGAACTCGGCGATAACTTTCTTTTTAGAATCCTTAAGGCCTTTCTTTTTGTCTTTTGTCGAGGTGCCCCAGGTGCCCCAGGTATCATCGAGCTTTTCTTCCACTGGTTCTGGCTCTACAATGACCTCCGGCTCAGGGGGTGAAATTTCGGCGGAAGGCCCTTTCTTCTTGCTTGCTTTCTTCTTGTCCTTTGTCGAGGTCGCCCAAGAACCCCAGGCATCGTCGTTCTTTTCCTCCACGGGTTCTGGCTCTACAATCGGCTCGGGCTCAGGCTCTGGAACTTCGGTGATCACTCCTTTCTTCTTGGTGGTCTTCTTCTTATCCTTTGCCGTTCCCCAAGGAGCCCAGGCACTGTCGGTCTTCTCTTCCACCGGCTCTGGCTCGACGATAGGCTCGGGCTCGGGCTCGGGCTCTGGGATTGCGGCTGCACTTCCTTTCTTTTTGGCTTCCTTCTCCTTTTTCTTCCTCTCCTTAGCTGTGAGTCCGAAGAAACTATCTTCTTCTACCACGTTTGCCACCGGCACGGGTTCCGGCTCAGGCGGGGGTGCAGCAGGTTCCTCGTCCATATCGAGCCATCCTTTCTTCTTGGTGTCCTTGGGCTTTTTCTTCTTGTCGTTGGACGTAGTAGTGCCCCATTGACCCCAGACATCGCTGTCCTTGATCTCAGGCTCAGCTTGAGACACAGAGACAGCTGGCTCGTCGAGCACGTCGAGAAATCCGCTTTTCTTCGCTTCTTTCTCCTTCTTTTTCTTGTCCTTTGCAGAGGTGAACGCTCCCCAGGTATCATCTTCCTTGTCTTCTGGCTCTGGAGCTGGAGGGGGAGCTAGAGGCTCTTCAACCACGTCTGGAAGTCCCTTCTTCTTCCCTTTCTTCTTGTCCTTGCTCGAAAAGCTCCACACATCGGGCTCCTCCTTCGAAATCGGCTCTGGTTCCGGAGGCGGCGGCGGCGGAGGCTCATCATCCAAATCGAAGAAGCTCTTCTTTTTGTTTTTCTTATCTTTGGTGGATGTTCCCCAACCACCAAATCCCCAAGAGTCATCTCCTTTGGTGACTTCTATCTCAGGTTCCGGTTCCGGTAATGGTTCCGGAGCAGGTTCTGGCACTGGAGGCTCGTCGCCAGGGATAAGCAATCCCTTCTTCCTGGCCTCTTTTTCTTTCTTTTTTCGGTCCTTGGCGGAAAGATTTGCCCAACCGGTAGTGTCAGCATACTCTGCTTTAGCTGGTTCCTCTTGTGTTTCGACCTCAACAATAGGATCTGGGATTGAGGGCTCAGGGCTTATGACTTTGCCCTTCTTCCCCTTTTTATCTTTCTTGCCAAATGAGGACCAAAGGTCGTCTGATTCAGCAGGTGGCTCGACTACTGGGGGTGGTGGCGGCGGTAGCGGCTCCTCTTCTTCAGCGATCGTCCCTTTCTTGCTCTTTTTGTCCTTTTTGCCCTTTACTGTGACGGGCTCATCTGCGGCCAGAGCATCACTCGTTGACGTCTTACCATCAGCGGTATTGTTTAAGTCGACGGAAGCAGATAAATCTTCGATCCCTGCCTTCTTCCCTTTCTTGTCCTTCTTTTTCCCCCATGCTCCAGACATCCAGTCGTCCCCGTCATCAGCCGTAATGTTTAGCTCAGCGGCAGGGGCAGGAACGGCTAGAAGATCGTCATTGTCATTGAAGTCGCTGAATGCGCTCTTTTTCGCCTTCTTGTCCTTTTTGCCTGTCCCAAAGCCCCATTCGAAGGCATTGTCCACAGCCCCGACGTCAGCAGCAGGGTCTTTTGCATCAGCGAGAGGTTCCTCGATGACCCCCTTTTTCCCTTTCTTCTTGTCTTTCTTCGTTGTGAAAGCTGACCATTCATCCTCTGCGGCCGCAGGCTCTGGTTCTACCGGGGCGGGTGGTGGAGGGGGAGGGACAGGATCTTCATCAAAGAACCCTTTCTTTTTCTTATCTTTCTTCGAAGTTGTGGTCGCCCAAGTTCCGAGAAGATCATCATCTTTCGAACCTGGGTCAACCACAGTGGTGTCGCCCAGTCCATTGTCTTTTTTCTTCTTGTCCTTCTTATTGACGGTGGAAAATCCCCAAGCATCATCAGTGGGCTTGCTTTCGCCAACGTCTCCGTCGAGAGAAAATCCTTTGTCGCCGGAATCCAAGTCACCGAAATCGAAGCCGTAGGAGGTAGTTGTCTTCTTTTTTGACTTGTTGCCAAAAGACCAAGGGTTGGTGTCCCCAAAGCTGGCCGAGTCGTCCTTTTTGTCGTTATCCTTTTTAGAAGCCTTGTCGTCGGCTTTTCCCGTTCCAGTGTCGAGGGATCCGAAGTCCCATGTTTTACCCCAAGCACCAAAGCTTCCCGTATCCTTCTTGCTGTCTGTACCACCAAAGCTAAACTCAAGCTTCGGGGCAGTGTCATCCAGACTGATGTCTTGGAAGGCCATTCCCGAAGGAGGTTCTGGAGCAGAGGGGGGAGGGTCGTCGAGCCCCTACTGAAGTCAGTATCTTTAGGACGAGCTTGATAGATGAAAGTACCTTTTTGTTCTTTTTATTCTTTTTATCCTTTTTCGTGAAACCGGTGGTCCAGTCGTCCTCCGCGGCGGCGTTGTTCGCATCGTCGGCCCAACTCAGTGGATTCGCCGCTTCCTCCTCCTCTTTTTTCTTTTGTTCCTCCTCTTCCTGTTTTTTCCTTTCTTCCTCCTCTTGCTTCTTCTTGTTCTTCTTCTTGTTCTTCTTGCTGCCACCAAAATCCCAGTCGTCCTCATCGCCCCCTCCCCCATTGTTGTTGTCATCACCGCCGCCATTGCCACCGGCACTTCCACCTTGATCTCCACCTCCGGCAGCACCATCTTCACCCTCACCGGCAGCGTTACCATTTCCTTCGTTGTCTGAATCGAGCCATTTTGCCTGACTGGCAGCTTTCGCGGCTTTCTTCTTCTTGGCTCTAGTCTGTACGCCGTACGTGCCTCCAAAGTCTATACTTGCGTCCATTGTCGCAACTCGGGCTGTAGACTTTCTATCGCGGGCCAAGAATCGAGGTTGGTCCGGTGTGGTGAATACTTGAGCGTATGCCGCTGGCTCTTGCCAGTCTTGTAATGGTAACAAGCCTTCGCTGGTGGGCAATGAGGAGCAGTTTCCATAAGGCTGGGGACGATCTGCTATTTCCTGCAGTAAGGCTGCGACCAGCGCAGCCGCTCTTAGGTAGACATTGTAGTTTGGGGCGGAATACTACTGTCCGTGTCAGACATGATCCCAGTGTGAGAGGGGAGAAAGGAGGAGAGAAGGCGGGATCGCAAGCTTAGAAAGAGGAAGTAGGGGCAGGCAGTCGACGGATTCGCGTTAGGATGGAGTAGTGTTCTGCATACCCGTTGTACTGGCTTGTAGTCTTCAAGCATGGCGGTGTGCATGCGATGGCGCCAATCGGCAATCCGAAATGTTGGAGAAATACACCCAACCTCCCCCATCTCGTAAGAGTATAGTGACCCAGGGTCAGCCTTTGCCATCTTCCACCATCCCGGGATCCTTGGTCGAGATAACGCGTTTTCTCTGCCGGCGGGCGACGCGGCGACCAGAGCCGCCATGCTGTAGCTGTTGCTGTAGCTGGGCAAGACGATCGGACTGATTAAATTGGGAGAGCATTTGATGCGGCAGCGGCGACGCGAAGCAAGGGGATGGAAAAGCAGAGAAGAGAGTGAGGCTACGTCTACAAAGCCTCTGGTATTGAGCGACAGAAGAACAGAGAGCGGTGGTTGAGCTGGGATGTGCAGCGTCAGGAGGTCACAAGGTGTTTGACTTGCTCATTGGTGTGCAAGACCAAACCCAGTGCCAATGGGGCAACAGCGAAGACGAGCGGGCAAATGGCAGCGGGTGTGCCACAGTGCCCCCTTGCAGTCACGCTGCGCAGATCCCAGCAACTCAGCGACTCGCCTGGCTAGAAACAGTCAAGGGGGGAGCCAAAACCACACCCCAGGCCTATCTGCTAGTTATCACCCTCCCTATCGATACACAAACGGGGGGGGACGAAAAGGAGAAATGAGGTCACTTCATATACCCTCACCCGAGCCGACCAGAATTCCCACTCCCGTTGGAAATTTTCATCAATGCCCAAACGACTCCATTCAATGCATCAATTGCATCTTGGAGAATCTGGCGGTGTTGACCTGCAGGCCGAGCAACGAATGACGCGCCTGACAAGTCTCGGTGGCTATGCAGGCAAGCCATCGATGTGGCAACGAATCGCTCACCGCTACAACTACAGAGCAACCACCAGACAAATAGGAGAGGAGGAGATGGCAAGCTTGCTGGTGATGGGTTGGAATGCGCGAGACCAGCAAAATTAGCAGCATTCCAGCGAGACCGGGCGTGGGTGGTCTGTGGATGGTGTGTTGATGGGCTGTGGACCAAACGCCTGACACCACCCAGCAGTGATGGTGTGGGAGCCATCCCTGATAACTGGGATGGGTGCTGGACGCGCGCAATTGGCCCCTTGTTCAGTGAGAAAGGCAATCGACCCACCCATTCGTGCCGTTGAAATGTGCCCCCGATGTGATCCGAGCTGCCAATACCCGTAGGGGGCCGAGTTGAGGTCGTATAGTTGCCGGATAGGGGTGTCAATCTCATTGCAAGGGCAGGGTAGAAGACCCCTTTATATTACTCGTAATCCTTCTTCTGGGAGGGTCGCATTCGTGCAGTTGTAGCTTGATTGACCACTGTAGAGCCGCAACCGGTGTAGCAAAGAAGCCCGAACTCGGCAGGTCGATGAGTGATGGTACGCAGATGGTTTGAATGGGCAGACGCGATGCAGGGCAAACTGCAAAGCCAACGCAGTTCTTCGGCAGGACAGGGACGCCCCGTTCTCGCCGCTGCAGCCACTCGGCGATATTTCACAGGCGGACAGAGAGCTGCCACCATCCCACTTTAGGTGGGCGCGATCACCATTGCGTTTGGTGGGAAGCTGTTGTCGCGACACATCCAAAAACGCGCTGGAGGCCAAACAGTCTGCATAATTGGCGGGAGAGGCCGACCAACTACGAGTATTTCCTTCGTTCCCAGTCAAAACAAGCCAAGATTCTCGGTCCAATCTTTGGTCCAATCTTTCCAGCTCTGAGAGAAACATGGAAATCTGCGCAGACTGACGCAGGTGGGCGTCGAGCCGACCAGGAGGGATTTGTTCAGATCACACAGCTGTCGAAAAAGGGAGTCCTGCCCACATCGTGGTCAACTGGCTGCTCCGCCGGACTTACTCATCTTCGTCAGAGCTGTAGTCAACCAGACCAAGTCCAGCCGCTGGTTGGGGCGGCGTAGCTGTGGTAGGAGGTTCAATCTGGTCACTAATGCCAGGCTTTTTATCCGGCGCAGCGCGTTCTGCAGACTCGTTATGTTCGTCGTCAACCGCAGCGCCGGCAGCAAGAGCAGCAGTATCAGCAGTTGACAACTTTCTCAGCTTGGGATCAGCCTCGGACTCGCTCTCCTTTTCTCGACGTCTTTTCTTCTTTTTAATAGCCCATGAATCTTTGTCCGCAGCATCGCCAGCTTTCCCGGCGTCGTTACTCCCCATTCCCGCCTGTTCCGCGGCGGCGCGTTGTTTGCGGAAGGCCTCAAGTTGTTCGGCGGTCTCTTGCTTGACGGCGTTCTCCTTTGCCCGACTTGATTCGAGCACAGAGTCGAGAAACTCCACTTCGTCATCGTCAAGGGCACGGAATTGGTTTTTGAGCCGGATGGACTCCTCAAAAGCCTCCTGTTTAGCAGCTGGGTGCAACGAAGCAGAGCCGTGTCAGCAATAATCGGCTGCTGTCCCAGAGAGCCCTGGCTCCTATGTCTCACCCTTGTTCGCCTGCAGTACCTCATAAAGACTCTTGCCCGCTTCCTGCGTTCCTCCTTCCACCGTCTTGGGCTTCCTCGTAGACTCGACCTGTTGCTGCGCCTTCACCCAGGCATCGTCAGGTGCGTCGGCATCGGTCCCAGCTGATACGAATCGGGACATGGTCACGGATATATATCACGAGCGGCGTGGTGAGCTGCCGGTGCTGATCAGGATAAATTCTTCATCGGGCTAATTCGTCGAGGCCAAGGGCGCGGTTGTGGCAATGGTCACGGCCAAGTGAAATTATGCGGGCTCCCTCCGTCATGTAGAAGGTCAAATGGACAATGGCCAAAGGGTCCGGCAGCGGTTATTTACTAACTCACTTGGTTCGTTCCTTAGATCCCAAGTTGTGGAGGAAGCCCACCCCACGAGTTTCGCTCGAACACTGGCTTTGGTTCACACTCACATCTCCTTTTCTCTCCCCTCGCCTGGGCGCGGCAGCGGACATGGCCTTCGATCTGAAGATCTGACACCGTTTCTTTCGTTTGGCTCTACCGTCGCAAAAGTGCCCTTGCTCTTCTTTCCGAGCCTCAACCCTGGTAGTGGAGACTCCTCTTCCGTGCCTGGAAGAGATATGCCACGAGACTCGGACGCATGTGGGCATGAATTATCCTCTCGATATTTATCCCTTCCTTTGACCCAGTCGATCATTTCAGCCTAAATCACGGCAAACAATTTGATCTAGAATATTCCCAGTCCCCCAACTCACCTGCGCAGGGTGGCCAGGCCCCATTACCCGCCAATAACGCCTCGGGTGAATAGCTGCGACGATTGGAACGGGCGCGCTTGATTGATCCGTGCCCCTCGTGGACCTGGTTATTGCGTAGCTGTTGTTGCATTGCGAAAGTCACTGCCCCACCTCCAAATCTTTGAAGTGCCTGAGAACAGGGACCCCAATGTGAACATGCCCACCGGGATATAACTCCAACTATATATCATCCAAGTGATCCGCAAAGGAAATTTTTGGTTTTCTGCCTCCGAGTCGCATGTCATTGTTTCGCCTCTCTGCTTCTCCCTTTAAAGGATCCAGGGTTCCTTCTCTTGTCGCAAGCTTCCAATTTGCGTCAAACCACTTCTCAAAACCTACATTGTTGAACCCTCGATTACTCCGCACGATGGCGACTTCACAATCAGGAAAGGGCACAAAGTGAGAAAGCTGCCTCCCGTCACCTATGCATACCGTTGGAAAGTGGCGGCTGCTGACACCCGCCTTTCAGGACCGTGTTCACTTTGAACACTGGTGCTAAGATGCCCGGTGTTGGGCTTGGTACCTGGCAATCCAAACCCAACGAAGTCCGCGAGGCAGTCAAGAACGCTCTGCAAATCGGCTACCGTCACATCGATACGTAAGGACCCTTCTCCGCTTGATCGCGGGCAGTGTAAGATCCTGACTCGTTTCAGCGCTCTTGCATACGGCAATGAAGCAGAGGTTGGCCAGGGAATCATCGACTCGGGCGTTCCCCGCGAAGAGATCTGGATCACCACTAAGCTCGACAATCCCTGGCACAAGCGTGTCAACGAAGGCATCGAATCCTCCTTGAGAGACCTGAAGACGGACTATGTCGATCTCTACCTCATGCACTGGCCCAGCTCGTCGGTTCCTGAGGATTTGAAGAAACACTATGACGACTGGAACTTCATCGATACCTGGTAAGCAACTGGGTCGTTTTCTCACCTGAGTTGTCCGTTGCTAATTTCCTCGCACAGGCGTGAGATGCAGAAGCTCGTCGGCACCGGCAAAGTTCGAAATATCGGCGTGTCCAACTTTGTGATTTCCAACCTCGAGAAGCTTCTGAATGCGCCCTCAACGAAGATTGTACCGGCTGTGAATCAGATTGAACTTCACCCTAACATGCCTTCACCAAAGACTTTGGCATACTGCAAAGAGAAGGGAATCCACTGCACAGCGTACTCCTGCTTGGGCTCGACGGACTCACCTCTGGCCCACGACCAGACTCTCCAAAAGATTGCGGACGCACACGGCAAGACTCCTCAGCAGGTGCTGTTGATGTGGGGACTTCAGGTACGTAGGACTCGGTTAAAACATGTCCATGATGATCTCCCATCGTCATTCCAAGATAGGCTGTTTCGACGTACTGACATATTACTTTCGAAACAGAGAGGTACCAGCGTCATCCCGAAATCTGTCACCAAGTCGCGAATTGAGGCAAACTTCCAACTGGACGGTTGGGAACTGACACAAGAGGAGATGGATGCGCTTAGCAATATCAAGAGCCGCTTCAAGGTGTGCGGTGATTCTTGGTTGCCCATCAAAGTCTTCTTCAACGAGGAGGGAGATGGTGGTGACGTTCCTTCCCATTAGCTGTGTCACCGCTGGCAACCTTGGAGATAGCAACGAAGCATGGTGGCCGATGTTCTGCGGAAGACACCTTCTGCGGCGTTGGGAAAGTAACAAGCGATGATTTGAGTACGGGGTTTTGGCTGAAAGAGAGAAATGTCGCACAATATATCGTGAATCATAGAATCAGGTATAGAGAAGGAGAGACCCTCATCCTTCCTGCGGCAAGAGATTCTCTGCGCAGCCAGGCTCACATTACCCTCTGGAGATGGCTTTCTTTGCCATTCTGGTACAGGCGTGCATTTTCGGCTTGCTGCATTATTTATCAAGATTTCATCGGAGCTCGGTGCTCCGGCAACTCTCTTTATATGGTTGGTTGCGATTCGTCTAGAGTAGTACGGACGTAACTCGTCCTGTGCCTGGGTAGGTCTGTGACGCGGGGAATCAGCGCCTAAACCTGATTGACGCTTTTGGCAATAAACTCGTTAGATCACCTTAGGTAATCAGCTCACCAAACTACAAACAGTAATCTTACTGCCAGTAATACGTGCGGGCACCCCTTGCTTCGACGGCCCGTATTACTGTCGTATCTCGTTAAACCCTCAAGCCACGCCCCGTGGGCCTCGAAGAAACAGTTCTGCCTGGATGGTCTCGCCCTACCAAGCCTTCACCCCAGAGAGAGACGACATCCAACTCGCTGGCATTTCGCTTTCTGACAAATTGGGATTGGCACTTTTGACCTGATCATTACTTCCCATTCTGTATGCGGTCAGACACCCTGACTTTCTCCCTCTCAACTGTTGCCACTGTCTTGTGAATCTTGTTCCCGTCGGTTCAACGTCCTTCGATTGCCTGTTTCCCACTCCCCACGCCTGAACGACTCGTGGCGGAATATAATCCACCGTACCTCTGTTTCTCCCTCCGCACGTTTGTGGACGGGTATGCCCTCGCCCGCGGGGTCAGTACCAGTTGATCACTGAACGAGATCGCGCGTCTCCTCTTCAAAATCCAGTGCGCAAGCTTGTTTTCGCAGCTAGGGATGGCGTCTGGCAATATCGAAGACCCAGACATGGGTGGTACAAATGGAGAGAGCGAACAGTCGACAGGAGCAGCGAATGATAGCATTCCTCGACCGAAGAGGATTGCCTGCATATTGTGCCGCAAAAGAAAATTAAAATGTGATTCGAACAAACCCAGCTGCGGGACGTGTTCGCGTCTAAATCACCATTGTGAATACTCTGAAGAGCGGAAGAAGAGCGGTCCCAAGAGAGGATATGTCAAGCTTTTAGAGGCACGACTCAAGCAGGTTGAAAACTTGCTGGAGACAAGAGATGCGACAAGCGAGCTCACTACCCGTACGGCTCAACCCACAGAGGCAGTGGATTCATTTGCGCCTATGCCGGCTCTGGATGTCCCCGATGCTCTGGATACTTCCATGTCCGGAATGATGGCAGACAACAGGTTTACCGACCCAACTCTGACCGGCATGCCGGATTTCGGTATGAATTCCAACGACGATTTCTCCTGGGAGATGATAGGCCTCGGTCTTGAAGAAGCATTGCCAGCGAGGGAGGTGATAGATGAGATGTATGGCTGATCTCGACTCCGGACTCAAAAGTTTCCGCTGCTGACTGCTCCAGGAATGAGATATATTTCGAGAAAATCCATCCTTCCTTGCCCATGATTCACAAAGGCCGGTTTCTGGCTTCAATGGACCTCGCGCCTCATATGCGCCCAGCAGTGTGCCTAAGATATGCCATGTGGACCCACGCATGTGCCATTACTTCCAAGTATTCAGCTTACACCGAACACTTCTATGCGAGGGCTCGAAAGTACGCCGAGATGGACGAAATGAGAGGACACGGTGAAGGAATGATCACGATCGCCCATTCGCAATGCTGGACGTTGCTTGCCTGTTACGAGTTTCGAGTGATGTACTTCCCAAGAGCGTGGATGAGTATCGGAAGAGCTGCAAGACTGGCTCAAATGATGGGTCTACACCGACAGGATCGTGTTGGTCTTGACGTAAAACAAACATTACCACCTCCTCGAGACTGGACAGATCGCGAAGAACGGCGGCGGACATTCTGGATGGCATACTGTCAGGACCGATATGCCAGCATCGGGACTGGATGGCCAATGGTCATTGACGAGAGAGACGTATGTGTACCAACCACGTTGATATCAGGAAACTGATGAATGTTCCACAGATCCTGACAAATCTACCCGCTAGCGAGGAAGCCTTTAACAAGTGTCAACCAGAGCCCACACTGCAATTATCCGACATCTTGAACGGCGATGGAGCATCTTCCCTCTCTTCATTCGGCGGGGTCATCCTTTTGTCGACAATATTTGGGCGAAACCTTACCCATCTCCATCGACCGTCGGAACAAGATAATGATCACGACCTAAATGGCGCGTTCTGGAAACGTCATCGATCTCTGGACAATATCCTCCTCAACACATCTTTGTCGCTACCCCCGCCTCTCCGCCTCCCAGCAGGTCTCAATGATCCGAACACTGTGTTTCTCAATATGAATATCCATACAGCTACAATATGTCTGCACCAAGCAGCCATATTCAAAGCCGACAAAAACCGACTTCCGGCTCAGATCAGTGCTGAATCCAAACGTCGATGTATTGTTGCAGCGGACCAAATCACCAACATTATGAAAATGATCAGCCATATGGACATGTCGATGGTACGTTAGAGAGCTTCTCGACGGTGCTTAACTGCTAACTTTGTTCAGATGAATCCTTTCCTGGCATTCTGTCTCTATGTGGCTTCACGAGTGTTCGTGCAATATCTCAAATCGAGACGAGAAGATGCTGCGGTCAAATCCTCCCTGCATTTCCTACTTGCTGCGATGCAAGTCCTGAAAACCAAGAATCCGCTCACAGAGTCATTCTTGGTACAGCTAGATGTTGACCTCGAAGGTAGCGGCTTGGATATTCCAACCAGTTATTCACGATGGAAATTCGGGCACCGTCCACCAGTCAGTCTGCCCATGTTTCTTGGTAAGGTGGTAAAAGCGCTGACTTGAATATAGGGTGAAAGTCCTGCTAACACAGATGCTTTGAAATGTTCTCCACTCTTTGAAATCAGAGAGACTCAAGGTCGGGAAACAATCGGCGCCGTCCAAGGGACCAATACCAAGGGCATAATTCCCCCCTGGCCCGCGGATGGCAATGCCCCTGCCGCCAGTAGCAGCTATCCAAGTTTGTATGCGGCGGAGGGGTTGGGCACCAGCGCACAGATGGCCCAGACGATCCCATCTACAAGCGATGGGTTGGAGAATGGCTATGGCTTTCCAATCCAGTCTGTTGGAACAGACACTTCACCAGACACTTCGCATCACGACGGAACTGGCTCACGGTCGCACTCTAATCACCCAACGCCTTCGACCCTGTCGAATCCAAACTCGTCACATACATCTTACACTTCGCCTCCGAACCAATCCAGCAGCGGAAACACTGCGAGCAGTGGGCAGGGGCAACCGTCGCCGGGCTATGCGTTTCCAGCTGGCGCCCAGACTTCCTGGAACATGAATATATCAACCCAGACTGGTCAGGATATCTCACCACAGCAAACTGGTATGAACTTCGGCTCTACTGGGATGACACCTGGTCCAACTGGCCTGACCCCTGGACCAGACTCCCTTTGGTCGACGGAAGGAATACCTGATGGGAATGAATGGATGTTTGCTTGGGCTGGTTCGACTCCACAGCCATAATGACCTTGACTTTGTGAGTATTGGATGCCCAGCTCCATTTTGAAATCGACGATTTATGGTAGGAAAACTTGTGGTCGATGAAAATGTGATACCCAGGATTCAGTAGGCGAAATCCCAACTCCTATCTACTTGGTATAGTTAAATAGATACAACATCGTTGAAGCTCCCAGAGGCCTAACGTTGTCGGGGTGGGAGCTGCGGAAGGTTAGTACGTCCCTTTTCTCGTTGATCTCTAGTACCGGCCGTATATTTCGCGTGCTAGCTCTTGAAGTCGTGGCAGTTGGTAGGCTATAAAACAACAGCGAGGTCTGAAGTCTCCTCGTGACATCCATTTCGGGAAAGGAAGCAACCCCACAAAATGCCCGATAAACTGCGCCGCAAGACTCTGGTCGTCTCCGAGTTATGTTTCCGCCCAATGTTTGACTGTGCGACCAACACCTCTTTATAGATATACTGAGATTTGGGCGGTATGGCGCCCGTGAGCCAGCGCAAGCACCTCGGCCGCGACAAGTTCGGGGCTCAGTTCAGCTTGCTCAAGACCCAACAATACACCGACCCTGCCACTCGAACAGCCATCCCGATCATGTATGTACCCGCCGTCTGCATGAACAGTGCATTCGACCCAGTCCTGCCATCATGAACCGAAAAAAAAACCTTTCCCTCCGCAACATATCGGCTGATGAACCATTCCCTTTTGTCCAAGCCACCGCACTATTTCATGGAACGCCTCGGGCGGGTTGATCGCAACCGGGGCCAACGACAAGACCGTTCGAATATGGAACCCCGAGCGCACCAGTCCGCGAAGCCAGATCGAGCTGAGAGGCCACGGGCATGCCGTCGAAAAGGTCCTGTTCAACCCTGTCAGAGAATTCGAGCTGGCCAGCTGTTCCTCGGACGGCACGGTGCGGTTCTGGGACACACGGACGAAAGTCTGTGTGAATAAACTCGAGGTCGGCGGCGAGCCCTTTACGTTGACCTGGAGTGCTGATGGAAGCGTGCTCCTGGCAGGGACGAAGGTGCGGGAAACTCTCAGGCACTGTTTATGGAAAAGCCGAAAACTGAAGCCATCCTACTTCACAGGGCGACGTCCTCATTCCCATCTCAACCGCGATGCCCTCCTCTCCACAAGTCCTATCGCGCCACAAGCAGAACCAACAGACCAACCAAACAACCTTCTCGAATGCATATCCGCCCTCTGATCTGCTGATCACCCAAGGTGACGGCTCTGTCAAGATACTCGATTACCCCTCCTTCACGGTCCTGCACACCATTTCCGCACACACTTCCTCCTGCACCGCCATCTCCTACTGCCCCAATGGGAAATACGTCGCCGTCGGCGGCTCAGATGCCATGATCTCTCTGTGGGACACCACGGACTGGGTGTGCCGACGGACCGTGTCCAACGCCAGTTCCGGCGCCATCAAGGGCCTGAGTTGGTCATGGGACGGCCGATACCTGGTCGGCGCGAGTGAAGAGATGGGATCTGGTGGCGGTGAGGGCCTGAGCTCAGGCTTTGACATCTATCATGCCGAGACGGGCGACGTCGTGCACACGATTGCCACTGGCACAAGCGGAATCCCGGCGGTCGAGTGGCATCCTAACCGCTACTGGTTGGCATACACCCAGATCGAGGAGACCAGGCAAGGGAAGTCGAGTTTGAAAATAGTCGGAGCAGCTGGAGGGCCGTCGATTTGACAGAGCGCCTCGACAGACGGGATTGGGACCGTTCTTGCTCAAGCGGAGATTACGACACGGAGCCTCATGCAGGCAAGCTTTACATCTTGTCAGCTCAGAAAAGCGTACCGGACCAAGATCCAGAGGACCGTTGCGTGGTGACACTCGTCCCCTGATCGCGCAGCACGAAAACCTCCTTTCTCGACGTCCAGACATTCCTATCCGTTCGACACAGCCACACAGAAGAATCAGCACCACTTTAAGATGAATTGTGAGACAGATGGCACAAGTGCGCTTCTCAGGCATATGGACCTCAGCTAAGCCGCCGAGGCCCTCACAGTCTCTTCTTCTGTACAGCCTACAGTGCAGACCATTGTCATGATTACAATGTCCCGGGAAGCTGTATGAAAGACATCCTGTCGGGTGTCCGCCTTGACCGAGTTGTCTGGGTTTAGGGGCTGTGACTTCCTTGTCAATGGCTCTCCGACATCGCTCTCGTTCTAGCGATTTCTGCTTTTCCTGTTCCTCACAGATCTGATCGGGTTGGATAACCCCACCACCAGGAGCTTTCTTTTCCGGCTCAAGTTCTGTCCGATACGGAACGAAATCGCGCCGCAGAAGAGAAACTATACCGGGGCCTGCTCCATGGCAGGCCACTCTCTGGTGGCATCTTTCGTGCCTCCTCTGGCAATCTGTGCTGCATTATTACGAGGGTTACTTACTACCTAGGTAGCTGAATGACCAAAAAAATGTTTTGAAAACCTCGAATCCACCTCCGACACTCCTTCGCTTCCTAGGTAGGGGCCAGGTAGCAGCGGGAGATCCTCCGCTCATGATTTCCTTCCCAATCACGCCTTTGCCGAGACGCAGACGCGGCCTTTGAATGAGGTGAGCCATAGCCACACGACAAACGCCCTCAATCCGGACCTTGACCTTGACAACAATCAAAGGCCCCGACCAGTCCAGAAGCGCTGGATTGTGCCCGTGATCATCAGAAGATGCCCTCTCCTTTACCACAATTTGACTCACCGACCGTGGAAAGGAGGCAACGTTGCAATGCCCCCCTGAGGCAAATCTCGAGGCAACACTGACCAACTTGAAATGGCATCTCGATAGCTTGCCATATTAAGAGATCCAGGAATCACCGTGAATGTTGTGACGAAGCCAAAACTCAGGAGAAGGACCAGAGAGGGCCTTGCAATCAACGAGCTAATAATACAGAACAATTTAGATACTAGTCATAGCTGAGAATAGAAGAGGGGTCGACATGGTCCCAAACCTTCATGCGTCGCACGGTCAGCTCCAGCAGGTATGATCATGCCGCTTCGGTAGGATCAAAGTCTCTTTTCCAAGATCGGTGTGGTTGCTTTAATGACAGAGACCTGGCGTATCCAGTCTACATATCCTGAAATGCGCCGTCCTTTCATCGGTCTGTGCAATATCCCGTCCTTGACATTACCCGTTACCTCAAGTCCATGCCGCCATATTGGTCCCATAGTAATTGGGTGTCTGTGGCCCTTCACTTCCGATCAGATATCCCAAGGCGCACTTTTCAAACCCCACTTTTGGTTGACCCGCATAGAATGCATCATAATCGGCATCCAACGCATCAACAAGGTTATTGACGTTGCCGTCAGGATGAAGAACCTTCCATGGCTGTGTACATTGGTCGGCCTTGCAGGATTTTAGGACCATGAGCATAGCATCGAGACGAGGTTGGACTTGAATAAGGGGTCGATTTAAGGGCCACGCCAGAGGAGTAGCGTTGACTGAAGCAGTTGGGCCCAGCAGGTTATTCATTTGCGACGGATCGCGCTGCATCACTGTCAGTTGGTATCTACTCCACATGGACGAATTGATAGGAAGATGTACCGTCATGTCGTACAACTCGTGTTCATTTGTGCACCAGACTGTGTATTGCAGGTTGTACTTGTCGGTGACAATGCGCATGGATTTGTAGGTGTTATTGAGAAATTGAGCTGAATGTCCACGTCAGCGGTGCTCTCTCGACAATATTGTGTAGAACCACACTTACTGAAACTTCCATTCACACCCTGCAATCCGAAGGCTCCCTCAAACCCACCTGTTCCCCAATACTCAACCATGGTATGATCATGGGTTGGAGCATCACGACGCTGCTGCTGCGCATTGTCAGTGACAGGCATGGGAGACCCGTCGAAATCACTCCGGAGCGGAATCCCGGCCAACTGAAACAAAGTGGGAGCAATATCCGTATGAGTTGTCACAAAATCAACAGTCTTCCCTCTCGGCACACCTGGTCCACGGATGTAAAAAGGAATATTGACATCCTCCTCGTATGCGCAATACTTCCCTGGCTGCATGCGGTGATTGCCCATGTGATAGCCATTGTCAGTGGTGTAGATAATGTAGGTATTATCGAGGAGACCGTACTGTCTCAGGCGGTTGATGATGGTCGGTATCATCTCATCGACAGCTTGCAACGCCTGCAAGCGCAAGCGATAGAAGTTGTCAAAATAGTCAATCTCTGTGGTGTTGAGTTGGGGCAAGTGCGTGATCCAGCTTGCTCCGCTGGGTACATTGGGGTTGAAGTTGGGACTTCGGGGGATCTTGGCACCGGGGAATAAGTTCTGATGGCGAGTTGCTGGGATAGGTGGAAGAAAGCCCGGGATGGGTGTGGTCGGATTGAAGATGGTCTGGCAATGCGGTGCAATTGGGGCGACACCGAGGAAGAAAGGCACTCCGGCAGCGTGAGCTTGGTCAAGCATATTCAGAGCATTCTGCGCGACTTGGTCTGTGTTATATTGATCGGGAGTGCTCACAGGAGGGTCTCTGTTGCTCTGGAATGTGGCGTTGTAGTAGTTGTAAGTTCCTGGGTCGATCAAGACTATAAGAAGTCAACAACAGCTCCCAGGGCAGACAATATTTAACCCCACAAGCAGTGCCGTTCCAACCTGCAGGGAACGGGTTATTCCAGTTGGCGGTGGAGTGGGCATTCATGAGTTTGCCCGTATAGTAAGTGTTGTATCCTGCCTGCTGCAGCCATACCGGCAGGTAGTTGTTGTTGAGGCCTTGTTGAACGAACTTGGGATAGCCGCCTGAAACAATCAGTACCATAACATAACCAGTGCAAAAGCCCACAAACCGTATGGAGGGACAATATCCGTGACATTGGTATTGTGAGCAAGCTTGCCAGTCAACAATGAGACTCTCGAAGGGCAGCATTGGGAGACCGTGCAGAAGTGGTTTTGGTAGGTAGTCCCCTCTTTTGCAATCAGATCCAGAACATTTGGCATGTATTGCATGGAATTGAGCTGAAGATCTTGGTCGTCGGTCATGATGAAGACAAAGTTAGGCTTCTGCGTTGGGCCTGGCTTGGTGCCGTTGCTCTGGGTGTCGTTGACCCCGGCATAGCTGCTGGACACAAAGGTTAGGGCGAGCACGAAGAGGAAGAGGCGGCGGCACATCGGTGCTATGAGGTTGCGCAGCTGTAAGGATGCTTGCAATATGGATAGAAAAGACGACTCGAGCCAAAAACTGAATATCCCATATGAATGCTGAGGCGGAGAGGGTCAAAAAAGTGAGGCTGTTGCACAACCAAATCTGTCAGCAGCTGGAGAAGAGGATCGGCTGTCATTACCTGGAGGCAGGTGCCAGCATATGTTATCGCATGAGGCAGTGACGCAGTGGTCACCATGGCCAATGCACTGGCCATGAGCTGTTCCATGGCTCCAGCCAGCCACCATCTTAGCATGCATGATCTGTCGGTCAGTGAAGGTGCGTCCGATTCAGCAAGCCACGAAAGTAACTTGGACACCGAAGAGCCCGCCACATCTCTCCTGATTGTGAAGTGGACTTTAATTTCCCCTGTCGGGAGGCATCATGATATCCTTGGGGAGTTGCTCGTCGAGTCCTAGTTGGAGTGACGGATGTGAAAAGATTAAGAAGCGTGACAGACAGTGAGCCGCCGTGACGTCGAACACTTTTGGTAGGGACTAGTGTGCAGTTGTGGTCCCTGGCGGGCGGGGGCTCACTAGGCCTCGTCACTAACCGAGCCCGGGCCCGAAACAAGCTCTTGGGTGATTTGCGAGCTCCCGGGTGTAACTAAATTGCGGGGGAGGCTCCCCCGGAGGATCGCCTCAGTGGCCCGCTAACTGGCTGGCGGGCCTCGCCGCGGCCCTACCGAGCTACCTGCACCACTAAACTTATTCGAATCAGAATTCCACCATTGTGCCATCAGCTCCTCTCCTCTTCCTCATCAATCCCAATATTTTGGTTCGGCCTGGAACAAGCAATCACCAAGCTGTCATCACGACTGAGGCGTGCTCCGTACTACCCGATATATGCCAGGTATTGCCGGCTGCGTCCAGAAGCGGAAATCAGAGAGACTACACTCTACAAAAGGGGCATGTCTTCCACGTTCGACACTTCCTGCAGGCGACGTAAACTGGATTCAGCCGTCACCACCGGGGTTTATTACGCGCTACTATCTGTGGTAGGGATATGGCTGCACTTCGTTAACTCACAATAGTGCGGGAACTGACATTTTCTGCAGCGTGATAAAGAATGAGAGCGCAGTCTCAGGCCGTCCCAAACATGTCACCAAATACAGTACGTTTATCTTCGCCCGCGTTCCTGAGCATATCATCTTGTGCTTCCATCATGCCCTCCCTGACCCTGTGCGGATCCTGCGTCATCCTGGAACCAATATAAGCACACAACCGGTTCTCTGCTACGTTTGTCCATCCACGAGCCATATGGCGATCTGCAACCAAACAACGTGGCGTTGCTGTACAACAGGATGTGGACCAGCCACCCTCCACTTCTTAGGCTGGGCCAGGGCATGTCTTGAAGCCAACAGGGCGGCATGGACACCGAAACTCAGATGTCTCCGTGAAGACCCCTTACCAGTCCCCTCAAGCTCTACGCCCCAAGTTACCTGCTTCGACATGCGACCATGACGACGCTCAGACAACATCATCATCGACCACAGATTCGAATCTTCAGCAGCCCTTGGACGACTCCACCACACACTCTCAGACTGGAACGAGCGTACGTCTTCGGGGTGGTTGGGACGAGCAAGACTGCTGCGCCTGCTCGATATGCTACTGTCTAATCTTTTGTGGATGCTGCGACTAATCTCAATGACCAGGGGCCCGCACGCCAAAGTTGCCTCTCACCAATATCCGCATATGCTTCTTGCTGTGAACTGCAGCAGAAAAAATGCCAGAGGACAAGTGGTCGACCATGCAGATGGCTGAGCATCTAGACGCCGGGACAGTGCTCTCACATACGAGTATTGGTTTCGGGGAAGAATATACCTGCATACTGAGCAGCATGACTCTTTGCTTCATTGTTTCCCCCCTACCCTTCGGATACAGGCCATCACTGGTACTTCAGGGAGGGCAGCAAGAGTAAACACGCCTTGAGATGGTCTCAGGTAGTGAGTGCGATGATAACACGAAATGCTTGCTGCCGCTGTCATTCCTCTTACCCTTCTTACCATCGTCTCCACCATCGAAGAGTGAGGCGTGAAGATGATCAAGACCGAGAATGCCAATGCTACTTTGATTGCCCCATCGGGAATTACCTCAACAGGCAGGCAAGACCTGGCCCGATGATTGGTTTCGATGGTGAGAACCGAGGCGGAGATCCGCACGATAACTCCCCCGTATAAAGACCAGGCTGGTTGCCCCTCTCCCTTTGTTGATAGAAAGAGATCAGAACTCTTTGCCCTCAAAACAAACCGTCCCGAAATCCCAGTAACAGCGAAGGCGAGCAGCATATCCACCATCCAAAATGACGTCGATGCACAAAGTCTTCGCTGCCTACGAGGCCCGCAAGGCCGTGCTAGAGAAGTCGACCAACCCGCTCGCCCAGGGCGTGGCGTGGGTCGAAGGCCAGCTGTACCCGATCCACGAGGCGCGCATCCCATTGCTGGACCAGGGCTTCCTGCACAGCGACCTGACGTACGACGTGCCGTCCGTGTGGGACGGGCGCTTCTTCCGCCTCGACGACCACCTGTCGCGGCTGGAGAAGAGCTGCGCGAAGATGCGGTTGACGCTGCCGGTCCCGCGCGACGAGATCAAACGCATCCTGTGCGACATGGTCGCCAAGTCCGGCATGCGCGACGCCTTTGTCGAGCTGATCGTCACGCGCGGCCTGAAGGGCGTGCGCGGCGCGCAGAGGCCCCAAGACCTGACGAACAGCCTGTACCTCTTCATCCTGCCGTACATCTGGGTCATGGAGCCCGAGATGCAGCTCGAGGGGTCGGGCAAGGCCATCATCGCGCGGACAGTTCGCCGGACGCCGCCCGGCTGCATGGACCCAACGGTCAAGAATCTGCAGTGGGGGGATCTGACGAGGGGTATGCTCGAGGCCAGCGACCGCGGCGCCAACTACCCCTTCCTGACCGACGGCGACGGCAACATCACCGAGGGCTCGGGCTTCAACATTGTCCTGATCAAGGACGGCGTGCTGCACACCCCCGCGCGGGGCGTCCTCGAGGGCGTGACGCGTAAGAGCGTCTTCGACGTCGCCCAGAAGCTTGGCCTCGACGTCCGCCTCGACTTCGTCCCCGTCGAGCTGGCCTACCACTGCGACGAGATGTTCATGTGCACCACCGCCGGCGGCATCATGCCCATCACCTCCCTCGACGGCGTGCCCGTCCGCGACGGCAAGGTCGGCCCCCTCACCGCCAAGATCTGGGATCTGTACTGGGACATGCACTACGACCCGACCTACAGCTTTGCCATCGACTATGACGGGGCGAAGACCAATGGGGTGAATGGCGCGGCTCATTAATTGACCTTTTTTTTTTGAGCGTGAGACGATCCAACGTATAGGATAAATGCCAAACAAAATAATGGTTACTGTTACTATTTCCACTTCGAGATATGTAGGCAGCGGATCAGAGATTGTACACACTGCAATTTGCGATTAATGTACTGCGATAAGAGTAGATATTCTGAAACTTCTAACCAGTCTGTTACCGGTCCGCGCGATAGCTGCTGGGAAGTCAAGCAATGATAATGATGCAAGGATGGCACCCGATGCGTTACTCCAAGACGCCCGCTTCATTACCCTCAGTCGTAAAGCCTCCCCGCCTTGGGCGGCTCTGTATACTCGATCAAGCCCACTCCGAGGATATTGGGGCCAACTTCCCCATACCGCACTTTCCTGGCCCCCAGGACCTTGACCAGTTCGTCGGCGGACAGATTGGAGCCGGACTGCGGCACCCGGTCCGGCCCTGCGACCACGTCGAGGACGCTGTAGGGCTGTCTCTCGCCGGTTCGCTTGTCGATCACGACGGTCGAGTAGTGCAGCGCCTTGGCGACCTCGAAGGGCGACAGGCTGACCTTCCTGCCGAGCAGCCAGTAGCCGTCGTAGAGGGGCAGGATGGCCAGGATGGCGACCAGCATCAGCGCGACCGCGACGCCGAGGACGGTCCGGTTCGTCTTGTAGACGGTGTGGTAGACCCGGTACTCGCCCTGGGCGGTGACGTTGTGGGCCGGGACGGTCGCCGTCTGCACGTCCAGCGCCGACGAGTTCGGGAACATGTAGTCGCCCACCCTCTGCGTCGCGATCGCCACCGTGGTGCGGAACATGATGTCTCGGATGTTCGAGAGCAAGGCGTTCATCGGAGATGCGTAGGTGTTGTTGAGCGCCGCGTCGATGTCGCCAGTGCCGTGTTCGAAGACGGCGTAGGGCGCCGCGAAGGACCCCGTCACCGCCACGTCGGAGCCGAAGTTGGTGACGTCGCTCTTGAGGACGATGCTCGAGCCGAAAAGGCTGGAGAATGCGAGCGCGACACCTCCCAGCGTGCTGTGTTGCCCGGAATTGGGGTCGCTCTCTTCAATCCAGACGCGGTACAGTGTCTTGTCGTGCTCTGGGATAGGAAGCAGGTTCAGTACTTTATCGACCAGAAGAGCTTCATCGTCCGGATTGCTGGGAGAAGTTGTCCATTCTACCTGAGACGTGGGTGCTTGTAAAGTTGCCACCCCCTGCGTAACATTGACCGGATACTCTACCAAAGCCGGCAGGAGAGTGCAATGTCGGTTCGTGACGGTTTTGCCCTGGTAGCCTCTCTCGTCCTGCCAGAGGACGCTGAGGCCAATCTCCCAATCAATCCCAGTGGTGACATTCACCTGAAAAACCGAGTTGGGAGGTTGGAGAGCAGAACCAGATGGATCCGTGGACAGTGGATCCAGCAGCGCACTCCGAGTCGCGTTGCAGGTATATTGGAAGCCCACTCCGGGCAGTCGCGTGGTGCAGGAGACGTTAGAAGTAGAGTCACACCCTTTCAAGTCGAGGGAGACAGGCGACTGGATCTTGTAGTCTTGAAGGACTTGAATAAAGGGTGGCGTGAAATAAACCACGCCGAAAGTGTCGTGTGCAACTGCTGCGACGACGCCGGAAAACCCAGCAGGAAGAGCGCTAGCAAGCTCTGAGGTCATGTTTCGAGGGATCAGCGACAAGACTGTAGTTGAAGAACTGGCTTGTTGTAGTACCACTATATTGATCGTCAGCTAATCACCCGGGACGAGCATGCCTGCTTTGGGCGTTGGGAAGATAATCGGCCCACAAGAGGGGGTGATCCTTACCTTCCAGCCCGGCAAATATGGTAAATGCTAGACTTCCAACGCATATCCAGCCCCATAGCCTCCAATGCAATGCCACTGTCTGTATGGAATTGCCGACTGCCCATCGGAAATGGAGCCTTTTCAAGGTCTGGCCACGGATGGCGTCCACCCACCAGGAAACGGCAACAGCCTCCGCAAACATAACAGCGAGGGTCTTTGAGAGGAGGAAGTTTGCCAGGGCAAGCCAGGCACTGACGCTAACCTGCCAATAGTGGGAATGACCGCCAATGTTCATGGTTGCGGCGCCCCAGGATTCCACATCTTGGCCATCAGAAACGAGCAGGATTACGATCATGGCGGCGAGAATTGCAAACATGATGAGCAGGCAGCACAGGCTGAGGAGCGGGATCCGAGCTTTATTGCCTGCTCGCCACGCGTTGGATACCTTGTGCGTTTCCCTTCCGGTGTTCTTCAAGAGGCTGTAGCTGTCGAGGGGAGTTCGCTTTGAGTTTCCTTCCTTCACAGAGTCTCGTTCGGCTAACAGGGTTGACGTTAACAATTTGTCGGCAGGACGGCCACAGGCCAAGATACTATGCTCCACAAACTCACCTTCATTCTCTGAGAAAGAGATTTTTGGTCCATTATTGTCTGGAAGATCAAACAGTGGACCTTCGGTTTGTTGAAGTTCGAGCCGTGGCGGCCCTTCCTGAGACAATGTCACATACCCTTGGTGGCTCTCCATCTAAGCAGTGGGCCAGATGTGAAAGCTCTCATAAGTCGACCGTGCTTGGTAAGGGGAGAATAAAAAGCAGAGATGTGAAGCGAAAAAGGTCCGACACCTATGCGTCGGCTCATGTGAGGCATGTATATGTTATACCTAGCTTCGAGGGACTGGCGAGCCTTCCAGGCTCTCATGATTATACACTAGTTGGCCAGACAGCACAACGTCGGCAGACTGAGGAAGGAGACCTTGTAGTGCACATTGGCGGACATGACCAAGATCAAGCGAGACTCCCTGTTGCTGCCGGGACAATTGCGCGAATAGCGGTTTATCTCTGTCGAGAGGGGTTGCTTTGTATAGCGCGAGAAATGAGCACTTGAGGTAACAGTTGGCAGAGGCGAAGACGGCATCTATGCCTGAAACCATCCCATGCATGATTTTAGACCACAAATGAGGCTCAGGACTTTCGAGCGTGAAGGCTAGTCGACTAGTTTGCCTCGTCCCCAGGGCGCATCCTCCCGAACCTTGCGAATCAAGTGGGCATCTAGCCCTGGTCGTGGTGCAAGGTCATCTGCGGAGGCGGGCGAGGCACACTGGGGTGGTGTGAGGGGCCAGCACATGCGTCGAGACAGACAGCAAGCTCAGTAAGTTTTTGATGAGACGATTCAGGACTGATGTTGCTGGAGTGGTGCGCATTGGCTTCTGAGAGAACGATTTGAATACCTCAAGACACTGCCTTCCTCGAGGTGTAAAGTCGCATTGTCCATATTCGAGAATGCTTGACCGAGCTTTCTGCTTCTGTGCGACACCCTTGTTGTTTCGCCCCCACCTAAGGCCGCCAGCGTCGAGGCGAGCAAGGTCTACCCCAGAGCCTGCTTCTGGCGGTCCAGCAGACAACCACTCCTACTCGTAATGTTCCAGCACCATCCAGGGTTGCCCTTCCGAGACCTAGCTCTGAAGGCCGCTGCCGCCTTTGTGATATCTCCTTATGTTGACGACGAGGAATAGCTCGAGAGGGAACGAATGGCGTTGGATTTATGTACCTCCTACACCAATGCCTTAAGCGCGTGTTTTGGCCAAGGGCGGATTGACGTTCTTTCGCAAATCAGCCACTTGAGCTCCTTCATTATTCACCTGCGGTGATAGTGATTCTCGGTTGTACAAAGCTGGTCATCACGTCTTCCCGGACTTCCTCGTCCCGCCATAGCTCTGTCCATATTCGCGCAGAAAGCTGGAGATCTTGTTGGTCTTGTCTGCTTGGCCCGGGTACTTTGTGGATTCGTCCCTTGCGCCTCGCTGGCCCCCAGACTTGTTGCGGCCATGCCTGAAGCTGTCTATCATGACATAGATTGGTACGATGACGATGCTGGTGATGAGGGTGAAGACCAGGTAGAAGAGCGGAGCGAGGATGCGATTGATCAGTCTATTGAGGAAATTGGTCGGCGGCAATGGCTCGAACTTGGGCAACGACGGTTTGTGATCGCGGTCTGACGAGGCAGACATTGGGCCGATTATTTGTGGATGGTCTTTTGAGTCTTCGGAAGAGTGGCAGGGGTGTTCGTTGATGAAGTTATTCGGAGGAATTGTTGTAGAAACCCTTCCATTGCTCCCAAGGCATTCACGGAATAGCTAAAGGCTCTTTGTAATACGTGTTGAAAGCATAAACTGCGCTGACGTCTTGGTGATGAAATCATCGCAGTGCCATATTGAAATACGAAGATTCCGAGTGTGCATCCACTCAGCACCAACTTTCGGTTTGACTTTCTGACGCGTTCACGTCCTCAACTGCCCGAAACTCTCAACCTCTCTCATCCGACAGTCCTTGAAGACCTCTTCACATTGTTCAGCTCGGCCTTGTGCTTGAGACGGCTTAAGTCTTCCAAAGCAGCTGACGGCTCTCGCCCTCGGAATGTTCCTCGATCGTGCCAAACTTTGTCAAATGCGTGTTTGGGAATGCCCCAGCTGCGATTTCATTAAAGATGCTCCTCTAGTGCGAAAGCAATTGTGATTCAGTCTTCATCCTAGTTTCCCTAAACTCTGTTTGCCACAACTGTCTCTGTTGCATCCTGCTGATCAGGTAGACCAGCCGCTGTGACCTGTTGACCAGCTTCTAGACCTCGATTGTGCGCTGTCAAGTTCGCAGCCTCCCAGCCTTCATCGCCCACGTATCCCGCACGGCCTAAGCCCAGCCAGAAGGCTCGATCACGACTCCTTGCTCCCCAGGCCCACCCGCTTCCTCCCTGTATCGGTAGATGATACCATCGAAACCCCAACCAGGCGGTGAAAATGCCGAGGACCGAGCCCGAAATGATGTCGAACCCGGCGTGGTGATCGTCGAAATACCGCGACACTGAGATGAACATGGCGACTGCGATGGGAATGAATGCAATAATCAGCAGATATATGGGAGGAGCTGCCGCTTGGTTTCGAGGAGGGTGGTGCCGCTGGTGAGAAGAGGTGGTAATCATTGATTCCTTCCCAAGCTGATCCTCCTCCTCGTCAAACGCGGACGTCTGTCGTCCACTTTCCGAGCTTGGCGACAAGAAAGGGATCTGAACTGCGAATTTGGAGCAGATGAACAAAGTGAGATAGAACAAGCCCGCCCAGCTGAAGCTCGAATGCCCCGACGGCCAGCTCGCGAATGCATCGCGCAATTTGCTCTGGTCGGTGGTGCGACAGATATGCCAATCGACGACAATCGGCGTAGCCGAGTCTATGGATGTCCCCAGTCCACCTACTTGGTGTCTGCGGATGGCTTCAGGACTCAAGTCCGGGTCGCACACGGCGAGCAGAAAGGGTCGGGGTTTCCCAGCGAGATCTTTCAGTCCCTCAGTGATGACGAACGCACCTGCCACGGCGACACCAAGACCCATCCATGCTGCGTTCCACTCCCAGAGCTTTCTGCGCCAGATCAATGCCTTGGGAGTTGATCGATGGGCGGTCGGGCCGGGGACAAAAAGCAGGGAGATGGCCGCAGTGATCACCCCTGGTGCGACAACGGCAACCACGATCAGGACTGGGACCGTGACAGTATCATCGTGGTAAGGATAGGAAATATTTGGATCTTGGAGGGAGAACGAATGTTTGTTTCCGTGGATCTGCGAGAAGGCGGCGCCAACTGCCACCGTCGCCCTGAGAGATAGTCAACTTGTGTGCTGAATTGTGCGTCTCGGCCCTCCAGTTCTTACCATATCAGAATCCAGTCGAGCACATACGAAGCAATAAGCCGCTTGGAGACACGGCCTATGCCTGAGGTAAAGCTGTTGAGCGTCCTCGCAGCGGCAGCCATTTGTGGTAATTGAGCACGCGACCCGCAGCGCAGGTTGATTGGAGAAATTAATCACCCGTTTGGCTGGTCACAGTGAAGAGAAGTTTGTATCAAGGTGTGGTAAGGTTTAGGTTGAGCAGACGGCAAGGACATTTATTGTAAGATCCATTGACCCAACAAGCCTGAAACAAAGCCCGCTCAGATTTTCAGCTGGTCGTCGCATGGGCGGAGGAGGCGCGTGAACAGATGCCATAAAAAGGACAGTTGGGAGAAGGCGCTGCAAAGGGTCACACCGCAGGTGCTCAGCTCCCGCAAGACGTCATCAAATAGGTGATGACAAAGAGCTGCGAGCCCCTACAGAGCCCAGAGCCCAGAGCCACCCAGAGCAAGCCAAAGGCCACTCTCCCTCCTGATGTGCTGCAGTGCGGCTCGGAATGCCCAAATGACACTGGCCCATATCATTCTCACTCGTAATCTACTCTACTTGGGCTTAGCCATGTACGCACCACTGCGAGGCTGTGTAGCCCTTCCACAGCCAGATTGTTTGGAATCATGACAGACACCATGCTTCTGATTTGCTGCCCTCCTGCGAGGGACCGATCGAGTGGCAAACAAGACACGCAGAACACGCAACCAACAAACCCTTCCTTCTCAGCCTTTTGTTGTCAGCCATAATCCTCCCAATCTTACACGGACTCTCTCTCGGCCGCATGTTCCCAGCGTTCTTGGACTGCCATGGATGACTTTTTTCCGTTATTTGTTCTTTCCGTCGAGATCGGCGTAGAAGTTCCACCCAAACGACTCCGACGGGTCGTTGAACCTCATCTTCTTGTCCAGCCCATCGACCTTCTTGACGTCCTCGGCCTCGAGCTTGAAGTCGCCCTCGAAGTTCGCCTTGATGCGCGACGGTGTCTTGGACTTGGGTATCACGGAATGACCCTTCGCTATCCCCCATGCCAGAGCCACCTGCGCCCCGTTCTTGCCGTACTTCCTCCCGATCTCTTTCAGCACCGGGTCGTCGATCAGTTTGCCCATGTTCTTGCCTTTGTCGTAGATCTCGTTCTGATTCCCAAACGGCGAGTATTGCGTGATGTGGATGCCCTTTGACTTGTGCCATGTCGAGAAATCGGCCTGGACCAGATACGGATGCAGTTCCATTTGATGCGCGGCCGGGACGATCGAGGTTTCTCTCAGCAGCCTTTCCATTTCTGCGAGGGAGAAGTTGCTCACGCCGATGGCGCGGCATTTGCCCTGGGCGACCAGTTTCTCCATGGCACGGTAGGTTTCGACGTAGTCAGTGTCACCAGGGACAATCTTGTTGTCTTTCATGGGCCTCATTTTGTCGCCGCGCGCCCATGGGGATGGCCAATGCATCAGATAGAGGTCGACATAGTCGGTCTGAAGGTCTTTCAGAGAGGCGTCGCACGCCTTTTCCACGTCGTCGGGATGGTGCGAGTTGTTCCACAGCTTTGTCGTCAAAAAAATGTCACTGCGAGGAATGCCGGACTTTTTGATGCCTTTGGCGACACCCGGCTCCGTGCCATATCTGCGACGACTTAGCCTCCAGAAGTAGGTCAACTAACTTATGGGTCTCTTACATCCGTGCAGTATCGATATGCCGATAGCCCACCTTCAATGCCTCGGCCACTGCGTCTTCCTGTGCTTCTTTGTCCTATGCAGGTCAGACGCTGGTTAATCACTCACAATGGCCCGCGACGCCTCTGATTGGGCTGGTGTAGTCTGCTGGAGCGAGACTGGAGCTTACCTGCCACGTTCCGAACCCTATAGCTGGGATCTCGGCGCCTGTGTTCAGCGGAAACTGTGTTTTCGTGTATCCTACTATTGTTCTGGTTTGGTTGCTGATTTGCCGCGATATTTGACCAATCCTCGATAGGGAGCGTCTGCTACATTGGGAAAGCATGGTTCAAGAGCGCGTTGTGTCAAGGTCAGGACGAAAGAGGTCTCTAATGCCGAGGGGTGGTGTTCGTCGTGATACTCTTCTATGGGGGATACAGAGGGCCTCCACCTGAAATGCCTGTAGCAAACGCAGACCGTGTGAGAAGCTGGGGAAATGAACAAAATACTCTGTATTCAGAATGCCCAAAACTGGGAGATCAATTGTGGTGTGATGGACTCGATGGAGAGGCTGGTTTAATGCTGATGTCACTACTGTGGACGAAGAAGCTCCCCTGCGCCACGGCATATAAACCCCGGCCGGGCTGTGACCATCATCCCCAACGTATCCAGAGTCACAGCTTCAATCATCGATTCTCCATTCTCCTCGCCTGGCTTTGGTATTTTCGAGACGAATCATCATTTGAACATGCTTTGACAGAGTTCGCCATGTAGAAAAGCATGTCGCACCCAAGATCCCGTCGTTGTTACGCTACCGTTTCCATCCTGCGTGTTCTTTTGTGGTCTCGCTGTGTGGGACAATGCGCCCAAACCATGCAACGGCTTCTGTCTGATCTCCCGCTGGAAATCAACTGAACGCGGCCGAGCAGACAAAGGCTTTGTCTTCTCGTCCCCCATCCACGAACTGTGTTCAAACGCCCAAGCGCATTCTTCGTCGCCGGACCCAATCAGAAAGCATTGAACATGGTCCATGCTGGGCGAGGCTCTTCGACAGCGCCGATTGCAAGTCTTCATTCTTTGTACGTTGTCGGGCGAACGCTTGCAGCCACCACTGCCCAGGTCACAAGCCCTCAGAAGGTAATAAAGGCGTGGTGCTAGACCTCTACCTGCGTCCCCTCGAAGCCTTGACTTTCTTCTCGTAGTTATCCATTGATCCTGTCCTTGGAGTGATTGCTCAAGCAGATGGTTGACCGAAGCGCTGAAGAGGCACCAATTCAGCCAGTTTCACGGTTTTCGACCTCGACATCCCTCAGAATGTCCAACGCTTCTCACGTTCACCCGTCCGTCGTGCCGATGCCACGGTGGTCAAACGCAATTGGCTGCGCGAGAGCGGTGATCGCGATTCTGGTGCTGGCTTTTACTGCCGCAAGCACCGGCATTTGGGGCGGGTTTCCTGCCTTTGGTATTGCGTTGTTCACTGTAAGCCGGCCCATCACTTCTTACTGCAGAGGGCGAAAGCTGACATGGCTCAAGGCATCAGCAACGTTGATCGTCTTCGCATACTATTTCGTGGCCCTTTCTCGCAAGCCAGCACTCTACAACCGCTGGGCCATTCTCGCTCTCGAGGTCTGTGGTACCCTGTTTTGGCTGGTCAGCTTTGCCCTGTTAGCAAGGTGGACGAGCTTCTACCATCGTTTCTGGTATGGCCACGGACCAAGTTACGGCTTCTGGCACGCTCCGTTCAGGCCTTCGGACATGGGACTTATCCCAAGGAGCATTGTCAAGAGAGCTTCCAGCAGCAGACGAGCAGGCGTGGCCCTCGCAGGAACTGCTGCTGGGCTCGGCGGTCTGGAGTTGTGAGTTACCCTGTCCTAAACTGCCGAGATCATGGAGACTGGCTAATGTCCTGTTGTCAGCATTCTCTTTTGCGTTACCTTGACGGTTTTCGGAATGGCTCTTCATCGCCAGAGAGTGGCCGAAGCCGGTCAAGCGGGAACAACGACTGCGACGACTGCAGCCCCAGTAACTGCACCTATCCCCACGACAGAAGAGGAAAAGGGGGGAGAGGCGAAACTAGACAAGCCCGAGCCGGTTGTTGTTTGAGTATAGATACTTAAATCCGGAGGGAAAAGACTAGAAGCTCCGTCGGGAGTTATTTGGGAGAGACGAGCGTGGAGATGGGTCTGGTTGGTAATTTGGTAGCTCACGAGAAAATCCAGGTGGAAGACAGTGATATGCCCTTGGTAGCAAATGCATTTCAATCCCCAGACGGTGCCACATTTGTTGCGTAGTCAATCGCGGATCGGACATGGCGGACATGACGGAGACAACCGGACGACGGCGACTTGCCAAAGTCGATTACATCTTTCAACGGATTTCAAATGGCGACTTTCCTCGACTTTCCCTTACCACATGGGCTCCCCGGGGCATTATATGCTCTATGCTTCAGCCGTGTTTCGACAGCAATGGATACTGTTACGGCGATGAGAGCATCTTCCTCCATTCTAGATCTTACTGCTGGATTGTGTCATCTCGCTTGCGGCCGGGGGTATATTCACTTCTTCGACCGTGCTTGCTTACCCGTCCCTACCCCGGTCTTTTCTGCTCCGCTGGCATTTATCAGGTTCTATTGATATGCGCGTATAGATGAAGCTGTGGTTTGAAATGGAGCTGGCAAGAACATCCATTATATACCGGACCATGTGCTCATTGTGCTCTCTTGCTCACATCGATCCTTCGCTCCTTGATATTTGTACCTGGATTTCCTTCCCGGCATGGAAGTGATGAGCTTTCCGAATGTCGATAGAAAGACGAGCAACAATCCCAGCCCCGAATCCGAAACCATGGAGCTTTCGCTGGCCCCAAAGATTCACGCCCAACCTGATGTTGAAGAATCGATGGATGCACGGATCGAGAGACTCGGACGTGAACGACCCCCTGCATTCGGGTCCATGTGGTCTGAAATGGCCTTCGTGTTCAGCATAATAATGTCCCAGATTATAACGGAGTATTTTGTTTCGGGATTCAATGTCCTGCTCCCGACACTCATCGAAGAACTCGGCATTCCTCAGTCATCCAGCGTGTGGCCAGCCACGGCGTTCTCCCTGGTCATTGCGAGCATGCTCCTGGTTTTCGGCAGGCTCGGCGACATGTTCGGGGGCTACCCTGTCTATGTCGCCGGTTTGGTATGGCTTCTAATCTGGAGCATTGTCTGTGGCTTCAGTACTTCTCCTCTCATGCTGGACTTCTGCCGAGCACTGCAAGGTCTTGGAGCCGCCGCTTACCTGCCCACTGGGGTTATGTTGATGGGGAGCGCCTACAGACCTGGGCCGCGCAAGAACCTGGCCTTCGCATTGTACGGCACCTTTGCTGTTGTCGGGTTCTTTGTGGGGATATTCTGTGCTGGAATCGTCGGTCAATTCCTGGCCTGGGGCTGGTTCTTCTGGATTGGAGCCATCCTTACCGCCATCACCGCCACGACGTCGATGCTATCTATTCCCAATGATTGGAAAGAACGGCGGAAGAACAAGATTCCCATGGATTGGCTGGGTACCATGACGATAGTGCCGGGGTTGGTCCTTGTCGTCTTCGCAATCACCGAATCCGCACATGCTCAACGGCGGTGGCAGACTCCTTACATTCCGACCCTGTTTTGCCTTGGATTGATACTGCTTCTGATCGCCGTATATGTGGAAGGCTGGAAAGCACGAGTCCCACTCTTACCGGGTGATATCTTTACCGTCCCGTGCATGGTACAACTCGTTATCGCGATGCTATTCCTCTATGGAAACTTCGGCGTCCTTTTACTTTACGGAACCTTGTACTTCCAGAATATCATGGGCGCCACCCCTATTCAGGTCGTCGCGTGGTGGACGCCAACGGTGGTCGGCGGAGTGATCTTGAGTACCATAGAAGGGTTCATCCTCCATCTGGTGTCGGGCCGCCTGCTCTTGATTATTTCATGCCTTGGCGCCATTGGGTCTCAGCTGCTTCTGGCTCGAATTCCTGAGGGTGGAAACTATTGGGCTTGGATTTTCCCGGCGTGCATTCTGGGTACTGTTGGCATTGATCTCTCGTACAACCTGATCGCCGTCTTCATCACCACACAGATGCCCAAGGCGCGACAGGGGCTGGCGGGGGGACTTATCAACTCGGTCTTGCAGCTGGGCTTTGCTCTGCTTCTGGGCTTCACCGACATTGTTCAGTCATACACGGTGGACGAGTCTGGGCTGAGACAGAGCTACAAGAACACGTTTTGGTTCGGCGTGGCTGCTGGTATTGCGGCCTTGTTACTGGTCACAATCTGGGGAAAGGTCCCGAAGGCGAAGAGCGACCTCACTGCAGACGAGAAGCTGGAGCTACAGCGGGAGGCTACAAGGCTGTCAGAAGCCTCACGCACAAGGTCTGGTGGGATCGAGTAGCCATTCCACTGCTGTGACCTGCGACGTAGATGTTATGTACGAAGATGGTCCTATGACATAACAGAGGTGTAGCCTCTTGGGCTATGAGCACAAACCGCCATATCTGGTCTCTCCAATTGTCTTTATCGTTCGAGTCCTCCCGTCAACGCGGCTTCAGCCTTGTGACGTATGTCGGCGAGACATAGCCTTTACCGCATTAGGATTAGCCCGGGATACCAGGCTACCCAATCAGGGATCACATTCTGTGAGTGGCAGGGCACTTGGAACCAACTTGTCGGTTCAGCTCATGGCTGTGCAATTAATATCTAGGCTGCAACACCCTTCATCCTCCATCTTCCTCCGGACTCAACCCATTCGCGATCCATTTCTGCCTCCCCAATGCCTTAGTCGACAATTGTACGAGATAGCATTGACATGCGCATCAGCCACCTGTGGGGTGGTAATTCCAAAGGCCCGGCCGCCGATAAGATCCAGCGGCCGTTTCAGCCACAATCCGTGCTATAGTCCCTTAATCCCTGAAGTCAGCACAGCCGCTCTCACGACGCGCGCAAACGAGGAAGTGAGCATTACGGTCCCTTCCATACCACTTTCGGACTCTGTTGCTTCAGATAGTCCATCTACCAAAGAGCCTGGGCTACCCCGGCTTGATTCTCCGGCCAGGCCACTCAATCCAAGGCAGCTCTTTCTCCACGAGACCTTCCCTGCTCGTCCACAGTTCCTTGTGAGCAGATAAAGCCGCCTGGATACGCTGAGTCCGCCATGAGAGGCTGTCTCTTTGTGACCTCCCTCGCGAAAGGACGAACTCACAAGTGTGACAATGGATGACGGCGCCGAGGACGGCAGCCAGGAACACCGCACTCTACTCACCCGGATTCTCACAGCATGTACTCGTATGTTCCGACCATCTGACCGAAGACCGGCTTCAGCCTCGCAGTTGAAGACTGATTCCCCTATTCGAGACGCACCTCTAACACACCGCCAAGAAAAATCTAGCACCCATCCTGATCGACAGGACGAAATGCAAACTGAATTGCCAGGAAGGGATGGATTCCTGGAACAAACCATCAAAGATGGCACATTCTGGCAGATGCCGGACATGAAGCTCCTCCAACTGATAAAATCTGAGTTCCCGTGGGAACTCGAACGGCTTAAGAGGGCCACGTTTCTCTGCAACCCGAAGGCACCTCGTCCGGAAGGACCTTCGATTTCCGAATCATTATACGGGCAAGATTATGCCGAGATCAATCGCACGCTTGTTGGTGTGTTGGCTCTCCGTTGGCTTCACCATGATGACTACGCGACTTTTGTAGGCACACAGAGCCCGCCGCCCATTGTGTTGAAACGCGAATCCTTCAACTGGCTCCGCGGTCTCTTCGAAAAGGGCCTCAGATCTGCCGACGACACCTACGCGCTCATAATCTCGATGGTCATCAACGATCTGGGCAAAGATCCCACTCTTGCGAAAGATTACGCTACACTAGTCGGGAATGATATCTCCAAAGTTAACCATGACATGATTCTCTACCATGCAGTCGACGCCGGAATGGTCCCCGCACTGGATCGTCTGAGCGAACAAGACAAGGGTTATCTCCTCCAAGGAATCAGACTGGGTTCAGACTTCAATTTTGGGCAGCTCGCTCAGGCCGAGAACGCACCGGCTTCGCTCGCAGGACTTGTTGAAATGCGAGGTCAAGATCGAGCGTTTGAGATGCGATTTATGGAACAGATCCTGGACCTTGCGGGAGCCTCAGGACACGAAGACTGGACATGTGCCAAGAAGATGATTGAGCCGATCTTCCAGTCGTACAACAACGTATATGACGTTGCGCACGGCATAATTCAGGCCAAGATGGATGTCAGACATGGCTACGATATCATCCTGATACGCAAGCTGGATTTGCTCCACAAAGCTGGCTATTCGCGACAATTCAAGATCGAAAACCAAGCAGATCGTGCCCTGATGCGACTGTTCTGTCTGGGCAACACATCAGATCCAGAGAATGCGGATGTCTTCTACTTTGCCTTTACGGAGCGTATCTCAGATGAAGTGCGAGAGAGGTTGGTACAGGGCCTAAATGTGGACGGGTCAGTTGAAGCACCCGCCGTGCAACCAACATATATTCCTGCGATGCTGACAAAGGCGCTGGGAAACACTCCGAGCGGCTCCCAGGAAGAGAGGATCAGAGCTGTTACGGCAATGCTGCGATATCTTACGCGGTGTATGACTGTGGATGCCTCAAACTTGAAGAAACTGCCAAAAGGCGTGACGGTCGTGGAGAGGGACGTGAGAAATATCAGTCCTGTGCTGGACAGCGAGGAGTTCAAACACAATCCAGATATTCTGGACCGGGAAGATATTCCGGAGGACCAAGTCGCAAACATGGCTCGAGCATCTTGATGAAGTTTGCGGGAGTATGGATGCTTCTTTCGGGCGGGCAATGCAACAGGCGCATCGGCGTTGGGCTTTTCAGCAGCAGCATCAACATTATCAACCACCACTGGGATGGGCGACGGTATACTTGTTCGATCGATACGTCAGAGCCATATGGCTCACTGGGCTGAGCACGGTGCGCCACCAGGCATTTAGCAGAGAGATTTTGGATCGACGGGGGACCTCGGCTGCCGAATTCTTGGGCAATGGGCACGCATGACACAGCATGGCCCTTGGCCCCATTTTCTTCAGGCTAATCATGATGCTTTGATCCACGATCAGCGATGCGAGATTTTGCCGACCTCCGATGGCCGGCGACGGTTATTGCTACGGAGCGAGCGCTATTATTACCACGATTGGCCATATCACGCAAGCGGCAGCCTTGCCCACTTTTTTCCTTATCGGCTTCTCAGCCTTCCGCCTGCCAGTAGCAACCTATCTCAATCTCTCTTTTTTTCTGCTCTTCTGCCATGTGCTCTTGTCGAGGCGCCTATTGTTCAGACCCACTGACTACTAGGGGCCTTCCTCGTGTCAGATATCATCATTCATGGAAGCATGACAGAAGGTGGGATACCGAGGCAGATGTTGGTGCTTGCAGTGGTCCGTATCCTTTTGCTCAGTCCTCCCTTTCTGCTCGTTTCCTTCAAATCCCGTTTCATTCCTCGCCACCAGCTGTTGTGTCCTTTTATTGCCCTTTCTCGTTGTGGTTGTATTTCATTCTCTCGGACTTCCACTGTCAAGGCGAAAGCATCGTTACTGCTTAAGAGGTTTCTTCAGCTTTCCTCCAGTTTTCTTCTCCCGCCACACTCTCCTTGAGAGCAGCTGACACTAGCTGCTTGATCCGATACATCTAATCCAGTTGATCTGCGAAAAATCAATATGTCAACAACCCCTGCGCCATCGTCCGGGAGACCTGACACCCATCAGGAGCCTCACCCCCCATCCCCCTCGGCCAACCAACTCGCCCAAGTCAAACAAGCCATCGTCTCCCTCCTTGACCAACCGGGCTATGACGACGGCAGCGCCGGCCCCGTCCTGGTGCGCCTCGCGTGGCACAGCGCGGGGACATACTGCGCGCAGACCGACACGGGGGGCTCCAACGGCGCGGGCATGCGCTACGAGAAGGAGGGCGGCGACCCGGCCAACGCGGGGCTGCAGCACGCGCGGGCCTTTCTGGAGCCCGTGAAGCGGCAGTTCCCCTGGATCACGTACGCGGACCTGTGGACGCTGGCCGGCGCGGTGGCCATCCGCGCGATGGGCGGGCCCGAGATCGCCTGGATGGGCGGCCGCACCGACTTCGCCGACGACGCCCAGGTGCCGCCGCGCGGCCGCCTGCCGGACGGGGCCCAGGGCGCCGACCACCTGCGCGCCGTCTTCTACCGCATGGGCTTCACCGACCGCGAGATCGTCTGCCTCAGCGGCGCACACACCCTGGGCCGCTGCCACGCCGACCGCTCGGGCTTCGAGGGCAAATGGGTCAACAACCCCACGCGCTTCAGCAACACGTACTTCAAGCTGCTGCGCATGCACGACTGGAAGAGGAAGACCCTGCGGAACGGCCTGGTGCAGTACGTCTACGTGGAGGAGGAGGAGGATCACGACGGCGATGACCACGCCGCAGAGGAGGTGGAAGAGGAAGAAGAAGGGCTGATGATGCTCCCCTCGGACATGGCCCTGCTCGAGGACACGCGCTTCCGCGTCTGGGTCGACCGCTACGCCGACGACAAGGACCTCTTCTTCGCCGACTTCGCCGCCGTCTTCGCCAAGCTGCTCGAGCTGGGCCTCCGCCGCGACCCCGTCTCCGGCGCCGTGCTCAACCGCGAGAACCGCCAGGCCGGCTACCGCAGCGCCCCGAAGAAGAGCGATGCCCCCACTGCTGCTGCTGCAGCAGCAGCACCGGCACCGGCGCAGGTGTCAACTAGTAGGACCAATGGGTCGGCGAGGACGTCCAAGCTGTAACATCCCCCATACGAGAAAATCCGCAGTGTTTGCTGGGGAGTTTTGAGAGGCGTGGAATTTCTCGTCCTTTTGTGCTTTTAGGACTCTGTTGTCGCGTACAAAATGCTGTGGTTTTCCCGGCCGCGATGGTTTTTTCCCCTCTCTCTGGCGTTTAGCCTCTTCTGCGAATGCTTTCCCTTCAACAAGGCTGTTTTTTGTCTCTCGAGAGCGGTAAATGCAGTGGTGTTTCGACGGGGATGGGGCATAGATGCTAGACAGATACCCGACATAGAATTAGAGCTAGAGCTAGATCTAGACTTATTACACCATGCGAAGATAGATATCAACGTCGACAGAAGGATGGAACTTTCGGCAGGCGAGGTCAACCTCCTCCATCCCCTGCAATTACACGATCCCACTCCCTCACAGGGACATTTCTGTCTCGCTTGAATACGAGCATGTGGTCCTCTGCCCGTTTCCCGCTCCTCATTCCATTGTCACAACGAAAGTGACCCCGGTCGAAAACGACCCTACCAATGTCGAATGGTAACTAGCACCCTCTTATTCTCCCCCTTCTCGTCCTCCACACTGCCCTCGAAATCCAAACCCACCTTCTCCAGCATGTCCCATACGACCTTCCTCTTCAGCCCTTCCCTGACGGGGATCCTCTCGAGAGGTTCCGACCCGCTGAAATATTTCACAAACACGGGCCAGTAGTGACGCAGCTCTGCGGTTTCGGCCTCGGAATACGATGAAGCCAGCGAGGGGGACAAGTCTGCCCGGGACGGGCTGCGGGAAGAGCTGATGGTGGATGCAATGTAATCGAGCCATCGAGACTCTTCGGGCGAGGCGCGCTGAGGGGAGATGATCAGACTGGCGGCTTTTGGATTGTGCTTGAATTGGTGCCCGCTACCGCGCACGCTGGTGCGGTCGGTGGATATGGATTGTCGCCCGTCGCTGGATGGCCGACTTGTCATGCTGGGACGCTGTTTGAAAGACGAAAGTGCTCCGCTTGCGGGGGTGTTTGGCGTGCCGCTCCCAAAACTCCTCGCCGCATCGCGGTCGCGGTCGCTTGCTTCTCGCTCGACAATGGGAGTTTTGGAGCCTTTGGACTCTTCGCGCTCCTTTTCCCGGACTGCTTTCTTCACTTCCGGATCCACTCGAACAAACGCAAATGTACGCAGCTGTGTGACCCAGCCGTCGCGCATGAGCCAGGCAAGCACTCGGTAGTACTCTTCCTTATGGTCTCTGCTGGGGATGAGAGTACCATACGGTGCAGGAGTTCCGCCCAAAGCGTTCAACATTTTTGGCAGAGACGGCATCATAGGAAATGTCGCCTCGTATGTCTTGCAAGCCGACACCAGCCTGCTCATATTGGCGTTTGGAGAGACGATGTATGTATCGCGCTGATGCAGAGGTGGAATTGCTATCGCCCTGCGCCAATACACAAGATGACGAGCCAGATGTTGGATGTCACCCAAGGCAATGTGGGAAGCAAGCGATATCTTGTAGAAGGATTTGGTCGGCTTCAAATATCCGATGAAGTTGGTCAATGGCATTGCTAATGACCCTCCCGCAGCTTGGATATCTTTGAGAATCTTCTGGGGGCTGGCTTTGAGCAGGAGTGTGAAGTTCTTGGATAGCTGCAATGGACCTGTAGAGGAAGTTGCGTCCAGATCTGAAGCGGTAGATATGGGATCCGTGGCCGTAGTGAGCCATAATCCTGGTTGCAGTGGTGGTTCAGACAGGGAAGGAAGATAAGACGTCGACGTAATAGGAGGAATCTGGAGAGACACGGACAGTTTGGGACTGAGAGTGATTGCAGCTATTTTGGAGGCAGAGATGTTATCGAACACTTTGGCAATGGCAGCAGCCAAAGCCGAACGCTGTTTCATTTCGGTATAGAGCACCTTTGTAGACGACCGTTGGTGAAAATGTGTCGACCTGATGGACTGCAGCAGCTCCGACTGTTCCCAAACGTAATCATGGTGTGACTGAGCCCATTTTAACACCTTGGAGAGCTTCTTCACGACATGATCGTACATCTCCTTGAGCCGAGCTGTATGCTCCAACGGTGGAGGATCCATGACAAACACAACATGAAACATGGTCAACTGGCTCTTTGCACGTTCCTTTGGAGGGGAATTCTTCTTGCTGTTGTGGTCAGTTGGCGCAGCTGCGTCGCCATTGGCCTCATCATCCGGGGCACTGTCACTGATCGTAACCTCCGAGGAGAGGCCCTCATCTTCGACTTCCTTTGACCTTCTCACCTTCGGTTTTCGCCAGAATCCATCCTCACGAGCATAGACTGGTCGGCCCAGAAAGGTCAGGTCGTTAATGCCCAGCTCAAACCTCCGTTTGTGCCAGGATCGTCCTGGAGCTAGCAAGCTGACCAGACCATCTTCTCCGAGGCCAAGCAGGGGCTCCCATGAGGGCTTCCACTGCGAGTTGTCCTGTGTCCCCCTCTTGCTCAGATAATTGCTGTCCTCGTCATCAGAATGCTGTGATTGGGTTTCTTGGTTCTGCGTTGCCGTCACCGCGTTCCCAAACCGTCTCGTGAACAAGTTAAAGTCCTCCTCAGAAGACGACTCTTCCGAATCACTGCTCGAGCTTTCTGCGTCGTCGTCTTCTGTGGATTCCGAAGCATAGGAAGGTCGCTCCGCTGACAGAGGGTCTGGAGGGTAGTGGAAGACAATTTCAGCGCCCGAGCCGGTTCGGCCTTGGACGACGAGGAGAATTGCAAGCAGTGAAGGGTTGAGCGATGTTGCGGACGTAGACATAGATACTCTCTTTCTTTAAGATGGATACCTTGTCACCATTAGGCACGTCGAAACCACGCGTTTACGGACCGCTGACCCGTTCTCACGGGCGCACAGAGGTTAAGAGTCACAGCATGACACGTCCAATGAGCCTCAAACTCCAAGAGCGGGCACCCCCCTTTTGGTGTGGTGTCAATTAGCGTAGGTGTGCCTTATTGTGAACAAGCGATCCAGCCGTTATGCCCATGACCAGCTCATGACTCCGTTGACGCTGACCACGCTCACACAGTACTTCAGGTGTGGGAGGTCGTATTGGTGACTGTGCTAGCGGTCGTGGCAGGGGAGGAGGGGGAGAGGATATCAAGCCAAGTCGGGTTGATCCTACACTTCCAATGGGCCGCAGTCGGGATTGGGGTCGAACGGGCAGTGTGTGAGGAGGAACCGCAGGCAAACGCAGCAAGCCGTCAGTCTTGAGGCGCAACAGCTATTGGCAGAGAGCGGGACTGAAGTGAACTAGCAGTGGTGGCAGTGAGAATAATCGGGGGACGAAATGCCAGCAAGCAACAGCACCAGCAACGAGCCCCTCACTTCTGCTCGGTTGTTTGCGGTGATTCCAATACCTAGCCTCCTCTGTGCTGCTTTTCACAGTGAAGATTGAGAGTCTCATGAGTCGGTCGGAAGCACCTCTTTCAAGCCCCGTCACTGGCCCGACTCGCAAAATGCCGCGCTAGGAAAATCGAAATTCAGTTCACTCACACCTTAGCTTGACTCTCCACGAAAAAGACTTCTCTTCAATACCCACACACACACATTTCTCCCTCCATCTCCTCTCCATCTCGTCGTCCCTTCAACCCTTCATCCTCGCTCCTTTGTTCTTGTTCAGCGTTCTCGCCTCCCCTCGCGCTCCAGGCGCTGGAAAATCAGGGAACACCGACTCCGCTTTGACTCCCACTCAAAAGTTTTTTGGCCGCATCAGCTCATCCCCCAGACGACCTGCAACCGCCGCGGTCGACATTTGAACCTCTGACGCCGTGCTCCCTCGCTCTCACGTCAACCGGATCCTCCACGATTTCCTCCTGTCGACAAGAGAATTTCGTTCGAGACGCACTGTGTCATTCTGCCGGCACCGTCTAGAGTTGACGTTTCCAGGCTTGCCTCGGTTTCTCTCCCAAGTCATCATAACTTGGCCGACAGAATAGCCGCGACATCGTCCTGAAGGACTCGGCCAGTGCAGTTGTGAAACTGCAGAATTTACAAGCCAGAAGGCGGCAGAGGATATACTCGTGGCATTCTGCAGCAGGTCAGCTGCGGAGTCTAAGAGAGGCAGAGTGACGGCGAGACAGGTGGGCTTAGGGCTCATACTGTAGGGTCATCCCTCAGAGGACAGAAGATATCCTCTTCAGCGTTCCTACAATTTGCTGTCGCGATCTTGGTTGGAAACATTCCTATTGGATTTCCACCTTGACCTCACCTATCCATCACTGGTCATTGTGCGGACTAGGACCAGCTGAAGGAAAGGACAGACTTGTGCAGAAGGAAAATATCACTACCACAACTGGCACCAAGCTAATACTGGACGTTCTATTCTTTGGCCAGCTTGTTGCTGGTGAGGGGTTTTGTACTGTGGTAGTGGAACAGGAGGTGTAGTGTGGGTTTGATCAGCTTTGTCTGTGAGAATGTCGTCCTCCTCGGGCGCAGGAGCGCCAGTTTTTTCATATGCACAGGCCGCAAAGGGCCTCACATCATCAGCTTCAACACAGTCCGCCTCGAGGAATGAAAGCCCCGCGGCATCTGACAAGGGTGTTAAAGATCGGACCGTGAGTGAAACGACTAGTGCGAATTCCGCGCTCAAGTCTCCCCGGCCAAGATCCGAACCTGACGACAAACCGAACGGGGAGGGCGCCGCGTCTAAGTCTCCAACACCGGCAGAGGGTGCTGCGGCAAAGTCATCTCATGAGGATGCGGACAAAGAAGGCGCCACGCAAATTCAGCATGTTGCGACACACAATGGCGCCGAGACCTCATCAGGCTCACATGTCGGAACCCCCGATCTCGCACCAGCCCAGGATCAACAGAAAGGCGACGCCGTACCACAACTTCCAAATGGAAGATCACCGTCTTCTGAAGAGCTACCTGGCTCTACCTCGAGTGACAAGTCTACTCAATCCGTCGTTGAGAAGAAATCTAAGGATGGCGAAGATGACTGGGAAAAGGTCTCAGTGCCTTCAGTGAGTGCGGAGACACAATACAAGGCTGCCCCCATTCCGACTGTCAATGTTTGGCAAGTACGCAGAGAAGCTCAAGCGGCAAAGATGAAGGGCCTGGAACAGCAGCGCGGTGTAGCTTCCAGCAATCCTAGCCAACCACCAAAGCCTAGGTCTGGCAGTGAAGATCCTAAACGGAAGTCTCTCAGCAAAGAAATTGGCGGGTCCGAAAAAGAAGGCAAGAATGTCGACACCACGAGGTCTGTCAACCGAAAAGATATGCCGTCAGCTCGATCCTCTCGACCTACGTCTCAGCATGGTGAAAAAGGCGATGTGGAAGCGCCACCGCCGGTAGATGATGCACAGTCATGGCCAACTCCTGAAAATTCCAATGTCGACGAACGACGCAAATCAGCTTCTTTGGAAAAGACGGATAAGCTGGACGGAAGGCCGGGCCCTCAGAAAACTCACAGCAACAAATGGGTTGCAGTTCCGTTCGTTCCTACCGCAAAGTTTGAAACACAACTTCCACCAGCTGCAGCGCGACGAGGCGGTAGAGGAGTCGGAAGAGGACGAGATGCCGGCGGTCGCGGGGGTGGCCATGTTGGTTCTGCTGCAGAAAAGCAAGATGGAACGACATCAATGGGCCCGCCTCCTGTACCAAGACAGTCTGGCGAACAAGATCGGGGCCGTAGATCTGAAGGGGAACGTGGTGCACGCGGTGCGTCCGTTCCTACTACTAGCACTCGACCTACAAGCGGCGAGGACGTGAATCCCGCGTTCTGGAAGCCTTCTGCACCTTACGCCAAAGACCAAGCATCTGAAAATGTCCCAACCAACTCGACGGCACCTCAGCAAAATGTTGAAGAGCAGACTCTAAGAACTGATCACAGTTCCAGATCTTCATCAAGACACGCTGGGAACGTTGGTGGTCGGATGACCAACGGAGAAGGGAATACCTCGATCGAACAGCCCACTGGCAGCCACACTCAGGCTAATGAGCCCGTCGCTCGCTATTCGTTTACCTTTGACCGGTACAAAGGTTCTGGTACGGGTGGATCTCGAGGCGCAGGCGAATTTGGCAGAGATCGAGGCTCTGGTAGGAACCGAGACTGGTCCAGGGACAAGCCTGACTCGGCTCGCGAGAAGGTTGAATCGTGGAGAGACCGAGAACCCTCAGGTGATCAGAGCAATCGACGTGAGCCTCGATCTGAGCGTGGACGTGGCTATCGCGGCAGGGGTAACAGCAGCTATAATCCGCCATTTGCCTCCTCCCACGCTTACACGTCGCCGCTTCCGCAAAATGGATTTGAACCACCGTCCAGAGCTAATTCGCACACTGAGACTCGCTCCAGGCAAGCTTCGCAGCCGTTTGTACCAACTCAGGCCTCAAACAGCACTCGCACAAACCCACGTTCGCAGTCGATTCCAGTCGGCATGATGTTCCCGGGTTTTTACAATGGCATGCCGGCCATGCCACAGGGTCTCCCGTCGATTCAGACCGACATGTCAATCTATGGTTATCCCTCCCAAATGCAGATGCAGCCGAGCATCATGAGTGCAATGCCGTACAATGATCCGCTGAACTCGTACGCCTTGCTGTCAATGGTCATGACTCAGATGTAAGTGTCCACAAACAATCAAACTACCTAGATGTGCCGTTCGCTAATATAGCCTCCAGCGAGTACTACTTCTCAATTGACAACCTTTGCAAGGATTTGTTTCTGAGGAAGCATATGGACGGTCAAGGTTACGTCCCGCTAAGCGTTATCGCTAATTTCAAACGTATCAAGACTCTTACTGAGGATAATATGACCATGGACAACCTTCGCTATGTCTGCCAACAGGTGAAGAGTGTGGAGTTCTTGCCAGGAACTGATGGGGATGATCGACTCCGTCGCCGCGAAGGCTGGCGAGATTTTGTACTTCCCGTGGAGGAGAGATTTGAATCGGCCCGCAACGAAGGACCCTTGCATAACCCGGAAGCTTACAATCACCCGGCGCAAACAGACCAGGTTGGTCTTAATGATCCATCCTTTGCCTTCGGTCAATTGCGCAGTCCGCAACTGACCGTTGGTTCCAGTAATGGAACGTTCCACGCAAATTCGCCAATGTCTTATGTTCCCGGGCTGCCATCGGAGAACCAGATTTCTGGGGAGCCACTCGTCCGTCCATTCGAAGATGGCTCTAGTGATGGAACAGAGAGACCGTCGATTCTGTCCTTCCAGCACGTTGCTCCGGCTGCTGTCCGATCTCCCCCACAACACGCCTCGGAGCCCCTGAGCAACATTGTGAATGGTCATCATCGACAGAGCTCCCGCGTCGACATTGAGGACAACATTTTCCCAGATGAACAGATCCCGAATGTCAACATCCGAATGCAACCAACCACTCTCAGTGGCGCAGCCCCGTCTTTTCCCGGTATCGCTCGCATCCCTTCGGCCGGATCTTCCAGTGGACAGAATGAAGGCAACAATGTGCCTTTGGACCTAAATCAAGCCCGTCTCCCTAATTTGCGCGGCGGAGCGAGCAGTCCACAGCAGTAAGTCATTTCGATCGCCGTCACGACCGTAACACTAACGGCCGGATAAGGCTCGAGCAATTCCGCAGCTTGTCATTTGGTGCCCCATACACAATTCCTACCAGCGATGAAAACATTATCTATTTCACCAAGGATGGCCAAGAGACGCAACTGCCGCCTCCACAACCCGGACAGTTCGATCAAACGTACTTGTCACTCCATGACATGGCCTTCCAGCAGCGCCAAATGGGAGTCGAAGGTGCTCTAGAGCCTCTTTACAATTTCTGGACCGATTTCCTTGTCGACAAGTTCAATGTCGGCATGTACCAGGAATTCAAAACGACTGCTGTCAGTGATTTACATGAAGGCAATGACGGTGGCATGTCGCACCTTGTCCGCTATTTTGGCAAGCTCTTATCCGCACCTGTTCCGATCAGTGAACGTCTTGCTTCCGACATGATCGACCTTTATCGAGACGAAAAGCCCGATCAGCGTCCTATCTTCCACACCATGCGAGCTGCCTGGCGAAACGGAGCGACAAACATGAAGACTATCAAACGACTCGGCGACTTCCTCACTGCCGAGGAAAAGGCCGAACTGGACACGAGCGGCTAAAAGAAAGCATATGCCTGCTCTCTTTCGCAGCCTATCCGATGCGCTATGATGCCGTTGTAATCAAAAAACATGTCACTGCTCATTTTTGCCATACCACAAAACGTACTAAGAAAGCCACCTTGGCCATTGAACGAATCTTCCGAAGTTCGCAATGGTATTTGTCAGATTAACGCCACCTGAGATCATCGTTGCCATGATCTTTTACCGTTCGAAAATGATTCATTTCATTTACTCGAGCTGCCGGTACCCACCAAGTTCACCGCAATTGATTCGAGATTCTTGTACAATGCACATGGACTTTGGTCCATCAAATCACATTATTCGATGTGCGACATGTGCGACACCGAAAAAGAGCGAGTTTTGTCATCGACTATCTATTTTCAGCACAACATTTCCACAAAAACACACAAGGAGTCAATCCGAATGAATGGGAGAGAGAAAAACATGCAGCTTTCGGCAGGATTCAATGGCATATGCAAGGGTGACAAGCGGCGCATTGAATTAGGCTCGAGAATTGCCATTGGGACAAAGCACGACCAATTATGATTGAGATACCACACCGCGGTTGATCAGCACATTTTCTTCGATTGTTTCAGAGTAATGGCTCACCTTTTTTTTTCACTTGAAGGCATAGTTATGTCTCTTGCATAGACCTCACAATGTTGCACAGGACGGGCAGGGAAGGCTGAGCTATGGGAATGGAGAGACTGGGACACGGTCATGCGAGCACTGGTTGAGTTGTAAAGGTCGAAGGGAGGAGGATCGGGCTGGAAAGGAACCCCCCCCCTTTTTGACCTGGCGAGACCTGGCGAGAAAATTCGTGCTCGAACAAGCCTGACACTGGAATTCAGACACTGCAGGGACACACTCATTCAGACTGGAAGGAGGACACCTCGTCGAGCTCAGCATTGGATTGAGGCCGCTTACCGATCCGGAAGCAAAGGATCACCCGCCAAACGTTTGCTTGTGCATGCCAGAAAGGCAGAGTAGTCTTGTGGTCAAGGATGCGCTGTGTTACGAGGCCCCCCTCCCCTCCGAGCTTTCACACAATACCCACAGTCTCACTGTTTTCAATGAGCAGGGGCAAGACAAAAGTTTGTACACAGGATCACGAGACCAGGAAATCAATAGTGAATGAAATGGTTTATTGTGAAACCACCAACTCATTGTGTCAACCTAGATTGCCCCTTTGTATCTTAAGCAACTAGCTTGAGTGCTGCAGCAATGTACATTATATGGTCAGGTCGTGAGCGGTAGTAGCCAGTATGGGCATTTGCCAGAAGATTTACAGTATCCAGGTGTTTCGCTCCGTCATCATCATGGGTGTACATCAGGTTGCGCCCCCGCGTGGTCTCAATCATCGGGCTTCAAGCCGACGGCTTTGCGCCCGCATGATATCTTCCCGTCGCTGCGGCCCCTACCCTTCAGTACGATGGGGCTTGCTTCTGCATCTGCGGCGGCGGGCGCAGCATGCCCCTTCGAATACATCCGACGAGCGTTCGCATTGCAGGGTTTTACCATCGTTCCTTGAAGTGCCTTGAAGTGTCCACTCATGTCTGTCCTCGAGTGGCATTGACCCCAACAAGTCTAGCAATTTTGGGACATCGGATCCCCCTCCTCAAATCTTTTGTACTGTTCCAGTAATTGCTCAACTCAAGTCCAACTTCCACAGCCCGTCTCCCAGGTAGTGTCCCGCACTCATGGCCACTCCCTTTTTCTTGGCCTTCATTTCCTCGGACCCTACCTCCAAGATTCCGATCATGCATACTTCTTCCTTTCCTTCTGCCGTGATGGTAACAATTTCCCCCGCCTTCACTTCTTGGTCCTTGTCGGGTAGCCAACCGCCTGCGGAAGTGAGGCCGGGAACCATCAACGTGGCACCGGACAGGACGAAGCGGATTGCGCCACGATCGATGCGTAAGTGTTTGAAGCATTGCGGGTACTGGTGGACTAGTTTTAGGTGGGGGATGAGAGGGTCATCCATGTGTTGGTAGAAGAGAGGGTGATCGTCGAGGACATAGAGGGAGACGCGGTCGGGTCTGGAAGGAGTGGTGAGCGATCCGGGGGGATAAAAAGGAAGAAACGTCCAAGATCTTCTGCTTTGTGCGCACAGGACAGAGGCTCGTGGAGAGGGGGGATCTCTTGTGTTAGGAGTAGATCGAAAATGGTTACGGGCCCTCTAATGAAACGCGGGAGGGAATGATACAGCGAGAGAGAGGATTCCTCACAGTTTGACCAGGTCCAGTTGACTCTTCTTGGGCATAATGTCGTCAATGCACGGCTCGAGTTTCGGGTAGGTCTCGAGCACTTTGGCTCTGATGCCCCGCTGAACCGAGGACTTGACTTTGGACTTTGCGCCCGCCGACAAGCTGCGTGTTTACGTGTTAGTGATGCGTCGCTGGTTTGTAGACAGAGGATAGATATGCCTACTCCTTCTTGAACATGATGCAGAACTGTGTCGCGCACGGGGCGTAAGTGGATGGTTGTGGCACGAAGCACAGAGGTCGAGGGCGAGTCTTTTGCGCTGCGTTTCTTCGCAGTCTGTCGTCCTTTCATGCGCTGGAGGGGAAGACGTCGGCCAAGACTTTGCGTTCCCGCGAGGCTGCCCAGGGGCTCACGTGCCACTCAGCCTCGTGCCACTTTGTATCAGCAACTTGTTCTTCGCTTCACCCTCTTCGTCATGGCCTGCTCCTCCGCGTTGTCAGGCCGACGGGGGTCCAAAATTTGGAAGACCACTCTCTTGTTGTTTTCAACAGGATGGAGCAGAATCCAGCGTATGAATCTCAACCTTCCAGCTACTTCACCATCATATGACTGAGTGTGGGCGTCCCGAATGATCACGCTTTACGCACCCATCTTGAAGAGGAACAAAGTCTCTTGCGACCATGAATTTCAGGCACGCTTCCGCACAGGTAATCGCCGAAATCAGATTGATACCCGGGACCAGTTGGATGTGACTGCTCGGGGGCGTCATCCAGCCTCTTCTCGAAAGACAGTTAAATGCTTAATGCTTGGCTGTGACTTTCTTGATCATCATCTCGAGAGGGTTCACGAAAGGATCAATCTGTTCTCATTCCTCCTATGGGAATCCTAGTACTACAGCTACCATTGGCTTTCCAAGCTTGCACAGATCAGAGCTTTGTGTTGTACTTGGGTCTATCCGCTGTCCCAGTTGGCTGGTCAGACTTTCCACTATTCAGAGCATTCCAGGGTTGTTCTTTGGGAGTTTCGCCTAGCATCCTCTCGAGCGCGTCGTACTTCTGTTGGTGCGTTCCGGCTATCTCAATGGCGTGTTGGATTGCTGCCATACTGGCGAGTCGTCAGCAGTGGGAAAGATTGCACCGAGAACAAAACCTGAAGCTTACGATGGTTTGATCCCCGAGGCGTCGTTATGCTTGTTCATCTTGCTGCAGTGGAGATTGGTGTTGTGTCTGTTCCAAGTATGCTAAATATCTTCAGATGTATTTCCAAGTTTCAGCATGCTCTCGGACTCAATTTGAAGGATGGGAAAAGTGTGGTTGTGCTTGAATGGTGTGAAAAGCCTTAAAGACCTCACCTGGCCCACGACCCTTTTTATATACGTGTGTTGGCAGCCCGTCCTCGGCCGCTTTGGCCTTTCTACATTCTGAAAGGAGTTCCATGTCTCTTCAATCGCACCCTGGACAGCGCGAACCAGCTCTGCGATTGGCCTCGTGGCGCACAATCACCAGTTTTGGTGCTGAGAAATACACCACAGCGGAGAGGCAGGCATCCAAATGGATCTGGTTGACTACATCAGGGGTGTCTGGATAGAGCAGGAACAAAGTGGTGACATCCAAGATGGAATAATGCACTTCTGCCATGGCACGAGATTGGGCAACCCCAGTGGCAACATGAGGACGTTGATTGCATTTTGGACACGCCGTAACAAGTGATCATCCGCCGTCTCAGCTGGACACCATTGGGAAATGTGTCCGTCAGGCTATGCAAGCACAACGGATCAAAAGAAAGTCACCAAGCCGTCAGCCCCTTCTTTACGGAGCCAGCCTGGCAGCTTGAACATATTATTGCACCTTTGTCACCGGATTCTCATTGGCGGCGAAGGGTCAACGGGGGGCTGCGAACCTCTCACCGCCACCCAACCGGTCGACGATGCGTCTTATTGCACTCTGGACATGGCGCGTCTATTGGTGCGGGGTTCCTTGTTGGCTCGTTGGTGGCGCCTTCAATACGAGAGCCGAAGATGTCAAGATGCGGGTTTCACTCGGTGCGCCTTATTTGGGTGGCCCAGAGAATGCGGTGCCTGTTGCAAATACCTGGCGGCAATTCCAAACATGTCTCCTCCAGAACGCAGCCGGCGATAGCTCATATGCGGGCGTTTCCCTCCATTTCTCTTCTGGTTCAAGGCCGTGGCCCCAAGCAGTTTTTGCTTCTTTGATACGGCTGAATTCACCATGGACGTCTCTTTCACTCCAAACAACCCGGACTGGGTTTATCTAGGCCTGACAGCGGATGATCTGGACATGATGATGCCGAAATATCCCTTGAAAGATTCTATTCCACATATCCACTACTTAGACCCCGACGTCGGGGCGGCACCTACAGTTCAGACCTTTTATGAGGGGCCGCCCAAATGCCGTTGCTGTTCGAATTGGATCGAAAAGGCACCAGTCCAGGTGCCCGAGGCTGCCAAAGAACGATATGACGAAGCTTGCATTCGAGTTTTTAAGACAAAGGACCACGATACGCACTCGGCAAGGATCGGTGGTCTTGCCGCGGTGAAGAATGATATTATCGAGGTGCAAGGCAAAGTGTTGGTCAACTTTCTACGACCGATTCTGGCTGAGGTCGGATTCATCCCACCACTCAAGACCAAGATCACCTTCACAGCACCGTTTCGTGAGCTTTACTTTGCGCATCGGAAAATTGTGCAGGCCGCTGCTGCGCTGGACGCGATCAGCGATGTCAGCCGCCATGTTGGAGTGCTTGTGGCAACCATCGAGGAGATCTTCGCCGACACCGTGAAACAAGTCACGGATCTACTCAGCAGACAGTCCATCACGTTCGAATATCTGTGGACGTTGTTTGCAATGCACTCGACGGTGTACTTGAAGGAAAGCCTAGGCAACCGCGTATACGAAGTCACTCGGACCGAGTATATCGATACCAAAGTCCTCTACGGGGAGAGAGACGTAAGTGAACGTACGTCCAAGCCCGACGTGTTCGAGGTCGAGTTCAGAAATTTCATGTTCGACGGCACAAACTTCGGAGTCACACACGACTCGCAGTATATACCCAAGTTCAAGGGCGTTCGGCGGATCACTTCCCTCGAAGTGTATCCGCTGGCGTATCACTCCAATCCAAACATCGCGCACGACTGCTATTTTCGCGGCGAGAAAATCCTGGACCTGCAGGACATGGTCTATTGCAGCTACAACGGACCCGCGACGACGATATCTGTCGGAGAAAGCAGCACGAGACACGTAAGTAACTTGTTGAAAAGTGAAGCTATCCTTCTGACGGCTGCCTTACGCAGGTTAATGAAAGAGTCATCGTCGACCCGTACGGGGCCCGGAAATTCATGAGTGAAGGAGGAGCCGATCACGCCGACGCAGAAGAGCCGGAGGAGATGTTGCAGACTGAAGGCTCTCAGGGCAACAGAGAGCAGACCAAAGCATCATTGCCCCGACTGCATCGTCGATCACGACGTCCAAACAAAGCAGAACAAGCCAGGAATCGTGACTTTCTCCAGGCGAAGCCTGAACACTTGGTCACCATGAATCCCAACATCGAGGCATACTTGTTGTCCACCAACGAATGGAGTGAGTTCCTGGCACTCAAAGTATATTCAGTGATCATCCTAACGGGCCGCAGTCAAGTGCAACCTGGAATACTTCGAGCCCATTGAATGGAACGCACGCGCCTTCGATTACCTGGTTCTAGACAAGGACGTTAAGGACATGCTGAAAACGTCCGTCGACTTGCACAACGAAGGCAGTCGCAGGGACGACGGCCTCATTGCCGGCAAAGGTGAGTCGTCCGCGCCAGCCAGAAACACTTACTCAAAAGTGATTCCTCAGGAGATGGTCTGATTGTGCTCTTGAGCGGGTTGACCGGGACCGGGAAGACCTTGACGGTCGAAGCAGGTATGCTATGCTACGGCACAGTTCGGCTTTTGGTCTTGGATCTGCCGCGCTAATCTCGAGGAATATTAACAACAAGTGGCCGACAAGCTCAAGAAGCCACTCTTCAGGCTGCGGCCGGACCGTCTTGGGTCGTCTCCCCAGTCGATGGGCAAACGGCTCCACGACGCGTGCGAGCTTGCTCTTCATTGGCGAGCTATACTGCTGCTCGATGGTATGTTGTGTCATGCATCTCCCCGTCTTCGGTCTGCAGGGCGACTGAGCCGTCGCTGTAGGGGCTGACAGCCTCCTCTCGAAACGAACTCGACATGGAGGCGTCCGCGACGAAATGGCCGCCGTCCTGCTCCACCACCTCGAATACTACCGAGGGATCATGTTCATGACGACCAACCTGGTCGACGACGTTGACCACGCGGTCAGCTCTCGGGTCCGCATCCACATTCGCCACAAGCCTCTCACGGCCCCGCAACGCTTGATGCTGTGGGAGACGTTCCTGGCTCTGTCGAAACCGGCCTCCCAACCCTTCCTTGTAGGTCACGATGGGGATGTTTTGGTGATTCTTTCGCAGCAGGAGTGGGAGCAGCTTGCCGCCTGGAAGCTCAATGGCCGGGAAATCGCAAACGTTGCAAAGAATACCGTCGTGTGGTGCCGAGCAAGAAACTATGTCATCACATTGGATAGCCTGGAGAAAATGATCCCACTCACGACTCCGCTCGCGGAGAAGGAGACTGATGACCCGGAGTCGGCGTCTGACTTGAATTCGCAAAGTCGGCCCAGAAAACGAGCTCGGACTACCCAGGTCTGAGATGGGGAAGTGGCCATTGTATTAATCAGAAAGCAATTTGTACTTGTCTAGCGAAGCACTAAGATTGTTCTTCAGTAAACTTTGAATTTCACCGCCTTGATGTCGCGCACGCAGTCATGTTCAGCCTCTGGGTGAGGGTCAAACTCTTCCTCTGACTCTTCGTCCCCGCAGGGATCCCATGTCTCCTTAGAGGTGGCTACTCCTTTGCTCCCGTACAGGAGAACTGTGTTGTGCTCGGGTGGGCACGGCTCAAAAGGCACCTCCAGATAGGATGACGCTGTAGGGTCAAACTCTTCTTGTCCGACCGCCTGCTCGTCGAAGGCGTTGACATAGTGTTCTGATCCGAGATGCTTGTGAGTCTTGCTCTCGCAAGGACACCTTCGCAGGAGCGGGGCGTAGTACCACCCTTGGAACAGCCGCCCAATCTCGCTCCAGCTGGCGTAGACGGTTTCCCGGGCCTCGGCGAAAGCGGCGCGGAACGAGTCGAATGTCGAGAACGGCTGGAATATGTTGGTCGAGTTGCTGGCGGAGTGGTGTAGCTTGACGGCACCGCCTGGCCCCATGAAATCCACCGTCTGCAACTTGTCGTCGCAGTAGAGGCATAGGTTGTGCTCTTCGCGTGGGTCCCAGCCGGCAGCAGCGCGTAGCAAAATCGGCTCCCGACGTGGAGCAGTAGTATGGAGGTAGACAAGAACTTCCAGGATGTGCATGTCGGGATACGAACTTGCGAGTCCCCCAAAGAGATGGTCTGCAGTCTGCAAGATCAACCATGCGTCTCCTTCGACGGTTTCGTGCCAAGGCTGGAGCCAGCGCATCCTGTCCTGTTTGGTCAGGCCCAGGAGACCCTGTATCTGGCTGTTCCGTTGGCAGAAATGGATCAGGCACTGCCGTTTCTCTCGCATCCCGGCACCATTGCCACGAATACGAACGATGTATGAGACGCAGTCGGCTGTGGGTGTCGGTGCGCCAGGCAAGCCAGCCTCTGCAGAGATACTTGCCTGGGACAATGCATTTTCCAAGTCATGGCATAGCGTCTTCATCTGCCACAACAGCTGCAAAGGCTTTTCTTTCTTCGCAAAGCGGCCGCGGCCTGCGATTGCAACACATCCTCCTTGGTGTAGGTCGTGAATCGGGCACTGGGGTACCTGTGACCCTGTGTTCGCGATCTCGTTCAATCCTGGTGTCGTTCGAACTCTCACTCTTTTCAAGTGGCGTCTCAACGAAGGGGTGGTTTGTTCTGGCGTTGTTCCAAGTGATCCAATCTCGTGCTCAACCGAGGTCTTGGTTTCTTCAGGCTCAAGAGGTCGAAGCACTACTGCTGGCTGCGTCGTTCGATCTAGTACCAGAAGCCTTTTGCAGAAATCCTTCTGCTCTTCGTTATCTGACACGGCGTCGGATGAACTTGCAGGACTAGGAGCTCGCCTCAAAGCCGCAGGGGTCGGTAGGGCATTTGGGGTTCGGCCATCATCGATAGGAGTAAAGTACTCGATGCTCTGTGGGGTTGCTGGCCGCGGTGGTTAGACGAACGTCAATGATGCGTGAGGTAGTTATACATACCTGCCGAAGGGGAATCCTTGGGTTTGGCCCTCCTGTGGAACAGATCAAGCCGCTCCGTTGCTAGCTGCTCCCCCCTCGCTATGACGATGGTTTCTTTGTTTTCTTCACGTTTTCGTTTCTCCCTTTTCGCCACGATGACGCCTAGGTCTTCCGCGTTCTGGTTCTGTTTTAGGCCCCATTCCACGATTTTAAACCTGTAAGCCCGAATTCTGATGACTTGGTCAGCAGAAGGACAGTTCGCCATCAGTGCGGCAGTTTCTACCCCGCTTCAAAATTGTGCGTTTCTTTGATTTTTATTACAGCATCCTCCAGACCCTGGCTCAAGAGCATCTCGGTCAGGTCAGGCCTAATGGCTTCCCATTCCGCGTCAGTGTGGCGGTGTCGAGTCTTTCGCTTCGGTCGTAAAGGCTCCTCTGAATCTGCTTCCTCGACTGCTGTGGCCTGCGCGAGCGGATGATTTTGACCCTTTTTCTGCTGGGACATGGGACGAGGCTGGATCGTACGCCACGGGCCCATTGCTTCCAGTTTTCACCAAGAAGAGTTGTATATTAACCTAGACATTAGGAACAGCAGAGGCTTAACAGGCAAACATGACATCGAGTTCGGGATAATGAAGGGGTGGAAGGCTGCCTCGGGAAGCGCTGGTGGCGAGGTATGAAACGGTTGCCTACCAGACGCCTTGCAGTTCTTGCTCGTGTGACATCCACGCCCCCGTAGCGTTTGCATCTTCGCAGCCGCAGCTCATTGTCAATTTTGCATCTTACATAGAAAGCCGTGACATCTGGAGGTCTACAGAGGATATGCAACATCTCTCCACTGGTGCGCGGGGAGCAACAACCGAGAGATGTGTTGAATGTGGGAGAAGTTCCAGTTCCAATCCCAATGCCAAGACTGGCCAATGCGCATGCCAGCTCGACAGTAGTCAGTCCTGCGCCATGTCCCATCACTCACTCTCTCTCTCTCTCCTTTCACGACACAAGTGAACCAGACACAGCAAACGCTACTCCGTACCTGGGTATGAGTTCCTCTACTCAAGAACGCCCACGTCTCCCATGCAGGCTCTAGCTTGCGACCCCATGATGATACCATGCTCTATGTTTCTCATTGCCAATGCCCTCGAGCCCCGTTTGACCAGCTAAAGCTCCCCCTGTGAACATCTCGTCCACTAACAGCCTACAGATTAAGTCGTCGAAGCACCCAACGCATGTCTCAGTTCTTTTGTCTATTCCCCGTCTGTATCATCCGCTGCCCTCCTGACGGAAATCACCACTCCAAGGTTTGAGTCAAGCTGGATATCCGGGAGCACGTCTCCAAAGAAGGCGAGTTGGCTACTCCCTCGAGGGCATCGCACAAAGCCTCCGCTTCCGTGTCGATATCAGCTGTGCCTGTCACCCTGATCGCAGGCTGCAGCTTTCTCTTGGCCATCTTCTCGTTCCGTTGGTGCTGAGCAAGGATCGCAAACAAGTCGATGGTGCGGCCTGTCTCATTGATCAGCACGTGTTGAGGATGTCCTTGGGAACCGCCACTCACCTCCACATTGGTATGCAAAATATGAAGATCTCGTTGCGCTCTTTGTTTCGTCTGGTCTGGATAAATTGAGGAGTTCTTGCTCTAGCATCCACTTCGACTTCTCTACGACCTTTGCGGGAGCTGCGTGTCCCTCTTTAACATAAAAGTCGAATCGAACCACGACTTCCGAGCTTGATCGTGGTAGAAGGACCAGCGTGCACCACAGATCGTTGTCGAGTTCCTTGATAATACTCAATGGACCGAGGAGTCTGACAACTTTGGACTTGCGAAATGCAGAAAGCCATTCAAACGGATTCTGCCCCCATTGAGCTTGATTGGAGAACTCATTTGCTGACTTCAGTCAGAGTCTGGACGCTGATAGGCCCCAAATCAACTTACCAATGTCTTTCCAGTTCGTGGCACAGGTGACCTCCTTCCCATCGACCCAAGAGCAGCTCCCAAGATCCACGTGAGACTTGACATTATTGAAAGGGAGATGCAGTGTGCTTGCGTCAAAGTTGACAAACACCAAACCCTCCCTTGTCGTTATCAACTTGATCTCGAATAAGCCGTTGTCGCCGGGTACGAAGCCGGGTGATTCGTCAAACTTGGGAGCCTTGACTAATGCACCCTTGTCATCATACTGCCAACCATGGTACTTGCACGAAAACCGCGTCGAGGTGCCACACGATTTGCGGACCACGGTGTATGCGCGATGTCGACAGACGTTGTGAAAAGCTCGCAGTTTCATGTCTTTGCCCAAGACAACGAAGAATGAGATACCAGCAACGTCAAAAGCATGGTAGTCACCAGGCTTGTCAAACCTGCTGTGGTGACAAACGAAGAGCCACGTCTTGGAACCAGTCAGCTCCGACATGATTTACACCCTCGTCACAATGGAATCAAATAGATTACCTTGCTGAAGAATGCTCTTTTCTCCAATTGAAAGATCTCATCATCTGTCATACCCTCCTGCTTCTTCAGGCTGCCTTTCTCGGCCTGGTCAAGACTTGAACCAGGTGCAAAGGGTTTGCGGTCATCATAAACGAGGTTCACTAAGAGACGCCCAACAAGATAAACAATAAACCCAACGATTGAAAGATAAATGGGAAAGGGAGAGAACAATGAGCCCAGAGGGCCATGGATTAGGTTCACGGCCATGCTATCAGGGTCTGGGCCAAGGTGATATTGATATCAACATCGGTTGCAGCAAGAAGGGCATCATCACTTATGAATACGAACGAGACCGTGGGCCCGGATTGCCCGTTTGGCCTAGAAAAGCATTTCAGCAAGGAGGATGCAGTGCCCGAAAGCTACTGGAAAGGCGGCCAATGGCCTTGATCGACGCAGGTGATTGTACCCCATACATCCTCGGATCCGACCCCCATTCTATTCTGAGTCGTCAATTACTCGCCATGATATCAAAGCTGACGCACTCTTTGGTCACAGGGAAAAGCGCCATGGCTCAACTGGGCAATACGATCCCGCAAGAATCAACCCACCTCCCTCCCCTCTCCAGTTTTGACTTCTGCGGAAGTATCCCTTGAACCGCACGGCGAACGTCAACCCAGTGAGGAATTAGCACATGGGAATCATTCACCCAGCGATGAATAATGGCGACCCTTTTATGGGTACCCATTTTCACGATGTGCGCGAATAGGAACGCCGGTGGACCATACGCTACAATCCATCATTCGGTCGGTATTCGAATGCCTCTTTTGGAATTCAATTTCAACGTCGGCATGATGCGGATTCTATATCCTTTCGATGGTTGGACTTGATAATGATACATCTCGCCTGGAAAACCTCACGCCACCGACAGACGCCCTTGCTTATCAGCTTTTAAGGCATTGAGGTCAAGCAGAGGTCATCACTCAGCAATGGATGCAACCAAAACACTGCCGGCGTCATGGTACATTTCACAAAATCTCTACTCGCTCGAACAACGAGCAATCTTCTACAAAGCCTGGTACATCGTTGGAGCTGTCCCTCGGTTTGCAGTGGAACGGGAAGTCGAGTATGAGTTCGCCGGTGTTTCCATCGTTGTCCAACACGACGGGAATGAGAACTTTGAGGTGAAAAGGAAATCGGATGTATGCTCGCGATCATGTCTTTCCCCTTTTTATTTCTTTTCATAACCATGTCTCTCATCTTCCAGGGTGTCCTACTCGCACATCACTTGACCCCGACGGGTCTCTTGTTCACCACCATCGACCATTCCGCGCCGCCATTCGAGCAATGGTTCCCACCGTCGCTGCTCGAGCTCCTTTCCCGATACAACTTCCGCCGTCTACCACATCGTCGCTCCATCAAATACCCCGGTCGCTTCAACTGGAAAACCATGGTTGACGGATATCAAGAATGCTTGCACTGTCAATACACGCACCGCAGCTTCAGTGTCAAATACCCGCCTACCTTCTACGAAGTACACAACCACGACACATATAGCCGGCACATTGCCGACCCGCAGAAACCCAATGACGGTCTTTTCCTCTATTTCTTTCCCGTATGCACTCTCAATCTGTACGGGGGTGGTATGAGCAGTTTCCGTGTTTGCCCCAGTGAAAAGGTTGGCGAAACTCGCATGGAGTTTGATTACTACTTCGACGATGGGAAGGGCGGCACGGAAGGATTTGAAGACTACTTTAAGTTTGTGAGGAAGGTGGCGCTGGAGGACTTTGAGTTGTGCGAGGTCGCTCAAAGCAATTTGGAGAGAGGCGTTTATTCCCAAGGAGTGCTGAACCAGGCCAAGGAGAGTGGTGTTTTGCGTGAGTCCTCATCTTTTGTCCCTGCACATCTCTTCACTCTTGTGCCACTGCATACCTCTCATATACCTCTTCGTGAACATGCCATGTCGGAATGTCTCGACTGACATCATATGACTGCAGATTACCAACAACTGGCCCGGAAGATGGTAGTTGAGAAATTCAAGGAAGAGGAAGCGGAGAAAAACGCTCTCACGCCTGCCAGCAGCCGCGCCAGTGGTGTTGGCTATGCTGGCGGCCAGGAGGATGTGTCTGTCTCGGCTTAATCCATGCGCTGGGATCGAGCGACATACTGGCCCTATACCCGAACAAATGGGACTTGTTCAAAGTCCGAACAGTGTAGCTCTGTGTCCCACCGAACAATTCTTGTCCTTTGGGCGGCCCTTTCTTCATGCTGTTTGACTAGCCAAACACATCCGATGCTGTGCTTCATGTCTCTCGGTCACCACCCTCGATAGCCTGCTCACCCAGCCTCGCATCGTTGTTCCCATCAACACCAGTGCTTCGCTTTTCTTGCTTCTGGCCGTCCTTTGCTTTCGCCATCTCTTCTTCCTCAAGCTTGTCCAACTGCCTCAAGATAAAGGCAATCGTAGCATCCCGCGCTTTTTCGAGCTGCCTCAACCTCGCGAGCGGCATCTCGCTGTAATCAACCTTCTTGGCTGGCGAAGAAGACTGTGAAGACTGTTGTTGATGATGAGTTTGCGACGGCTCTGATTTCTTTTCGTCCTCGGTCGTGATAGATGGTGATGCGGCTTTGGTCTTGTCCGCCAACAGCCCTCTTAGCACGACGATACTGCGGTCCCGCTCGGCAAGCTGTTCGGCGAGACGGGATCGGAGGCCAGCTTCTTCATCTCCAGCATCGTCACCATTACCAGGGACTCCGCCCGCTCCCGCTCTGGGGCCGTCAGAATCAAGCAGTCTCTGCCTCTTGGGGCCTGCACCGCCGGACCAGGCGCCGACGCTCTCTCTCCATTTGCGAACCGCCTCCCGCGCCACGTCCTCGATGTGCGCGAACCTCACGGGCCCCAATAACACGCCGCCGTACCACCTCGCCACGACGACGACGCCCTCCGCGTCCAGATCGCCCAGCAGGCGCTCGAGCCGCTTGCCGGCGTATTTCTCGCCGTCGTCCTCCGAGCCCGTCGCGTAGATGGCCCTTCCTGCCGCCGCCGTGGCGCCACCGGCGCCGGACGTGGGCGTGGTGAAGAGCGTCTGCTGGCTCGATCGCCGCCGCCACGCGACGATGCGGTGGCTCGCGGAGGCGAAGGCCGGATGGGCTTGAAGCCGCTTGACGGTCGCTGTCAACGACAGAGATGGCGGCTTCGACCCGGTCCCAGTCCCAGTCCCAGTCCCAGTCCCAGTCCCAGACCCAGGCGTCCCGGACTGCTGCGGTTTCGCGAACACGCCCGGCGCGGGGTGGAAGTGAGCCACGAACGTGGACTGGCGGTCGTGGATTGGCGCGGAGATGAAGATCTGGTCATTCTTGCCTTCGGCGCCGCTGCGGATGGCAGCTTCGCCGGCTGCGACGGAGGCGATGGTGTCGTCTTCTTCTTCTTGATCAGCTTCAGCGGGGGAGGCAGGTCTCTTCTTCGTCTGCTCTGGCATCGACCTGGACATGGCAGGGGGTTGCAAGCTACATGATTATGATCTCGTCAATCTGGGTGGCGGTGGTGGTGTGTCGTTGGCGAGCACGTGAAGTGGTAAGCTCGGTTGGTCAGGTGTGCACTCTGAAGCCCAGAGAAAAAGCGGCCAGGGGGCGCAATAATGGTCCCCACGCTAAAACCTTGGCCCTTCTTGTCCTCATGAATGAGTCGTAGAGCCAGCTTGGTACTACTGTGCAACGGAGATATTCATGGGAAAGGAGGACAAACGTCTTGACAAGCGTGTGATAGCGCTACAATATGAAGCCGGGAATCATGGACTTCAATGCGTGGACTGTATTTATTGTTGATCGCGAAGGCTATCAGAAACTATCAACATAGTCCTTCCTTGTTAACGACAATGCAGCACCCGAGAAAGAATTATACTGGTTATAGTCTTATAGTGAAACCTGAAAGCAATTCCGTGCGAGTCGAACGAATCCCATTGTTGCAGAACCCTTCCGATAACATTAACCCAAGCAATGAATTCCTAAACTCCTGAACTCCCGAATCCCTGGACTCGCACAGCAATAACCATTGATCATCTTGTTCTTTTTGAAAGTGGATTGAGAAATTCGTTATAGACGGGGCGTATAATTCGTGATGCCGTTGATTCGTTCGTCGTAGCCCAAGAAAATTAAAGGGTTGGTTGATTCAATGGAATAATTAGTGGCGGTTGTCCACCAAGTGAACTCGGCGCACAGTGTTGGATCTCTGTCTCTTTGTGCGTGGGCGATTCAATGCGGGTTTGATGTGTGACATAGCACGAGATGATGATGTTCGGTCAAGTCGTTTGGTGAGGTTGCTGATGTTGGCTCCGCCAACTTCAAGCATGTCTTCCCACTCGAGTTCTTCGTCTTCGTCGGACGCAAGTGCACTCTCAGTGTTTCCATTTGCGTCAAACACGCAGGGTTTCTCGATCTTGCGAGGGAGGTTGGTGAATGGTTCTTGGATTTCACTGATGGCGGTCAAATGATGCATTGATGTAATGCTAGCATGGTATGAAGAAGTCCGGCTTGGTCTTCGACTGCCCTTCACGTCGACGTCGGAGAGTGGGCTAGTCATGCTTGATTTGGAGAAGCTGGAATCGCGGCGGAAGGTGATTGAGCCTTCTTTGAAAGAGCTTGCTGCGCTCGAGGTGGTCGAAGCAGAAAATCCGCGAGTGATTTTGGTACCGGTGACCGGGTCCAGATATTCTGAGGCGATAGCAGATTCGAGGCCGGTCGTGGAGCTTCGGGAGCTTGCAAAGCTGGTGGTTCGTGCGTATTGAGTTCTGTACTGGTTCCAGGTCTCTGGATCCAAGCCAACAGGAGGCTGCGAGCCCAAATGACCGACAATGATGTCGCTCATGTCGTAAAGGTGTTTGTGAAGGTGTTCCAATTGCCACTCTGGAGAGGCATTGACGGCTCGGCGATATTTTCCGAAGCCGGTCATTTCAGGCATAGGAGGAAGTGGGTGAATTTTGGTATCCCAGAAGTTTTCAGAACTGTAGTTCCGCTTCAATTCCTCTTGGCTGAGAGATCGAGCAGTGATGTCTGGTGGGCCTGATGGCGACCTGCGAGGTGTGACATGGGTCACTGCAGGAGTTGAGGAAGAACGCTCGTAGTTTGGTCTTTGTGCCGTGCGCAGGACTCCTTCACGCGGCTTGCGTGAATCCTCAGAGATGGCTGCACTCCAAAGTGACGAAGGTCCTAGAATCATGGTCAGACACGAAGAACGTAGGAAGACGGTAGAAGAGCAAGATTGGACTTACGACTGAGACATTGTGGGAGCGGCTCAGGGGCAACCTCAGTGACGAGTTTGAGAGCTGCTTCAGCTTCCTTGTACTTCTTTTCGAGCTTCTTGTGCTCGCTTCTCTCAGCGACGGCTAATTGACGCAAAGGTCAGCGCAGGTCCAGTCACGCTGGAGACTTGGTGAGAAGAAGCCTACCACGCCCGACAATCAATCGGGTGATTTTCTCCCAGGCAATCATTTTTGCAGCTTTGTGTGAATTGGTCGCGTGAAGTGAATTTGAGAGGTATGAGCTGAAGATGAAAGGTGTAATTGTGCTTGTTTGTTTGTTTGTGTCGAAAGGTCTGGGTTTCAGAGGAGGCGTATCTTGAAGGATTTGATGCTGAGAATCAGATGGGTGGTGAGAGGTTTGAGATGACAACCTCGACAGAGGGAGGGCGGCTGGGCCAAGTTATAGCAGGTGAAGAGGAGGTGGACTCGACGAAAAACTTTGACGGTGAATTTGATATCGCAGGTGACTTGCCACTTGATTGTCGTCGACGGCTCGTATTGCGGTGTCAATGGTACAGTGCAGGGACATTACCCGGTACGTGAAATCCAAAGTGATGCAAAAGTCAAAAGTGTCGCGTCTATTCATGCCAAACCTAGGGACCGTGGGTGTTGATGTGAAAAGTGAAGTGAGCGTCAAAGGGACCGGCAGACAGAATCCACCTGCGCCCATTGATTGTTGCTGTACCAGACGCAGTCGCAGCCGCAGTTGCAGTCTGTCGTGAAGATACTGGAGTGCAGCCTTTTTTCCTCCTCCAAACCTCTGTTCTTCACCTTGTTCCAGCTGATGATGCTCCTCTCGCGCCTCCAGTATTTGTGTTTCCTCTGCCTCGCTGTTCTTTGGCACTGCCTCCCACCGATGTCGACGCAGTCGACCCAATCTTGCCTCTGATGGACTCAGACAAGTCTTGCCTACCCACACGCGACAACCATCATCATCACACTGTTGCAGAGCATCACAATGTTCAGTGGCTGTCCGCTGACTGTCAACAGTCCCAAGCATTTATCAGAGTCTTTCAAACAACAGGGGGAAACAATCAAGCTCAAAATCCCAACACTGCCAGTTTGATTGGTGCAGAAGCCACAAGAGATGAAGAGAACAAGAACAAAGAAAGCAGTCCGGGGAAGGATACATGCCCTTCAAGTACTGGACAAACCATCGTATGGCTAGGGCATGCCTGTCCTTCACAAACGGCGCGACATGTCGCACAAGTTGCATTCAAGGGGGATGTGACGGCTCGTATGTCTTGTCTGCCATCAGCTTTCTTTGTCTGAAAGAACGTGTAGAGATTCGCGTACGTACCAGCCACACCCACCTCGCTAACACAGTCGGGATTCCAATGCTGCTCTAGCTCACAGACGGGGGCAGTAACATCCGGCCGGCTCTCAATGATGGCCATCAGAAATCACACCGACTTCTCGAGGAAAGCTTGCCATGTCCTCCTGAAAAGGTGCAAGGGTGCATCGTATGCGACATCAACCCCCAAATCCTCCAGGGCCGACATCGGGAACACGAATAGTGTACTGGGAGAATCCAGATGGTGGCTGACTGACCTCGCTTATCCTTTTGGGTTGTTTGTATCACCTAGCCAACTCAAACAGAAGATCATCCCCTTGAATGGCCAGGGCACCTGATGCTCGCAAGATAGGACGGAAGCAGGCAGCCTCTCAGATCGATCTGGGATCCAGCCGATCGTCGACAGGCCAGGAAGCCAAGTCATTCCCACGAGATCCGATCTTGCCCCAATCCAGATCAGACATTCTAAGACAGAACCGTCATGTTTGCTGAAGAGGCATCGTTTTCAAGTCAACCACCTCAAGGCCGCCTGTGACCAAGGTGATACATCACCAAACGAGGATCAAGCAAGTTCAAAACATGCTGGGGCAAAGAACACGGAATCGGCCTCCACACAGGAAATCCCAGATCCAGAAGTTCCCCAGCCGTGACGGATGCAGAGATTCATGGTTGGGCTGACTGCACATATCCGTCGGGCGTCCCTCCCGCTGCTCCTTGCACGACCATGACCATGTATAGCTTGCTAGTGGTTGTCGACATGCTTAGGCTGGCAAACGAGACGTTGACAAGTATGACGGCTGTTGAAGAATGTCAGTCTGCCCGCAAATCGTGGAGCCCCCACCCACCACACACAACGCCCAGCTGCTCCGGAAGGCGGAAGCGCTGGAATGGCACGCACTGGCGACACGAAGCAAACACACTTATTATTATCAGCAGACACTCAACGGACATAGGTGCATCCCCTACAGAGCAATGGATTCAAGCCTCCGTGTGTCTGGAGCACAGCACCGTCGATGGCCTTTGCGCCTAGCCTCCCGAGGACTCTGAAAGGGCGTCAGAAGAGAAGCTTGGGGAGATGCCTTTCCGCCCCCATGCAGCCACCGTCTCCTTTTATCGGCAACTTAGACTTCGGGGGCACAGACCAGCAGGACCTTGGCGCTCCGACTCCCGATATCAACAGAAAAAAATGCACCAAAATGGAAGGTAGGGCAACGCCTCGCGAGCTGACGGCGGTGAAGGAGATTGAGATATAACAACATACTGCCTCCTGAATCAGCGGACTCAACTCCAGTTTGCAACAAAGTTATAGCATCAAGGTGCCGTCCTGTTCGAGGAACGAGATCCACAACTTCTGTCCTTTGCGCAAGAACACGTTACGAACCATGGCAACGTAGGTCCCTCCTCCTTGGGTTCTGTTCAGTTCGCACAACATAATAGCACGACATCTTGTGTGTCCTTGTCTTGTACTGCAATCCGAGTCTCTTGGGATACTTTTCCTTGTTATGTATATTATTGTCATCCTAACCATACTTTTCCCCATCAAATTCAAGACCTGATACCCCTATTGCTTTGTATTGCCCGCCATTTGCTGGGGAGGAGAAATTCTGGATGACCCAACAAAGATTCGCACACACCTTCCCTGAGAAGACAGAGAGATAAAATGTTGGATACAATACTTACACCTTTGAATAGCAATATTCACTACCACCCTACGCCCCTGACACCTTCCATCCGGGCAGGGCTACTCAAGCAAACCGGCCTGACGATCTGGCTCACCGGCCTCTCCGCTTCTGGAAAGTCCACTATCGCCGTTGCCCTCGAACAAGCTCTCATCCGCAAACCCTACACCAAGAACGCCTATCGGCTGGATGGTGACAACATCCGCTTCGGCCTCAACAAGGACCTGGGCTTCTCCCCGAAAGACCGCGAGGAGAACATCCGCCGCATCGCCGAAGTCGCCAAACTTTTCGCCGACTCGTGCACCGTCGCCATCACCAGCTTCATCTCTCCCTACCGCGCGGACCGCGACCTCGCCCGCAAGCTCCACGAGGCCGAGCGTCCCGGCGGCGAGCCGGGCGTGCCCTTTGTCGAAGTCTGGATCGATGTCCCCGTTGAGGTGGCCGAACAGCGTGACCCCAAGGGCCTGTACAAGAAGGCGCGCGAGGGCAAGATCCCCGAGTTCACCGGCGTCACGGCCCCGTACGAAGAGCCCTTGAAACCCGAGGTGCACATTCGAAGCGACAAGACCTCGGTCGAGGACAGCGTCAAGATCATCATCAAGTACCTTGAGGACAAGGGGTATTTGAGCACCCCGCCAGCCGTTGACGACGAGGAATAGGCTGAACTATTCGGTGGACTACTACCTCTCCTTTCCTTTGTATGGAGGCAGTGGGTCAGAATCCAGCAGCTCGGGTCTATAGCTAGAAACGAAATGGGAAAACAAGACGACAGGGATGGGTGCTAGGGTGGGAAGTGGGCTGGTTTGACGATACAGGAGGATTTGGGATCAAGGGCCTTGAAGATTGGACGGTAGGGATGAAGAATCCCTTTCCCTTTCGTTCCTACATTTGTCTTCCTTTCACAGACAGACATAGAGTCAAAACTTTCGCGCATCTTTGGCAGACGGCTGGCTTATCGTGTAGATTTCCACTTATGAGCCGCTGCCACGCTCTACCTTGCCCTGCTTTACTTGTCCGGCTAGCTGGCTGGCTGGCTGGGCGACCGACCTTTTGCGCCTCTTCCAAAAATTCATTCCGTCTCATTTCTGACGAGACCCAGCAGGGGCAGCAGCAGCAGGGGCTTCATCGTCACCGTGCTTTCGCGCCCTCTTCCCCTCGACGCCCTTGCCCCATTCCCCGGCTTTCTTCCCCCACCGCACCATGCCCCAAGCATGCTGCCATCCGAACTTGGGCGGCGGGTCCGCGTGCCTGCGGTACGGCGAAGCGTCGTGTCTGAACATCGCGTCGCACTTGGGGTCGGTGCGGACGACAGGGCCCGCTTGGGTTGTGTCGACGGATGTGCTCGCTGCCGAGGACGCAGGCGGGTTTCGGAACGGCGGCGTAGAGGAGTGGTCTCTGTTGGGGTTTTTGGAGGATGTTGTTGTTGTAGTTGTTGTTCCCGCCGATCGCTGTGCAGAGGCCGTCTCATTTGACGACCTGCCGGCAGCGGCGGCGACGGTGGGTTCCCAGAAACGGCCGGCTCGGTGGACGGGGCGCCACCACGCAGGCGCTGCGTCCTCGTCTCCTCCAGCATCAATGGAGATTTTGTCATTTCTGCCGTTGTCGTCATGGTCATGACCATCCGCCCGCCGAGTGACGGGCAGCCGCTCCTCCCACCATCTGCGCCCGCACATCTCCCACAGCCGGCTCCTCGCGCGCTTGTACGCGAACCGCTCGTCCTCGCCGGTCAGCGCAGAGGTGCTGGTGAAGTCCGGCCCCGGAGGCCCCACGTCCCAGCGCGAGGGGCCCGAGTCCGACACCCCGTGGCCCCTCCCGTTGCCGTACGTGGGACCGAAGTCGGCGTCCTCGTCCGCGAGGACCGTCCGGGCGCTGGGGTTGTGCAGGGACGGCGTGAACGACGGGGGCGGAAAAAACGGCGTGGCAGCGTGCGTGTTGGCCGCGGTGTACGACGAGATGTTGGGCCGGAAGGGCGCCGTCGAGTCCTGGTACATCTCGGAGAAGGACTCGGACGTGATGGACTCGCTGCTGTCGAACCCTTCTTCGCCGTGAGTCGCGGCGGCCGTCGCCCTCCCTGCTCTTCTGATCCTGGTCTCCGGGAAGAACAGCTTGTCCGGCGGGGCGGCCGCCTGGATCAACAGCCGGCATCTGGCTTCGTACAGCGCGTCGAGCAGCGTGATGAATCGGCGCGCTTCGTTCTTTTGCGCTAGCGTCAGCACGGGGACGTCGGTGAGGATGATCGTGTGGAACGCGGAGCAGAGAGAGACGTAGTCGGCCGGACCCAGGTACGTGGCACAGAGGGCCGGGAAGGTGGATTTGAGGACTCCATCGCGAGTGCAGGGCAGCTCGAGGCGACGACCGTAGACGGTGAGTGTGATGGGGTTCCACGCTGAAGAAGGGTTGAGGAGGTGGAGGTCCTTTTCGAAGGATGCCTCAGACGGCGAGGTGGAAGGCAGATCGATGTGATAGTGTGGCGGTGTGTCGGACGACAAGGTCGTGGGCTCTGTCAGGGCGTTGACGCTTGAAATAGAGGTGCTCTCGCTGGCGGCGACGGAAGGATTTGCGTTGCTTGCGTCTTCGACCACGACCTCGCCTCCGTCCTCATGAACTTCCGAGCCCAGAGCAGCCTCGCCCACGGCTAGATCATCATCATCCCCTTCCCTCCTATAGTCCTTCTCTCCCTCCATCTCCCAGACCTCACACCTCGCCCGCAGCACCTCCAGGAACAGGCCAAAATCCGTCTTAGCGGCCCTCTCCCCTGCGCTCTCTCGACTCATACCCCATCCCAGCCCGAAGAATCCTCCGGCTACACCACCCGCAGAGGCATTGGTCCCGCGCAGGTCTCCAAACTCGATGCCCGCGGCCTTGCTCAGCTCCTCGGGCATGCGGTTCGAGCTGGCGACCAGGACGCCGCCGAGGTGGAAGAAGGCGGTGAAGAAGCCGTTGATCAGCTTCGAGGCCGCGCGGTCCGGCATCTGGAACTCGTCCAGGAACAGGATCGGCGAGTCGCTGACCGTGTCCTTGGCCAGGCTGAGGATGACGTGTTCGTGGTCCGAGACGGCGGCGGGCCCGAAGAGGCCTTTCGTCGTTGTCGACGATGTCGAAGAGGGTCGGAGGGCCTCGAGTCGCTCGATCCGCGCCAGTTCAATGCGCCGGAACATGTCGAGCATGAACGTGTTGAAGTGCCAGCGGCGCTTCTTCCTCGATGGGAGGGCCTCGTAGAGCAGATCGAGGAGCATGGATTTGCCCCGGCCGACCTCGCCGTACAGGAGCATGCCCATTGGGGAATCTATGGATAGTGCCGAGTGGTGAAGCGGGGTGGTCGGGGTCAACGCCAGCGTGGTGGAAGGGAGTGACCTGAGCGACAAGAGGGAAGAGAATATCCTCCCCTTCGCCCAGCGGGTTCCGCCTTCATTACCGTCCTCATCGTCGTCGCGGTCGCGGTCGCCATCCTTCTCGGACGTTCGTCTCCTCTGCTGGGCGCCATCTCGTCCCCGGTGCTGTGTCTCAGTGGGTGATACCGTCGAGCTCCTCCCCGTCGGCACACGCCGCCCAATCTTCTCCAGCCGATACCGGTACTCGATTTCCGGAGCGTAGTCCTTCAGGCGGAAATACAGCTTCTGAAGCTGGAGCGCAAGGCGATGCTGCGCCGGATCCGGCTTGATCTTCTTGGTTGCGACCAGAGTGCGATAGAGGATCAAAGGGTTGGTGATGCTGAGACATAAATGTGGAGGGGTTGCAGGCATAAGGGGGATCGTTCTCGCTCTGGTGGTGGGGACGCAAGGAGGAGGGGATTTGAGAGAGACGAAAGAATCAAGGCATGCAAAAACAGAGACCCAGAAGACTCTATGCTCTACAGATGGAAACGAGGTGCGGAAGAAACTTATCGAGGAATATCAAGTTCCTGGTCGTTGACGTCGTTGGACATACCCAGGTCGGGGGATATTTTCCAATCAACGCCATTGGTCTGTCTGCATCACCCAAATCTCAGCACTGGAGTGAGAACTCAGCAGTCGAGCTGGACGTGCCTTTCGATATGCCTTGTATTTAGGCAACTAGATAATACATATCCTTTTTACCAGGTCCTAGCCATTTTGTAGGGTGTTGTCACAAAAAGAGGAGCAGAATGCTCGACTGTCGAACATGATGCCGCCAACTGTTGATTGCGCGCAGGCACTGAGAGCCTGTTCAATCCACCAGGGCCAAGCTCTCGACGCTCTGTTCCGTTGCCGTCATTTCAGTCTCTCGTAGACTCGAAGCAGTGCTGCCCATCTTTCTCAATTTCCCTATGGCTCCAGACTTCTTTTTCGACCGACCGGCCCCATCAGTTGAGCTAAGAGGAGGTGCGTGGAAGATCCACTGCACGATAGCGTCCGCCCGTTCGGTGCTGCCTTGGGGCCGTTCGTCCTCCGGAGGCCAATGCTCTGGTATCTTGGAGGGACTTTCATGTCTTCCATCGTAGCTGCGCTCTGACTCGGAACCCAAAGGGTTTATGCGGTTGTGCTGCTTCTTCGTCTGCTCTTCGCCTTTGTGCTCCGCCTTGGAAGATTCTTCCCGCATCAAGCCGTCCTCGGCCAACGCTTGCATATGTGGTGTGTGCTTTATTCGTAACCTCTTTGCTGCGGCCGCTTCTTTCACGTCCTTGGGTGCGGACTTTTTGAGATACGCGCCATAACGTAGGGGTGTACACAAATCCCTCCATGGTTGTGCCAGCCCAATCCAATTGTCTGTGCGGAATAGAATCTCCAACCAATCTGCCCGAGCCGGAGATCGAGGTGCTAGGAAAGCGGGATACCCGTCAGCGACACTTGCGACACGTGCAGCCATATAAGCATGTCGCTGAAGTTCCTTGCTCGATGTTTGAAGGATACAGTGACAAAGAAGCAGAGAGTGGAGGACTTCTATCAGGAGCGGATGGTAGCTGACTGCTTCAGCGAAATCTGGTAAGGAGAAGATGGGATGATTTGGATCAACCTCCTTTTGTCGCTCGTGAGCGTAAGGCGGCACATCTGCAGGCGGTACAGCCGCAAACAACTCGTTCACCTTATAAATCGGTGGTTCGGGCAACGATAGATTTCCTAAGGCATCCAGGCGATCCTTCACGCTTTCGTCCTTCACCAAGGCTTGCGACATTCCGGCGCGTGCGTGGGAGTCGGTATCAGGCGATCTCTCTCCGCGGGAACGACGTGCAGGCGGTGAACAATTCACTTTGGCAACGAATTGTGCCACATACTCGAAGGGAAGTCCTGGCGTGTACTCGAGGTGTGATAGATACGAGAGGTAATCACGAAGCGCCCTTTTGGCGTAGGTTCGGACCAATTTCCGTGCTTCTACACGTTGTCTGTTGTCCTTCTCCCCTCTGTCCATTGCTGGGGCATTCATATCATCATCTGCCTGATGAGTGCCACGTTTGGGAAGTCCGTGCAAAGCTGGTCTGAGATTCTCACACGCAAGTGTTAGATTTGCTGCGGCTCGAAGGCATAACAGCTGGGGCTCCATGCTGCTAGGTTGATCCTTGTCAGCTACGCGACCCTTTGTCTGAAATTCCCGGCCGAGCGCTGCAGTATCATTTGGTAAAACCAGGTCTTGTGGGTCTTTCTGGTGTTGTGAGTGGTATAGCTTGTGCACAGCAAGACCATCCGTGCAGTCTCGCACCACGCCTTCGAAGTCGTCCTTGAACATACGAGTGACTGCCCTCGTCCTATATGGCGACGATTCCGTGGGCTTTTGATCGATCACATCGTTCAAAGGTTCCAGTGAAGTGTGTTCAGCCATGGCCATGCACGGGATCTTTTCGTGGAAGAAGTGAACATATTGAGCATATGGATTGTGATCCTCGCGCTCCAGGACGAGTTTTGCAACATCTTCCAGGGCTGACGCCGACTGCATCATAACAACGCTTGCGGCGATTTCGTCCAAGGAATAAGCTTGGTATAACTTCTGACATGCTTGATCCCGCATTCGGTGTTTCCGCTCACGACTTAACTTCGTGTAGCCAATCCCTTTCGGGGATGATAGCCCTAGCATCTCTGCATCGTTTCCATAATACATGCTCTTGTTCAACGGGGATTGCATGGCCGAGGTGCTGGTGCCATTTGCAGCACGGACAGCGAGACCGGTTGCCTCATCGACCAGTCTTCTGATCTTGGCTAGGTCGAAGAGCACGGCAGGGTGGACTGGTAGAGGACGGGGAGAGGAGTAATTGGTATAAGCAAGGCTCTCGAGGACTTCGGTCGGAGCACTAAGCCATGGTCCGTGATAGCAAGATATATGTTTCCAGTGTCTGTGTCATGGTTAGCGCAGGCCACGCAGAGGCGTCCAATCGAGAGGAGCGCCTCATATTGGTGGAAAAGATCCCAATTACTTGTTGCGACAGATGATTAAAGCGGACGGCACCGTCAAGTCTGGGATGCGCTGTCCTCCACCGTGCACGAGTTTCAGTGAACTTGGAGGCGGTATTCGACCTGGACTCGGTGTCTCTTGTTTCGCTGGGCCAAGTGCGGAGTCGCCTTCAGTGGTGGATAGATTCGTGGACTGCGCAGAAGAAGAGGCGGGCTTACGCTTCTTCTTTGTCATGATCTGCTCTCGTGTCTGCAGCTGGTGGGCTCCTTCCAGGACAGGACGGGTGGCAGAGCAAAGATTTGACAGAGATTTGGTAATAGGATCGTGGTCAACGGGCGCAACCAGAGGGTGAGGCTGGATGTGCGCAAGCGCGTCTTGGTGGACTCTTTCCGAGATCTAACGGCGGGCGCGAGGGCTCGTGGCTCGGTAGCTAGGGTATGTAGGTAATCGCTAAGGGGGCCTTTTGCTTGTTTAAGTAAGGGATGAGGGAGCTCGCGAACGGGGATGGCCAGTCAAAGTTTTGAACGATGGATGAACTATGGACCTGGCGGGTGCGGAGGTTGTGACTGGTCAGGGGCGCTCACCCATTATTTACGATTTCTCCCCACTGCACACTGCGATTAGCTTTACCATTTTCCTCCACGTTTCGATTTACCAGCAATTCTCGCTCCGCAGTCGCTTGGGTCAAGACAGTGCCAATGGTGAAAGGACAGATTGATTAATGGTTCTACTTCAGGATCTGACTATTTGCCGCAGGAACCGGATCTGTCCAATCGATTCACCCTCCATCGATCCCCTGATCTCATTCACTTGCGGGTGGGAGTTGTACTTGGTGGAAAGATGACCTGATACCCTGTGTCGAGACCCCAAGCGATAGAATTGAACTCTAGATTGGCCTGGCCAATCTGCAGCGACGGCGTGATGGTGAATAGATTGAAGCCCTTGACCTCATACTGACCGCTCCCAACACCCAAGAAGTTCCAATACCAGAGGACCTTGGTGCAGCCGGCGACCAGGATCTCGAGGGTGGTAATACCGTTCAAACCCGGCGAATTGAGCACTCCGTTGATGTACACGTCCTTGCCGACAAAGGTTGCGGTTCCGAGCTGTTTGGACAGAATGGTTATTGGGCTGCCTCCCCAAGCCGACAAATACCTATGGACTTACGGGCTGTCCTTCAAGCGACAAGATCGAGTCGCTGGTCTCGGTGTAGTTTTCATCGAGAAGGCTTTGTGCGGTTGCATTGGCTGCGGCCACGTCGGTATGTTCAAGAATGGTGATGTACTGGTTGACAATCGACTCGGCTTCAGACTGCGAAAGACAGTCTTGCCAGCTGCTGTCACGTTTGGGGGTGGCGACTGCCATGACACCGACCACGAGCGATAAAGGAGTCAAAAGGAGGAGCTTCATGGTTGCAAGAGATGATAAGCGAGTGACTATCTGAGAGAATCTTACTGACGGGAGGGAGCTGGCTGGCGAACACCGGTCTGCAGGATGGGCCGACCACGAACAAAAAGAAGTCTCTCTCACCGATGGCCCTCTTCAAGCATTTATAGGTAGGCAATGGACGCTGGAGAGGAAGGACGCCTTACCTAGGAGTTCTAGGACTTAGGATGCAAGAGTTCCCCTTCTGGCAGGTGAAAAGTGTATACGAGGCAACATGCAGGTCTAGATGCTAACTGTCCCGGTAGCGGACAGTTGACAGTGTGGGAGACGACAACGAGATTGGTCGACAGAAGATGCACTTGTCGATAATTCCACCAGGGACCGAATCAGGCCGAATCAGTGGTGACCTCACCACCTCGGAAGGGTGAAGGGGGGGGGTTCATTCGCTGCGGTACGAGTGAGCCTATTTCCCCAGACGATGTCTGTCTTGAACCTGGAAGATTCAGCATGGCATCTGACGGATAGCCGACAGAAGCGCAACGCTGCATCAAGCCGACCGACGTCTGGGCGGTGTCAGTCTGAAATAAAAGAGACACTCCTCCTTCACTGAGATACGAGACGTATACAGAATCGTGATGGTCAGTTCCGAGGCAGCGCCAGGAGCCACGATTTGCTTCCATGGTGAAAGCTTGACGAGCTACCTGATCCGTCGCGGACGGTTCGGTGGTTGGTGTCGGTACCAAAGTCTTGATGTCATTGACTCTGAAGGAGCAAGGCGCAATCGACAGGGGTCGAGATGGAGATGGAGATGCAAGTGGAGGTGGAGGAGGTCGAGATGGAAATGCAGGGACCCGCCAGCAGAGGATGGAGTCGAAGTCTAGTTATGTAGGGATGCACCGTGAAGAGGACCATGTAGATGATGCCTTGTCGTAGGTATTCAGCCTGGACCTTGACACACTCGTCCTTGACTCTCTTCGCCGTCCCGCGTGAAGTCAGTAAGCTTTGCTTCTAAGGAGAGACCCAAGCATCTGGTGCCTGTGGCTCTCTCTCCCGCACACCACCATCAGCGCACCATCCCGCGTGTTGTCTCACTCTGCCCGAAGCCCAGCATTCGCCTGGGAAGAAAGTTTCATCCTTGAGCAGACTAACGGAGGAAAGAGAATGGCAACTTGAGTCGCTGTGCAGGAATGCCCTTCAGCCCCACGGGTGACCAGCGAGCCTGCCAGGCATGGAACAAGCAAGAGCTTGGGGATGTGGGCGTGAATGAGCAAATACTCAGGCGTGGATGTGACTTTACGGCCTGGTAAGACATGAGATATGACAGCACCCATTACCTCGGGGATATGGAAAGATTTTTGCTTAGGATCCCTATCAAGATATACTATTGCTCCAATACCTAGATTTCCCATACGTCTTTCACACATCTTTCCCCCTTACCTGCATGGCCGGGTGCTCATCACCCGACGGCTGAAGCATACCTCGTCCTGAAACTCGGGACTCCAAACTCCTTAGAGCGACAAGATCGATCTCAAGACTTGCTCGAGCTTTTCTTCGCACGATGTGGCCACCGCCGCCGCCGCCGTCGTCGTCGACAACCCCCGCTTGGCCCGCCACGCAACGTACCGGTCAGGTCGCACGAGCACGCACCCGTCCTCCTCGACCTCCCTCCTCTTGGTCCAGTCGCGGTATTTGTCAGCGTAGTCGAGGCCAAAGCCGATGGCGAACGCGTTGACGGGGATCCCCAGCTTGTCTCCCACGGCCTGGGCTGCGGCTTTCCACGCGCCCCCGCCGTGCCCGGTAAACAGCGCAAAGGCACTCTTCCCGGCCAGGTCGAGGGTGGAAATCTCCTTGCTGGGCACGTCCTTGCTGAGCCATGCGTGCGGAAGCCGGTTTCCTGGGTAGGTACTGACGCGGGCCTGGGTGAGGTAGTCGCCGGCGAAGGGGGCTTGAGGACCCTCCTCGTCCGCAATATAGACGGCGCTGGATGTGTACCACTGGTTCATCATCATGCCCACGCTGTCGCCTTCGCCGCGGTGTCGTTCGAGAGCATCAAAGAGTTGCTGTCGCCGGACCTTGCCGGCCTCTGAAGCCTCCGACAGTTCCTGGTTGGCCTTGATTCGCTCCTCCTTCGTCTCCCCAAACATCCCGATCGCTCCCCACACAGTCGCGTGGTTGCGGAGGAGCTCGTTGGACCACTTGACCAGATCTTGGCCCACGGGTTGCCGCTCCACGTTGTACGTGTCCAGCAAGGCTGGGGACGCCTTCCCCTGCAACACCAGCGCCGCTTTCCAAGCCAAGTTGTAGGCGTCCTGTATACAGGTGTTGCTCCCAAGACCAAAAATAGGAGGATGTCGGTGGACTGCATCGCCAAGGCAGAACCTGATCACCGTCAGCGCCGCCTTCTACCCAACGGGCTGAGATGACGGTGAGACAACTTACACATTCTGCTTGGAATAGGACTCGGCAGCTGTCTCGTTGATTCTCCAACTAGATATGTCCACCACCTCAAAGGGGATTTTGTCGTCGCCTATCACGGCCTTGATCAGATCGTTGACCTGGTTAGTAGCTTCTTGAGAGGAGCCAAAGGCTTTGATGTCCACTCCTGGCTTGGGAAAGACCACCAGGATCCATTGATGCCACGGCTTGACCATCCGCAACACAGGGGCAATTCCGTGCTCGAGTTCCGTGTCTGGCTGCATTATCCAATGCAGGTGTCCCGTCTGATGTTTCATGATGTCGCTCAGATCAGCGTTAAACAGGATGTTGTATGCGACACCTCCAGACGGCTGGACGTTATATGAGAGCCCGATCTGAGCGGCCACGGGACTCCTTGCTCCATCGCAACCAAAAACATAGCGGGAGCGGATCTTGAATTTCTGGCCGAGGACTTTGTTCACAGCGGTGGTCACGCATCCTCGGGCATCTTGGTCAACCTCTGCGAAACACGTGTTGAAGAGGCATTTGACGCCATGAGTGGTTGCATAGCGGACCAGTATCGGCTCCAGGTAGGTCTGTGGGAGATCCAGCGACGCACAGGGACTAACATCTGCCACCTCGCCCTGTGATACCGATCAGCAGCCCGTGTCAGCCAGGCATTCCAAGGCGCACCATCTTTGCCGGTCCAGCACCCCAGGCGTGAATTCGTCCATACTCCACCCCCGTGATGGAATAGCACCAGCGGATCGAATCGAGGGCGTCTCCTCGGTTTCCAAGGCGTAGACATTCCTCTTCGAGGCCAAGATCGCGCATGCACTCTTGTTGTCCGTCAGCTATGATTCCAGACCAGCGTAGGCGTGTTTCTACCCAGGCCTGCCATGTTGATCAGATGGGCTCTGGGAGTCGCCGTCGTTCCCGGCGCGTCCGAGATGACCATCACCCTCAGTCCTAGATACCCGAGTGTCAGCCCTTGTTCGACAAGACCATCAGCTCGACCATACCATAATTGATCAGGAAACATGCCAGCGAGGCGCCAGCAGGGCCAGCTCCGACAATCAAGCAATCTGTTTCAACACCGGTGTCGACAATCGGAATGTTCCGCGACATGTTGTCCGAGCAGCAGGACCACCAGGCCCTTGTTGAAGATATATTCGATCTGTTCGTGAGCTCTGCCAGAGGTATGATCCTCTCAAGGGAAGTAATTCAGAGACGAACTCGAGAAGACAGCACGACAACAGAAGCGAAAGGCGATGGATCTTATATGTCTTCGACCCTCCATCCCGCCAACAACGACTAATCCCTTCCTCCAAGGGGTCAGGTAAGGTGAGCAGCTTTGTCAAAGATGCATCGTCCAGCAGACTAGCGGACAGTTCCCATTTCGCACGGCTTACCTACCGTCCAGGATCCAGGCCTTTTGTCGTTGCCGGCCTCATCTCGACCGCGTAAGAGCAACAACCTCATCGCTCTGGAATACAGTGACTCGTTTGGGCTAAGCACCGTTCAGAACCGTGCTAGTATGCGAACTATGACTCTATGAGTCCCGTTTCCGATAGGTCAGACAAGGGGGTGGGATCTGATTCACTACTGCGCCCACATATCGAGGATGGGGATGGGGATGTGGATGGAAGGCCATTGAAGCTGACAATAAGCCCCGAAATCGACCCGGCTGGCGTACACAACAGCAAACGTTGCAAAGCGGCTGGATTTCCGGGGCATTTTGCACCGTCCCCTATGCCACGATCACACCGTGTAGAACACGGAACTGAGGCGCAACTATTTTCTTAGATGAGAACTCTCTCCCATCCTGGAGAATGAGGGAAGGATTGCGTAGAGCACAACAAGAGAAATTGGAGGGAATGGCAGACGGAGAGTCCATACCCCCCCTGGAGGAACAGGCATGCTTAATTACCTCGTAGCCTGACATTGAACGGAAAGATCCGTCGTCACTGGCATGCTCTGATATTTGTGTCCTCCGTACTTGGATTCTTTCGGCCATGCTCCATACATAGCAGGCAGTTCCTCTGGTACTGTTCAACTATTATCCAACAGCTGCTATGGTTATTGTCCAGATTCTCTCCCCAAGATGTGCCAATTTGCTTGCGCCAACCGGGTCCAGCGCCATATACGCAAAGAGATCCCGAGCAACTGGCATTGCCGATGTCTTAATCTGGTGTGATGATGGAAAGAAAGCCCGCGAGCTCTCCGGCCTGACGGGGCTGATATCCAGGTCCTGTCCTCTTAAACAAACGCTTTGTAATTCCAATGTACAAGTCGTCTCGTCGTCATATGTCCATTAACTAGTTTCAACACATCCAACAAACTCCTCGAGATGCGGCAGAATGGATTTTCGAAGAGACGGTTCGCGCGTTTTCATATAATTCCGCGCATGGCCCCAATTGCTGCCCCAGCGCCGGCTGCATAAAGCATTCCCGGACAGGCTGTCCGCCGAGGACCGTTGTTCCCGACCTGGATGATACCACTTGTCCCCGCCGTTGTGGTTGGCACAACTCCAGAGCCGCTCCCGAATATGGTACACTGGCTCACTTGCTGTAGACCAGAACATCCCACCGAGCTCAGGGAACTGCAGATGGAGCTTGCCGAGCTGAGGATTGTGCCCGAGACTCCCTGCACCGTGATGCCTCCTCCGAGACCACCGATCGTGACTCCATTGGCCCCTGCCAGTGACGTGAAGCAAGCCGTCGAGGCGGACTGGCAGCTTGTGTATGCGCTGGAGCACAAGTCGGCATTGGGGAAGGAGGTCGGTGCGTAGACAAAAGGATAGTACGGGTTGGTGACTGTTGAGCCGCCTCCCACCACTCCTGTAAACGTCACGACCCCGGTACTCGTCGTTGTACCGATCCCTGACTCCGACCCTGATCCTGTCGCCGATCCAGTTATAGATCCCGCAATTGTACCCGTACAGACTGCGTTGGACGGACAGCACGCAACATGTCCAGCTTGGTCCAAAGCACAGGTTGTGTCCGACGGACAACAGACATTGTCTGCCCCGAGACCGGAGCAGGAGTTGAGGCCCGCTTCGCAACCCTGCCTTTTCACCAGAAGTGCATCGTCCGACAGGCCGAAGAGAGGGTTGGAATAGGGCGAGTATTCGTCGTCCGTGGCAGCCGCAATGCGCAGGATTGAGATCAATATCCAGGGCACTCGGGGACGCATTTCCGGTGACCGTTGTACTCGTAGAGTCTGAGGGGGAACTTATTTAATGGCGAGGCATCGAGGGGTCCTTCGTGGGTTGGACTGCGCACCTTCGAGTAGGGGCACTCGAAGTTGCAGTGAGCCTTGCGGAGAGGAGAACGTAGGTATGTACGGTGTGTATCGTGCAAAGGGCAGGGTTTCGAGTTCGATGGAAACAAAATCAATATTGACAATCCCAGGCGAAGATATATTTGCTCATACCGATCAAATGAAGACGCAGCACTCGTACAGACTGGGAAATGAGAGGTCGAGGGATCGCTGGGCACCATCGGGCGACTCTTGGATCGCAGCCCAGCTTTGTGGACTTTCTGGGTGGCCACAGCAACGACGCCACTTGGCACGATCCGGTCACGGGCCAATCACCCCGCGCCGTGCCGCTTTACATCCATTCAGCCTCGTCGCCTTCTTTACTGACCTTCCACACTCACCTTCACGCTCACCCTCCAGTCGTAGCACAATCTAACTCGGAGGTTTGGAGTCCTGCGAGCAGGAAACATTACATCAGTCACCACCATATCGTTTCTATCCGAGATCAAGATGGCAAAGACAACTCTCCACTGATAAGCCTCCTTTTATGAGGTGGGTGCATTAGGATCAATTCGAACTTCAGATCCACCAAACCCCGTACAAAGAGTCTTAATCCACCCGAAAAGGCCCGTCGAAAGAGGACCTTAAGGAGACTACTTATCAAGGTTGAGGGGATGGTTTACTCCGTGGCTGGTGCTTGTAGTTTTACCTAGTAGTACCTAGATTACTCGAGAACGAAAAACCTCATTGCCATTCACAGTTTGATCCTAGAGGGTGTGCGAAGGCCGCTTTAACCTGAGCTTTAACTGAGCCTTCAGCTAAACATCTCTGAGCGCTCCCTGAGTGGTCCCTAAGTAGTCCCTGAGCGACACACAGTCGGCCTAATGTGGCCCTTCTGGAAATCGGCTATACTTGCGCCTTGGCTAGGCCAATATTTCAGACAGGTGTCTAGGAACCTGGTAGATTCCTAAATGTAGTGATCTCTATCGCTTTCTGCACGCTCAGTATCCTCTCTGCCTGGAGTTCCTTAGTGAGCTGGCTCATCCCGTTTCGCATCTGGTCCAGCTGATCCTCCTGCTCTCTCAGAAGACGAGCTTTGTGCCATTCTTATTCATCTTATGGCGCTTCTGTCCTGATGCGGACCGCGAGACTGGTTCTATAGGCAGGTAGTATCACTCGGAGAACTTAAAGGACGTCGACAGAACCTCCCCGGGCTCCTCGATTGAGGAATGGTAAGAAACCGATGAGGTTGGGCGAGGAACACGACCCCCGTCACACATTTGCGTCCCTCGAGGCTTTGCCGCCTACTCGCAAGTTGAAATGAAGAGGATTCGCTGATGTTGATTCAATAGACCTGAGTGTGAAAACATCAATGTGACGGTCTGTTGGGGGACGATTTTGTCCTCTTGCTGCGCGAATTTCACGGCCTGTGGCTCTGCACGCTGTCAAAGAGCGCCGCATTTGTGTATTGGTTTTCTTATCCAACATCCTGTTGTCCTCGTTGGCAAGATCGCGGTCAACGCCGCTCAGAAGCTGGTTCGAGTTGATTCAGATTCTCGTCAGAGGTTCTTCGACCGATGCTGCGCCCAGGCGGTCAGTCGATCATCACCTTCGTCGTAGTCGCGCAGGTCCCTTTGGAGCCCGACAACTGTGTGTTGTAACATAACCGAAAGGTGAAAGTGAACTAAGCTAAAAATGAGGGCATAGCCTCCAGCCGCTTTTGTCTGAGCTACTGGCGCCTTGGCACGTGTTACCCCCTTTTCACAGCGTCAAGGCGATATCTCCTCTTTGGCGGTGGCGGTGCAAGAACGACGCTGCTTGGTCAAAACCTAGTAATTGACTGGTGCCTGAATCACGCTCTGTCTTAAACATTCGCATCGGGGTAGGCCACATGAGAGCTCACTACCGATCTTACACGAGGTTGGGGATTCGTCATGGCAACCAAGCGCCCCCATAACAAATCGCGTAACGGATGTATGCAATGCAAGAAACGGCACGTCAAGTGCGACGAAGTTGGACCCCCTTGTGCCAATTGTTCCGTTCGACAGATTCCGTGCCAATATGCAAAGTCGGCGGCTCACAGTGAGCGAATGATTCGCAAATGCAACTCGAGTGAGGTAGTCGCCGAGGTACCGCCATCGAGTATCGATCGACCCTGGCCAGCTGCACGGGACCTCGCCGTCGAGGCGTCTGACCAGTCCCGGAGGCTCAAGGAGTTGGAGTTGATGCAGCAATGGTGCACAAGGACATGTTACAGCTTCACGCCCAAAAACGCGGATGTATTCCGGGAGAGTGTTGTCAAAGAAGCAGTGAAGCACGTATATTTGATGGAGGCTATTCTGGCCTTCACCTCGGTACAGATGGCGAGCGAAACAAGTGATCCGGTATCCATGGCATCTTATGTCCGGGGCGCCCTTCAACACCACAGCAAGGCAATCTCTGCGTTACGCCACCGTCTGCGACACTTGCCTCCTTCAGAGACTGGAGCTATCTTTGCTTGCTCGATCCTCACCATGGCCTGCACTATCACCTTTCCGTTGCTGCCAGATGGAGCGCAGGACCCAACAGCCGCCGCCACGGAGAGCGTCCTACAACTGTTCAACTATATCAAGGGAATCGCATCGATCGTGGAGATTAATCATCGAGGGCTCCAGGACGGGCCCTTTCACACGATCTTCGAAGCACCGTGGGATCCTTGTCCTGTGACCGGGGCCGACAGAGACCTTCTGGTTCAGCATTTACACCGCGCGAATGATTGTTTCCATTGCGGTCCCAACTCGGATCAACATCAAATCTACCAGCGGGCGATCGTAGAGTTTGAGAAGATCTTCACAACCAATCGATATAGGGTGATCAAATGGTTGTACGATGCGGGAGACAGTGTTCTGGACGGACTGCGCACCAGGGATCCTGTGGCCACGGTGATATTCATCCAATGGGGCACGCTCCTTGGTCAGTTGGAAGGGCTCTGGTGGGCCCAACGGTTAGGCCAAATGCTGGTCACCGAGTTGTCGAGCCATCTTTCTTCAGAGAGAACGGTTTGCGATGAGCCGGCCCCCGCTCGCAAGGCGGAGATATGTTGTCCCCCTGAATGCTTCGACTTGCCATGCAAGGCCGGGTGATGGGGCTATGTCAATGTCGCTGGTCGCCGACGCTTCCTGGGGCGCGTTTGACTTTTGAAACAGCAGCCTCTTACCGCCGTGTACGGTAAAAAGCCACTGTCGGCCAAATTGATGGGTTCCAAATGGCGTGGGGCTACGAGGCCGTGCTTCGCGGGCACTAGCGTTTTCTGCACGTCGCACTCGCTTTTCGCACTCGCACTCGCTTAACATGCCCAGATAGGTGCCAGACTATTCTTGATCCTAGATTCTGGATTCAAGTCTTTCCCCCTGGCGATCTATCCTCTCAAATCGTGTGGGTTGAACTCCGTTCGAGTGTTCCAAGCCGGAGGCTGTGCTGTTGAAATTGGTCTTGCTTGTACATCAAGTGCTCTGCTTGGCTGAAACGGGCGTTAATCTCTGCCTGTCCAACCAGTACCATAATGCTGTACATATATATATTGAAAGCGCTCTTTCCCCCCGACCCAAGTCTGGGAATGATATTGATATTCCTCCAGCTCCCATTATCTAGGCCTTTTCTTCCGGAATGGCAAACGACAAGGTTGGGTACTACAACTACAACCCTTCTGTGGCAGCAGCGGCGATCTTTGTCATTGTCTTTGCCGCCCTCTCGAGCATCCACGTCTTCCGCCTCGTAACTAATCGAACTTGGTTCTGTCTTCCGTTTCTGGTGGGAGGTCTCTGTAAGCAACTCTTGTTTTGTGTTCTCTTGCTGTATTTGGCCAAGTCTACTGACTCCTTGCTCCAGTCGAGGTTATTGGATATGCGGCACGACTAGTCGGACACTATAACCCAGACTCCCTACCTCCTTACGTCGTCCAGGCCCTTCTGATACTCCTTGCTCCGATCCTGTTCGCAGCCTCGATCTACATGATCCTCGGCCGAATTATTCGCACCACTGGTGCCCAGGCTTATTCGCTTGTTCGTGTCACATGGATGACGAAGATCTTTGTGGGCGGCGATGTCTTGTGCTTCTTGATCCAAGCCTTGGGCGGTGCCATGTTAGCGAACGCTGATACTCCGAGTCAAGTCTCGAGAGGTCAGCATATCATTTTGGCCGGGTTGATCCTCCAAATCCTGATATTCGCATTCTTCCTCACGGTGGCGGGAGTGTTTCAACAACGACTTCGGCGCAAGCCAACTGAAAGCTCGTGCAGCGGAGCCGCGATCGGGTGGCAAGGGTTGATGGTCATGTTGTACACCGTCAGTATCTTCATTACGGTCCGCAATGTGTTCCGTGTCATCGAGTACGCCGCTGGTGGTAAGTCAGCCATTCACCGTTGGGAAGAACCAAGAAGGGTGAGGAGTATTTTTTGGGCTGACTGCGCCTTAGATGACGGGTACCTTCTCCAGAATGAATGGCCAATCTACGTCTTTGATGCATTCCTGATGTCAATCGTCCTTCTCATCTGTATCAAGTGGTACGATCGCCGCATTAGCTCACGGTTCGAAACTATCAATCTGGAAAGAGTGTGAGATGGACAACCTCGTCAGCGTCTGCCTCGTCGCGATCATAAGTAGGGCAAGATAGAATAATTTCAGGTGGTTTCATTGATACAATGGCGAGGTCGCCGTTGGGGTGGGAGTTTCGTCGTCAGGGGCACGGTCGACTCTCAAGTTGTCTCTGTGGTCGCTGGTTTGCCATAGCTATACCTCAGGCTTCGAATTCTGTCCTTTTCGTTTGTTTCCGACCATATGAGATGCTGTATTGTACCAAGAGAGCCATTGGGTCCAACACCAGACACCATGGGGCCGTCGATGAATGTTCCTCCGTAGATTGATTGATTTCAGGCAGAGCATTGCGTGAGGCCGGTATCACGCCAGTTTGACGCTGTTTACTGAGTTCGATGGTCGTTACAAGCGCAATCTACCACCAATGGCCAGCCCGTCCAAGGAACACAAATGATCACAAGAGATATCTGGCGGCAGTTGCGGCGGCGACGACAGTTTTGACATTGACGATGATGTACCCACGTAGACAAGCGAAGAGGCTACTCGGTGACGGGAATCGCGAAGAGGTCTCGACCATGGTCAAAGCAATGTGCACGCTCCACCACCTTTCACCAGATTACTCCCAGGGCAAGTAAAAAGTCCACGCCCTGGAGGCATCTGACACAAGCTACGACACGCGTAAGCCTGCTACAACGTCCGCAAATCCTAGCACGCGCCGCCCGTAATCCACCCTCCGTACAGATGCCACACACTCCATGTTGTCACCTATTGCCTTCCATTCGAGAAGAAAAAGGGGTCAAGACCCCCAGACCGAGTGAAACCCACTCTAAGTCGAGTCGGCGGGACTGCGCTATCAACCGACCCACGGACCGAACGAAGCGAATGCGAGCTCTCACTTACGACGTCCACATCCTTCCTCGAACCCTGTGCTTGATTGCGCCGTGTAGTTCACGAATAGGAAATAAGCAATACCTCGGAATTATGGATACCTGACATGTGCAGCCAGACACAATACTTATAAACACATTCTAGAGACACAAAAGAATCAATCTCTCCCCCAAAGCTTACCTGGCTTCTAGTAACAAACATTGTCAAACCTTGGTCATGGTGTATAAAGGTCCTAGCAAAGGGTGCTACAAGTGTCGGCAACGCCGAGTCAAGGTCAGGCTTACCCATCTCGTCGTCAAGTGCCTATATTGAATGATCCGAATAGTGTGATGAGCAACAGCCCCAATGCGGCAATTGTATCAAACGAAAGCAGCAATGCCCCGGCTATCGTGACAGGTTCGATGCTTTCCATAAGGACGAAACTTTGATGGTCTCCCACAAGCATGGCTCGAAACGACCAAGACAGTGGGACGAAGTGAGTGACGTCGGTTGCAAGGCACCCACGGCCAGACCGACAACGCGTCCACCATTGCCACGGCCCAAGAAAGCGAAGGATGGCTGTCCTGACCTCTCCATCCTGATCCAGCCTTCTCCCAATACCGAGACGGAATGTCTTTGTTACTTCTTCAACAACTATGTCACATTACCTCGCGATCCCAGTACCAACATCTTTATCGAACATATTTTGCCCGTCTACCTTATGGCCGCACCGGGTTCCGCGCTGGGGGAAGCCGTCACTGCCGTCGCTATCAACGTGACGCAGACGTGTATGATCGGGTACTGCGACTTTCATCTATCTCGTGAAGCCTATGGACGCGCGGTGACTCTGCTCAAGGCCTTGCTGCGAGATCCCGTTGAAAGCAAAAAGGATGAGACTCTGGCAACAGTGTTCATCCTCGATTTCTGCGACTCTCTCAACCAGCGAGATGTGCATTTCACCGACTCGGGTACACATCAGCAAGGAGCCATCGCGCTATTAAAGCACCGAGGGGCGGATAACTTTAAAAGTCCCATCGCTCAGCGCCTGTTCAACGCCATGAGGAGTCGACACATCAGCTACTCTTTACAGTCGGGCAAAAAGGTCGATTTGGACCCGGCTCTCCTCGAGGACGACACCGCCATCCTACCTTCGGCCAAACTCGACCTGATCAATGTCGAGCTGGCCGACCTCCACGTCCTCGCGCGTGAAGGACCTGAAGCGCGACATCAATCGCCGGCAGCCTTCTACCAGGAGGTATTGGAGAAAGCACTCGTCCTTGAGAATAAATTGCAGACGTGGAGAACATCTTTGCCCGAATCATGGCAGCCCGTGGCTGTTCCCGTATCAGAGCTGCACCACTCCATCCTTGATGCCGGTGTATACGAGAACATGTGCGATGTCTACTCCTCTCTTGCGGTCTCTCACGTGAACAACAGCCAGCGGATTTCTCATGTTAGCGCCCTTCGGCTCATCGAGCTCTGTTCACAGAGCCTGAGGGATCTGCGAGAGCCCTTCGACCCGAGCATTGAGCGCAACGTCGGGGTACGGACGCAAGAGATTGTCGATCGATTCTGTGCATCAATTCCATACCACCTGGGGAATCGAACAACACCTACTTACCCGCACGAGCATCGAGAATATCCGCATGTCCCACTCTCGCTCCGTAGGCTGGCCAAGTATGTCGATGCCTTTGGCGCTGAAGTCGGAATGACCATGGAGGACCATATCCGCGGGGCGGCCGCCATTGGCCGCTGGTTGACACCACTCGCGGGTTTTCAGGAACCTCCGGCTTTGCGGTCTTCCAGTGTGAGACCTCGCTCCTTGACGGCCATGCTACGAAAGGGGCAGCTACAGTGGATCCGTGTCCAGATGGCGCGAATACAGAGGACGTACTACTTCTCACAAAATCACAGGGCCGGTGAATTGTGACTGGAGGCTCGCCCTCGAACAGGAACGGTTCCGTGTCTCGAACGGGTCAGAAGGTGCATGCATTCAACCAACGTACCTGACCCGCTTGAACTGGAGTTCAGTCGGCATTGCGACAGCAATCTACCCAACTTCCCGGAGATTAGCTATCCTAGGAAGCGCCAAGCCAGACCTAAAACTTATTGTTCCTCCTACTAGCCTACTATAGCTTCGAAGGGCTCTATATTATATCAGGGGTAAGGGGCTAGAGGTAGTAGTATGGGGACAGGAGTTGACTAGGTTCAACTGACACTGAGCTAAAACATCTTATCTAGTTGGGATACAGCTTTAACCGATTAACGGAAGAGCCGGATTAGGGCTCCGTTCAGGATCATAATCAGGCTCCGGAGTGTCAATTAACCACCTCCAAAAACGGAGGTGCAACCCTCAGGATTCTGAGGTTTTTCATTACGGTTCGATAGGAATATATGCATACTAGGACGGACTCGGAACGCGCTCACCAAGTCGACTTGATAGATGGACGGCCGGGCTGGGCTCCCGGAGGCCCGATTTGCGATGTGACAACTAAAGTTGTTCCTATTGTGCAATGATTTTGCTAGGAAATTGCGATGTCACACCGGCTGTCTGGGAGGCTCAGAGGTAACGACGGCCTAAAGAAAGGCTGGGTGGCACCCAAAAGTTGTGCTCATACTGTGAAGAACCAACAACTTGCTGAGATGGTAATAGCGCTCCCGACAGTGTCGGCCGCAAGGGTTCTTCAGGCTTCACATTAACCTAGTTGGCATGAAGTGCGTGACTACCTCGTACTCTGTAATTAGCGCTCCCCGCTCCCCAGACAAGTCCAGACCAACCTCCCCGCTCCAAGCGACGCTTCATAAACGAGCGCTTCGCTCGAATCCAAGAATTCTTCTGTCAATTGCGTCCGACAATGTGCATTTCGGTTCTTCGGAATTTATCACCCAGTGACTCAAGTCTTACTCTCCTTTCGACATTCAATGAACTCAAAGAGACTTGCGCCGACAACAAAAGCATGCGACGGGTGTCGCCACAGAAAGCTAAGAGTAAGTTCTATACAATCACCAGCCCTCTTCAGATCCTAACAAATCTGTCTCTGGCAGTGTGTACAAGAAGACTCAAACCCGTCGGAATCAGGCAGTTCGAGTTGCGTCCATTGCATACGGATCAATATCCCTTGTACCTTCAATCTAAGCCGTCGGAAAGGGGGGCCCAAAACCGGAAAGTGAGAATTTCGTCGATTGTGTACCAATTCCTGCAATGGTGGCTGACAAGTCGGGCAGACGAATACGTGCTCTTCAAGCTGAACAGCAGCTTTCGACTTCTCTGGTTGACTTGTGTTCAGTGGTCGCAGATAACTCTGACTACAATGGCGCTTTTCTCTCAAATCTCAACTTGAACAGCATGAATTTTTCGCTTTCGCTTCAGGATGAACCCTCATCCGGCGACTCGACGATGTCACGGGCCTTCGGAGCTACTGGAGGATACACAGATGCAGGCTTCCGCGGTGACGATTTCGCCCGAATACAATTTGAGGATTGTCAAGCATTAACGCTGCCATCTGTTCCAGGGCTCTTTCCCGGGAATGTGTATAGCAAAACACTGCTTCGGACGCCTGAGTGTGCATATTCAGATGAGCACTATCGTACGTTACCAGATGATGACTCTTTCCTTTCTACGGAAGAGCTCCTGGACGAGATAGCGTTCTTCTCTGACGAAGCATATGAATGCTATCCTATTCTGCACCCGCACAGCCTGATCAAAAATATTGAGGAAGGAAAACATCTTTCCGACGCCGAGTTTCGTATACTTGCCCTTTCAGTCGTCACGCTAAACGAAGCTCGCAGGTTTCGCCGCAATCCACAATATGGTACTGCCCGTCTGGACTCTCTTCTTGGGACGGTCCATAATCTCAGGCAGAATTCCAATCACGATTATCTTGCCGATCCACCATCGCTCGACACGGTAACGGTGTCTTGGTGTCTTTTCATGGCGCACATCTTTCGAGGAAATATCTACAAAGCCTTCGCATATCTGACCGAGGCGATAGGCCTTCTAGACCTTATCGACTACCCATCAGATCATCTTCAGACTGTCAGGCTACGACGAATCGAATATATGCTGTACATCACGGAGTCGGGCGCCGTATCTCTCTATGGCCCTCCCAGAAAGCGACGGATTGCAAGACTGCCATCGAATTTCCCCGGTTGCGTTGATGATCTAATATTTCAAGATCACTGGGAAAGCGATGTGTGCAGCCTAGCACAAAACATGGCACAGAAAAAGATGCAGATTTCGGACAGGCGGGCAGTGGAGCTGCTGCTCTTGATGGCCCGCATTCACGCTGCCTCTGGACCTGACGAAGTGGCAAAGGTCACAGTCGACGAAGGATTGATGGCAACAATGGCAGGATTGCTCGGAACGCATGCGAGGACGGGCACTGCCATATCGGAACAGACCGCAGATGTCGCGATAACTCGCCAGTGGAAGCTTGGCTGGCACTGGTGGACAACGTTGGCAGACTTCAGTCCTTTGACCGAGCATAGGACTAGTCTCAATTACACCACGCAGATCCTGGGAATGACAGCGCTGCAATGGGGCAAAACTATCTCACCGCCACTGCTGAGACTCATTGGCATAGGCAAGATCGTTGCTCTAGCGGAGGCAATCCTTCACATTTCATCGACGATTGGGGAGCGTAAAAGCTGCACAAATATCATCGGAGACCTGATCCGGATGGTCTCCGAAGCCGACTACGAACGGAATTATGCTGTCCAGCTCTATTTTTTGCACGGCTCTGTTTTGGCAATCCCGCCGATGATCAACTTGAATGACAGTCAAAGTACTGAGGTCCATCGTGATCCAGAGGTTGGACAGACCTAGCTATCTCAATATGGAACTCTCATACAACAGAAGAAACAGACGACGGAGAAGAATCTCTTCTCCGCTTTAAGTGAAACGTGCGCTTATGAACAGCCGACCGTGGCTGCTCCAGTTTCGATTCTTATTGTATCAAATAGCAGTATGCGGTCAACAAACTGGTACGGAATTGTGGCTCAAAAGTCAGTATTCAATGCATAATTCAACACTCTCACTTGATTCATCATGTATTGCCTTGATGCGTGTGCTCTGGGGAAAAGGTCAATCTCGTGTGGGACCCCAGGAATGATTTCCAACTGCGTGTCTATTCCGTGATTTCGGAGGCGAAGAGCGTATGCGATACCCTCATCTCGCAAGGTGTCGCAGCCGGCTACGGTGATGTGGACGGAGGGGTGGTGCTCTGGGGGAATAGTATGGAGCACAGAGGCATAAGCATGCGAAGGATGAGAGAGAACGTAGGTTTCTACTTGCGAACTTTAGTGGCGGAATGGTTTGCCTCTTGCATGTATTTCTGTGAACTCACCCCAAAGCTTTACCATGGCAGCAAGAGGCAGTTGTGCCTCTTTGCCTGTGCCAAATCTGATCGACGAAGCTCCATTCGAACTGACGATTGGCGGATAAAGTGCCGGGTGGCATGTCACGGGGACGACCAGGTTAACATGCTTGATGCGAGGGGTGGTGTTTTCCATGGAATCCTTCAACGCCACTGCGGCGGCGAGGTTCCCTCCAGACGAGAAACCCCAGATTGCAATGCGCTTAAGGTTGATCCTGTATGTGGCTGCGTTGTCCACAGTCCAGTTGAGCGCACTGTAACAGTCGTTCACTGGGTGTGGGAAGGGGTGCTCGGGAGCGAGTCGGTAATCGACGTTGACAACAACCGCGCGCAATTCGGACGCGAAGAACTTGGCCAATTCTACTGCCACGTTAGAGATGGTCGGCTATTCATGGCGTGAATCTCACTCACCTTCGTCCATCTCGGGCAGACCGTGAGTCCACCCACCTCCATGATACATGATCAATGCAGGCCTCAGACCAGAACGACTGTACGTGTTGTCCACAGCTGGATTGTATACACGGACTGAAAATTCCATGTCGTTTTGGACTATGACTGGGATACTTTGTATCGAAATCGAAGCCGTTGGAAAGATGCGCTTCGACACGGGTTCCCTGGGCAGACGCAGATGGACATCTCGGACTTTTTGACGCATTTCGTTATGGTCAGCAATATCACGAGGCGCGCCCATGTCTATCAGTGGGCTCCTCATCAACTCCTGTCTGTGATTAATATCGAGATCACAACCCATGGTACTGTCGGCTCTCACCTCGAGGAAGTTTGCATCTCTGTGCTCAATAATGTTAGGATGTGTGCCTCCGAACTGTGAACCCTGCTCACTCTCCGAGCTCTCCTCACCGCCATTCATAAAGAGCTCTGTTGACTTTGGCTGCGACAACGTGGAGGCAGTCATCTTGCGGACGCAAATATACAGCGATGGAGTTTAAAACCCGATTTTCACAAACAAAACATCGAAATGCGCCCGTGGAGATACGAACGCCGTCGACTGGGAATCTTCGCAACAACTACCAAGGGTACCTACGTATGCTAAGACACTCCAGAAGAAGTCTGCACCATTCTATTCAGAGCGACTTTGTACCTTCCCGAGCCTTCTGTCATCCGAGCAAAATTTCAGATATATGCTTGCCACGCTAATAATGCATCGGAGACATTCTCGGAAGCAAACCCGGTAGGAATCGTTGTTCTCACCAATCTGAGATTCCAGCCGCAAATTCGATCCACGTCGAGCACTCGCGTCCTTTCTTAGCTTTCTCTGAGATCGTTGCTTCAAGCGTAGCATTGCTTTGACCGGATACAGCTCGGAATCTGCAAACAGAACGACATCTTCCTCAACCACTGAAATAACGAGAACCTTTTACAAGTCTTTCTGGTCAGTGGTAACCTGTGAACTCCACCAGAATCGTAAACTATCTTACGGGTTAATTACAGAATAACTTGCGCAATTTTCCAAGCTCACAAGGTACATGCCAGAAAATCGAACAGCCGAGACCCTTCTGTATTATATGCAAGAAGCCAATTCTGTATCACGGGTGCA